ATTAGAGTGGGCGAGCTTACGAAGGATTGACTTCTGCTGGAAAAAGAGGGTCTGTTTGGACAAGGATATTTTGAAAATGAAATTTACAAATTTGAATCAGGGAAGTCGAATAGATATCAAGTTTTTCTTTTTCTTTCAATAATGATGCAGACATAGCGAGTCTGTCAATCTGCAAACTCCCCAAGTAAAAGGCTCTGCAACTTCACCAATAACCAGGTAAACAAATTGCGACTGGGCCGATCTAACGTAGAGCTATACAAGAATTAACTATTACCCCCCCCCGGATCAACAGAAAAAGCAAAACTCAATGACTTGCTCCGGGAGAACTAGTGCGGGTGACCGCGATGAGCACTCACTGGGCAGGTATACTATCGTTCAGTTCCCTACAGGTACGACACACCTAAACAAGAAATTCGCTCACGGGGTCATGTGGTAGAAAATAAGTCCTTCGACAAGCATCCGAAAGTCCGACGACCAACGGGCTGTCGAGAAACGAGCGCCGTGCATGAAGATGCTGCAAATACGGCGTACAAAAGTAAATTGCTAAACGCCAAAACTACCAAGTATAGCACTGGCGATAGATAATATGCAAACAATTGATTCCATAAAACTGTACACATAGTATCGCTCAGTTTGCTCCATGAAACTTATTTGATTGAGCTTCTATTATCATCAAGCAACACTGCCGAGACCAGTTGTTCACAGTACTTAAGTAAAATGTACTTCGTTGTCCAGTCAATCCTTCATCCTTCCATTCCGTCCTGCGGACTCCCCCTTCCCCACGCTAGAGCCACCCCCAAGATCATCCCCATCCGCGTTGCAGCTTTAGGAGCTGCATAGTGTGGCTGACCGTGCGGCCGTTTCATTTGTCACTTGGCCCTCCTTGAGTCATCTCGGGTCACCTGCAGCGTCTCTCAGACTCGCCCTAAGGGTGACTAGTGGCCCTTAGTGGCCTTTTAGGCCCACCTAGTCCGGGTTTAGTAGCGCATGGGGCAGGTCTGGGGATTCTGCAAACGAAGTGTCCGTGCGAATAGGTGCAGGAAGATTGTAGGGAGAGAAAGTCTGGGGATGGATGAAGTCCAGGGTATACGGAAGACTACTGTACAATGGTATCTGGTGTCTAAGACAGTAAATTTCTGCTGGAGCCGCTGACCAAGCGATGGCATTAATTACTAGATCGGGATTCTAAGTCGAGTGGTATGGCAAAGGGCAGTCTTATTTTTGTTTCACAGTGATCATCTTTGCTTGATGATGATCTGTATTGACCAAGGAAAGGAAAAAAGTACTCATTACAGTAGTACTCTGTACCCTGCGAAAGTCGTCTTTGGCCATTGTCTCTCCGCCAACATCCGATCCGAAACCCTTCCGACAGTATGGTCAGATCAGATCAGTCAATAGAGTGACTGGCACGCTCTTCTATACCTCGGACAACGAACTTGCGAACAAAAGACAAAGAACAGCATTGGCTCGTTGCACAACAGCAATCCTCGTCGATCGCGAGGCTACCCAGGTCTCACAACAATAATAGTCGCCTCCAGAAAATCATACAACCCCAGATCCAGCCGCATCAACCCGATCCGGCGATGGATCTCGGCCAATAAAGCGGCGGGCTCGTCTAATCGCCTTGTTCCGTGCGACCCAAACTCAAATGGGCGTGGCTGCAACGTGCGTCGGCGAAAGGCAAAAAGGCGGTTTAACCGATGGACGGGCGAGTCAGATTCTAGAAAGTTTCTGGGGTTAGTTCAAGGGATAAAGGGGTGGAATGGAAAGAATCCGGGGTGGCCACATTTCAGAGACATCAAGGTCAGGCACACTCCTGTTTGGATCAATCCACTGGTTCTATATTCCTTCTTTTTTCCGCATGCATCTTCTTCTTTTCTCCCCCATGGGATGGTTATCCCCTTTCAATCAATTATTCTCGCCACAAACGTGAATGATATTCTGGTACCGGGGGACGACTCCAACCGCCACATCCACCCCGGAATTTACCAGGCCAGACTTCAGCCTAAGCAGGGCAGGACCTTGGCGTCTCCCAGACAAAAAAAAAAGTAACTTTTCGTCTATCAATTCAACGGATTCCATTGGTGAGTATCCCCAGCGACCTCAGGGAAATCCCCCACACGAACCCTTCGGTCGCGGCCTTCCCCCACAAAAATGGCGCATGGCCCTCTCTTATTTTGGGGCCTGCGGATCCTTCCGCCCATTGGAAGCTCCGCCCCAGCCTCGTCGGTGGATCTCGATGGGTACCTGGCCACATCATAGACGGTCCAGTCGACGGTCCTAGCGGTCCTCCAGGCGACCCGGGCCATCCTGGAGTGTCGCTTCTGTTGCGCGCGACCGTTGCCGATCGTGACTAAAGGAAGGTCCAGTCACGAGGGCGGGTTTGATTATAATCGCCCTTCGTATTTGTATTGGGGGGGGGGGAGCTAGTCGTATGGAGGAGGAAGTTACGGAATGTTTTAGTACGGGTGTAGAAGGATGTACGGTGGGAGTAGTTACTACTAGATAGAATTCTTCATAGTGCATGATTATACTCTATCACGATCAATGAATTGCCACCAAGATCGATTTGCTTTCTGGAATGTGACATACCCATCAGAGTAGGTGAATGGTCTTGGGGGGTGAAGATTGGGTCTGGTACCTTGCCGGGGGGAAAACACGAGGCATTTTTTAGTGCCAACTATGTACTCCACGAAAAGTGTACTGAAATAGTTTAGTTTTAATTTCCATCGCACCGATGTTCGGATCCAATAGTTCTGCTCTCTTAATCTTTTCTACCCACGAGGATGCAGTTCAACTATGACGATGTCGAATGTCAAACCTAGTGACATTCCATATCTGAGCTATTCTTGTCATTGCCATATCTCACGGGTATCTCTTATCATGGCGCTCCACTGGCTTGTTTCAGCTCTCAAAGCGGGTCCCGTTACAATGCCCACCTCGGTACAAACCCCGGAGTAACCAAGGACGATGCGAAACCGATACGTAACCGTGTTGGACATGTATCCAAGCTGCCGTCAACCCGGACTGTACGGAGTACGTACATATAGCAGTGCATATATGTACTATACAGTGCACCTGGAAAGAGTTACGACAGTATTTCCACAGACCAGGTACAGCCCGTACCTTTAGGATACTATACCCGACCTATCGCTAGCGCAAGTCTCCATTGACGCCACGAATACCCAACCAGGAAACTGCCTGGAGGGACTTTACTTTCCCAGACACGCCAATCGCCCGAGACGCCTGGGACGATAGGAAAAACCAGGCCCCCCAGGACTCCCTCCCCAGGAACCGGTGAACTGGTGGGCATAGCCCAAAAAGGGTGGGCGGCGAGAGCCGGCCAGTGCGTGGCGGGAAGATTCGAGGCTACGCCAGTTCCGGTAGTACCTTGGCTCATCGTTTCGGGGCTGGCCATTCACCGTCGGCCGTTTGGTTCACCTGAGAGGACGTTGTCTGATCCTGAATGGCCCTGGGCTGGCCCTGGCTGGTCAAGTCGATAATCGAGGCCGGGCGATTGGTTCCCCAGGCCGTCCGTGTGCAGGGACTCCACTACTTCACTTGGTATCTGCGGTATTGTGGAGTGATTGTTTAGTGCTCGAGTATTATCAGTCCTGTACGGCGCGGACGGAGGACGGATTATCAGATAGCCTTATCCGGGTATGTATGGGACCCGTTCCGCTGTCAGGGTTTCCTCGTTATCGGCCTCGTGTATGTGCAGAGAGAGGGCATCTATGTACATATACTACAGGATACTCCGTAGTTTGACTATAGGATAGAGTGTACGACCAAGACGTACTGTGTTACCTGTAACCGCCACTACTGCCACGCCACCTCCCATGGATTGGCATGTTCGGTCGTACCGGACTTACCGTTCCATACGATACATACCGTACGTACCGTACATCGGACCACCACCACGTTTCCTACTACAGCCAAGTAACGAGTACTTAGGTACTTGGAGGTCCATGGACTTCGTTGCTCGGAGGCAATTCACGTCCTTCACCTTCTCCAAACCTCATTTCCTACTTCCTCCTCCTTTCAACCTTCATCCTCGATTCACTTTTCCCTTCTCCTAACTTCCCAACTTCCTCATCGTTGCGCCCGCCCTTTCTAGCTTATCTGCAATTGCCCGCCATCTCGGTTATCTCCGGCTCTCTCCAACTGCCCCGTGCTCCGACCTCGTCGTGAGAAAGAGCCTCTCCCCGACCAACTTGATCACGCAATCTCGTCGGTTTTCAATGGATACGTGCGAAGTTTAGAGATCTCGACTCGATTCACCTCACATACCCCGTGAGTGATTTCTTTCGGCTACAAACTACTCCCCCCGATACTTTTGTCGCCTCCTCGTGGCCAGGCAGACTCGACCCCCCGGTTGCCTTACTGATTCTCCGAATCCCCAAAGACCTGGAATTTCCCCCACGTCCGTCCAGATATTCCATCCCACCCACCGGTCGCAGGTCCTCACATCCTGTTTCTTCGGACATTTTTGATTCTTGCGACTGCGCCCGTTGAGACGCAAAGTCATTTGGATCGCCCTGTACATTGCTTCTTCCCGCTCGCAATCATCCGGTGGGTCCCTGGTCCGCTACCCCAGCACCGTCCATGATAAGCCTCGTCCGTTACCCTGGATTGGGGCAACGAACGACGCCGGTCTTGCGAACGCAATCCTTCTTGTCCTTTTTTATCGCGCACTTGAAAAAAAAAAGGAACATGCTAACCTGATGTCATCCCGACCGTGCAGTCCTTGATGCGACCCTTCTTTGTGTAAATCTATCAAACCCACCACGCCAATCCATCGTTATCGTCACATCTGGGAAGAGTGACGGATACCTCTTCCGACTCGCGAGAAACAATCCTATTCTCTGCCCATTCCTCCGAGATCTCCAGTTTCTCTGGCGTTGGCAAACATTGGAGAATCATTTATCTTATTCTCCTCAGTACGCGACCAGTCCATTGATCCCGTTACCCAGGGGTCAAAAAGACATATTTTTCTTAGGATGCTCTTAGATGCTATGGTTGGCCACGAACGAGACCAAAGCCCGCAATTGGTAGATCTCGCCAGTATCAACGAAATCCCAGGAAATATGCCTGGTAAGTCTTTTCTCTGCGGCACCCCAGTCGATTAACGCATCCAAAGTTTTCCACGAATTCTGAACTTTTTTCCCCATCGGACAGCTCCATCGAAGGAGACTAAGAAGCAGGCCGAGGCCAATGGCCAAACCGGCGCCAATGGCAATATCCCCCCTCCCAAGACAGACAAGCCGCGTCCCCATGTCTGTACCACTTGCGGTCGCTCCTTCGCGCGATTGGAGCACTTGAAGCGTCATGAGCGCTCGCACACCAAGGAGAAGCCCTTTGAATGCCCTGATTGCGCACGTTGCTTTGCTCGTCGTGATCTGTTGCTTCGGCATCAGCAGAAGTTGCATATGACAACCACCCCATCCTCTCGGCCCAGAAACGGTCGCCGAGAGAGTACGGGTGCTGCGGGTGCGGGTGCGGGCGCCAATCGCGTGCGCAAGAACTCCATCGCTAACAGCTCCGCCTCGATGCGGCCTCGTGCCAACACGATTAGCCACATCGGTACATCGGCCCTGGGTATTCCAGATGGCAGTAACCCGTCCTCCGCGCCCGGTCAATCGGGTCACGCATACCACCCCAGTCTTGGAACGTCATTAGGCTCAAGTATAGACTATAGGGGTTTCAGCTCTGGGCATCCACCGGTCACCGGTCTGCCCAAGCTAGAAACGTCGGGTCTTCCCATGGATATGTCTGGTGGATTGCGGACGGCCCCCGTATATGGCAGCTTCGATCTGGGTATTGATGGTATGCTGATGGGTCATGGCAGCACCATCAATCCCGCTCAACTACACTTTGCAGGTTCTCCCCAGGGCTTTGGCGACTCCCCTTCTTCCCCATTCGGCCACCAGCACCATGGGATGCCTCACCCGGATCCCATGATGGACGAGGAGATGAACTTTGACTGGATGAATGGGTTCGATGCGGCCGTCGCGCTTGGAAACGGTAACGACTCGGTTATCGACGAGTCCTCGCCATCCGCAATGAGTACGGGTAGCCAGAGTGGTATTAGTGAGGCGATGTTGGATGGACCCAACCGCATCCCCATCTCTAATGGCTGGCACAACCCTTTCCCCGGACACACGGCGGTGTCCGCCAACCAATTCGCCATCGACTTTTCCCCGACGACGCTGAACGAATTGGGGATCCCGCCGGAGACCGTGTCGCCCAAGTCGCTGATGGCCCAGAACCCGTTCGCAGAGACCTATGCAACCCCTCCCTCCATGACCTCGGTCGGCCAGCCCATCGTGGGAGGACATTCGCAGAGTATGTTTTCATCCTCAATGGCAACAAACGGAGAATCTCCTAATCCTCTCAACGTTCCTTTCCCGAATAGTGCCCTACGAAATCAACATTCCCCAGTCTCAACGGATACCTTTACAGACTCCACTCGACAGGCTCTACTAGCGAGCATGTCCCAACCCACTGGCTTCAGTCACCGCAAGTACTCTCAACCCGCTTCTAGTCTTCTCAATAGTCGCGAGCTCTTCTCTCGCTCAACTGGCTTCAACACCTCCGGTCAACTCCCCAGCACCTCGGACATGCAGCGCTACATTTCGGCCTATATCACCTATTTCCACCCCCACTCGCCTTTTCTTCACATCCCAACCCTCAACTTCCAGGCCCCCGAGTACACGAGCAACCTACGTACGCCGAGCGGACATCTTAACCTCAGTTCGACCGGCGTTGCGGGAGGCGGTGGCTGCCTGATCCTTTCGATGGCGGCCATCGGTGCTTTGTACGAATACGAGACCGCTGCTTCCAAGGATCTGTTCGAAGCCGCAAAGAAGATGATTCAGCTATATCTGGAAGAGCGGCGCAAGGCCGACATGTCTGCCGCTTTGAGTCGTTCTAACTCGGCTCGCGATAATTCCGTACACAACACCCCCCTCTGGCTGGTGCAGGCCATGCTGCTAAATGTGATCTACGGTCATACCTGTGGTGACAAGACATCTGCAGACATTGCCAGTACTCATTGTGCTGCGCTCGTTAGTCTGGCTCGTGCTGCGGAACTTACGCATCACCTGGATCCTAAGAGCCTACCGCAAGATCATCTCAATTCTGGATTCAATGCTTCGGATCCATCGGATACGGATAACTGGACATCATCCTCGTTTGGTCAGCCCAAGGAAAGGCGCGACTGGTTAAACTGGAAGGTGGTGGAGGAAAGGAAGCGTACTCTGTACGCAATCTTTGTCCTCTCCAGCTTCCTCGTTTCAGCATACAACCATGCACCGGCCCTGACAAACTCTGAAATCCGGTTAGATCTCCCCTGTGAAGAGGATCTCTGGGCTGCCGAATCACCTCAGGCTTGGAAGAAGATGGGCGGGCAAACAACCACCAAGAATAATGTTTCTTTCTCGGCTGCTTTGACTTCCCTTCTGACTGCCAGCCAACGTGAACAGCAGAACAAGTCGTCAAACTTGTTCTTCAGCACGGATGATCCAACGAGTGCTGAGAACCGGCCAAGTACCTTTGGCTGCCTCGTTCTCATTTACTCTCTGCACAACTACATCTGGGAGACGAGGCAAAGGCATATGGGTCGGCAATGGACCGCACAAGAAACCGAGGCCATGCAATCACACATCGAACCAGCGTTGCGAGCATGGCAGGCGGCGTGGGCGAGCAACCCTGTTCACAGCTTGGAGCGACCCAATCCGTTTGGAGCGGGCCCGCTGTCTGCAGATAGCATCCCACTACTCGATCTGGCTTACGTTCGGTTGTTTGTCAACCTGGGTCGATGCAAGGAGGCCTTCTGGCAACGCGATTGGAACGGGATGGCAGATGAGCTTGCACGGGGAACGGAGGTCTTTCACCAGGCCGATGGACCTATCAACGACGTGTTAGATCCATCTCTCACCGGGTCACTTGATGCCCGGAGGGAGTCCGTGAACGACCTTGGTGTTGGTGAACTAGCAATCTCTCAAACACCAACCCAAGACCAGCCCATGCAATCTCTCTCCAGTGTATACAAGACCGGCCAGTCCAAACGTGAGAAGCACCTCCGCAAAGCAGCCTTCTATGCCGCAGACTCGATTTCCATGTCCGACCGCCTCGGTAACACATTCGCCGAGTTCTCCTCTCGCGAACTTCCCATTCAATGCGCAATGTGTGCCTTTGACTGTGCCCAGGTCCTAGCCGAATGGATCACCACCGTTCAAGAACGCGTTGGCCCTTACCTGGGTATCCTTGGTCGTGATGACATCGACCTAACCCAGGTACCTGGGGTCATGCTTCTTGAAGACGAAGACTGCAAACTTATTGATAAGATCAAAGAGATTCTATCAAGCATTGAGACGAAAATGCAACGCACCGTGCAGAACAGCAACTCCATGTCTGCGCTGAGCGTGATGCAACGCCTGCCCAGCGTCGTTGAGGGCGGGTACGGGTGTAAAATATTGATTGCCACGGCGAGTCTGCTCGATCGAGCAGCTGTGTGGCCAGTGACGAAGCTGATGGCGCGCTCATTAGAGGCGCAGGCTATGCGGATGAAGGAGCGTGCGGAACACTCTTGCTCGCATGCCGTTATGATGACTTCTTAATGATGACCTCCTTTTCTATTTCTTCTCTTTCTTTGATTGTTTTCGAATTCAACCTTTTTTCTCATCTGATGTTTATTTGTATTTTGTCTCGTGCGGCTGATGTGTTCATGATCAACTTAAAGATTCGAGGAAATTGCCAGGACAAGGCAAGCCTAGGCAAAGGCATTCTACTACCCCAATCCCCGTGTTCGTCTATATTACAAACTTGAATCTTTCAGGCTTATGTTTTACATTGTTATTGCCTCTGCCTCTGCCTGCCTGATGTTGGTCACGCCCCCTCCTTCGATATTGATACGATACCCCCCGATCAAATCTATCATAGACGAATGCCATGCTATGTCTTCTTGTGATTCTTGTTCTTTTTTCCGGGTCTGGTTGTATGCACTGTGCTAGCGTTGCTATATTAATGAATATTCGTTTTGAGTATTTGATTTTCCAGAGATTGTTATGTGTTTCTTCGATGATTGACTGGATGATGTTACTTTCGCTTTGGGCGGTGATGTGGTTGTTGATGCACTTGGCAGATTTGGACGGGGATGTATCTCGTTTCTTTTATTGGGTTGTGTGCTTGTGGCATTATGCAGACTTTTACTTCATTATGAATATGATTTATCCTTTGAGACGTTGACTACGAGTAATACTGGCGACCTGTCCCATTGTAGTCTACCCCGTAGCGTCATGCCATTATTGATTCGAACATCATATAGTACAGACAACCGAATTTGTCTTTGCAAAATTCAATATTTAAAAATTCCGTATTCTGTTTCGTCATTCCACATCTAATATTCCGTACATAGTATAGTTCATGACTAGTTCTGCCTGCCTAGATCGCGGCCCCCAAGCTACAAGTTGAGTCAACCAACCAGTTACATAATCCCCCGCCGTTGCTGGGGTACCTTCACGCGTTAAGTGCTTTTCGCGTCAGGCACCAACTTTGCGCCAACGACGACCTCCAGCTCGTTCAGAAATGACGAGAAGCCAGACAAACCCTTTCCATCCCGCTGCGTCACTGCAGTGTGCCACCGCCGCAGCTTCGAATCCCCTCCCTATCGCCGCGTCCGAGCTTCAGCGCCTTGTCCAGATCCAGCCCCGATGCCCTACCCGCGGGCCGTCTCGCCATTCAGTCTTGAGACATACGAGCCTTCCGCCGATAATATAGCAGGTGATGAGCTGCCGGCCTCTGATGACGAGTTGAACGAAGCTGAGCGCGCGGCTAAACGTCAGAGAGTAGAGAAGTTGGCGGAGTCGTATCTCAAGGGCCAGCCGCTGTTTATCCTTTCCGCGTCGTTGAAGGGACCCTTCGATCAGGGTTGGAGGAACCCGTGGAAGAAGGATCGCAAGGCTATCGTCAACCGGCGGGTCAACAAACGTGGGAAGAGGGCTGTACAGAATTCGGGCCGCGTCGTACAGGAGACCGACTTGCGCCATCCGAAGTATCGAGAAGATTTGACTGTTGCTGCTTCGAGTCCTGCAGCTGCTACACACCAAACAGTTCAATCGCCTATTCCGCCAGTGACAAATGTCAGTTCCCCCGTTACATCTCGATCGGCACAGAAAAGACCTCTTCACGCAGCGACATACGATGAACAAAATCGAGCGACACCCCGTTCGATCAAGAAACCGAGAGAGACAGCTTTATGGCGAGCGGCAGACCATTCTTTTGCACCCGGTGGACCGTCGGACTGGTTGAAGAAAGACCGGAAACGATTGAATTTCACGCAGATTGAACCACCTAGCTCTCCGACCCCGAAGATCGCATCTCGACAGGCGGATAATAAAGCTCGGGTTGGGGCTTTGCGTGCCTTGGAGGTGCGACTTCCTGCGGCGGCCTCACACAGGAGGATCTCGATAACTCCTGTCGTCGATCAGAAGACGATAGCAGCCGAGCCTATGGATATTTCGCCGGAAGGTTCTCGGGTATCTGTCCCAGCGGAGCAAAAGCCTGAGCCTATCACGGAGAAAACATTGGCTCCAGGGCTGTCAACAACACATAAGAGCTCTCCTGTTGTGGATTCTCATGTGCCATCATCGTTTCGTGTTATTACTTCGACGTCTCAGTTGCCCCGTTTTGAGTATCGAAGGTGGCATCAGGACAACGATAGCCCCGAGTCAGGGAAACAATCCCCTGTCAAAGGCAGCTCTGATGTCCCGGAAGCCTCGGCCGAGAAAGATGGGACTATGCAGTCAGCTGCTGAAAAAGTCGAGGAAGATTTACTCTCCGAAGAGACCATTCATGAAGCGCAAGTCGCACCTGCAGCGGACAGCATTGAGAATGCGCCTGTTACTAGCGCTGAAAACGATATATCCGCCCCAATAGATTCTCCAGCGGTCTCCAAAGCGCCTGATGTCACTGAACAAGTAGACGACCCAATCGTTGAGCCCGACGCCCCAGTGGAACCGAGTCAGCCCCGGCAGCAATTGCCAGATGACGATCCCAAGAAGGCCGCTCAAAGCAAACTAGCCCAAACATCAAAGGACCTCAGATTTGCCGATGAGGCAGGCGTCTCAACTTGCATTGAAGAGGAAGATCAACCACGGACAGAGCAAAATACCTATGAGAATTTGCCGTCTGCGCAACATGTACCCGTCCCTCCAGGGCTTTCAGATCGCATACCATCTTTACACTCGACCGCGATGACAAGGGCAAATGCAGATCAGAGCAGGGAAGATAGTTCAGACACGCAATTGTCGACACAGGCCGCCTTGCTTCTTGCCCAGAGATCCTTCCAAGAGGACCTGGACAGCCCCGAGCCTGAATTCATCCACCCTGCCGAACCGGACGACACCGTGTTGGGGCCTGCTGAGGAGTCAATCCTAGCACATGAAACGCCATATAATGACCCGCATGCTTCTAAAAAAGTGCCGAATCCTTTCATGCGGGGATTGTCGAAAGACAGGATCCAGGCTATGAGCACGCAATGCATAATTGATGCCACAACCCCTTACACGTTCAGCACGGAGAAAAAGATCAAGGTTTTTCGAGAACTTTCACCCGACCAGCCCAATGAGAAAGAACCCGAAGGGCCTGGCTTTGCAGATCTCTTTGCTCCGTCGCCTCGGATACCCTCGCCTTCTCAAAATCACGAATACCACACGGCTCATTCGAGTCCTCACCACCCAGATCACGATCTAGATCACAACCCCGACCCTACATTCACCCATCGCTCAACGACTCAAGGGACAGCTCTCCCATTCGCTCTGAGTGGTTCAACGCCTACCACTGCCCAGGATGGGCAAGGTGCTCCCCAGGGTATAGAAAGCTTCGATCTCAGCCAGGCCATCGCCGACGCTGGCAGTTGGCTGCAGCAGAGCTTCGATTTTATGAAGGAGGTTGGCCGTCCTAGTCAGCCTGCAAAGCCGACATAGCTGGTTGGATGCTTTGCTTTGCTCTTTTCAATTTGGATATAGCTTGTTGTCATGATTTCGGTTGCATACATTATTGCTAGCATAGCGTGTTGTCACGATTGTACTGATTCCCCCCATTGCTTTGAGCGAGGATTTGCTACGATGGCTATGAATTGATTTTCTTATTATTTCTATATATGATAGATTGTGTCTTTGAGATTTTGGTCCGCTCTTTTTGATTTGTAGTTTTGTAATCTAGAGCAGGACGAAAGGATAGCTCCACGGTTCTTTCGGCGGCGATTTTGAGCGCCTATGATCCACTTCGAATGGCCAGGTTTCTATTGGAACGGGGTGCTGACTCGAATATTGGAAATCGTCGCTGGGAGGAATCGAGATCGCGGGGTAGGGAAACAGGTCTCCCCCTTGACACTGCTGTTTTGCACGAGGAGAGCTATTCTATTATTCGGCTGTTATCGCAATATGGTGCAGATGCAAAGCTATCGAGTCGTGCCTTACTCGAAGCCGTGGAGATGGAGAAAGTGGAGGACTTTAGGTTACTGGTTGATAATGGCGCTGACTTGTTTTTTTATAAAGAACGGCACGGTTTGCTTAGCGCTGCTTTTGTTCAAAAATGTCCAGGAATTAGGGAAATTATACTGGGACGAGGAGTCACGATTAAACGATGGAAGAGTGCTAGACCAGCTCGACCGTATTCTAAGCGGAGAAAGAAGATTATTCCGGAAGGGCCTCTGCCATTTTTGAATTGAAGCTTTACACAAATTATAGTGGGTTCTGTATGTATAAGTAGTTTCGAGGGTCTTCATCTAGACAGTGCTTGTGTCTATTTCAACTATATTTAATAGAAAATCAAACAAGAACAAAAAATCTTGAGACACAAGAGGGCCTGTATACGAATCCCAATTTCGAGTGAAGGATGAGAGTGTATTATTAACGGTTAAATTATAGACTTCCAGTGATTGCACTACTATAGAAGGATATGGATTCAGGGCAAATACATAACTTCATTCGATGCATAGTCATTCATGGTAGATAGTTATGGTTTTTGTAGAATGTCGATCCGAACCGCGGCGCTGTAGGCGCAGGTGGCCCGAGCGCCCAGCGGGGGAAGCTCCAGGCGGCTTCCATCAACCAGCTCCATCTCCGACGTCAATGCCAACTACCCATGGCCAGCCGCCCAAATGGCACTGACATCAGTATGGAGCACCCTACATACTGCTGTTTGAGGTTTCTCTAACCATTTTATAGTGGAAAGCGTTCAACTTCATCGACGTCACCTCCGTCAAATTACCAGAGGACAGCTCCGCGCTGTTCGGGGTAAGATCTCCCCCGTTGCACCACTCTCACATTGACACTCCTCTGACGGCCGACCCCTTCTATAGAGCGACCTATCTAGCCTGTGCACCGGATCCGCGAACCTCTTCCTCGGCACTGTCGATGGCTTCGTGCATATCGTCTCCTCGTCCTTCCGAGTCTTGCGCTCGTTCAAGGCGCATGATGTCGGCTCCATCACGCATATGAAACAGATCGGCGGGACGTCGCTACTTGTCACAGTCGCGGAGGATCTATCGAATGAACCAGTTTTGAAGGTTTGGGCACTCGATACGGAGAAGAAAGATGGCGGGCCGAAGTGTTTGTCGACTGTGTCGGTGCAGAACGCGAGACGGCAGTTTCCGGTGCGATATCACTCGAGATAATAAGGAGACGGACGTTAGAGGGCTAATGGATGTCGCAGATATCTGCATTTGCAGTCGTCGACGATCTCTCGCAGGTAGCAGTTGGTTTCGCGAACGGCTCGGTTACGATCATCCGCGGCGATTTGATTCACGATCGCGGTGCGCGACAGCGCATTGTCTTTGAATCCGAGGAGCCTATTACCGGTCTTGAAACACAGAATGGCGCCGTGACTGTACTGTACATCTCGACTACGAGCCGAATTCTGACCCTCGTCATCGCGGGACGGGGTCAGGGTCAGCCCGCGCGTGTTTTGGAAGATACTGGTTGCGCTTTGGGATGCATGACACTGGACAAGGAGTCGGGACAGATCCTTATTGCTAGAGAGGATGCGATTTACAATTATGGTACTCGAGGTCGGGGCCCAAGCTATGCGTTTGAGAGCCCCAAGACATCTATCAATGCCTTCCACGACTACGTGGCTCTGGTTTGCCCACCGAAAGCAGGCTCTGCTAAAGGCGATCCGCTGCGCAAGTATGGAGTCAGTCCAGCAGATGAAATACTCGGCACGACGACGTTCACTCTGCTCGATACCGATCTGAAGTTTATTGCGCATACCGAGTCTCTTGTCTCGCCGATGAAGCACATTTTCATAGAATGGGGGGATCTCTTCTTACTCACAACAGATGGAAAGGTCTGTATCCACTTCTTTGTCAGCGTTTGTACGGTGTTAACGTCTGATAGGTGTTCCGATACCGTGAGAAGAGCCTTCAGCAAAGGCTGGAAATCCTCTACGAGCGCAATCTCTACATTTTGGCTATTAATCTTGCTCAGAGGATTGGTATTGATCCCTTGCAGCAGAATGCTATCTATCGCAAATATGGTGACTTCCTATATCAGCGTGGCGACTATGACACGGCCATGCAGCAGTATCTTAGGGCAATTGACAACACCGAGCCGTCACAAGTTATTCGAAAGGTTATTTTCGTCCGATTCTTTAAAATTCTACTGCTAACCTAAGTCCAGTACTTGGATACCCAACGGATTCATAACTTGATCGAGTATCTAGAGGAGCTTCACGACCACGGACGGGCGACGGTGGACCACACAACCCTTCTTTTGAACTGCTATGCGAAGCTGAAAGATACCACTAAGCTGGACTCATTCATCAAAGCTCCTGGCGAACTCAAGTTTGATCTTGAAACGGCTATTGCTATGTGTCGCCAAGGGGGCTACTTTGAACAGGCAGCGTTCCTGGCCACGAAACACGGCGAAAATGACATGGTTGTTGACATCCTGATCGAGGATTCGAAGAAGTATGCCGAGGCTGTGGAATATATCTGGCGATTAGATCCTGAAGTGGTATGTGATTTTGTCATGCACATTTGAGTCGTTACGTGAATGCTAACCTGAACAGGCCTATCACAACTTGATGAAGTATGCGCGTGTTCTTCTGACCCACTGCCCTGACGAAACGACCGAGCTCTTTAAAGAATACTACACGGGTCAATATCGATCACGAACCACAGTGGAGCCCCCGCCAGAGCCGGAAGTACAGCCAGCAAGCGCTGTTCAAAGCCTGGCTGGGCTTCTTCCACTGCGGTACGTGACCGGGGGCTCTGGCCCACAAGCCCAGGCTCCAGATCCAGAGACAGCCCCGGCTGAGGAGGAGCAAACTTCGAACCTACCACCGCCATACGAGGTCCCGAAGCCACGGACGGCATTTTCTGCATTTGTAGATCATCCGCAGAACTTTATCAGTTTCCTCGAGACACTCGTGCAACAGCCAGATCTTAAAAAGGAGGCTAAGGTGGACCTTTTTACGACCTTGTTTGAGATGTACTTGGATGCCGCAAAGTCCACTAAAGATACGGTTCAAAAGCAGGAGTGGGAAGGAAAGGCCAAGAAACTGATTGAAGGGAAAGACGTGAGTACTATAACCCTCGTCCGGGCTTTCCTGGCTAACATAGATAGATTCCTATCTCTACTTCCAACGTGCTTCTTCTCTCAGATCTATCAAACTTCCGAGAAGGCTCCACGCTTGTTCGTGAGCAGGAGGGCCTACGCCTCGACATCTTCCGCTCATTCACTTCTGCCAAGGACACGCAAGGCGCCATCCAAGCTCTGCGAAGATATGGACCCGACGAGCCTCAGCTGTATATTGACGCCTTGACATACTTTGCCTCGAGTCCGCAAATCTTGGAAGAAGCAGGCGATGAACTGGACAAGGTTCTACAACGCATCCACGATGACGGCCTTCTTTCCCCCTTGCAAGTGATCCAAGCTGTCAGTAACAACGCCGTGGTGACAATGGGCCGACTGAAGAAATACCTCGGCGACAATATCGCCAGCGAAGACAAGCAGATCAAAACCGTACGTACCTAGAATCCCCCCCACCTTCCTTCCTTAATTCATCTTACTGACTTTCCTCCAGAACCAACGCCTGATCTCAAGTTACAAATCCGAAACAGCCTCCAAACAACAAGAACTCAACAAACTCGCCACCCAACCCGTCGTCTTCCAATCACGCCGCTGCCAATCCTGCGGCGGAACCCTCGACCTACCAACCATCCACTTCCTCTGCCGCCACTCCTTCCACGAGCGCTGTCTCAACCGCGTCGACGAGGATGCTCAATGTCCCGTTTGTGCGCCGACGAATGCTACGCTGCGTGCTATTCGCCAGCGCCAGGTTGAGTCGGCGGATCAGCATGATTTGTTTAAGGCGGAGTTGTCGAGGTCGAAGGATCGGTTTGGCGTTGTTAGTGAGTTCTTTGGGAGAGGCGTTATGAGGGCTTCTAGTACGATGGAGGGGTGATTTGGTATAGCAGACCTACTTTGTGAGGAGGGTTGTAGAGTAGAGCTTTTCTCTTGTTTGTTACGTTTTGATACCTCGGGTTCGACCTTAACTATGCTTTCATCTACAATCGTTTACATCTCGCTTCAACTCAATCGTAAACAGAACAGACTATTGATGTCTACGGGGATGAGATGTGCGGCAAAAGACATAGCTTGGATGTACAATTCAAATGCATTGCTGATCACGCTCTGCTCTAGTAATAGCCCATACCACAATCATGATCATGAAAAGAAAAGTCATGCAAAAGCATCATATCGAACAATTCGCAGATCGCTCCTTTCTCTCGTTATATCCTCGGAGCAAAAATGTACTATGCACAAGCGGGGCCGAAGAGAGAAAGGGAAAAGGGGAAAGTAAAGGAAGCGAAGAAGGAAGAAAGTACATGAAATAGTGGGGCGAAGCAGCGGAAAGCAAGGGGGTTGCGAGGTCATGTACATGGAAAGCTTGAGCAAAAATATGTGGAATTGTCGGGGATCATGAGCTTTAGTGATCACGCCTCTCGCCGCCCCATGAGATGCGGGGTCGGTGGCCTGGTGTGAATTTGCCGGAGCCGGAGCCAGATGAGGACGATTGCTGCTCGCTGGGACTGGATTGCTCAGAGGGTCTGGCCGCATCTGCGAATTGCACTTTACCCTGTGGCTGGCGAGGCTCGCCGTTATCCTCGCTATCAGATTCTGCAATGGCAGCGTCTTCCTCGGCTTCCGAGTCGGAAGAGTCGTCGTTGTGAATCTCGCCCAGTGCAGCGAGACGACGACGTCGTTCGGCGGGGGTCTCGCCCGTATCGTCGTCAGCTTGGCGTGGTGGCACGGCTAGACCGGCTTCTCGACGCAGACGTGAGGGTGGGATACGCTCGGTGCCATCATCGTCCGAGTCACGGCGGTGACGATCGCGAGTGCGTGGCACGGGACTGAGATTGCTGCGGCGTTCTTGCGCGGAACTTCCCCGGGTGAATTTGGCCAGCGATGTGGCGACGTTGGGTCCGGGTTGGCCGAGTTCGTCGGCTGACTCGCCCTCGTCGGTGACCTCGCTGTCGGTGACGGATTCAGAGACGAGACCTTCGTCTTCCTCGGGGATTGCACCGGCGGCGGCGGATGCTGCAGCGGCAGAGAGACGACGTTCTTGCTTTTCAGTTTGCTTGACGTCTTCGCGGGCGGCTTCTTTGACGGGGGCAGGGGCGTCGGTTTGTTGCACTACATCGCGGCGAGCCTTGGCGTCCAGACCCTTGATTTGCTGGAAGAACTCGTGCTTGGTCATGCGGCGACCCTTGTGGCCGATGCCTTGGGAGTCGACCTCCATGCTCTGAGCAAGAGTGAAGCGCAGACCGTCATCGGTGGCCCAATCGTCAGTCTCGGTGCGAGGTGCGGGCTTCTTCTGACCGGCTTGCGAGGACTCGCCCTCCTCTTCCATGCCGAACCAGGTACCCATGCGCTTCAAGCCTGCACGGATAGGTGCTTGGTCCTTTCCAGGCTGTGGCTCCTCAGGCTTGGGCTTGGGCTTGACGGGCTTGTCGCCAGATGGGATCGTGTATTTCTTAATCACCTCACCATCCTCGTCCTCAACGATAATAGTATTACCAAACTGATAGGCATGAGCAGAGCGGGCCTTCTGCTTCTCGCCCTCGGCAGGCTTGGGCTTGGGTTTCGGCGTGGACTCATCCTGCTTCTCCTTGGTCTTGTCCTTTCCGAAGCCAGTCCAGGTGGTCCAACGAGATCGAGCCTTCTCAACGGCATGCTCGGCCTGTTCACCGACGGCTTGTTGGATCTCTTCACCCTCGGTCTTTTCATGAGGTTGGCTTCGAGAGTGAGCCAGCTCGCCAGACCTGTCCTCCTGGAGTCGCTTGCGCTGTTCTTCGATGTGACGGGCCTGTTCTTCAGGGGTCAGGTGGCTAGTATCCTCAGTCTTGAGCACATTGCCCTCTTCATCTTCGATGATCATATGATGACCCTCCTGGAAGACTTCCAGTTCCGGTTCACGGCCGAAGCGATCCCGCTCAGCAGTAGGAGGTGAAGCTCCACGATCCACACGGTCCCGTTCTTCCAGTTCCTCCTTTGGTTCTTCCTCGAGTTCGCTCTCCGTTCGTCGCTGGGGCATAATGGCTGACTGGCTGATTGGACCGCCAGCGTCAGTGTGCTTACGTCGCTTCCGACGAAGAGGCTTCCGGGTTGCCGAGTGGGTACTCTGAGTTTCAGTGTCGTCCTCACGAACACGACGCAAGAAGTTGCCAGGCATGCCGATCGGTGGTAGAGTACCTGGGGGATACTCGGGCAGCCTCTCGTCGGAAGAACCCTCATCAAACTCGTCTGCCTTGCGGAAGGACATGGATCCCTTGGCCAAGGATTGCACACGGGGAAGACGGTTCATCCATGATGGGCCGTCCTCGTTGGCTTGTGTGTAGGACAGGGTAATTGTCAGAGTGTTGATACGCTTGCCCAGGGTGAACACGGCAATGGATGAGCCGTGGACCAGGATGGACGAGATAACCATAAACGTGGTAATGGGCCAAATAAGCCGTGCCACTGTATAATCTGCTGGATATTCTAGCGAAGATGGCTTGAGCTCACTTTCAGGTAGTGGCTGTGTGCTATCATGTTCCAATTCCGCTCTCGCGAGGATGGCAGCAAAGATAGCACCGACACCAATGGGACCAAAGTGACCAGCGAAAAGCGCTTCACGCCACGTTTTAATATCCGGTATAATCGGTTTGAGTAAAAGCATAATGGGAATGCGACGGAAGAAGATGACCAATAGCGCAATAACGACCAATCTCCAGGGAGTCAGGCCGAGGTCGGGGGCATTGTAATCTTCCCAGGGGATGATAGATCCGAAATAGACAAAGTATGCCAAGTTGAGCAGCAAGTCGATGACGTTGGAAACGTGCGACTCTTCAGTCTTCTCCGTGAACCAACCGTCATTACTAAAGCCAACTCCACACGAGAATCCAATGAGCAAGTCATCCATGCCCAGGGAACTACCTGCGCCGGCACAGAAAACGGCCAAGACGAAGTAGAACACGAGGAAACTCTCTCGGTCAATCAGACTCTTCCGCTCGGCCCATTTGATAGCATGGCGAGCGGCGTATCCAATGACGAAGCCGAAGATAGCACCAAAGATACACTCGTAGAGAATGGTTACACAGAACCAATTCAGCGAGACCTTATTAACATCGGGTCTGTAACGCAGGATATAGAATCCGAGGTAGATGAATGGGAACGCCATGCCATCGTTACAACCGGATTCAGCCGACAAGAGGTCACGCAAATGCTTGGGCACACGCTTGGCAAACTTACCCTTACCAACGACGGACGATGCCAAGACAGGATCGGTGGCCGTAACGCAGGCCGCACACACTAGACTATCCAACCAGTTGAGCGGAGGCACCATCCACCAAATAAACAGACTGGTAATCAACCAGCCCCAGGTCATGACGGGAACTAGCAGCAGACTGACGGATTTCCAGTGGCGCTCCATGTAAGCCTTGGGCAACTCGACGCCGACGGCGAAACATTGTACGACTAGGACGATACGCGAGCATTCCAGGGTAATCTTGTCGACGTTGCCCCAGTCATGGGGGTTAAATAAATTTGCAGCATGCGGTCCGAAAATGATACCGCAAAGGGTTGCGACGGTAGCTTCACCAATGTAGAGCTTCTCTTTCACGAAAAGCGAGCACAGCATGAATAGGCCTGTGAAGCCGCCGAGGATCATGTAAGCCAGATGCGGCCGATCGAAATCAAGGTGATCCCATGCCATGGCGAGATCGAGACCACAGCGGTCTCAGGAAGTATTGCAGATAATCTGCGATTGAGGGGGTTGTATGTACGATATGTACGTTGTTTGTCGGTTTCTGGTCTTCCTCCGCTTATCTTGGGAGGGTATTATCTTGCCTCGAACCACGGCAATTCAATTACCAGTTGGATTTCCACCTCGAACGTCGTTGATCCGAATAGCTCCTCATGCCTTGAGGGGAGAGTATGGGGCTCGAAGTGGGAGGTGGTAGACAAGTTTCGTCGAGCCCGATAAGGCCGTAATGGAGTAAGCGTTGGAAAATAGCACGCCTATCCACCGAGAAGCTCGGGGTTTTCGGAAATGGCACCGGCGCAGCGTGGCTGTCCGAGCGTATTCGGGTGTTCGAGAAAGTGGAGAGGGAGGCTGGGGGAGGGACCGTTTGGCGTTCGCTCGTTGGCTACTGGGACCGTGAGAGATCAACGAGACCAGCCCGGGATGAGTCTCATGCAGGCAGGAGGCAAGAGGTGAGGAGGGAAGAAAAAAAAAGAAGAAAAGGCGAAGACGAGTGCCAGGCGAGGGAGTCTTGGGAGTACTCTTGGCCGATGGAGGAGCCGGTGATTGCGCGCCGAGGGAGATTTGCCCAGAAACGACAGTTTCTTTGGAACCGGCGGGATTCGTCAGCCGAGACTTTCGGGCCCCACTGACCAGGCGGAATGGGGTCTTGGCCGGGCGGAGGAGGATGAGCAGGTCTAAGTGCAATTGGAGATAGAGAGAGAGGGTCAATTATGTTTATTGACAAAGATCCGTGATTCAGGAAAGCAGGAGCTCCGGATGCAGACATCCAGAAGTGTTTATACTTCTCGGAGCCAGCACGGGCATTTCGATCTCATGCGACATCCCAAATCGGATAAAGGCATATGGCGTATCCGATTTACCATACGATACGCATGCGGCCAAGATCCGCGCCCCTTCCAGCCCTGCCAACTGCCAAGCCCCAGATACTCTCCTTTTCACCTTGATTGGCCCTGCCAGAATGATGGTCCACTATCATCCCCACTGCTGGTGGTGATTGCGGGGCCTTCTGGAAGAATGGCTGGTCAAGGGACGTCATCCTACTATTATTAAATTACCTGGGCGGACTAGCGTTATACATCCCAAGGCTCCAGGGTTCACGTAGTAGATACATCAACTACATAAAAAAGTATACATAAATTATACACCGTTTACCATACTTTGAAGTGACCTGGACACACCGCCCTGAAAAAAGACATGGAGATGGGTTCTTGGAGTATATCAACTGGAAACAGCAAAAACATACGTACAATTCAATCACAAAGGGGGAATTGAGAGGGGGGGCAAAAAGAGAGATACACAAGCGCAAACCGCGGTAAATCCGAACATACAACGAAGGATCAACAAACACGTAGAATGTGGTCTTGGGCGGTTTTCCAACCGCCGGAGAGCCCAAGGATATGCAAAAAAGGGTCCAGGCCCACCATCAGGCCCTCCGCCACTCCGTCAACATGGCGGAGAACATGTTAGAGGTTCCGGGAAAAAAAAGCAAACATCCAGCCAAGCTCTTCACTAACCCGAAGTCGGTGCGGCCCACGCGCACCCCGCGCGTATAGAAGGGGAAAAAAAAAGAAAACCTCATGTTGGGGCTGGGGTCTGGGCCTGGGCATGGTTGCTTGAGATTTATGTACGACAATCCCGGCCACAGGGATTCCCAGGAGGAACGAGAGAGAGAGAGAAAGAAAGTCAAATTGCTCTCCCGCTACTCTCCCGTCGGCATCCCCTCAATCTCATCGCTCAGTCGTCGCCAATTGTCCGCCTGCAACTCGGAGTACTTGACTCGCTCCTGACTCCAGTCCTGGTGCAGACGGCTGATGTGGTACTGGCTCTGTTGGAAGTGGGTGAGTTCATCACGAATGCACTCTTTGATGAACACCCCCCGCGCGTGCTGCTGCACGATCGACTCTTTATCCTGCACGATGACCGGGATTAGTATTTTCGCACGGAACGGGTCGTGGCATTGGCCATTGTGGGGCGTGCAACGTACCTTGAAAATGGAGTCCTCCACCTTCTCGGCCTCCCCAGGCTTCACAGTGCCCGACGGCCGCGCCCGCAATTCCTGCAGCTTGCGCTCATTGGTCTCAATACGCCGCTCCAGTTGTGGGATATTGTTCCGCGCCAACCGATCCCGCCGATCAAACATCTCGCGTACGCTGACTAGACAATCTCGCTGGGCCTTGAGGTCTTCCAACACCCCGTCGGTCCAGGCCCGGGCCTCATCTTCCAACAAACTTTGGCTGGCTGACAGGTGTCGAGCAGTGGCGGTAATACCAGTGTTCAGGCCTGGGATATCGTTAGTGTCGACGGCGTACGTATCCTTGGTCACCTCGGTCAGAGACTGTAAAGCCAAGGAAAATCGCAGGTGATCAGCCGCAAGACCATCGTTCCGCTTGGCCAATCGCTCGAGCAGGGTACACAGGTTTATATAGATCTCAGCAGAGCGTTTCACACCGCTGCGGACGGTCTCGAAGGTATCGTGAAGATCGGCGGGCAATGAATCCTCGAGGTCAGGTGGGAGGGTCCGGCCTTCGAATTCGTCCTGGACCGAGACCGTTGCCTGTTTACGCCATACCGAAAGTTCCTGGGGGATGAGTCAGATGGGAGGATGAGATGAATCACGGTCATGCGGTGAGACGTACGGTAGGAACAGTCAGGAACATGACCACCAGTTGCTCCTGGCCAAGAATCGGGTGCCGAACGAGGGAATTGGTAAATCTAATAAGTCCACGGCGCCGCTTCTCCAGAAAAGAATTTGAATCGGCTGATAGGTGAGTACCATTCACTTAAAGATAGGTGAGTAAGCAATTTGGAGGTGCTTTAACCAGCGTAAAACGTACCTGAAACCCGCTTCGGGGGAAGAAGGGGCAATTGTCGGAACGGGAATCGCTTTTGCAGGCAATCCAGCAGCCAGACAAAGTCACTGTATCGACGGACGACGGTGCTGCCTCGTCGTGCAGACTTGACCTCGTAATTCCGATGCTGGAACATGAACATTCCTTCTTTCTCGGGGAGAAGGGTGATTGTGACCGTCTCTGCTACCTGGGGGTTCGTAGTGCGGGTGATACCCATTGACCGACGCCGAGGTGCAATATCGCCAGGTTCATCGCCGGATGGCGCAAAGCCACCGAGACTCGGGCGCGGGGCTCCCACAAATCCACCCTCGTCGGGTGTAGTTCCAATGTTGCCTCCCCATCCGGATCCTGAACTGCTGGGTGGTGGTGGTGCCGTCACTGTCTCAGCTGGGACGATGCTACGACCCTGCTGGGGAATCTCATTCTGGCTCTGGCTCGTCTCTTCAACCGTCCTAGATGTTGACCAAGCGTTCGTCGTAGAGCGCATACTCCCGTAGCCATTTACAATCCGTTGATCAGAAGCTAGCGTTTCGTGATTGTGGTTTCGATGTAACTCCGGACTGCCCCAAGGATCCGAGTCTAGGCCGCCTAGCGACTCCCGTCGCGAACGGCGAGACCGTGCGGAATTGGGTTCTTGGATTGGAGATGGCTGTGCCGGGGGTGTGACGGGCCTTTCAAATGCACCGCTGGAATGGGAATCGTTCGCTGTTCGTAGTCGGTCGAGGAAACCGCTATTCGGCTGTGGGAGTCCTAGATGCCGATTGTCTTGTCAGATACTGAGCCACCATGATAAGGGGAAGCGAGAGGCGGGTAGTCCATTCCCTCAAATTGACGAAGCATTTAGGCACTCGTATTACTCACTCTTGCGATGGTCATCGACCGAGTCAAAAGATAGGTCTTCTCCTAGCTGCGCAAGTCCAATCAGTGCTAGCAACACATTGAACTCGCCGCGACCCAATCCAGCGGAGGTCTCATGGTCGCCAGAGACCACAAGGTTCAGGATCTTTCCTTGGTCCGATGCGCTCAGTCCACTGCTAGACAAAAGCTCTCGGATCGAGGTAAGGCCAACACCAGCTCCCACCCTATCTCCACTGTTCAGGATGAGGTCGTAGGCATCAACGTAGCTCTCGGGCACATCAGAAACGGGGAGCAATGTCCGGACGAGGTCTCGCCGAGCAGTGCGCTTCGCAGTGTTATTCTGAGGGTTCCAGGGCGACGAGGAGCTGTCGTCACCGGTGTCATCCGCAAAGAGGGACGAGGAGCCACCGATCGATTCGTCCGCGAAGAGGGACGACTTGGGCCTCTGGGCAGAGGCCGCCGCGGAGGGCTCTTCTGGCGATGTTCCGAAAAGGGACATCTGGAGATCGCCACTCGTGAGTGGTTGCGCGGGGGGGAGGGAGCGGGATATGGGAGGGTGTCAGAGCAGGTGTGGAGGTGATTGCTGGCCGCAATGACGAATGTGCTCGACGATCAAGCGGAGCTCGGTCGGAGGTCGGTGGCTGGGCCGCACAGACCACGAGGGTTGAAGCTTGCGGTGGAGGGGTCGATATGTTGCATGAATCGCGATGAGCGAAACTTGTGAAGAAGAGAGAAGTTGACTCGGCTCGATTGATAGTGCGACAGGACGAGGAGGCCGTGATTGAAGAGGAGCTGGATGGTCTGAGTGGCGATAACGGGTAGCCCCAACATCCCTGGAACCTCGTCTTGCGGTGAGCTGCTTCACATTTGACGCTAGTGCGGGCTCTGCTTGACATGAAAATCCAGCCAGTCTCATACTTGCAATAGCTAGGTAGTTCTAATTATCACAATCACAATTATAATTATCTTCTAATATTTCTGCTTATCTATCAACGCTCGATGATAGTCAAAAAGCTAGCCATATATAAGTCTAGCCTATTCACGGTCAATTATAGACTACATAGGGCTATCATCCACCATGTTGATAGGAGGTCGATATTATAGATAGTATGCTACCATCGCAGAGGATTGGTTGTTCATTTAGTCGTGTTTTGTAGCTAACATTGTCGATGAGAATCCAAATGTCGGTGTATCTCCAAGCGAGCAATTTAGTCCGTAAACAACCAATTCCACCGACTTTTTAGATAAAGGTTGTCGTCAATAAGAGATACCTCCAGGACAAAAGGCCTGGTATTTATCGTTAAAGCTATCTATCTCTTGAAAAGTGAGCGGGCATGGTTCTGGGATTATACCGACCCACTAGTAGATGCATGCAAATCGAGTTGCTGGACACGGGCCAGACTTAAGCATTTACCGAGTCTGTGACAAGCCCAAATTTAGCTTCTCTAGATAACGAGTGAGAGAATGATGTAGATCTCCACGGGATCGGCTCTGCTGAGTGTAACGAATAAGGTGGGGGTGCTCTTATCAAAAGTACACAAAAGTCGGAAGGCCCTCCCGACGTTTCCAAGACACGCGATCTATATGTTCCCCGCAATATTGACCCATGCATCATGCAAGGAAACACAATGCAATCATATCTACCGAGTCGGCATGGGCATCCGACAGTCGGGGTATGTAGTTCTTAGGTGTACAACTCGTTGTATTTAAGATCTTACAAAAAGGCACCGTAGACACACACTGCATAGACTCTACATGAATTTCCTGCTATCCTTCCTATAACGACAGACATGCGACCTACAACAATCACTCGCCTGGCTGGCTTGAATGGCCTGCGAGTCACATCCAGAAATGGCATTTCTCGACGGCATTTGACTATGCTGCATCCCCCAAAATTTGAAAATGAAAAAATGGTAAGTTTACTCGCATAGAAAGTCGTGCTACGTATAATACTAACAGCCCCCTCCAGCTAAACTATGCCAAGGGCTCACCCGAAAGAGCCGAGTTGACAAAGACAATTCAAAGGATGAAAAGTGAATTCCCAGTCACAATTCCCCTTCAGATCAATGGTGCCGAGGTACATCTGCCAGTCAAATAACCTTTCTAGAAGCTCAACTTAATGACTCTGTGTACTTCAGATCGAAACGAAGCAGTCCCGAGCTCAACTCAACCCTTCAAAGCACCGTGAAGTCGTCGCAAACTATGCATCAGCCACACCCGACCAAGTCAACGCATCAATCGATGCTGCGTTGAAAGCGAAACCACAATGGGAAGCTACCCCCTTCGAAGACCGCGCGGCAATCTTTCTACGCGCAAGCGAGCTCATCACCGGAAAATATCGCTCGGAGATCGTTGCAGCAACAATGCTAGGACAGGGCAAGAACATCTGGCAAGCTGAAATAGATGCCCCGGCCGAAACGGCCGATTTCTTCCGCTTCTACGTCCAGGAAGCATGGGCTTTATACTCTCAACAACCTAGAGTTCAGCTGGATGGGAACTGGAATAAAATGGAGTATCGTCCTCTTGAAGGCTTCACTTATGCAATCGCTCCCTTCAATTTTACTGCACTAGGTGCCACACTTGTTGGACCGGCTGCACTCCTGGGCAATGTTGTTGTCTGGAAGCCTTCGGACTCGGCGCTGCATGCTAGTTGGTTACTCCACAAGATCTTGCTGGAAGCCGGTCTACCTAAGGATGTCATTCAGTTCCTCCCTGGTGATGCCGAGGAAGTGACCAACACCGTCCTCAAAAGACCTGAGTTTGGTGCTCTCACTTTCATTGGATCTACTGCCACTTTCAAGGGTCTACAAAAGAAAATCGGCGATGGTATTGGCCAGGGTATTTACAACTCCTATCCTCGTGTGGTTGGTGAGACGGGAGGAAAGAATTGGGGCGTTGTGCATCCTTCGGCAGACGTCAGGAGTGCCGCTCTAAACACTATCCGAGCAGCCTTCGAGTATCAAGGCCAAAAGTGCTCTGCCAACTCACGAGTCTACGTGGCCGAGTCTGTGTGGCCAGAATTCCAAAAGACTCTTGTTGAAGAGACAGCCGCCTTGAAGATCGGACCCGTTGAAGATTACGCCAATTTCGTCAACCCTGTGATTCACGAACGCTCTTTCGACAAGCTGAACAAATTCATTGAAGACGCAAAGACCGATTCAGAACTACAGCTACTGGTGGGTGGCAAGGCATCCAAGGATGAAGGATTCTATGTGCACCCAACCATCTACCGCACATCTAATCCTCGTCACGAAATAATGTCTACCGAGCTGTTTGGTCCTATTCTGGGCATTTATGTTTACCCCGATCTGGAGTGGGAGGAGACTCTCAATTTGATCGATACGACATCTCGCTACGGCTTGACTGGTAGCATCTTCGCCAAAGACCCCTATGCCAGTCGTCAGGCACAAACTATCCTTAAACATGCTGCCGGTATGCTTTACTTGAACACGAAGTGCACTGGCTCTACCGTGGCTCAGCAGCCCTTTGGTGGAAGCCGTGATTCCGGTACCAACGATAAGACTGGCACGATGGCCCATCTCCAGCGGTTTGTTAGCACTCGCACAATCAAGGAGGAATTTGTGCCTTTAGAGAAAGTCGAGTATCCTTCGAACGAGGTTTAAGGAGAGTCCCTTAGGTCCAGAGTGAAGTTGAAGATTGTTAGAATAGATCAGATTTCAGTCAAAATGGAAATGAAAGGATTGTGTCTCTTATAGAAGGAAAATTATTTCTCATGTAGAATTCTGGCCTATGTGAAAAAGAAAAGAAAAGAAAAAGAAATCAAACCCCAGAAGTATGACCGGGCTCATGTATCATCATCGCTTTCCATTCCATATGTTTCATAGAGTTGAAATGGAACTAAAACTCCCCAGGTCGTGGCATGATCGGTCATAGAATTATTGGCCGGCATTTGTGAGAGCTTCTCTGGTACGACAAAGGCGTCGTATCCGAACTTTAGCAGGCACGTAACAGTCAGGGCAAATAGGAAATTCCAGTGATGTATAGATGAGATTAGCCGATTCCACCAACAAGCATGATGCGGGAACTAAACAAAGCGAACTTGGGAATTTTTCAAGTGTAGGTTTGACAGCCCTTGGAGTGTGTATATTTTTACCCAGGGGTTGCACGGTAGACGGGAGTAGGCCTACTATCAGTGATTACACAAATTTTGTCCGGTCTTTTATTTGTAAAATGCCATATCTTATTCTTACTCCTAGGAAGCAGCCACAGTGATTTTTTTTTCAATATTTTCCATAATATAAGAATTTTTAATTTGTTGTTTCAGGGCACGTATAGAGGAATCAATAGCGATAGTGAGGGCAACACGAGAAGCGCTTAGGGAAATGATTTTGTATTCAAGGACCTGGCAGGCTCTGTGTAATTACTAGTGGTAGTAGGCCCCCTTTTTCGTGCTAGTAGACGTTTTGTCGTGCGAGTAGTCTAACCCTTCATTATTTACGCTAGTGGATCACAACACAACATCACTTTAGGTCGAGCTTGAATTCCTATATAATCAACAAATTGGTCAACGCTTACATCAGAGCCCGGATGGTCTAGTGGTATGATTCTCGCTTTGGGTGCGAGAGGTCCCGCGTTCGAATCGCGGTTCGGGCCTATCTTTCTTTTTTGGCTCCCTTATTCTTTTTTTACCCCACCCACCTTCCTATGCTAAATCACCTAGCTCCCGTGGAAAAATTATTTAATCACCTTAGTTCATGCATGTCCCTTGGTACGATTTTCGGTTGAATTCTGGAAGGCTTGAAAACCGGATTGCAGGAATCTCGCCATCCTAGGCGCAAATCCAAACAGGCCGTGGCAACCCTTTTTCGATGCCTCTGGGTTCGATACTGCCTGCTACCCACAAAGACCTGATATTTATTTCGATCATTGTTCAGCATCGCTGATCGGGTCGCCGCTTTGATCGAGGCTCAAAGACTGATGTAGGATGATCAGGATGTTGAACACACTAGATCGGCTCGCGAGATGTATAGACCCTGGAATTAGCCTCAAGATGGGTTGCCTGCTTCCATTGGATGCAAATACAGTGTCGATTTCATGGTCTCTAGTCACCGGAGTTCTATCTCGCTAAGAAAATCTAGAATAATCTCTCACACAGTGCCCTCTATGTTTTTCTAAACTGTCTCCATAATCTTTCTGTAGAGTTGATCTCCGAAAATGCATCATTGAATGTTAACTGCCCAAACATCCCGCCTTATCGAAATGACAGGAAACTGTAGAATTCTGAAGGACACTAGGTAGGTATGTTCTGGCTTCGGTCAAAAAGACTCGGTTTGAACTTGCAATGTCGATGATATCTGACGTGACTTCTAGGCCATAACTTTATTTGATTACTACAACTCGGCACTGCGCTCCAGAAGCCTTTGGAACCCACGCATCAAAACCTTTTGATAATGCTCGCCGAGTCGATTTTCACCGAGTGCTTCGACAATTGGGAAAACCTTGAAATCCTCGTCTCCAACATTTTCACTTTCAACGTTCTGGCCTCCTTGTTGCTTCACATCCTCGTGCACGATCGCAGCAATCTCTTCGAAAACTTTTATGATTATCTTAGTCATAAAGAACGGTTCACTTGTAGCGATAGGGATATTTTCGAAGATGAGCGAATTGGTGGTAAGGGTTGCGGTAGTGGGGTGAGTTTCTGGTTCGTTATGCTGGTAGAGCCCCATAGCCATAGTAGCATATATAGATCGGTGGACTTAAGATCGTATCTCTCACATTCTGTTGACTCCGCCACTAAATACTAATTTGCAGAAGACCTTTAGTCCAAGATACAATCAACATAATCCCTATACAATTAGATCGATTTCATTCAAAACCAATTCGATCTACGTGTGCTCACTATTTACTAGGGGTTATTTAGAAACCCTAAACCCCTACCCAGCAGGAAGACCAAGAACCATGATTCCCAAGGCAAGAAGAAGTCCAAAAGCCCAGCAACAAGTGCTTCAATCATTCTTAATATCTTTTCTCACCCAGTCCCTGGCCACCTTAACCTTCTAAAATTCACTCTTTCCCTAGGGTGGTCCAATCTTCTTCCAGACAAGTTTGGAGTATGCAACTTTGCCAGGCTAAACACAAATCAATTAAGATCCGAATAGGTTACAAAAAAAGTTGAACTTACTTGAAGGGTGATTTCGTCCATGGGAACCAACGTCAGAAGACTTTCCCCATTGACTTCTTCAATCTTGACTTGGCGTCTCACTTGCGGCGACCCCTCCCAACATGGATTTAGAGCGATTTCCACCAGAATCTTCAGCAAAATATCATTTCCCTCTTCAACTAGACTCCAGGGCCCGGAATAAGACGACATAACTCGGCAGATTCGGGTGATCTCCTCCGAAGTCAGCTTATCCCATGCAGCAGAGCTCAGACTAGCAGGATCGCAATGGTCGAAAGTCACAGTGCCGTTCATGTAGCCTCCCGCAGTAAAGACGGCCCTTCCAAGTATCTTATCGCCTTCTAGAACCGCGACAGGTGAACCGTCGAGTGACGGAGACATAAAGAATGAGATAGTTTCCAGAGACCACACACCCGCTAGCTGGGTCTTGACATTTTCAAAGGTGGAAGACATTGCAAACTTCGCGATTGGACCGGGGTCACCATAGACGTGATGTGCGAAATTCTAACTAACCAGGAGTTAAAAGAATCGAAAATTATGAGAATGGACATTAGTCCAGCTTGTTCATATAGTTATGTATCAGTGATCCTGTCATCATCAATGCAACGATCACATGACGGGTGCCGGGAAGTGGGTCGCCTTGGAAATGCGGGGAGTCACCTGACTCGGGCCGGACTCCACAACAGAAGCTACAGGCCCACTAACCCTATCTTGAAGGCGTTTTCGGACTTCAACGGATACAACACACCTGAATGACCGGCTGTTCGGCATCATGATTCAGTAATCAATAATAAATAAGCTATCCAGTTGATGACTGATCCGGCTCTCTTACTACGTACGGAAATGACGGCTTGGGTGCACTCTAACCATCTCACTCGTCACCGATCGGCATTGACATAACTCTTCTCCCGTCGGGGGAACCATTAAGCCGTTTATTCCTGGTATTCGAAAGGATGCATTGATGTTTTACACATTTAATCGTTTGATGGCGACCGAGGCCCAAGGATAAATCCCCCGTCTTAGCGGCGGAGATGTTTCCACTTGGGACTTTCTCGATTCTGCTTTTCTCTTTACAACATTCGTTTGCGGCAACATGGACTATACTTTCTTGTAAAACATGATACAGCATCCGGTGACTAATCCGGTGTGTTCCTTTGTCCTTTTGCCAAGGATTTTCATGGAGTAGTCTCTAGAACAATAATTCCAAGTAATAATATTCATATGGAAGCGGAGGATTAGGCTCAATGATCCGATGTCAATTTGCTTACGTTAATAGTTTATAACCTTCTCTTTCCTCCTGCCCTACCCCGTATAGTATTTATTGTGACAGTGGCCGTTCTTAGATAATGTGGATTTTGTAAGTGTCCTAATCGTTTAGAATATTCTTGCTCGGCAAGTGATCATGTCTTACTATTTAGGTGCTAAATCTATGATTCATATACCAAATTGATTGATCCAGCTGTCTTCTCAGGAGAATTCCAGACTTGCCTCAAAATCTCCGATACAGCAATTGACGAAGTCTTTGTAGTAGCTTGATCGGGGAGCCCAAGGTCCACGGTCGCCGGCCTTGGGTAACTCGTTCTTTGCAACCTTCAGATATGTTGACTTCAAAGTTATGAGCGGGTTTTGTTTAACTATCTCATTCTGGGAGATTTTTGGTACCACAACGGTGAAATTTCCCGCCACAACCCTACCGAGGACGCGAGAAGCTAGCTTCATCGAATTATCAATGCCCAGTGTCCATGATAAATTAGTGGAGCCAATCAAAAACCAGCAGTTGGGCAAGTCTTCGACCATGATTCCATTCCAAGTGAACTTTTCATGAGGAGATATGAGCGTGTCATCAAGGTATATCTTGATACCCCCAGCGAATTGAACCTTCAAACCCGTCGCAGTCACTATGATATCTGCTGATATCTCTTGACCCGAATCAAGACGAATAGTTTTGCCAGACATGCTCGTAATATTTCCCGTTTGGATATCTGCCTTTCCTTCCCGGAAAACAGCGAAGAAATCACCATCAGGGCATACGCACAATCTTTGTTCCCAGGGATTGTATTTGGGCTTGAAGTGGGGCGTTAAACGTGTTTGAGGGGGAAGATTCTTGGCCGTTTCTCTCGCTAGCCATGCTCGTGCAGCGTTGGGAAAAGTGACGCAAAACTGATAGAACAGAAGCTGAACAAAAATATTTTTCCAACGCAGGAGCGATTGTGCCAATTTCCATATGAAGACGAATTGAATGACGGATTCTAGCGCGTCAATTGTCCGCCGTGGTATAATATAGCCTGGACTGCGTTGCACCATTGTGACTAGACGCGCCTTTTTGGCTAGTTCGGGCACCAGAGTTACTGCAGTGGCTCCACTCCCAATAACCGCGATGCGTTTGTCGCAGTAGTCCACGTCCTCTGGCCAGAACTGAGGATGAATAAGTTGCCCTTGAAACTGCTCAATGCCAGGAATTGTCGCATGCAGTGGTTGGTCATAATTGTAGTATCCCGTGCCGAATATAAGGAACCTCGCAAAGACCGCTTTGCTCTTGATTGATTGTCCATCGGTGGATATGGTATCGACTCTCCAGCGATGCTGATCTGAAGACCAGACCACCTTATGAACCTTGGTTTCGAACTGTATATGCTCGTCGATCCCAAAAGATGCTGCTGCCTTGGTAATATATTCCTTGATGGCGTCTCCTTGAGCAAAAGCTTTTTTCTCGCTCCACGGGAACCATGGGAACCCGAAAGTATATAGGTCCGAATCTGACCGTATACCCGGGTAACGAAAGAGATCCCAGGTACCACCCAAACATTTCCGCCCTTCGAGGACGGTATAATCCCATGTGGGAAAACCTCTCTGAATTTGGTAGGCGGCATGAATGCCTGATATTCCAGCTCCAATAACAATTACGTCGTAGACTTTCTCGCAAGGGGATTCCCCGCTCTTTGTCTGTTGGGCTGCACTATCCATAGCATCAACTCTATGAGAGTGATCAACAAAAAATGGAGAGAGGAAGGAAAGATGGCCAAATATTGGAGTGATATGAGGTGGACAGAGTAGATGCTATGCTAGGGTTTAAAAGTACCACGGGTGACAGATACCTACGGCTCCGTATAAAACCTAGGATCGATCGATCAGCTTCAACCGAGGCATCAGCGCCCACCCCCAGAAAATACCTTAGTAATATTGATGCGGATAACTCTAATGGTGCTGGCTTGAGATTCACATGGGTGAATCAACATTAGCTTACAAGATCAATACACATGTTCCGAGATAATCGGAGTAATGGGAGCCCCGATTGTGCTCGGCCCGAGTCACATGACTAGGAGAACTGCTTGATCAAGCTTCAATACAAGTTTTTTGGTAATCCTAATTTCCATCCATTATTTCTCCCTCGGTAATGAATAGAACTACGTAATAGGCTTCCTAACCCTGCAGTTTTAGCCTTTGCACTGAGATCAGAGTCTCCGCCGGTACTGAACCGAAAAATGCAATAATTTGTGATCTCGCTTTTACGCAACGTCATTTGGAATACTCGAATTATTTGTATTATTAGTGGCACATTAAAAGTGGATTAGATCACAAGATCGAAAGTCTCCCATATATTATTCAAGGTGAGAACGGGTCTTCGGGAGTGTACGGCTAGTCTTTGACCGACACAGAAGACTTGATACATATAAGTCCAAATACTCATGCCAGTTTCCCGAACGTTCTCCTTATCTTCGAAACTAGCATAATCTTCATAAACTTGAATTACCGAAACTCCGAAGCCATCATGACTATTTCTGTCTCCATCCTGGAAACTGGTACCATCAGGATTCGACCTTCCCATCGCACGCAGCCCGCAACGAAGAATGTCGGCCTTCGTCGTCTTACCGTCTTCACTGATCGAGCATGGACGGAGCCACTTCCGATCAATACCTATTTGATCTCTCATCCAGAGGGTTATATCCTATTTGACACTGGTGAATCTCCTCAAACAATGCAACCGGGCTATTTTCCTTCCTGGTCGCCATTCTTCCATCTAGCTGTGGATATTCATGTTCGGGAGCACGAAGGCATACGTGCCCGCCTCAATCAGCATGGAATCTCGCCCTCAGATCTTCAAGCTGTCGTTATTTCCCACCTCCACCATGACCACGGCGATGGTATTGCCGACCTTGACGGGGCAGATATCTTCGTGAGCCCGGAGCATTGGGATGCATTTAAATCTCCTTATCACGCCACAATGGAGGGAGCAGTGCCTAGTCAATGGCCGAAAGGGTTCGTGCCAAAGCTTCTAGAGCGGACTGGTGGACCAGTTGGGCCATGGAATTCGAGCTACCCTATCACCAAGGACGGGAAAGTGATTGCAGTGGATACTCCTGGGCATGTTCCTGGTCATATTTGCTTGATTGTTTACGGAGATGACGCAACGTATCTGCTTGGCGGAGACTCTACCTACGATCAGGATCTTTTGGATCGCGAGCAGACAGATGGTGTCAATGGCAACCCACTACTTGCAGTGGAGTCCTTAAAGAAGATCAAGAAATTTGCCAGCCAGGAGCCTATCGTCATCTTGCCAGCACACGACCCGGACGCTGCCCATCGACTGGCACTCAACGAAATCTACGTGCCAGGATATACCGCAGGCACTACTCCCAGAGAGTGCCCTCAAGGACATAATTGGCTCTTGATCTGGCTCTTGGCTCTGGGGACGATCTTTATATATCGAATGCGGCGAAGATGATACAAAGTCATACTCTGACCTCATCTGCTGGAGTTGTTTCTCCCTCGTGATCTCTTTCAATTTATCCCCATCCATCTTCTGTACTGTACGAAAGATTAAGAGCATTCTTTAACTGGTATTCCTGTATTTCAAATATCGCTCATTTCCAATTTAATCAGTTCTCATATGGTGAAGTTCTCACATGGTGACATGAATAGATTACCAATGGAGCAGCTATTAACAAACCGTCGGGAAAACGAGTTTGAAGACCCCTGGCCTATTCAGATTGAATCTGGAGGCGGAATGATAATGCTTTGGTAACAGGTAATTATTAACGGGAAAGAGGTGAAGACCATCTAGGGAGTCCGGATATTTCGCTCAGTGTTCATTAGTACATTGGTTTCTACAAGATTAAAAACTGTAAAGGAGCCACATTTCAACTACAATAGCGGAATATTTCGTAAACTAACCTTCTGCACCATGTGACACCTCGCGCGGGCAACTACTTAACCTATGAATTGTAGCACGTAAAAATTACGCAGTTAGTATTAGGCGGCGGATAACCGGCAGTCAGTGGGAAATAGTTTCAGACTTTACCACTACCACACCGTAGCTGCATGTCCCCGTATAGATCGTCTTGGCGTGCTCCGCCATCGGCCCGAGTCACATGACGAGGACCGGCAAAACACAACAGTATCATGCGAATGCCGGCACCAATTCCACCGTGGATACTGATGAATAATAGATCATTTGATTTTGGAAATGTGCATAGTCAAACATGCGATCTGCGATCTGCGTTTCCTTTATCTTGTAAGCTTCCCGTCAAGAAATGCATCAATTGATCCCCCCAGCCTGACTTCCCCTGTCTACTCACACCCCTTTTGTGCCTCTTATCTATAATATTGGTGGTACTGTTTGAGCTTTAAAATATCCATGTCGGCGCCTCAGTATGTTCTCATCACTGGATGCAGTGATGGAGGAATTGGTGCATCGTTAGCATTGGCCTTTCAACGTCGAGGTTTTCATGTTATTGCTACAGCTCGCTCGGTAAAGAGGATGTCGACGCTTGAGTCCGTGGCGAATGTCACACTTCTCCCTCTAGATGTCACGTCCCCAACTAGTATGCAGGACGCTCTCAAAAAGACGGTCACGGTAACGGGCGGCAAATTACACTATCTCGTCAACAATTCAGGGGTATCCTATGTGATGCCCACTCTCGACACGAGTATCGAAGAGGCAAAAAAAATGTTTGATGTCAATTTGTGGGGGGTACTAGCGATGACGCAGGCTTTCAACCCACTTCTCATTAAAGCCCAGGGTTGCGTGGTCAATATCGCCTCGATGACTGCGTACTTGAATGCTCCATATTGGAGTAAGATGAGACAATCCTCGTATTTTTGAAAGATGGCTAATATTTCTTAGGTCTCTATGCTGCTTCCAAGGCGGCCTTGAGTTCCATGAGTGAGACGCTTCGATTAGAATATGCTCCGTTTGGTGTTAGAGTTGTCACGGTTGTGACGGGTGCTGTGGAAACTAACATCATGTCTCACGGCGACGGATTCGCATTACCAGATGGCTCCATGTATCGCCCTGTCTTCAAGAACATTGAAGATGTGGCTCGAGGCAAAAGCTTGAGTTCCTGGTTGCCTGTGGAGACATACGCCGAACGAGTTCTCAAGGATCTCATGGGAGGAGCTCATGGCAAAATATGGAGAGGTGGGTTATCCTCGACCATGCGTCTGATCAGTTCACTTCCTGGCTTCATCATGGTAGGGCTTTTCTCTCCCGTCACAATACAATTCCAGGAAACATAGGAGCTAACAGTCAATGTACCGAGCAGGACAAGGTTCTTCTGGCTGGAAGCGGCCTAGAGAAACTTGCTGGTCTTTCTTTAGGCTGATTGGAACGAAGGAGGGTTGAAGTTTCCATGTCTCCTTTGTTTGAACTAACTATGGGTGGGCCAGATAACTCAGAGTGTATAAAATAAGCGAACTGAATACTTTACTATCAATTTTCTCCTGTGACAAGAGTAGTGTCCCCCTTGACTCTTGTAAAAAAGGATATAGGGCTGGTGGCACTACCTCCTCCGTCTCGGTAATAATTAGCCTTCCCCACGACCAATAGACTGCAGTGTTGGATTTGCTTGAATGTGATGAGGGCTAGCCGTAGGGGCCGGTGCTATTGGCAACAGTTGGCGAGGTTGGGGAGGCCTAGGTATGATAGTGCTGGCAGGCCTTGGGGGCTATAATAGCTCCGGAGAAGGTCGCAAGGCACGAAAGGAGGTTCGAAAGTGGTTGAACCCTGGGGGCAAACTCCGCGCATCTGTCATGTCTATCTAGAGCTTACTTTGCATTTATTTTAATCAAGACCTGATGCCGATCTCCAGATAATCTTGTGGAAAACGATGATCTCTGTATCTATCCGAGAAACAGCAACTATTGGCATTCGCCTTGCCACGTTCAATCCACTTGAATGCTGTGCAGGACTGAGGTGATTGGCGTGGAACAGCTACTTGTGCACCTATCCCGTCCATACTTGCGGGGAATCTGCCCCTCCAGCGGAAGCAATGTTGCACCAACCGACGGAGCAGGTTCTGATATTGACTTAGTGCCTGTTTGACTAAGGACCCGACAGATTGTTTGAATCATACTCCTCCGGAACGGGTCACATGATCACCTCCGGTTGGTCACCCAGAATATCTAAACCGAGGGAGAAATCATCTGATATTCTCAAAAGCTCGATCTTCCGTAGAGCTGCTCTAGCGAGTTACTATCTCCGCTAAAGAGTAGGTCAAAAATTTCACGGTCCAGCAATGACTCGGCCAAGCCGCTGTCGGTAAATGCAAGCTGACCCTGACCGTTTCCAGGAATGTTGTCAACAACAGGAGGATGAAATGATGGTTCTCCATTCGCAGGCATGGGAGCGGAGGATGTTGAGTGCGCTATATCGATAGCCTCTATGTACTCCGTATCTCGAAGTGGAGGCATGGCAGACCTGCCGTCGTCAGAGGATGATATGTAAGTAGTCTCCATGGGAAGAGAGCGCAGCACAGATGGAACCATCGCTATGGCTGCCGGGTGTGATAGAGCACGAGAACCTATTATGCACATTTCCTCAATTCTAGCGTCATGAGTTTCGGGGTCATATCGCGGCGGACTTGAGGGTACAAGTATCTGAGGCCTGGCTAAATTTTGTAAATGTTGGTACTATATATGAGGTGAGTATCAGCGATGTCAAAATCAAGTAATATGTCATTCTGGCAATATATACCTTTGAATAAAACGCTGGCCAGTAAGCAGCAAGCTCCCTGAGAAATAATATTGATACCTGCACACAGGCCGAGAAGGATTCATGTGACGTCATACGGTAGAGAACCAAATGAATGACACCGCATGTGAAGGCACAATAACCGGCAAAAGATGGCACCTTGGTAATGTCCAAGTTTCGAGCCAGGAAGATGGTAATGAAGCTTGTAATAGCCGTAGTAGAGGTCAGCAAGGTCCTTGAGGCCACTTCGGCTAATAGTGGCGACGTATCATCTGATTTCCTGGTTGAGAACGCTGGAGTGATGGACGCGTGAAGTAATAGGAAACATTGGTGATAAGCAGCGAAAAAAAGCATCGACTTGCTGCTGTTGAAGAAAATGTCTTCATTGTGTTCTTTTAGCGCTGGAAGAAGGGCGTCTAATTGCCGAACCCTTTTGTCAAGCTCAAAGACTTGACCCACATTTCTATGTGAGTCGCTTGGAAATCTAGAGTAAACAGCCGACTTTATCTCTACCCTGGAGGACGAGCTCACTTAGTTAACTAGCCAGAAGCGGAGATACAATATTAATAGCGTACCAAATGGTAAAGAGTCGAACCAAGGAGGCAGACTGCTCACAAGACGTCGCTCGGGGGGTGACATCTGACAAAGTTTGCAACTTAGGTGTGTTTGGCTCCTTGAAAGGAACCAAGTTGCCGAATTGAGCATCATCACACGGTAGCTGCAGCTTTGGGATGCTTCGAAGTCGAGTGACCCCCAAGGAGGGAGTATCGTGAACGCACTGTTTGATCCAACAGGCCCAAAAGCATCTTCGATTCAACTCGAATGTAAATTCAGACCAACTTGTTGGCTTTGCACACATGGTCTCCAAGCCGAGCATCTGACACGCAGCGTATGACGCCACTAAACGATGATTAGCGATGACTTTGGATTACTCCCTATGATTATAGCTCACTGGAATGAAAATGACCTCGCCGCGGCTCACCTACGGCCCACCAATACAGCGCTAGATTCTCACAAGATTGTATGACATCCAACCCACCACTGTCTGCATGCTGCAGAGCTCCTATACTCGCGCGCTCCGCCCAGCATCTCCCGGAGTGGTAAATAGTTGGGTTTGAAAGGCCCGGATCCTTGGTTAATGATGAGACAGGATGGTTGCGGATGAATCTAAGCAGGCCTTAGTAGATTGAAATTTAGAATTTCATACGAACTCACAGAGAAGCGACTGCAAAGATGCTGAGATAAACGTGCTCCTTAACGTTACCTCGTCTGTAGTCGTTAGTGAAAGATGGTTGGTGGAATAAGAAGCTCGCATTGAAAATGCGACCAAAGTAAGTTTCCAGCAAGAACACTCCAATCTCTGAAGGTGGGATAGCATCATTTCTCAGATTAGAGAACGAGGCACCAGGACCGGACACCGTTGCTGCCGGGTCTGGTGGTGTACTCTAAATACGCAAGTCAGTCCGAAATTATGCTTCTGATACAATCAAGAGAGAAGATCAAGGAAGAGAGTCAAATGTTCAAGAGAAGCAGAAAATAAAAAGGCACATACTGTTCCTGGATCCCAGGATGGATGGTTTGCCAACGTTCCATGAGCTCCCAGAGAGCTTGAGTCTTGCGACTCTGGTATGACTCTGGGAAGCACATCTGGCGGGACCGGTCCACGCCGAAAATTGGCGATTTGGCGCCTGTCGGGCGGTTCGGGGTAGTCACAAGTGAGTTGATGCTTTGAGCAGCGAGTGCATAAGGGAAGATCTCGCGAACAGCGAATCTGTAGCAATTGTGAGCGGGAAAGATCAAGATTGGGGAGACGATGTTACTTTTTGCCGCCGACAGTGGTAGCAAGCGGTACTCGACTTGTCACCTGCAGAGTACATTGATAGCCGTAAGTTGAACTATTCTGAATTCTCCCCAGACTGTGGGGGATGAGGAAGGGAGGAGACTGGGCCAAAAGCCGGAAACGCTAGTCCCGACGGGTAAGCGGACTACCCTCGGAATTGCCATGTGGATGTGGATAACGTAATTCCCGCCTGAGCTAGGTACCTAACTAACTACCCATCTTTAACCATCTATCATGCCACCAATTATCTCGGCCTAAATTAGCCATGGGTCCAAAACAAAGACCTCGGATGACACTATGTACTACAGCTACGGTATGGGAGGCGAGTTGGAGTACGAAGAAATGACCGCATGATAGTGATATATCACCTATATCGGAGGCCGATACTGAGCTTCTATGAAGATGAAATACCAAGTTTTGATATTCAAATGTTTTCGTCAGGAGACGCTCCAAACGATGAAGGTGCACCTGACCTCATATTGAGTTTGGAGTGAGAGGAAGAATAAGCGGGCCGTTAGAGAATTCCATGGTTGGAAGAACAGTACAAGACAAGGCCAGGAGTTGGGTACTCTTGTCTACTCTTGTGCAATGCGAGAGATTAAAAAGAGTAGGTATGCTGAATCTCAGTAAACAAGCCTCAGATCTTGCTGGGCGGCCTGGCGATCGAGCGCAGGTAGCAGTTGAAGAGTCAGGAGCGCAGTGCTCAGCCAGTTGATCTGGATACTTGTCTCATGGGACGTAGACTCATTCATGGTGTAGTGAAAATTGGCAACACCGGCATTGAGAAGACCAAAGTCGATCTGAATGTCAGACTTTTGAAGACGCTCCACAAAGGTCGTCACGCTGGCATAAATGCTTAGATCTAGCTCCCAGACCTCGACCAAGGGTGGCTTAGCTGAAGCTGGAAGCAAAGCGAGAAGAGATTTGCGAACAGTTTCACCCTTGGAGATGCTGCGGACGGCCAAAATAAGATGGGACAGTCCGAGCCTGAGTAACTGTTCAGAGGCCTGGTAGCCCAACCCAGTGTTGGATCCTGTGATCAGACCGACTTTGCCACGAAGGGAGGTGGTGGACGGGGCCTTGGGCGGACACACCAGGAACTGGCGATAAAGAAAGCCGGGATATGTATTGTAGAAAGACATCTTGAGGATGGGTCCACGGAGAATAAAGGAAGGATGATGGTGAAGCAGGACATTAGGCGATATGTCGATTCAAATAGGTATGTACTAATGATCTATCTCTTTGAGCTTGGTAGGTAGACGATCAAGTTGACAAGAATAGACACTGTCTCTGTGGAGCTAGACAGTGATTCATCATCTCCCTCACCTCGAGCTTGGTACAGCCCTGGGAATATCGATGGTGCCGTTCCAGGCCCTGATTGGTGGCCAGCCCGGATTTAAGGATGATCTCCGGGAAAAGCGAAGGTGCCGTTCTCCAACCTCCATGTCACTCTTCTATACCTGCGAGTAGTTTTGATAATTATCAAGTGCGATAATCAGAGAATCTGCAGGTGCAGTTTCGCAGCTCGAGTCTGATTCCCACGGCTCATCGGAACCCACGGTGGTGTTTGCGGTTCGCGACTACCTCACACGACAGATGGACACATGCTGACAACATGTGATTCATAATAGCCTCTGAAGCACCTCAAGAAGAATGGCCAGTACTACGTCAACATTGTCAAGGACTTCACTGGCAAGGATATCGCGGGTTGCAAGGTTAACAGTATGAGCCTACATTATTTAGGCACACATATTGTCACGTTGTAGCAGTGACATGAGTTCATGAGACATTGCTTTATCTAGCCCCCGACTTTCAATACGCCAGCTTGGTTCTATCTTATCCTGCAAGTCTACGGCCAAGACATGTGCTTTGAGAGCCCATGGGCGATCAGGGGCGGCAGCACGACACTTAGAGGAGGCTGCGGCCCCAAGTAAATTGTTTCGATGCCCCTGGAGCCCCTGAGCATAGCACTAACTCATAGCTTATTAGCTAGTTTTTACTAATTAGAATTCTTAACGTAGAGATTTATCTACGGTAGATAGTAAATCTAGAAAAATGACTACCCAAAAAGGTCTACTGTATAGTAATACTAGGGCGTTTTTCCTTAGCTATTATAGGTATTATCCAAGGATCATTCCAAACTAAAAACATGAGGAAATTAGAGAGATTTACGGTCGGGTAAATGACCGGTTACTAAAGGCTACACATATTTCTTACCGAGGACCACTAAGTAAGCGTAAACCGCTCGATGAAGGTCAAAGTCCCCCTAGTTGACCTATAAGTGCTCTGCGCCCGGTAGCATAGCCACTTGCCTATGTAACATAAGGCGATTTGGGCGCAACTAGTTAATTAGCCATCCAATAAAACTAGAGAACGCGGAAAGAAGCCTTCCCATTCCATACGCCTAATTTTTGTGGAGTCTTACGAAGCCTGAGTCAGTAACTTATATTACCCACGTATCGCCCCCAGGCACTAGATGTCCTAAATATTTGGCTGGCACTTCAGTAAATATAGACCTAGCACAAAAGTCCATTGCTGCCTCCCTTCTTCAGCCCGCCAATATGACCAACCAAATGTTTGCTACAATAATTTTGTTCACCACCTTTGTCTATGCACAAGAAACCACCACTGGGTATAATTAACCTTCTATGAAAAAATCAAGCACACGCAGACTGACAGTCACCAGAGTGGCATGTCCACTACAAGGCTCATTAGATGCGGAACATGCGGATTATAAGAACTCGGCACTTTTATCGGCATATTCAAGCTTTGAACAGAACTCGGCCTACTCCAGTGCAAATGCCGAGTTTTCATCGGCTTATGATTCCTTCCCGGCATATGTTACATCTTCGCTATATTGTTCGGGATATGGCGGTATTGACATCAACTCACTTCCTACTTGGCTGACATCCGTTCCAACCTCCGTTGTCAGCATCATCTTGAAAGAAGAACAAGTCTATGAGTCAATTGTCAGCTCCGTCGAAAAGGAAATGACTGTGACATCGTCGGCGAGCGCATCGACTCCGTCTACACTATCTTCCAGCTCTTCACAAATTACTACATCTGGAACATCAGCGTCGGCCTCCAGCACCTCCTTTAAACCCCTGGCTACCACTTCTTCATCATCCACTGCGGCTGCAGGTATCTCTAAATGCCTTACTAGCTGCATTCTGACCTCTGTCAGCTTGATACTTGCTAGGCTGCTGTGATACAGAGTTCTTTGTCCTTTTCTTCCCTCCATAGAATACATACTTAACATGACCAATCGGCACGACTGAAACTATTCCCTGTTCCCGCACTCATGCGAGTGTATGTTTAGTTGGTACCATCGTTATAATAATACTTGAATTACCCATCTATGACTTAAGGATAGCCAGCGAGACATCAAGAAATGATATGGAATACAATGAGATTGCATCTTTTTTCACGAAGGGAGGGAACAGATCTACGGGAAACCGGATTTTCAATTCTACGGAATCGCTTAGCGAAAGGTCTTCGAAACCCTCGAATTTCGAGTTTACAAGCATATTAGTGCACTATTTACACCGTGAATTGAGGCAATTTAGCAGACATGATACTAAAAAGCACGGAACGTAGGGACTCATGCCCACGGTCAAGGCGACGTAAAAGGCTTAGCGAGCTTTGCTTCCTCCTTGGTATCGACATCAGTACCTTTTGAATGTGTTAAACGGTGTTTGACCGGGAAATTGGCGTTCATGTTGTAACCCAGTCTCAGAAGCCATCAAAGGGCACCGTTGTCCCTAGGCAGTATCTCGATAAACCTCTGCCATTGTTTTTCGTTTTTTTACCAGGCAGTAAGTACATCGTAGTCTATTCAGTCTCATGTTACATCAGATTGTTAGATTAGAGTCAGAGAGTTGGAGAAAATGAAGTGCATTATCCTTTTAAAAATGGCACTCGTTAGCTAGCTGGCTTCGAGAGCCTATTTGATTTCTCCTTTTGCAGTGGATGTACCCTGTCTATTTTATTCTCGAAGATGATGTTTTGTGTTTCTGTTGGGAACAGCAGACATACGCGTGTTTTGAACTTCATACTTGTAGAGCGAGGCCGCAGCATCATGTAAACTATGTACATAATGAGATATCGGATAATCCTGATTGCAAACACACTGCCATCGCCTCCAACCCACACTGGCCGGCCCGGTCTTGGAGAAAGCGGGGAAGTGACCGGAATAATACTAGTGAGAATGTGCTGGCAAGGAGCCTTATCCTTGACAAGTCAATCTAGTTAGTGAGTGACGGTTCGGATACCCCTCCCACCATCGGAAGGCCACACCGACTATTGTCCGGTGACCAGCGGGGGAGCATACCTATCGGCAAACAATAGCGAGAAGATAGACATAAGATAGCATATATAGCATATCAGCTCATGAATGAGTTGAGTTTTCAGATCTAGCTGCGTGAAAAGGCCATCTCGAAGACCCAGACAGGCTAAGCAGGACCAAGAAACGAACGACTTCGCTGGGTCATATTTGATACTGATTTTGCCATTATGTTCTCGCGATCTACGTCACTTTATCATGTTCCTCTGAAACCCCGCGCCTTGCCAGTCCAGCAATCACATTTTCGGTGGTACCGCTCCTCCAAGCAGGGATTCCATGATGTGGCCGTTGCAGTACCATCCAAACCACCACTGGAGGTATCAGCGATGTCAAGATTGCCCACAAAATTGCTAGTGCGATCTTTGGTCTTGACATCTCTCATGTCCTCGAAGCTATTTCTTAAGCCCGCGCTGGCTATTCTAAATGTTGTCACCAATTCCAAGTCCGCCCTTTTCAACCCTGATCGGAACTTCGTTCTCAACAAGCTCCTTCGATGGACCGTTTACGATCATTTTTGTGCCGGCACAAATCGCGAGGAAGTATCAAAGACAGTGGCAGAGATTAAGAAAATTGGGTATCAAGGTGTCATTCTGGGGTACTCTAAGGAGATTGTACTGGACCCGAACGAGAAGCTGGCCCATGACGACACTGGGTCTACGACTTACAGTAATAAATGCTACGAGATGGTCGAAGAATGGAAGAAGGGAACTCTAGAGACTCTGAGCATGGTTGGGCCAGGTGATTTTCTCGCAGTGAAGTATGTCACACCCTCTCCAGCATTATATGTAGCCTCCTCGTTAACGATTATGCTTTAGACTTACGGGCGCCGGCCCTATTGCGGTCGACTCGATGGCAGATCGGAACCCTATCCCGGAGTCAGTTGCAAATGCGGTGGATGAAATTTGTCAGGCAGCGAAAGATCAGGGATCAAGATTATGGCTGGATGCTGAGCAGCAAGTCCTTCAGCATGGACTGGATGACTGGGCGATTGAAATCATGCGCAGACATAATCGATCAAATGCCCCCTTGGTTTACAACACTATTCAGGGATATCTGAAAGGATCCAAGGCAAATGCGGACCGTCATATTACCCTGGCAGCGCAGGAAGGTTGGTCACTTGGAATCAAGCTTGTTCGAGGAGCATATATTGAACACGAGACACGTTCTCTCATTCACGACACCAAAGAAGAGACCGATCGCTCCTATGACCAGATTGCAAATATGATGTTATGTCGAACTATGCCTGATGATGCCAAGGACCTCAAGTTTCCCAATGCTGCGCTCTTCCTGGCGACGCATAATGCTGCCAGCGCTGCCAAGGCAATTGCCACACACCAGGCTCGACTCTTGTCTCACCAGCCTACAGTCCTACTCGAATGTGGCCAGATTCAAGGAATGGCCGATGAGCTTAGCTGCGAACTAGTGCAGAACTATGAACGGGCGCTGAGCGATTCAAGTGCTGCAAACGTATCTGTTCCCAAAGCTTTCAAGTGCATGGCCTGGGGATCGGTGGCGGAGTGTATGCAATATCTACACAGGAGAGCAATTGAAAATAAGGGTGCTGTAGAGCGAACACAGCACATGGTAACTGCACTGCGACAAGAGTTGCGACGGAGAGTTTTTGGCTGATATACGAGATTGAGGGGCGAAACGAAGCCAATCATAGGTACATGAAGAGCAAATGTATGTGATGAACTTCTAGATATAATATGATCATGCTAGGACATGATCTTCATTGTGAGAAAAATAGACACCACCTTCACTATTGGGGGAAACAAGTGGCCAATCATGTGTAGTACACCCAAGGGTCTTATCAGACATGCGGGTCGTGTCTGATAAGCTAAAGACAAGTGAGGCGATACGCTGATAAGAAAAGTCGGAAGGCCATCCCGACTTTCTTTTGGCATCAACCCCGCAATACTCTTCCCCAGCCAATTTACTTGATATCGGAGGCCTGCGCCGGCTGTCATTGTTCATTTAGAATAACACCTCTTCATACACTGCCCCACATGCCTGCAAATCCCAACAAAGTGAAGGCCAAGAAATGTCAGAAGGCGTGAGTTGCTCCAAATAGGCACAGTTAACATCGTACCGAATTAACAAATTCAGATGTGTACGATGTCGGGGTATGAAAGTCAAGTGCTCTGGATCATACCCCTGCACACGATGTACTCGCAAGAAGCAACACTGTCAATTTCCTGCTGAGGATGTGCGGGTCTCTGTATCGGAGCGGTAAGCCTTCATTCGCACTTGTGGTCCGATCAGAGGGCTAAACTGTTTAGGTACCTTCGCCATTTGGAAGAGCAATTATCAGAAAGGAATAGTAGTTTGCAACATCAGGATACCTCAGGACAAAATGATCTTGTTGGCTCTCCGTATGTTGGAGAAAGTGGAATCGATCTTCCTACGCCTCATCCTCCTCAATTTCTCTTAGAGGACCAACCAGCAGTGCGGTGGAGGGAGACTACACATGGTATGGCATATAAATTCAGTCCCAACATGCATTCGAGGATTAGTGAGGCTAACTTGGTATAGTTCAAAATTTGGACACTTCTTTACACACTCCTACTACAACTCATCTGCAGCGAGAGCAGACGGGAGGAGGTTCCGATTTAGAACAAGATGGGCACCGATCGCGGTTCTCTCGAAATCCCCTCGTCGATAGGGATCCTTCATTTGCCCAGACTCCTGACGGTCGATTTTGTGAGTTGTGTACCTAGCTCGGTATCTGATGCAGCTAACAGGCGAGGGACAGGGTATATGGGACCCACGTCATCATGGTCTTTCTGTCGCCGAGTTCTACGTCTCATTGGCAGACGTGTGCTAGAATCAAACTGCCCACCAGATCCATGGCACCTAGATGGAATGGCATTCAAACTTCAGTGGCGACCCTTACCCCCAGATGAAATACCAGATGTGACGAACCTTCCGCCACTCGATTATGCCTTGTTTCTTTTCAACACGGTTAAATTCTACTTTGGATTTCTATCGTTCATGATTGATGAAGAAGCTTACTTGCGAGACTTGCATGAGTTTTACAAGGACCCACCTGCGAAAGCTGCCTCTGCGAGATATTGGTATGTCCAATATCTTCTGGTTCTGGCGTTTGGAAAAGCGTTTCTTACGCACCGGAATTCATCTGGAACTCCCCCTGGCCACCAATATGCTTCAAGGGCAATGGCGTTATTACCAGATCTATCTGGGATGCATGAAGATCCTTTGACATGTATCCAGGCGCTCAGTCTAGGGGCCGTGTATTTGCAATCCATCGATATGAGAAGAGCAGCATTTCAACACGTGAGTGGCTGAAATTCCGGATCAACGATGCTCACGAAACGTAACTAACTAAAATTATTCGAAATAGATTGGTCAAGCGTTGCGCGGCTGCATTATTGAAGGAATCCATCGACATGTTCCGGAGGAACTTGGAGGACCCCAACTCTCGAGCCGTTGTAGGACAATATTTTGGGTAGTTTATATGCTGGATCGTGAATTTTCGGCCCTGATTGGGGCGCCAAGCTCCATTCGAGACGAGGATATCACAGTCCGCCTACCTGCAGATGTCGAGAACTCCGTAGAACACATTAACCTTACATTACATGTGCGCCTCTCCAGATTGATGGCCCAAATTCTGACAAGTATGCAAATTCCACCCCTTTGAATCAATATGTTGCTAACTGATGTTCAAGCGGTCTATGGGGTTGGGGATGAATTCAATGGAACTCTCATTCGGAATACTCAGTCGATTCTCCACAGCATGGCAGAATTGTCGCATGATCTCACGGCCTTCCTAAACACCCACTTCCATGGGCTTATTAGCCGAGCTTCGAAGATGGCAATACGACTTATGCTCGCCCATCACCATGTGAGAGAGTAGTAAATACCTTGATTGATCTTCAGACTAACCGGCCCAGTGCATCGTCCTCACCACAAGGCCTCTGGTGATGTGCGCTCTCAATATGCACATCGAACGTACTGAGAGACAAGCATCTCAAAGTATTGGCCTATCCCCACCAGTCGCATCCCTCCTTCAATGCTGCGCAGACTCAGCCCAGACTATACTTCAAACCCTTCAGACCCTCGCTGATGACGACTTGTTGGGTATGTGTGACTTGGCCTCAGGATGGGATATTCGTACTCATATGGTCTCTACAGATGCATTCCTACCGTTTCAAATCGAAGATGCCTCCTCTTCTGCCTTTGTTCTATATCTGATTCGAGCAATCGCGCCGTCGCTGATTCAGCGCGATACTTGGTGTGATCACTTAAATTGTGTCTTAGAAAAACTGATTGCGAAGGGTAACCCCGCCGCGCCCCTCAGAAGACAGGAGCTAAGGCAGCTGGAGCAAATTCTGGCGCCCTTGACCCCTAGATCTACATCGAGTCCGCTTCCACCTGTGACTCTTCATCGGGAAACAGATGAAAGTGAAGACACGTATGGATTAGATTCAGTTGATGTAGGAGACGGTTTTGAATGGGATTTGTTAGGACTCAACTCTTCGGTTAGCTTACCCCCAAGGGAGCTGTTGGACCTTGCAGACCAACTGGACGTTGAGAGTATCATGCACTCGGTTGGATCTTATGTTGGTTGACCGAGGCATTGCTCGATATGATACCTAAGAAAATGAATTACTGTTACCACCGTACACTGGCATTCTATTCGATAATAAAGGCTGACTTCACTTGCGTGGACTACATTCGAGCTCTTCATACGGTTACCGGCAGAGATATTTCTAATCATTCTCTATGAAACGTCTTGCGCGGTGTGCACCCATGTCGTGATCCGTGGCATGGGCGAGAGAAAGTACGAGCTTCAGATTATCTACATACTAGGACAGCATGAATCATTACGTTTTTCCCTTCCCACGCTTACCTTACTGGTGCTTCTCATTCTCATTGTGCTGTCGGCATCTTTGAATCACTGGTCTAATGTCATTATATACTGTCCCGCAACTCTCCCCTTGATGTTATACCTTCTGTTATCACCTTTCTTCTTGAGAAACATCTCCCGTCTCTGGACACAAAAAGCAATAAAGTCTGGACAGAAGACTCTTGTCCGTCTCTATTGAATCTAGGAGACCTCGTTCTCTAAAAGAAGAAGAAGATGAGGAGGAAGAGGAACCCGGGAAGCTAGGAAGGCAAGCACGGCCTATAAGGGCATTGAATAAAGAAGGTCAACCTGCCCAAAACTTCCTACAAAAAGGCAGGCGCTGGTCCTAGATATCCCCACTCGGAAATATTCACCTAAGAGGAGAAAGCCAGGCCTCATTTCCGACACGACCTACCCACAATCCCACTACTCTCACCTATCACAGTTATTTTGGCCTCATTTCCCCAGGTCTTCGTATCCTATATTAGAAAAGGCAATGTTCTGTGCTTCTGTACATCAGAAACTCAAAAGCCCCCATATAATCAAGCTATCCCAGCAGCATGCTCTCCGGTTGCTCTAGATGATCTTTGACTATGTTCAGGAATTTGACAGCTTCGCGCCCATCAATAATCCGGTGATCGTATGTCAATGCGATGTACATCATCTATACCACCATAGTTAGTACTCACCAAGATAGTCCCCTTAAGTTGTTCTTGTTTGACAGGTACTACTCACAGGCCGAATCTCAACCTGCCCGTTGACAGCGACGGGTCGATCCAAGATACCGTAAGTCCCCAAAACGGCAGTTTGCGGCATGTTTATGATCGGAGTTCCGAACAAGGAGCCCCAAATACCACTGTTGCTGATAGTAAAGCTACCGCCCATCAAATCATCCATTGTCAATTTTCCATCGCGGGCCTTTGCAAGGAAGTCAGCTCATCTCTGTGACTATGAGCGATTGTGTATAATGGCTATACCTTCGTGACAAGCTCAGAAATACCCTTTTCAATATCAACGATGGTCATCGATTCAATGTTCCGGAGGACAGGAGTGACAAGACCCTTTGGAATGGAAGCGGCGACGCTAAGATCCACATAATCGCGATATACAATGGTATCACCGTTCTCAACGGATGCATTGACTGCCGGGATTTCCTTGAGTGCGAGGACAGAAGCCTTGGCCATGGCTCCCATGAAGCCTAGCTTGACACCATACTTTTCCAGCACGGTGTCCTTGTTTTTCTTTCGGAATTCGATGATCTTCGACATGTCGACTTCGTTAAAGGTTGTCAGGAATGCGGCAGTGTTTTGTGATTCTTTGAGGTGCTGTGCCGTCTTCTGTCGAATGCGGGTCATTTTCACCTGGCAGTCAGTCGTATTAGCATGCTTGCTTTGAGAAATGGGAAGGAAACCTCTTGAATATGATGTTGGACGTACTCGATTCTCTCCGCGCCTCTGTTTGGGACTTTGGCTCGCCTGTGACGAGCTGTCGTTAGTGTGCGATGACTCCTGCTTCGTAGTATTCTCGACCTTCTTGCTGTTGGAATTTGTAGTTATCGTGGCCGGTAATTCTGTGGTGACTGAAGCTGCAGAAGACTCGCACTTTTCCTGAATATGTGACTCGGTGTAATTTAGAGCTAAGCTTGCGCTATCACCCGCACCATCCACAGAATGCTCCTCTTGTGGTCGAAGCTCTGCGATGGCTTGGTCGACGGTGACAGTGTCGCCTTCGGCCACGAGCAACTCCTGGATGATTCCGGAATAAGGAGCGTTCACCGACACATCGATTTTATCCGTTTCAATAGTTGCAAGCTCCTCATCTTGCTCAATGAAATCTCCGACTTGTTTGCTGAACTGTGTGAGAGTTCCTTCGGTAATTGACTCTGCCATCGTGGGTACGCGAACAACAGTATCTGCCTCATGGCGAGTGCAAGAGACCGTGAATGAACGGGTGAACAAGGTCGGATGGTAAATTTTATTTGCAGCCTGCTTGGGGCTTGTAGCCAGACAAAGAGTTTTCGAGTAATTTGAAAGTCTCGTCGTGTGAAGGAGTCGCGTCCCACGGACCATGCGCGAGGTGCGTGTAGCTCGTACGACTAGATTTGAAACCCTGCGATGAAGCATTTTTGGAGATGATTATGAAAAGGAAGACAAAATCTCAATGGAATAAAAGGACTAATATCCCAAAGAACTTCGGCCATTGTGGTCTATATTTGAACAACGCCGACAACTCCTTCGGCGCCGGAAAGTCTCGCTTTTCGGCATGTTGTCAGTTTGCCGACCAGGCACAAGAGACCGCATACAGCCGAATAAAGCTTCTGAAATAGAACCTGGCCTTTTTCAGCTGATTTGTTTTGCTCTTTGGGGATTTTTCTACCTGCAAAATTGGCTCTATTCATCGGCTGTGATTGAATCATGATTTGCTGCCTAGAATACCAAGGTCCATTTGTTTGCCCCACGATGCATAGATATCTATTTCCAACATTGGACAAGCAACTGAGATCGGAGAGATAGATTTCCATGTTTCTTCCCTAACAATAGGCTTATTTCTATGGCATGGTTACTAAATCTAGTTTGTTTTCAGCTATGCCGGCAAACCACAATGCTCCCATTTGCTTGTCTCCTGTCATGGATGTAGACGACGGAAGAGTATACAGGGGCTGAGTGGGTGTCCTTGAGATGAAACTCGGTATTTCTAAGTAAAATAATTCTAAAGCGCGAAATTTCTATGAATGATGATCAACTTCTCCTAACGGCTCTGTGTAGCACGGCCATTTTTGAGTCCTCTAAAATGTCGGTTGAGCGTCCCGAGATCGGAATCCGCACCCGACTTTTTCACTCTCCATTTTCATCATTTTAGCCTCTCTATTTCCAAGCAAATTGAGCAGGGAAAAGAATCTAGCTATCTTTCGTGAGATAGAAATCTGACATAGAAATTGCAATGATTCCAAAAAATGCCCTGACGAGTTTGTTGCCCCGGCAGTAAGTCCCCAGTGACCCTTGTGTAAATTGCTGTCCGCTCATATCAGACCAGATCCTGGAACCTCATTCGCGGCCACTGTCGCATTCAGAATCGAGTAATGCAAAGCATCCGGATGAGCTCCTCTGCAGCAGCAGTCGCAGAAAAAGATGACGTCGCTGTGGCCCAGAACAACTACAAAATTATCCAAGAAGTTGGGAATTTTGAAGAAACCCAAGCGCAACGTCCAGACTTTGATCACTCCGAGCCAATCGAAGTCACAAAATCACCATTTCCGCAGTGGAAATACGGCGACGGAGTTCCCGACAATGGAGCGAGCTTGGCTCAACAGCACCATGAGATTGACCCCTACGCGGCCGATCGGCCTATGATCAACAACTATCGCCTACTCGTTTCTGGCATTGCGCCGCGGCCAATCGGCTTTGTTAGCACCGTCAGTTCAGAAGGACAGAAGAATCTTTCGCCCTTCAGCTACTTCCAGGTCCTCGACCATGACCCGCCAATGTTCATTGTTGGCTTTTCATCCCGTCCGGGTCGAGTCAAGGATACCTATCGCAATATCAAGGAAACTGGCGAGTGTGTCATCAACACTGTTTCGGAGAACATGATTGAGGCTGTAAATGCTACTTCGATCGATGCGCCCTACGGTGTATCTGAGTGGGATGTCTCAGGTCTTCATGAAGCACCATCAACAACAGTCAAACCCTCGCGGGTAGCAGAGTCTGTCTTCAGCATTGAAGGCAAGGTGGTCGACATCAAGGAGTTCAGCGATCACCAACAACCGGGCATGAGTATTGCAGCCAATGTTCTGATCAAAGCCACTCGTTTCTGGGTGAAGGAGGGCACTGCGAACGCGGATTACAGCCACATTGATCTTGAAAAATTGCGACCTATTGGCCAACTGGGTGGTGTCTCTTACGGTCGGATTTCATCGACCTTTGAGAGACCGCGTAAGAAGTGGGATCAAGAAGTTCCTAGCAGCGAACTCTTGACCAAGCTAGATGCCACCAAGCCTAATGTGAAATAGATATGTCATATCCGGAGTTTGTAACAATAGAACATTTGATTTGATTTTTCTTCGGTTTTAGAGTCACTCACTTCCCGCGAGGCTATGGATGTACTATGTAGTCGTCTGGCATCTTTTCCCGATGCAGTGTCGAATTAAGGCTGACATATATCCTTCTATTGACCCGGGTTGCTCCTTCGGAAGGAGGATATTACTATCCAGTAGGCGCCACTAAAAAGAGATTATCATAATAGGTAATATTTGAGGGCGAATATTATTCTTATCACCTGTCGGAAGCTGCCTCCGACAGTTCTTATCGCGTCGTCAACAAAAGCCACTGAACAACTTAACATTCATCTTCTCTATGTAGAGTTCACCTTTGCGTCTTCTACGATCAACAGGTTGCGCTCAACATATCAATCAATCTATCATGTCTATAACTCGTAACGCCACAGCTGTGAAACGATTCTCTCAAGCGATTCGCTCCATGGGATCAAGATCAATGGCAACGAGGACATGCAAGAGGAGGGAGTTTCTATGCATCCTGCCTGATCGACCCAATGTTCTCAGTCTAAGGAAACAGGTTAAAGGGTGAGGTTGATAAATTGTTATGAAGCACTTGTCGTTGCAGTTTGTTCGTCGCTAATACAGCATATCAGCGGGCACTACGAAGGAATCCAACCACTGATAGCCCAGGGAAAGCTGGTGGACGGGGGTGAGTCTAATTGATTATGAATGCTTAAGTGCAACTATTCACTCACATAAACCGTATTTGCAGGTGCTATATTTCAGCGGCATCCCGAAGAAGGCAAAGATGCGCAGTTTTTGGGCAGCGTGGTTGTCTATGCAGCTGAAGATGTCGAAGAGGTCCGGGAGATCATCAGTAAGGACATATATGCCACAGGTGGGGTATGGGATCTTGAAAAGGTTCAAATATTCCCTGTAAGTAATAGTCAAAGAAGGTTGTGTACTAGTCCGCTTGCTGGGCTAACAATGATTTAGTACGTGCCTGCCCTTCGGCAGCCTCTTCCTTAGACTCTTTCGTCCGAAACAGGCTGAATTTTAGTTTAAAATAGATCACCTGTTGACTCTGATAAATTGGAGGGAAAGACTACGATGTTTGAGGTTGGTTCATAAAAGTTTGTATATCGTAGCATCATCCAAAATCAGTGGCGAGAGGACATCATTATAGCTAGCGGTTGAGTTCAGTCGCCGGAAGTAGGCTCGCTGCTCCCTGCAGCCGAGTCAGCTACCGGCTGAACGTGGAAATGGCCCATATCAAACAAGATCTGCTGCCACTCAAGTCGGCCAGTACGTTGTATCCCGTAATAGTTCGTGTCATCTGGGAACCATCTTTCCCTCCGAGTCGACGCCTTGTTGCCTCCTTCCAGGGCTGCCCGACTGGCACGGGTTTTCCGCATTTGTTTCTCTCCAGTCCGCCCTTGTTCTTGAGACCAGGCCGCGAAAAGATTGTCCCTATATTGTTTCAGACGACCGTCAAACACCATGATCGCGCGAACGTAAGGAGCAATGTCCTCGGTGATGGGTGCAAGGCCGTTCTCAAAAGACGGAGCAGGTCGACCTGTTGATAGAGATGCAGAGTAACTTGTTCGCATGATAGGCTCAAATACTTTTCGGAAGCCTTTTGCTATCGGCGGCGAGATGCTTTGACGGGCAGCAGACTGGGCCCAGGCATTGAAAATTCGACCAGCGCCGGCAGATTCCATATCCTCGGACTTGGGGCGGAAAACTCGAGAAATGAAAGAATCGAATGCCGTGCTAATAGACTCACTCAGGCAGGAGTATTGAGGTAGCAGGTCGGCCTGCAAAAGCGGGTGAGCGTCAATGTAGTTGGCCCGATGGGATTCTGGAATTGGCGGAGCGGAGGTATCGAGGACGTCCTGATAAATTGTTAACCTAATAATCATTGAGAAACTAAAAGCGCTCAAACTAACCTGGAACATGTCCATTGGACAACCGGAGCAAAGAATATCTAGTGAGCTCCTCATCTCTAGGTAGTCCGTTTCGCGCGTCAACAGATCCAATTGTTCGATTTTAGTCATGGATCGGTGTTGTTGCGGAGGCAAGTGCTCCATAAGGCTCGCGCCAGCTGCATCTTCAGCATCCTGGATGCTCAGTCCCCACCACTTGAAGGTGTTCTCCAGAGCTTGTGTCTCTTTGGTGAGGCAGTCATCACCCAATAAAGCATCACGGTTGAACCAGCCCATGTACGACTCGTAGGTGTTCAAGCTGAGAACCCGCTCTCGGTCTCCATTGGGATCCACATTAGCCCCAGGGGGCCAGGTAGGAAGAATCCAATCCAAGCCTGCCTTTTCACTCCCAACGGCCATCTGACACCAAAAGTTCAAGTCCATCAGCGACCTGCGGATGTCCATGCCAGATGCGTGATAGAGCTTGTTGACAGCATCTCTCTTCAAAGCGTGCCCTTCGTGAGCAGCCACCAAAAGTAAATAATCAAGTGCAAGATCGAGAGAGGGGCGTTGGTATCTCAAGATGGCGTGTAGAGATATGTCTGGGATTGGAACCACACTTTCGTCGTTGCAAGTAATGATTATAGGCCTTTTGGATTGGCTAATCAGTGTCATGACTCCAGTCCAAAACTGGCGATCTTCCTCAAAAAGCACATCGGCTTCTTCAAGAAGAATCAATGACTGTTTCTGCTCACGTCCCCGCTTGCACTCAGACTCAGGAGCAGGACTTGACTTTGCTTTGTTACCTTTGGTGGATTTGGTATCTTTAAGCTTCGACGGCTGACCTTTGAAGAAGCTCATCAGTTTGTTTTGCTTGCCGTCAGCAACCGGAACCTGATCCTTCGACTTTGGTACAGAATCATCATTATCATTCAGAAGGTGGACTAGATGATTTTGTGTCATGTCGCCAACCCTCTCGAGCATGTCCCTGGCACTTCGTCGAGTACCAGGGTTGATCTCAAAGACCTCAAAGTCAAGCTCCTTGGCAACCGCGTACACAGATGCTGTCTTTCCGCAGCCGGGGGGCCACTTATAAGAATGGCATTGCTGAGCCGGCCTTTGTCTCCTCCATGCTGGCTATGAAAGACAAGATCTCCGGATCGAATGAGGCTCTTGGGGGCTGATACAGTAACATCGCCCGCCAGCTCATCATCTGAGCCTGAGAGGGCATCCATTTCGGATGCCTCCTCTCCACTAGAGACAATGAAACCGTCAAGCTCGTCGTCGTCCTTGCGCTTCTTCCGCTTCTTATCACGTTTAACCTTGGGCCTGACGCCTTCTTTGGGCTGCTTACCACTATCGACTGCGCTGATTTTGTGATGTCGAAGCCAGTCGCGAAGCATCCTAGCCTCCCGACCGACTTGAAGGACATCTTCTGCTTTAGTCGGACTGTACTTGTGGCACCAAAGGCGCGATTCGTACTTTCCACAATCAAAAGCAGAAACAGATGAGAGTAAAGAGGAGTGAAGGCTCTTGATCACCGGTAAAGTGGAAGCGTACGATGGGGTTTCGCCAGGCAACGACCAAGACATTTGGCTATCGATAGCGGCCTGCAGTGTACGCCCACTGGCGAGATGTCGGCCTGGAAGGCGCAGAGCTGATTTCTTGGTTTTAGGAGATTGCAGTTCAAGGGCAGCACATTTACGGGCCCATGCAGTGCTGACAAGAAGAGCATTCTCTTCGTCTGTCACCGCGATGGTTGGCGATTTGGATTTTTTGTGATCATTCTCCGGGCTTTCCATTGAAGACCGAGTCAACGCAGAAGGGTCAAGATCTGTGATATGAACTAGGTCTCGAGGCGGCCATAGTGGATGAACCAACTCGGGGAATTTGTTTGTTCGATGCGCGAATCCAGAAAACAGCGGCCGCGTGGGTCTCTGCTGCCCTTTTGCTTCGACAGTTTGCGATTGTTTGCCGTCTGGAATAGTCTTACTATCCGGGTTTTCTGTGGTGGATTGAGGGTCAGAACCAGAAGCACCTGGCGAATTTATGGGTGCTTTCTTCACAAAAAATGGATGAGTCGGTTTGTTGGTTCTAATAGGCGGTTGTATAGGACGACGAAGAGAAGCCGCATGAGGGGGTGAAGGAGCGAGGTGTTTTGTACGACCACCGAGTATGTCGTCTATTATCTTCCCGATATCGTCTCTTTTCGCAAGGGCATATTTGAGAATCACAAGCTTGCTTTCTGCCTTCCGGATTCGACCTCGTTTGCCACCTGCTTGCTTCGGCGCGGTAGTCTCTGGGGGACCCAGTGGAGGTGAACTGAGCAATCGGCCATTGGTGTTCAACTTGACAATTTTCCGTGGTTTTGTTGATACATCCTGCGAGGGTGTACTGGCTTTGGATGCGGGTGCTTCCTCAAGGCTTGTAGTACAGAACTGGGATTCGGTCGGGGCGGGTGCAGGTGCAGGTGCAGCCGACATAGACGGCGTACTGGAGTTCACTTCCTTAACCGGCGCTTTGGGAGCGACAGAAGCAGGGGCTTCCACCCCCAGCCAGCCAGATAAGCCGGCTTGGAGAGGTTGATCATGTTCGGAGTGCTTGCTCCGCTCGGTCTTCCGCCTCTTGCGTCTGCCAGCATTTGGGTCTTCATCTGGGCTCGAAGTATTCGGAGCTGGAGTCATGGGTACTCCTAGAGTGTATGGAAATGGCATCTGAGTGATCTGGTCGGGATTGGGTGTTGCAATTGAGGGCGAGGGCACGTTCAAGGGTGGTTTGCTGGATCTAGCTGGAGCGACGGAGGCATGTCCTTCAGACGACGTAGATTGGGACGGAATGGCGAGATCTAAGACCAAAAGTGAGCTTTGAGAAAAGGTTAGGTCAAGTCAGCCAAGCTAGACTTCCATACCTTTGCGGAAGAAAGGGTGAACTACAGGCTGTTCACCTTGCCCCATGGCCACGGGTGGACTGGATACGAAGGTATCCATGTGAGATAGAACGGAAGGACCATGAAGATAAGGGAGGACCGCCGGTGAAGGATAACATTCAAAACCACCAGCGGTCAATGAGTATGCCCTCTACGCCGGAGATGCAAAGCTCAGCTGGAACTGGCTATATCGTAACGATCGAGTGCAACACGTCCGACGCGAAAGGCACACCGCGGCGCGTCTAATTGGCTTATGTCATCTCGATTACATCAAATGGTAGATTAGGCGCTAGTCCGTATTGGGTCTAGTATAATGGTGGGTCCGGCCCGTTGTTATCCCGAAAATTTTTCAGATTTCCCCGTTTGGATGTCTTTGCAGCTTCACCGACACAGGCCCTAAAGGGAGTTCAAACCAAGGCTTTGTCAGGATTGCGATTGTTCTTCAGTCATGGATTTGCAGTCTCCCTCAGTCCTGGCGCAATTGCCGCGTCCCCTCCATGCCGCAACCGGCAAGACTCGCATCGGAGATGTCAATAGCCTCGCCGATGCCAAAAAGCGCAAGCGTTATGAACTTGCCGTCGCTGTCGATGGCGAAGCCGTCAACATTTATAACGTATGATCCTGTGTTGCAGAAACTTCGCCCCATCTCTTACTTACTGTTTCTTCGCCATAGATTCAAACCCCTAAGCTTGTGACATCCTACGCCGTCCCGCCGCAGTCCACATTTTCTTGTCGTCCCTGCTCCGTGCGCCGCAAGCTCTCCCCAAAAGTCAGCCGTCAAGAGACAAACCTACACTGCTGTCACAAAACCTGAGCACCAGATCAAGTGCTTTGTGGAGGAGGTCGGCAACGGGTCGAGTGCGCCTATGATCTCGTCCTCCAGCACCACCATCACGGATTCCAAGAGCCCCACGACATTTGTCGGCATCGTCCCTTTCAGCGCCGAAGACGAAACTGAGACTGACCCCTTTGATATCCTCGCTGTACACACCGATGGCCGTGTTCGCCGATTGTCCTCGGACCTGAAAACCCAGCACTGGAGTATCCAGCACAGTGAAATTGCGAAAGTCTGCGCTACTCACACCGTTCACTCTTGTTTCCTGATTGATCTTGAAGACGCAAAGAAGGGCCTGTTCAAAAGGCGGCAAGACCTGACTGCTCTCGCGTTCGGCGACTCACCCTCGGCGGGCGTCGATGAACCCTCCATCTTGATCATTGTTTCTCACCCCAAGGAAGCCGACACGATCGCGTTGCAGGATGTCAATATTCAAATCTTTTCCGTTCCCGCCAACTCCAAGTCCGGGTCCCGCGGTGTTGAAGAAAGCCAGCGACTTAAACACCTGCAGACTATCCAAGTCCCTACTCCGGCAGGGCTTGATAAAGTGAACAGCAACAGTCTTCTGCAGTGGAACTTCCACTCAGGAACGGCAGGTCTGCAGCTTTCCTTTGAGAATGGTTTTGTGAACATCGACCTGTCCCAGTACTCCCCGAGTGTGAGCTCGCAATTTGTTCTGGGTGAGCAATTCACTTCGATCATGCGGGTTTCGCCGCAATGCGTCATTGCAGCAAGTGAGTCGCTCGTCGCAGTCTATGACACCCAGTACCAGTCCGTCCAGCGGAGCATCGCCGCGAAAGATGTGGTTTCGGGTACCGGATCGAACGCGGACGGCCCCACCGTCTTTATCAGCTACTTTGCCAAGCTCGGTATCGCCATCGCCATGAAGGCCAATACTCTGGTTGCATTCGATCTCACGTCTCTGCATGGGCAGTCTGGCCCGTCTCTCAAGCGCTCGCGAGATGGTCTTCTTATCGACGCCATTGGTCGAGGTATTGGCTCGTCCGCTTCGCAGTGGGACATGTCTAAGAAGCACCGAACTGACAACATGGCTTCTATGCATCTCAAAACGCCCGAGCAGGCTGAAAAGTGGAGCCAATTCACCAAAACAGTTCACGAAGCAACTAAATTATTGAAGCCGGATCTCTTCGATAAGGCGGTTCTCAGTTACTTTGGCACATCAGAGGGAACAAAAGAGCTTCCGCAAGAGCAGGTCAGCCCTGAATCGACGCTTTTCTTGCTGTCGAAGATTTTCGCCGTCCAGGATTCCGCCATCACCGATAAGGTTTCTGCATCCTCTTCCTCTCAGTTGCGTGTGGTCCTTTGGCCCGCCGCCACCTGTGACTGGCTCATTCAGATCGGTCATCTGTCTTTAGATAACGTTGAAATTGCCCTGCGGCGAGCTTGCAAGCCACGGATACTTCAATCATTCCCAACTGGGTCCTTTGTTCAAGCTCTCATTGACTCTGACTCTTCATTGAAACAAGTCAACCATGTCCTTGGTGGCCCGGCGCTCGTGTCCTCTGATGAGCTGGCTTATGCGCTTAAGTTCTTCCTGAACCAGGCACGTCTGCATTCCGGCGTTTTGGAAGAGACTGCTCGCGCTATCACGAACGGCGACATTGCTACCCCTACCCAGGAGCTTACTCGTCACCTTGGAAGCGAAGTTGCCAGTTTGAAAGATATTTTCACAGGCCTCAATAGGTCCCTCCAAAAAATTCATTCACAGCCGCTGGCCTCTGTTGTGAAATCCCTTCGCTCCATTCTGTCTCGGACGGAGCTTATCTCAATGGTACACCACCTACGCCTCTCCCTCGCCACTGGTGGCTATACCTCCCGCTTCACCGAAAACCCCCCTACCCCCATCACTCTCGTCCAGATCACGCCTTCTCTTTCTCTCAATACCATTGTTGATCTGATCACCGCTTCCGTGGACGCTGTCGGTCCATCTGGTTGGATTTCTGCTCTTCCCGCCGTCAATGACCTCGATGATGACTCCGACTCTGCTATGGCTTCAGCAAGCCGTGAAATGGAGCTGATCGCCGATATGAAGTCCGAGGTGTCCGCTGCACTTGCTGGTGTTGAGGAGGCAACTTATCTCAAGGGCATCCTCCGTGAGTATCTCCGCTTTGCGGATCAGGTCGCCGATGCCTCGGCCACTTCCACGGATGCTGTTGCCAAGATTGACGATTCCGCCACTCGTGCGCCATCTCACTTGATTCGCTATGAGAAGCTCAACGGCGCTGATCTCATGGTGTTCACTCGCCCTGAGGAGGGTGAGGAGGGCTTCGATGGGGACGCGAGTGGCAAGATTCTGCCGCTGTCTCTGAAGCCTCCTTCGTCGGACGTTTCTCGCACGAAGGTTCTAAACTCTACTGGCGAGATCAAAGCTCGTACTAGTCGTGAGGTTGGATATCTCCGCCGCAAGGCGGCTGGCAAATACTCTTTCGAGAGACTGGTTATTTAAAAAGCGAACGGGGATACCTTCTGCATTTCATGTGTTATATTGTAACAAATATTTACGGACGAGAACCATACTAGGAGTTTGACGGTCAATGGATTTTCAGCAATCTTTGCAATCGTGTCTTATGTCCTCTGTCCATCCTTCGCCGAGGCTCTAGTAGTATCTGTACCCGAATTACCAGGGCCACGCCAGTATCACGTCTCACAAGTAACAGGCAATGCATTCCAAACAATTTAGTTGTTTCTCGAGCTGGTTTCGGAATGACGTAGCATCGAAGAAGAAACATGGTCCTCTAAGCAAGTTTTAGCAGCCAACTCAAAGCATTTGTGCGGTCCATCAAACTTCTCCATCATGAGCAAACCCTGCTGTATTTAAGAGTTTTGCATTGGATTCTTCTCTTCTCAAAAACCATATGCCTTTCCCAGATTATACTTCCTGCACCAGCGACAAGACACTTGCCGAGTCTGGCAGTTTCGGCATGAGTATCTTATGGCTCCGGTCCCCTTATCCACGCTCGGTGTCACATCCGAAGCCCACCACGACAGTTCATAGACTAGATCTCGAAGGTTTGGTATGGAACGCATGTATTCGTGACAAATGACGTATTTCTCCTGAGCGCAAACCTGGAAATACCGAGTCAACGCAGATATACCATGCGGCCAGACTTGGCTCCAAGTCTCAGAATCCCAGGTTTCCGCTAGATAGAAGCCCGTGGAGACAGAGAAGGGCTTTTCGGTATTTATCAGATGGTGAAATCGTATCATATCGAAAATTCTTTGCTGAGTTCGTTGAAGACTAGGGTCATGCCTCTTGGCCCGACTCAAATTTTCGGCGAGATCTTTGAGAAGTTGGTTTCCGTATGGTGAGGTCCAGCTGAGGCCATCCTCGTACCAGTATTTAAATCTCTCTCGTCGAAGGAAATCCGCAGTCGGTCCTTGAATTTTGTCTAGCGCGGTGTCAAGGAACCACCTGGTATCCATGAGCCACGAATCGATACTGTGCAATACAGTGGGACGCGTAATATCGACCGAGGCATGAGGTAATACTCTTTTGGCACTTTCGACCCAGTCATACAACAGGCCTCCAACTGCCCTATTCCAGAATTCTTGTGGTATATCACAAGTCCAGTCTTTCAGCTGACAGAACGGGACAAGTACAATTTGGGTATCAGGGCGACCTCCCAGGATACGGCGCTCCACTTTATAACGGATGGATTCTCTACGACGTCCCTCCGAAAACCAATTCCCTGTCAGCGACATAATTACGCGGGGGGAGTGTTCCAGATTCTTGACAGCATCGACCAGGCTGTTTGCGGTTTGCGATAGCTTGATTATCCGACCGGGATCTCGTGTGGATGAAGGTGGAATCGAAACGTGGAGAAGATTGTCATTGGTTCTGCTATGAGGGAAGTTTTTGATATGCCTGTTAAGCGTTTTGAGATCAGCCACATTTCTTCTTATATTAACGCTCTGGCTTGTCAGATTTATGACCGCCCAGGAAGCCTCTTCATGGGTGCCACAGAAGATAATCTCATGGTTCAGTCTCGTGTATAGATAACAAGAGATGTCGTTATAGAAGGAGCGACTTGTTCTCAAAATAGAGAGGATACTCGTTGTAGCTGTGGTGTTCTTGAGTGGAGTCGAGGGGATAAGGCAAAATAGAGCTTCCCAAATAATCAATCGAATTTCCACAGGAAGTTCGGAGAAGGCTCCAAGTTGGGCGAAGCAATTTGGCCCCTCGGTTTTTTGAGTTCCGTTACCAGTGACCTGCACGGCCATTCTCATCGACATCTCTCAGTGAGAGGTTGATTTAGGGAGGAAAGGAAATGGTAGTCATAATCTCAGCATCTGTACCTTCTTCAGCAGATGTATGCATTAACATATGGGGTTGCTAGATTCAGTTTGGTTGATTCCACAAGAAGCCTAAGATTTTCCTCCGTTCCCAATTTGAGACTTTTCTCGTCGGCTTTTCGTCGGAATAGTCAGAGATTTATTTCAGATGCGGAGGCATCAATCAACACTTATTAGGGCTGCGGAGGAAGACAGGCCTTTGGGCATGAGAATTAACATCACAAACTGAAATTAGACTGATCGCCCTATTAATGTAGCATAGATATAAGATCTCTCCGTTTCAGCTGTAATTAACAATAGTTCCACTGTACTCTCGGAGTGGAGCGCTTTAGCCCTGTTGGGCCTCAATACACAAGTGGGGCACAAAAAAAAGAGAGTTATCAGACCGACGACAGAAGGGGCATTCATCTGACTAGGTTAGAATGAGAAAATTAGTACTCTTCAACTTATCACCCCGAGACGTGGTTCCAAATAGGGACTCACATCAATGCTGGACTCTCTGATAGAAGATCCTAATTCTGATCGTCTCGCTTTTCGGTATCAGGAAGAGGACTGCCAACAAGGGGAAGTCCGTCCAAAATCGGTTCTCGCTTGATGATCGAGCCGGCCAAACCAGTAACCTGGTTAACGACATCTTCCACCGCACTCCCTAAGCCGAGCGGGTCGAGGTCATTCTGACGCTTGACAGCTGCTGGGGCAGCTAGGGAGAGGCCAGCCATGGAGGCGAGCAGGTACAGAGTAAAACGCATGTTGGAGTATGTGGGTTGATAATAAAGATGTAGTGGACAAAATTTGAGGATGGTCATGTAAGAGAGGGATGGTGAATGTAGTGGAACGGACTGGATTGGAGTCTAAGTGGCTTTTACGAGATCAGAGCATTCCGGGGCATATAAACATGATCTATTTATGCTTGTTGGTATTCAGAGTGTACGGAGACCCTGGTTTCTTGAGGGGGTGGAAAGACATGGTAAGGCGCAATTACGCCTGCCGGTTATCTCATTGCTGATCGGCAATGGACAATTTAGTGTCGCCATCCTCCATTTTCACACACTATTCTGTGATGAAGTTGTATGGTTTCTTTGCTTGTTGGCGAATGTTCCCCTGTCTACTTGCGATAAACGTAATTGAGAAGGATAAGCACGACAAATCAATAGACTTCAATCGAGGAAAATTAGGGCTTCGCCAGACAACCAGTCGCGTCACGGGGAAATAGTGTCATCCCTGCTACATGCTGCATGACTAACACGAGCTCCTGACTATTGATGCTAGAGTTTAGAAGCTAGATTCACTTCTTATTCTCGGGCTAGTCCTTGGTGTTGTGGCGTAGATCATCGCGATGACTTGATGAACCTAGGAAAACATGACATTTTAGCCCAATGACCGTCTCGGGCCAAGACAAGGCGCGACAAATTACCGAAGACCCTGAAGCTGCTGCGTAGATCTCTTTTCAGGAACACATCGAGGACTGCTTGGTCTTGCTCTCCGTCTGGGTCTATCTCATGAAAGACCTCAGATGGAATCACTTTCTAACCAAATGATCCCATCAGATGTGTGGTCTAGTCGTTACGAACCATGCTTTCAGTAAGCTATTTCAGACGTCGATATGTATCTACCTTCATCTTCCCTTTTCAGTCAACGTCACCGGAGCTAGCCATTGTAGGTTCTTCTGTCCGGCCCATTATTTCCATTTCAAGCATACCAGTTCGCTAAATATTACTAGTGAAGGAGGATAGTATTTCCAGCCATAGAAACAAATATTCTGGTCTCAATTTTTGATGCTCCTATCTTGTCTGTAAATCGATAATTGCCCTCGCCAGATTTTATTGTCGGTTGAATTTCCCTAGCACAACATGGCCCGTCTTGTCAAATCCTCCTTCCCGGCAAAGTCGACATGCCTTGTCCACATCATATTCCTCACACCAGCGACAGGGTCTTCCAAGCTCTTGACACCCCACACACGAAAACCACCACGGCTTCCTCTTTTCAAAAATATCCTTCGAATCCACACCCCACCAATGCAAATCTCGTGAAAACTGGGCTATATCTTTATTCACGAAAGTGTAGATGTCATACACTATCATTGCTTCCGGCGTCATGATTTCCGCGCATGATATTGCCTTCAGGCCTTTCGGTCTAGTAGTCGCCCAGAGACGAGAGTTCCAGGGTTGACAAATTGGTAATTCACGTGAACTCAGTTCATCCTGCGCTGCGCAGATTTGATGGTGCGTAAATACAGCATATCGATGTCGCAACCGAGCTTGGCCGAGGCGAGGGTCATGCTTCAGGAGAATTCTCAGGTTGCTGGAGATATCAGTGAGAAACTTTTCTTCGTACTGTGACTTCCAGGTATCGCCATCTTCAAACCAATTTGCAAATCTCCGGCGGCGGAGAAGCCTCGCCGTTTCTCCTGGGAGGGTGTCGAGTCTTGTGTCGAGGAATATTCGCGTGTCCGTCAGCCATTGCTCAAAAAGCCAGTTTGAATCAAGCAGATCAAATTCTGTATTGAGGCAGTCTTGATTCCCATTGAGCTTGATGGCGTGCTCTCTGAGAAGCGATACCATGGATCTCCTTGCGATCGGCTCGTTTGAGAGTTTGGTCTCATTTGATATGACAGTTGAGAGATCGTCTGGTAGATAATAATCCCAATCTGATAATCGAGTAAAGGGTAAAAGAACAATGTCATAATCAGGACGGTATTCCTCAAAATTATGTATGCTCTCCCTTGCTTTCCCGTTCTGATGATGCCATCTGCCGATCAACTCCACATGCACAGATGGAATGTACGATAATTCCTTCAGGACTTGAACCAATTTGTTGACCCTCTCTGACAGCAGAATGATTCTACCGGGGTCATTGCTGTATGAGCTTTGAATATCGACATATATCTTGTTACCCCGCATTTCAGGGCGAGGGAAGTGTTCAAGAACGTTTCGTACAGTCTGGATGTCATACAAGTCTCGTTCAACTATAGTCCATCTGGACTCAAGTTGCAGTCTGATACCGAGTTTGTCGGGTTCGCGGGGGCATATCAAGAACACACATCTCACATCCCTGTAGAAATGATATACAATCTCGTTGTGGAGGCACCGACTACAGCAGAGAATGGATAGGGTGTTTGGCGAATGCTCGATCGCATGGTCTGACTTGGGGGGAATAAGGCGGAAAAGAGCCTCCCACAATAGCAGACGAATTTCTGTGGGAAGCTTTGCAAAGTACCCCAACTGGGCAAGAGGACTTGACTCCATCCTCGAGTTTTGGATATAGTCCACAGGCTGGACGAAGTACATGTTGGTGGACGTGTATAAATAGTAAGGGGTGAATCCTGAATATTGACGGAAGAGTAAAATATTTCAAGAGAAAAGTGACTGGCCCGCTAACTTGGTCTTTCGTCTAGTTTTACTATCCTATTTACGGGTGCTGTCTACATCTACATGACACTGGAATGGCCTTAATGGGAATAGTTGATCCCATCTGTTTGCTGGATTGGGACTAGTTCGTGGGTTGTTTATTTTGATTTGGCGCTAGTACTCTTTGGGAAGTAAATCGGCGTCATTGGTCCAGCCAACAAACAGCACCTCGACTTCTGTACTACTCAAGTCCGCTTGCTTGACTTAAAGAACATTCAAAGAGTCCTATTGATTTGAGACTGTTATGATGTACATGCTAAGTCCACCCCTTTACCCTACACTGATAAGGTTCAGGATGATTGTTAGATGAACTATGATTGAAACCTAGGCGGATATATATATCGGATTCCACCAACTCTCCGAATGTCCGGAGGTGTCTTCAATCAAAATGGAAACTCGTCAAATTTTGTCACCTAGGTACCTACGATAAATTGTCTACACGGAAGATACTAGGTACTTAACGCACTCAAAATGGGTGTATAGTCAGGGCAATTAGGACAGGTCTAGATAAGTTTCGGAAGCTGACACCTAGGGTTCAGGCGAAACAAAAACCGTGTCGACTGCAAGCAATCCATCATTCGAGTAGCTTTAAGGTTGTAAGTTGAACACGATAGCCCCAACACTTCTCCGATATCTTGTTTGAGAGAAATATCGGTCAGGACATTTAGTGCGATCGGGTTGTTGTGGACCTGGCCAACGCATCGGGCTGCGGCTGGGGCACCAATCAGACTGTGGATGTTTGGCCCTGGGGCCAAAGACATTGATGACTAGTGGAGGGGACTTTGTTGAAGATGGGCCTGATCAAAACAATAGGATACCGTCAAGTTGCTAAGCGACCCCGAGGTTAAATTATAGTCCTGCTGCATTAACCCACAGACGAGTGGCGGGCAGTCGAGGGCGCATCACATAAGAAACCGGGCGACCAAAATAATAAACAAGGGAGCTCCGGTGGAGCTGAACTGCCCGGACCAACACCTCTCCGCACTCGACTATCCACCGAACCTCTTTAACCCTCAAAACCACCTGCATTCAATGTCTCCATGTTGGACTAATCGGAAGTACTTTACTCCCAAGTCCATTCGCTCTTCTCCTCGGAGCGTCTCTACGGAGCGTGAGCCGCCCAGTGAGACGCGCGCCTTCGGGGCCGCATCATAACAAAAAAACAATCCCAAACGACACGAGAAAATGGGCAACGAACCATGGCTCGACAGCCTGTCCGACGACTGGCCATCGGCACCTGCGACTCCTACGACGCCTGGACCGTCCAAGAACCTCCTCGCATCCTCGCCCCGGCGTGCGCAGGATTCCCCCAGTCGCATTCCAGTGGCTGCCCGCCGATCCGTGGCACAACAGTCATCCCCGGCTGATAACTCGAAAAAGGTGACCCGACCATGCCATTTCATTAGGAGAGAACCTCCGACTCCCAAGACACCCCGAACCCCCAAACCGAGGACGCCCTTGAAGCCGACCTCTACGACACCCGCAAGATCCAGAACAACTACCCCAAAACCCTCTCCGAAGCCGTCCCCGAAGCCGACTCCGAAGCGCAGCCCGAGACCCAGCGCGGGTGCGGCTGGCAAACAACCGGTAAACATGGACACGCGCTCTCCACTCCGATCGGTGTCGAATGTTTCTAGTCAATCTGGTACCCAATCGGGCTACCAGAGTACGGATACTGTACAAATTAAACCAAAGAAGGCTCGAGATGAAGGAGGAGCGACACCAGAATGGCGGAAGCGCCTGGTGCGCGGGGAGATTTCGGCAGGCGAACAACGCGACTTGTTTGCGCCAATGGGCCTCGAGAGTGTCTTCAAGCCACCAACGCCTGGGTCGGGGGCCGGTCAGCAAGATTCCATCCCGTTTACGAGACAGGACGATCACTTGTGGGAGTTCACCGACGCGACTTCTCGGCGCGGGAGCACGACGGAGGAACAAGGGGAGAGCAAGAGCTCGCCAGAACCGTTCGATGCTGAATTTTCAGGCACTGGAATGGAATCGCCCATGGGCACAGTCAACCGAACGCCCTGGGCGGGGAGACCACCATTTGATACGGACTTGACTCAGGAGGGGCAATCACAAGCAGAAGACACGGGAATGCGCACTGCTAGCGGACTTGAGGATCTTCGCAATGAGGGCATAACACCGATCACTTTCACTGGGCCCAATACCCTTGAAGGCGGAGCCCCGTCCGAGGTGATCAAGTCTGCGTTGAAGCAGGTCACCAACAAACTTGAGAGTTTGTCAATTGATCCCCACAGCCGGCCCGATTCACCGGCTAGTGACAGCTTCCTGTTTTCCAACCACAGCGAACCTCGATTCGACGGCTCACCGCGAGATGACAGCCTGCTGGATGTGACGAGTCACTCCTTGCCGCAGGACCTGTCGATGGGCACGGTCGACTTTAGCCGCCGCGGCGCCAGTCGTGGTTTCCACCATCGATTCTCTCCTTCTCCCTTCCCTTCCCACCGCAAACTGCCTGCATCCCTTGCAAACACCAAAATCCGCAGCTCTCCCCTCTTCAGCCGTTCCCAGACCAACGGTTCTCCCGCTTTACCTCGCCCTTCTTCCTCTCACGTTCGCCCTTCAACTTCCGGGGATGCTGCATCGAAGGAGGGAACCATGCCGTCCTCGGGCAGTCCGCTGAAATTATTTGGCGAGCACGACACTTTCACAAACAATCGCCTTTTGCGACGCATGAGCCAGTTTGAAGAAACCTTTGGCGACGGTTCAGACGGGGACGAGCCTCCCTCACCCTCGGAGGAAGCCCGTCGTAAAGGCGAAAGCCGTAGCTTCCTCAATGCCCGGCATGAACCCTTAAGCGAAATCTCATCGAGACTCAACGAACGGCTAGCATCGCGAAATGCCAATCGCCCTCGGATAAGTCGATTCGGAGACGGAGAACTCGACAAGTTTGACTTCTCGGACGCTAGCCCTTACGAGAACAAGTTGGTTTATGACGAAGTTCAGGGATTTGGATCTCGGCCTGCTTCACGGAAGCGATCGTCTGGTCGACAGCAATATCTGCGACGGCCATCTCAGAAGCTTGATTCTTTCCGTTATGCGAGGTCTGCTAGCTCTGGTTTCACTCGAAAACCATCGGCTTGGACAAGACAGAGCTATTTCGATCACCACAGGAACTTTACAGGATCATCTCAGCCCGGTGGGAAAGAGAACATCGGATTCCCCGAGATAAAAAGAGTACCCAAAGCATCGCGCGCGGATCCACGCTCCAAACGCCGTCGAACAATATTACGAGATGACAGTGCCGAGCCTGAAAACCCGCAAACCACGGGCGACTCACCATCAAAATTCGGGGAGAGCATGTCGTTGCTGCAGAGAAGCTTGTTGCAGCATGGTATGCAATTTGAGAATGGGGATTACCTGGCGCCTCCGGGTGTCGCGCACTCTATGCAACGTCCGAGAACGCCTACCCCAAGTCAAATTCGATCTTCTCACGAATCAAAGATTGCACCGAGTGGAGAGTACTCGGAGACGAACTTCGATGAGATTGATTATTCGGATTCATTTTCTCTCGAGGGTGACATTCCTCTCGTGAAGATAACTGGCACGAGCGAGTCGTCCCGAAAGGGGTCTATCACGACTCAAGATTACCTCAACGAGGCCACGAAGATTATGGACTTGATCCGTTCCAAAGGTCGACCAGCAGCGGGATTGACGAGTGTGCAGGAATCTGACCCGGACAGCGAAGAAGGGGATCTGAGTTACGAAGACGAATCCACGCGAGAGGCCTTCTCTCGGCCTCCAAGCCGGGACGGGACTGATTTGCGGAAACAGCGTGAGCCGAAAGAACTGAACCCCCAGATCCTCAACTACTTGAAAAAATATCAAGAGAGAGAAGATCTGGAATTTGGCGCGAACGAGTCCGTAATGTCATTGAAAGTTGATGATCAACTCAAGCCGGACTACCAGCCATCCCAAGGACTGGCACCCGAGCAGAGGAAGCGAAAGACTAGCGGGTCGACGTATGACATTGCAGAGGATATTGCTCACGATCTGATGACGATCAACACGCAAATGTCTGGTTTCAGCGTTCGCTCAGTCCCGACGGGATCTTCGCAGAACTCTCAAGCAAAGGGCATGCTGTCGTCGGACCTCGTGTCTCATTTGATTCCAGAGCAGGTCAACGGATTTGTTTATGATCGATCCAAGCATCAGTGGGTAAAGGACGATGCAGAACCGCCGGAACCCAAGACTGTTCACCCAGACGACCCTGAAGACCCTTTCCAGGATATTCCCGACTTGAGTGTGGATGAACTTCAGGAAATGATGCGAGTGCATGGTCTTAGTTCTCCCGCGAAGAGTCAGGCTGGAGATCATACCGAAAGCCAGCGTCAACCGCCAAGTGCGAACGCGTCCCCCGCAAAATCTGATCAGCGACCTCAAACTGGTGATGGATCCGTCAATGCAAGCTCTGTGCAGTCTCGGAATACACCCTTCACATCGAGTGTGCCTAATTCAGGGACCCGAGCCACTTCATGGGGGACGGAAGAATCGCCTGAAAAGAATCGCCTCCCAGGCAAGTCCTCTATACGAGGTGCCACTGGAACTACCCCTGGACAACAGCAGAAGAAGTCTCGTGTTGCGACGATCTCCTTCTCGTCTCCTCTCGTTTCACATGTCGCGTATCGAGATGATACGAACGAGTCAGAAGCCAGCGCTCAGCAGGGCGATTCAAAGGATGAAACTTCAGGCGATCAAAAAGGTGGCTCTGCACGATCTTCGGTGCCCCCGAGACCGCGAGAAACCTCAGTTGCAGGGCAACCATTTGTCCGACGACCCGTTTCTAGGATCGACGAGCGCAACGAGGACGTGGGAGACGATCTCAGTCTTGTTCGGTTGAGTGATTCACCAGGTGCCAAAGATGCGGTTGGGGTAAATGCCGGCGAGCAATCGCTAGTGCCTCTCCTATCCCCCGAACAGGAAAATAGCTACAGCTTCCACCTCAGCCCGCTGCCAGATTTCTCTGTTAATCAACCGGATCGTCCTTTGAATCTTGAGATGAGCTATGTAGCCCAGAGGACGAACCCGACCTCTCTCAGACAAGTTCATGGAACGTTTGCACTCGCAACAGAAGACTTGATCAAGCATATCACAGATGTGGAGCCCTATGAGCCATATTGGGAACATGTTCGTCGCCTGGTGCTGCGACAGAAAGGCCTGATCACCTTGCACAAACTGAATCACTTTTGTCCTCGTCTTGAGGACCTTGATGTTTCCGACAACGACATTGGCCAATTGAGTGGCGTTCCCTCAACCCTTCGAACTCTCAAAATCCCCAGGAACTGCCTCTCCAACCTCACTCCATGGAGCCACTTGACCAATCTGCAATACCTGGACATCTCTGGAAACGAAATTGAGACACTGGATGGCTTCTCCAGTCTCATCCACCTCAGAGAATTGAAGGCAAATGACAATCAAATTCGCAACATCGACGGTATTCTGGAGTTGAATGGGCTGTTGAGCTTGAAACTAAGCAACAACTCAATGACAACTGTGGACTTTGAAGGGACTGAGCTGTGAGTCAAATAAGTACCTGCATTCTGGACGTGAATACTAATAGGATTCAACTGTAGGACACGACTTCGAGATCTCGACTTGAGTCACAACTGCTTGACATCTGTCCGCAATGTTGAGTGGTTGCCATCCCTTGCGACATTGGATCTTAGCGCCAATCAACTCACTCGATTCGAGTCTCCGACTTCTCTTATCAGCCTTCGTGCCCTCAAGTTGTCGGGAAACCGATTAGACGCGCTCGATGTGCAAAATTTCTCATCCATGAACCTACTCTACCTCGACCAAAATTGCCTGACTACAATTGCGGGCCTGGAACATTGTCACAATCTAGAGGTTCTCTCAATCCGTGAGCAGACGCCTGTCACTCGGGACGATCCCGACTTTGCTCTGAATATCGATCTGGGCCTGGTGAAGGACATCCGGAAAGTGTTCCTTTCGTCCAACAAGCTTTCTCGTGGGTCTATCACCCCGTCCACCCCTCTCTTACGACTTCAACTTCTCGACATCGCTGCTTGCGCACTGAACGCTCTTCCCGCCGAATTTTCCTCGCGCTTCCCCAATCTCAAGGTGCTGAACATGAATTTCAACTCGGTCACGGAACTAGAGCCCTTGGTAGGCATGAACTGCTTGTCCAGGCTGACCGTTGCGGGAAACCGACTCGCCAGAATGCGACGTGTTTGTCAAATCTTGAGTCGTCTCGGAAGAACGAGCAAAGGTAACCCTTGTTCGCTTCGCAAGCTTGATATGCGGGGCAATCCTCTTACGATTGGATTTTATCCCCCGGCTCTCACCGGCAATGGATCGAATGCAGACCGCAAGAAATTGAAGGATCAAGCCAACGCAGTCATCTCGCGAGGAGATAATCGCCGGGACCTTTCTGACGCTCTCGCTGATCTCGACCACACCGATCATGTTGGTCATGCAGTAACCTGGGATGACGGCTCTAAACCCGATCGTGATGTGGAAGTCAATGATCCCTTCACTCTTCCACCTGCAGATGCACGGGCGGACGAAAAGTACCTCCTTCGTCTAGATCGTGCCACTCGCATGCGACGCAGCGTACAGGAACTGCTTCTTTATGCCGGAACCAGCGGATCATTGCACAATCTTGATGGATTGGAGCTGCGGCCATCATTGGGCGAAAATAACCCAGACATGGGTCAAGCCTGGGCGAAATTGGAGGAACTGGGCGTTCTTCGCCGAAAGGCGATCACAAATAAGGACTAAACGGCTTGGACTAGACTTGCATATCATGGTATAGGGAAAGCGGGGGCTGGATTTGTTTTGAACATGGTTGTCAGTGGGGGGAATGGTGTATCTCTCTTTTTTGGGGGGTTGGATTGGGTCGGACGTGGTCGCATTTTGGTGTTTGGTGTCTTCCCACACAACATGCATGATCGCATTATTGGAGTTTGATTTTTTGAACGCTCCCTTGCGAGCCCTGAATACTAGCGACAGCGTCTTATCATTTTTGAATTTAGAATTTTTTTTTCCCTTCCCTACGGCTCCGAGTTTTGACCGTAATGACGGAGAAAAGTCCCGGAGGGCTCGATGGAGGAATCTATCTGCATGATGATCACCCCTCCGAGTACGTATTGTACTCAGGAAGGTTTAAGTCTTGACTATCGATGGAAGAAAGTAAAATTCACACCGTGTTGGGACTACCAATGATGATACAGAAGAACTGGTGCTCAAGCCTTCCCCCTGATCCGTGGCTAGGGTCTTGGGTACAATTACCGGGCTGCGGGTAGGAGTGAAAAGGGAAAGAGCCTCATTCAGTTGCAGGAAGTGACGATTTAATTGGTTAGAAGGGGAGTCAATGGACAGGACAGACAGGACAGCATGGAGCGGATGGAATGGATGGAATGTAGGCTAGTCTAGGCCACGAACTTGCCTTTAGGATGACCCGACAGTCTGGTAAGGGATCGGCCCGGCGGCCCCGACCCAACGAGTTGGATTCTGAGGCCCCTTTGACTCTTTCTACGCAACCCGTCAGCACGGTCTTGGGTCATCGTTTCCAGAGTTCCTATTGCTCGGGGAACCATAGTTGATGCATGAGACTGCATAAGCGTGTTTCGCCCCGTCTAGGAGGATTTCCATTTGCCGGGGATCTGGGCTGGAAGGGATTATAATAGGCAAGAGCCGGGTCTTTGGATGCTATCGCTAGACCTGTTCTGGTAAGGATTCTCGGCGAGATAGGTGCTTTGAACCCGAGTTTGATGAAGTCAAGTGAAGTAAAGTGAAGTGAAGTAAAGTGAAGTGAAGTAAAGTGAAGTGAAGTGAAGTGAAGTGAAGTGAAGTAATGTGGAATCGACTTGAAGTGGATGATCTCGGCCCTATCCGTCTGTTAAGTGTATCTATTCTGTTAGTCGGGCACAGTTAGCATGCCCCTCCCCTCCATAAGTCGGGATTAACCTGCCCCACTATCTCTAAAGCCCCTTTCAGAGAATAATTGTGTTTGTGTTTCTTTTGTATTATATTTTTTTATATCTTAAACTTGGATGATGATCTGTCATCTTCCCTGCTAAAAAGATCCCTGTTCATGTCCTCCTGTTCTGCGAACCTTCTGCCTCCCACATAAATCGCGAGCCCCTCGAGAGTGCAAGATGGAAAAGGAAATCTTTTCAACCTCTCTCTACTATCTCGTTAGCCAGATATGTCCTTGCTCTTGTACGGCGCCCTTGTCTTGGGCGTGGCCGCCGGGCTGATATTCCGAAGGAGACAGGGACTCCAGTCAATCCCAGAGAACCTGGAAGCAAGTCCAGCCGTGAGTATTGATTACTAGGATCAAGATAAATGCTAATTCTGAGATACTCTAGGATGAATCAATACCTATTAACCACCTTGAATATACCCCTATCCCTGATGGACTGCGCCGACGTAGGCCATACGAATGTCAGTACCACGACCCGATCCCCCCACGAGAGCTTTTCTCACAAGTGATAGTCCAAAATGATTGATACATATGACATTCGGCAGCCATATTATTACCTTGGCTTTATGAAGGAAAATAATAATACGAGAGATGAGGCTGTGCACAAAAACTAAACAAAAGAAGGAGATTATCAACCGGCGCAAGGGCGAGCTCAGAGTTGGTCTTTTATTTGGGCGATGTTGTCTCTAGGATCTCTTGGATCTGCTTGAAAATACTATATAGATTAGTTATTTTTGTCACCGTCAAAATTGTACGATGTGCTTCCTCTTCAGACCGGACCCTTTACTAGGCCATATCGCAACGATACTTGTAGCTAACAGAAGGTCAGTATTGTACAGGATTCCTGTCTTGTCACGATATTGCCTAGTATTTTCCTGTCACACGAGTAGCTGACTACTAGGGCCCTGCGGCTCCCGGATCTCCTGCTGGCGCGGCGCAGAGATAATTTAATCTACCATCCCTCTACCATCCCCTCTACCATCCAATTATTTTGAGTCCACTTTTGAGTCTGCTCATATGTTGCTCCCCTTCCCTCCGTAAATAAGTAGTTCACTGGCATTAGATGAATTTATCGAGTATCATGTAAATATGCCAGACTTGTATGTATCATCAAGGTGGCATATATACGTGGTCAATCGAAGGGTACCATCGTTAATTACCAACGCTTCCGTCATTTTCAGTAGCTTCCGTAGTCTCCCCGCGAGCCTTTGCACTCTCTTTCGTAAATTTAGCCGTAAGTTCAAGTTCCTGCTTCTGCATCCTCTTTCTCCACGTTTTATCTCGGGCACGGAATCCACACCAAACACAACATGATATCAACGTCACTCCAATGAGAGGAAGCCCAATGACAAGAAAATAGAATAATCCTCGGTAACTTGCCCCATCTGACGGTTCTATACTGTCACTGCCATACCTATCATACTTCCCAGCTGGTATCTTCTCGCCGGGCTTCCATGTAGGAACGAGCATGCTATGTGTCAACAGTGGAAGCGAAGGAGTCATCGTATAAGTATCCGACAAAGCCCAACTAACTGTGTACGGTTGATGTGCGATGATTCCGCTTGTGAATACCGGTAAGCTTCCGCTGGTTGTCCAGTTTGCCACCGTGGGCGTGATTGTAGTGGGGTTACTCTCGTTGAAAGTCCGATAGCATCCATTGTACAATCCTGGGAGGGAGTAACTACCAGTCCAAAGATTGTAGCCGCTATCCCAAATCAGTAACCAAGCATGTTCACAAGGCAACGCAAACTCACCTTGCGCAGCAGTATGCCATTGAAAACGTTGTCGTCAAATATGTGTGGTACTCGGTAATAGGAATATGTGAAACAGTCTGCTGCAAATCGCAGTAGACCCAGTCACTCGGACAGACAGCCGGACTGAACGTGAACGGCTTTGAGGCGTTGAGATTCCACCCATCCGGTTGACAAGATGAAAACTTGGGATCGGCCGTATTCGACATCAGAATTGTCAAGGGGCTTCTTGTGCCGTTCGTGGTTATCAGAGTTGTTTCCATCTTCCATAATGATGCACAGGAAGTCGGCTGTACAAATGGCGTTGTCATTGCCGATATTGTTGGTGAGCTCGTCGTTGACGAGCTGCGGAAAGTTGAAGACATCGTGGATGTATAACCGGAGCGGTTGAATCCTTCGGAAAGGGGGGTAATCGAATTAACTCTTGGAGACACTGATATGGACCATCGATGCGAAGCGACTGTCTGATATAAGTAGATGAAGTGATGCTGGGTGGGTCACTGATGAGCGGGAGTACGCAGGCACTAATAACTAGGACGGTCTACTCCAGAAGCTATGAGCTACAGGCAGCAAGAGTTGCTATTTATGAGTCTTCTCAGGGACATATGCTTACGGTCTTTGATGAAAAGTAAGACGCTAAAGCATGCCAAGAACAGCCGCCTTCCGTGCACATGAGACCCAACCTGTAAGACTTTGAGAATACCCTCGGTTAGGCTCGCGCACGAGCGCTAAGCCTACTCTCGAGTCCCTGATCTCATATCAAGCTAGTGACCCCGTAGAGAGAAGAGTAATACTGGGGTTTACTACGGCGGACTACAAGGGCAACTTCCTTAAAACCCCTAAAACCCTTCCTTGGCAAATTTCAAACCGGCAGAATCTCGATTTCTGCTATTCTTTGTCCTACACAATCCACTATATAATCTACCATATAATCTTTACGATTCTTACATACCCTATGGAAAGCGATTTCCCCCTGAGTGACGATTGAAATTGATTTGACTTAACTAACTAATTATAGCACTGGAACCGAAATATAACCTAAAATTTAAATGTTAAATTAAAACCTACTACCTAATCTTATTAATCCTACAACCGTGGAGCTATTGATTCGTCCTCTGTCTATGCACGAACTAGGTCGCTAGCCCACGAGGACCCAGAAGTCTTTCATTCCTACCATTATTATTTCAGGTAATCATCCGCGAATAGTTTTCGCCTTGATAATAAGGCACTAGAAGTGACCGAGAGTTCTTTTACCGGGTTACAGAATTGCTCTGGTCTTGAGGCTATAACCTGGCGTGAGAGCGTTACAAATAGCCAAGCGAGTAAGTTTTGCGGACGACTCTTTAGGGCCATTATATTAGCGATCTTTAGATAGAGAGCAAAGCACGGAGAGAGGTAAGGCTTCTTAGGCTGAGGCACCAAATAAGGTTCATGAAACTTCTTCGATAACTGCGACGCTAGTACTCAGGAAACATTAGGGCCTTGATTGAGTGTGATGTCGACGGAATCCTCGTTTGGCAGTCGACTTGAATTTACCGTCCCTATTAAGCCCCAGCCCCCACCAAGTTCTACGCCTCGGGTCCGACTCGAATCTGTCGGCTGAGGATCATATATTAAAAATAGCGTGCAAAAGTCCCTTTTTCCTAACCCACGAAGTCTATACTCGCGGTGGTTGCGCGACACCGCACCCCTCGACGGCCCAGGCGTTAAGGTCCCTAGCGAGCCCTTCTTTATCCACAGAGGCCTGGTTGAAGAGCGATATATACGCACGATCGAACGTGTCCGGGCACGACCTCGTGATTTCTGCGAGTTCCTGGTGATAATGGGGCAGCGTGGTAGCCCCGTGGATGTCGATAGCCGCGCTAGCTAGCGAACAGTTTGGCTGCAAAGGTAGACCGTCGAGCAGTTGCTGTGTGGGACGTATGGAGGTCGGCGGTACAAGCAGCCACCCTTCGCCCACCCTGTCTTGTCTAGCGGTGCGACCGAGACGGTGGATATAAGACTCGCGATCCCGAGGAAGGTCTACTTGTATAACGTGGGTGATATCAGGGAAATCCATGCCGCGGGCAGTGACATCGGAAGAGAAGAGAACACCCTCCTTGGTCGATCGGAAACGGTCCGCGGTCCTGGTTCGCGAAGCATGCGTCAACCTCGAGTGGGTGCCAAATGCTGGCAACCTGCTAGAACCCAGCATCGTCCTTTGATGGGAAATTTCTCATGCAAGCTGCACCATGGCAGAGGTGTTGAAGTAGGCCATAGCCTTGAGGAATCACCTTGTTCCCTTTTGGAATCGTTCGTGCTCCTGGTCGAGGAGTTCGTACATGGATGGGAAGACGTTTGCACAGGAGGCAAGGTGCACAATGTATTGGGGGACATTCTCTTGTGTGCGGCTTTCAGTCTCAGCACTGGCTTCGCTGCAGTACGCGCGAGGCAGTAAGGCCACACTTCCCAATGCCAGAGGAAGGCTGCGGCGATAGAGCGATGCGGGGCGACTGTGATGAAGCGCTAGACTAGACATGGCACCACTATCTGCCAGAATGGAGCAGCGTCGGATGCCCTGCCTCAACATGGCGATCAATAGCAAAGAGATGCGGGGCAGGTCGGTCGGACGGTGTATCAGGAGCCCAATAGAAAACAAAACGGAAGTAGGCACCGGGTCAAGGAGAACCTTGGGAGCATGCAGTCGTAGATGTTGACTAAAACGGTCTAGAGCATACCTATGGCTATCCATTCATCATTCAAACATAACCATCTAGATAGGAAGCGCCGTTCGTCGTGCAACCCAGAGTCTACCTGTGGTGGATCCTTCGCGGGCGAGACAAATAGGGCCTCACCCTACCCTCCACGTCGCGACTGAAAGGTGGTTAGCCCCATAGTAAAGCAGTTTTGGGGCCGAAAGTTGAAAAATATTGATTCTTTCTTCTCGCAGAGTAGGTAGTCTCACGACAATTGAAATAGTGTAAGTCGTCTACCTGAATTGTCATTCTATTGTACACCAAATATAAGCTCCCCTCCCCCCGTAGCTGTATGCCGCACTATAAAATCGCTTAATGTCTCCCATCCCTTTACTCCCCATTTACTCCTTTCAAATCTATATTCACAACAAAAGACCTTATCAAGTACCCTATCAAGCCGCTGCACCCACCCCCTCAACAAGCGCCTCCCCCCACGCCCGATCACTTGCAACCCGATACTCAACTACCCCTAGCCCCGTAACCATAATCCAGTCCAAGAATTCCGGATCAGCATTCACAAAGATCGAAAAAGCCCAGCCCTTCCCGTTTTTGGATGAAGATCCCCAAAAGGACGATTTGGTCTTCTGGTCTGCTGGCTTGTACTTGTCGAAACGAGCTAGTACGTTCTTATTCGAGTCCAAAAGCTTGTACTTTTTCTCGTGGAGATCGCTTTCTTTCCAGGAGAGAGTGCCATAGCGGGGGTGGGTGAATTGGTGAGAGCTGGAGAATAGGTCTGGGCGTTTCAATTTGAGGTCCGTTTGGTTGTGGATTGAGAAGGTTATTTTGGATGACATTGAGGAAAGAGTTATGGTGCCGATTGGGATTCTGGTTTGTTGAGGGGGGGTTGGCATTTGGTATGGGTGATATTGTTGTGGTTGTAGTGGTGGTTGGGGTTGGTATTGTTGGGGTTGATATGGAGGGTAGGCAGGTTGATATTGATGTTGTTGCTGTTGTTGGTATGGGTACGGGTTTGGTTGTACAGGTGGTGCGTATGCATAGTTATTTTGGTTCGGAGCTGGAGGAAATATCTGTTGTGGAGGAGGATATACAGATTGCAGACGAGAGATCGTGAGGTTTGGATCTAGATTTGACGCCAGAACTTCGTAGAGGGGGACTGTGGTGCCATCCCCATGTTGGACAGAAATAGTGAAAGTGCTGTTTGATTTGACTCGATTGTAGGAGAGGATCTGAACTGGTTGATCCATCTTTTCAGTACTATAGGTGAGTTGTTTAGTTTCTGCAGTTTGCTGGAAGACGACGAGGGATTGAAGCGATATTTAAGCCCGACACTTGGAAGTAATATGATGCTGCCTCATAATATCCATGGCTGAAGAAAAACTCAGCTGAGCTCAAGAACTCTCGGCATTTGGATCTGATTGGATTGCCCGATGGATATTGATGACAGGAAAATACGAGGGCCCACGGGCGCAGCGGTACAAACCACCTTTTGGAGAGGCGCAGTCAAGATGTTACATACTACGTCATGCAGTGCAGCGCTGTCAGGCCCCCCTTGGAAAGTTGAACTTGTAGACTTTCTATTAAACAACACTGTTCACTATGGTTTACGAGAATTGCCACTTATCAGTGTTAGACAGGCTAAGGAGTTTTCCTTTCCAGTGCACATAAGCTGAGCTCAGCCTCCTTTGAGGAATAGGCATATGTTTGACTGACTTTAGGCATCGAATAAGAACATAAAATTAATTGAATTAAGTGAATATAATAGAAAATTAAATAGTTCAGCGAATGTGATTTACCTGGTCTAGGCACGGTAAAATGTGTTCCCTCATTGGGTTCAAAGTTAACCTCCAGGCAATTCTCAGACTCATTTACCCGGAAGCAGGATCTGCTTCTGCTTCTTGATCTGGTGAATGACTTCAATGTCAACCTTCAGAACATTCGCAACAGTATCAGCCGGGGTCAGAGCGAGCCACTGAGCAAGCGAAATATCGGCGACACGGTCACTCTTATACAATTCAACCCAAATGAGCTTCTCAGTCTCAGAGGTGTTTTCGATGTAGTGGCCTGATGTAAAACTTTAGCTCTTGGTCTTCTAGTCGAAATAATAATTCGGGTACTCACCACTGTTATCAGGGAAGACAGCAGTATCTCCAGCAGTGAAATCGAAAGTGCGAGCCTTGGAGTCTCCAAGGAAGACAGTTGCACGGGCATTACCCTGGTGGAAGTAAAGCCATTCCTCGGCCTAAATACATGCCCAGTCAGTGTCAATTCAAGGTTAATCAAGCAGGGCCTAGCTTACATTAGGGTGCCAGTGCAGCTCACGCAGACCCTTGGGCTCAAGCTCGACGATGGCAGCTGCGATGGTCTTGGAGATCGGGAAGTTTGTAGAGTCAATCTTGCGGAAAGTTCCACCGTGGCCGGGAACAGGCTCGGAGGGATGCTTGTATGTATGGTAGACATAGGAGCTGTTGCCCTTCAGAGTACCCTCGGGTGCCTTGGCAAGATCCGAGCTGACAGTGCCGTTCAAGATGTATGGGAACTTAGCAGGGACGTTGTCAAAGACAGAAGCATTAACACCAAAGTTTTTGGCCAGGATCTCCTTGGGAGTGTGGGCAATCCAATCATCGACCATGAAAGTCGTCCTGATATCCAGTTAGCATAGAGCAATACTAGGTTCTGCAGAAGTTTTACTTACCCGATCTTCTCAAAGTCACCATCATCAAAGGCAAGCAGGTACTCGTTCTCATCATCCAGACCCTGGACATTGTGGGCAACACCCTTGGGGAAGTACCAGATATCACCAGTTTCCAGCACCTCAGTGGTGAAACCTCCGTTTTCATCAACGCCGGTGAGAAGGAGAGATCCGTTGTACACAAAGCCCCATTCAGCCTGCCAGCCATTGTAAGTAAGAGGATTTGCAGGCTACTTTCAAAGAAACGATCATACCACTCGGTGCCAGTGCAGCTCACGGGTGGCTCCCTTCTTCAAATGCTGCTGAGCACCAGCAATGTCATGGCTCTGTGGTAGGTCCTGAATGACCTGCTCACGAGACCAACCACCAGGGAACAGCCTGGTCTGCGACTGGGAGAAACTCCACTTGACATTAGGGACGAAGCCGTTGTCGGTGGTCGGAGTGCGAAGTTGATCTGGATTCTGGAGATCCACTGCCTTGTTCGTTCCACCTATCGAAGAATTTTTTGATAAGCAAAAAAGCTGCAAGTGTTGGAAGAAAGCATGCATCTTACCTAGCAAAGGAGCGCCCCTGCCATTCTCGTTGTTGATAGGCTGCCCGCTATTCGCCGGATCAGATCGTTTACTGACTCTGGGAACTGCAAGCGCAGAGCCTGACAGAAGGCCAACAACTGCGAGACTATGGAAACGCATTGCTCAGGATAATTGAAAAGATTGAAGTGATGGCAATCGGCCTGGTATGGTCTTGGCTGATTATACTGGTTTCCCTTGACGAGGGTCTTTTATATACACATTCCAACAATCTACATCATCATTCTTCGAATTGGTGGCGCCTTCAGGACAGGAAAATGCCAATCACAACAGAATCAATAAATATTGCGATATACTACGATCGCCTCGAGCGAGGAAAGTCTAAACATCTCGTGTCCTAGTGTAGATACTTCGACCTTAGCAAAAGGTGGTGAGATTCAGGGACAATCAGTAATTTCAACATCCCGCGCGATAGCCTGCAAAAAGCCAGACCCTGGATCAGTAGCCAAGGATGTAAGAACCTGTTCTCTGTCTTGTGGGATTAGGGGGGTAAATTAGCGTGGCTGTATGTATAGCAACATCCTTGGCATACTGGCGAAATCGACGAGGCGTCGGTCGTGCTGATGGGCCCCATGGGGAAATATCAGCGCCGATCAGGGCCCTGACAGAGACCCTTTCCCAGCCCTAAGTTTACATTAGTTTTCAGTGGCGGAAGACAAATTCGGCCTATATTTGATCACACCATCCGTTGTTTAACTGACTGGTCGGAAGATATCATCTTCCTCTTGGCGTTCGCGGATCCTCATCCCATCCTCACGGCATAGTTAACGAGGCGTCAGAACTAAGCTTTGCTTTGACCCTTGATCTCGATTTTGGGATTTCGATAGTTTCTTGGGCCAAATCCCGAGAACCCTCGATGAAAGCCGAATGCCAATGGCTGGGTCGTATACACTTGGTGTTCAATATAGGCGTTCACCGGAATCGTCCCAGCTTGTCCGAGAGGTTAGTCAAGGTCAAAGACGTTTGTTCGGATATAACGGGAATCATTCAATTATCATCAGGCCTAATCAAGCGATTAAACTTGGTCTTATGGTTCTTCAAATACTTGGTATGTACAAGACAGGAGATACGAACCATCGGGGAGCATCAGACGAACTACTACTCATTTCCCGGGGTTCTGATCCCTGCAGGAATGTCCCGCTCCTCCTCCAGGAACATGGCCTTGTCTCCGATCACGACATAGCATCGGCATTAGCTAGGCCTTGGCCCTGCATAAACTAGGGTGATAGCGTGAAGGTAGTTTTGATCTGCCATCTGAATAGTATCATCTGCCCATCGTATTCCTGATGGACTAGATCATTCGCCATTTCGCAGATCAAGTTCGCCTTGAAAGTATTTGATATTCATCGAAACCCTTCATACACAAGATGGCTGAGTATTGCGTGCTTGGGCTTCAATAGTTCTGAAGCTGACAAGAAATTGAAAAGGAAAGTGGAATGATATCTGGAATTGAAGAGCGAAGCGAGTGTCTATATAATCTCCAGTATCTCCCTCAAATCTGCTCACAACAACGCACATCTGAGGCACTTTCCTTCATTTCTATTCGCCTAAAATTAGCCAAACAGATTCAAGATGAAGTACGCGCTTGCATCTGCAGCATGCCTGATCTCCCTTGCGGAGTGTCTGTCTCTGCCTCCACTCATTCCTTCTATTCCCGGAGTCACAGAGCCGTTGACTACCAATGCCCCTCCTCTTCCAATCTTGCAAGTTCCCACTCCCCCGCTGGAGAGCCCCCCTTTCACTCCGAGTGATATCAAGCCCAAGAAGATTGGTTACTTCTGGACTGGCTCGGGTGACAAGTTCCACAAGGACTTCCTTGCCACCTACAGCTTGGATGATGATACTTTCGGAACCCTTCTGTGGGTTACTGATGTCCCATCTAGTGGTAATGATCCTCATCACTTGGGACCTTCTCTTGACGGAAAGACCCTGTTTGGTGGCGGTCTGCTTTCGCTTCTGAAGACACAGGTAAGCATTACCAGTGTATCCCGAGTTTATGGTATTCCGTCTAACATTCGTTGCAGGACACCGGGTTCTACTTTGATACCAGCAACCCTTACCGTCCCAAGTTCCTGAAGAGCAACCGTGCTATTCTTTCATCTATTGCTGATGAAGTCCGTGCTAAGCCCGATGGTGGTTTCTTCATCACCTACATGGGCTCTGCTGTGGGTACTAGCCCTGGTCGTCTGATCGAAACCGATGCCAACTTCGACATCATTCACGAGTGGCCTGAGGATGTAGAGGGTACACTCAACATTCTCGGAGAGCAGTTCTCTCCTCACGGTCTGAGCATTGACTGGGAGAACAAGTTCATTCTTACTTCGGACTTTGTGGAGCCTATCTCTATCCTCAAGCCTACCACAGGCGTTCGTCGTGCCAACACTCTTCGTCTCTGGGATCTGGATAGCCGCAAGATCCTCAACACTCTGACGATTCCTGATGTGAGTATCTACCGACATAATATTTAACTACAGAGTCCGTCACTAACTACAAGAACAGGGCGGTGGTATCCAAGACGTCAAGTTTATCCCCAATCACCCCGAGGCTGCCGCTCTGGCTACTGCTGTCCACCTTGGCCAGGTCTGGGTCATCTACCCCCTTCGCAAGGACGCAAACGGCAAGCAGGGTGTCGTTGAACTGCTCTACGATCTTGGCCCCAAGGCCCGTGACACTGTCGCCATCTAGTATGTCTCATACTGCCAAGAACAAGTTGGACCTAAACTGACCATCCCCCCTCTCACCAGCACCGACATCAGCCAGGATGGCCGCTTCTTCTACCTGACCCTCACCACCGCCAACCACATTGCCGCCCTCGACATCAGCGACCTCAGCGACGTCAAGCGTCTTGACAACCCCGATGAGGACCAGCCTACCGTGGGCCCTCACTACGTTAAGGTCACTCCGGACCAGAAGCACCTCGTTGTCACCGACTACTTTGTCCAAACCGGCGAGATCGGTATTATCAACACTCCGGCTGACTTCAAGGCGCTGTACATTGATATCAACAATGATGGCAGCCTGAGCTTCAATCGTACTATCGACTTTAGCAAGGAATTCGAGAACCGTGGTGGTGCTAAGCCCCACTCCAGTGTGATCTTTGATCTGACTGACCCTGAGAACCCCCTGTACTACTAGAGTATGTATACATGGGGCTGGGTTTGCCGAGAGGAGAAATATACGCTTGGAATGTGGGATGTGCTATGGGTGGAACATATACTTAATCTTCGTGGGCCTTGTGTGCCGCGCGCTTTGTACTATACAATAGTGCTATTACATTCTTTAATATTGATCTCGTTGGGTAATTCGAATAGGCTCTTGTCACATCTCTAAGTCATTTTATCTAATTTGTATAGGAATGAATCATTCACATAGCATCTTCATTCATATTGTATCTATCTCAGACTTCATCAACAGTAGCCTTGTGCACAGATTTCCGATCAGGGTCCGAACTAGGTCCTTGAGCCACATTACCCTCCGTCAAACCCGATACACTATCTTTTCTCCCAACGACTGTCCCTTCCAACGTTTCCTGGAACGCCTCACGCTTTGGTAGAAGATATCTCACATCAATGTAGCGAAGGGCGCACGTCATGATAATCACAAGTACCAACAAGGCCAATGCAGATTGCCAGCCATACTTGTAAAATGGTGCCTGCGACGCAGGCCATACCAGCACCTGCGACCAAGCAGAGATGGCGTAATATCCAGCTACGGAAACACCTACAACGAGTGAGCGAGCCTCGGGATCTTGGGGGATGAGGTCTGAAAGCCAAGCGAAGATGAGCGGCGCTGTACCGAGACAGATGAATGATATAAAGTATGATGCGTAAGCGCCGGAGAGTGGAACTGCGGCCGGATGAGAAGTCCAAATACTCATGACGATGCAGGGAATGATACCGATAATTCCCTGGACCACGATGAGAGTCCATCGAGTTTGCAGGAAATCCGACAACAATGCCCAGATCCACACAAAGACAACGTTGATGGCTGATCCGCCGATCGGGATCGCGTTGACTTCTGATACTGTCCATCGTGGGGTTCCATCGGGTCTCTTGAGAGACTTGAGGAAGAGCGAGAAATAGACGTATCCGTATGTGCCCAATACGGTCGCAATATAGAGAATCGCGATGAAGTACACCACCCAGCCCGAGAATGTACGCTTTACACCGGCCCATGTCATTTTCTTCGGCTCGGCTCGGCCATTACGAGCAAGTCTCTCCATTGACAGCTCGGCATGGACCTTGCGGAACCAGAATGCACGAGGGTTAGGGTTGTTGGGGAGATCTGGGATCATGAAGAATCCCGCAAATCCCCACACCACGGTGATAATTGCATTAATGACGAACAGCCATCGCCATCCGGCAAGCCCGCCGTGGCCATTGAGCGTGTCGGAGATTGCAGCCTGTAGCGCTCCGGACATCATCTGGCCCACAGCCTGGCAGGAATGGTAAAAGCCCATGCGCTTCGCAAGCTCTGTTGGCGTATACCAGTACACTTAAGAGCGTTAGCAATCTGCAGCTTCAATACAAGACTCTGGAAATGACTTACTCAATAGGGTCATCATTCCAGGCCACGCGCTGCTTTCGCAGAGTCCCAAAAACACGCGGAGGACGTAGACTTGTTTCGCGTGCGTGGTCATAGCAATCAGACCGGTCAATACACCCCACACAATCTCCAGACCAGGAAGCCAATAGCTTGGTCTGATGTATGTGAGGATAACTTGGGAGGGGATAAGCATAATACAATATGCGACATTGAAGTACGTCGTAAATCTAGTATTCATTAGCAATCTGTTGGTCCGACTCCAGATCGCAGAGAAAATCGTACAAATTCAATTCATTTCCCTTGAGGTTCAAGTCCTCCTTCATGCCAGAGACATATGCATTATTGATGTTCTGCTGGTCAAGATATTTGATCACTGGAAATGATTAGTTCTTCTATTGTATATTCACTTTTTAATCAAGATGCAGTCGTACCTTGTGAAAGGCACCCAAAGGTAAGCAGGAACGTGTCCAGACGTCGGACAAGAGCCCGCTCATCCGCCGTTCGGACATAGCCATCCGCCGGGTCATCGCGCCGAAAGATCTTCGAGAGGCCCATGATCACTGGGCAAGGAGCCAAGGGAGATGATCAGTAGAAGAGAAACGGGGAGACTGGTTGTCTGGGATGCGTCTCCTCTTAAAGAGCACAAGAGAGCCAAGCAGTCACCGTCCCGATAAGCTCTCGCCTGCGACTCGAGCCATATCTGGGGGTCAACATGCCCCGTGCAGATCGCAGATCGGAGGGGGGCTGCTGTCTTGTGATAAGAAACTCGCGTCCGCCACCAATCGCAAGACACCCAGAAGGAACTTGGCGTAACCTCGGGAATGCTCCGAGGCCTTGGAGACAGAGCCCAACGGTCTGGAGAGCTCGTGTGGGTTGACTTGAAATAGTCGGAGCTTCCAGTCTTACCCCGCCTGGGGCACACTCTCATTTTTACCTTCCGCTGGCTTTTAGTGCAGGTCGAGGCGAGGGTATGCCAGCCGCCAAGCGCCCCCTTACCACGATAGGGTCGGGATAGTGGCGCGCTAGGGGGCGCTAACCGCTCACTGGGGGGCTCTTTCGTAAACCGTTGACTCTTCTGAGCATGGCTTTTGCGATAAAGGGTTTCCTGGTAAGGAAAAAGAAAGTGGGTTATGGTGGAGCGATAGGAAAGTAAAACCACAAGAGAAGTCACGGAGTTCTCCCCGCACGAAACGAATAACTCCTCGCGACCTCGCGACCATCAGTTGCAATCCCGGTTAATCGGCACTGGCCGACACGGTCACTTGTACCAAGCCAAGTATATAGATGAAAGGAGATTATCTGACACATAAGATTTCCTCCATTTACTCCTACTCCGTCTTCGCAATTATGGCCAGTCCCCAGAACGGATCCAGCAAGAATCTGCCTAATACCACTCCCTGCTTGAGTTATTGGCAGCGCACCACTCGTGCATTTCCCCATCTCTTCGCTAACCAACATAATCCCGTGCCCTCAAAGGCTAAATATGTGGTTATCGGCTCGGGAATATCCGGTGCTCTCACAGCGTTTGAGCTCCTAGAAGCAGGTATCAAGGCCGAGGATGTGGTGATTTTGGAAGCGCGAGAAGCAGCAAGCGGTGCGAGTTCGCGAAATGCAGGCCACGTCCGACCGGGTATGTTTCTTTCAAACGAAGAGATCGCATTGTCATGGACTTGGAATTTCTGAAAACCACAAGTACTAACATTCATTAGACGCATTTCGAGGCTTCAATGCCTATTCAAAGGTCCACGGTCCCGAACAGGCTCTGAAGATTATAGCCAACGAACGTCGAGTCCTTGAGAAAGTTGACGGGTTTGTCAAGAAACACAATGTAACATGCGACTTCAATCTAACAACTACATTTGATGTCTGCATGACCCCCGAGTTTGCCAAGTATGAAGCAGAGAGCCTCGAGGCATACAAAGAAGCCGGAGGTGATATCTCGCACATCAAATTTTATGAAGGACCAGAAGCCCAGGCAAAGACAAGAATCCCAGGAGCCATTGCAGCATATGAATGGCCCGCAGGTTCGAGCCATCCAGCCAAACTGGCACATTTCTTGCTCAAATCTGTGATCGAGCGTGGTGCAAAACTGTTTACATTTTGCCCAGTCACAGAGGTGAAACCAAATGGCTCGTCTTTATGGGATGTCCATACCCCTCGGGGCATCATCACGACAGAAAAGATTATACACTGTACAAATGCTCATGCAGCGCTCCTACTGCCTCAACTCGAAGCCTACCTTCGACCAAATCGTGCACAAGCCCATTCCCTCGTGCCGACTCCGGCTTTCGCAGCGGAGAATGCCCTTCAGAATACATTTTCACTACGTTACAGTCTCCATCATTTCTATTCCTTGATTCAGCGCAAGGGCGATGGTACACTCATCCTGGGAGTTTCTCGATCCAACCCAACCCTGAGCCCCGAGACTCTGGACGGTCGCTTCAGCATCGACGATTCTCACTTCAATGAAGAAATCGCCCAAGATGCTCTACGGAGCTTCCACAACCTCTTCCCTGACTACGCTCCCGATGGAAAGCCAATGTTGCACGGTGAAGGCTTGGATCATGCATGGACCGGGATCATTGCGATGACCACGGACTCTGTTCCCTTTGTCGGGGCGATTGATTCATTACCGGGTCAATACATTTGTGCTGGGTTTAACGGTCATGGTAAGTGCTAGAATTTGATGGAGATTGACCTTGGCTAATTCTTTGGTCCCGCAGGTATGGCAAGGATATTCACATGTGCTCCTGGAATTGCCAAGATCGTGCTTGGACAGGCGTGGAGCGAGACTGGATTGCCAGAGTGCTTCCAATTCAGTCAGGAAAGACTCACCCGACTTTCTAATGGAAACCTACCTTCCATATGGTGAAATATAATCAAATTATCGGGGCAAATATCATACACTTGATCATCATCATTTTTGCATATCGTGGCCAATGTCGGAAAACAAACTACTGAATTGAGCCCTTCTTTTACAAACGCCGTGGTTTTCTACTTTAAGACTAATCGCTCAACACGGCTTAGCAGGCTAGCTAGTAATGCAATAACATCTCAATCAAAGGTCTTTACATATACGTATAAAGGTTGATTCTGTATAGTATCAAATTGTAGAAGGATAGCGAGAGGAAAGACGAGAGGAAGGACCGGTAGTAAGGTTAGTCTTTGCAACAACATGAAATAGGTCTAGGTTTCCTACCCAAGAGTGTGTGCCTGATCTTTATAGAGATATAGGTGGAGAGGTCTAAGTATCTTGTTGGTAACTCTGCCATTTCCCAAATAGGAAATGAAAGGTTCAAATTCAATTGAAATCACTAGGAAAATCCGGTAGATAGCGAAAAACTTGAAAAGGGGCATTGAGTAAAGAAAGGGCATCCGTCATCTATCAACTAGCGATTGCTAGAGCCAGGAAGGCATGGAATGCACACCTTGCGCAGGGTTTCATGCGCAGGCTTGGTGGAGTTCATGACATCCTGGATCTGGTCAGTTAGTGTCGCCACTTGCTCCGTCCGGTTTTCGTCTAGTCCCTGCTGTTGGCCCTGGCATAACTGTTTGATCTGTCCAGCAATATCCACGACGGCATTGCGGAGCTTTTCAATCTCATTGAACGCATTCTTGGTCATGTCCTTGCTGATTGAGGGCTTGGCACGACGGTGGCCACTTGCGCCACCAGCCAGGGTTTTTTCGTCCTGTTCTGCTTGCCAAAAGGTGCAACGCTTGTAGTTCCCATTCCACCGGCAGTTACCGCACGCAAGGAGATCGCCTTCACCGTCGCTCATTCGAATACACTTCGCCTATAGAAATGTCAGTATCCTTTGAGTCAGAAGTAAATCAAACGGCGTAGCCTACCCAGGGCCCGTATGACTTCTTGCAACAGTCACACTCATCGACCTGCACCTCTCCCAGACATTGAATGACTGCTGATTCGACATTGGCAAGGCGCTCGCTGATTCGCTCTTCTTGCCGTTTGCCGGACCAGAAGAAACCTGAGCGGCTCATGGGCTCTCGGACAGGGTCTATGCGAAGGAGCTTTGGAAGGACGTTACCCTTGAGCCACTCGCCCTGCCACGCCACCTTCCAAGGCACCTTCCCGGAGTTTTCCGGCCCATTCTCCAGGTGGCATCTCTTTCGAGCCACTGGATGCAGCAGGGATAGCGAAGAGTTCTCTGACGGTAGTAAAATCAGGTTCAGTACTTTGAGACGGAGTTGCTGCCATGTTAGATTTTTGTCAGAGATTGGAGAGGAGGTGAGTGAAGAGGAGACAAATGCAGAGGAGATGATAGTAACTGGCGTCCTAGGCTGCCCTAGGAAGAGAGAAGAGGAGAGAAGAGAAGGGGAGAGGAAAGTTTGTAACAGCAGAGGGTTCAAGGGCTAAAAGGGACCTTCTAAGAAAGAGACGAGTCAGGAGGTAGGAGATCAGAATTCATGTTTGCTTTCGAGTGGATTAACGTCGTTAGTTTTACCTCTGATCAGCGGATATGAAGGTTGTTCTTCACGGTTATACAAATATCTTGGATCACGAGCATCCACCTACCTTCCCTCTACAATAACAATTGCGTAACTATTAACCCTCGCTTCTTTTAATTTTGTTTGTTTTTTTGTATTCTAGGTGTAGTATTCACAAGGCAAACTAACACAGCCCACAGTTGTCTAGAACTAGTAGCTTATTATAAGTACTCGGGAATTCTCGTTGGGTTCTTCGGACTCATAGACGGTAACGGATAGAACAGAATAATTTATATAATACAGTGTATACAACAACTAACTTCCCCGAGGCGGTGTCCGCTCGAGGGAAGCAAGATGTTCGAGCTCTGTTATCGCTACTTATTGAAATTAAAATAGTAATAATTCTAAATAAAATCCCAAAAAGAGTACAAAAGATGAAAAGAGATGAGAGCAAAAAGAATTATTTAAGCAGCCCCACGCGGGGGTCGAACCCGCAGCCTCTGAATTGCCTTCTTCTCTTGACATGCCAAGAGATTCGGTCCACCAATCATGGTGAAGACTAGAAGTTCAGCGCGCTACCATTGCGCCAGCAGGGCAGTCAGTTGTCGAGTGACGACATGATTGCCATTATGAGCCTTGGCCATGTAACATTCTCAACCGCCCTATGTGATCCCCGGCCTTTTTCTATTTTTTACAGGATAATCTGACGCCTAGAGGATTTTAACTAGAGCGAGAACATTAAATGTTTCCACCTTTACTTTTTCTGATGAGTATGTGTGGGACTTATGTATGGGATTTATGTACATATCTTCAAACGTCTATACAACCGTTTACGGCTACACTGTATGATACGTCTATCCCGTTGAGTGTTCTAGAATTACTAGGGCTTGAAGTTCAATGCGGTGATTGTGAGTCGATCTAATACTCATGGCCCACAAAATCCACATATGATTTATTTTTGTCAAACCATGTACATGTACTCTTGGCCAACTTTCCCACCCACTGTCCCTGTGTTTCCACATAATGTAGACTGAGCGCTCTCAGGCATGCCGATGCCTTGCATCCACAAGGCTGCAGAAACATCGATCGGTATAGTATCTAATGGTACGGTCGGAAGGTGCTGGGTATCGAATGAAGTGTAAAAATCAAGTTGAGTCATGCCCGGAATGAGTCCTTGGTGGCTTGACGTATGTGAGAGGTCGGGCGTGTGTGGGGATAGAGAACAATTCAAGGAGCTTTGTGAGAGCGTTTCCCCAGACAAGGGATATTCTGGAAATGGAACAGAGCTTGCTGCGAGTTCAGAGTCGTCCGGCATTTGATTTTGAGTTGGTGGCTCGACTGCCAATGGTATGTCATCCGCGGGCGAGCAGTATACTGCCTGGTCCATGGTAGGGTCATTATTGCTTTGATCAGGTCGAGTATCGTGAGATCCATATGCCCAGTTATCCCCGAAACCTGCGGGAAACGTCCCACATACTTCATTTGGTACATTCATCAGCTGGACCATGGCTTCCGAAATGGGCTTGGGTTCCAACGGAGGTGTATTCCTTTCCCCAGCCAAGAAACGCAATTCATTAAGTTCGGCAACTAGTCGATGGTTCTCTGCGACTAGATCTCGCATATCTTCTGCGGCAGACAGACACATTGCGCGTTGCTTTTTGAAATGCTGGAGGCCTTCTTTCACGACAATTGTTTTCGAAAGGCGGCGGACAGGCGCCAGAGAAGGAACCAGACGTGCTAGCTCCTGGAGTGTAACTCAAGTGACTCAAGTTAGTCGTAAAAATCATAGCCAAATGCATTATGTTGAGGTCATACAAGTAGGTCTTTTTTCATGTCTTCTCGTCGGCCTTTTTCCAGGGCTAGATTGCGAGCGTTGACATCGGGGGGTAGAGGCCGAGGGCGACCTCTCCTCTTCGGTTTGCTTTGATGTGTAGTGGTTTGACTCGCCATTTCGTAGTTGTGATTTGAATTAACAGAGAGCTTCACGGAGAGCGCGATTTCACTCAATTCTGCGTGTGGTTCAATGGTGTAAAGTAGATAGTAGAGTGAGTCGAGCAACAAATGTTCGAGGTCGCCGAACCTCCGGGGGAACGGCCGCAGATGGGCCGAAGTGGGGGTGTGGTCGGGCCGTCTTCTCGGAGTCGCTTCCACTTTCTATCCAAGTGAGTTAGTGGCTTTGAGGTTGGAAAATCATTGGACGCGTGGGGCAACATATTCAATGGAATGGTGCCATGGCATAGGCTCCTTCCAGAAGAATGGTTGTAGATGGCCTTGTGGTGAGCTCATTGTTCTCGATTCCCGAGGGCTTAAATCTAGACATTCATGACCGAGGAGTAGATAGGTGCTGTAAGACAGCAATAGACTTTTGTTACAGTAACTTCAAATATTGGGACTTACCTAGATCTCAAAACGCGTTGTGAAAAGAATGGTGGTGGTGGTGATGGTAAGTCTATCAAGTCCCCTGATAATCGAAGCCGATCCAAGTATCTGCCAACTATTTGGGTCGTACTATGCAACCTGATGTTATTCAGATTGTTTAGATAAGACTATTTTGAAGAGGCTTCCTTGCTTAGAGCCTTTATTCCAATGCTCATTTGTTGCTCATTACCCCCCACGCGCATTCCGAATCTGGAAGAGACTCTCCACAGTGGGGCCAGGACTGTACAGTCCATGCATTAGCGCCAAATCTCCTTCTCATCGAGCGTTATTCCAGACAAATCGTGACTTAAGAATAAAGTAGACGATCTGAAGAGACTGGGAATCTCCACAGTATGCACGTCGGTGGTAGGTGTCAAGGACAGTAAGCCAACCCTTGGATAGAAAAGGGAATCCACTGTCGGAACAATGTGCTATGGGCAAACTCACTTTCGACCTTGTCTTATCTTAAAGTAGAAGCAGACGGAGCCTCTTGAGTAATGCAGGTGTAAAGCCCTGTCTTGAACCGCGTGCAAAAGATGCAGTTGAAGAATTCACTGCGTTTAACACAATCTATGTAATCGGGGAAGGTTAGGTTGTCCCCTGTAGTAGCTCGGTGCTGCGCTTACAGGGGAATTTTGTACTTAAAGCATACTTCACTTGGCCCCTCTGAATGAGCCTATTCAGATGTTTTGAAAGTGACTGTCGCAATCAATAGTAAAATTAAATTCTCCCATCGATTTTATACACGGTAAGTCAGAAGAGGTCTCCTAGATGGAAATGCGAAGCATGAGCTTCCCCCGACATCGGCCACGCCCTTGCCTACAACGCAAGGCATAAAGCTCTGAATACCGGAGTTAGAATCATCACTCAGCAGATAAAATACCTTCTCAAAAATATTCCACGACCAATAGTAAGCACCAAAATACAATATGATTCATCAAGAAGGAGCTGCGATGGAACCCCGACGGAGCCTCCCAAGCTGGCCCTCCGATATCGGGGCCCGAAGTACATGACATCGACGACAACTCAGCAGGTATATAAAGCAACGAAATCGCAGTAGAGCTCGCAAAACAGAATAACAAACAATCATCTATTCAAAAGAATCAAGAAAGTCATCATTGACACATTACATACCTCTATTTCCCCCGAAACTACCATTCCACCCACAATCATGGCAACAAAATCCGAATCAGCAACATACACCCACGGCCACCACGCCTCAGTAGTACGCTCGCATAGCTGGCGTACAGCCCAAAACTCCATCGCCTTTCTCCTGCCCCATCTAAAGCCGGACATGAAAATCCTCGACATCGGCTGCGGACCTGGTACCATCACCGTGGATGTAGCATCCTACGTCCCGCAGGGGCATATCACAGGTCTCGAGCGGGCGGGGAGTATCCTGACGCAAGCGCGCGCGAACGCAGACGCCAAGGGCGTGACGAATATCGATTTCGTCGAGGGGGACGCGAACGCGCTTTCTTACGCGGATGGCACCTTCGACGTGGTGTTTTGTCACCAGGTCCTCCAGCACGTGGGTGATCCCGTCGGCATGTTGGCTGAGATGAAGCGCGTTGTGAAAAGGGGTGGTATCGTTGCGGCCAGGGAGGCGGATTATGGTGTTTTCGTGTGGTATCCTGAATTGCCTGGTTTGAAGGACTGGCAGGATATGTATGATCGTGTTGCGAGGCGCAATGGTGGGGAGCCCAATGCGGGACGCATGTTGCATGCTTGGGCAAGGAAGGCGGGCTTTGGGGATGTGAGGTGTAGCTGTACCATGTGGTGTTATGCTAGTGAGGAGGATGTTAAGTGGTGGAGTGAGTCGTGGGTTGAGAGGGCTGTTGCTTCGTCGTTTGCGACGACGGCGGTGGAGCATGGGCTTGCGACGAAGGAGGATCTTGAGGGGATTTCGAAGGCTTGGAGGGAGTGGGGGGAGGATCAGGATGCGTGGATTTCTATTCCTAGTGCGGAGATTTTGTGTTTTAAGGAGTAGATTTTGATTGTTTATGCCATGATAATGATGATATTCAAGAAGTGAAGAGTTCAGAAATGCAAGCGCGATGACTCGCTTGTTCGTGTCATGTTTCTAAAGGATATTGTAAATCTATAATACAAGAAGTCGGGACGAAGACCCCGTAGATGAAATAATGTGCTGCCCATATCCCTTGCGAATGTACACCAAAGACGCCAACCCCATCCCACAGAAATGGTTAGAAAATCAAGTTGTAAATCAGAGAAAGCTATTGACGCAAATCCAAGTTCAACAGCCAAAGAATCATGCCTCTGGTTTGTACTCATATCGGCGCCAATTCTCACTAACCCACCAACGGGTAACATGAGCGGCTTCAATCACCCAATTCAGGGCATCTTCGCCGTGTACCTTGGCCACTTCGTCCAAAAGCGGAGGCAAAGTAAAGGACTGAACGGTGTGTAGCTCAAGTGGATCTTTATCCACGTCGGAGAACCGCCACTCGACATCAGGCACGAGGGGAATGACCAGACGATACGGCTTGGGGCCAGACCGCAGAGCAAGCCAGGTAGCACCGGTATTCATAACGGTGAATTGCCAGTCAAGCTTGCCGTCTTTCTCTGGGACAAGCTCGCGGATCATGGACTGGCCTTCGTAGAGGGGGAGAAGGTCTTTGATTGCATGGGTGGCGTCCTTATCCAAAGAGCCTGATTCCACGAGGAGGTCCATGATAGTAGGTACGATTTGCATGGATGTGACGCGGCCGTCGATGGTGATTTGGGGGAGTTGCGGATGCGAGAAGACGAGTGGAACGTGGAAGTTGGAAACATGGGGGTTATCGTAGGGGGTGACGCCACCGTCCTCGATTAGTGAGATGCCGCTGTCTATATGTTAGTATTGAAAGTAAATGTACAAGCTTTGAAGGGAACACTTACTGATCGCCAACCATGACCACCAGGGTTTCATTGGCAACACCAGCTTCTTCGATCACCTCTAGAACCTCGCCAAGCCACCTGTCTGCAACTCCCAGAGTGTTCAAGTAGCGGTTCATCCGGTTCCTGCCGTTGAAGATGTTGTGGTGCATGAACTCCTCAATCTTGTCGCCCTTTGGCATATCCCAGGGGTAGTGTGTCTGTCCCGTAAGGTGGGTAAGGAAGAGACGCTCATGATGCTTCTCTGCATGCTTCAAAGCATCGACAAAATAAGGCCGCAGTTCATGCTCGGGATAGCCCCAGAAATTGAACTTTTCCGGCTTATGGCCTGGCTTTTTCTTCCAGTCCTTGGTGATCTTCTTGTCTGTAATCTTATCTTTGAATCCGATTGCGGGAAGGAGAAGATCCTGGTTGTCATAGTTATCCGTAATACTCTGCATAAAAGTCGAATGCCAGGGCCAGGTTTTGAAATCATCTTCTTTGACCTTTTTGGTGTCGTTCTCGTGAGACATGGAGTTTAATGCATGGAGGATGTGAGGCATGCACGGCTCATAGATGTGATGCAAGTATTCGCGATTAAAGTCGACTACCAAGGGTGCAATTCCACAGACACTGGCGAGAATACTCTTGAGAGTGAACGTATCACCAGTATAAGCATTCGAGGCGTACATACCACCACGTGGCTGCCATGAATCGTCGCTGTGGTCCCAGCCAGCCGATACTCCCGTCAGTCGCTCGGCATTGCGTGACAGGTTGGAGAGACGCTGATCTACAACGTCTGGAACGCTGCCACCGTACGATTCGCGGATGATATCGCCAACGTGGGAGTCCTTGCGGACCGGGAAGACGTCGTACCGGGTACTTTCCAACTTGAGTAGGAAAACGTGCTTAATGTTTACACTACCACTCTTCAGGGCATCCCGCCACGGCTCCAAAACATCGCGGTCGAGATTCGAGATTTTCAAGGGGTCGTGTGCCGGATCATAGTGCAATGCTGTCCCTTCCTTGCCTTCTTCATACCAGTCCCTGAACCCTGCAATCTTTTCCCCTGGCAACCAGTCGAAATTAGGAGGCGCTGCGAGAGCGGTATGGTTGTACAGCCAGCTGTAGTCGCCCGGCAAGTCTGGCGGGAGATCAACCGAGTATGTCGTCTCATGCTGTGGGGGTTTCTCAAATGGCGTAATAATCACAGTCTGGGAGAGGAAAGTGTACGCGGTATCTGATGGGCGAATGCAGCGCAACAGGAGCACGAAGACGGCAATCGAGGCCACGAGGATGCGCAATAATAGAGACGGAAGAGGCCGTGAAGACGAGGGCGGAGATGCTGCCATGGGATCCTCCAGGCCTAGCATCGCCTCTGATTCACTGTTCTCTTCATCCCAGTCCTTGTTGGCGACTCGCGCATAGTTTTCTAGGTCGGAGCTAGGTTTGCGCTTCCAGCAGACGAATACAGGAGCTACGGCCGCGTTCAGAACTCGGGTCACTGCGCGAACCCAATTGTATAGATACGGAGTCGAGATCCATGCTGCGGCGCTGAATAAAACTTCCATGATGACAATACCAGTCAATCCGGCCAGGAGGGTCTTGACGGATGCCGCATCGCGATGGAAGGCGTGTGCTTGTCGCCAATGAATTTCGGCGCCAGTTTGGGTGTAGAAGGAGATGTTGGCGGCGGCTAGACCAGAGATCATCAAACTAGAAGGGAATTGAACATGTGTCAGTATCTTGTAGACACTATCCTAGTACCGCTGATAGTTGAAAATAGTTGTTTCATACCTGGTTAGAATTACTACCGGCGCAGAAACGACACGGAGCCATCTTCGATGGAAATTTTGAGAGAGCGTCTGCGCAATGAGGATGCATGCAACATCTTGAAGGAAAAAGGTCGGACCCCAAAGAATGAATTGGCCGGGAGAGAGGGAGTTGAGGTGGGAATAGATGTGGAGTAATTTGGCGCAGATCACGCCGATGAGCAACAGCGAGAACCAGTACTTGCACGAGGCGGGCCAGTAGACGTCGAACCAAAGCGTTGGAGAAAGAAGGATACGGATGAATTCCTTACAGCGCTGGCGAAAGCTAAGCTTCATCTTGAGTGTGGAGAGCTCCTCGAGGGGAGTTTCTTTTTCATACAGCAACTAAGCCGAGACACTCCATTCCACCTTTGTAGAGGGAGAGAGGTGGGAGTACCGAAAGGGGAAACGCGAGAGTGTCGGAGAGGAGAGTTGAGAAGGAGAAACAAAAGTGATGGAGAAAAAGAATTTGCAAGATCACCAACACGAGCATAAGCGGACACGAGGGCCAAATAATGGCTCTGGGGCCAAGAATTATTGCTGCCTTGTCTCGTTACAACCAAGCTGGATCCATAATACTCCTGATGCCAAGAGGATTCTACAGCTAATAGACGAATAGTACAGAGTATTGGAGAATTGCGAAGTCATTGATCAATGTTCATGTGTAATTCCTACAAGTTCTTAGGCACAAGGGCTTTTTCCCCTTTCAGGGACACACAAGTGTCGCGTGTGTCTTTTGATTATTACCCACTCCACGAGAGAGGCTTCGGTGACAAACTTAAATGAAGCTTGGCGACCCTGAATCTTGAAATCTTTCATCTCATACAGTCTCTACAACCAAACACGGATCACTCTTGATACTCCAGACATATAGTCTCCCTTACTTTGCAAATAGATCACTACCACCATCAACCATTCTCCAATACTCCATACTCATGATTATTCCCACTCGTTTCAAATAATGGCCAGCCTTTCGGCCTCCGACGCCCCCGCCCCACTTCGTATTCACCACCAACACTTCTCCCGTCGCTATTATTGGCACTACCTCGGCGCCACCGGTCCCTGATCCAGCTTTCCCTCCCTTTTCTCGCGTGATCAGGGGGGTCGTATTCTTATTCAAGGAAACAAGCCCAACATCCAGGCTCAAGCCAATCTCTGAGTTTTGAACCTTTGCACGGCCCGAACCATCTCTCCTCGACATACCAATGATATTCATCCACGACAAGACTCCCCACCCACACTGCGGTTGAGCGGAATTAAGCTTGGACCCTGAACTTGGCTCCTCAGGGCTGAGAGGAGGCTGTTACTGGACGCGCCCTGGGGTCCTTGCTGTGGTATGGCGTCACGGATTTGGGGCCAATAAGCCCTCCGCTATTACAAACACTGACAGGCAGCATCAAAGCGTAACGCCCGCCATGAATTACGTGATAATACCTCTCGTCTGGACGTCTCGCTTCGATTTCCTTATGAATGGGGCGCAGAGACCCGCAGAACCCCCTTTTTCGCATCGTCATGTTGGAGTTATACGATCAAGCCAATTAGCGTGATGTATAAATTTAACAGTACTGAGCATAAGCATAACAGCGACTCGCTCCCAAGGCTGAAATCCAGGTTGTGGATCGCCAGATAAAAACTACTTCGAGGCACCTAGTTAGTTAATGAGCTCGCGCTGACTAACGAAAGAACTTGAAGGTTGCTTGAGAAGTTCCAGAATGGGTAAGCTGTCGTGTTGGTAATATGAATACTTGGTCAGATAGTAATCTTCGAGCATTTAAATGCAGGACTGTTGACCTCTTCAAGGCCAATCAGATGTCCATAATTGTGCACATGCTTATTATCAGATCGCAGTGCGTCGCCAGATTGGGATCCGCACTCGACACGGTCAAGTGTATCACCTAGTTTTCATTCTAGGACTCGTTAATAAAGAGATACATTTAGGGAAATAAATCCTCTTGCTAGGAAATATTATACCTTCCGAAGTAGGTTCTTCGCTTCTGAATTGGAGTGATAGGCTGTAGCCATACTTTCAACAGAAAATCGTAGAAGACATCGAGTCTCGTCGCTCTGTTGTCCACCTGTCTCAATTTTCACTTCGACATAGGCGTGCAGATACTAGAGAAAGATCTGATCGGTTTGATGCAGATTTCATGTTAAAAATTAAGGCCTCTAGACCGCCTCTTGTCTAGGCACTTTTGTGCATTATGATTGGTTCCTAGACGGTAGTCCTATAGCAGATGCAAGAATTTCTGCCGGTTTACCCCATCGAGATTTTGAACACATACAGGACAGAAGTTTATTGTAGAATCACAAGGAGAGCCTCCTTAAGACAACGCATTCAGCCTCACCATCTACAATAATATAAAGACATAAACTTGCGGATTATATTGAAAAATCCTGCAATTCGATTCCTGCAAATTTCATTTCTTCTCAATATTCCAAGTACCATATACTATCTTCATCAACCTTCTCTCTCAACCTAACTACACTTTCTCATAAGCAACACTCAATCCGCAAGCACATCACTGCTTCAGCGTCAACAGACCCGGCCGATAAGGCAAAAGATTGTAAGAGGCACTCGAACTTGGATCCCGCCCCTGATACAAGAACTGCAAATTACACGCATCAATAGTCATAGTCTGATCCGGGTTACTCCTCACCAAATCACCATGACTTATATCGTTCGTCCAAGTCGCACCACTATTCGCCTTGCCCGCGAACGGCGCACTCTCACTACCAGCCTGGACAGTCCACGATCCACTCAGACTGCTAGCCGTGAAAGACCGGAAATACCGCCCATTCGAACCAATCGCCTCAACGATCATAAGGTACTGGTTCTGTCCGGAGACGGTGTAGACCTGCACGGCTTCGAAGAGGTTGTTGGTCGAATCGCTTAGCACTACTTCTGAGGCTGTCCCAAAGGAGCCGGGGAAGTTGCCGATGGCCATGCTGGCGCGGTAGATTTTGCCGTTGTCCCCGGCGAAGAAGAGGTACATGTTTTGCGAGTCGCCGATGACGGTTTGGTCGATTACCCCCGTGCTGCTGCCGGAGATGGTCCCTGAGAAGAGCGCTTGCTCGGAGGACCATCCATTCGCATTGGAGGGGTCACTTGAAGTGCGGTAGGAGAATGAAGTTGAGCCCCATTGATAGGCGAGGACCCAGATAGACTTGGGCGAGAAGTAGAACAGGGTTGGTGCGACAGCGGAATTGGTCATTTGGTTTTGGCTTGCTGAGGCCATGCCAGACCAGTCGGAGAAGAGTCCAAAGTTCATGGAGTGGTAGTTGCCTGATGTATCGGCTACGGAGGCGTAGACGAGATGCTGGCCATTGTAGACTACGTTGGTGAAGTCTTTGATCGAGGCCCAGCCTGATTTGGGCTGTGCTAGGGCGGCGGTTGATGTCCAGCTGTATGTTGATGGGAGACTGCAACTTGCGGTCACGGCGCTTGCCGATGCCAGTAGCAAGGCGATGGATGACCACAGGTCTGTGTTGGCCAGTGGAGATCGCATGATGATGCTTTGGAATTGATTTGGAGGAATCTGTGTTTGAATAATTGACAGATGAAGCATAAAATGGGGATTATATACCTTTCTTCTTACCCACCAGGGATGTTTTCGATAATGAACTTAGCCATCGATTCATCCAAACGAGACGACAATGTCTTGGTTCTCGACACGGAGGTCTGAGATGTTTCATCAACACAATCAAATCGGCAAATCTCGAGGTAATCACTAGCCGATATTCTGCATGGATCAACACTAAATCGTCTTTTACCGGTGAAATTGCGGGGAAGGGTCACCTTGCAACACGGGGCGGTGCCGACCCATCGGGGTTTTACCTTTCTGGATATCCCACCGAAGCAGCTCCGTGTCGATCTTTAACCTTGGATGAACTCCTATGCCTCCGAGACAAGGAAAGTATAAACTGACTCGTGGATTCGGGTAAGTATACCGGGTAAAGAGCTAGCATGCTGGATAAGGTTTATGTTGGCAGGTGGTAAAGAAGCGCTTTGTCTGCAGGTGGATGCTTTCGAGAAGCTGAGACGCTGTGAAACACGTCATCACGTCTACCAAGTCCACACTGCAGGCCTCTTTCAATCCGGCACGGTTGCCCTCTTGCCTAAAGTCTCGCCAGTGTTTTGCAAAAGTTCCTTGGTGGCATACCTCGGTATCTCATGGACGAGCGCTGTGAGAATACTCGTCAAGCTTAGGGCCATGCTTCTACCGCGGGCTAAGAGTTTCTACGCGGCAGAAGCCAAAAAATGCTGCAGGTTGTGATTGGGAGTTATCTTTCATAATAAACTCGTAACCGATAAGAAAAAGACTCGCTTTTTGAAGTGAATTCACGTTACATAAGTCGTAAGTCTGGCGCTGGGCGCGCAAATGCGGCAGTGGCTAGCTAAAGTTCCGCAGTCCAAAGTGGTCACGCAGTTCAGAACTCCGAGTCTAGAGACTGCCACTGGGATGCAAAGTTCTTCCGAACCCACTCCATGTATCCCTTCCACTTGTGCAGGTCGCTCGAGGCCTCTGCACCAGGGAACGCTTTACTGAGTTCCTTGGTGGTCTTGAGAATACCCAGCGAGGCCTCCTGCGCCTTCTCCAACTCCTGCTTGACGGCATTCTCCTTTGGCTTGAACGAAAGCACCGTGGTGTAGCGTTCGGAAAGTGCATCAAGACGGCGCTCGGTCTCCTCGGGAGCGATAATAACAAGCTTGGAGGTCATCAGGTTGCTAATCGCACGGATATCTTGCTCATCCTCCACACCAGCGATGACGCGATCAAAGATCTCCGAGATGTGGCTGCGGGCAAAGGTGGTGTCGAGGGAGGCGTAGAGGGTCTCGTAGGCGCTCTGGAGTACATGTTAGAATACACTGGGCATAGGAAGAGAGTAGGATAAAACATACCTTGCGAAGGTCAAGTCCGTCGTCGACCTTGTGCTTGAACGGACCCATTTGCACCTCGCGGATCAACTCGGGCTTGATCTGGGTATCGCCAAAGACGGCGGGGAGCAGCTCACCCAAGTGTGGGAGGAGCAGGTTCATCTTGTTGTGGATGGCAGAGTTGAGCGTGGTCAATGCAAGACGGTGGTTACCAAGGTCGCTGTCGCTAAGCATGTTGGTGAGCAAAGGCACCATCAAGGGTCGCAGAACATCGTTGTAGGCATCGCTGGAGTCGGCGAGTGTGTAGCGGAAGGCTGAGATGACTACGCCACGGACGACGGGGTCGGAGTTGTTTAGGCAATCTCGGAAGTGGGGGATGTAGTTCACTGGGTCAATCAGAGCCAGACGACCAACGCACTCGGCGCCAACCGCACGGTTGTCTTCCTCCTCGGAAACGACAAGCAGTGCCTGCCACAGCTTGAGCGCAGCGGGGGCAAGATCTGGGCGGACGACTTCGGGGTGTTGAAGCAATTCTCGCACCGAGTGCAAAAGAAGGTAGCTTTGCGTGTTTGATTTATCAAGACCATTGAGAATGATAGGGAGATAGGTCTTGACACTACCCGCCGCCGCATTGCCAAGAGCAGTAGCTGCAGCCAGGCGAACGTGGTCCGAGCCCGAGTTGAAGTGTGCAATGAAAATATCGGGAGTCAGCGCGCACTCGGCTCCCATGCGCAATCCAATCTCACCCAAGATTGCAAGCGCGAGGCACTTGCGGCTGTCATCCTTGGCCGTACTGAGCTCATTTGAGAAGTCGTTCATGGTGACACCCAGGTTTGGTCCACCGTGCACAAGGAGAGTACCGATAGCCCGACCGACGACGGAGGAATCCCCAGTGATGCCGACATTCTGCAATAGATTCTGCATCAACTGGGCACCTGCACCTTCGTCTCCAATGACTTTCACCAAAAGCAGCAGGGCCTTTAGAACGGTACCGACAAGCGGTTGCTTAACGATAGTGCAAATCGAGGTGATAAGGGACTCATTGACAAGTGACTTTGAGTTTCCGGGAACAAGCTTGGCAATGATGATCAATGTCGGCGTGAGGAGGTGGAAGTCCGGGGCGGACAACAATGGAAGGAGAGAGCTTTCCAGCGTGGTCATAGTAGTGGGGCTAAGCTGAGATCGGATGCTGGAGTTCATGGCAACACTGCGGAGAGCCTCCAAGCACGATCCCCGCAAAGCTCGGTCCGACTTCCTAAGATTGGAGCCGAGCTCGAGGGTGATCTCGTTGACCCAGTCCGCACTAACGTCCTCGGGGCGGCTGGCAAGCACGACGACATCGTCAATGGCGCGCACGGCGGCCAGTCGAGTTGTCTCATTCTTGACACGGTCCACCAAAATGGAGAGACCCTTGGACCTGTAATCTGCAGACAGGTACTCGGTACCCCGTTCACCCGATGTCAGGGCCAGGATCACACCGAATACGTGGATGGCTCGCTGACGAACTTCAAGATCGGCACTGGTGTCGGTAATGCGGGCAAGAACAACCTCGTAAAGCTTCTCCAGTTGTTTGGCAACCTCGGGGGTATTGGCAGATGCACGAGGCGGGGTCATGGCCTTTACGATCTGCTCCACGGCGCCCAGAGCCTCGCTGCTAACCTTGTAATTGCGTTCGTTGACAGCTCCAACGACACCAGGAACCAGAGCGATGAGGAAGGGGAGTAGAGCATCAGACAGATGAGTCTCGGCAATAGCAGAAATAAGGCCAAGGGTCTCGATCTGAAGAGAGCCGGCACTGACAGCAGCACCAGAATGGGCAGCTGAGCTACCTGAAAGAGAGGAGGTTTTGAGAGCGTCCGCAATGAGATATTCAATCTGCTGGAGATGATCGGCCAGTCCACCGTAGCGAACCAAGGAGAGGCTCCTCAAGAGCACAACGGCAGCCTGTCGCAAGGGCATGGAGGCTTGCTTCCATGCCTTGACCAAACTCTGTACAATCAAGGGCACGGAACGTGCAAGGTCAGCTTGAGGGCCAGACTTGGGAGAGGAGGGGACGACGGGCGAGTCGATCGCAGAAGAAGTGCCAGCACTGGGTTCGAAATCGACCATACTAGCATCGCTGTCTTGGCGTCTGCGCTTGCGGGAGTTCTTCGAACCTCCAACGGTCTCCAGGAAGCCATTCGAGGTGACAATAACGGATCCCTCACTCGTCTTGTGTACCAGAGCCGTCAAGGTCGATATAACCTCCATCTTCACACTCTCTTCTCGTTCACGGCTGATCCGGGAGATCAAGGCGGGGGCGATCTGCTGGTAGAGGGTGGTATCGTCCAGGGCACGGCTACGGCCATAGGTTGAAATAAGAGTGTAGAGTAGCTTGGCAGCACAGCGGCGAACCTTCCAGCTCATGTCATCGATGTCACTGTATCCGTCTTCCTCTTCAAAGTCTCCAAACTCATCGTCATCCAGGTCGGCGGTGGCATCGTCCTCACTCCCATCATCTTGGGTTCCGCCCATTTCTTCATCGTCCTCCAGTTCGGCGACATTGGGATCGTATTTAAGGAATCGGAGAGCGGCTTGGCTGGCGTTGGTGATGTATGGCTGCATCTGCTGGTTGCACGAGCTAATCAGGGCCTCCAAGGTGACGAGCGCCGTCTCACGGAGCTCATCCGCCTGGGGGTCATGCTCTTCCGTATCGGAGTAATCCGACATGGCGGGAAAATTCCAGGAATGGGAGGGTGATCAAAAAAGGTGAAGCTGGTAGATCGGGGTGGAGAAAGTTTTTGGTCGATCCAGCGAGCACAAGCTTGGAGAGGTCCAAGGGAAGCTGGAGCTGCCCCGCGGAAGTTCCCCAAATTCGGAAAAACAAGTTGGGCCGGATCCGAGCGCGGAGAGCCGCCTGTGTATTTTTCACTGTAAGAAGTCGAACAGGTCAAGGGAAGGTTGAGAGTTCTTTTTAGAGGCGAGTAGAGCCTGCAGACCACCTTGTTTTCGGGTCTTGGCTCTTTTCTTGCTGCTGGCGTTGTCGGCTGTCTTGGTGGGAGCTGAATCGGTGCTGGTAGAAGGAAGAGCTTGCAAAGCTGAAGATTCTGCCGGGGTGGATGTGGCAGTAGTAGGAACAGGTGAAGCAGTAGCTGAAGGAACGCGCGATGAAACCTTAGACAATGGCTTTGAGGTGCCTCTTTTGCGGGGATTGATAGTGCGTTGATTGCAGCGTAGACATTTATAGACTGTAGCACCACCAGCAGATGCTGTATCTAGCTTGGATGATGCTCGAGACTTGGCTTTTGGCTTGACCTGAGTAACTTGAGAGCATCTAGACTGTCTAATACTACCACATCCTCCACAGTGATGTTTTTGCTGGCGGATGTTGAGCGGTTTTAGTTCGTCGTGCAAGATCTTCGTATGTACCGAGAACAGATGCGCCGCTGTAGCTGGGCTCTCGGATGCCAGCAGATTAGCCGCCTCACTGAGAAAGCGCAGCTGGGGAGCCTCGAGAGGTGCCATTGTGTCAATAGAAAAGATCAAAGGCAGCCACTTTTGTATGTAAAATGGAGCGAATAGGGATTGAAGATAGACAAAGTGCCTGGATGGTGCGAAAAGTTGAGATGTTCGCCAGTTGAAGGCGGAAAGGTGGACGATTCCTGATTACTGCCAGGCTCCCAGGCCGCCCCGTGAATGTTTGATGGTCTTCCTCATTTTTACCCAGAACGGAAATATCTTGTTTGTCTTCAAGGCAGCGATTTCTTAGGCACCGCTCTTCTGTCTTCACTAGGGCGGCTGACACCTCGTTCCTCAGATATTTAAGCTTCCTCCCCCTCTGCTGCTTCCTCTCCCCTTTTCTCTCCCCAACCTCCCTTCTTTATCTTCTGCGTCTACCCTCCCTGCACGATCCCACTTCCCAATCACCGATAAAAACTCACGCTTCACCTGCCGTGGTCTCAGTACAGCACCATGCTGTCTGAGATTGACGGTGTCCGCGTTGCCGTCGTGGGCTGTGTAAGTTTTCCCAGCTCATCTCTCCCATTTTTTTCTTCCACATTTCCAAATGAATAACTAGTCTGATACTGACTGTTGGCTGTAGGCTCATGGCGGCTTTGATGAAATCTACACCCTGCTGAAGGCCAGAGCAGAGGAAAAGGGCTGGGAGACCATTGATCTGGTGATCATTGGTGGCGATTTCCAGGTTGGTCCTCTTTGAATCCTTTCACTTCTCATGCAAAATGGCCTCAATCTCACATGTATTTAGGCCCTTCGCAACGCCAACGATGCCGCTTGCATCTCAGTGCCAGCCAAGTGGAAGTCCATGGGAGACTTCTACAAGTACTACGGTGGTGAGGCGGTGGCCCCGTACCTGACCATCTTTTGTGGGGGCAACCATGAGGCCAGCAACTACATGTACGAGCTGTACTACGGTGGGTGGGCAGCTCCCAACATCTACTATCTTGGTGCCGCCAACATTGTCCGTTTTGGTCCGCTGAGGATCTCCGCTATGTCGGGCATCTGGAAGGGGTACGACTTCCGCAAACCCCACTTCGAAAGACTCCCGTACAATGCAGATGATTTGCACAGCGTCTACCACATTCGGGAGCTGGATGTTCGCAAGCTGCTGCAGGTCCGAACTCAAGTCGACATTGGCCTTTCTCATGACTGGCCACGGGGCATCGAGTATTCCGGCGACCACCGGGAACTGTTCCGAAAGAAGCGTGGCTTCAGAGAGGACTCTGAACACGGCCGCCTCGGTAATGCGGCAGCTCGTGATGTCCTGGATCGTCTTCGCCCGGCATACTGGTTCTCTGCTCATCTCCATGTCAAGTTTGCTGCTGCCCTGGCTCATGATGGTACCACCCTTGCCAAGATCCCTTTCCCTGCTGATCAGCCTGCCGTCTGGGCTGTTGAGGCTCAAGCCCCAGTTGTCTCTCCTAAGGCCGCCTCAAAAACCATGGTCTCTTCTTCGGTCAAATCCCCTTCACCTCCCCCAAACACCACTTCCAACACTGGGCCTGCTCCTATGGTCAGTAACAAGGTGCTCCGAGCTTCCGGTACCGCCCAGGAGAAGCTACAAGCCTGGAACGACTTCGCACAAGGTGGTGCTCAGGAGTTTGAGCGCCAAGAGCGCCGTGTCATGGAACAGGAATGGATGGAGACGATTCGGCGACAGGACGAGCGCAGGGCAGGATCCAAGGACCAACCTAGCGAAGGCAATGTCGGCCAACCCACTCTTGGTCAAAACCAGGATGAAATCGACTTGGATTCTAGCAGCGAATCTGACAAGTCTGGTTCTGGGAATCCCTCCCCTACCAAAGCACCAAGGCTCGACATTTCCGCTTCCGACGGATCCAATAACAATGAGACTGCTGCTGAGGGGCCTCTCGTGGACCGTGCAGTCACTGAAGGCCTGCGTAGCAAGCTACCCGCCAGCTTTGCTCGGCCTGCAGCCTCCGCCGAGTCTACCCAAAAGAAGCTTGAAACAGCCGACATCACCAACAAGCTCACCCGATTCCTCGCGCTGGACAAGCCGCACAACAGGGATGACTTCCTGCATCTCGTGAAGATCAATCCTATCAAATCGACCGATGCTCATGCTTCCCCCGAGACCTTCCGTCTGGAATACGATAAGGAATGGTTGGCAATCACCCGAGTATTCGCGAACGATCTCGTTCTAGGTGATGCAACTGCCCAGGTTCCCGCCAACAAGGGTGAGGAATACTACCGTGCACGTATCCTTGAGGAGGAAGAGTGGGTTGAGAAGCATATTGTCGACGAGTGGCGGATGCAGGTTCCTTACAACTTCCAACCCAGCGCCCCTAATTTCGACCCTGATGTCCCCCTGACTACTACCGAGCAGCCAATGGAGTACACAAACTCCCAGACTACCGAGTTCTGCAAACTCCTTGATATCCCCAACAAGTTTGATCTCACCGAAAGCGAGCGAGAGGCTCGGATGAACGCTGGGCCTCGTGCCTCAGGTGCCGGCCATGGTGGTCGCGGACGTGGTGGTGGTCGTGGCGGTTCTCGACGTGGCGGTGCTCGACGTGGTCCTGGACGTGGTCCTAGCCGTGGGATGGGCCGTGGCGGTGCCAGATGTGGTGATTTCAACGCTTCTTGGTGATGAAGAAGCCACCCCCAAGAGTCTGCGGTGATTTCCAAATCGGCCAGACCTGAAAAACGGTGTTCGGCGCGTTTCATATGGCGTTTTCGGCTGACCCTTTTCGTCCTTACGATCGTGGTCCTCAGTACGGCGTTCCCCTTGATCTTTCCATATTCCCACATTGTTTGATTCTACCTCTTTGCGCGGATCGTTGATCATTTTGTTCCCTCGTGTTCCCTTTCAGCCGGATTTGCGATAGTTATTTCGTCCTTTCGAGGATTTGAGAGGACAGTTGCGGAACTGGCTGATTTCGTGGGAGGGTTCATTATGAGCAACTGTATCTAGTTTTGAATTCTGGTCTTAGTGCCAGCAATGAATAACATATTGTTACAGAAACCTCCTTCTTAGAATAGCCTGTAGACTGTACAAGGTTGGGAGAACCATCGTGATGGCTAGAATGAATGGGCGGGACAGACATGACGGACAGAGGGGATAGAATGGATAGAATGTCTCAAACTAGTATATGCCTACTCAATCTCTTCAATGCGCGGTCTCCCAGAACCCCTTCCAGCCAACGGATCAACACTCAACCCAGCAATACGATCCCCAAGCTCCAGTCTCGGCTCCCCACCATCCTGAGCCCCAATCCCCCACATCAACGACTTCTCCATCCAAGCCTCCAGACTCTCAATCAACACACGCAAATGTCCCCGAACAATCCCATCCGTCTCCACGCTCTCGACAAACCCAAGCGTGCGCAGCATACCCGGGATATTGCCCACCGTCGTTGGACCGCGCGTCCGACTATCCCGTGGACCTGGAAGCATCCCGTCATCCGTAAGAGAGAAACCGAATCCGATATCCTGCCCATTCCGAGATTCCCGCTCCGTATCAAGGGCTTTGAGGATGTCCAGGATAAGAACAACACTGGCACGTCGCAGGATCGCGCTTTCGGGGGCTGGTTCTAGCGTTAATGTTGCTAGGGCTAGATCCACTGATGAAGAGATGATTGCAGGTCCGAGACCGAGGATGTTGGTTTGTACTGCAGATGCGAGAATGGAAAGCGCAGAGGCGCGTATCCGGAGGTCTTCGGGTTGTTCGTCTGCAGACGCGCCAGCACCCCATGCGGCGACGATAGCTGCAGCGTGGGCGTTTTGTTCGGGTGTTTCCGTCTCCGAGTCGGAGTCCATGAGATCTGCGAGATTTGGCAACCCTGATTCTTTCTGTTTCCGCTCCTCGCGCTCTTTTCGTCTTCGTTCTTTTTCTTCTTGTTGTTGGCGTGCCTGTTGGGTTTGTGGTTTGTGGCCGCGACGTCCGGCAACGGCGATCATACCTTCGCCGAGGATTTTGGCGGTTTCTCCGGTTAATGCTTCGCCTAGGTCTTGGGCTGTTCGGAGGAGTGATTCGCCGATTTTCAGGCGTTGGTCTAGGGTTCGTTGTTCGCTCTTGTCGGTGTAGTTGTCTACAAGGGTCTTGACGACGGTGCGTGGGTGGCGTGAGGCAAGCGTGCCGATGAGTTTGATGGCATTGAGGTAGATAAATTCGTCATTTGCAGTAGCCTCGGAGACATCGGTGATTATGGAGAGCAGGAGAGTCAGGGTTGATGGGATATCTAATACTGGCGAGGATTTCATGATCAATTTCGATAGTAGTGAGAATCCTTCCGCTTGGACTGGGGGCAGCTCCGAGTTGAGGTTTGCAAGTGCTTGACGGTGGGTTTCGAGGTCTGTGATATGCGGAGGGGCTGGCTTTGTATCGTCGTGCTCTGGGGATGTAAGTTGAATCTCCAGAAGCATCGATGACGTGGTAGCCGGTTTTGATAGTGCGCTTGGAAGGAGTGGGATGAGCTGATCAAGGTGATCCTTGATCTCCTCGAGGAGGGTCTTCGTTTCTTGTGATAGAGCAAACTCGGGAGATGCAAGAACCGTTGACAGCAAGCTGAAAGCAGTAGACAATGACTCTGAGGTATCTTGATCGGATCCCTCGTCTCGATCATGGCCTTCCTCTGACACAATGTTTGCAAGTGACGATAATGAGACTTTGCCGGCCTTTTGGGATTGTTGTGTGGTCTCTTTGCTGCTCAAATTATGCAGCTCTCCATCAATGACTTGCTTGATTAGTTCCAGGACCCGTAAAGGACGTCGTGACAAAGTGTCCTTGAAATTATCAAGCAACTTCTCGGCCACCTTTGCACAGACCAGCTTCTGCATGATGTTTTCAGAATCACCGATTCTTTCGGCTTTGACTGATGCACCGGCGGTCGTTGCATCACGAGACTGCACAAGCCACGACTGGCTGACATGCAGGAAAATATCACCAGTTCTCTCTTCGGTACTCGGGTCCGAGCCTAGAAGGCTAACAAAAAGATCCACTCGGATTTGTAAAGAATCCATCAATCGAATGATATCGGAATGGCTACTCTCGGAGCCTGTTCGCCTTCTCAAGGCAACTCGCCCTTGGGAAGATTTGGTATATGTCCAAGTCAATCCTCCATCCCAGAGTAGGTTATCAACCAGTTTCTTCAGTGGTTGGACACCGACTGATATGCTGAAGTAGGTCTGTAGAAGGGCAATGACTTTCTCGTGTGTGTCCGTCAAATTCTCTTGTTGAGAATAACAAGCCAAGCCCCAAAGCGGGAGGAGGATGGGGTGGACGACCCTCTTTACAAGTCCCGGATTCGGATGCTGCAGTGCGAGACTTTTTAGTCTTTCAAGTGCGAGATCAACAAGGTCACCTTCAACGACAACATTGAATGATGGTCGTTTTTCAGACTTGAAAGAAACCGAACCTTCGCCCTTGAATGGATTTGACAACCAGCGCATCGAAGAATTATCAAGCTCCGCAGTCAGGGCCGCAAAGATTGGCTCAACAAAAATAGAGTGACCAATGGTCCCTGGAGCACCGTATGCACGCTTCCCTAGAATGCCATTCCCAATCACATAGGAGGCAGTCCTCTTCAAGTCCGGGTCATCTCCATCAAGTAGCTCTAAGAGCTGTGGGGCAATAGCATTGAAGTATGTCGATGGTTCAACATCTTGGGGAACTGATGAAAGTAGTCTTGATATCTGCATCATGCCCTGCACTGTGAAATGAGGACCGATCGATGGCTCGCTTTGGGCTTCCTGCCCAAGGGTTGGGGCAACTTGCGAGGCGATAAACATGATAGTATGTAAGACACCACCGGGTCGAAGTGGCACATGAGCGATTTGTTTTGATATGGTAGACTTGAACCATGCTGTGGTCTCTGCCTGGAGGAATGCAGAGAGCGTCGGCAGGAGAACTGAGCTTGGAGTGCTGTGTTATGTTAGTCCTGTCAAGCGTTGTATAGTGCTGAACACCTAGTGCTAAGACGTACTCAGCAATTATCTTGAAAAAAGCCTTTTGGTGATAGACCTTGGCCTCTGAACCGATGACATTGGGGTTGAAAGCGAGATCGGCCGCCCCACTGATAATATCACTCAGAATGCGACCTCGAATGATGGGCTGGATGCTATCTTTGTCATCCAGGGTGATGCTAAGAAGCACTTTCATAATCTGGCTGAGAAGAGCTTCATCATGGGGTATGCTGCTTGCAGGCACTGTAGTCTGCTTTGCAATAACTCCGGCTGGTAGCACCGAGATCACTCTTTGCTGCAAAGGAATGCCAACACCGGACGAGAGGGACGGGTAAATTCCCTCCAGAGAAATCAGGTCCAGCAATGCATGGATCATCTGACGGCGCTTTGCATCTTCGAGAGCGGGATTCTCGACCTTGACTTCGGGTTGCTGAGAGGGTTCCTGATAGTTCACTGGCGTGACAAACGCACTATGAATTGCATGCAGTAGATCCAACGCCTTGCCGACGACGGCCGTTCTAGCAGTCTCATCGCTGACTGGCAAAGGATCCAAATATCGGCTCAATATTTCCACGAGAGATTGTCCTTGTGATTTTTGAATCTCATCTTCATCGCAGTTAGCTTTGTATCAGCATTACCGGGAACCGTGGGATCTGCATGCCTCTGTTCAGAACCGGGTTCAAGAACCCGCTGGCGGCGTTGAACGCATCCCAGATTTGCTTTGGATCACTCATCGTCGGAATGCTTGCTTATAATAGACTCATTTTCGACAATTCCTCATGTATGCAAGAAGCAGCTTTCCTTTTGCTTGCCAGAGGCGAAGAGAGCCTGGTCTTGGCGGCGGGCATCAATTTGATTATGTAATCGTAATTTAAGATCGCTGACGTAATACGCGTCAGTCCCGTGACCGCCCGTCACCCAGCGCAGCTGCCCTGGCATACCACATCCTCAACCCAGCGCGTTTGTCCTTCCACTCGCAACAGTCTTGCTTCATTCAACTCCCTTCGACACCATTGTCTGATACAGTCGTGATGGTTATGCTTAATCAACCTGTCCTTTTTGTCGATCTTGTTCTCAACGATGCTTTCATCCGCCCGAGGCTTTGTTTACACGCGTCCAAGTTCTGATATCGCGTCTCTCATTGATTGTGGAGCCACCAAATCTCTCGCCTTTCGAGGCACACTTGCACAGCGATCCCCTCCCGGTGTCAACTGCTTCGGTGGTTGAAGCCTAACCCTAATACTGCCCCAGTCGGTTGTCACTACGACATCAGTCTCACGGGGAATACATGACGAGCGTCACGATTAGTCGATTCGGTCTATGATGGACTGATAAGGCGAAAAGGTGTTCGATTTTGTCCAGAGCCTTCACCGGCACAAAAGACGGTCTACTATGCACGTGTCTGGAAATGGGCACCGCGTCGGTTCTCCTATGCTGGACCCTTCATGTTGGTCACAACCGGATGGTCAGTCTATGCTTTTAACGACAGGATTTTTCAGCAGGAACAAAGTGGGTGGAGCACGCCGGGCACCTCAGCATGGAGGTTGCCTTTGGGGTGCATCAACGACAGTGTGGAAGATCGACATCAAGTACGACGTTCCGGTTTCGGAATCCTGGGGCATCTCCTGGTCTGGCTCAGGGTCTTGCCTAGAACACAACAGATACCATCACACACAGCCATATTGTCAACATTCAGAAAAATCCACTCGTCAGAACCAGCTTTATTTCCTTGATCCTGCCCAGGCAGTTTCTATGGATAAAGCTGCCGCGAGGTTCTTCTGCATTGTCTGGCTTCATGGTTCCTTGATATATAGCAAGGTCTCTGGGCTGTTGTCTCGTTCCGGCCGGCAAAGTTTCTCCGCCTACCGGCTGATGTTTTTCGATCTTGTTCGCCGGCATTTCTTTTTGACTCTCTCTGCATCAAGCTGTCTGCCACCCCGTGCGTACTCCCACAACGGAGATACCTGGGTATTTTGCCCCCACTTTTCGCCTCTGAGTTCTGCCGTACAGCTTTTTGCGAGCTAGACGCCTAGGATTACGGCACCCGCCAATTGATCCGACTTCTTCGGAAGATCCTGACCACCCCTGTCAACCATCTCTTTACAATGTAGTTTGCAAATTGATCGATGGGCGCCGACTACCCTAACGATGACTTCCCATCATTGTTCCTTCCTTCGGGGAGATGGAAGCGGTTTTTTCTGGATGTTCTTTGTCCGCTTCAATTCATGCCCTCCTGTCGTGTCTTCCGGCCGACTAGGGGAGGAAACGAAAACTTGTCCCAGAGGGTACTGTGCTACAAACGAGAGATTGGCTTTGCATTCATGGTGAGCCGCTATGAGATACTGGCGAGTTTGAGCAGATCCGAGGAGATGAAACGTCTTCGAGGTTGATTCGATGGGTTGCATTTTCATAACCCGATCTCAACTTGTTCTTACAATGTGCGGGGACGTTGCACCTTGCAAAATTTGTCCACTGGGTTTTGTCATGGCTCTATCCATTCCTCAACACCTGTCTCATCATTCTCATGAGTCGCTCAAATTCTCAAAGGGACTCGGATTTTCTGGTTGAATCATGGGATTCACACTCTTGATTGCTTTGAACAATGATTCTATCGCCGCCAGCTTGGCTTGTGAGGCGTTGCCGGTTCGGGCATGCGACACCTTGCAGGGCGCGACGTGGGACCTCTCTCGAGTGAGGATCAAAGCTCTGGCTTGTCTACGTCGCATTCTGCTGCCATGTGCTTTCGGTAGAGCCTTGCATTTCGAGCTGGGTTGGAATAGACTCTGAAACAACAAGGGAGAATTCCCTCTGTTTTCGACCGTCAAGGAATTTCCGGTGTGACTTGGGGATTTGTCTTCTCTGAGTTTGTTGGAACGGAGCAGAATGTATGAACATGTCAACAACCCGTGGATGGCCGCTTTCTCTACTTCGGTAGGGGGAGTGGCCCCGTTTTTTTTTATAAGTGCCCCTTCTTATACGCTTTCTGTCTGGATACGGCTAACTATCAAGGCAGATGTTCGAAACGATTCTGGCCACAGATACCAACAGCCTTCTGCCTCTCAAGCAGTCGCGTTTCTGTCTTTTGCGACTTTCAATGTCCGCCGTTCTATACTATTGGTCGGCTGGTTTTTGACTGACTGATTGATTGGTAGGTAGATTGGTAGATTCATCCATCGGTCTTGAGTATAGCTCCGAAAATACTCAAGGACACAATATGCGGTGAAACAGCCTTCCAACCTTGTTCGTGAACGATCGAGGAATCTACCAATCTACCTACCAATCAATCAGTCACTTAATCAGTCATGTATATTGTCACATGAACATCGCCAGGCCCGTGATGTCTGTTTCAATCGTTTTCATTCCAGATAGCCGAAGAAATCAAAGACGTGGAAGTTTCTCTCATTAGATTGTTGGAATTACATAAGTTACTTCAGGTGGTGCTCTTGTGCAGATGCATTATTAGTCATCAGCATAAACCCCTCCATTGCATAAGCCCCGCCACGCAGAACGAAAAGGAATCTTCCGGCGGGCACTGGAGATTTTTTTGCGATAAGAAAATCAGTTGCTCTCCGCCCAACTTTCGGCTTCTTGTCCCACTTCCTGTCACTCTCCTTTCCGCAATTTTTTGAGTGACTTTACTGTCCTTAAGCAATTTACAAGATGTCGACCGACGCCGACAACAATGCGCACGAGTCGCAATTCCAGAACATTGGAGATCTCGTCGAGCGCAATGACGAGACGGGTGTCATGAGTGTGGAGTCTCTCTGCATGAACTGCCACGAAAATGTATGCGATTATGCTCGCTCTGTTTAGCTTTCATACTGACTTATGCTAAGGGAACTACTCGAATCCTCCTCCTACGTGTGCCTTTCTTCAAGGATATTGTCGTGGACTCGTTCTACTGCGAGCACTGCCACTTTTCCAACAACACCGTCAAGCCTGCTGGTCCCATCTCCCCCCTCGGTTTGAAATATACCCTCGATGTGAACAACCCCAACGACCTCCAGCGTCAAGTTATCCGATCCGATGCTGCCACCTTCAAGCTCGACACTCTGGGAATTGAGATGCCCAAGGGCGGAGAAATCAGCAACGTGGAGGGAATGATTCAGCGCATGCACGAGTCCCTCTCTAGCGAGCAGCCGCAGCGCAAGGAGCAGGCTCCTGAGCTCCACGATGCTCTCGAGCCCCTCATTCAGAAGCTGCAGGATATCCTGGACCGCAAGTTCTTCCCCTTCACCATCTCCCTCGACGATCCCACCGGAAACTCCTGGATCGCTCCCAACCCCAGCGACAAGACCAACTACCGCCGCGTGGAGTACCCTCGTACTCACGAGCAGAATGAGGAACTTGGTATCACCGCCGAGCCTACTGAGCAGGCTGCTAACAACGCTATGGATATGGGCAACCCCGAGGATTCCGAGATTGTCGACGGCCAGGTCTACACTCTTCCCGCAGAGTGCCCTAGCTGCACCCGTCCCGTTGCACTCCACATTAAGAAGGTCTCTATTCCCTACTTCAAGGACGTCCTGATCATGGCTAGCTCCTGCGCCCCCGAGGATGGTGGCTGCTCCTACAAGCAGAACGAGGTCAAGGTCGGCGGAGAGATCCCTGAGAAGGGTCGCCGCATCACCCTGCGGGTTGAGAACACCACCGATCTTAACCGTGACGTGCTGAAGTCCGGTACCTGCGCTCTGCACAGTGAGGAGCTCGAGCTTTACCTCGGCGCTTCTTCAATCTCCAGCCGCTTCACCACCGTCGAGGGTCTTCTTACCGATATGCGCAAGCAATTGCACGGAAACCTCTACGATCTCGGCTCCGGAGGTGGTGACAGCATGGACACCTCTGATAAGGAGAAGTGGGACCGCTTCTTTGACCGTCTCGACCAGGCTATCAACGGCGACCTGAAGTTCACCATTACCTTAGAGGATCCCCTGGCCAACAGCTACGTTCAGGATCTGTGCTCACCCGCTAAGGATCCCCAACTCGACATCGTTGAGTACGAGCGTACCGATGAGGAGAACGAGGAGCTTGGCTTGAACGACATGAAGACCGAGGGCTACGAGGAGGATGCGAAGGCTGAGGCAGAGCAGAAGGCATAAACGCATTCCTAATGGCTGCATATATTCTCTCTTATCATTGTGGTAACGACTTTCGATATCCTTATTTTACGATGCATGGCGTCTACTGGTTGGTTAGTTTCTTTTTGTCGATAGATATCCGTTGATGTGTTGATACAAAAAGCTCTATTGTTCTTATCAATTTTGGTCTTGTATTTGTAGTTGCCTTTCGTCTCGAGGACGGGGGAGACATAGATTCCAAGTAGAGGTCAAGCTCTCATCAAGATTCATGTACTGTAGACCACCAGTTTCTGTAAACTCAATGGAGAGCAGTCCAAGGGAGTCACGTCACGTCCAAAGCCGGGGTTTGAGAACAAGTCGCTTGCTATGGCGTGCGTAATGGATACTCAACGGTAGTGGCTTATGGTGATTGCCAGTCGGGGCCCTCGAGGACTTTGAACCAAGAGGTTCAGTTCGGATGGTGGTCATGGATGCCAGGGCATTCTCAAATCCCCATGGAGACATCGGGATAATATTGTACCAAGATATTCATGTTCACGTCGCGAATGGGTTGGCATGGATTGTAACGCTCTTGATCATAAGAGGCTCAAAGTCATCTCCTTCCTTGGGTTGAGACACCTTTCCCTTCTTATCAACCTTTGCATTCGCCTTCTCCAACTTGGAAAGCACATCGCCGCCCTCATCTTGGGCACTCAGATTCAACACCTTTCCAAAAACCGTACTCGCGCCGTCAAGATGCGGCGCCGGCGCGAATGTGATAAAGAACTGGCTTCCGTTGATCGTGGCACCGGTTGCGTTTTGCGAGCCTGGTGCCGTCTTATCCTTGACCGGGCGGGAGGCCATGGACAAGATACCGCGCGCATTGTGTCGTAATGCAGGGAGGTGGATCTCTTGGTTCAAGGCCGAGGGGTGGAATATGGATGTGCCGCCCTTCGGGATATCGTGTGAGAGCATGGGCTTAGTGCTGGATGATGATTGTTGCGCGGCTGGGCCGAGGGAGATGTCACCACCTTGGATCATGAAGCCGGGGATGAGGCGGTGGAAGGGGGTATCATTGTATGCGCCGCATGCGCAGAGGGCGATGAAGTTCTCGGCGGTTTGGGGGACTGCTTCGCAGAATAGCTCGACCTTGAGGTCGCCTTGCGTTGTGTGGAGCTGTACGAAGGAGATATTAGCGCACTGTTCGGAGATTGGAAGTCGTTTCTGAGAGCTTCTCGTCTGTGAGTTTGTACTTACAGTGACAGACATCTCGAGGGTGTGTCTTCGGAAATTAATGAGCGGCTAAAGATCGAGAAAGTGAGGTTGACTGATGCGGGCGAGCTCGATATCGCGCTTAGTCATGGCATGCGCCGGAGCCCTGGAACGCTTGCTGCGATTTGTTTACGGCCCTTTCGCAACGCCATTCACAGGAGAAGACATCGGCTGTGGTCTAATTGACTTCTGCAGTACTATCAATTGCCAAGATACTACCTCTACCTCGTCATTCAATCGATAGCTTCCTCTTATTCCACACCAAACAGCTTCCTCTCATCAAGAACCGCCGGGCCTCTCTGCAGGCGCATCACCGACAATGAATAACCGGCCTGTCGAGCAGGCCTTGGGTACTCTGGTCCCGACCCATGCCGGCGATCTGCCCCAAGAGCTACTCAGCTTGGCCCTGAGTCTTGTTGCGCAGTCCCGTGCCTTTTCCGCCAGCTTGAAGCCCGAAGAAGAGATCGCGCGACCCTACGCTTGTGCGGAGATTGCTTGCAAGAGGTACGTCTGAGGACCTGAATCGCCTCGGATTCGATAATGTCCACATTGGCATACTAAATTTCTTGTTAATACAGGTTAAGTCGAGCTCTCAAACTTCCTCCTCTGCTCGGCCGTCCCCCATGTCCGCCGCGCGTTTACAAAAAGCTTTATACATACCTCGACAATTCTCTTTCCGCCAGTTCAGCAGGAATTAAACGCTCCGCAAGTGGTTCAATTCCCGGAACACCGTCGAGATCCGGATCTACACAGACCACTCCTACCAAGACAGGGAACACCCCTTCCAGGGCTGCACCTACGCCTCGCGGCCTGCAGAACACACCATCCAAGTCCACGCCGTTGAAGCGAAGTATTAGCGTGGCGAACAAACTAGCATCGCCGTCGAAATCAGCACGCAAGGCAGCCCCAGCACGGTCCAATGGACTTGTCAATTCAACAATCATTCCAGATGCCCCAGCATGGGTGATGACCGCGATCCGAACAATCTGCAAGACACTTTCAACACCAGCACCGCGCACGACAAGCCTATCCAGACCTCCAATTTCAAGGACCTTGCCTCCTCACATCTTTGCCGGTGTATCATCCATCCTCTATCTCACGGCAAGCATGTCCAATGACGAGGAAGGGATGGACGAAGAGACGCTCGATTTCCTGGAACCAATTGTGTCCATTCAAGGCAACGAAGATGATTTCAAGGAGCTTGTGTATGCGATGATCGTTGCAGTCTATTTCATCGTCCTAGCGCGGCGAAGAAACCCTGCGCCGTCGGCTGACGGCGAGGTGACGAATTCCGAAACACAGAAGATGGACAAGAAGACATTCATGGAGATGCGCCAGACTGCATTGACCAGCCTCAGTCTCCCCAACGCCAGGCGGCATCGTGATGATGTTGATCAGTGGATTGCTTTGATCATGGAACAAGGTTGGGCGAATGGCAAGGAATGGTTTGATAATATCCCGCTTGCTGGTGAATTGCATGGCGAGGATGAGGAGGGAAATTCATACCGCCACCTTGACGAGGAAGATGCTGCATTCAGGGGTGTCAAATTGCCCAAACGCAATGATGGCACCGCTGGGGCTCGCACCGGACAGCCCAGCAAGCCTACTCACGGCGGGCTCTTGCCCGGTCTGGGCACTATGATGCAAGATCGGGTGGACTATTTGAGTGAGGATCGTCGGGAAGATTATGTGGAGTGGAAGGCAGATATCCTAGCTCGCATTGAAGGTGCAACTCCTAGGGCCGGGCGTGCTGCTGCGTGAGTTGTATTACCGAGGCGGGAACATTTGGGAGGAAAGAGGCGCTAGATTGAATATGATACCCTTTGCAATGAGACAACCAAGATATCCGCCATCTATGAAATGTGCGAAGAGAACACGAAATATCTAATATCTATCGCTGAACATCATCCACCACACCCATTCCAATCGTGTAGTCTATACGCTGTATCCAACCAGTGAAGAAACCAAGGAAAATAGACAAGACGAAAAAAAACTATCTGACAGGGCGCCAGGCTCCCAGAGCCATGATCAAGCATCTCAAAACGCCATAACCCGCAAGACCCGGTGCGCCTCAATACCAAATGCTCCGAGTCCGATGGTGCGGAATACTCTCGTTCCTCTCCTGCTCTAGAGTCTTCATCGTATCATACAAAAAGAAGTCGATCAAGATTGCGTTGATACCGTACGTCTTTTGTGGTTGTTCGATGTTTTCGACGCCGTCCTGAACGTCTGTGTCGTCGTTTTCCACGGGTTTGAAAACGCCCTTTTTGCCGGCTGATTTGACTTCTGGGTGTCGTTTCTCGATTTCCCGCTTGATCAGCTCCACACACCAGATGCTGGTACCGCGAAGTTCGACCTCCCAGCTTGACCCTGGGGTGATAGGCTTCAGGCTGCGGATGTGAGATTCCAGGGATGGAGAGTAGCGCATGCAGCCGAGTTGATGCAGCATCTGGGGAATACGGTAGTCTGTAGCGATCTGTCAGATCAAGCCTCACGTGTAGCTAATATGGTTCTAGAATGACTTACCGGCAAACATGGTGATTTTATCAATATCGTGGAACTCGCCAAAGTCTTCGCCGTTGAAGCAGGCCCAGAGGTCTGCAACGAGGATTTGGGCGCGCTTATACAGTCGAACTCTCTTTCCGTTGAAGACGGTTTCATCACGGAAGCAGTCGAAGCTCTCGGTGATGAGATTGACAAGACTGGCGGCAGAGTAGTTGGCGCTGTCGATGCAGTTGGCAAAGCTACCTCCGAACTCCTGGGGATACTGAGTCAGTATACGGATAATAAATGATGTATAAGATGTCGGTTCTTACGTTGCAGAGAACATCGCCAGCCTCGCGCAAGCACTGTACTCGCTCCTTGAATAGAGGAATTTCTTCGTCCGTGGCGGAGCGGAAGACGTGTCGGAGTACCTCGTCCGTACACTCCTCCTCATTCACCCAGAAGTCTGGGGTGGTAATTGGAATATCTGCAATACAAGTGTTAGCCAAATAGCCTAATTCTACTGTCAAAAATTGCACAGCATACCCTCATCAAGAGCCCTCTGCAGAGCAGCTACCAGGCTCCAATACCCGGTCCACCGCCTCCCCCTATACTCAATCGAAAACCGCTTCGACTCATCGGTCTCCTCAGACCAAAAGCTAAAGTTCAAGAGATCCATCGTAAAGATAAAATCAACCGTACTCTCATCCTTGGTCTTCGGGTGAAGCTCATGCTCCGACCACGTCTGCGTAGAATAGGCCTTCTTCTGCATCAACCGCCATATCGTTTCGGCAGCCTCCTTGGTCTGGGCCGGGTTGAGAGCCACGTCAATGGCATTGTCGAAAATATATTGAGCATTCTCAAGTACCTTGGTCTCGGGCGGAAGATTCTTGTTTTGTTTACCGCTCAATCCGAGATGCTGGCGCAGTAGCTCGAGCAGCTCTGGATCCGCTTCGTCGTCGGAACCTGAGTCCACAGACTCGTTTCTCCTCGGGGTGATTGGCTCCAGTAAAGGCATTGTCGCTGAGTGTACGTGAATAAGCACACTAGAGGTGATCACGGGGCAATTGACTTGGTTGGCGTGGATTGAAACCCCTATATCTCGTGCTTCGGCGTGCCACTCTTGGGGTGTGCAACAGGGGACCAAATGCAGGGCCTGGTGGATCGTCCAAGAGGCAAGTTGCGGTCTACGCAGGGAAAATTTCCGTCGTAATAGAAGCAGCAATATTAGAGCCTCCTATTCCGTGCAGCAGCCAGCCCTTGAAAATGTCACAATCTTCAACCGAGAGAAACTTCTTTGTCGCCACGGCGAAATTTCATCGAACCCCGGACCTTGAGGCTTATTACCTAAGCATTTGTGTCGCCGTCGGTCGCGATCGATACATCAAATTAGAAGATTGAGTGGTCATTTTAGAGATACTATTGATTGAAATCGCTCGTCATTTATCCGATAATCTATGTTCAAGGTCTTCGTTAACTTTGACTATCATTGTTTGTGGTTTTGAGTGAAGTCCACCTAGTATATATACTCCTCCACCTTGGGCTTCACGATATACTTTTCCAGTAGCCCAGCTAATTTACACCATTTTAATGAGAAATTCCCTCCACTGGAGACTAGATTTCTTTCCAACACTTGGCTATCTATGGCTTCCATCAAACTTGGGGCTTGGTACATACCAAGGAGGTCCCATAAATCCAGTCCAACAGATCCAAGCCCGGCCCTGTGCCAACCTACAAACCTACAGGATGCATTCTACACCTACAGTAGTTATCGCAGGCAATCGCGCATGCAGACAAAGAAGGGATTCAGTTTTGACGGAGTTTCCCTCCTGCTTGTTTCCAGGACCAGTGCTCATCTCTGTTTGCTAGGCCTATATAGGCCTCGCCAAGGGTCTTTTCATTTTCTCCTTCCTAATCATCACTGCATGGACAGTCAAACAAGTAAAATTCACTACTCTGGAAAGCTTCCATAAATTCAAAAGAGTTGGCACATTTCCACTCAAGCTCGTGGTGGTCGATCATCGATCATTTACCCGTTGCGGCTCCAAGAAGGTCTGCCGTCATCGCGATCGCACCTCACCTCGGTCTCCGCTTCCGCATCTCACGCGCGGCTATCTCCCTCTCTTCCTTTCTTCCCCTCCTCACTACCAACCAGCTTCCTTTTGGTGGTATCTGCTCTCAATTGACATGATAATCAAGATCCTTTGATACCCTGCATATTCTCTTTGCGATTGACCTCTCCATCTAACTGTCCGCCCGCCATTATGCGAGCCAGCTCGATCAAGCGCTCCCTTGGAGTCGACCTGACCACCAAGATCAAGGAGGTATGTCCCTTTTGATGATGGGCAAAGTACTGGATATGAGGGGGCTGTATAATATGATTGGATGCTGACGGTTCCTGCCCTCTACTCTCAGTCGCGCGTCCTCCTGGTTGGCGCTGGCGGCATCGGCTGCGAGCTTTTGAAAAACCTCGTCCTTACCGGCTTCGGCGAGGTCCACATTATCGATCTCGATACTATTGATCTCAGTAACTTGAATCGACAGTTCCTTTTCCGACACGAACACATCAAGAAGCCCAAAGCCCTGGTGCGTTCCGTTCCACCTCTCTGCGCAGTCTATCGTTCCCTCCTTCCTTGCCACAAACCGCTCGCCCATTCTGCGCCGAGACATTACTGCATGAAACATATTGGCATTCTGACACTGGATATATGGTTCATAGGTTGCGAAAGAAGTCGCGCATAATTTCCAACCTGGCGCAAAGTTGGAGGCTTATCATGCGAACATTATGGATCGTCAATTCAACGTGGGTTGGTTCCAGACGTTCAACATCGTCTTCAACGCGCTAGACAACCTGGCTGCTCGGCGTCATGTCAACCGAATGTGTCTTGCAGCTGGTGTGCCATTGATTGAGAGTGGAACCACTGGCTTCAACGGACAAGTCCAGGTCATTAAGCAGGTTCGCTCCGTCTACACCCCAGCGCTCTCTGATGAAGCCCGTACTAATGACATCAGAGAGAAACCGAGTGTTACGACTGCAACCCCAAAGCCACACCAAAATCATTCCCTATTTGCACCATTCGGACCACGCCGTCACAGCCCATCCATTGCATCGTATGGGCAAAGAGTTATCTCTTGCCGTAAGATTACCTTGACAGAAATCCCATCCGATTCGCATACTGAACTATATCTAGGCAGCTATTCGGTGTAAGTGAAGACGAGGAGGCCGAGCTTGACATGACAGAGAACGCCGACAACGGTTAGTCCATTTCAAGAGACAGGCGCTCTCTGCCTGGAGCAGCAAGGCTAATACTGAACAGCCGAAGAAATTGCGAACCTCAAGAAAGAGGCAGATACTCTGAAAGAGATTCGAGATTCCATGGGCTCAGATGACTTTGCCAAAAATGTGTTCAAGAAAGTTTTTGAAACTGATATGGAGCGACTGCGTGGTTTGGACGCCATGTGGAAAGAACGTGAAGCGCCGAAAGTACTCGTTTTCGATGAACTTCAAGAAAGTTCGGCCTCTATAAATCTTCCAAATTCGAATGCCGATCAGCGCGAGTGGAGCATGGAAGAGAATCTTGTCATGTTCAAGGACAGGTGAGTCTTTTGTGCGCCTCATGTTCTAAACGATAATGCTGACCGGAGGACAGCCTGGATCGCCTAAGCAAGCGTTTGAAGGAGCTCCAATTGAAGAAAACACCAGACGACCCAGAGCCGATCTTGACCTTCGATAAAGATGATGAAGATACCCTGGATTTCGTCACGGCCACAGCGAATCTCAGAGCCGATGTCTTTCACATAGGTCGCACATCAAAATTCGACACCAAGCGTAAGTCGGATTGCATGTGGAACTTTCAGGACAAATTGAACTGATGATTGGCAGAAATGGCTGGCAATATTATCCCTGCTATTGCCACTACCAATGCTATGACCGCTAGTCTTTGTGTTCTTCAATCCTTCAAGGTGCTTCAAAATGATCTTTCAAACGCTAAAATAGTAAGTTTTCTTATCCCTTTGCTGAAGAGTGTGTCTTCTTCGTAACTGATATCGGCTGTTTGTCGAAGGTTTTCTTGGAGAGATCTGGTCCACGTGCAATCAATTCGGAAGGACTCAGAGCCCCAAATGCGACCTGTGGCGTATGCTCCACTGTACGAGGGGCCCTCTCAGTTACCCCTAGTGCAACACTACAAGATCTTGTGGAAGGCGTACTTGAACCACAGTTTGGCTATAATACGCAAGAGATGTCTATCAGCACGGACCAAGGTGTTGTCTATGATCCTGATATGGAGGACAATCTCCCGAAGAAACTGTCCGAGCTGGGAATTACGAATGATTCCTTCCTGACTGTCGTTGACCAAGATGATATCAATCAAGATCCTCGCGTCAATTTGGAGTTTTGGATTGTTGAACAGTGCGTGCAACTGAAGATTCAATTTCTAACCTATCGAGCTGGATACTGACACCAAATTTTAGAACCGAGCCCACCGAAGGTTCGAAGCCAGTCATGGTACAAACTCTCGATATTCCACGGAGGAAAAAGAAGCCTGTCACCCCCGAGCCAGATGTTGCAAGTGTGACGAATGGCGCAGCAGGGACCGGTAAGCGCAAGCGCGAGGGCGAAGATGAGCTTCTGACCAACGGTCATGTTGCCAAGAAAGTTGCTGGCGAGTCAGCAAAGAATGGTGACGAAGATGTCGTTGTCATCGGCGATGATGAAGGTGCCATTCTGATCGATGATTAGACTTGCATCTTGCTGGCTCATGCGCGCATACGCATGTACTTTGAATTCTTTGGCATGATTAGAGGACGGGTTGGCATGGGGATGGAAACTGCCTTTATTTGTTTTACACTTTATGTAACATACCTACAACATTTTTTCCCAATTGACTCTGGTATCAGAACAGATTTTCAAGATTCCAAGCTATTGACATTGTCGTCTAAACGAGATTGACTCCATAAGACCAACCGGAGCGAGTGTCCACGCTATTATGAAACTATCGTACACTTTCCTTTTTTTGTATTTACAGCCACCGAGTAAAAAGTCTCGGCTAGACTGCACTCAACCCTCCATCAAGATTCAAGACACAATTATTGGCATACTCATTCTGGGCCAGGAAAACGGCCGCATCAGCAATCTCCCGTGGGTCGCCGAATCGATGGAGGGGAATTGTAGCTTTCAATCTGTCAACCTCTCCCGGAGAAAAATCTTCAATCATCGGCGTTTCGATATAGCCCGGTACAATAGCATTTGACCGGACCACTATATCTTTCATGGATGCAGAGGACTCAACAGCCAGCGATCGCGTCAAACCCAAGAGTCCAGCCTTGGACGCGGCGTACGGGACCGCGCCAGTTCCTGCTTTGAGAGCGAGAAGTGAGGAGACGTTGATGATACATTTTGAAGAAGACTTTTGTGCAGCATCTGGGCTCTTGCGGCCCCTGATTCGGCCTCTGATAGTGGCGCGTAGGAATGCGCGAGATGTAAGTATCGCGCCCTCGAGGTTGGTACGGAGAATTTGGGAGATGTCGGCCAATTCAAGTTTTGGCAGAATATTCGAGATGGACACTCCAGCTGCATTGACTAGAATATCTACACCGGCCTGAAAAAATCCGTTAGATTTGGATTCGTAGCGCAAATCATATCATGCCTTGAACTTACCATTTCCTTCTCCAATTCGCGTATCCATGTCCCAGCTTCTCCTACGTCCCCGACAACCAACCGGACTTTTTCAGAAGATGTTTCCGTGCCATCATTGATAGAAAGCTTTTCAGCGGCTTTTTGCAGTCTCTCCTGCGATCTGCCAACGAGAATGACTTTCGAGGCGCCTTCTTGTAGGAATCGTTCTGCAATCGCAAAGCCAATACCCGAGGTTCCACCAGTTACCAGGCAGGTCCGCCCGGATAGCCGATTTGCAGGCTGAAACTTGGCTATTGGGCTTGCGATATCCGCTGATGTAGATGAATAGAACAAGACACTTCCTTTGGTTGTCGCAATGGCAGGAGATATCCTTCTGATGTCATATGTCGGTCGAGAGTAAATGAGAGATGATGTCGGCGCCCGCAGACGGGAACATAAGGCAAAAGGAGAAGCCATAGATAGGATCTAACGCATTGAAAACGATAGAATAGGAAGATTTGCTCTTCAACAGAACCCAAAGTAGTAGTACAAAACAACAGCAAGTGTATTTATTGACCGGAAAACATCACGGAAAGTCGAGCGGCGAGCGGGTTATCGCCTTATCGCCTTATCGTAAACGCACGGGCCACTTCTTCATTTTGGCTTCGGCTTCCTCGCGCGCCGTTTCTTTCCAGACGCGATACTCGTCCTGTTCACTTCACCATGGCCGACTCAATCCAATCAGAGTTCGTGACACTCGTATCATGCGATGGCTTTGAGTTCATTATTCCCCGCAGTGCTGCCTGCATCTCGGGGACTATCCGGCGTATGCTGGATCCTACAAGTACGTTGATCTACGCCGCTGGAATACTCAAGCTCCCAAGGACACCGTGCTGACTTCATTGTGGCAAAATAGGTAAATTCTCAGAAGCACTCAGTGGCCGCTGTGTGCTAGAGAACATCACGTACGTATCTCGTCGAACCGATCCTCCTCGAAGCTCTTCGCAATCGAGCCATTCGCCGCTAATACTCACGTAGGGGAATCGTCCTCGAAAAAGTCTGCGAATACTTCATGTACAACGAGAAGCACAAGGACCAGGCCAATGTTGCTGATATGGAGATTCAGGCGGAGCTGTGTCTAGAGCTCTTGATGGCTGCTGATTACTTGGATACTTGATCCTAGGTCTTTGATCCTGGCGTATGAGTTCCCCTTCTACCAATTCTATGGGACGCCCATTTCTGACTGCTAATTCTCTAGTCTAATACTGGCATTCTGACATGATTTACGGCGCAACGAGACGGACAATGTCCTTACAATGATTCTTTACGGAGTTTGGCCTACACAAAAAGACTGGGTTTTGGCGTTTCCCCATTGGCATGTATTAAACCAAGAGAACTTAAAAAATATGGATTCTTTTGCTATGAAAACCCTTTCTTTTGAAAGAGTTGGTATAGAACGGACTGTGAAGCCGTGGTTTGCGCCATCCAAGCATCATACATTCGACCTGATGAACACCGTGGACGAATGAGTCTAAAATGGATGGCAGATTAGATACTTATACTCCATTATGTCTTTCAGTTGCTCTGACCCTTCATGATGAGCAATCGTGTACATTGTTTGGAGGACATTTGAGTGAGAAGTATGTACTTTTATACACACATATGGTTGCTGCGTATCTTTGTTTTGTAAAGTCAAGGATATCTATGATCTAGTAGTTCATACCCTACACATAAATCTTAATTCGGCATAAAACCTTAAGAAAGAGGAATATAAATCCCCACCTTGCCTAAAGTGAGTATCCAATATTCATTCCACATCCTTAAGGTTGTGCCCGGACCTCGGCCTGAGCTGACTCAGCCGGACATAGTGCCCGCCCCCCCAGTTGATACTCCACCCAACACTTCCCCTCGATGGGATGCAGTGCCTAGAGGCTACGCTCACTGTGGTCTCCCAGATTATTCCTGATATATCTACTATCAGATTGCTTTGACTGACCATTTCACGCTCATCGAAAGCGATTCTCTTCGCGTTGGGGGGGCTCTCCCCATTGTATCTTCCCCGGATCCCGGAACGGACCAAAGATAGCGATCACGAACAAGAGAGCGACGCCTCTCAACATGTCTGGTGTTCTCGGACCAGCGTCCATGCCGAGCACCTCTGCTGCTTCACTCGCCAACGACATTAATAGTACCATTTCCACGACTTCTGTCACCTCGTTACTCCCTTCGCCCCGCGATCTATTCACCTTCCCCTTTCGCGCGCTCAACCAAGCGGAGACCTTCGCTTTCAGTACCGTTCCCCGGCATATCGCGCGGCTGACCGGAATCAATGATATCACTATGAGTTTCTGGAGTAGAGGGGCGTCTGCGATCGGAGATACTGGGCTAGGAGGCGACGCTATGGCAGCGGTAGCCGCGAATACGGCAGGCGAAGGGGTTGCTCAGGCTGTTGGATATGGGGATAGCTGGTATGTCGCAGAGTTGATGCAAACGATGCGGAAAGTCGGCGGATTCTTTGGGTATCTGACCAGTATTTGGTCCTTTGCGTGCCTGGTGGAGGTCAGTACTAAGAATACCCCCGATCTATCGGCTTTGCTGATAATACCTAGGCCTTGGTTCTTAACCGAATTACCATCTACGCGTCCACTCGGCGACATCTTCGACTGGGCTGGGAAAGGCGACTTGCCCTGCGCATTATTCCAATTATCCTTTTCGTCACTCAGATTATGTCTTTGTTACGCGGCATTCGATGCCAGTCCTCTCCAATCTTCCCTGAAATGCGATACGGCAAGCCGGGGAAACCACTAATCTTTGATTACGCTAGCGGTGGAGGTGCCTTGTATTCGCTGACCTCGCGCCTAATGGCCTGGGAGTCTGATGCGCAGGCCTGCAGTGCTGTGAAGATGGGACGCCCCTTTGGCAGTCCAGATGTCCCATATGGGTCATTTTCTCTTCTGTGGCCGGTCTTTTTGCTGCTCTGCCTGAGCCATTTCATCGAAACTCTTTCGTGCGCCCTACAGGGTCGGCCCGTCATGACCGAGACGGGAATGTCGATCTTCGAGCACTCTCTTGCCTTTGCCGAAGCCGAGTCGATGATCGGCAAGTCTATTGGGCTCGGGCTGTTTGGTCTTGCCAAGCAAAGTCCATTGGCTGAAGGATCATCGTCAGAGAGTTCCGGTTCTGCTCTTCAGCTTCTCACTAGATCGCAAGTCCTGGAGCGAATGAACGTCACTCCAGAGCTGCTGCTCATTGTCTTGATTTCGTGTTGCAACAGTCTCTCTTCCCACATTCTCGACGTTTTTGGCAAACAGAGTCGATACCGCCTGTTCAATACTGCCTTTTGGGGTCTCTGCTTTATGATTGCCATGTGCTGGGGTTTGGAGAGTGGTCCTCCCGTGAGCACGGAGACAGGAGTTCTGAAATTCCCGACCGTGTGCATTGTCGGTTTCATTCCTCATCTTCTCGTTCTCTTCGGGATTCTCACCTGCCTTGCCATCTACGGCATTGCTTTGGTCATCACTGCTTTCTCTTTACCTTTCGAAGAGGGGCAATCCGTCTCATTCCGAGAACGATTCGCGCTGGCCCACGAGAATATGCAAGGCTCCAATCAGATACGAAGCATTCGTGTCAATAGACATGAGGACTTCTATACAACGTTACTTCGCGTTGGCTACGTTGCTCTCACAGCTGCCAGCGAGGCGGTTTTCTTGAACGAAGGCAAAGCAGTCATCGCTAGACAGATGACCTGGCTGGAGAGAGACCGACTTGCAGAGATTGAAGCCTCTCGAGAACGAAACTCATCCTACCGTAACTCACCTAATCAATTCGATGGCCCACAATTCGAAGCCGTAGGATTCGGCAGTTTCGAGTTGCCTGAACAGACTACTGCATGGGAGAGTGGCTACAGCCGCGAAAAGAAGCTCGAGAAACCCAAGAATGGATCTCGACAGGTGCGACCCCAAGCTGAACTGGGCGGTGTGGGTGCAGTGCGAGCGTCAGTTCGATTGTATCATTGTCTCTCTTTCTTCCGTGCAATCGGCTTGCTCATTCTACGATGGATCACGTATGGATTCAGCCGTATCCTTGATCGGCTGGGCATCAGTGCTCGCCCACTGTGGCTGAAGCGCCTGTCTGGAACGCACAAGGACAAGGCAGTTCCCAAGAAGACCACACCGTCGGGCCCGGTCGACTTTTGGGTTCTTACAGACGATGGAGAGTTGGAGCTTCCCGAAGACCACGAGTTCGATGTCGAGTTGGAGATGCAGAAACAAGAACGCTCCTACCCACAGAACTGGGAGGCAGCCGACGAGCGCCGACTGGATGAAAAGCTCTATGCTTGGTGGAAAGTAGGAGGATCCTGGGGAAACCAGGATCATACACCTGATTACAACCCGCCTGCGAACGACGACGACACAACGAGTGTCATATCCATGTCCACATATGCATCGGAGTCAGAATGGGAAGATGACCCATCTGACGGACGTCGGACACCAACCCAGTCTAACCCATATCCTCAATTCTCTCGCGAAAGCACCCCCGCTCAAGATCCGTTGATGGATATGAGCACATTTGCCCGCCTCCTTGACCCCCGCGACCGCGAGAGCAGGGAAGAAGCCCGTATTCTCGCAGCGCACCTCAGTCCTAATCGAGACTCCGACCGGATCATGACTCGCAGTCAATACCGACAACAAGTTGAAAAGGATAGGTCCCGTGTTCTCCTGTCCTCTCGTCTGCATCATCACGCAGCTGCTACACAGTCTAGTAGCGAGACACGAAAACCATCGGCTGACGAAGAAACCGAGATGCTGGAGCGTCTGATTCTCTCACGTCGCTCGGAGATGTCTTTCAGCTCGGACCCAAACACGTGGGAATCCGGGGCGACGGGTCTTGGCCCGAATGGACCACCCTGTGTCGTATGTCAGACAAACCCACGGTCCATCATTACCTGGCCCTGTCGTTGTCTATGCATTTGCGAAGACTGCCGTGTTAGCCTTGCTATGAATAACTTCGGCAGCTGTGTGACCTGTCGACAGGAGGTTGGCGGCTTTATGCGACTATGGGTTCCATAAACTTCAGACATATTGCCTCGGTCTTCGCTCCGTCTCACATTTCTTTTCATTTCATATCTCTGAGAGGCTGCCTATCTCTTTCGCTACTCTGGCTTCTATAGGGTATCTGCGTTGACAGCGTGTATAATATTGCATCTACGTTTCTGATTTGGTTATGGCTCCACATCAGTGGCCATCAAGACTTGCATCTTTTTCTTTCTTCTTGTACAGGGTTGATTCTTCATATCTAGGGCTGCTGGTTTAATCAAGACTGAATACCATGATTATTTATTAAATGACTCTTCGCTCAAAAACCTTCGCTTCTACGCGCTAGACATAACCGTTAAACCTTGCTTTGCGTCAGATCCTTCACAAACTAAACTAAACTCGGATCAAATCCACAGTGGCCAGCCAAGGTTCTACTCTTTGGCTAGAGGCCGGTAGACAGCATCCCACATCTGCGCTCGAATCCACTCTCTAAGTTCACTGTCACCCTCGGGAATATCTTTCTCCTGAGCAAGACCCTCCTCCACAGCGCACTGAATCACACCAGCTGCGATATCAACACTGATTTCTCGAACATCTTCCACATCAGGCAAAAGTGGACGATCGGAGTCTTCAAGTGCGGGTGATTTCGCTTTCAAAGCTTCAACGGCCGCTACGAGCATCTTCTTAGACACTAGACGGCTGCGTGATAGTACCGCGCCTAGACCGATGCCGGGGAAGCAAGTTGAGTTATTGCATTCAGCTGTAGTGTGCCGTTAGCTTAATTGCTCTCGTCGATGATGCCTAGCTAGACCACACCTACCAATATCATACTTCTTACCCCCGTATTCCACAGGAGGGAATGGGCTCCCAGTAGCAACGAGAGCTTTGCCATCGGTCCATTCGTAGAGATCGTTTGGTTGGGCTTCGTGGAGACGGGTCGGGTTACTCAAAGGGAATACGATGGGACGCTCGACATGTTTCGCCATTTCTCGAATGGCCTCCTCAGTAAATGCCTTGGGCTTAGTCGATGTTCCGATCAAAACGTGAGGCTTGACTTGTTGGACGACGGCAAGTAAGTCGTGCTCTTTGTCTGACGGCCACTCGTTGTCGTCTCTTGCGAAGGGAATTTGGGCGGGAGTTAGTTTGTCGCCGTGGGACTTGAGCAGGAGACCTGGCTTGTCGATGCACCTAGATAATCGGTTGATGTTAGAACCCGTCCGTATAAATGTGGCCAGTGGCCTCTCAAACTGTAAAATGCTTCACGATTGAGTAATAAAAAAAGAGTATCAACACGAGACGAAAGCGAAGCATCAATCTTCCTCGTGGCGACGCACTCAAGCGCCTCTACAAGGATGTAACGTACCATATCTGCCTAGATGCTTCTTCCTTAGATTTTTGTGTCTGAGTAACAATAGTGTCCGCGATCTGATCTGCGATGCCAGTACCAGCTGTCCCTGAACCAAAGACAACCACACGGACGTCGTCGATTTTCACATCGCTGACGTCTAGGCCCGCCAGCATTGCTGCTAGAGTGACACACCCAGTTCCTTGGATATCGTCATTGAAGCAAGGGATCTGAGACTGATACTTGTCGAGAATCCGTCGGGCATTTTGAAGGCCAAAGTCCTCACTGCGCGTGTCAGTTGAATCATTTGAGGATATAGTGAAGGGGGCTGGCTCACAAATGAATGTAGGCATTGGGAAAGCGCTTGCGGGCAATCTGAACAAATTTGTCCACGAACTCATCGTATTCTTTGCCACGCACACGATGCTCGCGTAGACCCAGGTAAAGGTCATCGTTGAGCAAATCCTCGTTCTATGGAAAATGTTAGTTCCTCGATCGACTAGGGCAAGTTGATCTATTGCTTTACGTTTGTTCCACAGTCTAAAACGACCGGGAGCTGGCGTGAAGGGTGAATTCCAGCGCACAGAGTGGTAATGACGAGTTTGGCGACAGAAATGAGAACGGCGCCTACGCCTTGATCTCCGATACCTAGAATCTATTGAGGCGGGTTAGTATTCGTCTGGTAGAGACTCTTGAATGGAGTTATCTACCTCTTCACCGTCACTAACGACGATGTAGTCAACATCCTCCCAATTGCCAAAGGCAGACAAGCATTCTTCGATCGAGTCTTGATTACGAATGTTCAAAAAGCACCCCTCGGGCTTTCGGAATAGCCGAGAGTAGTTCTGGATTGCATCTCCCTCAGTTGGTGTATAAATTACGCTAAACATCTCCTTGAGGTGCGTTTGCAAGAGCTGGTTCTCTCGATTAGCCGATTCGCTTTAGTGGATAATCAAGTGAGTCCTCCGCGAACCTTGTAGTACAAGACTTCATTCTGTGCCTTCATACTGGCCATAAATGTGTTCTTGGCCAGATCATCTTCGCGACTGCAATACTGCTGATAGGCCCGCTGAACCTGTTCGTCTAGCGTCTGAATGTTTGGTGGCAGCAATCCATTCAATTTGAAAGCTGTTCGCTCATCTTCTGGGAAGGCGGATCCTTTGTTATACTGGGACGATGTGAGAAGGGATGGACCTTCGAGTGGACATTTCAAAGGACCCGACGCTGCTCGAGGCAAGTGTTTGAACCTGGATGAACCCTTTAAACCGGACATCATGGCGAGGATCTGCGTAATAAGGAGTGGTGAAGATAAGCTGATGCGGGGTCGGGGAGTCAGGTCTTGGTAGCTGCGGAATGTACAAGACTGGAACAAGTGCAGAATCTCTAAGTACATGCAAAATAATCCGCAAGCTCAATGGGAACACAAAGCATTTTAACCCCTTCGGGGGCATTTATTGTGATACAACCGGGAATTTCCTGTTGTCTGATCGGCCGCTGATGTCATGCCACGGGCTATGGAAAGGTGGTGGGGCGCCACGTTTATCTTGGTCCTATTCTTTACTATCCTTGTAATATTATTGAGATATCGATAATCCTTCCATCTTGCAAGTTTGCATTGTATACTTCAACCTTGAGTTCAACTTTCGTCGTATATCATAATGCTTGCAGCTGTGAATAGAACCGTTTTAAGTTGCCGATATGCTATTGACGTATCTTTCGATAGCGCTGCTTTTGCCTCTGACGGAAACTATAGGTCTCAAGATAAACCAAAGCTTCTACTACCAAAGCTTCTTCTACACAATTTCCCTTTCTTATCTGTTTACTGCGTGAGCTAGATCTCTTCTCTTGTCTAATCGAGGGAGTGATATCCAGCTCGAGTATTTTTTTTCCAAAAGTTTTCATCAACCGTGGGGGCAGTGTCCATTGTCTCTGGCCTTTCGATTTGCCTTTTCGGTTTGCTTCTATGCGTGCGTCAACGAAGTAATGGTTAATAATGTGCCCCACGCTTGAATTTCTGCACGAATTAAACAAAACCTCTTCGGCACTACAATATTGCCTTACTATATACGTTTGTAGCTACATGAGATATTAGAAGGAGAGAATGAGTGTTATGGTAATATTGCATGGGGTTTGGATGGCAATAATGGTACATTCAAACTTCGCTGGACAAATAAATTCAGATTTACAGGAATCGGCCCTTCTTGGTCGGCCAGTTGGCAACGTAGTTGAAGCAGGTCACCACAGTGTCACCGAATTCCCCTGGGTAGGACTCGCAGTTAGTGCAGCTGTAGATACCGTGTTGGGCACCCTGAAAAAAAGCGATAGCAGTATCATTGCTCTTTACAGCAGCGAAGTGGATCTTTTCTGCGTTTAGGTACTCAAAGTTACCGGTCATACCCAAGGTCAAGAGAGGATAGAAGAGACTGGGGCTAATTGGGTCGAGTCAAAATCGATACCGGCAAGCCCGTCGACCCCAATGTTAAATGTGTCATTCACACAAATGGCTAGAGTCGAAAGATAACGGCGAACGGTAGTTTTGATAGCGGCGTCTATATATGATTCGGAAATACTATTCTAGCTGGAGGGCACACGGACTGAGTGAACCGTCTGCTTCGTGGTACTATTCTTCTTGAGAAGAGTCCAAGGGTAAGAAGTCTAGTGAAGAGTGCGAGCATCCGTAGTGATGAAAAGGTCGTTAAATCCAATATATAGACCACCGGGAATAACAAAGGGTTCATCATCGGAAAACATGCCGTCACCAGCCTCAATCGCCTTCAAGCGTGCCTGGGCATGCTCGATAATACGGTTTTTACGTGCAACCACGCCGAACACCGAAATTTCCCAAGCCCTCGCATTCTTTAAGAGCAAGGAAGATGCGTTGCTGAGGATCCACTTGAACATCGCATAATCGTTAGAGGTTTCACCTCGGAGCAAATTTCCCGGTTAGAGGTTTGACTCCGAGGTGTTCTTATAGTAAACTAGCCTATCTTCAAAACTGAGATATGATCTGCACCTCTTGTCTACGTTGTGGGTCAACTGGCCTCTAGTATGATTTGATTGGATGGGAAATGATAACAGGCATCTATGAACTCTGTGGGGGTGGTGCGGACTCTGTCCCACTCATCCCCTCTACACATAATGTGTACAGTGTTCCAAATACTCATTTCCCTGGTTATTACCTCCACCGCGATGATTATCAATTTGACCAAAACACCTACCAATATGTATCCATGGCATCTGACCACATAGGTATGTACCCGCCCTTTACGCGTGGGTGGAAAGCTCGTGGGTGGTTAGTGTCATGAATACTCCACTTCCTTCAAGTCCGCTTGTTTCATATAGACGCTCGGCACTTCCACGGCAAGGGACTTTCTGAAAGCGGTTCCAGAGTCCACATATGCTATATAATATATCAGTTCATGGTTTATAAGATGTCAGTTCATAGTTCTGTTCTCCTACCCTGTCTTTGAGTTTTCCATTCATTCTGTCGCGCATTCTGTCAATACCTTCGTTCCGTTTGCTTTCGTTCTTTCTTTTATCCACTCTCTTTTATTCCCAGGATGTGGAACCCTTGGGTAATTGCCGCCCTGTCGGCCATGGCTGCTGCGCAGCTTACTGGCCATGTTGGGCCCCTGACTTCGGTGGCTGAGAAGGCGGCGATCAAGACATGCAATGTCCTCGACTACGGAGCGGTGGCTGATAACTCAACAGATGTTGGCCAACCCATTGCTGACGCCTTCGCTGACTGCTCCTCTGGCGGACTGGTGTATGTGCCCGAGGGAAACTATGCGATGCAGACTTGGGTCTCGCTGGCAGATGGAGTGGGATGGGCGCTACAGATTGACGGGGTCATCTACCGGGCGGCCAACCCCTCCAGCCAGAGTTACATGATTGAGATTTCCGGTGGGAGTGACTTTGAGCTCTTCAGCTCCACGTCGGCCGGCGCCATTCAGGGCAGCGGCTATCTCTACCACATGCAGGGTACCGCCATCGGTCCACGCCTGTTGCACGTCTCCGCAGTTTCGGATTGGTCGGTCCATGACTTCCTGCTGGTAGACGCCCCCATGTTTCACTTTGTCATCCAGGGTGGGATCAATGGGGAGATTTATAACATGGCAATCCGGGGTGGGAACGAGGGAGGATTGGATGGCATCGACGTCTCCGGCACCAATATATGGATCCACGATGTCATGGTCACCAACAAAGATGAGTGTGTCACGGTCAAGGTGAGTGCGTCTGGTGTCCGAGTCCTGACTATATGTGGTGCTGAGGGACCCGACTGAAGTGACTCTCTGGCTAATAATAGCTCTTCTTCGGACTAGAATGATTCAACTAACCTCTTGATTGAGGATATATACTGCAACTGGAGTGGTGGTTGCGCTATCGGATCTCTGAGTCTCGGGGCCAATGTCAGCAACATCGTCTACTCCAATATTTACACTTGGTCATCCAACCAGATGATGATGATCAAGAGTAACGAGGGCAGTGGTACCGTGTCTAATGTGGTGTTTGAGAACTTTATCGGTAAGTTGACACGCAAGAGCGTGCGACTCGTCAGGAGAAGGGAGAGAAAGAGAAAGTGGCTGATTAGACCTAGGCCACGGCAATGCGTACTCCCTGGATATCGACAGCTACTGGGCCAGTATGTCCTCAAGCGGTGGCGAGGGTATTGAGATCAGTAACCTCACTATTCGCAACTGGAAGGGAACAGAGGCCAATGGAGAGCAGCGTGGACCCATCAAAGTCCTCTGTCCCGAAGGCAATCCGTGCTACGACATTACCATTGAGGACTTTGCCATGTGGAGCGAGTGGAACTATGGGCAATGGTATTCGTGTGGGAGCGCGTATGGTGACGGCTTTTGTCTGGACAACAGCACCGACCCGGACAGTTACACCTCCTATGCGGCCACGACCACCACCGTCTGGACTGCTCCATCTGGCTATTCCGCCGCTACTATGCCAGACGACCTCGCAACTGCCTTTGGATTAACCGCCCCGATTCCCATCCCGACTCTGCCCGCCTCTTTCTTCCCAGGGGTCACACCTATCAGCCCATTCGCGGGTGCATCCGCACAGGCAACTCCCAGCAGCTCCTCTAGGACAGTGGTCTCCATTACCCCCTCTTCGCTGGTATCTCACCTCTTGATGGCCAGTCCCTCTACTACCACCAGTCCCATGACCAGCTCCAGCAGCTCTTACATCTCTACAGCGGAGCGCTCGGGTGTGAACAAGGCGGAGAATCCGACCAAGGACCATCACCACCACCACATGCATTCCTGCCAGCGCCATGGACAGTGCCACTAGTGGACTAATCAAAATTTACCCAATCACAGCACAATCGCAGCCTGAGGCTGTTTATTTTCTTGTCACTCGTTTACTAGCCATTTTAATATAATATTTCTCAATTGAAGTTTGAAGGGAAGTGTGAAGACCGCCTCATCGGACGGTCAGGATGAAGACTATTCATTTAGCCCTAACGGAATACCTTGATTGTATATATAAAGTTATTTCCCTCGCCCATTTGCCAACAACGTAATATAAAATTTCAAAATTTTAACCACAGGAATTGCCAATTTTTGCCGGGGGTAAGCTGGAGACATAGGCTTTAACTTCATCAATATCCCTCGTACAATCAACAAGACGCCCTTCCAATTCCTTGCCATTTCCAGAGCAGAGATAAACACAAGTCCAAGCGGCTAACTCTGCCTTAAAGTCGGGATGCAACTTGGAGAGCTTTGCCATCATCTCAATGACATAAGGAGCTTCTTTCTTGGTCTTCTCTGGGAAAGCCGTTTCATGAAGAGAGGTCTTGACCTCTCCTGGATGGATTGAAAATACGGAAATGCCGTTGGAAGGGAAGCCAAATGTACCCTTCTGCAATAAATTGAGTTCCGCCTGTAAAACGCCGGCAAAGCGTGTAATCCCCGTTTTTGCGCAACCATATGCCGCTGTCCAGGGCAGATCGGCTGCTGCGGCGCGGGATGAGGTGTAGATAATAACCCCGGAGTTGCGCTCTTGCATTGAAGGTAGAATCATTCGTGTTAACTCGGTAGGCGACTTGACCATCAATTCCATCTGGCGCCACCATTCGTCTGGGTCCGTCATGTGGAATGGCATGAACGTGTTTGTGCCGGCATTACAAATAAGGATATCGATCGCACCGAGTTTTTCAACTACCTAGATAGGGACGCGCGTAAGTCGAGGCCGTCCAAAACAGAAATGGGCATTTGAATCATGAAATTGTTGATCATGTATAGTTACCTCTTTAACCAGACGGTCCAGATCTTCTCGCACACAGATGTCGGCGATCACACCAATACATTTGCGTCCAAGCTTCGCCACATCGCTCGTGGTATCTTCGACTTCCTTTTTCGTTCGCCCGGAAATGGCAACAGCCGCACCGGAGCTTGCAAGAGCTAGTGCAATCTCACGTCCAATACCCCTCCCCGAGCCAGTCACCAGCGCGACTTTACCTTCCAAGGAACCATTAAAAAGGTCAGGGTTAATCGCTGGGTAGATACCGGTTCGAAGAGTAAACTCTGGCTTTACGGTGTTCGTCATGGTAGTAGACGTGGTCATGGAATTATTTCCTCTAAGATCAGGTGCACATTAATGAAAGCCGGCTAATTTATAGCATGGAGGAGCCGAGACAGATCTTCAACATGGCGGAATACCCGAGGTGGACCGCATCGGTTCTACCGGATATCAGCAACCATTAAAACGTGCAGTTTCCACTCATGATTTCAGTAATTCTCCCAAGGGTATCTTGAAAGAACCGAAATCAAGTTCTATACAGTGTTTGTCATGGCATTCGAAATTTACATCCCTTCGTCACTCACGTTCCAAGACTACATTGGAATTACCCAGTGTGCCCGAACGCTCGCCGATGGCTACGATCGAAAGGTACTATTTCCCCAACCCCATGACTCTCAAATACTGTGGCTCACCCTGAATTACTAGGACAAATCTCGCGTGAGGGCCTCTCTAGCGCCCAACATTATCGTCGACTATAGCAAAGTTGTACCAGAGTGGGGTCGCAAAGCATTTACCGCGGATGTATTTGTCGAGGAGTGGCTGGGACCGACACACCTCGGAGTTAAGGCACTAGCAACACAGCATCTACTCGGCGCACCCTACTTCAAATCTGTTACCTCGGAGAAGATCGTGGTGGAGTGGCAGCAATTAGCGAGCCATGGAAGACGAGTCCAGGGCGAGGATTTCGCGCACCCGATGTGCAAGATTGACGAGATCTCGGATGGGAGGAGTTGGATGCAACAGATCTTTGTGAAGGTGGATGGGCAGTGGCGTATTTCTGAGATTCGACCCGAGGTTCTTTATCATACCGGTGATTTCTTGAAGGTCGGACGACCGGATGAGGAGAGTGTTTGAGTTAGGCTTGTCATTGTACCTAAAGACTAGAGTAGAACAGTTGATTGCGCTTTTTAGCTATTACTTTGAGCTCATAGCATCGGCGTGTTTGATTGGCAGGAAACTCCGTAAGTCTTTTAGCGATCAAATGTCCTCATTTAATCATAGTAAGCGTGATTCCCTAATCCTCCAAATGAAGGAAATCCGTGAGCTCGGCTTTTCCGACTGGAGGGAGGAATGATGATGCCGTACCCCATACCCACACCCCGCACGCCTGGGATCAGACCCCTGCCGAATACTATCCACTCATTTGCTACAGAGAACTCCACTGTAAAGGTCAAGCTCATGGGACTTGTTGATCGGATCTTCCAGGGATGCTTGTTCGGAGTTGAACCCTGGACCCAAAGGGTCGGCTCCAGTAAACCCCGCATTTTTGCCTGTACACAGTGTACTTGGTATACTGGACGGAATTCCCGACGATGAGGTATTGTGGCGGCTCACTAGACCTCGCATTGGAGCAGACCGCTGTTGTCTTCGAGCGCCTCTTAGATCCTTCTGACAAGTACTAACGGAAGATCCGCTATGCGATTACTTATAAAGGAGCGACATGGATCATAGCTCCAAGCTCGACGCTGGTAGCTTTGTACAGAGTACTTGTTAACTCGCACGATGGAAATCTCACAAGAAACAAAGGAAGGTGAAACTGGGGTGTCTCAGTTGGAGCACACTGAACAGGATGTACCTCCAGTACTGAACGAGGATGAACCTCAGACCCCTTACCAGCTGGGCTGGAGGACCATACTGGCAGTCCTGACTTTATCCATGGCCAATGTTTGTGCGGCGCTGTCTAATACGGTATGCTTGTCTATATCTCACCTCAATGAGCTTAACACAGAAACTAAACCACGTCTTCACCACACTAGACAAACACTACGATCAAATTCCAAGTAGCAACCGTCGCACATTCGCCGTCTGATGCCGCTCTCGCCTCGTGGATTGCCAATGGCAACTTTCTTCTCAGCCTTGCGCTGGGCCCGATATTTGTACGTCAAATTCCACCCGGGCCTAACTTTCGTGAGTTGACAGAATGTAGGGCTCTGTTAGCGATCGCTTAGGCAAGAAATGGTTCCTTGTAGGAGGCGCCTCGCTCGGAGTTATTGGATCCATGGTCTCCGGGTCTGCCCATAAAATCACCGATATCATCGGGGGCAATATCCTAACTGGTATTGCCAATGCAGGCTGTGTAAGTAAACATAACATCATCAAATCAATGCTATCTCCAATCCCTGTTACTAACCATACACTAGATCGTTTCCATATCCTGCATCCAAGAAATCATGCCCAACAAGCTTCGCCCCTGGGCAATGGGTGTCTCCCAAGCCATGGCCAGCGCCTTTGTCATTCTCGGGACCTTCGTTGCAGCAGCGTTTGTCCAACATAATATAGGAGGTGCCGGTGGATGGCGCTGGGCTTACTACTTCAACGGAATCATCTATGGCTTCACTGCGGTCGCAATAGGGCTTACTTATTTCCCACCCCGTCCGCTACTCGGTCGACACCGTGCGCTGAAGGAAATCATGACTACCGTGGACTTTGTCGGTATCCTCTTGATGGCAGGATCGTTTACGTCGCTTATCATCGGTCTGACCTGGGGCGGCACTACGTACCCGTGGAATTCGGGACGGATCATTGCTACGCTGACGATGGGATGTGTTGGGCTTGTTCTGTTCGGGTTATACGAAGCTTTCGTCGTAAAGGAGGGTATTCTTGATCGTCGATTGTTTTCCGAGTCGATGAATTTCCCGATTTTGCTCTTCGTGTGCACGATTGATGGAATCCTGCTGCTCGGTGTGAATGTCGCTCTCTCGCAGGAGATCTTTGATTTGTTCACACAAGATGCAGTGAGTATTGCGGTGATGTTGACTCCATACTTGGCTCTCTCGACTTTTGGTTGTATCCCGGCGGGCTGGATCATGGCGTCTACCAAGTCATACAAGACCCTACTGGTTGCTGCTCTACTCTGGTGTTCCCTTTTTACAGGTACGCTTCCCTCCCGATTTGACCATTGAAACAAATCTCTAACAACGTTCCAATATAATCAGGCTTGATGGGCCTCATCACTGCCGAGAGGAAGAGCTGGGCGTACGCTTTCTCCGCACTATTCGGTGCTGGCACGGCCGTAACAACCACCATTCCAGGTAAGATACCACCAACCCTTTATCTTAAGCCACGATAAATATCCAAGAGAAATTTAACCAATTTCCATTACAGTCACTGCCCTCGCCCTCTCCATCCCATCCTACCTAATCGGCACAGCTGCCACCGTATCCATGTCCTGCCGAGCCCTGGGAGGCATCGTCGGCATCACTATCTTCACGGCGATCTACAACAACAAATACGCCTCATACGTTGGTCCCGAAATTGCGAATAACTCTGAAGCCCCCGTTCAAAAGGTGGAGAGTGCTATGGCGTGGAAGTATATGTGGATCACGCTTGCGTGCTTGATTGCCGCGAATGGCGTTGCTGCTTGCTTCTTGAAGAGTGTTAAGAGTATGATGACTGGGCATGTTGAGTCTGCTTTGGAGCATAATAAGATTCGGGAGAAGCAGCTTGAGTAAGAGTCTAATGGAAGGAGCCCTGGAGGAGGGATGTGGTGGAAGGGGTAATGGATGAGATGTGGTGATAATAATGATTGTATTTTCGGGGTGGATTAGTCGAAGTCTTATTGTAGTGTATACCACCGTCCAGTTGTGATATATGTTTTGTTGGTTCTGCAGACTGGATAGTTAAAAGAAAGCCAATCAAGGATTAAATAGCCCAGGGAGTAACCGGAAAGACTTCCATAAGGTTGTTTTGATCTCGCGGCCTGGAAGCACATAAAGAGGCTGGTGCCAGGTTTGATGAAGCTCGATCCCACCTTGTACCATCAATTCAAACTTGGTATAACGAGATGGTGGAAGTAAATTCAAGTTCGACCCTTGGGCTGTCAGACTAGAGACCACCTTGACCGATACCTACAAAGAAGCTCCACACTCTATTCTAGATCCAATACTCAATTTCAGATGAAATTCAATGAATCAATATCACATTCACTATCAAGTCCAAATCAATCGTTCCAATATATTAAGCGTGTCACAACTATACAAGACATGCACAAAGCCAACCAAGTCTCAATAGCCCAAACAATGCCACCCCATCTTCCTTTTCCCAAAAGCAACCCCATAATGTGAGATCAACCAAGGAAAAAGGAACAACAGGAAAAGCGAAAGTGTAAGCTAGACCAGCAATGCCAACGTCAATAGACAAATTAACATCACCAATCAAGAGAAACAAGGCTAGCCAAGGCAAGCATTCCCCCAATTAAGTTTAGCTATATTTACAGGATGTAAGCAGCGGCGGCAGCAACGGCAGCAACACCAGCCATGTTGCCCTTGACGTTGACGGCAGCACCAGTCCAGACGGGAGAGGTGGTAGCACCGGAAGAACCACCGGTAGTCTTGGAGGGCAGAGGGGTGGAAGTGCCAGCGGGGGTGGAACCAGCGCTGGAAGAGCCGGCAGCGGAGGAGCTGCTGGAGCCGGTAGCGGTGGCCGAGGCAGAGCTCGAGGCAGAGGAGGAGCCAGTGTCGGTGGCGGTAGCGGAGGCCGAGCTGGAGCTGTCGGTGGCAGAGGCAGAGCTCGAGGCAGAAGAGGAGGCGCTGGTGGTGGTCTCAACTGGGGGCACCGAGATGGGGTGGCCGGCGGAAGAGCACTGGGCGACGACGGCGTTGGAGACGGCTGATAGGGTTGTTAGTATGATTACTTTGGGTGGAGGGGGTGTATAACATACAGATCTGGTCACCAACGGAGCAGGCCTTCTGCACACAGGGGGTGATGTCGCTGACGAGGGAGGGCTTCTGGCAGTGGCAGGCGAAGTCGGTCAGGGACGAGCAGCCATCGGAAGTCAGGGCAGTGACGAAGCAGCTCAGCTGGTAAGAATGTTAGTTTATGAGTTTCTCCAATGGATACATATATCATGTATCATATTTTCATTCATTTTTTGGTAGTCATATCATACCGAGCAGCTGGGAATGTCGGAGAGCTGAGCGTTGGCCAGACCGGCAGCAACGAGGGCAATCAGAGTGGTGGAGAACTTCATTTTGACGGTTTAGATATTTGCTGAGCAAAAGCTGATAATATCGAAGATTGAACAAAAAAGAAGGGTTATCGAAAACGACAGTCCAAGACCTGATAGCGAGCGAGAGGCGGGGGGGTGAGGGAAAGAAAAAAAGACTGGGTCTGGGTCAGGGACAGAGATGCTCTTTATAAGCTTTGGGGGAAGTAAAGTTGAGTTCAAGTTGGACAAGACCTGGATAGTAGACGAGCCATGGCCCATGGCCCTTCAGGGTCACACTGGTTCTACTTTTCCCAAGCCTAAACCAGGTACGCTTGCTGCACTTCCCGGACATCCCGCATATCCCGCTAGCCATCACATGTTGTCGAATCTATGGAGTCCCTAAGATTGCGCGGCGAGAGACCTTCAGCGGCCGCGGTTGACTCAGATCCGGATTCCTGATTGGTTATTTCTATTTTTCTTTCATTTGATTAAACAAGGCTGGGGTCCCCGGACCCTCAATTCCAGGGCCAAGCCCTGGCCCGCTGGCACTAGATCCTGGGATGTGGGTTGCAGGCGAATAAATGCAACGAGTAATTTGACTTCTCCGTGTCTAGACTAGTTCAGGTCTCTGGTACGTTGCTCGCGTATAGACCTGCGTATAAACCTAATCTGGTTAGTAGACTTCATTGAACTAACCCCACAACGAGACTAACGTGGGTTAGCAGTACCACGGTGGATCCCTGATAGGATCGATTGTATGGCTCTCCACTTGGCCGGAGACTGCCGCAATGGGGCTAGACGAGAGATGATGGGGGGAGGGATTTTTTCTTGGTCTTTCCGAGGAGACGAGGAGAGCCAGTGATCCGGTTTGTGGTTAGACTTGGTGGCGATTATGGTCCATGATTTCAGCAGCTGGAATTGATTGTCGCTGTGCATGCAGACTTGGTTCTTGAGGTTTGATTGGTACTAGGTGCAGGACACGGCTTCCAGGTGCCCAGGCTTTAATTTCCGCTTCCAGCCTCTTGATATGAAAATAGAGAGAGACAAAGAATAATAATAGATGATGATTAGAGATACTACTTGATTGGGCTATTGATTATGTTTTTTTCTTTTGGAAAAGTACGGAGTACTGTAGATGTCATAGGAAAGCTAAGTACTGTGTAGCACCGTGCAGATACCCACTTATGGAGTGTCCTGCCTAGTGAACGCCCTGTACGTAATTGAATGGGCAGGCTTGGGATGGTGATTGCCCCTCAGCGGTGTGCAGATTACTGTGATATACGCAATGAATGCAGAGTTTGCAGACATCATACTTTTTGCAAGACAAAGGGATATCACATCTATAAATAAAGCGACGGGAGGAGAGAAAAGTCAACACAACGATGGGCAGTACCGTAGTACCTCATGGAAGTCACCACGGATAACCCCAGAGAGCAAAATAGACTCGGTCTATGATTGGTACTTTTCCACCACGCTAGTCCCTAAGAAGTCAGTAAATGGTATTGTTTCTTTTCACGGACCAACCAGGCCGAACGGTAAATCCGGGGAAGCAGGACCCCCCATCCAAATGGAGCCAAGCCACCTAGACCCTCAACCCGTCATGAGGTAGTATCCGCCTTGACCAAAAGCAGCTCGTGCCCCGGCCGCCCGTCAGCAGTATGCTGGATTATTATTATTCAAACCGATAATACTACATGATTCATGAGGAATTAAAGAAATAAATAATTATAGTCCTTACAACTTAATCGCATAGTAACCCTCTACGCGTCGTTATTACACAAACTTCCCTTTAGGCCTCATCCACGCTGTGTTAAGGGGAGGGCACCCATTGAGGCATTTGCAGTAACAACACAGAACGAGGGGTATCCATCTCCACACGTCAGAGGCGACACTATTGGCAGTTGGGGCTGGTTACCGTCCCTCCGTACTTTAGTCGTCTTTAGTGACTTTAGTTTGTTTTGGTTTTTCCAGACGGTTCGATTTTAGTCAGGGACCACCGTCCAGGACTTCTCCCAGTACTCCGTGGAGTGAGTAGACTGGATCCATAGGGCCCTATGGATGCAGGATGGAGTACTACTTCGATCCAAATTTATCCAGTTTAACGAGGGATTAGCCAGGTCGGACTAACTAGCCTCAACTGGTTTCCCCGTTAGGTCCGTCATGTCCATCCGGCTGTACGGCCGGGGGGGGGGGTGTTCAATGCGTACTTTGTGGGGCTGAGAATGGCCATTGCGATGACTATCAGTATCACTGTATGATCAGAATTTTAACTGATAGTCAGTGCTGCTACTAAGATAGGCAATTGGTTTTAGCCATTGGATTTTCCTTTGCCTTCATGGTGGGTGGGACAGTGGAACCGGGAAGAGATTCGACTCCGTGGACACTGATCAACCACTATCCAGCCTATTCTAGGATGCCTTTCTCTTGTAGTCTGTTTCGCCTTCAGCGATCCCCCAAGGTTTAATTTGCCTCCCCGGATATCGTATCGACTATCATCAGTGATCAGCCCTTCCCCCCCCCCTCCAGCGCGATGGACCGCCCTAACACTCGCTCTAAGCGATGTACATCCCCCTCTCGATCTGGGTTCCGCCCGTACCTGCATCTGCATACCGGCCACGATGGCTGTACTCGGCTATGCTGGGTAGGTTCGTGGCGATATCAGGGCCAGGATTGCTAATTAGCTTTCTTGGGGGATCTGAGGCTGCGTTCTGGACTGGATACCATGTCATGGTGCATGCTAGAGGGTTGACAAGAAAAGGGGCAATAAGGACTTGTCTAGCATCTTTTCCCAGGAACCGTGCTATCCATGGGACCAATGTACGGATGGAGTGCTGGGCGTTATGCTGGTCATGAGAGAAGAGTCCGGGGTGTATGTTTCGCAGGGGCGGATATCCACTCGATCCGAGCAGAGTGAGACATGGTGGAGGTGGGGGATAAGTCGGTGCGAACGAGTCATTTTACTCTCCTGTCTGTCCACTGTAGACCAAAGATCCAGCCGAACAAACTAAGTGCCCAGCCATTCCTCCTTGTATGGGGATTAATCGGTGGTTGGTGCCAAGGGAGGACCGCCAGAGTGACTACAAGCCCCGTTCAATCCCACGGGCAGCGTGGGGCCAGGAACAGAAGGCAGCGACGATCACATGGAAATCGTGGAGTCCAATAGCGCTTATTGATATGACAGTTTTATCTCGAGGCCGAGGGGATATGATCAGGGAGGGATTTTAGTACGCCACCTCAAGCCAGGATCAGGGACAGGATCAGGGACCGGGACTGATAGGAGGAACATAGACCAGACCATTTGGCCTTCTGGTGTTTGGCGCTGACCCTGGCCTGCTCTCTAGGGCGCCTTGCACCGGGCACGAACCCTGCATTGGGAATAGATTGGAGGCGGGTTAATCTATATTTTTCAGTCCATGACTTTGACGGCAACGGCTAGAGAAAGTGGATGGACAGGGTTAGACAGTAGACAGTCGAATCCCCCCCCCCCCCTGTCAAGGTCAATTTTATTTTGTGTGCCACTCGGGAAATTTAGAGAGGCGATGGGCATAAACGGCTTTCTTCAATCGTACCTGGTGTTGGACCTGTCAGTTTCCCCCGTCAGCAGTATTCATAAAGTTCCATTGGCCAGAGACTGCGGGGAGAAGAATCCAGATTGAAAGTGGAACTCGGAGACAAAAGTAGAAATTCAGAAATCCGGGGAGACTCCCAGTGCATCCATAAGGTATAATCCAGTCTTTGCTAGATTTCCCTAGTTTTTACTACAAGCGAGCCGCCCCATCAGGAGTTACTACAACGATTGGACCTAAATAACCCGGTCATGTCGATCGCAAAACGGGTGGATATTCAATCCCTCCTCCGTCCTTCATACAGCACTATTTAGTTGTAGTTGTTCTATCCATATTCATCGGAACTCACTTCCACACTCGGTGGAATAATAAGGATTATCTTCCGTTGTCTACTTTCGGTCTAGGGTCTAGACGATGTCTAGACGATGTTACCCGGTGTCCAGGGACCTCTTCCGGGAGTTGTTAAATATAGACGCAGTGTGCCCCGGGCATTCGAAATGATAATCTCCGATCGAAGATCCCTCGAGTCTAATACGATTCCTGGGGGGTTGCTGACTGGCTCGAGGCTCGTGTTGGTTGTCGTTGTTACGGGCCTCGTCTTGTGTTGCGCTTGAAGAGTAATCTCTCTGAGACAGTAACGACGAGAAGTTGTCGGGATCATGGGCATTTGATTGTGATGCCGACTCTGCCTCGGCGAGCATATGAAGATGCTGGATCCTGTCCTGTTGTGTTGGCTGCAAAGAGATGGGAACGAGGCCCCCAACTCGAATGGCTCCAGAATACTTCTGCACAAAATTCTTCAAGTCACCTACTATCGGCGTGACACAAGAACGTGGAATGTTCAACCCATTGAATTCGTATCTCGTTGCCCATTGCTAACTGTACAATCCCAAACGCCCGCTTGCAAGCAAATCACCTCCCTGGGGAGCCAGTTTAATCTGTGGACAGTTCCAGCAGACCAGACTCTCAACCTCTTCTATCCTCGCCTGTCATTGCACCTCCTAAGAGAGCAGTTCATCCATATGCGCCCTCTCTTTGACATTCCCATCTTGCAAAAGAACTGCCAGAACTTCGATAGGAGGCTCCAACTTGAGCATATTCGCCCGTCGCCAGCGCTTGACTCGAGCAATACCAATGCACGGCTAGAACCAGATATTAGCCAATGCTTCTCGTAGGACGAAATTCACCCCAAGTCTCGACGTAGACCATGCCAAAACATATACATACCCCATATTGACTAGACAGATCAAAGTGACGAAGAATCTTCTCCTCCAGATCCAAATCACCCTGGTGAACTGTAGAAAGACAAATCAGCTTCCCATATTCTCATAGACATGCAACACCCCCACCCCCAACGTACCCCGCGGAGCCTTCCGCTTCTGCTCCTCCTTCCTCCAGTATGACTGCAAGTCCTTCCGAGTCAATTTCAGCGCCCGCTCATCCTCAGCGGAGACGGGCTCCTTCAGTTCCGCGACTACCTGTTGTCGAACAGCTAGCTCGGCGACATGAGGCTTGGAGGGGTGCGCATCGGCAAGAACCTGCTGAGGCTCTGGAGTTCCTGCTGGAGAAACTTCAACGGGAGAATCGAGGCTCTTGGCCTTGTGGATTGCGGTCGGGGTGCTGGATGGTTTGGTGACTCGGGACTGGTTGCCGAAGGAGAGGGTTGCCTGGGCGGCAGCTCGACGGCGGGGAGGCATCGTGAGAGTAGAGGGATGTATGGTGCGACCGTAAGGATATTGGGTTATGTTGTTGGAATGGGAGGTGAAGTGCGTAGATGTCGTTGAATCTGGGGGTAGGTTGAAGGGGGTGGGTTTTTGGTGGAGTCTGATGATGTCGTTTTGGTTGTGTTGCGCCTGGCAACCGCAACCAACGATTTTGCCCGCACGCGGCACGGCCAGGGACTTGGCTGGATCAGGAGGGTTTGGCGGGGTTTTGCATGCTTGTTGAGGGCTTGGGAGTATAGATGTGGAGTGTAAATAGAGGATGTTTCTAGGTATGACCTACCTATGTATAGAGTAGGTAGTAAGCGCTATCTATATGGAGTATTCTACCAAGTGGGAATCTACCAAGTACCTAACTTGATACTTCTGGACAATGTGATACTTATTAGAGTGGAACTTTAAGCCCGGATGTAGTACAACGGAGTATATACCGTGACGACTTCGAATATATATTCATCAGCCCGTAGGTCATGGAAGTAGGCATTCCAGGGCTGCTAGGCTGAGGTGAGCATGCGATGACCGGGAGTATGCTAGACCTAACAGTGTAGATTCATCTTTCGAATTGGCCCGCAATGGAACGGGATGCGTTGTCCATACCTTCTACTCTCGTATTATCCTCCAATGTCGTGACTTGTACCGCGCGTCTAAACCCCATGATGCAATCGCGGCTCAAAGTTAGGCTCGGCTGGGGGAGGCTGGAGGTTCGCCCTTGAGGGACTTCCCCCCACATGGGAAACTCACCTTGAAAGCTGCCCTCAGCTCTTCTTTCTACCCAACCAAGCGTCTCCTCCAGACGACAACCCTCCCGTCCACATTCTCGTATTACCGCCATCCATCAGCCGCACTTCCCGCCCCATCTGCACATTGGTTTTCATCTTTCCTACTCCTCCCCCCTTTCCTTCCCCCCCCAACGACAACCACATCCCGTTGGGGGCCCATATGAACCGTGCGACAGGGTCCCGAGGTCGCAGATTCCCCACAACTTCACCGCGCCCCCTCCGCCGCATGCCCATGGTGTTGCGGGAACAGTTCGATCGAGATGGCCGCCTTTGTGCGCGTTTCAGGTCCGGCAAATGGCAATTTTCTCATCGGATACCCCGGCATCTCTGCCACCATGGTAAGCGCCGACTGGACACCTTCTCTCCCCGTTAACCTCGTTGTCCCTGGTTTCCCCCGGAGCCGCCGTTCTATCATCCCCTTGGACTTGATGAACACACAAAGAGAGGAACCTCAAAGCCAACTGACTATCGCTTAAATGACCAGCCCCGAATCGAAGGTAAAGTCGAGATCCGGCCCAGCGTCGGTATCTCCGCCCCGGTCAATGTCTCCCTAGTCACCATATCTCTCCTCCGCCGTGAGACCATCCACCCGTCCGCCGACTCTGTCACAAAGAAGCGCCTGGCCCCGCCTCGCAAAGAAATCACCGATATCGTGGGCAAGGAAATGCTATTATTTCGATGTCCCGCCGGGAAAGAATACGAAGAGGTCATTGCTATGGATCTACCATTCGTCTTATTTATCCCATTTGGCCGCGGCGGTCGCGATGCTTCACGAAGAGTACCCCCCGCGAGCCTACAATTACCGAGTCGAACGGCCGAAACATACTATGAGATGGTGGTTATGGTGCAACAAGGGCACTCTGAACAACGCAAATACACATTCCCCGTCCCTATCGCCCGTTACGACACCCTTTCTACCTTTGGCATGTATAATCGCCCCGAGTCGGCCGAGCGGGTATCCGATCATCTCGTCACATTAGCCATTTCATTACCACGATGGTCCTACGGCCCGCTAGATCCCGTCAGCGTCTACGTTAAACTATCCCCGAATCAAGACTGGATGGGTAAGGCCCGGAAAGTCACTATCAGCAAGATTACCATCGGCATCGACGAGGAAATCATCTACAATCATGAGGGCGATGAGCCCCAGCGTAAGGTCAAGACCTTGGCTAAGAAGACAGAGGCCGTGGGCGTCAGGTTACCCCAGTCCGGTTATCTCACCAATCTGGGATTGGTGTTTCCAGCCAAGGACATGCGGGATTCGGAAGGTATATTGCCGCGTAGTCGGACGGCATTTCCCATGTATGGAGTGAGTGGGTTCACGACGACGGCGAGTTTGTATAAAATTGAGTATTACCTCACAGTGCGAGTAAGTTTTCGACATGTTAAAAGAGGCAAACCAAGTCCACTCCTGGATGTCGGAAGCTAACTTAATCGCCTAGGCACATTTAACATCTGCGCGAGACATCACAATTCGCCAACCGATTGTGGTTTGCCCTCTTGACCATGCTGGTTGTAAAGAGGAGATGGAAGCGATCGAACTAGCCGCACGAGACGCCGCTCATGTGAACCCAGATAACCCGATGCTGCCTTTGCCATCCATCGTTCGACCCAATGATCCCAACGCCCTTGATCACCTCGGAGTAGCCTTGGTTGGGAATCAAAAGAAACCTCTGATCGACTGAGCATGCGCCACATGGTTGCATTGGCTCAAAATCTGTGGATATTCCACCACACTCATCTCACATTCCTCGAGTGCATTTTCAAATGCACTAATCACACCTCACCCGGAGACTCCCCGGCTCACATTGCAGCATTTTCAACGCTGCAAAGAAGACCGAATGGGAGCTCATTTTATTACAGGCCCCGAACTACCCGGGTCGCCTCACCGAATACCATGTCCTGTCATGTCTTATGATTGCATAGAGCTTGGAGTTTGTTGCATGGCATTCAAGGAAGCTCGTTCGAATTTTTCATTCAACAGGGGGAAACGGGGTGTTGGGAGGAGGCTCATTACTTGGTGGTTCGGGGCTTTGGGAGCCGAGACGTCAAGAGTCTTGATATTGGATCACAGAGGCGCCTTCTACCAGGTTTCATCTTGGCCTACCATTCCCGCATTATATGCTCCCGCTTTGATCTGTCCGAGTTGATCTGATTGATTGATCTACTTCCAATCCGCTCTCGATATTACTGAATACTCTCGTACCACTTTGTGGTCGTATCTAGGTAGAACTGAAATGTAAATGTCTAATCTTGCATTTGAGTATACAAGTATGATCGTAATTGAGTTTCTGGAGGCGATCACCCGATCATTTGACTAGGTAAGAGCTTATTTATTCCATGGATGGTCTGGGCTCTGATGGCTAAAGATAAACATGCGGGGTATCAAAAAAGCAAGACTGCACCCTGTCCTTCCACAATTCTATTCTCCGATCTTCAAAAATCCCATGGCGGCGCTGAGAATGTCCGAGTCGACAACATCCTCCTGATTCATAGTTTGTTTCTGATTCTCAATATCCTGCAGGCATTCTTTTAGAATGTTGAGGATGGCTTGATATTGTCTCGAAGAGGGCCCAAATGTCTCGAGGGCATTCTCAAGGCTGTTTGATATCTAACAACAATCTTAACGCTTTTCATAATAAGTCACAGCTATACAGTACATACCTTGCGCAGCAGATCATTGTAATCCGTTTTGTCCGCCATATCGAAACGATCGAGGATATAACGGTGGGATTCAGGAGAGTGACCCGCCATTGAAGCGGCCCTGATAGGCGCTTATCGATAAGCTCCGAATTTCTCGCGACGTCCGACCCTCGTCTTTGCGACTGACTCTACAACTTACTCATTTACACCCAGATCTCCTCGCCAGACAGTCATGGCGGACGCAGATGAGGATGCTGTCCGTGGAACTACGGTTGAAGCTACACAGATCGAAGTTGATCTCTCCGACGAAACGCAGGACTTTCGTCTACTAAATCACCTCAATTTGTATGTCTGATTGGAGCTGGCTAGCTGCGAGAGGACTTGTCTAGTTTCACAGCTATACCCTAGCGCATACAAGAACTATTGACTAATACCTTTGACAGCCTCACCGATACATCCTCCTCCAGTCTCCCCCGCCGCGGCGAGAAAGACTTCGAGCCTAATCCCACCGAATTCCAAGCCGATGTCCTCTCCGCCTCCCGCCAGGCGATGCACAATGCCCTCGCGCATCCTCGTCTACACAACCCCAAGAACCAAGTAATCGCCATATATGCCCCCGAAGGCCCTCCACCTCCTCCCCCCGTGCCTCCGGGCCAGGATCCCGGCAAGACAAGCGGTAGGGGCGCTAGTGTTTCGCCGGATGCATGTGTCTACGTGCCTAGCCCGAAGGGCCAGTATTTCAAGAATATGGGACAAGCCGATCGGAAGGGTGTTATCTGGTTGTTACCCGAGGAGGCATTGTATCTGCTTGAACGGGGCAGTTTGGATATCCGTTGGCCTACTTCGATTACGGGTGGGACGGTCGAGGAAGGTAGTGAGGAAGAGGAGTTGTCTATTCCGATGAGTCTGCAGGCTGCTTATGCGTGTTTCATTGGGAGAGGTGGATTGACTCTTGAGAGGTTTACGGTTTTCTCGAGTCTGAAGAGGATTGGGTATGCTATTTCCCGTGCGCCGGGGTGGGATGACTCTTCAAGTGTGGAAGATTCGGCGGATGAAGATAGCCGGAATGCCTATACGCAGCCCGTTACGCGCGGTGCAGGTCTGGCTGGTATCTTGGGAAGTATATTCAACTGGATCAATGATCCGAAATCCACGTCCTCCACGGCGGCTGGTCCCGTCATTGGATATGGAATTCATCGCAACTACAGTAAGTCTTATCCACCACCCATCTCTATCAGGTACATCAAACTAACCACATCCAAAAGGCGACATCTACAAAAAACTCGCCCAAATCCCCTGGCACGACCCAACTACCCTCCCCACCCGAAACCCCCTCTCCACAAAACCCCCCTACCGCGTAATCCTACACGTCTTCAAGCCCTCAACATTCATCAAAAAATCCGCCCTCCCACCCCCAGACTTCCGCATCGCAGTCATCAACACCCGCGAAGCGACCACCATCCCGACACTCCCCGAGCTAAGCGCTCTGCTGGAAAGTACCCCGCTAGATCCGCCGAAGGGTGAGAAAATGGATCGCCAGATGTATCTGCGGTTGCGGCATGGGTATCGGAATGTTATTCTTGCGGTGGTGGATCAGGGGGTTACTAGTTTTTTGAGGGTTGCGGATGTTGCGTTTGGGAGGGAGAGGTTGTATGAGAGTGTTGGGGGGTCGTTGGGGCCGAAGAAGGCGGGGAATTTTAGGAAGAAGAAGCGGTGATGAGCTCTTGGGTTGGATGATTGAGTATGAGTCTTGTCAGCGTGGGAGGGAGGTTATGGCTCTCGTTTAGCGGGCTGCCATTCTCGAATGGGATTTGGTTGAATGGCCTTTCTCACACAAGGATTTAGATCTGTTTCTCTAAACAGGCAGTTACCTGGTGCAGATGACCATATGCTCCTGGTAGTCATTACAATGGCACCAATGGCTATATTGTCCAGCCATATTCAAGCTACAAATCATACGTAGCAACCCTTTGGTCGTCCGAGATAGAATAAAAAATTCAACTCGAATGATAAGACTTTCAATACACACATCATAAATCATAAAAGCCATGAATGTAGTCCTCCAGCGCTGTACCGCGCATCCCCACAACCCTCCTCAAAGTCGATACATCTCACTCCGACTCCGAGCCCCGTCAAACACACAGGTATTGTCAAGCGGCACGTACTGTCTAGTAAGCACCTTGAGCGCCTCCTGCGCAACGAGACCTCCCGTAAGAGACGAAATATTGTGCAGCTCACCGCCCTCCGCGCGACGAAGTTCCATGATAGCGTTCGCGATGGCCCCGCGCACGTCTACGTCAAGCGGAACGGGCTGGTCGCGACTCAACAGAGCCAGGATACGTTCAGTGTGGCTGGTCCACAGAGCTTCGTCGTCAACGGAAAGCTGAGCTTCTTGCTGTCCGCTGCTCTGGATTTCATCCACGACTGCGTCGAGGACTTGCGTTGCGATGAACACGGAGATCAGGGAATCTTCCATGTTGAGCTGGTTGCGGATAGCCTTGAGCGTTGTCAAATCACTGTCACTGCTAATCTGCGGCACTGCACGGCCATGTATGACCTTGATATGAGCGGCATTCTTGCAGAAAACCTCGATCTCACGTTCCAGAATTTGCGGCGTCGCTTGGCCGAGTTGAGACTCAAGCTGGCGGATCGTGGAGGTGACTTCTTCCACATCACGGCGCGCTTTACTCTTGTAGATGTTCTGCAGTGCGACGTAGTCGGCGGACTGGGCCTTCATGTCGGGGAGGGAGCCTGGTAGGGGGAGCACACCGTGTGTGTTGTAGAAGGTGTTGATTGCGGAGGCGATAACCCAAAAGTCAGCAGATTGAGGCGTCAATTGCTTGCACTGTTCCATCTCGAAGATTTCACGAGTGGAACTGCGTAGAGAGAATGGTGAGATGGTCTTGAGAACTGCTGCCACGGCCTCGTCAAAGTTCTCCTCGCCACCTTCCGGGTTGTCAGTGCGTGCATTTGAGCGGACGAATTCCCGGAATTCGGTCTTCTCTTTGTAGCTGCTAGGCGGGTTGCCTCCGTGTGATTGTTTCCATTGCTCGAGGAAGTGCAGGAGAAGCAAGATGTATGGGACATGGCCGTGCTTGTGATCGTCCATAGCAGTCAAGTCTCCGAATGCCGTGGCGGCATCGGCAAGTTCTGGCCAGGGGTTCAGAAGACGCAGGTCCTGCGTTGTCTCTGGGTCTGGATGCGTCTCAACAATAGGAAACTCTGCATCCAGTTGCAGTGAGAAGGTTGAATAGAATCCAACGGAATGAACGTATAACACGGGGATGCCCAGTCTCTGTGCTTGTTGGGTGAGAGAGCCCAGCGAGGAACGATTAGTTGGGCCAGTGATGATGACCAGCTTATGCCGAGGCAGGAAGTCTGGGTCATGGAGAAGCTCCGTGATATGCTAAACCCTTAAATTAGAGTCATTCGATTCGAGGAACTTGTCAAAAGTAACATACCTTGGAATAATAGTACCCTTGAACGTCCGGATTCAACTCGCGCAGCAGTCGGCATGTCTCTTCCGCACGAGACTTGCCCAGAGACTCCTCTTCCAGGAAGAAATTTACTCCCAGATCAGATTCGGTAACAGTCGCTGGATCAACAATGGTGAACCCTCCAATACCTGGCAAGACCAGGTTCTTGAGGGCCTCCACGCCAACAACACCAGAGACTCCGGTACTGTTAGCGCCCAGCGGGCCGTCGGAGTTCACCAACAACACCCGGGAATCTTCCAAGGCTTGCTGGCCCGTGGCAGCCCACAATCGCAACTGACGGTCATACTTGCGTTCTTTGGAGGTTGGCCCCGTCAACGCTGCGGGAAATGATTCAGTCATGGTTGAAGGGAAGGGCAGGAGTAAAGATGATAGAGTGGATGTGGATAGCGAGGATGTTGAAGCGGTGGATGATGAAACTATGCAGGAACTTTTGCTTTGTTGGCTCCTAAGTCTCGTATTGAAATGACCACCTCTCAGCTGGTCTGATGGTGTTGTCCGATAATCGAGCTCCAGCTGGAGTGTTGTTGATGCGTGGTGGTTTGACTAAGCTACGTGGGGGAGTTTGCCTAGTCTTTCAGGCATGCACAGAGCCGCACCCAGTCATATTACCAATAGAGGCATGACATTTATACTTCAAATAACTAGATCTACGGAAGCCTTGTAAAAGAATTTGGGGGTTCCCAGAGAATTTGACTCTGCAGAATGAGTCTTGTGGAGATATTACCTGGACTTTAGGGTGCATAGCTCGGAAACTGTTTCCGTCTCAGATTGTAGACATGTTACGGCTCCTGGCCTATTAGGCCCAAAGACCGACTATGACGAAACTCATATTATCAAGAACGTATAAGTAACGTTCCTTTTCAAGAGACCTACTTTCTTCCTTTGTTGACCACTCGCTTCCCTTTGACACGCTGTGTAACCGCTGACCGAATCTAGCAATCTACATTTGTGTATGGGAGACAGTACAATGCAGTTGTCATTGAGGCTAATAGATTAACTGGTATGAAACACTTGAATTTTCAAAAGCCATCATCCTACACCGCATCTTCTTTCTAGGCCATTGCATAGAATCCTCCAACTTGATTTATTCTCACTCTAGATACGATCAACTTGGTCACCACTGAGGGTGCACTCATGAACTATGAATAGCTATGCCACCAAGCCTCCCAGGCGTGTTAATAGCTCAACCTCCATCCTTTCCCCCGCATCGGGTTGCTCTAGAATCTGGCCCATATCGTTACTTCCGAGATCCTCCTCCCAGACCTCCTCTGGCTCCGCATTAGCTTTCATGTTCTTGTAAACGCACTGCATTAGGTGCCACTTTAAAAGATCTGGACTGGCATGTCGAGCCTCATTCGTGGAACACCTGCCAGAAATCGCCAGACGCTGACCCCCTAACCCAAGATCATCGACTTGGAAACATATGATTCTGTAGTCGTCCTGGGGTAAAGATGATCAGAACACTTCCCATTAGACTGAGTAACAGCCTAGAAAGTAACTTACGTCTGGGTCTACACCAATGGAGAAGTCATCGAACTCCTCATGGATGTCGGTCCTCAGGAGAAGTCCGTTTTGAGGTGAGTATAGCTTAGTTTCACCAATCTCATGGGCAGGGCTGGTATCGCTGATGAAGTGCTGATAATTCCCACGCTCCCACTCACTCACACGGCTTATGGGGAATATATGGGCGGCTTTGAGGCGACTAAATGGCTTTTCTCTCTCAGGCCGCTTCTTAAGACCCGACATCACGCACGCCTGGTCCCTTTCTCTCAGTGATTCGCGAAAATTTCGTTGCTGTAACCCAGTTGTAGCTGTTTGTTTCTCAGTTTTTTAGTGTGACTTGACATTACCAGTGGGTCCCTTTCCGATCCAGTGCTTCTGGTTCTAGTGACAACACGACGTGGAGCGCGCATATCGGTCAGGGCAACTTGCACGTTGCCCCGGACTGCGTCCAGGACAATATAGTTGCCCTGGGAGACTTTGGTGTGCCCATCTCTTCGTAGCTTTGCGCCCGGAGTGATTCCATCCTGACCTAGATGATAGATATCCCATGTGCTGTTCTGAGGGACAATGAAGATCCAGGAACAGTAGCGGTAAAGCATCCCTGGCGTGATGTATCTTGCCGCAGTATCCTCCGGAATCACGAGCGCTATCAATGCTCCATCAGCTTGTCATTCGGAATCCTGCAGTGGTAGAGAGTGGTACCAGCGAGGAGATTTCCTCCATTATCGTAGAGACGGATGTTGGATAGAGGGTTTCGTGGGGGTGGAAGCGTACGTGTCGCCATGTTGAGGTTGATGGTGCGAGAAGAAGGAGCCGTACGAGGCAGAGTTGGGAACCTTGGAAGGTCCAAAGGAGGGTCCAAAGGAATCAACCAAGTACCCCCGAAAGGTCCCCCGTCGAATTCCGTAAAGGGTGGAAAGATGGACAAGACCGTTGGAGGAAGATGGGAGATGATAGATGTGTGGGTGAATTATCAATGGCCTTGGATTGTTTGAACTTGTTGAACATTTACTACGAAGTCCAGATTGACTATCGTTTGGGGATTGGCTTCTTCGCCGAGAAGCAAGCAGTCAGGAGCCCAGTCATCGACGAGAATATCTCGCTTCATGAGCGCAGCGGTGATTTTACCTGAGTCTATGGATTGTCTATTAATTTCAAATACTATGAATCCTTGGAAAGCTGCTATAGAAGAAGAAGGGTAGGCCTCTAGATACTTTGATACTTTTAAGCAGTGTATACTTCCCCAAGCCACTATTATTCTAGACCCACGTCATATCTATTTCCAGGCTAGTAGCTTCTAAGGTATCGTATCGCATAAAAGGGCGTATATAAGAAGTGATGTTATCGCCTTGTTTGATAAATATCCCCCACTCATCCCCACACCTGCACGATCAACACCAATGACGCTGCCCTGCATCTCCAACGTGGAATGATAGGCCTGACTGGATTCGCTACACCTGTCAATCCTGTCAAGTGACCCCCTAGACCGGGTTCCAGAAGAAGAAATACGGAGAGTCTCCTCTCTCCAAAAAAAGCCAATTCCAAAACTCTCTTCTCTCTCTCCTAAATGGTGCCTCGACTCTTCTGCGCGCCCCTCTCTTCTCTCCGCCTCGCCCCTCGCTCTCTTCCGCAATCGCCCCGCCTCCACTTTTACTTTTCTCCATCTCGACTCTCTTCTTCCTTCACCCCTCTCCTTCTCCCCCGCCACCTCGCTACAATGGCCGACGCCGTCGAAGCTGCTAAGCGCGCTGCCGCAAAGACCGCCGTCGCGAATCACTACCCGGAAAACGCTCGCTGGGTCGGCATTGGCAGCGGTACGACTATCGTCTACGTCGTCGAGGCTATCAAGGCTCTCGGTGTCGATACCTCCAACACCCGCTATGTGCCCACGGGTTACCAGTCGCGCCAGCTGATTATCAGCGCTGGTCTGACGGCTGTTGAGTTTGACGCTATCCCCGCGGGTACCGTGCTGGACGTCGCATTCGACGGCGCCGACGAGGTCGACGATGACTTGAACTGCATCAAGGGCGGCGGTGCCTGTCTCTTCCAGGAGAAGCTTGTCGCTATGCAAGCGAAGCAGTTCATCTGCGTTGCTGGTAAGCACTAGGAACACTCTGATCCGAGAGATCCAAAAAGAAAAAGAAAAAAAAAGATTCATCATGCCTGACTCATTCTCTCCACAGACTCTCGTAAACTCCAATCCCGCCTCCTCACCAACTGGAAATACATCCCCATCGAAGTCGCTCCCATCGCTGCCTACCGCGTTCTGAACAAACTCCTCGAACTCGGCGCCATCAACCCCGTCATCCGCACCAACAAGGACCTCAAGCAAGGCCCCCTCAAGACCGATCAGGATTTCTTCCTCATTGACGCCCCCTTCAAGCCCCTTCTGACCAAGGCCGATGTCGCCAGTGGCCAGGACGGCTCTGGTAAGGACGGTGTTTGGGAGGTGAATGCGCTTTCCCGGGAGATCAAGCAGATCACCGGTGTCCTGGATGTGGGTATTTTCTCGGGTCTGACTGGACCCGAGGCTACCGCTGCTGGTGGGGTTGGTGGTCAGCGGCCTGTTGCAGCGTACTTTGGTATGCCTGATGGGTCTGTGTCGGTGCGGAAGGCGCTTTAGGGAGAGTCCTGGGAGTGATATACCGGGATTGAGTGTGGAACGCGGAGGGGAAGACCATGTATAGCAACATAGCATGGGGATGCGCTGGACTTCATATACTGCAAGTCCTTATACATAAATTTAGATGATACCAAGATGCCTAGAAACGAAGAGACGTTTTTTCTAAACTACACTCAGCGATTGGACTACTAGGAAATGGCCAATTGAACATGATTCATTAGATTCGGTGCTTGGTATCAAAAGGGTGCTTCTCCTATTCCATCCTCAGCAAGGATATGTACCTCGACTTGACTGATCTATTTCGCTCCCTTGGCCTTGGCTTCCGTCTCGCCCAGCTCCTTCACGATAATCTTAACGACTCCCTCGGGAACATCATCTTTACCATCCTCAAAGCCAGGACTGATCGCAATAGCCAGATACTTGCCATTCCCGCTGAACCCAAGAGCAGCCACACTAGACGGATACTTCTGGTACTGGCGGATACGGCGCTTGGAGATACCATCCCACAGTGCAACGACGCCATCACCTCCGCCGGAAGCAAATGTGCCGAAAATAGGATGGAAGGCGAGTGCATTAACCGGGTAGACGACATCGACGCCGTCCTCGGCGGTTTGGCGGTGGCACTTGAATGCGTACTTGCGGGCTTGCGACTCGGGAGAGGGGTCGAACCATTCGACCGCTACACGGCCCTCGATACTGGACGAAGCGTAACCGGCATCGTCGGGCATGCAGGCGACACAGCGCGTCATAAACTTCAGACTGCTCTCGCGCCGTTGCCAGGGCTCGAGCTCCACTTTGTTGCCGTTGGCGGTGTCGCTGTCGGCCTGTGCGGTGAGAAGGGCCAATGCCTTCAGGTCGTAGATGTGCAGGGCGCGCGATGCCATGGCCACCACCAACTTGGTGGGCGTGAGAGATAGAGAGAAGGGCTTTGAGGGGAGTGGGATAATAGACGGGATGGACTGAGTGTTCGTTCCGGCGTCGGGGCGGTGCACATGGAGGGTTGAGTCCCAAGAGCCGGAGATGATGAGGTTGTGTTCGCGGCTGTAGACAACGTTGCGCACGCCGGCTTCGTGGCTGCTCATGACTGTCTGTTCCGAAGTGTTTAGGTCGATCCTGAAGTAATTAGCATATGCCGCCTATTACAGGTGTCAGGCAAGCCTCGAGGAAAGCTCGCGCATGTCCAACTCACTTGCGCACATCCCAATCCAAACCCGCGGTATAGATCTCATTCTCATTCTCGCCGAAACAGACATCCAGTACTGGAGCACGGTGCTCAAACTTTTGCAGTAGCTTCCCTCCACCCACAACGCCGTTCTCGTCTCGGAGATCGTACAGATAAACGTTCTTGTCCCATGACGAAACGACGATCCGCGTCGAGTTAGGGTCTGGCGAGAACTTTAAAGCGGAGATAGCATCCGTAGGTGGCGACGCCACAGTGAATTGATCTGGATAATATTAGCTCAGCTCTAGCTTAGCTCCGAACAGCAATATTCCTGTCTCCCGCGGTGCACAACTTACTTGACGACATCTTGAAGGTCAATGCGGTGTTGAAGAGTAGCGGACCAGTAGAGCTAGCTCCAAGGCGGCATTTTCTGCCATGTCCCACCGCCATCGCATTCCCCGCGGTGCTTCGATAAGCGTAAAAAAAGTGTCACCGCTTCTTATTTCAGTTTCTCCTCACGATCCGGTCTCTTTTCAATAAGCAAGTCTTCGAAATGCCCTTTGCACAGCTTGTCATTGGTCCCCCCGGTGCGGGCAAGTCCACCTATTGCAATGGAATGCACCAGTTCCTCGGCGCTATCGGCCGGAAGTGCTCGGTGGTGAATCTGGACCCCGCCAATGATAAAACCTCATACCCGTGCGCGCTGGACGTGCGCGATCTGGTTACGCTGGAGGAGATTATGGAGGAACATAAGTTGGGACCGAATGGTGCGACGCTTTATGCTTTGGAGGACCTGGAGGAGAACTATGACTGGTTGGAGGAGGGTCTGAAGCAGCTTGGAGGTTGGATTCATCCTGCATCTTACCGTCTTTGTGATCGTGCGCTAATATGATGAAATGCAGAGGACTATGTTATATTCGACTGCCCCGGTCAAGTCGAGCTGTTCACGCATCACTCCTCATTACGCAATATCTTCTTTCGGATTCAGAAAATGGGCTATCGAGTACGTCTGCGCGAACCAGCTAATCCACGAGAACAACTGACTAAACTATTTCACGTACAGTTAATAGTCATTCACCTCATTGATTCCTACGCCCTCACTCTCCCCTCAATGTACATCTCCGCCCTCCTCCTCTCCCTCCGCGCCATGCTACAACTCGACCTCCCACACCTAAACGTCCTCACAAAGATCGACAATCTATCAAATTACACAAACCTCCCCTTCAACCTCGACTTTTACACCGAAGTCCAAGACTTGAATTACCTCCTCCCACACCTCGAAGCCGAGTCCTCGCGTCTGACAAATTCAAAGTTTGGCGCCTTGAATACCGCGATTATCGATCTGGTCGAGGAATTCGGACTCGTCGCGTTTGAAACGTTAGCCGTGGAAGATAAGAAGAGTATGATGAATTTGCTTAAAGCGATTGATCGTGCGAGTGGGTATGCGTTTGGGCCTGCAGAGGGCGCTAATGATACTGTTTGGTCGGTTGCTGTGCGGGAGGGAATGGGTGGGATGGATGTTCGGGATGTACAGGAGCGGTGGTTGGATGCTAAGGATGAATATGATGCTTTGGAGCGGGAGGAATTGGAAGAAGTTGCGAGGATGGAGGAGGAGGCTAGGCAATCTGCAATGGGCGGAATAGAAGGTCTCGAGGATGATGATCTAGCGGACTGGAGTGGACCAGTGCCGGATAGCGGGATCACAGTACGGCGCAAGCAGACATGATCTATCGATCGAGTTTGAAGAAGTCTCCCTCGAGAAGCTCCTCGAGGAGGAGAAATGTATTATATCAAAAAGTCACAGGGGTATCATAATGTACAGTTCCACAGCCCTCTTCAATCATCATCATCAAACATCCCCTCATCCTCATCCTCACTCACATCCATAACACTCGTCACAACCGCCTTCCCCCTCTCAACCCCAGAAATCAAATCCCCAAGTACACCCTTCTCCTCCACACCCCTCACCCGCACAATCTCCCGTCTCGCCCGACGAATAGCCTCCTCCTCCGCCTTCCGCATCGTGCCGGATACCCTGAGAACCCGGAAAACGCAAGGTCGTTCACGGCCCCCGTTAGGTCTTCTCTGGCCCGCGCCGGTTCCCGGTTCCGTTACGGCGGGGACGTGCGACATGTACGTGAGCGCGGACCAGACGAGACGGAATGAGGCGCGGGGACAGCGGATTATTGCCGTTGACGTTGCGGGGGAGAGATATTTAACTGGAGGGGTACCTGGTTAGTAGGATATTTCATAGGGTGACTGTTGTAGATCCAGAGCAGGGTAGATCAACAAGAAGGAGGGAAGGAGGGAGGGGGAGGCAAACCTTGAACACCCATCGCAGAAGCACCACCCAATTTACCAACCCCCCAATCCCCATACATCTCCCCGACTTCCTCGCGGATCATCTTTGCGAGTAAACCGGGCGTCAACGCGTCAGAGGTCGGGGCGTGGATGGCTAGTTGTGCGGCGTGAGGTCCGGAAAAGCCCGTTTTGGAGGAGGGCCATGTTGTTGAGTCTGGGTAGAGGATGTCTAGGAGGAGGTAGCGGTTTTTTAGGCGGACCATTTTGGGGTATCTTGGATTGAGGAGAGAGGGGAGAGGTTGGTGGTTGGAGATTGGAGGCTTGTTGGAGGGCGGAAAAAAGGTTGGTGGATGCGGCTGCTGATAAGCGATAAGGATGGGGGAGCACGAGGGCAGATTGGAGCACTAAGTACTCTGTAAGGCCCTCGATATAGTTGCAGTTAGAATTGAAGATATACATGGAACAAGATTCATACAATCTACTTTCTACCAAGACAAGATTCATCATGCAAGAGGGCACGTTCATTAAGTCCCCAGAGAGGTCTAGTCATCTAAACAAAATTAACAGATCCGTAGTCGGGCGTCGCACCGTTTTCTCCATCCGGGAAAGGCCGCCATTCCCATCAGGACCCGCGGTTTTAAGCATGGCATACACGCAAAGACTGCTTCAAGAAACAACAAAAATAAAAAGGAAAAAACCATAAAAGGGGATTCAACCCATCCAAACTCCACCGCCGGAACCAGAACCCATATATATGCCAAGGAGTGGTTCTCACGACGGACTGTATGCCACCAGCGGACGGGGCGCTGCAAATCATATCATGTGTGTGTGTGCGGGAGGGAAAGAGGGAAACGATAAAATCACAGATTGACCTCAACACGACCCTCGGCACCACCCTTCTGCAGGGTGGGGAGGAGGTAGGTGATGTCGTCCCAGGGGTGGCGGTACAGACCGGTGCGGAGGCGCTTCTGGTCAAGGTAGTGGGCAATCAGACCGATGGAGCGACCCAGAACGAACAGACCGTTGAGGACACCCATGCGCATGTAGTCCTCGACCTCCTCGGCGGAGAAGGCACCGCAGTTGCGGAGCAGGTCAACGAAGCAGACAGCAACGCAACCGTCGACGTTGAGGATCAGGTTGTCCTTCTTGGAGGTGGTGACGGTCTCGACGGCAATAGCGTAGTCGAGGAGCTTGGTGCTGGGGAAGTGCTTCTTGACAAACTCCTTGACGAGCTCGACACGCAGATCGGGGTTGTTGCGGGACTTGACCTTGTGGCCAATACCGGGGATGAGCTTGTTCTCCTTGCGCATGATGTCGACAAAGTCACGGGGGCTGAGGCCCTTGTCGAAGGCCTTGGTGAACTCCTCAGCGGCGCCGTCAAGGGCACCACCGAAGCGGGAACCGATGGTCAGGAGACCGGAGACGAGAGCAGAGATCAGGTCCTTGCCGGCACGGGTGGTGATGATGGTGTTCATGGCACCGGACACGGCGGGACCGTGGTCGGCAGTGAGCATGAGAACCATCTCCAGGAACTTGCTGGCGTAGGGGGGCAGGCGGCGGCGGAACCACAGCAGGGACATGACACCACCGATACCAATATCCTCCTTGAAGACGTCGGAGATGGGCATACCGGCGTAGAGGAGCTCCTGGCCACGGTCGTCGGAGATGGTGGAGATGAAGGCAGCGGGCTTACGGACGAGACCAAGCTCCTGGGCCCAGGAGTAGTCAATGGGGATCTTGGGGACAACGGGCTCGGGGGCGGGGACAACGTTGCCCTTCTTGACCTCAGCATCGTAAACCTGCTTGAGGAGCTGGGGCAGCTCCTCGAAGGTCTCGGGAACGTGGATACCAGCGTCACGCATGGCCTTGTTCTTGTAGACGGCAGTCTCGAGCTGGGAGTTGGCAGAGGCACCGGCGTGACCGAACTGAACCTCAGTCTTGAACATGCTGGCGCAAGTTCCGATGGCCCAGGCAACGATGGGCTTGGTGATGGTGCCGTTCTTGATGGCCTCAATCACACGGTACTCCTCAACACCACCGACCTCACCGAGCAGGACGAGGATCTTGCACTCGGGCTCGGCCTGGTAGCGGAGCAGGTGGTCAATGAAAGTGGTACCGGGGTAACGGTCACCACCGATGGCAACACCCTCGTAGACACCGTCGGTGTTCTGGGAGATGATGTTGTTCAACTCGTTGGACATACCACCGGACTTGGAGACGTAGCCGACGGAACCCTTGCGGTACAGCTTGGAGGCAACGATGTTGTCCATCATACCACCAGTGTTACCGATCTTGTAGGAACCGGGCTTGATACCACCGACGGTAGCGGGTCCAATGATGGTAATACCCTTCTCCTTGGCAGCAACGAGGATCTCACGAGCACGCTATCAAAGAGGTCAGTCCGGAGTTCAATTGCACCACAACAAAAGTGGAATCTACTTACACGCTCGGGGACACCCTCGGCAATGATGGCAATAGAGCGGATCTGAGGGCAGTTCATGAGCTCCATGGTGGAGCTGTAGACGGAGCGGGAGGAGGCAAAGTTGACGACGGTGTCGACGTCGGGGTGCTTGGCCATGGCCTTCTCGACGTCCTGGTAGACGGGGAGGAGGGTCTCGCTGGTACCCCAGTACATCTTGCTGACGAACTGACCACCGAAGGTGTAGATGATACCGGCGACGGAGGGGGTGGAGCGCTTGCAAATGAAGTCAAAGTCGAGCATGCCCTGCACGGCTCGGGGTTGCATGCCACTGTAGAGGTGCGGGTGTTAGCAATTGGATGCTGCTGCTGCTTGGATGCCCTGGTTCTGGGCCTTCTCTGCAGGCATAACTTACTATACGAAGCATCGTGTCTTGTTGTGGAAGAGAGCGTTCTGGAGGGGAGAGAGCACACGGCTGGGAGGGGCGAAGCGGGTGATGTTGTCGTTGGCATTCTGCACACCGTTGCCGGTGGCGGACAAGGAAGTGGAGGGCATGATGATTATCTGAAGGAATTGAAGTTGTTAGGTTTTGAGAGAATTGACAATGGTATATGTGATGGTGTCGGTCGAAAGTGGGAGGTGTGTGTGTGTGTGTGTGTAGGTGAATCGAGGTTGCACCGTGGGGTGGTCGAGTGATGACGCCGTTGGTAGGGAGGAGAGAGGAAGACACTCACGTATGTATGTAGAGCAGCCCAAGAGCAAAGGAGAATGAGGAGGAGAGAAGGAGAGAAAAAGGCACGACGAAAGGAAGCAAGTCAACAGGAGAGCAGCGTTGAGAAAAATCCGCGGGGCCGAGTACTCGCAGGTACGGTGTACAGCTCCTCCTGCGGTAATTTTTAGATTTTGGTGGTTTAGTTTTGGAGGTGGGTGGGACTAGGCGTTACTGTAGTAATACACAAAGTGTATGGAGTGTACAGGTCATACAAGGGGAGAATCTCTATGGTGGGGGTGTTTTTCCTCAACAACTCCAACTAAACTCCGCTACAGTACTGAGTATACTGACAGTTCAGCAGTCCCCAAAGTACTGGGTACCATCGAGACTGAGCCCCGCTGTGGGTAGATCTCTAAATTACGGCACCGCACTAGGTAGCCGGTACATTCCACTTCACCGCTTTTAGTTTTCTCGAAGACTTTCTATCATGACGATGATAAACCTCGGTGAATCATCGACTCGGTTCCCTATGGTTAGCCATTGAGCTTGCTTCGGACTAGGATCCTTCTGCAGGTATACGAGGCTATCGTCTTTATTCACCTCCTTCATGGGTTGCTGACGAGAGATCTTTTCCTCCGCAGTTAATAATAGTCCGATGTAGTATGTTCGGGGACCGGCGATTATGTTCATAGTATAATAAACATACTTACGTAGTTGACAATGACCGAAGGTACAAGTATATACGATGTACACTACTCGGATTCCGGCGGTGTGTCATTACAATTGTAGCCATTCAAAAAGTACGGGGTACTTTCATCAAGTCAATAACCAATGCATTTCAGACATGATTCACTTACCCCCTAATGTTTTCTTGAAACCCAACAGAATCGAATAGAAGCAAAAAGGAGCGGTATCGGGGGCTACCGCCGACCATCGAGGGGATCCAGGGGATCCAGGGGATCCATCTAGCAAAAAGTCGAGAAGCTACGGTGTAGCTTTGAGTATACTTCCCATGGAACCGGGCGGTACGGTAATTACAATACGGCAGATCTCCCCAACGCCCAGTCTCCGAAGCTCTCCCACCCCACCATCTCGCTTTTTTGTTCCCGCCCTCAACACGGTGGATCAGATCTCTCAATTCTACGCTGTAATCTCCAGCACTACTTTTTTTTTGGTTTCGTACGCCGTACCTTCCAGTCCCGCCAAACATTCCCCCCCCAAAAGTCAACTTTGTGGGCTGCTTCAACTCCTCCTGCATTATTTTCTTATCCCTACTTCTCTCTTCCTTCCCTTCCCCCTCTCCCCCATCTTCTTCCACACATCCACACACACAATCACATCACCATGTCCGCCAAATCTATCCTCGAGGCCGACGGCAAGGCCATCCTCAACTACCACCTCACTCGCGCCCCGGTCATTAAGCCTACTCCTCTCCCTGCCTCCTCCACACACAACGCTCCTCCTCGTCTCGCCTCCCTCCACTTCCCCGAAGACAAGACCGTCAAGGATGTCCTCGACCAGGCCGAGGTCACCTACCCGTGGCTCCTCGTCCCCGGCTCCAAGTTCGTCGCTAAGCCCGATCAATTGATCAAGCGTCGAGGCAAGTCCGGCCTCCTCGCCCTCAACAAGACCTGGGCTGAGGCCCGTGAGTGGATTGAGGCCCGCGCCACCAAGGAGGTTCAGGTTGAGCACGTTACCGGTGTTCTGCGCCAGTTCCTCGTCGAGCCTATGGTTCCCCACGCTCAGGAGACTGAGAGGTATGTAATTCCCGCAGAGTCGAAATCAATTGATCCAGCAAACTAACTTTTGGACTATAGCTACGTTTGCATTAACTCCGTCCGTGAGGTAAGAAAGCTCTTGACAGATGAGACCAATATTGTGATCAGATGAAATCAATCATAATCGGATGAACATGGTTGTGATCAAATGATAGCAATTGGACTTTAACCCAAGCAATTGGAACTCTATCACTAACTCACAATTTAGGGTGACTGGATTCTCTTCTACCACGAGGGTGGTGTCGATGTCGGTGATGTTGACGCCAAGGCTGAGAAGCTCCTCATTCCCGTCGACCTGAAGAAGTTCCCCTCCAACGAGGAGATCGCCTCCGCTCTCCTGAGCAAGGTGCCCAAGGGCATCCACAACGTCCTTGTCGACTTCATCTGCCGCCTGTACGCCGTCTACGTCGACTGCCAGTTCACCTATCTGGAGATCAACCCCCTGGTTGTCATCCCCAACGCCGATGCCACCTCCGCCGATGTCTACTTCCTCGACTTGGCTGCCAAGCTTGACCAGACTGCCGAGTTCGAGTGCGGTACCAAGTGGGCTGTTGCCCGCAGCCCCGCCGCTCTGGGTCTGCCCACCCTCCCCTCCACCGACGGCAAGGTCAACATCGACGCTGGTCCCCCCATGGAGTTCCCCGCTCCCTTCGGTCGTGAGCTGAGCAAGGAGGAGAAGTTCATCTCCGACATGGACGCCAAGACCGGTGCCTCCCTCAAGTTGACCGTCCTGAACGCCAACGGCCGTATCTGGACTCTGGTTGCTGGTGGTGGTGCCTCCGTCGTCTACGCCGATGCCATTGCCTCTGCTGGTTTCGTCAGCGAGCTCGCCAACTACGGAGAGTACTCCGGTGCTCCCTCCGAGGGTACGTACAAGCAATTTTTTTCTTTCTGGTCGACTTTCTCACTAACTCCCTTCCAGGCCAGACTTACTCCTACGCTAAGACCGTCCTCGACCTGATGCTCCGTGCCCCTACCCACCCCGAGGGCAAGGTCCTCTTCATCGGTGGTGGTATTGCCAACTTCACCAACGTTGCTTCCACCTTCAAGGGTGTCATTCGCGCCATCCGCGAGTTCGCCCCCATCCTCATTGAGCACAAGGTCCAGATCTGGGTCCGCCGTGCCGGTCCCAACTACCAGGAGGGTCTGAAGAACATCAAGGCCGTTGGCATCGAGCTCGGTCTCGACATGCACGTTTACGGTCCCGAGATGCACGTTTCCGGTATCGTGCCTCTGGCCCTTCTGGGCAAGAAGTCCGATATCAAGGAATTCAGCGCATAAATGACTACCCCGTGCTCTTTTGTTTAATTTTTTGGTTTGTTTCTGCAGCGTCAACTCCGTTGCATGGGTTTGTGATAATGCATGGCATGATATGAAATTTGCGGGGTTTCCGCCTGGGGTAGAAAGAAGAAAAAAAGGAATAGCCTGGAAATTTGGATCTGGCTTCTTTTTTTGGCTTTCTATTACTCGGGGTTACTCTGTTTTGCTGGTCGTGGGTATGGCGTTTCTTCCCGCCCGGACTAAAAGACCGGATGCTTGGTGCCCGACGTACATGATTAGATTTCCTTATGTTGAATCGTACCGGGGGGATTTAGATCGGGATTTCCCTTCGGATAATATCAATGATGATACAATGTTCATACTATACTACCGTGTAGGCTGTTGTACCGTAGTACATTGACCAGTGCGTATGGTGTAGAATATGCTCAAGGTAATGCTACATGCCGAATATTGAGTATCAACAGGATTCCAATCCGCCATATTATTCCATATATTATGGCTGGAATTATTTTCCAATTGATTCCCTTCGCATTCATTACCTATAAGAGTACAGTAATAACACAAGCGATGGTAGGGTGATAGGCGTTGATGTGATAGTTAATAGCAGGAGTGATACTATAAAAAAACAAAAAATACCAAAAATACACTATACCCCCCCATCCAAGCTCCAAAAATACACAACTCCACACAAGCTCCTGCACCCCAGATCTCAATGTGACAGAAGTTTATCTCAGAACCGTCGATCTGGGATCGTCCGGGACGATAAGGTATGGACCGTGCTGGGGGCTTGAGACTTGAGGGAAATGGGGGATAGTGGCATGGGATGGTCCCGATGGGGGATGGGAATGCGGGTTACCGAGGGCGCGGGTGGTGAGGTTGCTTCCGCTGCCCCGAGGGCGGCCCGCGGGCGAACGGGGGACGGGTTTGATATTACCCGATGGGGTTAGAGCTGGGATTAGGGTAGGGGGATGATAGTCTGGAGTGTAGATGTATAAAGAGGATGGAATGGAAGGATGGCATGTTTGGGTTTGGTGTTTATCGGATTGGGGGAGTGGAAGGTTATAGAGGGTGCTTTGCTAGATAGGGTTCGGTGGTATTGACGTTACGGATGTAGAGAGGGAGGGTTCGTAGATATGCTTTGCGTGTGAGGCGATAGATGACGGTCTTGTTTATCCTGGGATTGTAGAAGATTTCTATTGATCATAAACTATTCTACTATTCTTATCAAGGATATTCATAGTTTCGATATTCATTGCCAGGTACTTGAAGAAATAAGAACTTTGTATCTCGAGTGCATCAGGTCTAGTAGCCGGGAAAGACGGCGATATCAGCAGCGAGGGAACATCTATCGAGATACTTTTGAATAAGGAACCAATCAATTATGGGCCAGAATCAGTTTTCCCCTTGTGGGAGCCATACTGGCTATCATGGCTGGCTTATGTATCCCTGCGTACACGATCGTTCCCCCCGTCATTTGCTCTTGGAAGGCTCTGATATTCATCACAGTCAGTTGATCATATTCCCCTCGCGCATCGGCTAAGCGCCATCCAGCATGCGGACGTATCTGCATTTTAGAGGCGGGAAGATTACTTGAGATTAGCAATTACTGAGAGTTGATGAAGAAGGGAGGCTCCATCCGAGTCCCACGGATTTGCTTAGCAATCCGCTCATTTCTTACGCAGTGCATCTTTCTAATTGCTCGGGAGTACAGTACTGCAAATCTAAACACCGTTGATATTGTGAAATTATGTTAATTACTTCATATATGTTGGTATCCAAAGTATCAGTTTAAAAGGAGGTAGCAGGAGTGCGGTGTTCAACTTCAATCTCATCAAAGCCTCCATACATCAAAGGCGGAACGATTACCAATAATCCACCCCTGGTCTGATATGCAGCTCGTATACTATACTTATTCAAGGTAAGAAGTATGTAAGGACTGAACGCCTATTGTTTTCCAAACCGCGCAAGGATCTCATCTTCGGGGGGAAGTTGAGAGGTTACCGTCGGAGGACGATGCGAGTGTGGAAGACGAGTGCGGTGCTGCTGGTTTGTCACACCAGTTTGCGCTGGGCAGGATAGTCAGTAATGTATACCATTTTCTAGGCACGTGTGACTTACCAGTTCGAATATTAAAAACTGCATGGCCCGTTGGAGGTGGCATCGCTGGGTTGCCTCCCATCTGCGGTCTCGACATTCTCGAGCTACCAGTCCCACTGCGCTGGTAACGGTGCAATTGCTCCACGCCTTCAGGGCTGAAAGGGAACGAAGGTGTTTTGGGAGTTCGTGCCTTTTGAATATTCGGCATTGACGTTCTGGGTTGGGCTGGGTGGGGTTGGGCTAGGGGCATGGTGGGACCAGTGCGGGATGAGAGGGTATTCAAGGTTTGAGAGACGTTCTCGGAGGCTGCAGTCTCCATTCGAGATTTCATTGCACGGGCTTTGAGCAAGTTGTACAGGTTTGTCATCTGCGCGAGCTTCTTGGACTTCTCGCGGTAGAGATCGACAAGTTCTTGATTCTTTTTCTGCAGTTGTTCTTGTGCTGCTTGCAGGTCTGGCAGAGAGTCACATTTAGCTGTAGCTCTCTACAACTTGAGTCACGCAGTGTGGCATACCTGAGACTTTGCTATGCAAGGTTGAGATCTCTGAATTTGCATTGTGGATGACCTTGTCCATCTGTGTGCTCAGGCCGGCATACTTTTCGGTGAGGCTCTTCCCAAGGTATTCTTGGTAGAATCTGTGCATCCAAGCTTAGTTGAGTGCATTTAAGCATGACACATGTGTGTGTAAACTCACATCTCTTGTGTACTTTGGTAAGCCCAAAAGCCCAATGCTCGCCCAGCGCATTCCATGATCGTGTTAGGATCGAGTCCACTCAGCACACTTGTCTTGTAGTCTTCCGTCGGGTTCAAAATGGTCGACACGGCATCATCGGGGTTGGAAAGCACGGTCTGACAGGCAGGGCATCGGCGATCCTCTGCAGTGGGGTGGGAATGACCGAGGCCGTCTGCGCATCCAAGACAAAAGATGTGACTGACACCATGAGCGCCATACTGAGAACAATACGTGCACAATACTTACGAGCAAGTAGTTACCACGGCTCTCTCCTTCAATTGCGCCCTGCATTTGAGCGAGTTACATCGCAAGTGGAAATCCATGAGGTGCAAAGTGTGAGTACGGATGGAAGTGTGGTTGGATTGAAGTTGAGAGGTCACCTGAGAGCTGAGGACTGGCCTCGACCGCCAGCGACAAAAAGAGCATCAATTGAGCTTTGGTCTATTTTTTCCTTCCCTTGTAGCGCCTGGATATCAACAAAAAAAGCCACAATTAAAATCCGCTAAAAGAAGAATGTATTTCCCTGTGCATCACGCCGCGTGGACGTCATCTTTTCTTCAAACTCCTTGCCCGGCTCATACTCGTTCCAGAGACTGGCCGGGTATATATGCTTGTTCTTTTCGTACCAACGTCGATCTACGACCTTGGTTTCGGTAGCGTCGTTATCGGCGCCTTCTAACTTGCGATCACTGGGGCGATAAAGTGGGTCATCGTCGTTTGACTTGGCTGGTGCAGGTTTATCTGAATAGTTGAAAAGCAAGCCGCCAGTCCGAGAGAAACTTGGGACTCGGTTGGCGATGAAATAGTAGAACTCATAATGCTGTTCACATGTTAGTTTCAGATCGACGGAAGCACGATATCTGATGCAAAGCTTACATGTGGGACAATGACATCGCCCTTGACAAGCATCAAATCATCAACACTGATACGTGCCCATTCCTTGCGTGCCTTGGAGGCTCCATTGGCTCCGCCAACTCCCAGCTCAGCGCCAACCTTACGGCATCGATCTAGGAACAGCCAAATGTGGTCTCCCTTCTTCATCTTAACCGATCCAGCAGGTATACTTGTACCATCGAAAAAGACAAAGGGGACGGCAATCTCAGTATCCTTAACCGCTTCTTGCATCGCCAAGAACTCCTTCCGCAAAGCATCGCGAGCCTGGGCCTCTGCTTCCATCGCAGCCTTGGTCATTGCTTTCGGAGGAGGTGGCGCATTCGGGTTCGCCTTCATGCGACGGACAGCTGCAGCGGATGTCGCGCCCTCCTCGATGGGTGTTTTTGAACCGGATCGCGAGACGCTCGAATCGCGCGGCGTTGCGGCGGACTCTTCCCCAGTGTCGTCATGATCATCACCGAAGGAAAGTTTGCTCTTGGCAAGCGCCTTCTTTTTCTTCTTCTTGGGAGGGGCATCGCTTCGGGGAGTCGAAGACCTATTACGGCGCGATCAGTTTAGACTCGCGCGAGACGGAGAGACGGTCCTTGGGAACTTACCCGTCAGTTACTTCGCCAGCAGAGGGAGTTGCGCTTCGTGAATTACCAGATGCCAGTCGCCCAAGCGACTTATCATGTGCCTCACGTTCCTTTTGCTCCAGGACCTCCGCGCGCCGCTTGCGAAAGTCGGACAGATGCACGAGACCGACGGTTTGCGACTTGAGCATGTCCTCGGCAGACACGCTCTGGCCGGTAAATGACCGTGGCGTGGAGGTTCGACTGTCTTGCTCGGATGACTCCATCTTGAGTATTCTTCCAAGTCGCACTGGCAAAAATGTTCCAGTGAGGTGTTGGTATTGATCAAAAGTTGTCAGATGTCCGCATCACTGACGTCTTTGGCGCTCGGGCACGTGACTCTATTGAAGTACTGTTGGTCAATCCCACCTGATTCGATACCAAGAAGGCCATGATGAGTTGAAGCTTAGAATAGGTCTTGGAGTTTGTTGAAGCTTGTGGGCATATATAGGAGGGTTATTTTAATGGATGCACAATACTAACCCATTGCTGGTTGAGATCTTGAATGTCTTCGAAATATTTGGTGAGGGAAAGCAGCTGCATGCGATAGAGATATATAGCCAAATTGGTGTTTTATGTTCTGTTCCTTCCACTTCGATTTATAACCGATTTCGACGGTCAGTTAGACAGTTATCTCTGTAAATTCCATGTCCCCCGAAGGCTGGAATTTGAAAGCATAATCTATGGCAAGAACTTACGTTCTTGAAGGGAGATTCAGACAGCACCAGAGACTTGAGCTCACCACGGGAGTGCAAACAGAACAAACTTGCATGCGATCAACTTGCGGAGCATCTCGACCGCATTGTTGCTCCTTCCTCTTGTTCCCATATTCCGAGACTGAAAGCCAAAAACAATGGAGGACGAAGAAGACGATTTCTATGATCCCACAGACTCCGTGCCGACGGGCCAAGCACAGCACAACGCCCACAATGCCACCCTAGAGCAACAACAGGACGGCTACGAGGACGAAGAAGAGGAAGAGGTCGAGGATGACGATGTATGGTTGCAACTCTTGACTACCTACTGCGCCCACTAACTTGCATATCCAGGACGACTTCAACATTATCACAGAAGCGCCCGCTGATGCGCCACCCCCAGAGATGTAAGCAAAACTCAGTACTGGCGCCGAAAGGACTGTTCTTGCTGACCTTTACAGCTCTCATCCGCGCCATGCGAGCTTACGACAAGAGCCCCAGCGACCTCCCTCGGCGGACTCATCAATAATCTCCAAGTCCGCGACACCTACAGCTACTCCTCACCTCGATGTCTCTACTCCCGTACCCGCCGCGGCTGCCCCGATCCCGAAACAGACAGTGCCGCTTAGACCAGGCTCTTCCTACCCAGCTATCCATACGTCTACGATCGACGTAAATGGCAACCCAGTTCACCCCTCAACGGGGAAGACCATCATGGCTACCGATATGGATGCCGACTTCCCTACAGACGACAAGCCCTGGCGACGACCCGGGACCGATGTCACAGACTTCTTCAACTACGGATTCGATGAATTTACATGGGTCAGCTACTGCTTAAAGCAGCAAGAAGTACGCAAGGAAGTTGGGGATCAGAAGAAACAAATGGATGACATGTCATCCTTTCTGGGTATGGGGATGCCTCCAATGCCGGGTGCAGCTCCGGGCCCTGGCGCAGCAGGTCCTGGCGGTGCAGCACCTATGCCTGGTATGCCGGGCATGCCAGATATGAACCCAGATATGATGCAGGGTATGCTGGCATCCATGATGGCTCAGGGCCTTGATCCATCATCGATGGACCCTATGGCGTTCATGCAACACGCGCAGACGATGATGGGTGGTCAGCCTGGTGGAGGCCCGCAAGGGCAACCTGGATTTGGCGGACAAGGCCAGGGACAGGGCTTCGGACAAGGAGGACAGGGCCAGATGGGATACGGAGGCTACGAGCAACGCGGCAATTATGGTGGTGGCCGTGGGCGTGGCCGGAGATGGTAGTTCACGCTGCAGGTTGATACATTCTTCATGACCACTCTGATTTTGCAATTTGAGAAAGGATTGGGTATTGTGGCGTTTTAATGCAAATGAAATGGAAATTCAACAGTCTTCAAGTCGGCCTTATTGCGGTTGTTATAGCTGGGGGTAGCTTCGGGCCGGACGAATGGAGCTAGATAGTCGATGAATCACTGTGACGGGGCGAGTAGAGGGGTAAATCTGTGTAATAGGATATATGAGAAGTTAAAAATACACAATTACTTCGCATTGAAGAGTAGAATCGCTTCTTCGGCGGCATAGAAATGGTTAGAAGCCGAAAGTCGGCGCGGGTTTTGTCCCTCGGGAGTCGAAGCTCGCGGTCTTGGCATTCTGGAAATTTCTCGCCGCAGAAGCCCAGATCTTCTTCCCCCGGACAACTCCCTCTCTTCCTTTCTCCATCCCACGTCCATCCCCAACTTCTTGGCTTCAAGACTCCATCTCCTTCACAATGGTATGTTTTCATCTTAATCCATTATGCACAGTCAATTCAACCTCTACTTCGAGCTACAATCCCTCTGGAATCAATTCCCTCGACAGTTCCCGATGTCCACCTTTTTTCCATCCCCGATTCAACCACCAAACACCCTCCCTTCGCCGGCGCAATACACTAACATCTGATCTCAATAGTCTGTCCTCCGCAACATCAAGAGCCTTGCTCCCCTCCTTGACCGCGTCCTGGTCCAGCGCATCAAGCCCGAGGCCAAGACCGCCTCCGGCATCTTCCTCCCTGAGAGCAGTGTCAAGGAGCAGAACGAGGCTAAGGTCCTCGCCGTTGGCCCCGGTCTCCTGACCAAGGATGGCAACCGCCTCCCCATGGGTGTCAGCGCCGGTGACAAGGTCCTGATTCCTCAGGTATGTTTCGTCCTCGATCGTCTTCCGGGGATACCCGCGGTGTCGCATTGGTCAATGCGAAATCCGTTACTCGGCTGCAGTCAATAATTGGAGTTTGACGCTAACCTATTCTCTTCTGTACAGTTCGGTGGCAGCCCCATCAAGGTCGGCGAGGAGGAGTACCACCTGTTCCGCGACTCTGAGTATGTTTACCTTTCCAATCTATCGCAACCATCTAGGACCATTGACTAATGATGTCTTTACAGGATCCTTGCCAAGATCAACGAGTAAATTGAGTAACGAGCGGTTCTCTTTCTCGTTTCTCTCGCCTTCACACCCACCCCTGTCCCGTGTCTTGCCTCGTCTACCCAGCTGTAGAATTGCCAGGTAGCAGATGAAAGACACATGGCCTGTATTATACCGAAGCGAAGTCACGAGCTCGACCACTTTCAACGATCTCAAGAACGAAAAAAAATAATTAAAAACCCCTTCTCCAAACAATGGGTGGTCCAGGATGCGCTCGTCAGATGTTTTGTCTTGATGAGCACCGTTCTGGATCTCCCGCTCCTTTTGCATACTGAGTTTTTGAAGCGCTGGATTGGCCTTGGGTCTTGCATGTCTTTGTTCACTGTACTTTTAAAACTAAATCGCAACTCGCCATTAGCGCTGTGCTGTGCCTGGTAGTTGAGTAATTCAATATGATCCTTCTCCCCTCATCGTTTATGATTTGAGTGCTCCATCTTCTTGTGGACCAGACATTGGTAAGAACTGGAATTCAGAAGTGTTGTATCCAGGGTATATCCAATTGGCTGCGGTACAACTACTCTGTACCGTTATCCCTGTCACAAGTTTCCGACACGCTAATCCCCTGGAGTTCTCCTATATACAATACGTCCAACATCCCCACCCTCCAAACAATGTCGGGGTTTGAGGGAGGAGGTAGATGGGAAGAAGGAGAGTGGGGGGTTGGGAGAAACTCGGTTCTCGGAAGAAGTGAGGGAGATGGGAAGATTGTCATCGCAGTGTACTACGGAGATGTTTCGGACAGTCTAGATTATTGAAGATTCAAACATTTTAGACACGTTCAGAGGTATGTTCAAATAAGAAAGATGACGCCCGTCTTTGATTCCGCTAATTCTGAACTTGCAAGTATGCATATATAATTAAGAGAAGCCCGCTTCTGCCATATTTATTGTTTTTGAGTCGCCCACTCAGTCATTATAATTTGACTGTCGAGATCCATCCTTGTTAACCGCCGGCAGTCCATACAAGGCAGCCAAGTCTTCTTCTTGGGATTTACCTGATTCCAACAGGACAGGTCGCTCAGCTTGGATAGCGACACGAACGGCATGGCGTCGGTGTGGAGTGAAGCCATACGACGCGGAATGAGTCTAGATAAACCCAATTAGTATATAGTTTATCGGCGAGATATCACGACAAGTACATACCGTCGTCCTGTTATCCCAAAACGCAACGTCATCCTTACCCCACTGGAAACGGGCATGCATCTCCTGGGTGGTGGCGACAACGTCCGTGAGGTACTTGATGATAGCATCACTCTCAGCCTTGGGGATACCGATGATCTTGGTGACGAAGCCCGGGTTAAAGAAGAGCGCGTTCCAGCCGGTGACGGGGTTTGTGCGGATGAGGGGGTGTACGGTTGTTACTGGTTCGCGGCGGACGGGTCGACCGATGGCTCGAGAGTCGTTTGCTTGCATGTCGGCGGAGTGGAGGGCTGTTAGGCTCTTGAGATAGGTCTGCATGAAGGGGGAGAGGATGTCGTAGGCTGCGTATTGGGAGGACCAGAGAGTGTCGCCGCCTCCGCCGAGGGGGTGGGCCCGTGAGAAGTTTCAGTGAGGTGTATGATGGTGGTTGTACTTCATAAGTGACCTGTATAGAGATGTTAATATTTGATGTGTTGAGTGAAATGGTTGATGTTAGACATACGTCTGAGTGCCATAAAAAGCTTGGGCTGAAGAGTGCCCGGTTATCTCCTGCGTTGTCACCGGAGTACACGACGTGAACGTCCTCGAGACCCTTCTTCTTTGGGACAGCAGTAGTAGCATGCTATATATATCATTAGTATTTACTTTATATGAAGCAATTGACGATTCTTGGAAACTTACCTTGTGGAGCTTCCCAAAGTGTCTTCCCAGATCCCGCTGGGCATCAATATCAAGGTTCTTCTGAGCACGGAAAAAGACAACTCCTCGGTAGGCGATCAACCGGGCTAGGTCATCCTTCTGAGCCTCGGTGAGATTCGCCAGATCCACGCCGTGAATCTCAGTGCCAATCTTGGGGTTGTAATCGAATACAGCGGTAGCGTCTTTCAATAGGTTACGGAACTTGGGATCCCCCCTCAAGCCTCGGTCCTCGTAAGGTGTGTACTCCAAAGGGGCCCAGTGGATGTCAGGAAAGGAAGGTAGCAGGTCATCGTGAGCGTAGTTGGTATGGTCTTCCACGGTAGTTCGACCAGGGACGTATCCAAACTTGTTGTCAGTTGTAATCTCCTTCTTAGGGACGACGATGTTTCCCAAGGGTGCAGGCGTAGATGCCACGGGGACTTCCAATGATGGAGCCATGTCGAGTGTATAGCCTCAATGGCAGGAGTTCGAGATAATCTAGAGAGATATGGAATCCTTGGTTGTGGACTAGATTGAAATATGGAAGAGTGGAAGTATAAATCCAACAGAAAGATTGAAAGACTACCAACGACTTATATAGAAAGGCAGGGGAGATCCGCCCAGAACCCAAAGCTGATGTGGGAACTAGAGGCCATGAGTCAACCCCGGATCCTCCCTTCCATTCCCATTCCATCCTATCGAGGCAAGGAAATCTGGCGTGATTGCAGATTTGCAATCCTCGGAGCCAGCGGGAATGGCGCCATCGACAGCGGCAATCACCCAAGGCGGCTGAAACCACTTACCCCAGGGAAGTGGTTCACCAGTGACGAGTGACGACAGATGGCAAGAAAGAGCTCCATAATCGAGTCAGAGCTCCAAGAATGGAACGGTGGGCCGCCGCTGAGAAAGACTTCAGGACATTGGGAGCTCAGGTATCGACAAGTGTAATCCAGCGGGCAGTTAGGGGGAACCGATCACGCCATCTTGCCATCAACGTCAGCAAAATTTGCCATCGCCGCCATATGCCCGTGCAGCTGTTTCTGAGACGGGAAGGATTTGAAAGGAGTGCATTGAACTTCACCGCTGGTTAATAGTTGACTGAGATATTGCAGGGAGGATTTATCAGGGATGGGTGACCGTGAGTTAGTTCATGTGTTGATCGTGGGGGAAAAGTGGAGGAGGTTGAGTTTAGCTGCCGCCAGTCGAGCCGAGCGGGTCGATCACGCAAGAGTGGCGGCCTTTTGCGCATTTTTGCTTTTTTTTTTTGGTCTGCTTGGCCAGTTCGGTCTTTTGGTGGATCTAAGATTGTCAAGGACTCTTGAGTTCTGGAGACAATTGCGGGTGGCTGATCAGTTTAGTCTATTTCGGGTTCTGCAGTTGGTAGAGTACGTACTGCCATCCTTATCAATCACGAGTCAAAACGCTAGTATAGAGTAGAGCTCCTAAGTGTATAATCCTTGATTACTTTGTATACGTATGCGATGTACGTGGGAATAATAGGGGGCTTATCATACTAGAAGCCTTGTAACATACTCTACTCCGTACATACTTGAAACCTACGCCATTTTTTCGGAAAGATCATCTCGTAACCCATTAACCGACCTGGTGTCTCTGCATACCGAAGGCCAGCTCATTCATTGAATTAGTGTACAGATACTCAACAAGTCCACAACTTCCCTTCCCGCTCAGTGCCCAAATCGACTCTCCGCCGACAGTGGGCCGAGTGTCATCTCCTGGACTTGCTCCTGCACGCTCCCTAGACGGGACGCAACACCGATGATGCCAGCCTCCACATCGCCCAGCACACCAGCCAGTTCATTGATGACCGACTTGGGAGTTCCGGCACTCGCCCCATCGCGAGACTTGCTGACAAACTCGTTGATCTGGCGGTTCAAGTTGAGTTCCACGCCGTGCAGGTGATCTTCAATTTCCTTCATGGTGCCCTTGTAGCGGTCAAGAACAGTGCTCATCTCATCGGAGCGCTGGGAGAAGTAGTCCACCAGGTTCACGGGAACACCGTTCACACTCTTGGCAGTAGCCGGATCTCCTTCCACGTCATCTGGCAGCGCAAGGGTGTTCTTGCGAGTCGATCGAAGAGAGGATCGATCGGCAACCTTTTGGTCCTGCATTGACCACCAGCCACCACCGCCCGGCGTCTGGTACTGAAGGGGCAGCTTGAGGGTATCGATAGCGCGGAATGCAACCTGAGCCTCGGATGCATCTCGGGCGACTAGACCGCGCAGCTGGTCAATATCATTCGCGTCGTTCTCCAAGGCATGTTGAATGGTCTCCAGCTTGCCCTGCACAAAGTCCACATCATTGGGGATTGAGGCGCCCTGCGACTCGATGGTGGGGAGAATGTCTGCAACTTCATGGCATAGCTTCATCTGATTGAGAATGGCATTGTCTATGGCCTCAATCTCTCGGCGAAGCTCATCGGAACAGCTCTCGAATTTGGTGGTGGGAAGTAGGTTGCTGACATCAACCTTCACACCCTGGACAACAGTGCTCGTTGCGGTACTTTGTCCGAGTAGGGAGGGCTGAGCACTTTGAGTTGCGCCTGGATTGCTGAAAACGCCAAGTGAGGGCTTCGCGGGTTGCTGTTGCTGTTGCTGAGGTTGTTGGGTAGTGTTACTATTAGACCATAGGCGTTAGTTGCGACCCCACAGAAACAGTGAAAGGCTGAGTGTTCCACTTACAAGAGGCCTCCTCCAAGACCTCCTCCAAGGCCTCCCCCAGTGGTAGAGCCCCCAAGGTTGAATGTAGACTTTGGCTGAGTCTGAGCCGCTGTGCCTCCGAATAGACCGGATGTCGCGGCGGGTTGTGTGGTAGCTGTGGATGTGGTGTTCCCAAACAAGCTTGGGGTTGCGGTTGTCCCGGTCTGCTGCTGCTGGCCACCAAATAGGCTAGGAGTTGTGGTTGTCGCAGTTTGTTGCTGGCCACCGAACATGCTTGGGGCCGGGGTAGATCCACTCTGCTGCTGCTGGGTACCAAACATGCTTGATCCCGTGGTTGATGACTGTTGGGTATTTCCGAATAGACTGGTTGCTGGCTTTGCCTGTGCTGTGGAGGTGGTGTTGCCGAAAAGACTTGGGGTGGCCGTCGTGCCCGATGCCGCAGCCGGTGTATTTTGAGTGTTTGCGGTGCCACTGCGAAATGATGAAAAGTGAGAAGATTAGCTTGATTCCAATGAGAAAAATGTAGCTGCCAGTCTGCGATCGTCAAAGAGCCAATGAAACCGTGTCAAGGCTGCTTATCCGCATCCACAAGGTTTGTTTCTTTGTTCTTGGGCATCACCCGGTGGATACCTGTCGGCACTAACAGGAGGTTTTGTGCTCTGGATTCACGTAACAAGTAAAACCAAGATCACAGTACCAGGAAGTCCCATGCGGAGTATCCAATGAGTGAGTTTGAGCTCTTGAAGATCTTGCGGAAGCTTCAAAAGTGGCAGACGAGCGCTGGACTGGCCGAAATGGGACTTTTTCTGGGACGCGGTGGGGAACAACTCACAACAAGGACGTCGGGGTGGTGCTGATAGTCAGCGCACCTGCAGCAGGCGCGGTAGTCTTGGGTGCGAACATGTTCCCAATCGCCTGGAATGCAGGACTGCTTTGCGACGGTTGAGACACAACACGCGGTGCTGCCGATAAGATTTGCGGGACGGTCGATTGTTGTTCCGAGGACTGTAACTGGTGGAGAGCGGAAGTGTTTAGAGTCTGATGTTTACCAGTCCAGCCTTTTCCTTTCTCATATCTCCTTCTCTGGGTTATTGCCGGGTTATTTGTTTTCTTCATCTTGAAGGCTTCCAAGCAAAAAAAATTAGGCGGCTGGGACTAGGCAGCAATCGCGTGTGCCCTCTCGTTTGAGGTCGTTGACTAGAGGATGAGTCGTCGATGATGTCGTTCGAGGAAAGCAAACGCGGGTCAAATATCTATATCTCGTGGATGAACTTGTCAGATCTTCTCAAAAATGGATATTCTTGATGGCTCACCAGTGTGTGTGGCTTCGACGCTCCCGGAGACAGGAGAATCGTCCGAGCCCTCTCGTGATGGTTACTTCAAATCTGTTCAGTGGAGTCCTGATGGAACTACTCTTTTAGCAAACTCTGCTGACCATCATATCCGATCTTATATCTTGTAAGTGGTTCGTGAGCTGGAACTTGCCGGCAACATCTTTCATCGGGATATTCCGCCTCGTCTTTATATAGCTAAAGGGTATCAATCCTATGTTATTGCACTATACGTCATGTACAGTCTGTTCATGCATCACACTGTCCTCTCTCTGTGTTTTATGTTTCATGATCCTTTGTTTCATCCCATTCTAATGCTCAAACAGGCCACCAGATCTCTTGGAGAAGACCTCTACACACCATCTATCTCCATACTCTACACTTCCTTCAGCAGAACCTACCTATGCCACAGCTTTCTACCCATTTTACAGCCTCCAGGATCCCTCAACCACGCTATTCCTGTCATCTGTTCGTGATCATCCTATTCGACTAGCTTCGACACTTGCTCCATCATCCGTGGCTAGCTATTCCCTGGTCAATCCAACAACTGAGGCCTACATCACTCCGCACTCTATGATCTACCCATCCACACTGGGAGGAACACATTTCCTAACAGGCTCTGACAGTATGATTTGTCTTTTCGACGTATCTCGTCCAGGAACCAGCGGCCCTGTCTCGTGGATGCCGACTATTCCCAGCAAGCGCAAACAGATTGTCGGTGGCGGAGTCGGCATGAAAGGCATTGTGTCGGCATTGGCGATCAACCCAAGTGGCGATGGAATTCTAGCCGCGGGAACATTCACTAGGCATGTGGGACTGTATAGTTCCAATGGTTCTGGAGAACTTCTTGGTACCTTTAACGTTGCAAAGACCGATGCAAATCGCGCTATTGGCGGTAGGGGTATCACCCAATTATCGTGGAGCCCTTGTGGTCGGTATTTGTACATTGCGGAGCGCAAGAGCGATGGAGTCTTGGTGTACGATATTCGAGTCACGGGCCAGATGCTGGGTTATCTTGGTGGACGCAAGGCCATAACGAATCAGCGAATGGATATTGATATCGTTTCTGCTGGGGCTGATGGTGCTCATGAAGTCTGGGCAGGAGGCACAGACGGAATGATGCGTGTTTGGAGGAATCCCATCTATTCCGCAGGTGGACAAGACCCGGATTGGGAGTTTAAGGTGCACGACGGTACGGATTTCCGAGTCCAGTTTGAACTTCTGCGAGTACTAATACGAGATAGATGCCGTTTCAAGCACCGTATTCCACGCCATGGGTAACGTGGTTGCCACCTGCTCTGGTCAGAGGCACCGAGCCTCGGATGATTCGTCGGAGGAAGGCGAGTTAGACTCGGGTATCAGTCAGGCTGATAACAGCTTGAAGGTGTGGTCGATGCCTTTCCTGGGGTCCAACGGACAAGATACAAATGCAAATGAAGATTCGAAACAAGATGATTGAGAGCCATACAGGCTTAATCGCTGCGACATCTCCAGAGCGAGGGAACTCACTATCCTGATGCAAACCGGAAGACCAAACGGCCAACTTCCCAGGGACGTAGGAGGGAAGAAACTGCCATTTACTTCGGGGTCCGGGGAAAAGAAGCCGGACTGCTTCCGCAATCGTTCTGCGATAGAACGAGGGTATCATTACAATAGCTATTCGATATCAATGAGTCACCGGATAATCCTTCTTGATTCAAACTATGAAGAATTGCGTCTGATGCAATTCTTCAAGTGCAGGCATTGCGAAGAACCAATTGCGAACATGAAACAACCTTCCTCAGCGAAGCCCGCAAACCAAAGGTGGGAATATCTCACACCGGTGCTGCGATACTGATTTCGTTTCGGGTGGGAAGGAGACGTCGATAAGATAATGCCTCGAATGACTAAAGTCTGACAACAAAGAGATTGGCACTCCGTGGGATTTAATTGTAGCTTTGAAGATCCATATTGACCCGCATAGGGTACTTAGTCACCCATTGTGGCTTTGACTATTCGTCATTCGACTTGGATGGGGAATAGACAACGGCCCAATAGGCTTTTATTCGAAGAAATACTAATATTGAACCATTCGCGTCCGCCTTCAAAGCTTTTTGTTATAATAGTATGTAAGCGTATGCATTTTTACACTAGTATCTACCAGAGCTTTAGGGAATCCGAATTCCAAACCGCTCGTAAGGGAAATCTTCCAAGGTGTTGACAAGCTGACCCCACCCATCACCAATCTCACCAGGCTCACCCGCACCCTGAATCCGCCAAGCCTGCAACTCCTCAGCCTCCTTCTCAGCCTCGGTCTTCTCCTCTTCCTTGTGCTGCCCAGTTCGGCCAGCGAGCACCTCTTCTTCGCGGCCCTCGTAGGCCTCCAAAAGACCGGGGTGCGGGCACCAAATCACCTGCATACCCGCACGACGTCCAGACTCGACACCGGGAACGGCGTCCTCAAAGACGAGACACTCTGCGGGCGTGATTTCGGTCTCGCCCTTGCTGCGTAGCTCGGCGTTGATAGTCTCCATAGCGAGGAGATAGATGTCAGGCAATGGCTTGCCGCGTCCCTTGCCGATACGAGGGTCATCTCCGAGGACACGGTGCACTTGCGGGAAAGCAGAGAACAAGTCGGACAAGTGGTCGGTCTTGAGCTTGAAGTTTCGGCTGTTGGACGAGCTGGCTAGGGCGATGTACACCGGCTCGTCGGTGGATTGGGTGGATACCAGGTTGGACAGGAGAGCGGGAACTCCTGGCAGTGGCTGGCATTGGGGGAAGTACTTGGCTTGCAAGCCCGCCTGCTTGGCGAAGGTCTCCTCTGGTGTGATGGGGAGTTGGGCCCAGTCATGGAAGATCTTGCTAGCCTATGGGAGTTGTGAGTGCTAGATTCTGGATATTTGTGAGGGGAGGGACGTGCCAATGCTTGTACGTACCTCGGGTTGGGGTCGACCCTGTAGCTGGGCCTTGACTGACCAGGGTAGATTGGGCTTGCCATACATCTGTAGCACTTCGTTGGTGATCTGAGTGTACCGGTCCTCGGAGTCGATCAAGAGACCGTCCATGTCAAAGAGACATGCTCGGATGCGGGGTGTTCTGCCATCTAGATCAGCGGCATGAATGGTGGTATACGATACAGAGCCGTACGTACTCCTTTTTCAGCGACATGGTGAATTGATGTTTATTTACAGTCTGTGAAGGAGGAAAGACTGTTCCTTGCCCGATAAGCCCGCGGGGGAAGGTTCTTATCGGAGGTCCCGTGATCAGAGTGTGCCCACAGCTAAGTATAGCTGTCTTTTGGAAATAACTTTTGTACTTTCTAGCTTCGCTGGAGCATCGCCTGGAAATTAGTCAACACCGCAGTTTGAACAGCCATCTTACAGTACAGCTACTATGTTTAACTCTGGGTCAATTTGAGGACAGATTGAAACAGCATGTTTCTTGACACACACCGCTTCTCTTTCTGGATAGATTTTCGAGTGCGATGCTTACTTATGACTGAAGATGACACTTAAATGACAGTCCTGACATACCTCTGCACCCCAACATTAGCTAACGCACGCTGGTCAATAATGGATAACCTTAATCATCGTTTTCCTCTCCCCGGCAGTTGGTCACCCGTAAAAGAGCGGAAATCCCCCGGAGGATTCCACCCCACTTGAAGGTGGCTGGACACATAAAGTCCGAAGGATGCCCCTTTCCATGTGGGGGGAAATTCTTTTGGGGAAGAATGAGATAAGCACACATTTCTGAAATTATCTGTGGTTTTTGTTCCTTACGACAGAGCGCACATTTAGTTCTCAACACCATGGCAACCACCTTATCTACAAGCAAACTGGGGCAGATTCGGGGGAAATCCGGGGACGGGGTCACTCAGTACTTGGGCATCAAATACGCGACTCTGGAAAATCGCTTTGCGGATGCACAGTTGATTGAAGAACGGCAGGGAGATGTACTCGATGCAACCGTAGACGGGTGAGTCTGCCTTCCTATTCACAGAAAATAATTATGTTGATCTTGGCTGCAGACCCACGGCATTATCCCTCCCCATCGGATGCGATATCGAGTTAGGCCATGTCCAGCATTCTATACTGAAGAAGGAACTTCCCCAATCCGATGTCGATTGTCTCAACCTCAATATTGCAGTTCCATCGGATGCGACTCCATCATCGAACCTACCCGTTTTGTTCTTTATCCATGGTGGCGGTCTTTTTATCGGTGCCAATTCCTGGCCACAATATGATCTTACTCGACTGGCCAAGTTATCCGCTGAGAAAGGACTGCCAATGGTTATTGTAGCTATTAAGTAGGGATTTGTTTTGTTCTTTTTATGGGAGGATAATGGCTAATCCCTTTCTAGTTATCGTCTCGGTGCGCCGGGATTCCTCACGTCCAAGGAACTGCGCGATGCGGGATACAATTCCAATAACGGTCTACGAGATCAACGAGTGGCATTGGAGTGGGTACATAAGCACATTCGCGATTTCGGCGGAGACCCAGAGAATATCACGACAGGGGGAATGAGTGCTGGAGCAGGTGTGTATACCAAATTGAGTTATGAATTACTTGGACTAATTATTTTAGCATCTGTGACGTATCATCTTCACTCGCAAACTCCGTTGTTCAACCGTGCAATCGTTATGAGCGGGTCATCACTTCTCATCCAGCCCCTTCCATACGAGATACATGAACAAAATTATCAGAAGGCGATGGCCGCATTGGGTCTCGCAGATGCCTCTCCCGAAGACCGGGTCAAAGCATTGTTGGAGTTGCCTGGGCAAGAGCTAATCACCAAACTCCCTCCATCGGTGCGATATGTCCCGGCTCTCGACAGCGATCTCGTCGTCCCCGGTGTGACACACGCGGAGGTTGGAAATCTAGAATCGAAGGTGCTCCCCGGGAAGGACTGGTGCAAGGAATTGTTGATTGGGGATGCTGAGGTTGACGTCAGTTAATTCTTCATATCTATGGTCCCCTCTGCTAACAAGACATGGCCGATACAGGCAAGCATCTTTGAATACCTGTCGCCGCAAATGAGAAATAACTGTGCAAAGCGATTCATTGCTGTGCTGAAGGAAACCGTCGGGTCGCACCCGGAGATCGCCCAACGCATCCTAGACGCATATCAAATTTCCGAAAATACTCCCGATGACGCGGCGATATTGTCTATCCTGACGTTCTTCACGGATATTTCATTCCACTCATCAACACTCAGCTTTGCCCGTGGCTGGAATGGAAGTGCGTACGTTTACTATTTCAATGAGGGGAACCCCTGGGACGGACCGTGGAAAGGTCGTGCAAATCACATCCTCGATGTGATCTACTTCTTCCAGAACCTCGGCGAATCTCTGAACCCCGAGCAAAAGGAAGTGGGCGAGGCATTTGCTGAAGATTTCTTCAAGTTCTGCCATGGAATTGCCCCGTGGCCAGCTATTACTCCTGGAACTATAGACACTGGCTTTTCGGCACGCATTTATGGCCCCAGTCAGAAGGGCAACATTACTAATGTTGTGCAACAAGCATTCGGTGGTGAGACTCTGCGCAGAAGTGTTCTGTACGAGTGCTCCTCCGTGGTAGCCCTTGACGATTTGGCCAAGGTTTTCGTCGCTTTCCAGTCAAGCTGATTGTTCTAGAGTAAGATAAGCAAGCATGAATTCTATCATTGAGTAATTTCACATTTTCTGAAGTTGGCATGAAACGGACATGGCTTAAGGTTGCTATTATATATGATGGTAGCCGCTAAATCATGTACGAATGGCGATTTGTTCATAGCCTAGGCATCTACACCTTCGAGAATAATCAAACCGAGGGCCCTAGAAACGGCCGAGGTGGACCAAACGGAACAAGACCAGTGGGGGCTGGAGCTTCCCCAGAATCTGGGGATCTTATAGGCGCGACCTGGGGGGTTGTGGGGATCGCCTCGGTCGGCACTCGCCAACGGCAAAGGACGGACAACCACGGACCCCGATTATTGATCCGACAAAGAGTGCCGAAGAGGACAGCTGATCAGCATTGAAGTTCAGAATTGCTATCTCAAAATCTGTAGAGCTTTCTACTTAAATCAAGCTATCAGCTGTTACTTGCAACGTGGGTTGAGTTAAATTTATTCCCCCTTTTCTCGACACCGACGAGGGGCTCTGTTCTATTTTCCGCAATGCCTTCGAGAATCTACCAATCGCCTTTTCCTGATCTACAGATTGAATCTGTAGATCTGCTCTCGTATTTGTTTTCGAATCCCCTGAACACTCCGTTGGACAAGCCCCTATACATTGACGCTCTCTCTGGAAAGCAATACACGTATGGCGATGTCATCAAACGGATAAAATCCCTAGCAAATGGACTGAAGCAGACATTTGGCCTCCAACCCGAAGATGTCGTGGCTTTATTCAGCCCCAATTCCATCGAGTATCCAATCGCATGCCATTCGATTGTCGGTGCAGGTGCTGTTGTGGCACCCACCAGTGCAGCCTTGACAGCCTTGGAACTCAACGCTCAGCTCAAGACCAGCAAGGCCCGATTCATTATTGTTCATTCTTCTTTGTTTGATACGGCGCAGAGAGCCGCAAAGGGTACTTCGATTGAGAAGATCATTCTCCTGGATGGCTCGTCCCCGGTTAATGGCCAGCCTACATGCGAGTATATCGCTAGTACATTTACCCCTGCTCCTTTGAAGGCAATCTCGTCTTCCGAGGCCTCGGAGAAGATCGTCTTTATCTGCTTTTCCTCTGGTACATCTGGCCCCTCTAAGGGTGTTGTTACAACTCACCAGAACCTCACATCCAATCTACAACAATGGCGTGCCCACATGCTCGACACGGGCTCTCCCTCGCAACGGGTCAAGCGTAACACTGCCATCGCTTTCCTGCCATTCAGTCACATCTATGGTCTAAACTTATATATGTGTCAATGCTTGACCTGGGGAACTTCGGTGATAGTAATTCCCAAGTTCGACTTGGACACATACCTTGGCTGTGTTCAGAAGTACCGACCCGACGAACTTGCCTTGGTACCGCCGATTGCACTCATGATCGTCAAGGACGAGCGCGTTGCCAAGTATGACCTGAGCAGCGTGAAACGGATCATGTCTGCTGCTGCCCCTCTCACAAATGAGCTATCATCTGCTCTCGAGGCGAAATTCAAGTCAGGTTGGGGAACTGAGGTCTTTTGCACCCAGTCTTGGGGTCTAACTGAGACCTCACCCATGGCTACTGCTATTCCAAATGACCGCATGGATAAGCGTCAAACTGGCGTGGGTTGTATCACCAACAACATGGAGTTCCGCTTCGTGGACCCGGATACCCTGGAAGATGCTGCCGTGAACCCAGATGGAACTACGCAGCCTGCGGAGATCTGGTGTCGCGGGCCTAATGTGACTCGCGGGTATTATAACAACGACGAGGCTACCAAGGGTGCCTTCCATATCGACTCGGATGGAAAGAAGTGGTTCCGCACCGGAGATATCGCCACAATTGACAGAGAGGGCTATGTCACCATTCAAGACCGCATCAAGGAGATGATCAAGTATAAGGGTCTGCAGGTCATTCCGAGCGAGCTTGAAGGCAAGTTGATCGACCACCCTGACATTGAGGACGCCGGCGTTGTCGGCGTATGGGTAGACGAGAGAGCCACTGAACTCCCTCTGGCATTTATTGTTCTCAGTCGTCAGGCCAAGGATAGGGATCTCAAGACGGTCATCGATGGGGTCCACTCGTGGTTAAATCCGAAGATTGCGAACCACAAGCGCCTTCGCGGCGGTATCCATGTGCTGGATCAGATACCGAAGAGTCCCAGTGGTAAGATCCTGCGAAGACAGCTTAAGGAACTTCTGAAGAGTAGGAAACCGAAGGCGCAGTTGTAAAACGGATAAATATTCCGCATTGTTGTTATCACTATATCCTGGACTAGTCTTCGTTGAATTCAGCGTCATCGGCGACTTTTATAAACACATGCACATCTTTCCAGCGGATTTAAAATAGGCTATTCAGGTCTAAATGAGCCAAGCTTTGAACATGTCTCAAAGGTAAATCAAAAAATTTCGAAAAAATTGGCTAAAACTAGGCATCTCTAAAATCCATCTGATAAGAAACAAGCAGAATCAGGAAATTTGCCCGAAAAGGCGCCCGCGTTTCTTCGGAGCCCGCGGGTCCCGGTCCTCGGGGTGAGATCTGCTTCCGTCAGAATTTGGCACGAATTCTCCATTCACAGCCATCATGGGTCAGATATAAAGAGAATCAAGCTACCTCTATTCAAATCTGTCTTGTTAGCTGAAGTCTTGCTTGTTCGCTTACTGGGTAATCAACATCTCGGACTCTCGGAGTTGTTCAACTCTACAACTTTGGATTGCTCCATGTGACGTCGTTTGGGACCCGCATTCCGTTTACATTTTCTTTGTTGCTACTATGGGCTCATGGAGTAAAATCCTGGGCTTCCTGCACGGTGGGAATGAATCTAAGCGGCCGAAGTTCTTGGAGATAAGATCGGCGAGATGGTTTATTCTATTTACCGTCTCTTTTGCTGCATGCACGGTAAGTAGCCAGTTATTGCCCTGGAGAACTTGTGCTTACTGACTGATTACAGGATATCTTCATGTATGGACTGGTATGTGATAATTCGTTGCTGTTGCTACACATATAAGAATTGCTAGACTGATATTTGATGTAGATCGTGCCTGTTACGCCTACAGCCTTGGAGCGCAGAGTTGGTCTCGCGGAAAATAAAGGTACACTACCTCTTTTATTTCAACTTGACGTGATTTTACTAACTATCATTGCTCTTTATAGTTCAAACCTGGACATCAGTTCTCCTGGCATTGTACTCTGCAGCATTGCTTGCCTTTTCTCGTACGTCTCTCTTGCCATCCAGAGTACATCCTATGCTGACACCCATTCTAGCTATAATAGGTTATCTCGCTGATCGATCCGGGTCTCGAAGATGGCCGTTCCTCGTCGGTCTAGTCCTTCTAGCTGCCGCGACTGCATTACTTTGTGTTGGAACCAATATTGGTCTTTGGATTGCGGGCCGTCTGTTCCAAGGTGCCGCCGCAGCTGTCGTTTGGACTGTTGGCATCGCACTGCTGGTGGACACTGTTGGTAAAGAAGGCTTGGGGCAGGCTATTGGATATGTGTCTATGTCTCTAAGTATTGGCACACTAGCTGGTCCACTTCTAGGTGGTGTCCTCTACCAACATGGTGGATACTATTCTGTCTTTGGTCTTGCCTTTGGTTTGATCGGTGTCGATATCCTTCTACGGTTGGTGTTGATCGAGAAGAAACATGCTGCACGATGGCTCACGCCTGAGACAAGGCCATTATCGCCGGAGCAGAATGGCGGGGAAAAGACACCGACGGAGGCTGCATCCGAATCTTCAGTGATGGGGAATAGCTCACTATCTGACACGTCCGAAAAGAAGTCAACCAAGGCTCGAAGTCCCCTTGGACAGGCCATGACTCTGCTGAGCTCTCCTCGTCTGATTGTCTCGCTCTGGGGATACTTTATTGTGTCTTTGGTTTTGACCTCCTTCGACAGTGTCCTTCCTCTTTTCGTGCAGGAAACTTTCGGTTGGGAGCAGACGGGTCAAGGTCTCATCTTCATCCCGATGATGGTCCCCCATCTTACCGACCCCATAACCGGGTATATCATTGATAAATACCCACGTTCACCCCGTTATCTTGCCACGGGAGCATTCATCGGTGCTGTTCCGGTTGCCGTTCTCCTGCGACTAGTGACCGACAACACGATGCATCACAAGGTCATTCTTTGTGTTTTGTTAGCGTTACTCGGGCTGTGTCTGGCCGTTGCCATGCCGCCTCTTGTCACAGAGGTCTTCCATGCCGTCAAGGAAAAAGAAGACGAGTCACCCGATAGTTTTGGCCGTGGCGGTGCCATGGCGCTCGCATTCGGTGTGTCCAATATGGGCTTTGCGGCGGGCAGTCTGATCGGACCGTTCTTTGCAGGATTTATCCGGCAGGATGCTGGTTGGGGAACTATGGGATGGGCCATGGGTCTTATTACTGGTGTTTCTGCAATCCCGGTTTTGTTATTCATTGGAGGCTGGATTGGTAAGAAGCCGTCTCCTCCAACGGAACAAGATCAATCGATACCGGAGTAGCATGCATTGTTACTACAGCATTTTCTGTCCTTGACACAGTTACCAGCGTACTTCTCTCCTCATACTGTACATATAGTGATGACAAAATTAGATCTCTGCTCTATGGCAAACATTAATATTATGCATTTCTTATTGGTTGGACAAAGAAGAACCCCGCTTACACCGGGGAGAAAATATATGCCTTGATGCCTGATTATGATGCTGGGATGAAGAGGCGAAGAAATCAGTTAGCCAAGAGCAAAACGCCAGATAAATCAAGCAGACCCGGCAATTCTTTGCCAGTAAAAGTTCAGGCCCATTGAATATGCCTCTTAGCAATTTATTACCAAGAAACCTAAACTCCCAAACATTCCGTTCCAGGTCCTGCCGGGTGATAGAGTGGAGTAACTACTTGTACCTTTGTAGAAGCTACCCCACGAGGTGGATTCCCCACGATAAGCCCCACGACAGCCAAACTGGAAAAGTACGGGCGGAAATCACGCCGATTCTGGCGCCAGGCGGGCAGTTCGGGAATTGAAGAGGGTTGTATTAGCCGTGCCTCCCCAGGGTCGTTGTGTATACTAGCCTGGTACATACTTGCACGCTTCATACTTGTGACTCCTCCTTTCATTAATCACCATCATGTCGGCTCCAGAGATTCAACACAAGACTCTCAATGCCACTTTTAAGGGCCATGAGAGTGATGCCGAAGGTGTCCCCATTCACAAGTTCTTAGGAATTAAATATGCTAGCGTCCCGGCACGTTTCGAGAGGGCGATCGCGGTAGATAATTTTGCTGGCGCCGTTGTTGACGCTACAAAATATGGGTATGTTTATCCCTCGGTTACTTTGTCTCATATCCTGAATTGGGGTCTCTAACAGCATGATACAGGCCCAGATGTCCTCAGGTCGACGTGGATGTTCGTCACCTATTGCGCATCCCTGAAGACTTTGTCATTGCCCCGGAGGTCGAGGATGAATTCGAATGCTTGAATCTGGAGATTACTTGTCCCCCGGTGTCCTCGGAAACTAAGGCCCTCCCAGTACTTGTTTGGATCCATGGAGGCTCCCAAATTGTCACTTTTTGCTCTGCTCAATCGAAGATCTGTGGTATGTTCCCGAGTCGATCTTCATCGAAGCAAACACAGCAGCTAACAGGATAATGAAAAGACCCAACAAAGATCGTGACCGACTCCATCAAAGCAGGAAAGCCAATCATTTTTGTGTCAATCAACTATCGTCTCAATATTTTCAGCTTTGGAGACGGTAAAGAAAAGAACCTGGCTCTGAAGGATCAGCGACTTGGTATTGATTGGGTGCGAAAGAATATCGCGTCTTTCGGCGGTGATCCTGTGAGTAATTTTCTATCCTGACTACAGCTATCTTTACTAACTGAATCTAGGACAACATTACGCTCTCTGGTGAGAGCGCAGGCGCAATTTATACCCATGCCCACCTCATCACTGGACCCCCCGTGAAGCGGGCCGTCCTTGCATCGGGAACATTGTACCTGTCCTCTCCACTGCCCGTGGAGCGAGGCAACGGTCTCATTAAGGCACTCGAAACAAAGGTTCAAGAATTGGGCCAGCCTTCACTTCGAGAGTCATCCGTCCCAGTACTGATCCAGGCATTGAAAGACTGCAATGTCAACACAATGTGGATACAGGAAGAGCCTGAACTGGAGAATTGGGAGACTAGAATTGAGCAAGTGGATGAGCTCATGATTGGAGATACAGAATACGAGGTATGTCCAACGTCCTTGCACAAAGAATTTTCCCAATTTCAGCTGACAATTTCATAGTCCGTGATCTGGCGGAATGGCGTTGAGCTGTTGGATGGCGACTCTATCTCCGCGGCTTTCGACAACGAGAAGCAATGGGGTACCAAGCTGCGCAAACTATACCAAGTCGTGGCCGATCGTCCTACAGCTGCAAAGCTAGGCGCACTGGACCTTGTCAATGACGCTCGTTACACTTTGCCCGTCGAGCTCGTTTCCAATAAGCTACAAGCTGCAAACAAACGAGTCTACAAGTATGTTGTTGACCAGTCCAACCCGTGGCAGCCATCCAGCCGATCCCATCACGCGGTGGATCTTCTATTCCTCTTCGATGGGGTCGACCTGTCCTTCAACCCTGCCGCGCAGGCAGTCGGGCAGGAAATGCGCAATTGCTGGATTCAATTTGTTTCTGGTGAAGGCCCTTGGTCTGAAGAGCATCGCTATGCGTATGGACCTTTCGGCGAATGCAAGGAGATCAACGAGACGCAGTTTGCCGCACGACGACGAGTTGAGCACTGCAAAGTGCTTAAAGAGGCCGGCATTGGTAGCTACATGCCCATTATTGCTTCTTTGACTGCTGGGCGTATTAGCCTGCTCAATTAAATCATATAGACTTAGAAATTGATGTACATCAAATAGCCTCATCGTGAGTGTAGCAGTCTAAACACCCACTCTAGATGTATTTCCTCGGCTAGTCCGGATCTGCCTCCTATTTCCATACATAGTCCTGATCCTGATGGGTACAATTTCATGGCGAGCTGAATATGTACGTTGCAAACTTGCGATCCACCTTTAGATAACCCATGAATGCGACTGGGAATCGGCAGTTGTCAACACTGTTGATTCCCGCACCGCCCATTCCCGCCCATCTCCTCGCCCAAACGACGACCCCACCGACGCCTCCCAACTTGCAGGCGTTGCAAAGCAGTGGATCATACAAAGACCGACATCACAAGAACAGCAATATAGCGGCTGTCCTTTCCCTCTGTCCGTACCCCACGGACACATAGTTCCAGCGCCTCCGCCCGTTACTCAGGCCTGACTCATGTGGGGTCGCGAACCCAGTCTCTCGAATTGTCGAGCTGGCTGAGTTGTCCCCACCGCGCCCGCGGACGAATCGCGATCCACAGCCCGGGGAGGTCGGCAGAGCGACGTCCCTGCGAGATGCCGATTTGTATGGGAAAGTATGAGGACTAGGCGTGATGCTGGGACCCGAGGCAGGCCAGTCGCTCAGCTTGGCCCTTTTTGGGTGCTTTCCTGCGCTCAGCTGATGCTGGAAATACGGCGATGATGACGATTATCTGGTACTCGACCCGTGTGGATCGTGCAATGGGCGTCGAGAAGTCCTGGACGCCTGTTTCTTGGTCTTTTGTTCTCCGGGTGTCAAGGGGTACGACCCCACAACTTGAAGTATAAGGAGGGGTGTGTACCCCAGGATGTTAATCTGGGTTGTGAATACATTGGAAATATTGACCAGACTGCTAGCTTTGGACTCGGTTGTTCAACTGAACTATATCCATCCATCATGCCTTCCACTAGTGACCTTGCCGATCCCAAGGAGTATCAGAAGATCCTCCACTGGGCAGAGACACAACAGGACGGAGCGATTCCTTCCTTTGCTACGAGACGCAATGACCCTTATGAGGTAAATCGCTACACCATTCTACCTCCTCCTCCTCCTCCTCCTCGAGATTGAACATTCGCTAATGTCTTCCAGTACCAACCCGGGTTTGGAAACTCGTGAGTATAAACTGCTACATCCAGCGGTTCAATTAACTAATCTTGTATAGTTTCGAGTCAGAAGCAGTCCCTGGAACCATCCCACGGGGCCAGAACAGTCCTCGTAATGTCCGTTTCGGCCTCTATGCCGAACAGATCACTGCCACGGCATTCGTGGCCCCCAGACATGCGAACAAGAAGGCGTGGCTATACCGTGCTCGTCCTGCAGTCGCGCACCAGGGCTTTGTATGCAGTGCTCTATACCTATGCTGAAAAATGCTTCAAATGTACAAATAAAGCTAACAATTGTTCCAAGACCGACCTCCCAGATAACAAGGACACCGAGTCCAACTTTCTCCCTATGAACCCTCGCATTCACGTCTCACCCACCCAGCTCGCATGGCACCCCTTCGACATTCCCGAAAACGAGGAAGTCGATTTTGTCTCCGGTCTGAAGACTGTCGCCGGCTCGGGAGAGCCAACTCTGCGCGAGGGTCTAGCAACTCACGTCTACGTCGCTAATACCAGCATGAAGAAGAAGGCCTTTGTCAACTCGGATGGAGAGTTCCTCATCGTTCCACAGCAGGGCGCACTCGATATTCAGACCGAGTTTGGACCCCTGTTCGTACAACCCGGCGAGATCGTGGTTATCCAGCGTGGCTTGCGCTTCCGTGTGGAACTACCCGACGGGCCCTCGCGTGGTTATATCCTTGAAGTCTGGGGTACCTGCTTTGAACTGCCGGAGCTTGGACCCCTGGGTGCCAATGGTTTGGCTAATGCGCGGGACTTTTTGAGCCCCGTTGCTCAATATGAGATCGCCCAGGAGCCATGGGAGATTGTGTATAAGCTCGGTGGCAAGTTCTTTAAGAGTACGCAGAACCATAGTCCTTTCGACGTGGTCGCCTGGCATGGAAACTACGTATGTGCTATGTTTTGCAAGGGGCTGTTGAGTGGTTGCTAATCCCGCCTTAGGTCCCTTATAAATATGATCTCACCAAATTCGTCAATGTGGGCTCCATATCCGTTGATCACATTGACCCGTCTATTTTCTGTGTTCTTACAGCCAAGTCGCGCGACTTGACTGCGCCGTTGGCGGACTTGCTGACCTTCTCCCCGCGATGGGACGTTGCATCTCGTATGGTCCCCATTTCGAAAAACGAAATCAATTGAGTTCTAACACTTTTAATACAGACACCTACCGTCCTCCATACTACCATCGAAATGTTGCATCCGAATTGATGGGCCTTATCTACGGCGAGTACGGCGGTCGCTCCGAGGCCTTCAAGCCGGGCAGTGTTTCCTTTGAATGCGGAAGTATGTCATATCCCAGCACAAAACCAGGCTCGATGCCAATGTAACCGTGCATCATGCTAATCTTTGTCTCTTAGTGGTGCCCCATGGCGTGGCTTACGAAGAATTCAAGGCGGCAAGTGACCAGGCGCCACCCGTGATGCAAATTTCCGAGGCCTCGATCGCGATCATGTTCGAGTCCAGCCGGCCATTCACAATTACGGAATATGCCTGGAACAGTGATAAGAAGCATGAGCATGAACCCAAGATGTGGGATAGCCTGGTGGATAACTTCTCCAAGCATGCAAAGGAGGTGGAGGAGATTCTGGCAAAGAAGGCCAAGAACTTGTCTGTATGATTAAATAGTTGAATGGTAGGAGAAGGTTTATTGCGGAGCGAAGCGGAGCAATATATTGTCAAACTTGAGGCTTGATTCTATCTTGATAGATGAGTAAGTAGATTGGTTGGTAGATGAGTTGGTAGATTTACTACTACACCTCCTACCTAAGTGAGGCAACTACTCTGCTAGACCTACCTGGAACGGGTCCGTGGGCGCGCAGACAGCTTGTAGCCCTCAATGCGTCTGATTATCAGCAATTAGCCTATTGTCATTTGCATAAAGTTGTTGTTTGCACAATTTGAGGTTGATACCTTCTGTGTACTATGCAAACAAGAATTGCCTGGAACCGGGTTGATCGATCGTCCATTGAACTGCAATGACGCAGTTAGACATAAATTTGTAAATTTGTCCGGGCCCAAAGAGGAAGAGGAGCAAGGAAAAGCAAAAATTAGGCGAGCCGCTTTTTATTTTTTGTCTGCGCATCTTAAATACAGTCTGCTCGTTGGTATAGGGTCCAAATCTGATTTGATTCTCCCCGTCCAACTTTAACTCCGGATCCACTCGGTCAATCGGTGATTCGGCCTCCGGTTCCACCGGCGCGCGAACAAACGCCGACACCGACCCTGGAAGTATAACGTCCGCGCTGTGATTGGGTCTGATCGGAGATTTATTTCAAAATAGATACTCCGATCTTCAAAAAATCAGGGTAATATGACTCACGTGGTCGTATTTTTAATTATTTTCACTGCGTAGATGTAGAATGATGTAGTCGGAATAATACCTGTAGATTAAAATTCAACTTGAAATAGGAACAGAATAGTAGATAGGAATGCTGAAAGCTCTGCTATGGAAGCCTCTTAAGTGCTCTCGTCTATTGATCTATTTAATGATTTATGGTTAGAATTGTGGGTACCGCTATTCCAGATATGGGATATGTATGTACTGGCTCCTTTCAAACACGCGAGTTCAAGGCCACATGAAACTTGGAACCAGTCAAAGCTCAAGCCCCCGATCGATCAGCTTGGACCTGATTGCTCGAACGCTGTCTCGCACTCTTCGGCCTCCGCGACGGTCCATTCACGGACCCTTGCAGTCGGAAATGCCACGCTATCTGCACCCGACCGGCCTGGTATATAGTCCCTACATGTATCTCATAGGCTTCCAAGCCTTCCAAGCATCCTTTCTTTTCCAGAATCCATCGAACATTACGCTTCTTGAGAACCTATACGGTTCGATACCTTATACGGCTATACACTCTCTCGTCTTATACTCCTTATAGGACCCCTATACACCTTCCGATCTCAGTTTCCCTACCACCGTCAACATGGGAGGCCCCTACGCCCCCGTCATAGCCCAACTTGGCGGCCGACCAACGAAGAATGTCGACATACCAATCTGCTCCGTCTTCCTCGTCGCATTCCTCGGTTTCGGTATCTCCCACATGGTCCTTTTCCGCCGCAATCTCGCCCGAGGCCACAAATTCATCCCCTCCGCCGTGACATTCGGTTTCTGCATGTCCCGTGTCGTCGCCAACGTGATCCGTATAACATGGGCCTGTTATCCTAATAATGTGCGAATCGCAATTGCTGCGCAGATCTTCGTCGCGGCTGGTGTTTTGCTCCTGTTCATCTTGAACCTGCTATACGCGCAGCGCATGCTACGTGCTGCGTTACCGGCTCTTGGCTGGTCGCGCCCTGTCTCGTGGACGTTCAAGGCTCTCTATATTTTGGTGGTGATTTCGATTATTATGCTTATTACGGTTGTTATTCAGAGTATGTACACGCTTAATGCGAATACGCATCGCATCGATCGTGATATTCAACTCTACGGCGCGACATACTTTGCTATCGTCTCGTTCCTGCCGTTGCCTATCGTCTCGCTGGTAATGCTCTTCGCAGAGAAGGAGAAAGTTGACTCTTTTGGATCGGGATCATGGCGGACCAAGGGTCTCATCGTCTTCGTGGCTGGGACACTGTTGTGTCTCGGTGCTTCGTTCCGTGCTGGAACTAGCTGGATGGCACCGCATCCCATCTATGACCCGCCGTCATATATGCACAAGGCCTGCTTTTACGTCTTCGATTTTGGAATCGATATCTCGGTCGTCATCCTTTTCTTGTTCTCTCGTGTGGACAAGCGGTTCCATGTCCCGAATGGAAGCTCCAAGGTGCGACATTACCGTGGGAGTGATGGAGCTGAAAAGGGTAGCTCGGTCGAGCAGATCCAAAAAGATGAAACGCAGCGAGATATTGAGAGTAGCAGCAGCTAGCTATAGCGTTGCTGCGAAGTTTGAGAATAAGAAGGCGGTGCATATATGGTTATAGATACCCTCTGTTGGATAAATTGCATGTACAAGATAATTAATTAGAAGTCATGATAATGAACATTTCCCTCGGATCTACCTGTGCCTAGCTTTGTAGTACTCGATTTACATGCCCATGCAACGATAGCCGGAGATGGATGCACCAATCGCTTCCAAGTAAATTCACACAAGACGCTTAGCAAAGAAAGGTAGGCCAAAACGACACACGGCACTCCTAGTACGTGACGAGATAAACGATACGACAATGGCCCGCCCTTGCAGTTAGGCGCTCTCGAAATGTCTCGGGCTAAAGCTCAATTTGATTAGACATCTCCCAATTACAGAGTTGTTCGTGTTTCGTCCACAAACACCAGGCCCGAACGCAGAAGAAGGAATGTTTCAGATCTCGCAAAAGGGTCTTTTATTTTCATGATTGGTATCAACAGACGGCCAGGCACAACACCATACAAGATTAATTCGGCAGCGAGAGCCTTGTTCGAATGCATTTTCCTCCCTCCGCTAACCCAGTAGCTTTCTGAAGGACAACAATGAAATCTATCACAGGAAATAGTCGGGTGTACGCCTCGATACCATGGGTTCTCCCGCTCGGGGGCAAGGGTCAAATTGTAGACTAAAAGAGGCACCGGTCAGCAATCTGCCCAGCAATGGCAAACGGGTAGTAAACAGGGATAACTCACAATGTGTACTTAAGATGCTCGTCAATCTCCATAATAGCGGCCTGGTTGCCGCAGCGGTAACAATAGTTGGGGGCTGTAGTAAAAGGTGGGTTAGCTATCTGATCCCAACAAGAAGCTCAACAAAGCTTCTACCCCCGCTTCCAACATGCACGCCGAGACATACCTGAGAAGATTGTCACCACATTCCGATCCTGCGACCAGTTATATCCTTCCATCACCAGTTGGTGTGCTCGTGCAACCAGAGTCAAGCCGTTGTTGTGGTTGAAGGCTTCCGAAATGTCCTGTCCGAATGTGTATCCCGCACCTCGGGGAGAGATTCCCCAGCCGCAACGATCATCAGGATCGCTCCAGAGCAGATCGCACATGGGACCCTCATGCGGGACTTCCTGGATACGATCAAGGGATCGGATGTTGTCGAGAGTGTCGATGGACGGGCTCAGTCCACCGTGCAGACAGAAGATCTGGTTTTCAATAAGAGCGGTGAGGGGGAGGTAGTCGAAGAGGTCGGTGAAGTATTTCCACACGTTGGCGTTGCCGTATTTGCGAAGACACTCGTCGTAGAAACCGTAGACCTGAGTGATCTGACGGGATTCGTGGTTACCACGAAGGATGGTAATACGCTGGGGGTAGCGAATCTTGAGGCAGACCAGAAGAGTCACGGTCTCGACGGAATAGTAACCACGGTCGACATAATCACCTGTAGCAATACAAGATTTTCCCATTAGAATGTGTTGTTGTTTGGGGGGTGGGCATCCAGCTAACAGCACGAAAGCTTGGCCCCACTAGCTCCCCCGACCGACCGAGAGGAAAGCTACGCCGACTTACCCATGAAGAGGTAGTTTGTATCCGGATTGGGACCACCGATACGGAAGAGCTCCATTAGATCGTGGAATTGACCGTGTATATCACCGCAGACCGTCACTGGGCATTTCTATGGTGGAGTCGTCAGCGGCGCTGCTAGGTGGGCTGGCGAAACCTCCGACCGGAGTGGACAATCACAATAAACATACCACTGGCTGCACATTCGACTCCTCCTGCAATACCTCCCGTGCCTGAAATGCAGAAAATTCGTCAATTCCCGAAGCTCTGTGATGTGTCCAGCGAATAAACCCACCCGATCGCACAGCCGCCGCACATCTTCCTCCGCTAGTTGCTTGCACGTCATCAAACTCTCGATCCAGCCATCCAAAGTGGGTATGGAGCCAGGGTCGCTCGTCGGCGAGAGGTTGTGTGGTTCGGGCGACCGCGCGGTATCGATTTCCATGTTGTTGTCCATGGTGGGCACAGCTGGCGTAAACAGGGAGGAGGGGCCAGCTGGGGGGTGGAGGGGCGGTCTCGTGGGAAATAGGCACCGAGTTTTCGTCCAGGAATCGTAAAAGCGAGGACTAAAGGGGGGGGGAAGATCGAAGGGAAAGCAATTCAAGCAAGACACGGATTTTTGCCGGGATCAACTCCAGGAATCAGGGATGAGGGGGGGTGGAGTGGATGGGGAAGGACAGAGCAGGAAAGGGAGAAGAGATGGGAGTTGCGGGAAGGTCAGGTTTGGCAAGTTTGGAGGTGAGTTTGCGCCACACACGGCCTGCGCCACACTTGCGGGCTGCTATTCATGCGCCACACAGAACTATACTGAGAACGGAGCACGTCATATCTATTGATTTGAGAATCACCGAGTGGAAAAGGGCAGTTGTCAAATTTAATGAGAAGACAACTACTTAAATTCTTATAGCACCATATCCCTTTCAATATAAAGACCAATTGGCCAATTCCAGTCAACAAGCGAGCTATCCCAGAATTACGTAAGGAGGCTCAGCCCTGGCAACTAACTAGTTAACTAGTTAACGGGTATCATATATTTCAAGAACTGTCGAATAGCGCTCCAAACAAAAATTTGGAACACTCAAGCAGACCAGTCTCAAGGAAAAATTATATCTTCTGTTTACAACTCTAATGATACCATTTTGTATAATAAATAAAACATAATGATCAATTTCACCATCAAAATTGTCTATCTTAAGCATTGAGGGCAAAGAATGCTGTCGGCAGCTTCTCCAAAGTCCACTGAATCATAAAAGCCTCCCAGTCAACAGGCTTAACTTCTGGGTAGTGGGAATTATCCAGCTCAGTACCCACAAAAGTCTGGCCATTGATCCAGTAGTAGTAAAAGAACCTATGAAAATAATGGTTAGTCCAATCCTTATCTTTCAAAGGGAAGAAAGGAACCTACATCGACATGTAACTGAAGACATCATTGGGGTTCTTCCGGCAAAGCTCATGCATTGTCTTGAAAAGGTCATCCAGGGAACCGCGACTTTCAAGGGTTGGCTTGACTCCAAAGTTCTTTTCAAATGACTGCGCAATCTCCCGAATAGTCGCACGTCCACCAAGGACTATTTATGACCAGTTAGCGGAGGTTAGAGCAAGAAAATGTTGGTTGGGAGAACTTGCATCGGACAATTCCAGTTGCCTTGGGATCCAGAGTAACTGCAGCAGTAAACTCAGCCGCATTATCATAGGTAGTTCCCTCCATCACCTCATCACCGTTACCCCAATACCGGAAAGTATTAGTGCTCGGGTCAAAGATGTTGAAGAAAGGACTGAAAATTGGCTCCATGAATCCGCCAATGAGGATATGCACGCCTTGGACCTTCTTTGTCTCTAGATAAGCCTTGACATGAATCATGGGATCCTTGGGGAACAACTCGCCAAGCTTCAGCTTGGTATAGTCCAATGCCCAATCACTAGCAACGTAGCGGGGCACATTGCACTCCTCACACGCGTCGATCAAGGCTTTTTGACCGTCAACCATCAACTTATCATCACCGAGATAACAGCATACAATCACATCACAGCCATTGACAAAGTTGCGAATAGCATCATGGTCGAATGCGTCACCTTTGATGAGGGTCACTTGAGTTGAGGAGGCGATGGCATCCGAGACCTTGCTCGGGTTGCGACAATAGCCGCGGATAGCGACATCGGGGTGCTTCAAGATATGAGATGCGAGTCTTTTCGCAAATTTGCCAGTGATACCAGCAATACCAACGGTGAAAGTCATCTCGGGGAGTCGATACTTGGATGTATAGAGTGATGAGAGGGTGTGTGTGGAGGCAGAGTGTTTCTCAGCGGAGGCATGGCAATTGACTTATATACCGCGGAGAACGAAATATTCGAAAAAAAAAAAACCGTATTCATGGTGTGAATATAGAGTTTGTCTCTGCAACAAACGGTGACTGGCTTCCGCTGAATCATCTCGGGCGGTAAATTAAGCCCGATGCCGCCACTCTCCGACTTCAGTGACCAACACCAAACACTATTTTGATCCCGAAGACGATTCCACTATGTTGATGACAGGCACATCGGGACCAAGTGCCTCGAATATCACCGAAATCTCAACACAAACTCGCAGTTGTCAAAAGTGCAATCAGCGGAAAACGCGCTGCAGCAAGACTCGGCCATGCACTAGCTGTGTCAAGCTAGGGATAGAATGCATCTTTCCACCCCCAGGCCGTGCACCACGGAGGAAAAAACGGGCATTGAAAGCGGAGCTTGTCTCCAAAGTCAAGTCCCTTGAACAGAAAGTCCGGGAGCTTGAAGATGAAAGAAATTCTCCCCAGTCGGATCCTGGTGTACATGAGGAGCCCTCATCTATCGAGTCCAATGCTCGACCTTCGGTAGCCCGGACCCAACAGGCGAGTCGTCCACCGGTCTTAGCTCGAGATGAATTAGAAGGCAGATTTGGCAAGCTCGTAGTAGAGGAGGGCTCTAGTCGATACGTGAGTCATGAGGCACTTGCTAGCTTCCGAACCGAGGTGAGTATCATCAAGTTGTCTGCTTCGAGCTTGGCTGATAGTATGGCAAGATTAGCACACAAAGTAAGCCTGGCGCTTCAGCATCATCAGAGCCTCATGATCTTAGATCATCTGAAGGAAACAATTCAAATTCGTTTTTGTTCGGATACCGAGCTTTGGCCCACTCACTACGCGACCTATATCCAACGCCGCTCGCCAGCCAGGCGTTGTGGGCTGCGTACGAGAAGAATGTCGCACCACTGATATTGATCCTTCACAAGCCCACAATTAGAAATCTGGTCAGAAAGGCTGCAACAAACGGAGAGTTTCTCGACGCAACCTCCGACGCGCTTGTATTCGCTGTCTACTTCGCAGCCGTCATGAGCATGAAGCCCGACGAATGCCAGGTCCAATTGGGGGTGGATCGCCAATATGCAATACAACACTACCGCTTCGCAGCTGAGCAGGCCCTATCAAGAGCTGATTTCCTACATGCACGCTGTCTATCAGTTCTGCAAGCCGCTGTTCTTTTTCTGATTGTCGCGTGGCGATGCGACGATGTGCGTTTTGTCTGGGCTATGACGGCCTTGGTTTACAGACTCGCGCAAGGGCTGGGCTTGCACCGCGACGGTGAAAAACTCGGACTAGGTCCTTTTGAAACGGAAATACGGCGACGGCTCTGGTGGTACATATACTTGCTTGATTCGCAAACTTCCGAGCACCAAGCAATGAGCCCGCAGATCTATGAAGGAACCTACGACACCGAGTTTCCGCTCAACATCAACGATGACGATCTATCTCCAGAGGCAACTGATAGGTTTAAAGGCAGAGATGGCTTTACCGAAATGACATTTTGTTTGATTAGATGTGAGATCAATGTGCGATATCGCCGCATCCTGAAAGGCAGCATGCCAGGCCTTGGGCCTACACGACGATCTGTCGAGGATATAACTCACGCACTGACGGATATGAGCACATTCATTGAGAACAAGCGCCTGCAACTCTGTGATCTAAGCGTTCCAATTCAATGGGTCGCTGCTACCGTAACACGAATCGCTTTAGCTCGATCATGGCTAGTAGCCCACCTTTCCCTCATTGGATCTGACGACTTGAGCTCGGATCTATGGCAGCAACGCCGTGAGTTACTCTTCCAAACAGCCATCGAGGTCCTCGAATTCACCCATTTACTCGAAAGTAGCGATGAAACAGCTCACTGGTCCTGGATGTTCGAGATGTATCGGCAATGGCATGCATTTGCCTTTGTTCTGTCTGAGCTTTGCGTGCGCCCATCTCAAGAGACCGATCGTGCATGGATGATTGCAAACTTGATGTTCCAGCGGTGGCAGCAGGATGGGCCACCACAGGGATGGGTGCTTTGGAAGCCACTATCTCGACTTATGCAACGCGTCACTGTCAAGCGTGCCGGCGAAATAGTTACAGATAGTGCTTATCAGTCGCTGGTGTCTTTCCCGGCTGATTCTACTCATATTTCTTCGATCTGGACCTCTCGACAGGAGCAAACAAATAGCGAAAGTTCATTCGACCCCGGATCAGACACCTTGGCGATTGAAATTTATAGAGATATCACTCGTGATATGAGTGTTGGATCAGATCAGCATTGAGTACATTAGGGAGGGGGAGGAAGAAGATAGAGAGAGGGTATAAAATAAGACTATCCTCTCTATAAATCAAACCCTCGACTTCGTATTCCATATATACTTCTTTATAACACTCCATCACTATCCCTCCAGTCTAGCTTTACTCGTACAGATACTTCCACGGCTGGTACCATACTTTAGTTGAGATCTCCGGGACCTCGTTAGCGATGACTTCAGGTAAGCCAGAGTATAGGTCCACCTCCATGGCAGGGCGCACCCACGGTTCCGAGCGAGCCACAAAAAAACGATGACCAAAGTAGAAGGCGAAAAATATCGGGATGCCGATGTAGGATGTCAAAAAGGTGGAGACATTCCAGTGGCCATGTAGGAAAACGGCGTATCCATTTAAAAGAAGAAACACGGAAAAGAAAACCCCACAGATGTATGCCATGTACGGCTGGAATCGTGAACGATAAGGCATGTCCGTGATTCCCTGAGCAATAGTCGCCTTGCGAAAGCGCAGATAAGTAATACAGATGCAGATCCAGCTCTGGAAAGCACCTGTATTGATGAGGTTGACAAACCAGTTAAAGACCGTCACTCCTGCGCTGGAGAGATTAAGATAGGCAAGAAGGCAAAAAGCAATGCAGACTCCAACAGCATTGTATGGGATTCCGCTTTTGGTGCATCTCTGGAAAGCCTTCGGTGCGCAACCTGCCACAGATAGCGAGTACAGGGCCCGGGTCGCAAGGTAGAGATACGAGTTGCCCCCCGAAAGCGCGGAGGTCAGTATAATGGCGTTAATAATCGAATCAAGCACTTTGATGCCGGCGTTGTGAGCTGCGATGGCCCAGGGAGAAGCACCTGCACCGGACCCGCCTCCAAGGAGCCGAGCCTCATCGCTTGAAACTATCAGGCTAACCGCAAATGCCCCGAGCACATAGAATGTAACCAGACGAATGAAGTACCGCATCCCGGCTTTGGGGAGATTCTGGCGAGGGTTCTGCATCTCTCCTCCTGTAATGACCAAGACTTCCGGGGCGAAGGCGAAAGCGAAAATCGAGAAACAAATGACAGAGACAAAAGCACCGAGTCGACCCGCATTCCCAGCCACAAGGTATGCCTTCACTGGTCCTGGGTGCTTCCAATAGTGAAAGCCCAGAAGTTCGTGGTTTGGACCACCGCCAAAGACTAGCACAACGGCCATGAACAGCAAGCCTATTATACCAATAACTTTGATCGACGCAAACCAGAACTCGGCCTCGCCATACACCTTTACAGGGAAGCAATTGAGAAGAACAATGATCACCATAAAGACTGTGATCCAGACGGCGACGGGTACATGACTACCCCAATATTCGACGACCACGGTGGCCGCGGTGATTTCGGCCGGCACAGTGATGGCGAATACATAGAAATACACCCACCCCAGGGCAAAGCCCAAGCTAGTCGAGTGGAATCGGTGGGCATAATAGGAGACGGAGGATCCTGGCACGGGTAGGTATGAGGACATTTCGGTCGTTGCCGTTATAATGCCAAACACCAACACAGTGAGAATGCAATATGCCAGTACCAAGAAGACAGGACCGCCCATATGAAGAGCTTGACCAATTCCAACGAATAGGCCAGTTCCAATTGTCCCACCTAACGCGATCATTTGGGCATGACGAGACTTGAGCCCCCGTTGAGTAGTAACTCGATGGATGGCGTGGCCGTCGCCTTGATCCTCGAGACAGGAAGGGTTCTCCTCTCGATCTCCCATCTTCTCATTTTTCGATTCCATTGTAACAAGAAAACAAGAAAAAGAATTGATTGACTTGAAGAAATATTCAAACATGGCTCGGCATATGAGCTCGGAAGGGAGAATTTAAAAGAATTGCCCCCGACGCCCTTTTGTATATGCCGTTATCTAATTACACTTTCACGGAGGATACCCCAGATCTACAGCGAACTCTACTTGCCTAGGCCCTGAGAGTCACGACGTAGCGGGGTTAGAAGGCTATTGGATGATAGTAAGGCTGATGCGAGCCGGGTCGGAAGCACTTGCTCGCTGACGAGTCAGAATAACGGTAGCTCTCGGACATCGTAATCTGATTGGTCGAGATATGCCGTTCGGATGTGAGGATATAGTGAAATGAAGTTTGTTCCTATCGCTGGTTTGCAATCCGTCAAGGGAATTACCTACTAACCGGCGAATGGACTGTAGAGTTCAAGTCAAACTCAAACTATAGTTTCGGTGGAAAGAATAGTACGAAAACTAGAATCCCCGCAAAATTGAATTTGACAGTATACAAGTAAACGGCAACTTGTTCCGATAAACATGCGACGGGAACTCGTGGAGGTTGCGAGGCGAACTAGGGACCAAAGAACGGGAAGCTCTTCCGCTACCGAGGGATTGTCCAATAACTATGTAAAGACCGTCGCTATAGACTACTTCTCCTAACAAAAATTGCACAAACTTCTGCACTTCTCAGAATGGAAGTTGGCATTATTGGCTCGGGCATCATTGGTCTTTTGTCAGCCTTGACCCTCACGGACGCTGGCTACAAAGCCACTATCATCGCGCGCGATTTACCAGGCGATGAAACCCAGGACTGGGCAAGTCCTTGGTGAGGCCATTATAATTTCATTTCCAAGTTATTATCTGATGCTAATTATGCTATAATGTTCCAGGGCTGGGGTATCCATCTATCCTCACCCAGACGCTGGTGGCAATTCCCTCCAAACGGAGAATTTCAAATACTTCTGGACATTAGCACATAGAGACCCTACAAGTGGAGTTCAAGTAAGTCTACTGATGTCCCTTTTATAGGCTTTTGAAATGTTTATGCTTAACCTATGTAGGTATTGAAGGCTACCGAATACTACGATGATAGAGAAGATGATTCAAGTATTTGGTATAAAACCGTTGTGCCACGCTACCGCCGAATTCTTGACAACGAGCTACCAAAGGGAGCCAAAGTTGGCTTCACATACACCTCCATGACAGTAAATCCAACATTTTTCCTGCCGTGGATCAAGAAGATACTCGAAGGCCGCGGCGTAAGATTCATTCGGAAGACGCTAAGCTCTATTGAAGAAGCGAGAAAAATCACCGGCTCTAGAGTTATCGTGCACGCATCGGGTCTAGGGGCATTCTCACTTGCTGGTGATAAGGATGTGGAGGCTATTCGTGGGCAGACAATGTTCATTAAAACGGATTTTGATCAGTTGATGATGCATCAAGGCTCTCACTATACGTATGTGATCCCTCGGATGTTCACGAATGGCGCAATCATCGGTGGTGTGAGCCAGCCGGGTAATTCAGACCGTAGTGTGGACGAAGACCTACGCTCTGATATCCTCCGGCGTGTTAAGACGCTTACGAATGGGGCCCTTGACCAGGCTAGTTTGGAGGATGTACAGAAGGACATTGTCGCTTTCCGGCCTGGGAGGAAGGGAGGATATCGCTTGGAAGCAGAGGGCGAAACAGTGCATGCGTACGGATTTGGGAGCCTCGGCTATATTTTCAGTTACGGGGTGGCCTTGAAAGTTCGAGAGCTAGTTGAATCGTTGGTGAAGGAGGATCGAGGCAAAATGAGTCGCCTCTAACGCTTTTTGTCATCATAGATAAGGATGAGTAGTGAGGAAATAGTGGGCAGCTTTCGCCGCGAGTATGAATATTCATCGCACCAAAAGCAATATAAAAGCAGTTCATTGACTGAAAAATATGGAGGGACTGTGTTATAGTGGTGCTCTGAACAGGTCACCAGTGCAAATGCGGCTAATTTATTAACATAGTCCAGTTCCCCCAAGTCTCGCAGATTTCAGCAGTTGTCGTATTGTATCCGGTACCACTGACTATTCTCTATTCATTCTAATGTCAGTCCTATTTTTATATTGGAATAACGAGGATGATGAAGATTAACAGATGACCTTAAATCAAACCATTTTTCTATAACCTTAGTAGAAAGAGTTCAGGCTGGGTGGAAATGAAGCAAGAGATTTACCTAATCGAAATACACCCAAAACCTCAAGGAATCAAGGGTAACAGAAAGGAATAACCCGTAATTCTCACGCTGTTTGTAGTAATCTAAGTACAATTTCTATCAATATTTATGCATAACGAATGTAGCTTAATAGACATCAAAGTTCCTTTCGCTGGAATTTTTATACGATTCATATCTGATGTTTATTTGCACGCTTGCCGTGCCGGCTCTATAGGAGCGTTAAAGGAGAGCCATTAGATAATAAGCAAAGAAGTCTTTTTGAGAATCCTCACGGATACGAAAATGCAAATTGGCTCGTCGCTAATATTGTCAGTCAAGAAATTTCGACTAACTACACCCCATTGGCTCTCGGGACAGCCGGCACTGGCACCTTTGATACGTGCCAAGAATCACCAACTCTGAATCCCTCTGGGAAAGGATCTGTGGGATCAAGGACAACCTGCTGGAAACTCGTAATCCAAGCGCTGCCTTTGACTCGCGGTAGCACTGCCTCATATTCTCCCACTTTGGTCACCCCTCTGATCGAACCAATAAACTCCGTTCCAATAATACTGGTGTGCCGGAATGGCTCCTCCACAGACAGCTGCTTCCTAGCGTATAGCTGAGCCATACGAGCACAGGTACCAGTTCCGCAGGGGCTGCGATCCAAGCGACCGGGTGATACCACGACGGTATTCTGTGCCTTCTTTCCATCCGCACTATCTTCTAGAGGCGCAGTGAAAGCTAAGTTGGTCACACCATGAGTACGTGGATTTTCGGGGTGGACAGGGTGAACCGTTGCTTGAACAGCGCGCTTGATTCGCTCGCCGTATTCAACAATTCGCTGACCATCATCAGGATCCATTTTGAGGTCTGTTTGAGCTATGTCAACGATAGCGTACATCATACCTCCCCAAGCAATGTCGCAAAGTATTTTACCAAGGCCAGGAACATCAACTTCCAGGTCGAGATGGAATACGAATGCAGGGACATTGTCGAAGCTAACGCTTTTACATTTACCCGCCACGCACTCAGCTATGACTGGTACTAATCCGGCAGCAGTATCAAGGGTGAGATCAGTCACTGGTTCCTGCATCTTCACCATGCCCGTTTCGAGCAACGCAGTGGTCGTGCAGATCGTATTCGAACCAGACATAGGAACGTACTCTTCACTTTCCATGATGAGGAAGCCTGCATCGGCGCGAGGGTCACAAGGCGGGAGGATAAGGTTCACGTTGCGTGAAGGCCTGCCGCGTGGCTCGTTGAGCAGTAATAGGCGTAGCTCGTCAGCTTTGGTCCAGAAGTGCATCATTTTGTCGAACATTGTCTTTCCAGGAACATCGAGAACGCCTCCGACAATCACATCTCCTATTTCACCGGCGGAGTGGACGCTGATGATATGGATGGTGCGGCTTGAGAGAACCATAATGTCTATCTAATGCGGTGAGGTGAATTGAATGGTAATGATGGCCTAGATTCTGCGTGGCAATGTGTGTTGATTTATACTCACTGACTTCCAAAAGACCACCTTTCCAGTCCGGTATTGGCTTCTCCTAATATTAAGTTCCTTCACGCAAGTGATCCCTCGGGTTCGACGAAGTAGGCAGGTAGTCCCGCGTATCTCCCTGTTGACTGTTGCGCGTCCATGATTATTTGTTACCATCTAGACATTTAATCATGAAATCCGACGTCAACGCTTACTCGACATATACTCAATGCTAATCTCTTGAGAGAATTGTCTGTGACAATGTGAAAATCGCGGCGTTTGGTTTTATTAGAGAGGTCTATTGGACACCAGGTACGCTGCGAATTCTAATTGGCTGGCATTTCTTTGTGTATTTGGATCAATGCATTTCTATTGGTTTATTGCCTCGGGTGTAGTTCAATGATTGGCTGGATAGTTTAGGTACTGTATATCTCCAAAGGACGAGGCAAGTCCTTCCGATCAACCCACCTGATCTGAGATGTCCACCACGGCCTCTCGCGGCCACTGCCCCTCTGGCATCAAGAGTGTCAGTTTACCGGGCGCAAGTCCCAGAGGAATCACCATGGGCAATTCAAATACTTCAGGATTACGAACTCGCCGACGGGCCCGTCGGTCGCATTCTCTTGGGGGCTGCAAGACATGCCGCCGCCGACACGTCAAATGCGATCAGCGTCGGCCGACCTGTCAGAAGTGTCAGGCATTAGGCGTCGCGTGCGAGGGATTCTCTGAGGACATTAATTGGATGCCTGCCAGGCATCAGAAGTACACCCACACAACGGAAGAAACATTTATTCGTACGACGAGGCGCCACTTATATACAGGTGAGACCCTTGAATGGTAGGGGAGATTCTAGTTGGTCTATCAAGCAGTTAAGTCGTGTCCTAGAACAATCCAGGCTCTCCATGAACACTGCCTTAGGCGCAGGCTTGGTTTCAGGATCTATTGATGCATCATTAGAGGAGATCGAGGTGCGACTGAATGATCCCGAGCACACTTCGCAAGATGAAGTTCGGGTCGGCCCCTTCGCAGTACTTAACATCTCTCTTGGTTCTTGCAAGTTGCATAGCACCCAGACGGAATCTACTGTGGAGGCACAAAATGTGCCTGATAATACCAATTTCCCCACCAGCGATATGCTTCCGGGAGTCAGCAGTTTCTCGTCGGTGGTAGATCCTCTCTCTTCTTTGGACGATACTCTACACTTTTCAGACCTGTTTGGTTTCAATTCCGACCTTCTCGGGATCATGTTTGAAAATCTCCCTGAAACGGCAGATTGCCTGTATCCTGAATGCTTTCCTCTCCTGCCTATTTCCGAGACCTCGGCAAGCAATCCAGCATTAGTCCAAGATGGGACTGTAACGTTCACAGGTCAGGCAGATTGCACTCAACAGACTGACATGGATGCAACCATATCGCGACAGGACACTCAAAATACTCCAGTATTGCAATTGGAATCGTCACTTGATTTGTTGGCAGATGCGCCGTTCTTGCTGAAGAATTTTCGGGAGAACGTGATTCCTCTAATGACACTCATCCCCCTTGGCAAAAAGACTCCATGGGAAATAGTGAGCCTACCAGCTGCCATGTTGACTCTGGGTGAGTTGACGATTTTCAAGTCTGAAGATATCAGTCACGCTCGTCGAGCTCATTTTCACGTTCTCCTGGCCCTTTCCGCCATGCACCTGACATTGAATACTTCCCGTGAAGCAGTAGCCTCGACTGAGCACTGGATGCAAATCGCTGGGGAAAATCACCGTCAAGCCAAGGTCCATATGCAAATGTCACTCCGGGAAGAGATCAGCGGGTTGAAAAAGGCAAAGGACAAGGATCAATTCATGGCAAGTTGTGCAATGGCCGAGTTTGCAGTAAGCAGTTCATCATTTCTAGTGAGCTGATCACAGTGCTGAGTTTTTCAAGATTTTCTCCGGGCTTTTCGTTGATGCAAGATGTCACCTGCTCGACGCAGAACGGCTTCTGCGTCTCCGTGGACTGGCGAAACCTAGAACATCCCGCAAGATGCGTCTGCTTCTGAACGTATATACATGGCTCCGCATAATGGGGGAGAGCACATACGTCCTCCACGACTACCGGCCCTCAGATTCATTGATAGAAGCACTCAATAGCCATTATCGACCTGGCGGACCAAGGACAGTGAACAACTCCTATAATTTGAACCAAGAGGACCACCGATTAGACGACTTTCTTCACTTCACCCCCTGGGACTCTGACAGTGACCTGGATATTGATGAACCAAAAGACCGTGAAATGGACATTCCCGATATCCACTTACAAGATTCACGCAAGTCATCCGAGAGCCTTTACAAACAGGTCTATGGCATTCCGGAGACTTGGCTTAGTCTGGTCTCACAAACAACACGACTGGCCAACGTTATGGAGACCATAAGGGTAGCTCCAATCACAGATTGGCAGAACTGCCAGAAGATCCGGAATGCTCTACACCAACGAAGTGTCCGTCTCGAGAACGTTATAAACTCTTTCAATCTCAAAAGTCTCCAGGCCAGCGAACCTAATCGGCCAGAAGGTCCAAGAGAACTGTATGGATTAATGCTACAAGCCCTCTGCGCCGCTCTGGTCGTCTTTTTCTACCGACGAATTCGCAATGTTCATCCCGCGATTTTGAAGGATCAAGTGGACACCGTGGTTACGACTCTTCTGGCGTTTGATGCCGCGCTTTCACCGAGTGATAGCAAGGGGTCTGGCACATTATGGCCATTATTTGTGGCTGGTTGTGAGGCAATAACTGACCGACAGCGCATCGCTGTATTGAAATTACTGGAAAAGGGAGAAATAAGACAAGGGATTGCACCGTTCACTACCGCCAAGGATATCATGACTGAGCTATGGAGAAAACAGGATGTCCATTTAGCTACCAATCAAGGCGAGTCTGTTCCCACTTGGATTGATGTAGTGCGCGAGCGGCAGATTTGGCCTACGTTTTGTTGAATCATACTCGTAATTTATAGGATATGAGTGTTGGGTTAGTTCGTTCGCGGATCTGTCAGGTAGTAACCCGATTTGCCAGCATCACTAAGAAAGTAGAGACAAGAAAACTAGCGGGGGAGGGAGGGGAAGAGATAGAGTAAGAGTGGGAAATAATAACATCCTCTCTATGAATCGAACCCCCGACCTTCACGTTCCCTATATACTTCACCAAAATGCTCCACCGCGATCCCACGATGCCGAAGTACATACCCTCCGAGACCACACCCACTAAATAACCACCCTCTACACTATCATAATACCTTTAAAATATTATATTTTAGTAGTATATTTTAGATATAGAATAGAAGATATAAGAGGGATCTATCTATTAAATAAAGAAAAATAAAAATAAAAGAAGAAATCGGCGAGCGGGGGGATTAGCCGCTCGCCTACTCTCCCCTTAGGGTGTGCCCGGTCATCCGTGGAGCGATGCTCGACATCGGATACCAGTCAACCATATTTCCCCTCAATTTTCCTTCACAGGGGCACACCCTTGGCCAACCAGGTGGCGCTAAACTAGCTGACCAACTAGGCCATGAGGGGGGGAGATTACCTGGAATAACTGGAAGTTGGTGATAACCCTGAATTAAGGTCCGACTTGCCTTTTCGGTCAGGTTTATTATTTTGCTTCATACCATACTGTATGTATGTACGTACCTTAACTCCACAATATCCAGAGCTGACATACTTTTTAACCTTTTACCTTTTGGTTCGCTGTGGGTCCGAGTGCCCACTGTACCGAGGATATGACGTTGCTTATCAAGCCCGCGCTTCGGCGTTGATCTCGTTGCCGAACCCAAAATCTCACGCCTGCATGTAGTCAGCGAACTCGCTTTTAATAATTCCCGGGTTTTCTTGGTAGTGCTTCTAATCTCGCGTATTCGCTCTTATTCTCCTTGGTCAGCGAGTGCCGAAAATGCCAAAGCTGAATAATAAGTATAACTCACATTCTTGCGGGGGAGCATACATTAAATAAATATGATCTAATTTCGAGACTCTGGCCATCATCACCCCAACAATCATCTCAGTCTACCGACCTAGACAGAACAACTTCTTGCTTAAATCGGATTCCTGATCCTCTTCACTCTCATACAATGCCCGCAATTCTCATCACTGGGGCCACCGGTAAACAAGGTGGTGCTCTTATCAAAAACCTCGTTCAGAAGAACTCCCCGTTCCAGATCCTCGCCGTTACTCGCAACACCGAGTCGCCCTCTGCGCAAAAGCTCCTCAAGGAGTCGCAGAATATCAAGCTTGTACAGGGTGACTTGGATAATCCAAGCGAGATCTTCAAAAATGCCCAGGAACAGATTTCGGAGCCAATTTGGGGTGTATTCAGCGTTCAGGTATGAATAGCCTCGTCCCCATTCTATCCAGTGATATCCTCCAGTCACAGAATACTAATCCAATTACCATTATAACAGGTCGCCATCGGAAACAAATCCCCCGAAGATGTCCAAGGCAAAGCCCTAATCGACGAAGCTCTCAAAAACGGCGTCAAGCACTTCGTTTATACCTCCGTCGATCGTCACGGCGAAAAGTCCATCCAAAACCCAACTAACATCCCCCACTTCATCAACAAGCATCGCATCGAGAAACACCTCATCGAAAACACACAAGACGGTCAAATGGATTGGACGATTCTCCGCCCGACCGCTTTCTACGACAATCTCACACCAGACTTTATGGGCAAGGTCTTTGCGACGTCCTTCAAGACGTCGCTGAAGGGGAAGCCGTTGCAAATGGTCGGGTGTAGTGATATCGGCGCGGTCGCGGCGGAAGTTTTCCTCAATGCGCGGGATTACAAGGGTCGTGCGATTTCGTTGGCCGGTGATGACTTGACGTTTGAGCAGTTTGCGCAGATCTTCAAGGAGAAGACTGGTCAGGATATTCCGACTACGTTTGGCTTTGTTGTTGCTGGTATGTTGGCTCTGGTTAAGGACTTTGGGAACATGTTCAGGTGGTTCCATGATGAAGGGTATGGGGCGGATATTGAGGAGGTGAAGAAGATTCATCCTGGGTTGAAGGACTTTGGGACTTGGTTGGAGACGGAGAGCAAGTTTGAGAAGAAGTAAACTGGGATTGATACGGAGCGATGGGAATGTTAGAGGGACACGGATGATATGAAATAATTAGATTTAGATTTAATGTTAATAATACATGTTTTCAAAAAGAGAATTTCCCAGACCGATCTCCCTTTATCATCGCAGTCATTAATCGTCAAATTGAGTAGCTATTTTATCTTCGGTTCGAGCGCATTAGATAATGTCGCCGCCGAACCCACCTCCAAATCCACCAAAGCCGCCTCCACCAGGTCCTCGTCCTCGGCCGGACGGAGGCCCAAAGCCAGGTCCGGGCGGATCATAGCGCGCTCCAGGTGGTGCACGAGGATCATAACCACCACCCGCACCACCAGTGCCTCCGAAGAGGGGGTCGTCAAAGGTTGGATGCATACCACCACCGCTACCGAAGCCCGGACCCATCGTTCCACGTAGCGGATCATTCGGTCCTAGACCGGCAGGATAGAGATCACGCTCGCCAATGTTATACGGGTTTCGACCGCCAGGGAAGCCGGGTGGGAACCCACGTGGTGGACGGTTGATCTCGAACTCATCCTCGAACCCTGGGGGAGCGAAATCGCCTGCCGGGTTTGGTTGTCGGGGCGCAGTGGCTAGAGGATCTTCAAATGGATATGGGCGCGCAGGTTGAGGAAGGGAGTCATCGCGAAGGCGATCGCGCTGGCGCGAGGCCTCGGGTTGTTCCCGTGTGGCCCGACTCGGATCCTCGTAGCCTTCCTTGTATATTCCTGGCGCGAGCTTCTGTATAACATTGATCTTGAACAGCCCGATCAGGTCATTTAGACGAGCTGTTGATATGAAAACGTCGCGGAGGGAACCGGTGAGGTTTTCGGTTTGTGAGAGTGGCAGCGCAGATGCGGAGATGTAGTCTTTGGTGGGGATGTCGAAGGAGCTGGTGCGGTCATCGCCCAGGGCTAGCGCGAAGACCACGGCATTATTTCCGAGACGGCTCACTTTGAGCAAGTATTGCATCGAGGATTGCGGGTGCGCATATCGGAAGGCAAAGGTGGAGTTGGCATTCCATTCGGCGGGGAGGGCGGGGGACTCTGTTGATGAATCTGTCGAGATGTTAGCGATAAACTGTCAACTCTAATTATGCAGGAACTGAATGGTGTACCAACCTAAGTTGTGGTCTTCACCAAGTCCCACTAGCCGAAAGTCCACCGCTGCCATGCAGGCATGGCCGATCAGAGCCACGGCTTCATATGGTGTTTGGAGACTCGGCTGGCCGTTGCTGAGAGCTTTGGCTGCGAGGTCTAGGACGTTGTCCGGGGTCAAGGAATCGGTTCCTGCCATGGTGAGATGCTTTTTGTGTTCTTTTGCTGCGATCAAAGTTGCAAGAGTGAATAAGACCAACAGACGATTAAGTAGTTGAGAGGCCAGGCAGCTGGTGGTGATGCAATAAGAGCCGCCCCACGGATCAACAATGATCCCGATGCGTGAAGTATACACAGCCTCTTCCGTTCGCCTTGGGCATCAACAGCGCGAATCTAGACAAACTGGAGGTTTAACGAGTGACTCAAGTGCAGCAATCTAAACAAAACAATGATTGTAAGGCCCTTTAGCTCCAATGATTTATGTATGCCATTTAGAAATATCGACACGAACGAATCAAACCGAAATGTCAAAGCATTGCATCAATTCATGATATTTCCCCCGAGTACCGAGCGCCAACGCTATCGCCAACGCCATCGTCGCCTTGGAAGACATTGAAAAGAATATCAAAGATCATGAAAGATAGAAACAGTAGAGCAAAATGAAAAAAAAAATGAAGATCCAACGCTAAGCGCAAGAAGAACGGCCAAGGGATTCAATCAAATCTGCCCTGTCCCAATGAACAAGTCGGACATGGGCATTGTGTTTGTCCATGCGCCCAAAAGTCTTCTTACATTCGGGACATTTGAGCGCGTCCGGGGAAATGTGGGTCGAGTTGATGTGTCTCCAAAGGCTGGTTTTGGCTTTGAAAGTACCACGAAGGGTACATACACCCTTGCCATTTACACTTGAAGGTGATGGGTTGGTTTGCACTACTGGTTCAATAGTCAGAACAACTCAGTATGGTGTTTTGGGGTGTCCGGGACGACCGGGTGTCCGAGACGGCTGGGAACTACGTTATACAGGGGGGCCGCGAGGACCTCCTGTTGAGAGACCTCCAGAGGTGAGGCGTTTCGTCACTACTGTACGGAGTATGCAGGGTGTGATTATTGATCGCCGGCGTTCACTTGGGCTGACCGGAGGCGGACCAGTCACAATACCGAAATGGTTGGCTTGGTACCGGCTGCCCAATTACAATTCATCACCTCCTCGTCTTTGTTACAGTACATTACAGCACATACAGCTTCTAGACTTGCTCCACATGGCTTAGCCATGCTTCATCACAGCCTCAAAACCCAATGCCCAATGTTCAATACTAATTGTGACACACTACTCCGTACGGACATACCACCATATAGTCACCTGATGAGCTTATAGGATAGGATGCATATGGCAAGATATGGAGTAGCATCTCACCGCTTCTCATCGAAGGGGTGAGCGCTGTTGAATCAACAACTAGGGGGTTGTCCCATCTGAAGTAGGTATAGCGTGTCGAAAGGTAGCCTTTGGAAATAATATTAAGGGTATTATTCCTTGGCGGCCCCGGCTCAATCTCGGGAATGCCCTCGCCCCCTAAGGGTTGAATGGTGAGATTTCCACTCATGGTACTTTAGAGTTGTAGTTTGAGCCACGAGCTACCATATCGCTCTTGTTTATGTAGAAAAGTGCACGAGCGAGACTTTCCACAGCTGCTATTGCACAAACATACTATTTCAGACCGTGATCGAAATACTTTATACCATCTTATTCTTCCAATTGTATTAGCTGCGGGGCCTTGGTATAGTACAATCCTGTAAAAGCCCCAATGCGCGCTCTCTCAGACTCACACTTCTAAAGCATAGACTTGGGGAACTTCTTCATCGCCTGTCTAACACCCAAATCCGCCAGAATCTCCTCAGTTCCGCCCAAAATGGCATCAAACTTATACGTGCGGTGGAACATCTCAATGATCTTACCCATGCCGCTTTGCGTGATACCACGGCCACCGAAGATGTTGGTAGAGTGGTCGGCGATCTCCTGGGCGGCGCGGGTGGCATGCGACTTGAGCAGACCGATAGGTCCGCCGAGGTGGGTGGCTTGTTCGGCGTAGGTCATGTTGCACATTTGGTAGGCGATGGATTCGAGCCAGGCTTGGTTGGACTCGGTGAGGGAGATCATGCGGGCGAGTCTGAATCCAGAATGTTAGAGTATACGAGTCTGTGGAGTTATAAGAGAGTGCATCTCACTTCTGGCGGATGACGGGTTGCTCAACGAGCTTCTTGCCAAAGACGATGCGCTGGTTGCACCACTTGAGAGACTCCTCGACAATAGTCATAGACATGCGCACAACGGCGGCGACCATCATGAATCGCTCGTGGTTAAAGTTGCTCATGATCACGATGAAACCCTTGTGCTCTTCGCCCAGCAGGTTGCCAACGGGGACCTTGACGTTCTCGAACTGCACAAAGGCAGTGGCGGCGGCGGTTGAGTAGGAGGTCTTGATCTGCTTAGTCTCGACACCCTCACCGCGAGGAATCAGAAGGACCGAGAAGCCCTTGTCAGTCTTGCAGCCAGTCACGAAGTAGTCGGCGAACATGCCGTTAGTGATCCACTTCCTGCAGACATATTAGTTACCGCAATCTAATCATAGGAACTAGGTTTACACTCACTTGGTACCGTTAACAACATAATACTTGCCATCTGGCGTCTTCTCAGCGGTGGTCTTCAGACCAGCGACATCCGAGCCAGCAAAGGCCTCGGTAATGGCGAGACACATCTTCTTCTGACCAGAGAGGACCTCGGCGGTGACGCGCTCCTTAAGCTCCGCGTTGTGCAACCACTGCTGCACAGCGGTAAGCGAGATAGCCATACCGGCCATATTTCCATCCTGGAAACCACGAGCATTCGCCCGGACCAACTCCTGTGTGACAATCATGTCGTGCAGATAGTCAAACTCCTTGCCGTCAACAACACCGCCGAGCAGCGAGCGACCATGTAAGTGCTTGCCGGGGCCGAGTCGCATAGCCAGGACATTCGTCTCGGCCATACGGTTGATCAGCTCCTGGCTGATATAAGTGCCATCCCTCTCCTTCTCCTGGGCCTCGGGTGTGACGTATTTATCCGTGAATTCGCGGATAGCCTTCTGCAACCGGCGGTGGCTCTCCTTGTAGTAAGGACTCTTGAACTGAGGGCGCAGCCACATAGGCTCCGCATAGGGGACGGGGCTCAAAGCGCCGACCTTGGGTTCGATGACCTCGGGCTTCTCGCCTTCGATCGTGCCGATGCATAGCTGGTCGCGGTACTTCTCGAGGACTTCTTGTCGGTGGAGGTTGTAGAAATCGGTGGTGGCATCTTGGCCGGCGACTTGGGCCAGGACGACGCCGCCACCGGGGTGGGCGTCGACAAAGTCGGTTAGGTCATATACGCGGTGGTCGATGATGCACCAAAGGGAGTCCTCGGTGTTGTGCTTGGCGACCTCAGCGCGGGTGAGGGTTTGGGCGGGCATGGTGGATGAGGAGAGGGGGGTATATAGGTCGGTAGAGAGGGAAATGAAGACCAAGATAATCAGCTGGCTGACGACTAGTTAAAGTAACCAGGTGCCAACCACCGCTGGCCGGACAGGCCCATGGCTAGCAACATCACTGGTATTCCCCAGGTTTTTGGCGGTCGCCAATCATGATGGACTTGATTTTCAGCCGAGGCCCGAGAGGAGGGTGAGTAATCAATGATGAAACGATGCTGGCCAGTCAATTTGCGGAAGTCAGAAATGTGATCCACTCGGAGCGGAGGTTAGCAACGGACGGTCTAACTTGTTCTGGTACCCGTCAGACCATCAGCTGGTTACTTCCGAGGTACGATCGTCTAGTGATCCACATGCTTGGAGAGAGCGAATAACTAGCAGTGGGATGGTCATCTTGGTTGTTTGAGGAGAGGCTATGTTGTATAAAGAACTTGGGTATGCTCTCAAACTATGCTCGAAGAGTTTTTACACACCTTCGATATAAACCATTCTCTTGGAGGTCTTCTTTAAGATGGGTCTCAATCAAGTTACGGACTGGGGAATAGGCATCAGTAATTCAGATATAAGCCAAAGATTGATTTTATACTTGGTCTATGAATATCAAAACGTGTGAGGCAGTTCTCGTCATATCGAGGGGATATCTAGTCAAAAGGACTCTTCGAAGGTTACTGTCTGGTGGTAAGGGTGAGGTAGTGGTATGAGAGTGACGGCGATGACTCTATATCAACTGCATGCCTACAGTCAAGGCCAGAAAATACTCCAGAGAAAAGAATCATAAAAAGAAATCCTGTCGAGCCCATGAATCGAACCCTTGACCTCCACGTCCCCATACATAGCCGCGAACGAGTATCCTCGATGCTGAAAAGCTTCATCCCGATCTAAGCACCAACAAAGAAACACAACAATGCAGGCCCCAACAGACTTTGAAAGCCTTGAAAATAGCATCGATGTATCGCCCTGAATTAGCTGATCCCAACGATATAAAAATCCTTTTCAAAAAAAAAATATGCCCCCGGTGCCCACGTCTTCCTCACCCAACTGCTGGGGAGCCGCTCCACACCAGCTTCATGACGAACTCCTGGCAGCCGGCCAGCCATCACAGCGGCAAGCTGACTCAGTGGTCAAGTTAAGGTTGACACAGTTGCCAACTAGACCACCGGCGAGGAAGGTTGCTTTTTGGAACTGGAAGTAATCCTTGACCCTTCAGGTTCGTGTACCTGCCTTTTTGGTACTGCCCTTGTTGAGCCACTCTCTTATTCTTTTAACTGCAAATCCTACTCGACGAGATATCACTGTCTCATTTTATCTGCTACGCTTTATGCTTACGCAAGAATAAATACTCGATGAATCCTCCAGCCAGGGAGAATGCTGGCACCGGTGCACAGCCAATGTTGTTTAGTATCGGAATGAATACATCAACCAGATATAGAAGTAGGGATTCTGCTGAATTGCAATGACAGTGTGTATCAATAATCTATATCCTATGTACAAATCCCAACCGCCAGCACTCGCGTAACGATGTATCATAACAAGACTATGGCCGGCGTCCAGCACCCGCCTGCGCCTGTTTCACCTGGATCTTCTGCATCGCCTCCTCCACCAACCATAAACAAACGGGCTGTGCATCCGATCCAATACGCCAGCTACCCAGGACAACGCCCTTTTGCTCGAGGATATCACTTGCACGTTCCCACCGACGGCGCCAGAGTTCTTCTCGTTTGTTCGGGAGGGGTTCAGCGGCGCTGTAGTTGTTGTAGCTGCTTGTGGATGTGCGGCCGAGGGATTGGTTTGATGCGGAGGTGCGGAGATTTTGCGCTGGAGAAGCAGAAAAGTTGAGTCGTTCCGTAGCGTAGTTGAGGGCTGCTTGGGCAGCGGCGCCAGCAGCAGCCGGGTATGATTGTTTGGCGACCGGTACTGCCTGTCGCGGTGTTGATGCTCCGCTAGATCCGGAGCCCGTGGTTGAGGAGGCAGTGTTTGACCGTCGTGGAGGGGGAATGGGAGGCGGTGCTTTGGAGCGAGACGGTAGACTTGGATTACCCTCGTTGGTAAATGGCTCCGTGCGAGAGCGAGAAAGTGGCGGAGACGTATCCAGGTCGATGAGTGAATCCGTCTTGGCTGCGAGACGTCGAGGCGGCAGGGGAGGAACTGGCTTGCGGCGAATGGTCTCTTGAGAGAACGATTTCTCATGGGTTATGACGGGGTCAGGAACGTCACCAACCCCATATGTCGTCCTGAGTGAAGACGGCTTCGTCGGCTTGCCAGGAGGCAGCCGTGGCTTCGACGCAGTGGGGATTTCTGGCGCAGTACTCTTCTCCTTCGGGTTATCGTCGCTGAGATCGATAAGATCCTCACTTTGAGAGCGCTTCAAGTCGACGCCGGGAGGAGGCGCCAGTGGCCGGCGAGGCGGCAGTGTGGGTCTGTTCGCAAAGGAGTCCGCATGGTCGACGAGCTGAGGGGTAATACGAGTCCGAGTGGGCTCCGATTCCAAGTGCTCAACGGCTTGATCAAAGAATGGCTTCTTGTCCGGCGTGGTAACGTCACGGATGAAAATGCCAAGAATGCGGCCAGGGTTGGCGAGGACAATATCAGTATAGACCTCGAGGTCAGCTTCGCCGCTATCACCAACGAGAATGAATTTACGCTCAGGGAAATCCCGCATGATCTGCTCCAAAGAGCCTCGTTTGCGCTCGGCGGTCGGTTCAAATATGCCTTGCAACATTCCCGAATACTGCTTCAGATGGAACGAACCAGGTGGCAGGCCAACTTGCTTGAAGTATCTCTCCAACAGAGGGTACAATTGCCATGGGGCGTTGGAGACATAGTGAATCTCCACGCCTTTCTTCGCCACTTGCGTATACCATTCGCTGACACCGTCAACATTCAGCTCCGCCAACTCACGCACAAAGGTGTTTCGGAACATCTCCTTTGCGCCACTAGCGATGGCAGAGTGCTTCACTGTATCATCAATGTCACTAATCAAGCTGATGCCCACCGGCTCGATAATGTCGATCGGTTTCGCCGCGGACAAATCCTCTGACGCAAGTACTCGAATATGAGTTGGGACAAAGGGCATAGCAGCGCGAAGATTGAAATGTCCCGACTCGTCTGTAAGAAGGTTCCGGGACTCGCTCTGGTCTTCATTGAAAAAGAACACCGTTACCGGCATACCAGCCATAGGGTTCGTCAGGAACGGTCGAAGTCTTTCCATCAGATGGGCGTTGGCCATGGATATCTCGTCCTTGGTCAAGGCCGCAGCTTGGCCCACGGCGTTGCTTGTACCCGTGCCAGGCCTTGTCCGGTCGACATTCGAGCTTTTCCATGCCTGATCAGCATCTTTCTCCGCGGTGTCCACAAGAGTCTGCATCTGTTTGTCCACGAGCTCATCCTCGCCTTTGTTAGGCACTCGGTCGTTGCCCTCATCGGCTGTTGCACCAGAAGGAGCTGGGATTCCGCTCAGTGTTCTGGCCAGCTTGATCATCAGACGGTGCTTGCGACTCATCGGACCCCGACTAGGCGCATAGATCCAGCCACGCACGTCAATATCGACGACCGCATTCTCCAGGTAAGGGTCTTCCCAACTATCGCCGGTAGGGGTTTCTCTCGTCTGATATACCGCGGTATTCATCAATAGTCTCAGACCACGAATCACGTCTTCGTGGCTCATCCGCCTCGCGCTTCTTCTTCGGATCCAGACGTCTTGCGTAGCTGGGGAATAGGACCATCTCCTCATCGCCCGACCGTGCAATCTCCACATCCGGAAATGCGCCAGGTGTATTATAATAATCCTCCTGAGGCTCACCCCGCTGGCTGGTCCATCGCGACGCATACGCCTGGCCAACCTCGTTCGCAGCCTTGATCCACTCATATGCCTTCTTGCGACGGCTACTCTGGGTAACACCATCCCCGCTACCCGTTCCCCATGTGGATGCCATCGAGTCCGTCACAGCATCTTTCGCCCCGTCCGGGGTTCCTACTCGAGTGGCTCTCGCACGTCTGGCAAACGGACTGCCGGTTGTAACTGTACTAGTCCTCCAGCCACGTAGCAGTTGTCGTCTTGACCCAAGAAGAGACGCGACGAAGCCCCCGCCGAGTCTGCGATTGCGTGCCGCGAGCCGCGCCTGCCGCTTGACGATAGCAAGGTAGATGCGCGATTGGGCCCGGTGTCGAAGCGCGGGGAGGGCCTCGTGTCGGATATTCCAAAGGCGACTTTGTGCGCGCCGAGTTGCCTGGGGACCGACGAGGATGCGAAGGAGGGACGAGAGTCTGCTAGGGCGGGCCGAAACGCGCGAGAGAGGTTTCCACTTGGAGAGCAATGAACTTGCGGTGGGTGTCCGCCTGAAGGGAAAGAGTCTTGACCGAGGGACTAGCCAACGAAAGTACGGTTTGGGAGCCAGGATTTCTTGTAGGGTGGAGGGGTGCTAGGTGGTGGTGCCTCGCTGCGAGGGGACTCGGTCCTCGGTCGAGTCGAGATAAGTATAGACTGACACGAAGAACGTACTTCAGTAAAGAAGCCCGATAGGTAGATTGATCAAGGCACTCACAAAGTAGAAAAATCAAAGAGGCAGCTGATGCGGGACGCTAAAGATATGTGGACTGGTCTGACGGAGCTGAGACTCCGAGATGTTTCCCTGTCCCTGCGGGGAGCGGAGCCGCCATGACGCCAGCTTGTTTCGGGTCAACTCACGAGCACAAAAATATGAGAAGCTCTCCCAGTCATGCAATAACGATGGTTTCTTGAGAAGACTTTCTTAGAAAAATTATTACTCGTATGATAATTCCGGTCAATGTGATTAATTATGCTCTCGTCGATACCACTTAGGGATATGTACTCCCGTACAGATCGACCAAAGCCCTAGGAAAATCTCAAGGTCATCATATCAATTGTGAATGAAACAGTATACCATGAGATAGTGCATAGGCCATTGAGGAACACAATCAAAGATAATTAGAAAACCCATTCAAAAGTAAAGAAGGTGAAGCATATCTCCAGATCTACAAACTATGGCAAAGACCAGTGCAAATGGTGCAAACACCTCATTCGCACTCCAACCATCGATAAAGTGTGAGAATGCCACGATCTTGTTCAATCACAGAGACAGCATCTTGATTGCTCCAGCCCGGAGGTATGGAATGTGATGAGACTTTGAATTAGCCACATGCCTTCCCAAGGGCCATATTTTGGCATCTCGTGACACCCTTTGGACGTTCTGACCTCCCGCCACCCGGAGGCTCATTATAGATGCCCTTGCGAATTTCTACAGGAGGTTATCGTTGATTTTCATTCTTTCGTCGAGTATCGCAGTGCGATCACATTTGACGGTATAACAAGCCAGTGGAAGGGGTGATGGGCCGACCACCGTCTCTTGTCCCGCCATGCAGATTCTGTCAGAAGCAGTTCAAGCGACAAGAGCATCTACGGCGACATGAACGCACACGTAAGAGAGACCAGATTCCGATTGAATATCATGGTTTCAATTGACTTATACGTTTGCAGACACCCACGAAAAACCTTTCGTATGTGAATGTGGCAGAAGCTTTGCACGACAGTAAGCTTGACTCCAATGACGCTTCATGGTTGCCTCATTCTGACCGTCTTCCAAGAGATATGCTGGCGCGCCATATACGACTCTCTCTCAAGGATGGTCACGGCCATTCATATGTGGCTGCAAACAACCCATCCTCGGTGACCGAGCCAGATGGTGAATCTCACGACTCTCTTGAAACTCGAGAGCTTTCTTCATCCTGCCCACCTGCTGTCCAAGTTGGCGACGAGGGCCTGTCAGCCCAACTAGACCTCGCGGGCCACTCAGCTAGCATGGGTTCCATCCAAAATTTGCCATGGAACGAAGACGATGCTCTAGACTTTCTCTGGGACGACTCGTTCCCATTTTCGGAGGTTCTGCCCGCAAGGTTCTTTGACACGAATCTCTCTTTGGTTGATATTTCTCAGCAATATCAGAATTCTCACCTAGGGTTTGAAGAGACATCACAGACAATTGACCAAAGACGCCCAGTCACCGATAGCAGTCTGCGTTCAAGCGCAGCACATATTTCAGCAGCTCCAATACGGCCATCTTTTCCCGAACCGCAGCACCTTTTCATAGAATCAGATACAACCCGCGAAGCTCCTTTGATAGCCGCTGTTGACGAAATAGACCCTTCTCAAAACCGTCAATTGAAAGGCAACTTTGACCCTTCTATATGCCCTTGGAAAATAGCGCCCTCGGATTACGCAACGTTCTCCCAGGACATCAAGGAGCTCAGCCATTTGCTTCCTGAATCGTTCTGTCTGCCGTCACGGCATACTTTGTCTCGCTTCTTAGAGGGATATTTTCGTGGCTTTCACGATCACATGCCATTCATACATATTCCCTCCTTCTCTCTACTGTCACACGGACCGGAGCTCATTTTATCATTGGCTGCGGTAGGGGCGTTCTATCGCTTTGAAAATGCAAAGGGGTATACGATTTATCATGCTGCACGAACACTCATCAATCGGCGTCTGGAACAACGCGACAGGTACACAGTTTCAAATTTGACGAAGGCTTCCCCTGGCTTTGCAGGTACTTCGAGTACACACGATGGACCGCAGAGTTTCGCTACCAGCAATGAAAACGAGATATCCCAGACTTGCTCTCCTGAAAACGAAAAGCGCAATTCTTTACGTTTGTTGCAAGGGCTTATCGTTTTGATGACATTGGCATCGTGGGGTGATCGTTCTGTTATAGGAGACTCACTCGCAATGTCCGGCCAAGTCGCCTTGCTAGTACGTGAGCTCGGCATATCTGCATCTGGCCCGGGCCACGAAACATCCTCCTGGCAAAAATGGGTCGAGCAGGAGGAACACCGCAGAACGTTATGGGTGGCTTATTATCAGTTCAACTTGCAAAGCATCGCCTTTAATGTGCCACCAATGATTCTGAACCAGGAAGTACTGTTGACACTGCCAGCTTGCGGAGAAGAATGGAAAGCACGCGATGCTCAAGAATGGACACGCATGCGAACTTTTCATACGCCCGATTCAAGGAACTTCCAGCACGTTTTGGGACAACTCTATCAAGGCCATCAGATCCACAAGCCAAACGCAATTTCTGCCTTTGCAAATTATGTTCTCATCCACGGCTTACTGCAAGAGATCTTCTTTGCCCGCAATACAGCTTCTTTCGAGGAACACAAGAGATCTCTCCTAGCAGGCTTTGTACAAACAATGGAATCTGCGCTGCAGGCATGGCAGAATTCCTGGGAAGCCACCTACGAATCAACTCTCGATCCTTTATCACCCCGAGGACCCCTAGGATTCAACGCGACGGCGCTTGTGCGCTTGGCATATATTCGTCTCAATTCCAATATAGGGCCCCATCGCCAGCTAAATACTCGGAATCCTACGGCGATAGCGCATGCGCTCCTCGATGGTAGGACTGCGGTCTACCAACGATCTCCATATCTTGATCGTGCCGTTCTCCAATGCATTCATGCATTGAGTATCCCAGTTCGCTCGGGGATACATTTCGTTGCACGCACTAAACTACTGAATTGGAGTATGCAGCATTCGCTCTGCAGCCTTGAATGTGCATTTCTTCTCAATCACTGGTTGCAAGAGATCGCCCTTTGTATCGAAAGGTCAGGGGTTGAATCAATACGCGATGACGAGCGCAAGCTTCTTCGTATACTATATTGCCTTGTTCGAGAAGCCGACCTCACTGAACTCCCAGATTGGGCGGATGACAATGCGAGTGCTGTTCGTCGTTTGGCAGCATGCACCGCTAGACTTTGGGCCGAAACCTTCAAGGGATTTCATATTTTCCAGATTTCTGACGTGATTGGAGAGAGTCTCGAAATTATTGCAGGTATTCTTGAGGTGCGGGTAACACCTTCTACTTAATATGATGATACAATATTTGAACGGAGGTGGTCACTGTGGCGGCCTATTTGATGCACTAAATCTTCAACCTAAAATATAGCTTATGGCTAGTACTTCCTCCCGGAAGTATTGAGACTGAAAGCTTCTCTATTCCGAGAAGTGTCTATCCATGAATAATCACCTGGATAAGATTCAATCAAGCCCACTATGGGCCTCTCCAGCGGTTGGGCTTGATATCGATGCAGTCACGCAGCCCTACAAATAATTCAAGGCCCACCAGACAATTTCTCATACAAAGGTCCAAACTCCGCATACCACTTGTCCACTATATCCTGGCTCATTCCAGGGGCGATCATAGTATCCCCACGCTCGAGGCCGGTGATGAAATATTGCAGGAATTCCTCCACGGATAGCACGTTGGGATTCTTGTGCTTTTTATTATCATCTGGGTCATCTCGTTCCCGATGCAGATCAGTCGCCACGGACGGAGGAGCAACTTCAACAACCTTGATCTTTTCGTAACCTCCGCGGGCAAGCTGTGACCGGAGGGTCATTGACCAAAAGTGCAGCCACGCTTTTGTTCCGTTATACACCGGGTTGATCACGGAGAAGGGCACAAAGGCAAGGATTGACGAGACGTTGATGATAGTCGCGCCGTGCGGTTTGCCTTTGAAATGCTCTAGAAAGCCGAGCGTCAGATGCATAGGACCACGGACATTGATGTCAATCTCTTCGTCTGCTTTGAGCAGGAAGTCGGCCGGTTCGTCGCGAAGGACCTGGAGAGGTCGCTGAACTCCTGCGTTGTTGATTAAGCAATCGACTTCGGGGTATTTACCGATGATCGTGTCAATGAATGAAGGAATTTCGTGGGTCTTTCCCGTGTCGAGGACAAAATAGTCCGTAGCACCGATTTCTTGAGCGGTCTGGCGTAGGTTACTCTCTGTACGGCCGACGATGATGACTTTTTTCCCGTTCTTGAGTAGGTAGTCTGAGATAGCCCTGCCAAGGCCACCACCACCGCCAGTTACCAGGGCGCAGGAGAAAGAGAGAGCTGACATGGCTGCAAAATGTTGAATATGAGTTGCAAGAACAAGCGGGGTTGAAGAATATTAATAGTTTAGCTGATTCTTCAACAGCGGTCCCATAGAAGAAAAATTTCTAGATCCCGATATTACCGAATTTCTACCTGAAATCTTGAAAGATTTTTAAGCTGTCAGGTTTCTCGGCAAGCAGAGCCGTCGTCATGATCGGGATTGTTCAAAAGGTGAACTTGGGAGACATCCACTTCATACTACTCCACGGCCCGAAAGTCGCATTTGTCATCGATGGGGTAGAAATTAGATCTTAGCTTAAGCCTAATTCGGCTTGCTTCCCGAATCTTTCGACAGAGATAAGATCTACAGTAGCGAGATACTCATTAATTTCATTTTCTAAAAGTCTTTTCAGCCCTCTCACGAGACAGATTTAGAATCTCTCAGTTTGCCATTTAGATTATATTGAACAACGTTACCTTGATGTGTAGTCGAAGAGTAGTTTACGATGCAGTTTGCGGAGGGGTGAAAACAACGTAGATCATTGAGTTGGGGTAGAAATTGTGGAGACATATCGGTCTGCTTACTGAATTCACCCCAACTCTCAAAGGTTGTAGCTGAATTAATCATCACGGCATCTTCATTGTTAATTTTTTTTCTCCGGGTAGTCTGGGCATGTGGAAATAAGTTTGAAATTATCTATGGAATGCCAGATAGGATTATCAATCTCTAAATGCATGAAGAAATCTTACTCCGAGACCCTTGCCACAGCTCGAAGTATATAAGTTCGTCAAAATCTCCAACTCCAATCACGATAGTATAGATCAATCTTCATCACTTTCAAGCCATACGCAATCATGTCTCACACAGCCCTCCGTCTCACTGCTCGCGACTCTTGGAACAGTATCCAAGAATTCAAAGAGCCTCGTCCGACAGTTGGCAAACATGAACTCCTCATCAAAGTCCGCAGCGTGGCTCTCAACTACAGAGACATTGCGATCTCCACCAGCAAGTACCCCTTCCCTGTAAGGGATCAGGTCGTCCCGGGATCCGATGCTGCTGGTGATGTCGTTGAAGTTGGCGAAGGAGTCATCACATTTGTGCCGGGGGATAAAGTCGTGGTTGCTTTTGACCCTGCCACTTTGTACGGACCTATGAAGTCCTGGCAGACTGGATTGGGTGGTCCGGTCGACGGTGTGCTAAGAGAGTATATTGCTGTTCCAGCACAGAGTGTTGTGAAGATTCCCGAGTCGTCTACTCTTAGCTATGCCCAGTGGGCTAGTGTTGTCTGCACGGGTGTGACGGCTTGGAATTCTCTTTATGGAAATCTGCCTTTGAAGCCAGGCCAGACTGTTCTTTTCCAGGGTAAGCTAAGTCCAATTACGATGATGATGAATACAGAATAACTAACAGTTCCTCCACCCCACAGGCACTGGGGGAGTGTCAATTACCGGCCTTGTCTTAGCGAAAGCTGCGGGTGCGACTACCATTATCACATCATCTTCCGACGAGAAACTACGCTACGTCAAGGAAAAATACCAGGTCGACCACGTCATCAACTACAAAAAGACTCCCGACTGGGCAAGCGAGGTCCAAAAAATCACCGGCGGCCAAGGCGTTGATTATATCCTCGAGAATGGCGGTTCAGGCACAATCAAACAATCTCTGAGCGCCATCGCGTACGGAGGAATCATTTCCGTCATTGGATTCTTGTCTGCTGCACCCCAGGAGGAAATGCCCGATGTTGCTGGCCTCGCCTTGGGCAAGGGCGCTAACGTCCGTGGCATCATGATCGGATCGAAGCAGATGCTGGAGGACGCGGTTCGCTTCATTGGTAGTCATAATCTGCAACTTCCGGTGGAGAAGACTTTCAACTTCAGTCGTGATGAGGTGATTGAGGCTCTTGAGTACATGACCAGTGGTCAGCACATCGGGAAGATCTGCATCAACCTTTAAAGAAGGCTTTATAGACAGATAGCTCGTGGAGGTGGGCTCGTGTACTTAGTCAAGGATCAGAATTCGAATTGAAAAGCCAAAATTAGCGTTGAGACTTAGGGGGTGATTGTCCAACCCTTCATTATAGCATGTGGACTAATACTTCGAAGAAACATATGACATAATGAAAACTTGTTGATCGTAAAGTCTTGACTACCCTGAATCGAGTGGAATATTCCTAGGACAAAACCAAAACGCCTCCCATGCCAAATGCTGTATAGTACAAAACCGTCTTATCATCCTGTGAACAAACGACAGCAAAGTCCAACTATGCACTCTCCTCTGTATAGTTGACTTTCTTCGCACGACCACTGCGCCGAGTCGACGCCTGAGAGGTAGCCACAGTATCCTCTACTTCAACAGACAGACTGCTCAAGTCCTCCGACTCTGGCGTAGACTCTATTTGTTCGGCCTTTCGTTTAGTGCGGGACTTGGTTGATGGCGTCCGCCGAGTTGGCGTTTTGGGTGCTTTCTTTGCTGGTGTTTCCAGTTTGTCATCCAGATTGGCAGGCTCGCTCTTGGCTTTCTTGGGGGTCGAACGTTTGGCTGGACTTGAAGCCTTGGGTTTCACGACTTTCTTTGCAGGACGGAGCCATTCTTCCATTCCCCTGGGCCAGTAGACTCTTCGATCTGGTCCGCCCATGCCCACTTCTTCCTCGGGGATGGTGCGGGGTGGCGGGACAGATCCTTCGAGATCAACGAAACCGCCATTCTTTTTAGATTTGCGTGGTGGCTTGAATGGCTTGTTCTCATCGGTCCGCGTGTAGGGGATTAGCTCGTTGAGTAATTCATGACCGGGCAACTTGAAGTTCCGCATTAGCTCGAACACGGCTTGTTCCTTGTCCTTGGCCTCAATCATAAGGTCCATCGTAGGGTCACAGGGTGGTAAAGTAGCCACGCGATCGCTGTGCTTACGCCGTTGGCGAGGAGTAATGGCCGCCGAGGTTTGCTCGGAATAATGCATCTTTTGTGTTATATTCTTTCGGGACCAGGTGGCCGAAATGCGATCGTAGAGTGGAATAATGTCTTGCGTGCCTTCGCGCACTTCGCTTGCGTCGAAGAGGATGTTGTGATGATGGTAGTCCAGAACGAGGGGGATATTCAATTCCTCGCAGATAGGGAGAAGATCGTGAACAGTCCAGCTGACATCGTCATTCTCCAGGACAAGTCGATTCTTGATGTCCTGCGACAGCACCGCATAGTTGTCGCGGAAACGGTCCAATGTTGCAGCCTTGTCGCCAAAAACGCCGCCCATGTGCAGAATCATGACCGCATCCCGATCTTGCTGTGGGGGCAGCTTGAGGAGTTGTAACATCTCTGAGTGGTACTCGAGATCTCGATAAGAGCTTTCGACCACCTCTCGCTTGGGAGATCCCAGCTGCGTGAATTGGCCGGGATGAACGGATACTCGATGGCCTAGCTCTGCGACCACCCGGCCCGCATCTGCAAGAACCTCAGACGCAAACGGGGCAAGTTTATAGCCATACTCTTTGTGGCTGGCAAACGGGAACATCTCGCTACTGAGGCGCATGAACCTGATGCCGTATTTGTCATTCCAGCGCAAGAGCTTGACCAAATCGCGCGCATTGGCGAGGCCTAGGGCCTCGACAAATGCTTGTCCACGCGCCACATCCGCTGGCTGTTCAAGGTCTGGGCGATTCTTCGTGGCGTGTGGAGGCTGATCAGGATCTTGTAGTGGATGTCTGTTCTCTAGAATAGAGGCAATACGACATGTGCGCGAGCAGAAAACGGGAGGATTGGAGTAGCGGAGATATGTATTCAGGCAGGCCTGTTATGAATGAGTTAGCATTGGAGCTTTAACAAGCCGAGAGCATCTACTTTGCTCGGTGCAAACATTGACATACGTATCCAAGACGCCCTTTCCATGGCAAAGGAAGGTAGCTAGTGTTCACTGGAGGCGGCCGTCCCAGAGCTTCCTGAAGCTCCTCCGCGTCCACGGGAACATCTTCATCCGATTCTGGATCAAGAGCAGCCTCCGCCCGACCAGCAGACGGAGGGACATCCCCATTCAATATATCGGCCGGCTTTACATCAGCGATCGTTGGATCAACCGCCATGGCCACAGTTTCCGAATCAATGAAGTCGTCGATATCGCGCGCAAGATTCTGTGCAAGGTTGGGAGGAGACGCTGCGACAAGCTTGCGAGTGAAAGTCGAGAATTGCGCCGAGCCTTCGAGGCCATTCAGGCGAATCCAAGGATGATGAATGCGTAAAACCGGTCGAGCCGCATGACGAACATGGGCCAGAAGCAGGGCGGGTGGACTGGCACTCGCCACGGTAATCGATCGATCGGGGGAGATCCGTGACGAGGGGTGGCGACAACCCCCTAGGCCAGAGGTTGGAGGACCAGCATGCTGGATAGGTGGTGCACGCAACAGCCGTGCAAAAGACCGACACATGCAGCAGAAGTGCTACCCAGCCCTGAGCAGGAATTGGAGAGAGAGGTGGTTCGGTTCAGTCAGAATGAGATGGTCAAGGGTTCGCGGCGGGACGATGACGCGCTAATCGCGACCGCGCGACGCGGAGTTGATAGACCAGATTGGATCAATTAGCCTGATTAGCTTTGCTCAAGCATGCACAATTGAAGAGAAACAGACCATCAATGACGTTGTTGAGTTCGCATTCAAAAGAGATTTAACGTGAATAATGAAAACTGATAACTATAATAAGGTAGTACTGGTACACATAGAAGGGGATGATTAAAAAGGTTATCTACGAAATCCAAGACACTTACAATTACCATAAGCACTCCATAGACGTCATTTAAATAAAGATTGAATCAAGGCATGACTATGTAGTATGGTCCGGTAGAAGGGTTCGTAGCAAGACAGCCCTGGTGAGTACAGGGAGTTTATAAGCCTCTCCCACGACGACTATCTTCGTCCAGTCAAATGTATCTCTTGCCTAAATAATAAATCAATTTCCGGGTTAAATGTTAAGCGACCACAGGATTCTGTGCCTATTAGAGGAATCAGAAACGGCAATTTAATTGCATCAAGGGAGTGTAGGAATCCGCAGCTGTCATAGTCATTTCTTGATCTTTACTGCCCGTTCCTGAGCGAGGACAATGCACACCCTGATATAAGATCTAGAAGACATTTGGCCGCGTAGCATATCCGTCATTAGCCCTTCATTGGTGACCTCGGATTCGTGGTATGCAGGTCCCTCCAAGGATAGAACGTTAAGTAAATCACCCCTTTGGACATAACCCCGTTGTGTTCACATCCCTGGTAGCCTTTGTAGGCCATAACAAGGGTTCTGGTCCACCATCTTGAGAAGAGAATACGATTTGAGAGAGGAGGGGCATATTTCACAATAAATAAAGCTCATCCAAACAGCAAGTATCTTTGTGAGAGGCCTGAGGCTGAAGTAGCTACAGGGAAGTAGGGGGGAAGCAAGGCCCCAGGGGCATAGATTCGAACTCTAACCATAGCATAACATGCATACTAAGTCATATATAAACGAAAGGGCAGATCTAGAAGATTCATTCTCGTGAGATATTGCAAGACTGGCCTCGACCAGGATTATCATTCTCAGTCTTCATTCAGCAGATCGAGGATCTTTTACTATATAAAATCATCGTCGAATTCCATGGCAACTGGTTCTCGGAGAACAATTTGCGCGAAGAATGAGGCTTTCCTGGCTGTCATATTTTAGAGGGTGTACGCAATTCATTCCTCTTTAAAGACATGTTGAGTTGGGGCTCTGCGATATGGTTATTGAATACCATTCAAGCGTTGACATCGGTTCACTTTTAGGTCAATTTGATGTCTATTTGACGAGGGCCTCTCTCGTGAGGAACAATTTCTAGCCTCCTCCATCGAATTCTGAACTGTAACTTCCCAAACAATGGACCAACATTCATAGTGGATATCTATTCATGTCGGGCAAGAGCGATGTTGGGTGTACATTCTTCGCGTTGCGAGGTCGAGAACGTAGCCGGGAAACAACAGCGGCCTGAATCGCGGCATGATGGCATCTCCCATTCCTCTCGCCAATGCTGGAGAATGTTGGCAGTCAACGGGCCTTTATTTATACTTGGCGTTGTCGAACTCGTCTCCCCTTCTCGTTCAACCGTCTGTCTTGTGAAAAAAAAAACGCTGAGAAGTTATACCCTGGTGGTTGATTCCTTAGCTACAGACTGTTGGCATTGATATCCATTTCTTCATATACCTCTATCCTATACTTCTTGTAAGTATGCACCAAGGTTGAAATTTGGTCAGACACATTGCTGATAGGCTCCAGGCTACCTCCACAATGAAGGGCATTGCTATTCTCGCTGGCCTACTGGCTACTGGTGCCTCTGCACACATGCAAATGATGAAGCCCTATCCTATCCGCAGTCCTCTAAACAAGGACAGCGACGAGAAGAAGGACTACTCATACACCAACCCACTGAATCCATCCGGTGCTGACTACCCATGCAAGGGCTACGCCAACGATCCCTTCCAGTCCCAGGCCAGCTACGCTCCCGGCCAGACCTATGAGCTAGAGCTTGACGGCAGTGCTACTCACAGCGGCGGCTCTTGCCAGCTCGCCCTGACTTACGACCGGGGCAAGACATTCAAGGTTATCGAGTCCATGCTCGGCGAGTGTCCTATTTCCAAGAAGTATGACTTCCAGATCCCATCGGATGCCCCGACGGGTGAGGCCCTTCTGGCCTGGACCTGGTTCAACAAGGTCGGTAACCGTGAGATGTATATGAACTGCGCTATGGTTACCATCGGTGGCTCTAGTAGCAGTGGAAACAAAACCCAGTCCAGCACGAGCAATGGCAAGAATTCCCACGGCAAGAAGGTCATTGATGGCAAGACGGATGCTGAGGAGATGAAGAACATGAATCACCCGCCTATGGAGCACACCACGGAGCGACGTGACACCACTGATACGACCGTCATGATGGGTCAGTCCAAGACTACCGCATTTAACAGCCTACCTGCCCTGTTCGTCGCCAATGTTGCCCAAACCGGTGGTTGTGTCACTATTGAAGGCGAGGCAGTTGACTTTCCCGAGCCCGGCTCAAACGTGCTGGGCAAGATCGATGGCAGCGGCAAGGGCTACAAGTGCACTGGCAAAGCTCCTTTCCTCCCCAGTGATAGCACTAGCAGCACCAGTAGCACCAGTAGCGGATCAAACACTGGCACCAGCTCGAGCACCAGCAGTACTTCCACTCCCACTTCCTCTTCCAACTCAACTTCGTCTGCCAACTCCTCCAACTCGGGCCCGACCAAGAACAACAGCAGCGCCTCGTCCTCGAACAAGGCCGATGGCAAGGCCGACAACAAGCCTGCCACCACTGCTACCAGTACCGCTACCACTTTGGCTCAGGCGATGTCCATGATTGCCTCGGCCTTTGGTACTCCTTCAGCCGACCCCCGTGTCCTGGGTAGCCAGTCTAACCAGGCTGCTTCCACCAACAATGCCTTCTCCAGCTACGTTGTCCAGTGGACTTGCACTTCTGGTGAGATCTTGTGCTCTCCTGATGGATACAGCTGGGCTATGTGCTCCAACCAGCGTCCTATCTTCATGGGCAATGTCGCTCCTGGTATGATCTGCCACTTGGGCCAGATGGTCGCTTCCGGCTGGTGAGATGTTTTGCTATTTTTGTCTTTGAAGCAGTTTCTTTTCGGCAGATATTGTCTTTGAGCCGACTGGGTCGGTCGAGGCGTGTTCTGGGTTGCGTTTCGTTCTGCTTGCAGGCGCCCTTGGTGTTCGGCGCATGTTTCTGTTTTTACCCCATCGACTGTCATGACCATGATATACGTGTCGGTGGTGATGTCCTCATGTTTTTGATCTTCCTAATGACTGTATCGTAATGGCTTCGTTCTTGTTGGTGTCTCATGTTTTGGAGGCTGGGTTTAGGACCGGGTGTTGGGTTTCAGGGTAATGTCTATGTAGCACTAGGAACAATACAAAATTTTATGTATAATCTTTGCAGCTTCTATCCAACTTCAACTTTCTTATAGAATCGTCATTGAACTGACTAGTATTATCATTATATCCTTACAAGGCCTCAGCCTTGCTAAGCCGGCTGCCAATCACCGTATTTCGCAGCATAATATACAATCACAAGCCAAACATGGTATCTCAGCTCAAAATGGCGTAAGAGTTCATACAATCATCGGCCAGCACCTTAGACACGGTACCAGCCGGCCAAAAGAAGTACAGGGGAGGGCTGGATCTCAAGCAAAAGCCATTTCAACAGCGATCATCCAACCCCCAGCCCTTGCTAATCAAAGCAAGATCGGGCTCGTTTCACAACCACAGGCAACACTTAGATGTTACCGGTGTAGGCAGAGCCACCATAGCCATAGCCATTCTGGGCACCCGTTGCAGGGGTACCGGTGGTGGCTTGCTTCTTCTTGCCCCACGAGCCGAACCAGTTCTTCTCGGGCTGCTTCTCGCCCATCTCGACGTCAGCTGGGGTGGGGTGAGTGGGCAGAGCGTCCAGGCCACCACTGGCTTCGGTGTTGTTCTTCTTGCGGCTCCACCACTTGCGGCTGGTGCCGTAGGTGTAGTTGTTAGCAGGGGAAGGGCCGAAGCGCTTCTCGCGCTTGTGGTGGCGGGCCAGGAGGACCTGGAAGAGGATGGAGATGAGGAAGAAGAAGCTAGAGAATAGGGAGTTAGTATTGGGTCATTATTGGTGATGGTGTGGTGGTGGTGGCGGCAGGACCACAGAGCAGTGTACTTACATTCCAATGATCGAAACTGCAAAGGCGACCTTCTCCAGCTCGCAAGCCATGTGGAAGCTAGTGCCAGCAGAAGTTTTGCTGTTGTTATCGGCATTGCCGTTGCCTAGCGGGGTCTTGACGTTGCCTGAGCACTTCTGGGTACCGTCGCGAGTCAAAATGGCGATCGCGATCATGGCACCCACGAAGCAGACATCGAGAACGACACCGAGGAAAGCGAAGAAGGCGACTCCGCCCAGGCAGCAGACGAAGATTGTGCCTAGAATACCGTATAGAGCACCAGCACCGGATAGACCCTCGACGGCCTTGATCCAGGTGGGGATGTCCAGATTATGGCGGGATAGGACGGCGAGGTAATATGAGAAGATGCCGAGAATGACAGCCGAAGCGAGGAACTGCAGCACTCGAATAGCGAGGCTGAAAAAGCGTAAGACGACTCCGCCAACTCCCATGATGGATGGATAGATTCTTGGTGTATGGGAGAGATGAGAAGGGTTGGTGAAAATGGTTTATTTAAAAAATGACCAAACCCCGCCGAGGCAGCAGGATTCAAGGCCCATTATAAGAAGGCCCAGCGCAATCAGGCGCGACGCAATAGTTGAAGATCAGTGGAGGCCGGCCCCAACGGATCCCTGGCGCAGCATCAGTTCTGAATGGGCGCAGGATAGTCTGCGCCACAAGGCGTGCCTTTTCCCAGCGACTAGCATGGAGTCGGTGATGTCACTGTGCGCAAAATCCAGATGCTTGGCAGGAAGCTGATTTGTGGAGGACCAGAGTTGACGAGGATCGTAGGTCCACTCTGCCGCTTTAAGGCGATGGACTGTTTTTCTGGATTCGTCGGTGGCTGGACGAGGTGGGGACCGCCACTGCATGTGAAGAAATTAAGATGGCAATTTCATTTGACAGGTGTGTTGAATCATGTAACAACAATAGGTCGTCACTTACAGTAATTAGTGTGTTTTCTTCCAAAATAAGAACTCCGTAAATGTAGGATCAGCTGGTAAAACCGATACAGTTGATGAGCCACGGGTTTACAGAGTTCAATAGCGGCACCAGCCACAGTTCTACGCAAATCACTCTAGCTTTTTCCGCTTTTTAAGAGCATCGCCCTGGGAACTAAACTCTATTCGGGTTAATAATTGGTATCTTTGCTACGTGCTAGTCATTCTTCAGCATGCTAGGCATAAATTATAGTCTACACTAACGCAATTTATGCCGACAATAATCTTCACCTATGATCTCCTGACGTCCCAACCCCCCCCAATCAATTATCGTCTCTACAAACTGAGCCTTACGGCAAATCGATTCATGAATGCTGCCCCTACGTGGATATCACCTACATAATGGCTCGTTATGACATGGAGTATTGATTGAATAGGGACCATGAATATTCATGACAATAGATCAATGCATTGTCAAAAGAGGATGAATTATAACGCCTATTCACAGCTAGATCACGCCACGGCCTTCGGAGTAGAACATGAAAACAGGCCCTCATTTCCAATCCTTTCAATCCTCCAACACGGTCGAGCCATTCCCGGCATGGTGCCAAAGTAACACCAGACCTGTCCAAGGGTCTCGGGTGAGAAACAACGAGTATAACACGCAAATGTTTAGAGGGGGGTCCAAGCATACTCGATGACTAGGCTCGACCTTGACCCAGACCCAGAGTGGTCACAGAACAAGTAATATCAAGGCACCGAGAAGGCAGTCAAAGCCCAAATTGGTCGTTAATTCATTAATCATGACTCGTCAGATGCCCTCTTTGACTTCGCATACAAGAGAGCACACACACAGATACTGTTCCCACCAGTGAGTGCGAAGCATCGCAACCTATTCCCAGGAATCGAATACAGCGAGACAGCACTATACTGGCGAGCCTGCCACTCAAGATCCCTCCTGGCGCTGCTGCTCCACGAATGCACGCAGAATCGAGTCCAGACCCTCGTTGCGGCGCGCAAGCAGCATCACGTCGGAGACGTTGACGGTCGATCGCCCGGCATGCCTGTACAGATCAGTTAATGTTCAGTTCATCAAGCCATGAGGTGCAAGATAAAAAAGATTAAGACGAGTGATGTATAGCGACCGAGTTAACTCACTTAGCGAATGATTCCAGGTCCTGACTGACTGTCTCTGTAGATTAGTTAGTGACGCGTCCACTACATAGATCATGGACAGACCATCGGTCTAGTATAATCTATACCAGAGGGGAAAAGCCAGGATATACGTACCAATTTGAGACCAGACCATTTCCGTCAGAGCACCGATGAATTGAGGCGTTGCATTGACGCCTAGCTTGATGGTCTCCTCGTCGACGATCTTGCCAATGGACAGCCAGAGGGCGGACTTGAGGCGCTGCACGGGAGGATTGAAGTCAGCATACCAGGACAAACTACGAGGTCAGAGTGATATACCTCTTCAAGACCGGCTTCTTCAACGTGTTCCATTTTGTGTTCCCAAGTAGATAATATGGATTGGAGTCTTGTCAGTCAAGGCGCGTCCCATAATGATTGGCTGTAGACGCGTGAGTCGGATTAATAGATGTTCCGTGGAGACCCTCCCGCCTTCCGTTTTGGAACTTTTCTGGTGCCTTCCAAAAAGGACAATCGCGGCTCGATAACTGCCGCATGCACAATTAATCGCGCATCCTTCTTTTCTTTTTCTTCTCTCACCTCAAGACTACTTTGAGCTGTCTCTCCTCTTCAGCTCCTCATCCATCCCATTATTGAACTCCTTTTCAATCGCAACATCCTTCTAATTACTCGATCAATTCATTGATCCATCCGCGGCCACCCGAGCTCCCGCATCCCCCGCCGATCCCTCGAGAGCAGGGTCAAAAAAAAAAACAAACACTCCAGCTCGACCACATCCACACCTACATAACATCATGGTCGAAGAACGCTCCGACTTCGGCGACATTGCCGCTGAGGCTGCCTCGGACTTCTTTACACAACTCTTCGGCTTCGTCGACACGGGCGTCCGCCGCTTCTTCAAGAACTTCTACGCCTCCTTCGCCGAGGTCAGCGCCAAGCGCTGGACAAAGGTCGTCGCCAGTGTGATCTTCTACCTCATTCTCCGGCCCTACATTGAGAAGTTCTTCAAATACCTGCACGACCGCGAGCGCAAGAAGGAGAAGGAGAAGAAGGAGAAAGAGCGGGCTGCGCTGGGTGGGAAGAAGGCTAAGATGTCGGCGAATGCGCTGCGTGGCGGTGCTGAGAAGGGCAAGGTTTTGGGCGAGGTTGAGAATACTGATGATGAGCTTGAGGAGGAGGGGGAGGATGAGTTGGCTCAGGCTAGTGGTGTGCCGGAGTGGAATGGGATGGCTCGGAAGAGACAAAAGAAGTACTTGAAGAATCTGGCGAAGGGTCAGCGCGCGGAGAAGTTGAGTGAGGATCAGATTATGGAGTTGTTGGATTGGAGTGAGGATGAAGGGGAGAACAAGAAGGATGCATAGATGGGGGGTTGGGGCTGTTTTGCTGGTGGGTTGAACTGGGGTCATGCATTTTGTGTAAACTAATAGAATGGCGGGCGGCGTTGTTGTACTTTGCTCATACGTACCTTAATAACTACAGTACCTGACTCGATTGACGTCTGTCATAGTTGATGGGCTCATTGAATCCCGGTGACTTGTCAAGTTAAATCGAATCATCCCACTACTGATATCACGCACACATCAAACAGAACATCGAGTCACTTTCGCTCTCTAAGTCCGTCTAGATAGAATAAAAGAATTCATGCCAACGATCTTGACCCGTACATCATAAACGTAACGACCATGTAACACATCATTCTCATCCATACCCCCAACCACCTCAATGCAACCGTCTCAACGCTTCAATAATCCCCTTCACCTCCATAACATCCCTCGAGCCCACTTCGGCAACAATCTCCTCTTGCAGAGCAGCCTCGCAATCGAGGAATTGCTCGATCAGTTCACCGTCCACGAAGCGGTATGGAGCGTCCGCGGAACGTGTGAGAGTTCGGAAAGCGCGGAATTTGTCGAAGGGCAAATCACCTAGGGAATCCACTTTGCTGGCGATTACGCTTTGAAGGGTGATGAGGAAGTCGTTGTGGTCGGGGTTGATTAGTGCGAAGAGATAAATAGAGCCGTCAACCTGTGCAGCGAAAGGGGTGTGTTAGATTAGGTCATTGGTATCACAGGATGAGTAGGGGAATACGAACCGTTGCGAGGAAAGCCCGCGGTGTTACTGTCAGACTGGCGAGTTGCTGGATGTTAATGGGACGGATTCGGTTGACCATTTCACCTAGTCGGACTTCACTCGTCGGGACGAGACGGCGCTTGTCCTGTTCTGTGACACCACCCTGGTTGCGGGAGAGCACGATGAGGTTGCCCTCGGCCTCGCTGACCAGAAGCATGTCTTGATCGATGGAGGAAACAGCCGTGGTCCAGACAGTCTGGTAATGTCGACCGATTTCTTCAAGTGTATCGTGGGCGCCATTTTCTCCTTTGACATATTGGACGATACAGACGCTCTTCATCAAGTCGGCAATTACGACTAGATCATCGACGACGGTTATATCGACGGGTGCCGTTGACGTGCGGTAAGTAGCAGTCTTTTCGATCCTCATGGAGCTGAAATTGTTGTTGGTCACCTTGTAGACGACAACCTGGAGAGAGATAAGAATTAGTGGGTTAACCCCCATATTCACACCAAGGCACTGGCCTCATCACTTACAGTCTTGACCAATGCTGCAACAATTCGGTCACCCATCATCGCTAATGCTCGGCAAGCACCCCTAACACCCAACTCGCCGACCTTGGTCAATTTGCGGCCGTGATCAACTTCCAGTACCAGGATCCGCCCGCGGATTGTCCCCTCCCGTTCCTCGTTCAGGTACGCCGTACCGACGATCCAACGGTCCTTCTTGAGCTCTTTTCCATTTTCATCCTCGCCAGCCGGGAACTCGGCGCGGATGACGCTCTCCACTATTTCTTCGGGGTTAAGCTCAATGGCATCCAGGCGACGGAACAAGATCTCGTCAGCGAGAACGAAATGACTCTTCACGATCTCCACCCCATCTTCCAGTTTGCGGTCGATCGTGCCGAGACCGAATGCCTTTTCGGATGGTGAATAGGCCACGCGGCGCACGGTCGAGCCCATTGGTAGTGTTTGGATTTGTGTCGTGCGTTCCTTGTCCACGATTGCGATCTTCAGCTCCCGTGCTGTGGCTACGGCAATGGATTCGGGGAATGCCTCCGTGTTTAGATGGCAGATTCGTGATGCGCCCTCGGAGTTGACGGCAGAGTAAATAATCCGTCCTTCGGAGCCATAGATTAGACTTGGGTTCTCGCAGGTGGCGAAGACGTTGTATAGGCCGTCACCTCTAGGGAGTCTCTTGAAGGTTGGCTGTTCTGATCCTAGGATCAACTTCATCATGTCGGTCAGTGCATATGTTTGCGGGTCCAGTGTGAACGTAATCACGCTGCCGTCGGCCATGGAAATGAAAAGGGTAGGTGGACTATCAGCCAGGACATCCGCTACCAGGACAGAACGGGGGAATGCCTCCCCTGTCGTGCCCAGTGACTGGCTCCGTAGCTCAGACAGATCGTTGATGGCTAAGATGGAGACCTTGGCGGATTGGGGGAATCCAGCAATGCAGATACCCGCTGGGTTGGACGGGACTGTCACGCCAGAGATCTGCTGGTCTGCACCCATATCCTTTTGCGTGATCAACTGGGCATCATTCTGGATATCAAAGGTTGCCAGGACCTGACCACCAATGACCAGCACCAGGCGCTCATCATTAGCAGAGGCTGCAGTAATCGCCTTCTGGGTTGGAGGTATCCATTCGAAAGTGACCATGCCGCCCTCAAGATCAGCAATGACAACTCTCTTTTCGGTGACCTGAAGGATCCGACCTCCTGGCAAATTGGCGGCAAGCAGTGTACTTTCCACCAGGGACAATCCGAGGAATTCCTCGAGCTCTTCAACTTCTCCCTCCGCGCTAAAGCGGAATACTCGTGTTTCATCAACGAATGTGACCAGCAGCGTATCGAGGAAGTCCCCGGAGCTCTGCACTTGAAGGCCCCATAGATCCGTGATGTGATCCATTTCGCCGAGAACACCCAGCTCCTCCATGCCCACGCCACTCCGCACGCTTCGCAAAGATCCATCATCAAACGCACCCGATCCAGTGACAATCCGAGCTTGTCCTGTTGAAAACTCATGCGTCTGGACTTCACTCGTACGGTTGCCCAGGTCCATCAAGGTAAAGTCCAAAATAGGCGCAATATTGGACAAAGTCTGGATGACCTCGAACGAGCCATCGCCAATGCGAAGAACCTGAGAATCACCCTGTTGCGAACCAACGAACAGGATTCCTCCGCCGAGGTATACCAGCTTGGTAGCCCGAGAGGTAGTTCCTAAGTAATCCAGTTTCCAGTCCTCAACGTTACCTTCGTTGTTCAGCACGAACATCAGGAAGAACAACCGCCCGTAGTCGTCAGCGAGCAACCACCGTTGACTATCGACCTTCTCCCAGGCCACAAAGATGGTTGCTTCTTCGAGCTCGCGCGAGATCATGTCATTCGCATTATCGTCGATGTATTTGATCGACCTCTCTCCCAGGACAATGAGACCACCTGCAGCAGTAAACCAGATGTAAGCATACTATTAAGGACGAAAAAGGGAGAAACAAGCACAACAACGAAATACGTACCCAATGGAGCCGGAATCGGAATTAAATGCGTAGACCCCATGTCTAGCTCATGTGCAAAGACACCACCATCCAGCTTCTTCTCCTGGACCTCTTTAAACGTCGCATCTGCCGGTCCACTCGACGTCGCCCGACTATACTCGAGCTCTCGAATCCGTAGTCGAACTTTCTTTTGATTATCCTCATACAGCAGTGCCAACCACGGCTGATTAGATCCGGAATGTAGAAACGCCGATGACCGTACAAACAACTCGTCAATCCGTGATGCCGTCGGCTCACCAAGTTCTCCAACCTGAGGTGCATCAGCCTGTAGCGCCGCATGTGAGGCCCGTCCTTTCCGTTTTGTAGGCTCGACGATGGGAATCACCACGATCACGCCCTCGTAGATCTCCAACGTCATGAATCGTCCGCTAGGATCGACCAGACACCGCGGGTCGGTCTGTGATTCGCGGGCCGAGGGCTCGGCGACATCGACATAGCTACGGGCTGTGCGGGCTTTCCGTTTCTCGGGATCCCAGACAAGTGTGAAGTAGTTGTATTGGTCCGTGCCGACGAAGAGGTGGTCGGTCATCGAGTTAGCCGGCGCCGGGAGTCGTGCGAGCATGGTAACCTGCGCGTACACGGCGCGGGTCTGGGCCAGTGTCAGGCCATCGGGGGTGAGTGTGTAAAACTCGAGGCGGTTAGCTTTTCTGTAATTGTCAAACCGGGATGTTAGCTTCTGTCGCGTTTCATATCGGGGACCAGAGCTTGTTCCGAAAAGGCAATGGGCTCAGATAACGAGGTTCCCAGAGGATTTTCTTTGCATGCTTTTCACTCACGCTACGACCAGACAGTCCTCCTCGGCATTCATGAAATTCAGCTTCACCGCATGGCGAATGCCACTCGCCCGGTGAATGGGCACGATGTAGGCCATGTTGAGCGTTCCGTTCCGCAGAGCTGCGGTATGCTAGCAATTCGTGCGGGTCGGAAGCTTGTCGCAGGACCAGTGCGGGGATGACAAGCACCGAGGGATCGAGGTGAGGTGATTTCGGATCCTGTCGGGCAGGAGGATGATGATCTAGGTTTCGGGTTGGTGATGGCGCATCTCTTTGGGTATTAGGAGAAATTTCAAGGATTACGTGCAGCAGCGAGGGGAGACGCAGGTTTGTCCGGGCGGGTGCCATGACGACGTTTTAAGTCCGCGCTTACAGCCGAAAACAGGCGCGAGTCCAGTGACCGAGATGCTTGGATTTTCGAGGACAAAACATAGGATAAACGGGTCAGTGTCGACTAATTCTAGGATCAGTAGATAATAATCTGGTTGAAAACTCTTTTGGTCATTTCTAAAGACGTCCGCTAAACATCATCTAAGCGCTGCTTAAGGAAGATGTAGCTCCGTGCCAGTCATCCCAAATGCCGGCACATTCGAGCCTAGACATAGCTCTAAGGCATGGGCACCAGTGCGATAATGTGGAATTAACCCAAGGACCAAGATTTATAGAAGAAGTAAGTGCCTTGAAAAATGGAAATCCAATCAATTAAATTTCTTTTGAGCAAATTTCAACCAAGTCTAACAAAGAAATCATCCATTCACCACAATTGCAAGTGCTCCCATTTCCAAGCTGAAACGAAACGCTGGAGAACCTCCATGGAGAGAATCTGGCCATGAATCGAGGCTGAAAGATGAAAGCAAAAAAAGTAACAACACCAGAAGAAAGAAAAAGAAGTCGAAAAAAGAACAAAAGACGAATGGCATACATAAGCCCGCCAAGAACTGCAAAATGTACCTATTCGGCGGACACGGTGGAGCCGAGAATATATGTATATGCTGGGTCATCTAGACATCAAGGGGAGGAAGGGGGGAGAAGGTGGGGGGGGATATGACTACACTGCAGGAAGGGAGATGGCGGGGGACAAATTCGAGACTGTAAAAAAAGGCAGTTCATCAATCATGACCACACATCCTCCTGGTAGCTGCCGCTACTCCGCATGTGCTTGACCATCTCCTCGCCCTTCTCGGCGGGCATACCGCGTTGCTCGGCAATGATGTGGCCCAGCACCAGGTTGACCTCACGGGCCATGTTGGCGGCGTCACCGCAGACGTAGAAGTTGGCCTTTTGCTTGAGGAGGTCGCTGACAAGCGAGGCGTTCTCCTTCAGGCGGTGCTGAACGTAGACCTTCTGGGTGCCCTCACGGGAGAAGGCAGTAATGATCTTGAGAGAGTCACCCATCTGCTCTTGGTAGGTCTGGAAAGGATATAGTCAGTATTTTGTTACTCCAGTGTAGAATAATGGGGTACGTATGTGGCTTACCTTGAACTCGTCCTGGTAGATGAAGTCCTCATCACGCTTACGGCATCCGAAGAACAGCACGGTAGTACCAACCTTCTCGCCCTTGGCGGCGAGAGCAGCACGTTCCTGAATGAAACCACGGAAAGGAGCAACACCAGTACCGGGACCAACCATGATAATGGGCTTGGTGGGGTCGGAGGGGAGCTTGAAGTTGGAGTGGCGGACGTGGACGGGCACGTGGATGCCGTCGTACTTGTTGCGAGGACCAGTGATTGCGTAAGTCAGACCGTGAGGATCGGGGGAGGCATCGCCATTCTGCTTCTGCTTGAGAGCCAGGAGGTAGTTGGTGGTGACACCCTTGACCATGTGCGAGGCACCGGGCAGGCGAACGGACTCGACAACAGCGGTGATGCTGATCTTGTCCTTCTGGACCGCAGACGAGGAAGAGATGGAGTAGTAACGGGGCTGGAGCTTGTTGAGACCTTCGATGAGCAGGGAGAACGGAACGGCATTGAACGGCTTGGCGGTGATGCTTTGCAGCGCCTGGGCGATGTTGAAGCACTGGTTGGTGATCTTCTCGTGGAAATAGTCCTTGTCGTTACCCAGACGAACGATCTCTGCCTTGGTCTCCTCATCGGGAGCAAAGGCAGCCAGGGTCGAGACGAATTGACGGGAGACGGGAGCGCAAACTTCCATGTAGTAGCGAACGGCGGCATCATAGGTAGTGGGAGTCGGGATGGGAACCTTGGCAGTGACGTCGATACCCTTAATGCTAATGACGGAGTGACGCTTGTCCTCGATACCAAAGACCTGGAGGAAACGGTCGACCTCGGCACCGGCGTTGGTGGGCCAGACGGCGATGTGGTCACCAGTCTGGTAGCTCAGGTTGCTACCAGCGATGCTAATCTCCATATGCAGGCAGTTACGGTCCTTGACAGTGAACAGTTCGTGGGATTCGACAATGGGGGCAATGTACGGGTTGTGAGCAGAGTAGGGACCCTTGGGCTGGCCATCACGGTGGGCGGAGGTAGGCTCTCCCAGGTAAACAGACTCATCCTCGGGCGACTTCTCGTCGTCCTCGGAGACACAAAAGACCGGCTCGTAGACAGATTCACGTTCCTGGAGACCCATAGCCTCGGTCAGAGCAGCCCACATGGGCTCCTTCCAGGCGAGGAAGTCCTCCTCCATGGTACCAGCACCGTCGTCACCCTCACCGGCAGTTCCAATGCGCTGCGCACCCAACTTGGTGAAGGCGGCGTCGACCTGGCGAACCATGGCGTTGTAGTGTTCATAAGTGTTGTTTCCGAGACCGAATGCGACATACTTGAGAGAGGAGAGAGGGGAATCCTCGGCAGCGGCGCCGCTCTCGAAAGCGACGTCGTCACCGGTGAAGAACTGGTAGAACTCGACGGCGTTGTCGGTCGGCTCACCTTCACCGTAGGTGGCCAGCACGAAGAAAGCAACCTTGTCCTCGGGGAACTTGTCCAGGTTCTCGTAGTCATAGTCCTCAATATCGGCGACCATGGTCTTCAGACCAAAGCGCTGAGAGCCTTCCTTGGCCAGGCGCGAGGCGTAGTCCTCGGCAGTACCGGTCTGGGAGCCATAGAAAATCACACAGTTCTTGCCCGTCTCCTCCATCTTCTCAACGATGTCGCGAGTCTTGCCGCTCTTGGCGGCGCCGTTCAGGGTAGCGGTGGAGGAGGCATAGGGGTCTTTCGGAACGGCCCAGTAGGTTCCCTTGGTGAAGTAGGCCACGCTACCCACCAAGAGAGCCACCAGAACGACCAGATCGAGGGTGTCGAGTTGCGCCATAATGGCTGGGAGTTCGAGGAGAGAAGAGAAAACGAGATCTTCTTCCAATCGATCCGTTCCCGCAATGTACACAGAGCGGACAGATGGGGGAGTAGAACTCGGAGAGTTAGTCGGCGGGCGGCGCCAGTGGGGAGGAGCGGAGAATTGGCGGGCGGACGAGATCCAGAAAAAAGTCGGAGAGGCGAAAAAAGGGGAGGAACTCGGCGAAGACGAAAACACGAGTTCGTTGGCGGGAAATCTAAAATGACCGCAAGACCAAAAGAGAAGACCACCCCTGAGAAGGAAGTTGAAAGAGGATGAAGGCTGAGAAGGCCAAAGTGGTCTGACCACGGGGAGGCCGGTCGGCGCGAAGTGGAGCTTTCACCTGCCGAAGGACCACGAAAGACCCCTCCTGCACGACTCTGTGGATGCAGATAACTGGTGCAGGACTGCGGAAGCTTGTCGATGGCGATAGAAGAGTGTCTGTGGCTAGAGTGTTATAAATGACTACTAGTTAGATAACCTGATTGGTAAATAGGAGGGGGGAAAAAGGAATAGGGAAGGGGAGGTTGTACAGATTGTATATATCCCGGTGTAAATAATCAGATACTATTCGAGGGTAATGGGGTTGGGAAACAAAAGAAGAAGAAAAGAGAAGAAATAGAAGAAAAAGAGCCAGCCAGATATTTCTAGACCGGGGTAATCAATGAGGTTATTATAAGACCAAAGATATTCCTGTACATATTCCGTGCTTGGCCGCTTATCTTATAGCATCGTTGCCCTCGGTTGGAGAAGGCGTGCGGATGGGCGGCGTGGGGCAGAATTGCTAGCCCGGAACGTGAACTCGGCCAGCAGCCTGAACGAGAAGGCCAGTCCTCTGTGAACACTACACACTGTATTATTTCCCCCCACCCACTCACCACTCCGCGCCCACCCTGGATCTCCAGACTGCGAATCATACTTGGCCGCCCTCGTCCCCAGACCCAGGATCAACCCCCCAATCCCTCGGGTAAGGCCATATTCGGCACGCCCGTCCGGGAGATCGAACACCGTCGCTGGGCCCGACCAACGTGCCGCCACCCCCAGAACGGGGAATTCGGAGAGTGGCAACCAACTCGCTGGGACTCAACGGATGCCCGTTTTGAGCCACATCCTCGAGGACTTGTGGAGTACACAAGCTGAGGTCCTGCTGAGTCCTGCTTAGTACCGCATGGTCCGCATGTGCATCAGGCCCTGCTCGGATCCCGCTCTCTTTTCTTCCGCGCTCCCCCGATGTACACGGGCCCTAGTAGTCAGAGACCCAAAGAGGTACTTCGCTTCATAACTTGGTCCACGCTGGCTAGTGCGGACGTATTCCGCCCCATGTGCGGCCCTTCATTCCTCGCTGGGTCTTGCCTCTCTCATATCTACTAGAAACCGTTGGACGGCTCTCTCGGTGGCCTCCGCATCGGGCAGAACCCAGCGAGCCTACAAAAGGGGGACGACGCCCCTCGCGAATGTCGGGATATTTCCCCATGAAATCATCTTGTGGGGTCAATCGCCCTTGTCCTAGTGAGAAGGACCTGGCGGTTTAACTTCGGACACCGAAGATTCCACGGGATTCCCTCGGACGGCCTGTAGCAGCGGCAGTGGCTCTTCTTTAACTGCCAGCTGAACTTCCCCACATTCCCTTTCTGACCAACTCCTACAAAAGATATCGGAGAGCTAATCTTGCGAGCAAAGAATGGAGCCTGATAGCTAGGCCTGCGTGCCCCTTTCTCTTTGGTGAGGGTCTTGTACGACTCCGAGCCAGGCTTATAGTGACAGGTTCACACACGCGACGTTTAGAGTACTCTGTACAGCGAGCATAGTCGGGCATACTAAACAGACAATGCTTGGCGCGGATCAATGTGGGGATTGACCTTTTCATGTGGTCCCCTTCTTCATCGACTGCCTTTGCTGAATTCATGATCTATGATCATGACTTTAAAACCCCTGGGACGCCTAGATTCGACCTATGTGGGGTGTGGTCTAGTATGATGGTAGACGCTGTTCTAGAAGGTCGGTACTCGTAGTCGACTGGTCACTTATCCGACAGGGTTGAATGCCTGATCTTCAGGTCAGGCCAACGTTGGGGTCGACATCGGGGAATCTGTTGATCCAGACAGCCGTTTGTATGGGCAAACACAACGGAATAGTCAACATACAAAATTGGCATGGCCTGGCAATTCCCATCATAACCTTTACTTCGAGGCCTCCTTTGGGGCAGCACCTGGTGCATCTCCAAATTCCATCTCCTCTTGTTCTCCCCAAAGGGAAGCCTCAAGTGTCCTCACGCCGCTTCCTCTTGAGGTTGACCCTTCCAGTTGTGTATACTCTATCTCTCACTTTTCTATTACGCCTCATCCATTACCACAAACATGGGAACCAAAGAACTGCCTTCCGGCTGTGAAGTCTGTGGCAAGAAAGACGGTCTTCTCCAATGCTCTGGCTGTAAGGTGGTGTCGTACTGCGGCCGCGACCACGAAGTCGCTGATCGCCCGTCACACAAATCTGCCTGCAGCGCCATCAGAAGAGCACGAGTCAAGATGGAGCACGAGGAGCAGATCATCCGCAATCACCCCGGAGATTGGGCGATGCCTGCAGACGCGTTTACCAACAGCGTCGGGCACTTCTGGGGCATCCTCGGAACCCGCGACTATATGCGAGCCCGATTTGCACTGGTCGATTACATGGGCCAAGTCGACAACGTCCAATCCGTTCAGGCGCAGCTGGACCATTAAATGGATATGTTGCGCTTATGTCGTGTTGACAACATGGGCGTGCGAAGCATCGTTCCCGCACTGATGCTTCGTCTCAACAAGGATCAAGAATGCTACGACTTTATTAAGTGGTGGGCTGCTGACAGGCCGGACTATGACTGGGGAGACACTGATCTCCCGTGCCTCGATATCCGGAATACCGATGTCTTTGAGCCTGTGGAGCAACTATGCGATCCATACCCTGATCTCAGCCACTTGGTTTGCCTGTGTCTCTTGAAAGTCAAACTGCTCTTCGATTTGATGAGGTTGGAGCAGTCAACTTCCAGCCTGGGTCCCAATGTACCTCGTGAGATTCTCGATCTCATTCAGTCGTCGGTCCCTCGGAGCCCGGTCGTCAGTGCATCTCGCGATATCATGACTGGTGACGGCAATATTCGCCAGACTATGATTGAAAAATTGAAGTCACAGATCGGTGTCGTGTACAGGGCAGTCCAGGAGGCCAACAAACATTTCTGGCCGGCTTTTGCCGATGCTGAAGAGTATCTTGATGAATTTCCTTCGGCGTTGGTGGAATGAGGAATTAGCCCCGCTGGCGGACAGTGACTGGGAGTCTTTATTCATCATCTTAAAGAATTATTCTTTATTGCTTTAGATCCATCTTTACAAAAACATCAATCTATTTTTGGCGTGTTCCGTCAATTTCATAGTTTCCAACTGCCTTTTACAAGTTCACGTCCAAGGAGCACGTGCTCCACTCCTGCCGATGAAATATATAGTCAGACATAGTCATGCGCTCTGTCAGTACGTCCTTCTTACATCGTTTTACAAGTAAACGAATAAATCGACCAGTTCTATATAAATTGACTACAACCATCATCGTACCATCAAGCAGCATTGATTATTCCACTTTCCATCTAGATGGCGCGACCGACCGTGATTAGCGTCTCCGGGGTAATCAATCTCCAGCATGTAACAGCCCTAGGCAGAGGGCCCTCTTGTCTGAGACGGATCTTCAGATAAATCACTCCACGGGTTCTCTCTGAATCGAATGTTTCAGCCTCTTCTCCTTATGACCCCGCCATGCGAAGCGAGGCCCCGATCTTTGGCGGTTAGTCCGCAGCCAGCCGCAATCGGCATTTGCTACGATGATGCCCCAAGGTAACTGGACAATCTTTTGCATAGATAGAGCTATGTAATGACCGTTTCTTCGTACTTATGTACAGTGAGCTGATCATCAGCGTACCTTGCATGGTCTAAGTATAGATATCTCTACTAAGCTATTGTCAGAATCGCCATCGAGCTGATCTCGGGGGTTATCGCCTGTCAGATCTCATTTTTCCTTTTGAAGGTGTATGGAGAGAGCACAAGCGCCCAACCCAACTTGCATTGGGCGGCCCACCATTAAAACAACGGCATGAGTACTTTGTAGCCGACCTCGAAAATATATTATACTTTGTAAGAAGCCCCCATTTACTGATTATTGGATCTTACCCATAGGCTTATTCGTACAATGAATAACCAGTAGAACGGTCGTAGATAACAGTAACTTGTGCCCGTGCAAAGAGAATAAAAAAGTGTGGACGGGTCCCCGTGCACAACCAAATGTTTATCCAAAGCTCGCCATCCGTGGAGCATCACAACGCCTCACCTCCTCTCTGTCCACCGCCAACCAACACCACCCCTCCCCCTTGGGCAGCCAGAGACTATGGATTGATTCGCTATGTGCTGCTTATGGCCTCCTGCTGACTCTTCCTCTCAACACGGCAGCCTGCATGAGATTCACCCGGCAATGAGTCCTTGACTCGTCGATACGCCAGTAGGTCACTTTCCTCCCCCAAAAGAGCAAAGGCCGACCCCAGGCCGCCCGTTCTTAGTTTATTTTTCTTTGCCTTTTTCGCCCACCACCTCATCGGGCATATCACACAATGCATTATCTCCAAACTAGAAGACCTTGCTAACCGCGCCTTCCGACCCCAGTGGCATCTCATCCGGCCAAAGCTGCTGGCCCCGGCCAGCAAACACCGTTGCCCCTCATCCCTGACGACCTTAAATCGGCGTCGCATCACAATCTCACATCCCCCTCGGAGTGGCGAGGCACGCGATCTGCCCAGTCCACCCCAATGCACAGCCGTGAACCCTCCGCGGTTCGTGGACGAGCCGCCGACCCTTCCGCTCTAGTCCCGACCCTCCAAGCCCGCCGCGGCCACTCCGGTTCCAAGAGCCCCGACGTTTCAGCTGGTCACCCTGCAGGTTACGATGTGGGATTGGAAAGACGACCGTCCAACTCCTACGGCCACCACCGCCAGACCTCCATCGTTCATGGCATGCAACATTCGCGCAATCCGAGCATGGCCGGTTCGACTGCTTCCACCAGCCCGCTCAGCCCGGAGTTGATTGCGTCTCTCGGTCGCGGGGGGTTCGACGAGGCTACCGTACCTACAAAGCTGGATCAGTTGGATCCTCATTCGAACTATCAGAGCCCTGGGATGCCGGCTGGTCATGGTGTGCCGGGGACACTGAGCACCATTCAGGATAATGATGCTGACGACACGATGAATGGGAGTCCTGCGAGCGTGATACACAAACGGATGAACTCGGGGGGAACGATAGGAAGACGGGATCGGTCTCATAGTCGCTCACACTCGAAGCATCATTCGGAATCGAAGACGGTGGGGGAATATGCGCTGCATCATCTTTTCAACTCGGTATGGATCAAAATATTGCAGGCGTGAATGGGAGAATGCGAGGAACGGTTGACGACAGTGCTGACATGACGTCTTCTGAATAGTTCGTTGGCAAGGCTGAGAGCAAGATCAACCAGGCTATTTTGAAGTTGGGGGAATCGGATGCCCCCGTGGAGGAAGTATGCGGACCTGGCGCAGATCCCAACTTTGATCAGTTGATCTCGGCCTTGGGACATATTGCGAGACAGAAGCCAAAACCTTTGATTGATACCATTATGCTGTGGCGGAAGAGTAAGGGTGATGCAGCTATCACTGCGAGGCAGATGACGAATGAGCTGGTATGTTGCGTCCTTAGCCCAGTTGCTAGCAGACAGGAAGAAATCCTTGGGATACACTAGTGGTAAAAGATGAGATGGCTAACTTTGGACGGTACCGTGATCTAGCCCAAACCAGTGATGGCAGAAAACGGAGTGCTCATGCGTCGAAACACCGAACCGACGCAAGCACCTGGCGACCCTGTCTCAGCAGATCGTCCCCAACCGCCAACAGCTTTCTTGAGTCGCCATGACGATGTCGCGCTGGTCGAGCGCCGGGCCACGGTCTCTGTGTATCTGGTCTGCCGAGTATTGATTGAGATATTCAACCAGAGTAGCCTCGCCTCGATCACCCTGGACATGGCAGATCGCCTGGAAGACATCGTCTTCGGTCAGATCAAGACAGTCGACCCCGATCAAATCTCCGCATCTCCACTTCGCATGGCTAACTGGAGGATCTACGGCCAGCTGCTCGGAATTATGAGTGAATTGAACTTCACGAGCGTGGCCAACCGTTTCCTAACGGAACTCGACAAATACCAAAAGGATGAAGCGGCCCGCGGTCCCACACGCGATGGCGATGCGAAGGCCGAGCTACTGATTCTGGGAATGAGAAACCTACGTCTGCCTACGTCTGCAGAAGGCTGGCCCAAGTCGTGTGATTTTATGCGATCTGTGGCACGCTTGTTCGTCAATGCCCACGGCCAAAAGATCAAGCAAGCCTATTGCTACGTCATTGAGAAGCTTCTGCTCCCAGTGGCTGCCAACCCGATTGCTGATCTATCATTGCCTCGATGGAAGGAGTTTTTGGACATCGTTCAACCGCGTTTGGCGCAATTACTCACTAAACCCCGGCATTGGGCTGCCGCCTTCTCCTTGAATGTGTTGCTGTTGTGTATCTCTAATAAAGAGACATTTGCTTCTCAATGGCTGTCGATGATTTCGAGCTTACCAGCACGTCTGAAGGATCGTCCCACGCGTGCGCCAGCTTTGCATGCCATCTGCCGTCTCGTGTGGACCTACTTCTTCCGTTATTCGGACTCCCCTACGACGACCCTCCGTAAGGTGGAGGAGGTGGCTAAGATTGCCCTGCCTACAGGCAAGAGGACTTATCTAAGCGCAGAGCCGGCCTTTGCGGACCCCCTCATCCAATTGATTCGAATGATTGGATTCAAGCACCCCGACGTTTGTTTCCGGAGCATCATATTCCCTCTGATTAACTCGGACCTGTTCCTCTCCGGCCGGGAAGTAAAGATTGAACAGATGGAGCCGGAGAAGATGGCCATTGGTATTCGTTCGTTTTTGGCTACCATGACTGATCTTGAAACGAGTGATCAGCTGTGCCCTCCCTTCCCGACGGGCTCACTTCCCAACCCCTTCATGGATAACTCTACACCTGCGTACTTCCATCGCTCCCAGCTGCTCACCGAGCCCAAGGTCGGAGCCGCTGCTCAAAAGCCGGACCCTTCCTCACCTTCCCCCGTCAACATTTCTAGATTGAGCGATAACGTGAAAGAGTACTACCTTCGCTTCTGCGAAGTACTTGGCAAGATTACAATTCTTTGCGATAATACCTTTGGCGGCCAAGCAGTCTTGGACGAAAAGTTTGGTGGCACCACCCCTAAGACTCCCATCACTGAGGCATTCGGCTTTGGCCGGCGTGACGACCATATGAGCACAGTGGATCAGAAGCAAGGATTTTATGACCTGCTTCACGTGGCTGTGCAAGCTTTGCCTCGCTGCCTCTCCGATCATATCCCCTTTAACTCTCTCATCAACCTACTTTGCACTGGAACCGCCCATGTGCAGTCCAACATTGCCACTTCTTCAGCGGAATCGCTCAAGGCGATTGCTAGACAGTCACATGCCCAGCAGGTGACTATTGGGTTTGCTCGATTTATCTTTAACTTTGATGCGCGGTATTCTACCATGTCTGATGAGGGCATGCTCGGTCCGGGTCATATTGAGTCGACCCTAAGGCTATATGTGGAGTTGCTCCGCATCTGGATTGACGAGATCAAGCAAAAGACCAAGGAAGCCGCCTCAGATCAGCTGGAGAAGTCTGTTTCTGGCAGTCGGGCTTTGCACCTGGATCTTTCGAGTGTTCTTGCGCATGTTGAGGAGATCGAGTCCCACGGACTGTTCTTCTTATGTTCACAGTCTCGACGAGTTCGCGCCTTTGCCATCAACGTTTTGCGGTTGATCACTGAGTTCGACAGCGCTCTGGGCAAGGAGAACACTCGGATCATTAGAATCCTAGAAGCCGATTCCCAGCAGATTCTCGATCTGAATGATGAGCAGCTCACCGTTGCTGAGCGTAGCCGCATTCAAAAGGGTAAAAGGCGGAGTGCCTCCCAGAACACCCTCATCGAGCTCTGCAGCAGTGAGGTCTCCTACGATTCTACTCTGTGGGCTAAAGTTTTCCCGAACATCATCCGGGTCAGCTTCGAGACTTGTCCCTTTGCCGTGACTCTGGGACGAGAGATTGTCTGTGCACGCCTTGTCCGCATGCACAAGATGATCACTTCACTGGCGGAACGAACAAGACATCCGCAGTACTCTCCCGTAGACATTTATCAGAATCGTCCTCTGGGACGGAGCAACATGACTGCGGAGATTTTGGTTGAGCAGTGGAAGTTGTACCTTGTCATGGCCTGTACAACTGTCACTAGCGTCGGTGCCCAGTCCCAGAGTCAGTTGGCGAATGCTCAGCATGCACGAAAAGCTTCCAAGGGAGCTCAATCTTCCGATAAGATCAGCTCGGCACGAAGTCTGTTTGCATTTGTCATTCCCCTTCTCTCTGCCGAGCGGGACTCTATCCGCAATGCCATCGTGGTCGCCCTTGGTGCGATTCACAAGAACCTGTATCGCACTCTTCTGGAGTCCCTACAGTATGCGGTTACAACCTGCAATGAAGAGGCCAAGATCCGTATCGGCACACATCATCGCACCCCTAGTAGTCCTCAACGGAATCGGAACACGGACCGGTTGCGGACCGAAGTCACCCACGTCTACAAACTAACATCACACTTCTTGCGTGAGCCAGAAGTCTACAACGACGACTGGATCGTCAATAACATCATCACATACGCCAAGGACCTCCGCATTTTCCTGAGTGACGCCGAGGTTCAGAATGACTGGGAATTCCAGCGCCTGCGTTTCCACTACTGTGGCCTGATGGAAGAGCTTTTCGAAGGTGTCAACCGCACGAAAGATCCCTCTCGATGGATGCCATTTGAGTCTAGAAAGTCTGCCTTCTCGCTGATGGAGGATTGGTGTGGTTATTCACCCAACCAAGCCCAAATCACCGAGAGGGAAGAGCATATGCGCAAGTACGCCGCAGCCCAGCAGCATGACGGCGGCGAGATGAGGAACGCTGCTGCCGCAATGGAAATTGAGAAGAAGAACCTCCGTGCTGCGGCATTGAGTGCCATGGCTTCTCTATGTGTATGTGCTTGAGACTGTTACTGCTATGTTTGCATTTACTAACTCGAATCTATAGGCTGGACCGATTAGTATTACGACGGAGAGTGGTTCTGTACTCCAATTCGACGTGAGTCGCATGCTGTCGTGGATTGATATTATTTTCAACACGGTCAGCGATAAGTGGCATTCGATTGGACGTCGTGCGCTGAAGAACCTGATCATTCATAATAAGGAGCACTCGTACTTGATGGAGCGGTCCATTGAGATGTGTTATGTGGCTGAGCGACCAAAGGCACTCGAGAGTTACTTCGAGGTGTCAACCGAGGTGCTCATTGAGCATCCGGATTACCCACTTCAGTTCTGGAGGATCCTGGGCGCCGTGCTGGTCACTCTCGGTAGCCAGAAGCGCGAGATACGAATGAAGTCCGCTAAGCTCCTCCGACGACTTGAGGAGCGCCAGCAGAAGAGTTCTCGTCTCCAGGACTTTGACATCAGCATCTCGGACAAGACGACAGCGGTGTACAAGTTGGCACAGTTCGAGACGTCGAAGCGGCTCGCTATCCAGCATTCTGATCTGGCGTTTACTCTGTTCTCCGAGTTCTCGCTGCACTTCCGGAATCTGCGTTCTGACAGTCAGCGCAATATGGTTGCTGCTATTCTGCCTTGGGTGCAGGCGATGGAGTTGCAGGTCGATCCTAATGGTGGTCCGACGGCTTCGTCGTACATGCTGCTTGCCAATCTCTTTGAGATCACCATTCGCTGTAGCACTACACTGCCAAATCAGGTACAGGCCATGTGGCAGGCACTGGCCACAGGTCCCCACGGCGGCAATGTCCAGCTCGTCCTTGACTTCATCATCAGCCTATGCTTGGAGCGCAAGGAGCAGAACTTCGTAGAATATGCCAAGCAGGTCGTTGTCTTCCTCGCAGCCACACCCGCTGGGTCCAAGGTCATTGAGTTCTTCCTTCTGATGGTCATCCCCAAGAACATGGTACAAGAGCGCAAGGACCTCACACCGCAACCTCCAGACGTCAAGAGTTTGCCGTATGTCGCGGACTTGGGCACTGTGCTGCCCGTGGGCAACAAGCAGGCTGGTCTTTCTCTTGGACAAGTTGCTCTCATCTTCCTCGTTGACCTTATGGTTGCCCCCGTTACTCTCGCCCTGGAAGATGTGATCAAGCTGCTCCACGTTGTGCTCATCCTTTGGGACCATTACACTGTCACTGTGCAAGAGCAGGCTCGAGAGATGCTGGTTCACCTCATCCACGAGCTCGTTGCTGCAAAGTTGGCGGATGACGCCCCTGCGGAACACCGTCAAGCTGTTGAGGACTTCGTCGAGTCGATCCGTCAGAGTGACAGCGCCGTCGTCTGGGAATACGAGGAGAACCAGGGTAAGGACGAGGAGGCAGACGATCGCCGTGTACCGACGGCCATGGCGACTGTGACTCGCGAGGTTGTCAAGTTCTTCAGCTTCGAGTATGAAGGCGTAGGTGATCTGTGGGCCAAGGAGGCGCTGTATTGGGCGACTTCCTGCCCCGTGCGGCATCTGGCATGTCGTTCGTTCCAGGTATTCCGTTGTATCTCAACGTCGCTGGATTCGCGGATGCTGGCGGATATGCTGGCTCGACTGTCGAATACCATCGCCGATGAGGAGGAGGACTACCAAACCTTCTCGATGGAGATCCTGACCACCCTGAAGATCATCATCAGCTCTCTTGCACCAACGGATCTCTTGCATTACCCACAACTGTTCTGGACGACTTGTGCGTGCCTCAACACAATCCACGAGAGCGAGTTCATCGAGAGTCTTGGTATGTTGGAGAAGATCCTTGATCGGATTGATCTTAGCGACCATCTTGTTGTGACGCAGCTGTTGGAAGGCCAGCCCCCCAAGTGGGAGGGTGGGTTCGACGGTCTCCAGGACTTGGTTTTCAAGGGACTCAAATCATCCGAGTCCTTCAGTCGTACCTTGGACGTTCTCCATCGCTTGAGTGGACTGCCAAATAACGAGCTCATTGGAGACAGCACTCGACAGCTGTTCACCATTCTCGCCAATCTTCCCTTCTTCCTTGAAAGCTTCGACCAAGGATTCAAGGATCAAAAACCCATTATGCATGCTAGCCTGCTTGCTCGAGTCGCAGAGAATGAGCGCTGTCCCCGACTGGCCGCCTCGTTGTTTGGATTTGCCAACCAGCAGTACAAGACCGAGGGTGTCTTCCTAGACCACATCATCACGGAGATCAAATCGTACTACTTTCCGCAGCTCGATTTCCAGTGCTTAATCTTCCTCATGGGCTTGCTCACCAACACGACTGATTGGTTCCGTATCAAGACAATGAAGATTCTCTGTGTCTTGATTCCCGAGGTGGACATGCGCCGGAATGAAGTGACATGCCACGGTCCCGACCTCATTTCTCCATTGTTGCGTCTGCTTCAGACCAACCTCTGCCCACAAGCTCTCGGTGTTCTGGACAATATCATGACTGTCTCTGGGAATCCAATGGAGCGACATCATCTCCGCATGAGCATGGCATCTGCAGTCTCATCTCGGGCCATTCGCAAGGAATATGAGCGGATCCAGAGTCTCTACGGTATCCCCGAAGAGACTGGTTGGTCCGTCCCTATGCCTGCGACACAGTCAAGCATGACCCGCAACAACGTCCACGCTGTGTTCTACACGTGTGCTGATTCGGACAACATGATTGTGGAGGATACCATGACGCCTGATGTTGAGTTCCGGGCGGATGAGTTTAAGGACACATTCTTCCCGATGAGAGCAGACACCATGAAGTCCATCGACACACAGACCGACGGGAATATGGGTGACATCGTTCAGAAACTGGATAGCCTGGACGACTTCTTTGAGGAGACAGAGTCTACCGTACCGTCTCTCAACCCGGTAGCCCCACCGATGCTACGTGGGTTTACGGGAAGCTACGTCGATACCAACGCCCATCTGTACGACCAGCAGACTGCACCTATCCTACGAAAGTCTCTTGCACGAACGGGCTCTACATCATCTTTCCACAACGGTCTGGCTGAGTCTCGCCCTGCCAATTTCCGTTTCGATGGTCCTGGCATGCACTCTCCAATGAATCCACCACCTCACAGCTCACAGACACTCCGCCCTGTCTCCCACACTCGTTCGGTGACCTCTCCCGCAAACAACCTCTATGTCCACACGCAACAACCGATACCACACGGTACACCACCAGTGGCCCTGCACGAATCGGCATTCCTCTCGGACGATGAGGTTGAAGACGCATTTTCTGACCTTGACGTCAAACGAGGACTTCATCCCCCAATGCCTCCCATGGTGCGCAGCGCTACGGATGGCTCTCACTCTCTCGAGTCCATGATCCGCAGCGGCATGCGGCGGCTCACCGGCGGTGCAGCTAACAACCGCGAGAAGGAACGTCAGCGTGATCATCTCCGCGCCCAACACCGTGCCATGGTCCAGACAGCGAACTCGCCCCGCGTGCCCAAAGTCCCGGAGGAGTATCTCACAGGCCCAACCAGTCATCCTACATCCCCGAGGTCATAGTTCACACATCAATATCTCCAACCCTCCTTTCAACGTGCACATTTCCGCTTCTATCTTTGATTCTGTCTTTGCTGTATTCGGCCTGGGGCATTTCTGGGGCGTTTGGATTGAGACCTCATCACATACATACCCTTTTTTTCTCGCCTTTTTCTTTTCTCCATCTTCTTGAATAATTTTGCGAGAAGTCTACCATCCTTTAATGTGGATATTTGTATATTACTTGTCGCACATGGTTGTTCGGTAGACCAGTCTTAGTTTCGAGGTTTCATAGAATTGAAACAAAAACATACATTCTTCAAATACTTCCCAATTATACTGGTGTCTTCTGAAACGGTCTCTTAGTCTAAAAGCCCTCTAGTCCCCAGACTTGCACCCTCGAACAGTGATTGGATTATCTTCAAGACTTCGTATGGACAACCTGTAGCACTATGTATGCCTTTTCCCCTTTGCCGTGTACCTCGTGGTCACAGATGCACGGATCCCCCTCACTCCAAATTGCCATTCATGAACTTCCAGGACATCATGAACAGACGAATAGCGCCGTCAACCCCCAGGATTCGGACCGAATTTGTAAGGTTTTGAATGGCATCTTCAAAGTATTCCTGGTCAGAGGGCTTCCCACCGGGGATATCCCGAATCAGGTTGACACTAATGCCTCTTGAATGTCCGTCCATGGGACCATGGACTTCCACACTTAGCCAGTAGCACGGCGGCTCAAAATGCTCGATCATGAATCGAAACTGGAAGCGATACTGGACAACACCGGGTCGCTCGACAATCCCTCTTATTCCGAAGACCGCCATCTAGGTAGAAGAGTTGGGTTAGTAGGCATCATTGATAGATTCCAGAGCTGTGAAGAGCTGAATTTCTCACAGACCTGGTTCTCCTTGGTAACTGGCTTCGTCAGAAGATCGGCAGAGTCCCAGACAAGCTCGCAGGTATCATAGATCACTTGGTTCGCGCCATTGTAGAAGAGGAAGCCGAGGCCGGATTTTATCACGTCCTGGCGGCGGTGCACTTCGCCAGTAACAACAGGCTTCATGATTTCTTCGATTGGTCTTGTGGATGAAGAGAATGAATTTTTGTTTGTTTTTGCTCGTTGGTAGATGGTTGAAGATGTGGTTGTCGAGACGAGGAAAAGAGGAGAGGCAATCGTCAACCATACGCAGCAATTGCTCCATCAACGACATCATAGTCTACATTTATGGCTAAATAGTATTCTCTTGAATTATTGAGATCTGTAAGTACTAATAAATTCACAATTAGCTGCATAGGAAGCAGTCATTGGTATCGCTATGCTTGCCAGTGGAACGGCGGCCTTTTCGAGCATTGAAAGGTATCATGTTGCATGCCCATTCCATGGGTCTTCAGAGCCCTTTTTGTATATTAGAAGCTGCAAAAATTAGGCCCTTGCTCGTAGCATATAGGTCAATGGCCTGAACCCAAAGCACATTGCTCCAATACTAACGATCACCATCGATTGTATAGTTCCGGCTTATCGCCTATCACCACGTGACCACACGGGCCAGATGCGGAGCTTCCCCGCAACCAAGACTTCCCCCGGACCAGGCACCTAGGCATCGTTGCACCTCGGAAAGCCACGGCCCTGGGGATAGGCATCCGGTCCGAGGCCCTGTTTAAATACTCCCGGGCCTCTCCTCTGCATGTTGCTGCTTGCTGCTCTTCATTCTGACACTCCGATATCACCGAGCTGTCCTTTTTTCCTTTGGAGCCCTTCCGCACCGGCAGAATCACGCCATGAGTGTCCGTATTGCCTCCTCCGTCCGTAGAGTGGCCCGCCTCCACACCGCGGGTGTTAACCGACGCTGGCCGTCCAGCTTTAGCTCGGCGGGCTTGGCCCGAGCATTCTCAACAACACAGCACCGCGACGCAACATGGGGGTTCGTGGGATTGGGCCAGATGGGTATGTTCGGTGGAAGCTGGAAACTGATGGGCACCTGATTGAGGACCTTGTCGAGTTAGCCTGATTGTTCATTAGACTGACGCAATAATAGGGTATAACATGGCCAAGAACCTGCGGGCCAAGATCCCCGCTTCTGATACGCTGATCGTCCGCGACGTCAACGAGGAGGCCGCAAAGCGGTTTGTCGCGGAGGCTCAGGAGGCCGCTCGGAGTAACGGTGCTGGCGCCGACGAGGGCCGAGTCGAGATCGCTGAGAATGCCCGCGAAGTCGCGGAGAAGTCGGTGAGTGCAGTATTTTTGACCCATATATGATGGGTTTGATGGCCGTATTGCGATCTTCAAAAAGCTCGTCGAACGAGCATGTCCCCGTTTCTATAAGCAAAGATTAGGTCGCTGACTGCAATATGTAGACTGTGATGATTACCAGTCTGCCCGAGTCGCAGCATGTCATCGAGGTGTACCACTCGATTCTCAAACAAGGAGAGCTTCCTGCGCTGGAAGAAGAGCGTCTGTTCATCGATACGTCGACTATTGATCCTGTGACGTCAAAGGATATTGCGGCTGCCATCCAAACCACTCAGACTGGCCGATTCGTGGATGCCCCAGTCTCTGGGGGTGTAGTGGGTGCACGGGCAGGCACGCTGTCATTCATGTTCGGTGCTTCCTCGCAATCCGATCAGTTCCTGGAGCGTGTACGGGGAGTCCTCGCTTTCATGGGGAAAAAGGCCTGGCATCTCGGTGAGCCAGGGGCTGGTGTGTCGGGCAAGCTGGCGAACAATTACATGCTGGCCATCAACAATATTGCCACGGCCGAGGCGATGAACCTGGGTATCCGCTGGGGACTTGACCCTAAGAACTTGGCCGATATGATCAATTCCTCCACGGGACGCTGCTGGCCCTCCGAGGTCAACAACCCAGTGCCTGGGGTAATTGAGACAGCTCCGGCTTCTCGTGGATACGAGGGAGGCTTTGGGGTTAGCCTCATGAACAAGGACCTGCGTCTGGCCCTCACTGCTGCTGAGAAGTCTGGTACTCCTCTGGCTTTGGGTAATCAAGCTCGGGAGGTTTACAATGCAGTTGAGGAAGCCCATCGGGGCAAGGACTTCTCGGTTGTTTATCAGTGGCTGAAGGGCAAGTCTGTTCCTCAATAGAGACAAAATCTATTCTATGTCTTTATACTGCCTGTTGGCCTGTCCTCTATTCATCTGTTTTATATGTCCTGGATGGACCCATGGGCCTTTTGATCCCTGCGCTTTACGATAGATGGGAAGGTTTGATATCACTTCGCCAAATATTACGATATTCAATATGATATGATGACTTACAGACTAGGCTTCTTTGTCTTCCACTCCTGGTTCTTTTCACGGGGGTTTGGAGTTCTGCGTGGTTTTATCCCAAGTCCTTTGGTGCTTGCCCTAGCTCCACGCATTTATACTTCCAGAGTCTGCTTCACTTGATTTATTTCCACGGATCTATAAAACCACGCCTTCATGGCCGGCTTCATGGCTCTATACAAAGATCATTCTGCTATACAACTCCGCCATCAGCAGTACTTGAGCGTCACGAGGATCCCCTCGACGTCCTTTTTCTTGATCTCCGGATTTCTTTTCTTCTTTTCTTTTCTTCCCTCCGCACCTCTCCTCTTCACCCTCTCTCTCGTCGTTCGTTTTCGTTCCCATCGTTACAAGGCTACTCGATCAATTGTCGGTGCCAGTATCGTCGTTCATTTTTCTTCTCCTTTCATACTCTTTCTCTTCCGTCCTTTCCTCTCTACCCGCTCCCTCTTTCCTCCGTCTCCTTCACCCGTCGTTTCCTTAACCGCTCGTTCCCTTGTCGTTCCTCCCTCGTCTCTCAATTCCTTCCGTTCCTTCCTCGTTCGCAGTCGTCTCGCTGTGAATTTACTCTCGTTCATCTCTGCTCTCTATTCTCACCTCCATAATCTACATTCTCATCTCACCCCATTCCCTCTCATTCCAGCCCTGATCATCTCTTCTGGGTTCTCATTCAACCCCAGACCTGTCGTTCTCCGATCAATTGCTGTCAGGCAAGTCAATTGGCTTCGTGCAGTTGATGTGAGTATTCCCACTTCTATTCTCTGCATTGTCTCATCCCAATTGCCTCCTCACTTGATGGACCTTACTGACAGTGATGATCCAGCCATTGGAACTGCGTCTTCCTCAATTTCTAGAAGCAGTCAAAGGTAAGCAACTCCACCCCTTCAACTGACGCAATTGCATTGTATGCTACAAGCATTCCCTGCCCTTTCTGTCATCTGTGCTTCTCCAATTCCATCTCGAATGTCTTCAATTCCATCTGGCTTTCGTTCTTCGTCTTCATCGCCTCAATTCCGCTTGCTCGACAGCATTTATGCTGGCTTACTAACATGGACTACAACCACAGTTTCAACTGGGTTTAAGGCAACGTTCAGACAATGAATCCTCAGTCTACCCAGATCACCACTCCCTCCGGAGCTGTTCCGGGGACCAATGGCATGGTCAGCCCGATCCACTTGGAGCCTCGTACTCCTTACCCATATGGCTATCCTCAAGGTGCCAACATGCCGGTTCATGGGAACACTGGCCCAATGCCTCAGTTCGTTCCCGCTCCCAGTATGGGCTTTCAGGCTCATTGTGCCAATTCTGGTGGCAAAGTTCGAGCACCTGTTCCAATGAACATAATCCCCAACATGAACGCCAACATGAACGCCAACATGAACGGCGCCTTGAACGGTCCCATTGGCTGGTCGAATGCCAACGGCAGTATGTACAAAACTTCGTTCGTGCCTTACCCGAACACGCCATTCTACAATGGCATGCAACAGATGTCATCATTCCCTTCCGGCTCTGTTTCGACCCCGGTGAGCATGCACCCAGCTAATACTCCGATGGTGCATGGGGATTACCACTGGCAATACATGATGAATTATGGCTTCCCCAATCACTCCGTCAACCAAGATTCATGGACTGCCTTCAATGGGCAACATGGACCCAACAGCGAAAACACCATGCCTATGAGCTGTTTCAACAGAGGTCAGTACAATCCTGGTATGGACAGTCCCACTCTTCTGGGATACCCATATGGAAACATGTATCCGCAGACGGTATCTAACGTGCCTTTCTCAGTCCAAGTGATGAGAACGGAAACTGGATATGCTGCACAGGACATGGAGGCTCTCACACAGCAAGAGCCCGCGATTCCTCGGGCAGTGCGAGCCATGTGGAGCCCCCAGTCCGAGCTGAGTCTCGCCAAATGCCTCGAGAACCGCGAGGGCATCACCAACGTCTATATCCGAGGCTTCCTTCCGGACACGACTGATGAGATCCTTCATGCATATGCTGCTCGCTTCGGCGAAATTGAACGGTTGAAGGCCATCGTTGACCTCGAGACGGGTCTTTGCAAGGGGTATGTGATATGGAAACTTCAATCATCTTCCGCCTGATTGATGCTGATCCCGATTTTCACAGCTTCGGATTTGTCCAATTTCGCGATTACACGTCCTGTGAGAACTGCATTCGCGCGTTCTTCTATCTTGGCTACCAAGCTAGTTATGCCCAGAAGTCACGTAACTCTCGTCTCAAGGAGTTGGAGGACCGATCGTCAACCAACATCTATTGCACAAACATCCCGCATGACTGGGCCGAAGTGGTAAGCTGGCGAAATGTTTCTTTGTTGTAACTACCGAGACTGATTGATCCCGTTCTTCTAACAGGATCTTCGTGCTCACTTTGAGCCCTACCGTGTCGTGTCGGAGAAGATCAGCCGAGACGAGGTGACCGCCGTGAGCAAGGAAGTGGGATTTGCTCGGTAAGGAAATGATAACTACTGCTTAGATCTTGATTCTTGTTCTTGAACTGAACCCCAACCTACATAGCTTCGAGACCCGTGAGATCGCCGAGGCCGTCTTGGCCGAGTTCCACAATGTGGTGGCCGGCCCGAAGAAAGCGAAGTTGCTGTTGCGCTTTGCGGACACCAAGGCCCAGAAGTTGCTGAAGCAGCAGAGCAACGAGCGTCGCGCATATCGGACCCGTGAGTACAATCAAGCGGTTGGAATGCAGCAGGGTTCGACTCCATCGCCCACCGTTCGACGCCCTCGACACCCGAATGCCCACATTACGCCCGATTCTCAGCAGAGCATCAACATTTCTCCGGATCAAATCAGCTCCAACTGGACTCCTGCAACCTCGATCTCACCCACGTAAGTTGACATGGGAGAGTTGATGATTGAAAAGGGGGTTGTTGGTGACACCTTTACTGACAAGCCGTTCTAGTTACGCTTTGATGAAGAAGCATGGAAACGGTGCGCCACGCAATGCTCCGGTTCAAAGCCTGTCCGCATTGCAGAACACCACGATGTACCGAGAGGGGTTCTTGCATCGTCGTTCCATGACTGAGATCTCGGGCTCATCCATGACACCTCGACCCGGCTCTCCTGATCTCGAGCCTCGTTCGTACATGTCAAGCCCCCGAAAGGAGAACTTCAAGGCTGGCTCAATGTCCCCGATTCCATCTCGAATGGCGCTTACTGTTCCAACCCCCGGGTCTTGCGCCTGAGGTTTCAGCGTCAAATCTGAGTCAAGGCCCAAGCGAGACCAGGTAGAAACCGTTCGATTCTTGTTCTTATCTTCGATCTGCGACATGCGTTAATCGTACACATCATGTACCACGATGTATGATTGTGAAACAGTTTTTTTTCTCCAGCTCTTTGTCCTACCGAACTTGTGTTTTGATGATGTTTTCATCGGCAATGATTTGCTCTTTGTTTCTTTTCTTTTCCCCTTTTCGTTTTTCTTCGTGCAGCTATCTGGGAAGATCATGTCTTTTCGCAGTATCTGTTCGAACTTTATGTCTTTCATCATTATCCCCCCAGTGTCGCTGTGCTTTTTACATCTTTATCCCCCAGCATCTCTATGCCTTCCATCTTTTCCCCCCAGTGTCGTGTTCTTGCAAGCTGTCCAGGCCAATATGGTTAGTATGACATTATTAGTACGAGTCCCATGCTTATGGGAATGACGGAAATGACCCGTGAATGACAAAGATATTATTAACAATTGTGCAAAGTAGACACACCATTGATCTATAAATCTAGGAACTCGACTGCAAAGCTCCCAGGAATCCATGCGTAGGTATTTGGGTAGCCGTTTCCCGTGTCGCGCTAGCTGGCCGTGGCTGGTCTTGACTTCAGCTTTCACAGGTTCAAAGTTACTACAGATTCAGTGCTTCTTTGCTGAAGACTCATTTTATGCTCTAAATCTCGGGGACTCGGGTATAGTCCGACTCCCATTCAGAGATGTCAAAGAGATTGACAAGGTATTAAGCCTCCACGGAACGGTAGGTCCCTTGTATCCAACACAAATCATATTGCGTACAAGCCACAGGTGACTCTTCCTTTGGCGGAGAACAGTCATTCTCTTCCAAATCATCCTCAATAGGCGTCTTCGGTTCCAATTTACCATTCATTAGTCGAACCACAAAATTCCAACAAGTTGTGGATGCCGTACGATAATAATCAAGAGTAAAATTGTGAATTTCAGATGGGTAAACGAATTCATGATTGTCCGATCGACAATACTGGCTATTCTATGATTGGGAAAAATAATTCAAATATCAACGCCAAGGACAATCCAAATGAGTGAGGATAATGATGATTTGACGACGCCGAATGATGTTTGTGCATCCCCCACCCAAGTGTAGGATGAATTCTGCCCAGCTAGCAAGAGAGCGTGCCTCCATTCCAATTCGACATCAGCAATCAATTGCGTCCCAGTCGCTCCTCCAGATCTTGGGTGAGCTCGTAAGCTGGTAAATAACCCCCATCTCCCTCGGCCTCGGCAACACTGCCGTCCCCGGTCTCGCTAGCCCGCCGCAATTTCGGGTTCGGATGCGTATCCGAGGTACCCCCCAAACTTGTATATCCCATATCGTAAAGGCAGCAATAAGCAAGATCCAGATGGCGAATGAAGGCCCAAATCTCTGCATAATGCCAGTCAATGACTGGATGCACGCGCATGAAATCGGGCCATCCTTGGTCGGTCCGGTCGAAGTGCGTCAGTTTCGCGCCGTGCGGATCCGTACGCCGTGTACCGACGAAGATTGCGCGGATACTTGGGTGGCGGGATAGGTAGTCTTCGAAGCTGGAGCGGAGGGTTGTGGCGGGTGGAGCGGTGGTGTATTTTGTGATTTGGAGATGGTAGGCCTGCGCGGAGGTGACGACGAAGTCTTCAACGGCGGGGAAGGGGTCTGGTGGGAGGGCGTAGATGGCAGGGATCTCGGAGATGGAAGAGGCATTCTCCTCATTTGCATTGGAGGTAGAGGTGACACTTTCAGACTGTGTGGTGGGTTGGTTGGACTGCGCCGCGCTCAGATGCGGGTGTAGGCCCGCCAGGAAGAGGATGAGCATAACCAAGCAGTCCTTGCCGCCATTGTAGGAGACCGAGAGCTCGGAGAACTTGTATTGAGTGAGAGCTTTGGTGACGACGTCGAGTGAGATGCGGGTTTGTTGCTGGACCGAGGCGAGGAGGGAGTTTGGTGGGTGTGACTCCTCGAGGAAGGCCTGAACGCGGGCGTGAATGCGCGCAATCACCGTCGGCAGCGCGGGGATCTCTTCTTCATCGGACTGTGCAGGAGTAGATGATGCATTGCCGTTGCCGTTACTATGCGGGTGCGCCGATCCGTTCTGTTTCTGGAGTGTCGTCGAGTCGGAGAGGTCTTGGTTATTCTGGAGATACGTTGCCGTGGGCTGGTCGGCTCCGCGGGGTTCCAGCGGGGCAGTGGTGACGGGTTGGAATGGCCGGAGATGATCCTGTGCGCATGTCGAAGAGTATGTAGAGACTGATGGCTCATCCGGCCTCTTTCCAGGGACCACGGACTGGGCCATTGTGCAGGAGAGTGGCTTGCAGGAGAGTAAAGATGGAGGACGAGGCGGGGAGAGTGGGTTACTCGGCCCTCGGGGGAATCCAGAATGATCTAATCCCATGTGGGGGGAATTGTCGGGAACCCGTTGGAATGAGGAGGAGTCGGTGACACAGCCACATACCCTGGTTGACCACGGAGAAAATGGATGAATGTGAGGCTGGGAATTGAATTGAAAGTGTGGATAGTGAATTGGGATTGACGGTAGATTCGTGAATGTATGTAACCCGTGATTCATTGCTGGACTAGCCTTTATAATTGCCTTATCAGGCACATAAACCTAAAGTGATGTATGCGCCAGCAGGAATAACAATTTTGCATATTAGAACAAACTTAAGGAAGTGCTATAAATTAGCCTAAGTTTCATAGTAAGGATGATATCGAGGTCTAAGCCACTGCTGGAAGCGCCGCTGTAAAGACTACTCTATTTCTCTATTTCTCGAATGCCCGGGAAGGTAGACCTTCCTTATTAGTCGCGCTGTATCTCTTGCAAGACTTATTTAGATATAGACAGCCTAGAAGACGAGAGTTAGGATGAGGGCAAAGATTAGGTGTAAAAAAGTTGAATATGAATTCTGGAAACTAGTCCATCCAGATATCCATGAATCCTGAATCCACGACAAACAAGATCCAATTCCAAACGCCAGAATGCTCGTTCCCTCCAATTAGCCCAGTACCTTCATCTTTTTCTTTTTCTTCTTCTCGTCACCAGTCTTGCGTCCCTTCTGCCAATCTCGCCAGGTCCCAATGCGCTCTTCTCGTGTATCCTCCCACGCCTTGTCCTGATCTCGCTTGCGCTTGCGCGCTTCTAGTTCTTCCTCCTCCTTGCGCTTCTCGCGACCTTCTTCCTGCATGCGTGCCTTGGTCTGGCGACGTCGTCTGGCCTCTTCCTCAAGTAGCACGTGCACGGCCTTTTTCCTCCATTCCACCTTGAACTCTTCCGTTTGGAGCTCGGGCGAGTCCAACGTGTATTTGTGTTCGCGGATCAACAGCCGCCGAGCATCAGCGATGCACTCATCCAGATATGTGCGCTGCTTTTCGTCGAGGAGGGCGGTTTGCGCTTTCTTGAGCCGGTCAAAGGCGTCCGGCGCGGCAGGATTCTTGGTCTTATCGGGGTGAATGAGGAGGGATTTCTTGCGGTACTGGACTTTAATGTCCTTCTCGGTCACACCGGGCTGGAGATCGAGGACGGCGTAGCTATTTAAGCCCCAAGTTAGTAGGTCAATAAGGCATCGTAGGCTTGCGATAGCTCCACTCACGCATCGAGAGAGAAGGCCGAGCGGATGCGGTCGATCTCCGCATCCTGAGATTGCGCGTTAGTCGGGTCCTTGCTGGTACTATCGGCAGGGAATGAGAACACACCTTGGTAAACTCTGAGGCCTCTCGCTCGAGCGAGTCGAAAATATCCTGATCCAGCTCGTCGTCCGCCATGAGGGAAAAGTGTCTTAAAGCTCGATGCGCAACGCGATCGGCCAGTCGCACTTTGGAGAGATAAGCCCGCTTATCGGCTGCTGAGTCAGCACGAAAAAAAAGTCGCGGGAATAATTTGGAGACTCGAAACGAGAGAGAAGGTTTGCGATAAGAAACTCTCAGACAACCTTCTTCAAAAGGCAACATGGCTCCTCCACGGACATCTCGTGGCAAAGGCCCCAAGCAAAAACATGACTCTGGCAGAACTTTGAAACGCAAGCGCGGCGAGGACGAGCTATCCACGCTCACCCAAAAAGTCGAGGATCTCGATCTCAAGACCGCCGTCAAAAACTTCTCCGATCTGCCTCTCTCCGATCCCACCGCGCGCGGCCTGGCTGCTTCACACTACAAGACCCTGACCGATATTCAGTCTCGTGCGATCAGTCATGCCCTCAAGGGTCGCGATATTCTCGGCGCCGCGAAGACTGGTAGCGGCAAGACCCTGGCGTTCTTGGTCCCGGTGCTAGAGAATCTCTACCGCAAGCAATGGACTGAATACGATGGCCTGGGTGCGCTCATCCTTGCCCCGACCCGTGAACTCGCCATCCAGATCTTCGAAGTGCTCCGCAAGGTGGGCCGGTATCACGCCTTCTCCGCCGGACTGGTCATTGGTGGTAAAAGCTTGCGCGAGGAACAAGAACGATTGGGACGGATGAATATTCTGGTCTGCACACCTGGACGTATGCTGCAGCATTTGGACCAGACCGCTATGTTGGAGACGAACAACCTGCAGCTCTTGGTGATGGACGAGGCGGACCGGATTCTGGACATGGGTTTCCAAAAGACAGTCGACGCTATTGTCGACCATCTTCCCAAGGAGCGCCAAACTATGCTCTTCAGTGCGACGCAGACAAAGAAGGTTGGAGATTTGGCTCGTTTGAGCCTACAGGACCCCGAGTACGTTGCAGTTCACGAAACCGCCGCCGCCGCGACCCCCTCTACCCTCCAGCAACACTATACCATCACCCCCCTGGCGACGAAACTCGATGTCTTGTGGAGCTTTATCCGCAGCAACTTGAAGTCCAAGACGGTGGTGTTCCTCTCTTCTGGAAAACAAGTTCGATTTGTGTACGAGTCTTTCCGACACCTCCAACCCGGTATCCCGTTGATGCACCTGCACGGCAAGCAAAAGCAGGGTGGCCGACTTGACATTACCACGAAATTCTCCCAATCTCAGCATGCAGTTCTTTTCGCCACGGATGTTGCGGCCCGTGGTCTCGATTTCCCTGCGGTCGACTGGGTCATCCAAGTGGACTGCCCCGAAGACAGCGACACCTACATCCACCGAGTCGGAAGAACGGCCCGTTACGAACGAGTTGGTCGTGCCGTGCTTTTCTTGGATCCTAGCGAGGAGAAGGGCATGCTTAAGCGGCTCGAGCAAAAGAAGGTCCCCATTGAGAAAATCAACATCAAGGCCAACAAGCAGCAGAGCATCAAGAATCAACTGCAAAATATGTGTTTCAAGGACCCTGAGCTGAAGTATCTGGGCCAGAAGGCCTTCATCTCTTACGTCAAGTCTATTTACGTGCAAAAGGATAAGGAAACCTTCAACTTGAAGGAGTTGAAGCTGGAGGAATATGCGTCTAGTCTGGGTCTTCCCGGTGCTCCTCGCATCAAGTTCATCAAGGGAGACGATACAAAGGAGCGGAAGAATGCCTCCTGGAAGATGGCCCACCTGACTGACTCCGAGGACGAATCGGGCGAAGAGGGTGCGGTCAAGAAGGATAAGAAGGACGAGAAGGAAGTGCGCACACGCTACGATCGCATGTTCGAGCGACGAAACCAGGACGTGTTGGCTGGCCATTACTCTAAACTTATCAATGACGATGGTACGATGATTGATACCGGTGCTGGTGCGGCTACTAGCCAAGATGCCGACGAGGACGTCGATTTCTTGTCCGTCAAGCGCGTCTTTGCTGCCGGTGACGACAACCTTGGCAAGGTCGATTCCGATGATTCCGATGATTCAAGTGACGACGAGAAGGAGACCAAGGTGGTGCAGCTGGATGGCAAGAGCGAGCTTATCATCGACTCCAAGCGCCGCGAGAAGCTGCTCAAGTCGAAGAAGAAGCTCCTCAAGTTCAAGGGCAAGGGTACCCGACTTGTCTACGACGAGGAGGGTAATGCCCACGAGGTATACGAGATGGAGGACGAGGAGACATTCAAGGCCCGTGGCGACGCCGATACCCAGCGCGAGCGCTTCCTGGCCGAGGAGACCGAGCGCACTCGTCGCGCCGATCTCGAGGACAAGGAGGTCGCACGCGACAAGCGTCGCGAGAAGAAGGAGAAGCGGAAGGCTCGCGAGCGTGCCCTTGCCGCGGAGGAGGTAGAGGACGACGACGAGGGTGGTGTTGCTCATGGATTGCCTTTTGTGCCTTTCGAGATTCCGGGGTCAGACTCTGGATCCGAGGCAGAGGAGAAAGAGGCATCCCGACCCAGCAAGAAGCAGCGCGTTTCCTTTGCCCAGCCCGACTCCGACAGCGAGGACGACTCTCGCCAGAAGCGTACAAAGGGTACGAAGGCTGCTGCTGCCCAGCCCCAGATCGAAACTTTGGCAGATCTGGAGGCGTTGGCCAGTGGATTGCTGGGTTGATTTTGCATGGGCCTTACCAATTGGCGTATTTCTTGGGGTGTCTTCTGTTTCTTTTTGTCTGAGATCTTGTAATGTGCTAGCGAAACCTCTAAAAAGCATTTATCATGTTTTATTCAGCATGAAGTATATAGTGAAGCCAACGATTTTGTGAACACCCTCCAAGTTGTGTCGATTGAACTAAGTTTAGAGGTAAAATTTAAGCGTGAAGAACACCCAATTAGAGAGACTTGTTTCAGCCCTGCAACACCATTTCCCAGCCTAAGATTAATGCCATGCAGAACAACGGAGTACACTACAGCTGTCACCAATTTAACCAAGCTTTCTATCCGAAGAACCTTCTCTAGGGAATGCGGCCTAAAAATTTCAAACAATTGCCGATGCCGTGAAGCAAGTGGATCCGATCGAATTTTTTTCTCGTCATCGCCTCACCATTTGGACGACTCACAGCGAACCTACAGCGGGCCTGTCCGTCCACTCATCGCAGCGTTGAAGCACGCCATCGCAAGAAACACGCTCGACAGTCTTCAGGTTTTTGTGTCAGAGTGCAGAATTGAAATGACTTTTCTTCTTTTATCATTTCTTGTTGGCGCTACGCCTGTCATTTCGATTGACGATCTGGGGTAGCCACGTGCGGGTCACGAGATTTTAGGGCTTTTGGTGAGTCGAATCGAGTCGAGTTTCGAGTTTCACTGCACGTCATTGCAGAGAGGAGGGGACAATAAGCTGATATTGTCTCCTAGATCATACTCACTGGCAGCTGCTGAGTCTCTGAAAAGAAATCTCTTCTACATTCTCAAATTTTGGGAATCCCCGTCCATCTACACCATGGCGGCTCATCTATCAGACCCAGAAAAGAACCCATCCGAGTCAAAAGCTCATGATGGTGTCTTCGACGGCTCTTCAACCCCCTTTGTCAATGCTGACAAGCTTGCCCGTCGCCTGTCTGCCCGCCAGGTACAGATGATCGCCATTGGCGGCACAATCGGTACGGGTTTGTTCCTGGGTACCGGCAGCTCTCTTGCAAAGGGCGGACCCGCCTCGACTCTTATCGCCTACGCTATCTGCGGTGCCATCGTCTTCATCACTATGCTCTGCCTGGGCGAGATGGCCGCCTTTGTCCCCGTTGCTGGGTCCTTTTGCACATATGCGGGGTGAGTGGCGGGATTTTTCTCTGAGGTTACATTCGAGTTCGTGATGACTAAACTTTATTTTTGGACAGGCGGTTTGTTGATGATGCGCTTGGTTTTGCGCTTACTTGGAATTATTGGTTTAATGATGCTGTGTCTACGGCTTCTGATATTATTGCGCTTCAACTTTTGTTGGAGTATTGGACGGAGAATTTCCCTGGTTGGGCCATTAGCTTGATCTTTTTGGTTGTGGTCATTGCGCTGAATATTCTTTCCGTCCGCGTTTATGGCGAGGTACGATCGGCTTGTTTTATGGCTTTGCATATTTGTTACTAACTTGTTGATTCTAGGTTGAATACTGGCTCAGCTTACTTAAAGTTATCACTATTGTGGTTCGTCAGAACATAGCACCGTTTTCATATTGCGCCGCGCTAATCTGCTTTATAGATCTTCATTATTCTCGGTATTGTTGTCAACTGCGGCGGCAACAAGGACCACGAATATATCGGCGGCAAGTACTGGCATATCGGAGATGCTCCATTCGTTGGTGGTATTGGTGGATTCGCCTCTGTCTTTGTCACTGCTTCATTCGCCTAGTATGTCTATAAACCCATATCTCCTAATTAGGATCATATAACTAACACTCTCTAGTGGCGGCACCGAGTCCATCGCCATCACCGCCGGTGAAACCAAGGACCCAGCCAAGAACATGCCCAAGGTCGTGCGTAACGTCTTCTGGCGTATCTTGCTCTTCTACCTGCTCTCCATCCTGCTCATCGGTCTTAACGTTCCCTACAACTACCCGGGTCTCTCCGATGGTGACACCCGCACTAGCCCGTTCACCATCGTTTTCCAGGAGGCTGGCAGTACCGTTGCTGGTAGCTTCATCAACGCGGTTATCATGACTTCCGTCATCTCCGCTGCCAACCACGCTCTCTTTGCTGGATCCCGTCTGCTGTACACGCTTGCAGTCGATGGTTATGCGCCTCGCTTCTTCGGTCAATTGAACCGCTTCCACGTCCCCTGGGTCGCTGTGTTGGCTACTTCCGTTATCAGTGGACTCTGCTTCGGCGCTAGCTACATCGGCGCCGGCAAGTTGTGGACTTGGCTGCAGAACATCGTCGGTGTCTCGAACCAGCTTTCCTGGATCTGTATCGGTCTTGCATCTCTTCGCTTCCGCAGTGCCATTCGCGCACAGGGCCTCGAGCATCTCCTCCCCTTCAAGAACTGGACGTACCCCTACGGTCCTATCTTTGCTGTGGGACTGAACATCGTTCTTGTCCTTGTCCAGGGATGGAAATGCTTTAGTCCGCACTTCAAGGGTGTCGACTTTGTCTCGTATTATATCGAGATTGCTATCATGGTTGTCATGTTCTTGGGTTGGAAGCTGATTAAGCGTACCCATTTCATTCGGAAATCTGAGATGGATCTCCACACGGATCGATATGATGGTGGCGTGGACGATGGTCATTATCGTGAGGAGATTGTCGTGGAGGAGACGAGGAAGGGATTCATTGGCAAGGTTCAGCGCTTTGGCCAGTGGTTGTTCTTTTAGTTTGTGTTAGAGATACTGTTAATGTTTATTTTTGCATCTGTCCATAGCGAGTCATCAATTCTATTAACTTGCATCGATCATTGTTGAACACATCAAGGTTTTCCAATTAAGTAATAAGTAGATTAAGCGTCTATTCTAGGAGAGTACTGGGAATCCTCGAAATTTTTGCAACAAAAAAAACTGTACACTGATGTACAAATCCCCCACCAAGAACTCATAACATATCCAGCATGCCGTTCCAAACATCCCACCGTGAATGCATGCCAGATGAATCTAAGAAAATGAATGATATGAAAAAAAAAACGAAAATGAGAAAAAAAGCGATGCTAGATCGCACCCTTCCCACTCCGCAAAACGCCATGCCATGTCTTGAAAAAGAAACACCATAACTGAAGGGGTAATCGCGAGAAAGAAATGGTAAAAGACGAGATAGCCAACAAACATAGGAAATAAAACTCGGTGGACAGATCCTGCTGTAAAGACGCCGGTCGGATCCAGTCCAGAGGCACCGAGACGGGAATCAATAATCACGAAATACACCACCATTAAAACACAGTAACAAGACGATGTGAAGAGGTATCGAGTCGGCAACTGTGCAATATAAAAAATAGACGCGTTCTGGTTGCATCAAAGGCGAGCATAAAAATGACGCAGACAGAAATGGATACAAATTCTTTCTGCTGCTTGCACCGAAATAAAACAATGCGCCGTGATGGGAATCAAAAAAAGAAATGGGTATATCAATCACTCCCTGTAGACCCGGCTACAGGACGGTAGATTATACAATATTAGACAGCATGGTGCAGTTAATAGCACAGCATGCAGGCAGTTGATGAGGAGAATAATTTGTTATCGGGTTTTAGTCACGGAATCAACCGTTGACCATATCGTCCAGGGCCATTTTGCGACGCTTGATGGGCCTAGGCTCTGAATTTTCGCCTTCGGTAGCGGGAGTCGTGGTCGTTCGGGTGGCCGCTGGTAAAGCATGACTGACAGTCACCGGCGAGGGTAATTCGACCGGGCCTAGATGCCGTGGGACTGGGTCAAGAGGACCAGTTATGGAAGATGAGCGATGATGAGATGACGAGTGTGAGAAAGCCGAGCTTATGGGTCGTTGCAGCGCTGCTGGCGATCTCGGTTCCCTTGACATGTCTTCACGTCCGGGCGAGCTCCAGCTTGCCGGGTATGGGTCGCTCAAGCGATGGGCGTGGTGCGGCTGGTGAGGTCGGGGACTAGCCGTGGCTTGATGTATAGGTGGAAGTCGGACTGGTGACTCGAGATACGGCTCGCGAGGGCCATGGGGCATTCGAGGGTCACTCAACGGTTGATGCAGGGTGCCAGGCGGAGCTTCGCTATATGGCAAATAGTGTACACCTGGTGAATGATGCTGAGTAGGAGATGTCGGAGGTGGCAAAGCTGGACCTGCGTATGATGGGAATCTTCTGTCCATTCCTGGTGGCATCGTCCCAGGCTTAAGGACCGGATTGAATCCACTTGTGATCGGCACAAATGCAGGAGGGGGAGGCGCTGGGGCGGATGGAGGTACATAGAGTGGTGGTCCTGATGAAGAGAACGGTCTTCGTCCCATGGCACCTGGCATCGGAGGAGATTGTTCCATAGGTCGTGTTAGAGGAAACACGGATGCAGACCATCGGTGTGGTTGACTGCGTGGCATTCGCATTGCTGCAGCGCTTGCTGGCCCTGGCTCACCTATTCCCTGGAGATCTGTCATTGGCCTTAGTTCGCGGGATGAGGTAGCTCGATGCATGACTGTTCTTTGTGAGGCTGTCGAAGACTGGGATTCAGCAGTCATTGCCGGATTATCGACATGAGCGTTTGAGTAGGAACGTAGAGAAGAATCCTCGGCTTTCAATGGCGGTCGCCCTCGTTTCTTGTGCGTGACATCGACACATGAAGACTTTACCGTCATTCATAATCAGAATTTGTTCATTCATCTTGTACAAATGTAAATGAGAGTTTACTTACGGCCTTGCCAGCGAGTACACATCTTCGACATGGGCGTGCAGGATCACATCCAAGGTGCTTCTTCTTGCAGTTCACACAGGCCGAAGCTACGTGAGCTTTGGTGCGCCGAGTTGATTTCTGTGCAAGTGATCTGCCTGCTGGTCCAGCTATCGACGATTCCAACGCTGAAAGAGGATAAGGTGGACCTCCAGGCAATGTTTGTGGTGAGCCAACTCCGAATGCCGGCGGTGGTGGCCCGCTGATTTGTCCATATCGCGGCGGCGTTATATGTGCTGGCAGAGGTTCACTGACGGACGATAGTGGCTGTGATATTGTTGATCCAGGAATATGAACCCTAGAGCTGGGGGCAACGTCGATAGCACTGGTTATTGCTGGAGAGGAAACGGACGAATATCCTAGAGGAGGCTTAGGGTTTCCGGCTGTCACTAGGGGCTCGTCGGCCGGCGGCGAGCCAGACATAGATTGACGGGAAAGAGGAGCCCGGGGGCTATACCCTCGAGCATTGGAAGACCAAGATCGATTCAACGGAAGCCGCTCTGGGCCGGAGCTGAACCGGGGCTGTCCGAACTGGGCGGTAGCAAGGCTCGGGGGATGAAGCACGAGTGGTTGCATCGGGCGTCAGGCGGCAAAATGACAAAAGGGCCCACGGAGGCTGACAAGAAAAGATGAATTATTCTTTTCTTGGAAGAAACTAATCCAACGAGGATTTTTCTTCAACTATAGGGGACCACTGGATCTGCTTTGGGCCGTTGAAAGTAGCATATCTGGCAAAGGGATCCCGGAGTATAGTCCTAGACACAAAACCGGGCAGGGATGAGGATGGGGATTGGACCAAGGAGGATAGGTGAATGAAGGGAGTAAGTGTAGGAGTTAGAAATCAAAATAGGAGGAGATACTTTGGGAATAGAAAGGACAAAAAGGTATTGTAACAAAAAAGAAAAGGGTATGACCAAGAGGGGCAAGAGGAAGGGAGGGAAGGATGCAAGAGGTCAGCAGTAAAAAAGAACTCGCAGCGGTGTAGGAGAAAGAAAGGGAAACAAAAACGGGCAGTCAAAAACCAATCAGAAAAAAGGAAGAATCAATCAATATTAAAGGCGAATTAAATAGATTCTCCAAAAGAGAAAATCAAAAAGGCGTCGATATCCGGGCGTGATCAAGCTTCTCCTCTCATAGCCGGCGAAGGACCACCCGAGCTTATAATCCGTAGGACGATGAGATCCGCTATTGGAGGAGTCAGAAAATAGACTGCATCGATCAGCGGGAGATTTCCAGATCATGACAGCAGGGTTACTCATAGCCGCGCATGTCTTTCCCCTCCTAGGGCGATTTATTGCAGGATGGCGGTCGATCATCGAGCTAGGATCCAGCTGCAGCAACACCAGTGTCAAAGCCACCCCCCACGCGCCTTACTGGTGTCTTGATTCTAGGGCCCACGTTCCGTACAACTGGGATTGGCAGAATCCTAGACAGAAAAGACATGGGGCGTGATAGAGAATGATCCTGTGGAGGGGGTGGAAAAGGAGAAGGGCATGGGGAAAGGACAGAGAGACAGGATAGAAACGGTGAACTATACCCTGAGATGATCGTTCGATCTAAACACCGATGGTGATGGTAAGACGCAAAGTAGCTCGGACCTTGTTGTCCCGGCAAAGTGGTAGTATAGGAGGTATACGTATAGTATGTACTCCGTAATGTTGCAGATAAAATGCTTGGTAATGGCCGGATAGTTCTGGATGATATTGTCTGGATGTCCAGTTCCTGTGATCCTGTTTGGCTGGTTGTTTCTCTCCCCTATATTCTATAGATTGCTAGACAGGCACGAGGTTGAAACGGCAGGAAAGGGAGATGTAAAAAGAGGAAGGCCAAGGTCAAAAAGCCACAGAAGAAGAGGATCCACGGGTGGAATAATAGTCTTCTTTCCTGCTGCCAAGCATGGAGCAGCACGACCAGCGGGCTGATCCAGACTCTTGGGCTTCAGGCATTAGGCTTATACCAGAAATGGGGAAGACACACACGCAGAGAGAGAGAGATTAAGTGGGCCCTAGGCTCAGGGTAGTGAAAGTAGTGGTCAGTGCAGACGGCACTAGTAGCTGATAGACTTGATCTCCGTCATGGTAGATCTTTTGAATCATGGGGGGTATTACTGTAAATCATTTAATTGTTATCCCTTATCGATTTCTTTTTTTATGATTTTTTTATTCTTTTTTTTATGGACCTAACGGTAGCTAGACCGAAGGGGGAAGAATAATGAATGACCTCTAGTGTACCGCTTGTCGAGTGGGGATGTCCCCATTAACTACTGGATTATTCTCCATTGCAAGCTCGCCATTACCCATTTCCGACCCCTATTATTCTTCCGAGCCGAAAAACAAATCATGATCATCAAGGAAGATTATGGGGGAGCACGGATTACAGCCATGGTAGGATAGAGAGGAAATGGAGAGAATGAGACTGGGTAGGGCGTCCAGAAATGCATAGACCGATCTGCCCATTCAGGTCTCTGGGCTGGGGAACTACTCAGTCCACGGGCTGGGGTGGCTTGCATTAGACGGCGAGTCGCTGTCAGTGACACCCCTCCCTTTCGGCGAGACTGTTAGGCTATTATGTGCGGTATAAACTATGAACTACCCTAAGCACTGCATACGAAATACGCACGAACTGCACAGTGTGTACTCAGCTTTATCGTAAAGAACATACCGAATAGGCCGTAGAGGCGGCTGTAAAGAACCAGTCTGTCGAAAAAGAGGGCTTGGAGTACGCGAGACACCGAAAAGGAAATACCAGCTGCAGTGGCTTTCCTTATTCTATGGGTTTTCCTGCATAGACTGATTTTCTGAGTTTTTCTGATTTATTTTCTTTTTATTTCGTTGGTACAAAGGGAGGGGGAAAATCATTCGAGGCCAAATCAGACCCACGAAGCAAGGCGAACGATTGACGGATCGACGTCGGTGCCCGCCGCCATTGCCAATAGTTAGGCTCGGCAATGAATTGCGCATTCCGTTTGACATGCACAAAGTACATGCATTTTCCTCGTCATCATGCAAAGGGAGGGGGAGGAGGGGGCGTACATCACACACCATCATGGGAACAGAAGCTGTACTCCGTACAGTAGACTAAAGAAGAAAAAAAAGTACAAGAACACCTTCTTAGGCTATATGTTTAATCTTAAGGATAATCCATTATTCAGTTCTTTGGGGGCCCAGTCATACCGCGACGAAGCATACACAGTTTCCAATACTAAATCGACTAGGGCAAACTATAGCTGTAGTCTTCGAGTTGATTGATTAACAGGAAAGTTCGTATTATTCCGGCCAGTCGGTCGGGTCCATTATTGATTGAATTGTGATTTATTGTACGCCGTATTGACCGAGTAGGGATCTGTATTATGATTACTGGGATTATATTATTATTTGTTTCCCGATTTCTGATCTTATTATCCTCATCCTAGTCTTAGTCTCTTTCCCATCTTGATTTTTTTGATCATTAATTATTATTTGAGTTTCCCACCTTATTTAGGCTCCACCGTGCGCTGCTTTGAAGGAGTGCTGAAGAGGCTAAGTGAAATGCAGCGACCAGGCGAGCTCCAGCATTAGGAGGTTCAGGACGGAGTTATCAGCACCGACATCCACGCCGGCGGGACACGCCAGGGCGAGAACCGAAGGTCAAGTTGATCAACCGGCACTTTGTTCAGTGTCCCTGCATACTTTTGATGTTTGTCTCAGCTGTCCTGCTCTTTTAGCTTTGGACTCGAGACCTTGAGGCTCATGGTTAGATTGGGGGGGGTGATGCAGGGACTATACTTCCTCCTTACAATATTCCGCTTGATGTCATCAAGTAAACAGGCAAGAATGTACACAGTAGAGCCTGTTCGTAGGAAGACCGCCTAGTGATGTCAAACCGGCCGGGAAGAACGCGGTCGCGAACGCCTCCCATCCCATGGTCGTTATTCTCCGCAGTGGAGATAAGGGGGTTGCCCCACCACTGGATGACCGAGTCGATCCTGATCCTCCGTCTTTATGCGCCGTTGTACAGGAAGGGGTTACTGTTACAATGAAGCTTGACCGAACGGTAGATTTGAAGACTCGTTCACGGAGAGAGAGGAGAGAAAGAAGTGGTCTCACGGCAGGCGTAGTTCTTCCATGATCCTGAACCGGAAAGCTGCAGGCAGGGGTTGGAGAGGTTGGGAAAGGAGGAGAGGGGACGAACCAAGGTACAAAGGATACGTTACGCCGTATGATAGGAAGAAAAAGAGCAAAGGCAAAGCTTTCTCCAAGTCTTGTTTTTGTTTGTATGCACTCCGTAAATTTCGAGTCTTCGAGTCCAGTCGTTCTCCCTGATTCTGTCGGTAAAGTATGGAAATAATTCGCGACGGGCAAGTAATCCCGGTGACAAGGTCCGGTCCCCTCGATTCAGGGCGGGTTCCTGTCGTGATACCATCCATCACACCTGGCACGCCCGGGCAAAAGGGTAGGCACTGTAGATAGAGACATAGAACGGAAGAATAGGGCGAGAAGAACGGGAGGGGCGGAGGGAGGACGAAGACGGGAATAATCCCCCTCAGGGTCTTGCAATGACCCGTTCCTCGAATGACTTTATTCTTTATTTTCCGGGGACTCCAAGTTCTCCAGCAGCATTGAGCACCAAGATGTGGCTGCAGCCTCAGCAGCCTTGGTGGGCGATCACCATCCTCCAGCGCGTGCGCATTGCTCATCCCTGGCATCTTGCTGCCTTTCAGCTGCAGGGAAAATCCGGCTCATGTCATTGGGTAAATGACAGGTAGAAAGGGGCCAATGATACGAATTGGTTGAATGGGCAGGAAGAGGGGGCCTTGGCTGGGAGTCTGCCGGGTGCTGCCGAGGGGGGTATAGGGCATTGGGCACCTGCGTACGGAGGATAATTGCCCAAAAGTCTAGTTGCAGGCAGAGCAGGAGAAGGAACAGGCGGGCTCGCCTTGGCCATGAGGGGGTCTGGCCACCCCAATAGCTCCAAAGGGGAGGGGGCAGTACCAAGAGCAGCAGGAGAAAAGCAGAGCTGTGCAATGTGCATAGCTGTGTGGAACATGCGGCACGCGGAGCAGCAAGGGGTCTGTCACCCCCGTTCATGCACGATCGGCCACTGGGAGTCAATAGTGCGAACCACTCGGTGGCCCCCCAAGCGTGATAGTCTGCCCATTCAGGCTTAGTCATGGGTAGTTCATTCCGTCCTAGGGAGGTAGGCAGGCTCTTTTTCGAATCCAAAACTAGATGCCTAGAGTAGGTACTTCGTAGTTAGCTCAGAGAGACGGTCGGTCGGTTTGTGATGAGAGAAAGTGATTCGTCCATACCTGAATGTTGAAGGCTAAATGGGGCAAAAGCACCATGGTTCAAGGATAGATGATCACTGGTCATTGCGTTGCGGGACAACTTTCGTAGACCTTAGCGCGAGAAAACATCCCGTGAATGTGGACATGCTCGATTTGTCAAATTCCCAGCGCGGATCCTTTGGGTAATTCGCCGACCACTAGCCGATAGTGATAAGCTAGTTAGTCTCGCACCGGGAAAAATCAAGAAACGGAGATTATTCGGGACTAACGCCTCGTGGGGTTGACAGCCCATCTCCTGTCAAACAAAAAACCCGAGGTTGATCGCGTAGATAGTCGGCGATCCAGCTCACATGTGCATGATGTGATAACTTGGCTAGAGGCAGCTAGAGCCATAGAGGGAGAAATCAGGATCAAAGAATCCATCCAGTTTAACGGTTCTTCCCAGCGGTCCGAGGCCGAGATTACCCTGTGATTGGGCTCTCGGGTGTTCTGTACTGAGCGAGACATGATAGTCCGTCAAATTCGTCAATATTGTCCGGCCAGTTGGGAATTTGGCGTGTATAAGACTGGACACGAGTACAGTGGCCGTTCGGCATTGACGCATGGCGTGCATGTCAGGTACTGCGCTTGGTTAGTACAGACCTATAGCTCGAGATTAGTATAGCTTAGCTTGAAGGGGGAAAAGATGGACCAGGGAGGTGCAGGTCATATGACAGTGCAAGCGGACGTGAGATGTAGAGAAGAAAAAAAAAGAAAAGGTATGACTGAATATGGTTGTGTTCATGATAGCAATAATTGGTGTGGTATCTCCAATGCAGATGGCAGGTATAGACATCATCCAAAGTAACAAATGCACCCCTTTAAACTATGTATACAAGACTTGATCCATTCTCCCCCGGCCCTTCTTAACGCTTCTTCGAAGGGCGCGCGTTCTTTTCGCGGCGTCTCTGCTTGAGCTTCCGCGCCTTCCGAATATCATCAGTCGAGCGAATCTCACTCTTTCCGTGCGACGCAGCGCCGCCAGCCTGGGATTGCTGACGCTCCCGAGCCGTGTCATTCTTCTTCTTCTGTTTCTCGTAGTCGAATCGCAACGGGTCGGCCCGCTTGGGAGCCTGCTGCCTCTGGTGTCGGAATCGACCACCAGGGCCGTGCCCGCCCGGCATGCCCGATCCTGTGGAGAGACCAGGCGTCTCGGCTTCACCCACACGAGGCAAGTTGCTCATACGCTTGCCCTTCTTCCAGCTCTGGAATCGGCCACTACGGAAACTGGCGGCAATCTTGGCACCACTCTCACCGCGGACGAGGCGTGTACCCTTGGAACCATCCTCATCGTTCTGACGGGCGACATACTTCTTGTGTCGCTTGTCCCAACGCATGACAGATCGGTTCTCACCAAAGTTCTTCTGGCCTTCATCACCATTCAGGTCCATAGTCGCGTTCCGCGACTCGTGCGCGAAGTTGGAGTTGGTACCAGAGTGGACACCGTAGGCCCGGTCTTCCGCGCTATTGTGGTTTGCGGGCGTGTAGCCCATGAAGTAATCAGGATTCTGGAATGAAGATGCCGATACCCCGTTTGACTTGTCGGCTTGTTTGTCCTTCGAGTTGTAGGCGGAGAAAGTCACTTCCAATTCAGACTCGGATGCCTCAGACATGTTATCTCCAGCCTCGTCAGGGATATCGTCATCCTCATCGCCCTCATCCTCTCCATCTGCTTGGCTGACATTGATACCCAACTCAGCCAGCTCAGATTGCTCCTTGTTCTGGGCACGGAGCTTCTTCTTGTCAACTGTGGCACGGATTCGCTTGATGGTATCAATGGCTTCTCCGCCCTCTTGCTTGCCACCACGTCTGTTCTGAACCTCGAAGACGGTCTCCGATGGCCGGAAGCCGCCGATACGGGCGAGCATCTTTTCACGCTCCGCTTCCATGAGGCTCTCGTCGTCGTTGAACAGGGGATGAAGGGTGGACCAATCCTCGCTAGCCGTGACCTTCTTGGCTCGCTTCGCGCTCTCCAGAGATGCCGCATTTCGAGTGCGCATGTAGAGCTTCTCACCACGGACTGACACCTGACGCTGCGAGGCAATATCGGCAGCCTCACTCAAAACTTTGTTGACCCATTCGCAGTTCTCGGAGAGAGGGTCGCGGGCAAGGGTACCGACAACGACATCTTCGGCGTAGTTCACCTGGGTTCCAAATTGACGGCCCAAGACCAATCGCCGAGCCAGGAAAAGCTGGAGATCAAGCAGGTATGGGGCATCCGCGTCGCGGACTAGACTGTAACTCCATCCACTTTGCCCGGCACGGGCGGTACGACCAACACGGTGGACGAAGATCTTAGGCTGGGAGGGGAAGTCGTAGTTGATCACGTTGGCGAGAACAGGAATATCAATACCACGAGCAGCCACATCAGTGACAACGAGAATGTTGGAAATTCCCTTTCTGAAATTTTCGACCTGTGTTGGTGATATGGTCAGTGTCTGTGTCGTGAGATAATTGACATACTGGAAGTAACCTACCTGAATTTTTCTTGCCAGTTGGTCAAGACTACCGTAGGCGTAGGACGTGGCGAAGCCGGCTTCAACCAAGAGGGAGTAGAGATAGTCGACGTGGTGCTTTGTCGCAGCGAAGACAATGGTGGAGTGCTCCGTGGGCGACTCCTTGTAGATAGACTTTCCAGAGTCCGGTCGCTTGCGCTTCTTGTTCTTGGGGTTCTCACTTTCCGCCTTGAACCTTTGGGAAACTTCAGTGGGCCCGGTGGGCATTTTAATGACGTTATGCAAGATGTGGAGCAATGCACCCTCCTTGTCGGACGACTTGACAGCAAAGAAGGCATTTTGGAGATCGGGGGAGATCTTGCTCTCGGTATCAAGACGCACAAGGCTAGGCTCTTGTAGACCGGCGCGCGCGAATTCCACAAGCGACTTGGGAAGAGTCGCAGAGAAAAGGAGTGTCTGTCGATTGGAAGGAAGGCCGTGAAGAATTTCGGTCAATTGGGCAGCGAAACCCATTTCAAAGAGACGATCAGCCTCATCGAACACGACGTAACGGATACTTGATAGATCGAGGTCCATCTCAACCTTCAAGTGCAAGAATCGACCAGGTGTCGCGATCACGATGTCGGGGTTGCCGGCCATCATGGCAAACTGATCCTCCAGACTATCACCACCGACGAGCAAAACCGATCTCAAATCTGTTCCACGTCCCATTTCCTTGACGACCTTGAGTGTCTGCAAAGCAAGTTCACGCGAGGGCGACATGATCAAAGCACGGGCACCAAACGTGGCGCTATGGCTCTTCAATTTCTCAATCATGGGGATAACGAATGACGCAGTCTTTCCGGAACCAGTTCGAGCCATACCGACGACGTCCTTGTCGTCCATAATCACGGGAATCGTCTTTCGTTGAATGGGAGTGGGAACCGAGAAACCTTTGCGGGCGATGGCCTTGAGCAGGTTGGCATTGAGACCCATGGCTTGGAAACCACCACCTTTCTTCACCGTACGGCCCTTGAGATTAGATCCCTTTCGGTTTGCCGAAGCCTGTTGTGTCGCAATAAAGGCCGCATCGCCATCGTCGTCGGCATTGAGAAAATCAAGGTCTTGCGTGGTATCGGGTTTCTGTCGGGGCGCAGATTTGCCGACATCGACGTCGGAATCATCGTCATTTTGGAAAAGGGCACTGGTAATGTCGAACTCGTTCTCCGACATGGCCGGAGAAGCTTCGCGACGAGGCATAGTGGCGGATGAGGGCACGAATAGCCTCGATGTGATAACGCCGATCAAAAAGGCGGAAAATAGTGATGATAACCGTTCAGTAGCTCAGTCCATCAACAGACAGAGAGCTAATAGATTTGAACGGACACAGGTATAGTGCTATCAGCCGGCACTATATCTAAATGAATCCACACCCGAAAAATACTTCAAGCAGGTCGTTCACCAGCGTCGAGATCAACCGTCTCTGTCGCCGAAAAAAAAATCGAGGAAATCCGCAAGGCGGTGAGCAGCGGATCAACCATGGCCCGCTGCAAACAGAGCAAACATCTCCCCGCGACGCGTCCAAACACGCTCCCAATTGAGTAAAATGATTTCACGACTGCACAAAGCGCAATATAGATTTTCATTATGGGTAGGTTCCCTTATTTCCAACAAAGCTTTCTTCCACAAACTCTGACTCTTCTACTTAGACGGAGGTTACAACAACAACTACAACTCCTACGGCGGAGGTGGCGGTGGTGGCTTCATGCCTGGCGAGATGAACAGCCCTTCTGGCGGAAAGGTGAGAATATATTGAGAATTAATCTGTGAGCCGACCGCTAACATACTCTCCAGGGTGGTGACCGTGATAACAAGACCCTTCGCCCGGTTACAGTCAAGCAAATTGTCGATGCATCCCAGCCCTTCCCCGAAGCCAACTACCAAGTCGATGGCGCCGACGTAGCCAATGTGCTTTTCATCGGCCAGGTGCGCAACATCAGCTCCCAAAGCACCAATGTCACATACAAAATCGATGATGGCACCGGCGAGATCGAGGTCAAGAAGTGGGTTGACTCCGGCAGCGCAGACAGCATGGACACAGACGAAGGCAAGGCTCCTGGGAGCGGCAAGAACGAGATCGAGCTGAACGGCTACGCTCGTGTCTCTGGCGCGATCAAGTCCTTCGGTAACAAGCGGTATATCGGTGCGCACAATGTGCTCCCGGTGAAGGATATCAACGAGCTGCACTGTCACATCCTCGAGGCTACCGTTGTACACCTATTCTTCACCCGTGGTCCCCCTGGAGGTGCGAACGCTGGTGCCAAGGGTGCTGTTGCTGCCGGTGGTGATGCAGTGATGGGTGGCGCAGATGACTATGGTGCTGGCCAGAACCGGGCCCTCATGTCCATGTCACCACTGGCCAAGAAGGTGTACCAGGTGCTGAGGACCGAGCCCCAGGACGATACTGGTCTGCATGTGCAACAGATCGCCGCGAAGATGAACGTCCCCGCCACGGATGTCGCTCGTGCTGGTGAAGAGCTGCTGGGTGCGGGTGTGATTTTCTCCACGTCGGATGAGCAGACCTGGGCCATTCTGGAGTACTAGGTAGACTCCGATGACTGACAGGCTTGTATGATCCAAAAGCCGGTATTGTCTTATCAGATTAGAAGCGATATTGCAAATTCAAATGATATCATGATTCATCTCTTTACTTTTTCACGCATTATCCGAGGCTCATATCTTGCTACTACTATGTACAATCCTACAATCCCCTAGCCCTCATGCACAGTCTCGTTCCTCATATGGTGACTCGTGGTCTCCTCCAACCCCTCAATCGTAAGCGTGGCATCGTGTACATGTAAATTTCAAGATCGCCGCCAATTTCGTATAGATCAAAATCCCACTTAGATCACCTCATTCCGTAGCTGGGCTTCTTCCACGGATCGTTCCCAGCTGATTCGGCTAATGAAAAAAGCCTCGGTAGCAGAAACCAGCAAGAGAGCAATGGCAACACCGGTCCAGAGACCCATAACACCCCAATCCAATGAGAATGTTGTACCCATACTAATGGGCATAGCGATAGCATAGTAACAGAACAGTTGGATATAACCACCGATCTCCTGGCGACCTAGACCGCGGAGAATACCGTTGCAATTGGCAGCAAGGGCATCGAAAAGCTGGAACGCAGCGCACAGAGGAAGAACCTCGGCGACGATGTCGATTACTTCGGGGTCGGAACTGAACAGCATGGGAATGTAGGATCGAAGGCTCGACAGGAGAATCATGTTGAACAGGCCAACAACGGTAGCTCCGCAGAAGCTAACCTTAGCTGATGTCTTGGCGGCGCCGACCAACGAAGCACCGATCAGGTTCGCAACACGTGTACTACCAGCAATCGACAGTGGGAAGGGAATCTGCCAAGTGATGCTAGAGATGGTGGACAGAATGGATTGAGCAGCAAGTTCGGATGTGCCCAGATAGCTAGAAGCCAGGGTCAGCACCTCGAATGCAAGACATTCTGCTTCAACCATGATAAGACCGGGGAGAGCAAGGCGGATCATAGGGCCCCAGTTGTCAAAGGCGCGTCTTGTAAAGCCGCACCAGCATTCAGAGCCAACGCGGAAATAGATATATGCGAACAGGCAGATAGGGAGGAGAGTCTCGGTAATGACAACGGCGATAGGAGCACCGACGAAACCCCATTGTAGTTTCTGGAAAGGCGTGTTAGCAGGAAGTCAAACCAAGTCGCAAAGGTTCGGAGCTTACCCAAACGAAAAACCAGTTCATAAACGCATTGAGCGGTGCGCAGATAATCAGAACATATAGAGAAGCAGAAAAGACACCCTGGGCCTGCAGATATCGCTTGCCACTCTCAAAGCAAGCGTACCCGGGTAACCCAAACAGCGCAACCTTCAAGTACAAGCCTGCCATTTCGGCAACCCTCTTTTCCGGCACGATCTTGGCCAGAATATGCTCGGAGAAGTACCACAGAGTAGCGATGGGGAAAGTCACGACCAAAAGGAAATAGATCATGCGAAGCATTTGTAGACCGACAAGCTTCTTCTTGCCCGATCCGTAAGCTTGGGCGCAGAGGGTATCCAGACTCGTAGCTAACCCGGAGTATACGGCGTTACCAGTGATTGAAACCGTCATGGAAGCGAGACTGACGGCGCCCAGTTCCTCCTTGCCCAGATGGCCGATCGTGAAGATACTCGCTACGGTGAGCGAGTACTGTAGCAGGAAAGTGACCATCAATGGAGCAGAGTATCTGATAATGACCTCCGTTTCCCGCTTCCACGTCGTGTTAATCAACCCGGCCGTTACAGCTTCCTCCCACTTGCGATCAATCTCTTCTGGTCCCATTTCATGGTCCTCCTCTGGTCCCAATAGTGCGGTAGTCTCGGTATCCCGTCCATCAGCGCTCCGAATCGTGCCATATTGCTTCGAGGGCCCCCCCCTGTGCCGAAGAGGCTGAGAAGACCTTGCTCAGTTTATGTTGCAATCCCTCCGGTTCTTCCGCTGGAATGACTCGGTTATCACTCAACAGACTTCGCTCTTCGGCAATCGACTGCTGAAGCTCAGCTTCCGTTAGCGGTTGGTAGTCCCCATTAGACGGAAGCACGGTAGCATGATTGACGCTGGTGAAGTAGCTCGGGCGGCGATATGACCCGGTCAGCGAGTGCGGATTCGTCCCCGCATATGTGCTGGAACGGCGTCTGCCCGCTGGACGGACCGTAGAGGCCTCGGATGCTTCATCGGTGCTCGAAGTCGAATCCTCGTCGGCATATTGCGCAAGATCGCGAGCAATTGCGGCTTCGGCGATAGGCGAACTGGATTGGAAAGACCGGCTAAAAGGGCTGTGATGCTCTGCGGACTCCGCCGAAAGAATATTGCGCGGCGGCATGGTGGATGATGATGAGATGGCGAGGAGGCGGGTGGACTTTCGACAGCACCGCCTGCATCATCTACCGGGGGAAGAGCTGGGGAGAAGAGGAGAGAGCGAGGGAGACAGAGAAGGTTTGCTACGCGGGGAAAAGATTGGAGGTGAATGCGGAAGTTGGAGGCGTGCGGGCAGAAAATACAAGAAAAGTGGGGATGCTCATTCGACCGTTGGTGTTAGTTGATTTACTAAGGTCCCAAAGTTGACTTAGTCAACGTTACAAGCCTATCTTTGCCGAATCCACATCGGATATGTGCCCCGAAGCGAACATGTCGGCCACCTTTCCTGCTCGATGGTTGGGTTGAGACTAATAAGATGCGATATGGCATGCACCCCTCACCCAGTAATGCAGATGGTACAGTGAGTCAAGGGCCTCGTATGACTCGACGATCGCCCCGACGGCGCTTGAGTGGAACCCCCCAAGCGATAAGCCCCACGGGCCGTGCGGTGCTGCTCACCGTTTCTTCCAGAGGCAAGGGAGGATGGAAAGGATGAGAAGGGGATAACCAAATCTTGACATAATACAAGAAATGAGGGTAATATAAGAATATCAAACAAGTCTAAGATACCAGCTCTAGCTATGCTGCAGATAACTGGTACTTGAGTCTTTATAGATCGCCCGCATGCAATGACATCACCGAATCCGGTCTAGTGTCTCTCCCTCACGTGACCTGTCAGGTGTGCCTGACCAGGGCCCGCTTTCTCCAACTGATCCAGTCGTTCCAGATCTCCAGGTCTCCAGGTTTCGAGATCAGGGTCTTCTTTCGGATGTTCAAAAGACATCAGACTCACCCCTTGTACCTTGTTGGATAGCATGGCCCAATCTGTCACGACTAGTGTGGCCTCGTGCGCACCACGCCGCTATAACCCGCTCATCAACCCAACCCATTCAAGGCCGGCCTTGGTGGAAGAGTAAGTCCAAACTCCAATCCGAACTCCTGCACGCTACCGCCCACGAACATGTTTTTCTTTTTCTTCTTTTTGTTTGCTTTGTTTTCCCACCGCCCTGATCCAAATATGCCAGGCCTTTTAGCTTTCAAGGTTGTTGGCGCATTCCCTGGGCAGGATCCGGTGTGATTCCATCGGCAAGCCACCGGGCATGTGGCCTGGCTAGATATCTGCACATCCCCGCATTCCTCCTGGACCACAAGTACCAGTCTTTCATCTGACAGGTTTCTAGACATATCGAGGATCAACATCACATCCTATTTTCCCGCCCTATACTGGGTGCTTTACTTTTCGAGAATACTACTTCCGATGCTCGTGACCACTGCGCCAATGAGCGCACATTCCTCTCCTGGCTACGCTTGTCCATGTACTTGGCTATTGTCTCGCTAGCCATCATCATCTCCTTCCATTTTCGAGAGCAGCCCTCAGGTCTGGAGCGGCGTATGGCCCTACCTCTCGGTATCGTCTTCTGGCTGTTGAGTCTGACGTGTCTGGCAAATGGATTTTTCAATTACGCCCGTACCGTTATGAAATATAGCCGGAAGGCGGCGCTGGTTCAGAGTGGCTGGAAAACCCAGGTCGTCATGACCATCATCGGGACGGTAATTCTGGGGAGCTGCATCTTGTTTTTATCGACTGGTCGCCAGTCGTAAGTCTTACTGTCTGCTACTATCTGGTGTATTTCCTGCTTTCATCTGCTTATATTCCGGCGTTGACTTACTCAAGCGTTGCATTGCATTATATCCATCTTGATGTATAGGTCATCTTGATCGCCCACCAATCTAGCTTTAACGAAGTTGTCTAATTGAGTGTCTAGTAAGACAATGAAATAGAGAAGTTAATAATCTCAGTTCATTTTGAGAATCTCCGAAATCTTGTAGATTATATAGGCAGTAATATGCACAGAGTCACAATGGCGCAGATGGAAAACGAGACAAAAGGTATCAGTGGGGGTAATGCATGGAGCTGGCCAAAGAAAAGGGACGACGATTTCGATGGGAAGATAAGTTTGAAAGGCTCAAATAAACCTCAATTTTTCCAACCTATCTTACATCCGGCGAATTTGAGTCTCGCCCTTGTACTTGTCCAGGGCGGGGGTGCCCAGGTGGCTCCACCACTCGAACAGCATCGAGTTGCAGATCAGCTTGAACCAGGGGGTGAACTTGAGACCAGGCTGCTCGAACATGGCCTTCAGCTCATCAGCCGAGACGTACTTGGTGTCCCGTACCTCATTGGGGCTGGGCTCCAGGTCGACATCAGCCTGGATGAAAAGAATGTAGTCCACTAAAAAAGACGGGGTTTAGTAAAGATATTTCAACCCAAAGCAGGTCGTTTGAATCCGGGCGTTTGTCCGTCACATACCCTCGTGCTCTCCCCACTTTCCATCACTGGGAGCCTTGTAGTGGATGCGAGTGAAGAACTCGAACTTGTCCAATGGCACTTGCTCTGCCTTGATACCCAGCTCGTGGTCCAACTTGCGCTGCGCCGCACGCTTCACACCCATGACAGCTGCATCGAGCTCGGCACCAGTCTCGCCGGGGATACCCAGAGGGTGGGAGCAGCAGGTGTTGGTCCACATATCAGGGAAGGTGATCTTCTCGGTGGCGCGTTGCTGGAGCAGGAGGCGGTTGTTCGAGTCAAAGAGGAAAACGGAAAAGGCACGGTGGAGGAGACCCTTGTCAATGTTGGTCATCAAGTGGCCTATACCATAAGAGTAAAGAGGGATGGGTGATTAGCAATTCTGTTTTGATCTAGCGGGGTTGTTTTCTCCTTTAATCCCACTTCAGGAGGGGTAAATCCGGGGAAAGAGTAATTCAATGCAAAGACACTTACAAGTCTTCTTGCTGGCACTGCCGATAGGACGGTCATCATTGTCGGTAACAATGCAAACCTCCTCCATCAATCGAACCTGTTCCTCATCGTATCCCACGAGCTCAGAGCTCTGGGCGGCTCCGTTGCTAGCGCTGGAGGGGAGGATATCCCGAGCGAGAGAGGTGTCGACGTCGGGGAAGATAGTGGCGACATTGTCTGCCGTAATTTCCACTGGAGCGGTCACTGTCATTGTAGCACTCATCTTGAACTAGTTTGAGTTTCAATGTTGTGTCGAACTAATTGTTCCCCTCGGAGAGAAGAAATGCGGGCGGTGGCCATGGGGGGGGGGGGGCTTCCCCAAAGGCGGTATCGATCGGCAGATTGGGCCCTTCTACGGTCTCTTGTCGACAACAGCAACTCAACAATCCATGAGCTTTTTGAATTTCTGTATTTTTTGCAATTAACAAACAAAGCCCGACTATGTCAAAGGTAAGTGACTTAGTACTTCTACAGAAGATCACTAATATGTATTAGGCTCAGGTTAACGGTTTAGCTTCGCAGAACAAAAGTCTTACTATTCATTCTCAAGCCTGATGTATATATAGTTTGGAAGTGCTTGGCAGCCCTGGGACTCATCTTATTTCAAGCTGGCTAAACTTCTGAAGCTCCTCAATTTCTTCAGGCCCCAGCAACCCCAATGCCTCTCGTCGAGTCGGCGCCTTCGCGTCAAAGACCGGCTTCTCTGCCAAAGAGGTTACCCGGGTTCCATGTCTAGGCTGCGATCCTTCATAATCCCAACTGGCGTTATGAATCGTGATTCTGAGGCGGGATGAGCGGTTGGAACAGAAATAGGTTTCTCCCCAAGTATTACATACCGGTTATCCCACAGGGCACTGGTTCGTGGGCTCCATTTGAAACGCACTTGAATGTCGGGATTCTTCTCATAGACATCGTACAAGTATCCCAGGATCAGGTCGCTCTCTGCCTTATCGAGACCGACAATCCGGCTTGTCATAGCTCGGTTCACCCAGAGCGCCTTCCATCCTGTGGCTGGGTGTACACGTACAAGAGGATGTTCGCGCTCAACATACTGTGGCCCGGCTTCAGGATTCTCACGGTCGAGATAAGGATGAGCAGAGCGGTAGATGGCAGTCTGGCCATCGATAATCTTGCGGAAAGCGGGCGAGAGCTTCTCATATGCAGCATATCCGCTAGCCCACAGAGTATCTCCTCCAATGGTCGGGACAGTATCATTATGAAGATGTGTCACTCCGGCAGGCTGCCTCTCATGAACGAGGTCGGTATGCCATCGAGATGCCCCTCCTGGTCGGCGAAAGCTGGCTGGGTTTTCGGTTGCTTGAAGGGCAGGCCAAATCACACTTACTCCAGGAACACCCGGAACTTGAGGTACTTGTGGCTGTTCGAATGAGAAAATGATGCTCAGGTCAGAATTCTTCGTCAAGGCCAGCTGTGTCTACGATGGGATTCATACATGAACCTCGATCTCGCCGAAATACTCCCCAAGGGACTTCTGTTGTTGCGGAGAAATATCCTGGTCCCGGAAGAAGACGACGCTGCGCTCGGCGATGAGTAGACCAAGCTCATCCTTCTGCTGATCTGTCAGGTCCTTGAGTTGAAGACCGACAATCTCGGTTCCAATATGTCTTGTAAGATGAATCACTTCCTTTGCCGCAGAGAGAAGCGCTTTCTTTTCGGGATCGGCACGAGTTCCAGGATCTATATGGGGGCGATCCTCGTTTCTGATCTTGTAGACATCGTCAAGATAAAGGGGGCGCGACGGTCTATAGGGATAACCTTCGCTCAGGTCAATTCCTGCCTTTTCAAGGCGAGCTCGTGCAGATTCAGGAAGACCAAGAGTGTCTTTTCTGGGCACTGCAACGTCTACAATGCGAGGGTCGATAGCAACGGGAGCCATGATTGTTTTTCAGTGAAAGTTGAATACTGCGCTCTATCTTAACAATGGGTGTTTGGTAACAGACTTGGTATACTTGGCTTCTAAGACTATATATGCCAGCACCATTCTTCTAGATCTCAGTATATACCAACAGGCGAGAGTAGGCCGAGGGTGTCACTCCAAGCACCTCATCAAGCGGGCGCATCACGCCTTCCGTACAACTCGTCCTTCTTGAGTGGCCGAGATGGAACAGTTCAAATCAGGAATCGTTCTTGATGGTGCTTTTGTTGTCTGTCCAGAAATTTTGGATGGCCTACCCCTCACTTGAATCCAATAGAATGATTTCACACGTTCTCGTTGACATGACTCGGCCCCAATGTATGATCACAATGGGCCGCATCACTACAAGTGGGGAAGATTCGCATCTCCTCATCCGCGATGGAAATCACGCCGATCGTATGTTGTCAATTTCTAATCATTCAAGAATGATGCCGAGTGATCCGATAGATAAAACCAAGCCTATTCTCGCCGTGTTTGGCTAAACATCCACGCGATAGCCGAAATGACGAAATTTCAAGCCATAAATGCTTCATTGGGGACAACAGCCGAGCTATTTTCGATTTGAGGCGGGGATGACAACTTTAATAGTGCAACATCGAAGCAAAATAGAATAAATTCAGGATATTTTCTCTTCATCTCACTGCAGAGCTTGACAAAAACATGGCCGACGGTACAATTAAACGCGTTGCGGTCATTGGAGCCGGTATTAGTGGTGTGGTGAGTGCTGGCCATCTTCTCGCAGCTGGACTAGATGTCACGGTGTTTGAAAGAAGCGAAGCTGCAGGAGGGGTGTGGTAAGACTTCAATATTTACTATTTTCCGAATCAAATTCTAAATTGATTGCAGGCTCCATGACAAGCGAGTGCCGGTTGAGCTTCATTACCCATGCGTCAAGCCGGCCGACGTCGAGAAGCGCGGCAGAGATGAACGAGATGAAAAAGAAAGGCGGAAACTAATTCATGCTCCGCCGGGGTATGTCACAATTGTCTTAATCTGCTTTTTATTTTAAAGTTCACAGGCTTATGGTTCCCCAGACCGTGTTACGATGGTCTCGTCAATAACGTTCCGACTTCGTTGCTACGAACCAAACTCAACGCCTGGCCCCTGGGAACACCCCCATACGTCAGGCACAATATTTTAAAGGACTACATCCAAGATACATCAAAGAAAGCTGGTGTTGACAAAGCGACAGTCTATGGTGCTCTAGTCACCAAGGTCTATAAAGAAGGGACACAATGGCACGTGTCTTGGAATTCATTGGATGAAGACTCCACATCAAAGGATTTGGTTGAACGTCAACATTCGGAGGTCAGTACCTCTTGAGGTGGAAACTTAAGAATGGGTGCTAACAATAAATCTAGATTTTTGATGCCGTTATTGTTGCTTCTGGCCACTATCACACGCCCTTAATCCCAGACATTGAAGGGTTGGCCGAATCCAAGGATAAGTGGCCTTCACGGATTACACACTCTAAGTCATTCCGGAATTCAAACGGATTTGAAGGAAAGGTGAGTCATCAACTTTTGAGTACCCTTAATTGATCCTTTGCTAAATTGATTTCAAGAATGTTCTTCTCATTGGAGGAGGAGTATCTTCTGCAGACATAGCTCGAGAAATCAGTCCTGTGGCGCGAAAGATATATCAGAGTACTAGGAATGGCGCCTTTGATATCCCAGAGACTGCCCTTCCGAGCAATGCAACTCGAATTGGAGAAGTCGCAGCATTTGAAATTACCTCTTCGGAGACGAACTCGGAGCATCTCCCTCTTACAGTGCGTCTAAAGTCTGGCGAAACTCTGGATCACATCGACATAATTGTGCTTTGCACGGGCTACCAAATGGTCCTCCCATTCCTTCCAGACTACAACAAAAATAAGCCCAGTGAAACCACCATCGTGACCAATGGTCAGCAGTTTCACAATCTGCATCAAGATATATTCTATATCCCTGATCCGACCTTGGCATTTGTGGGCGTCTCATTCTATACAGCTACATTCACCCTCTTTGAATTCCAAGCAATTGCCGTCGCAGCATTCTTCTCTGGGGTTGCTCGGCTTCCCCAGTTGAGATTTTGAGGAAGGAATATCAGCAACGAGTGGATCTGAAAGGATATGGAAGGAGTTTCCATTCGCTCAAAGGCGAGGAAGAAGCATACGTCAAGCAGATCATCGAATGGGTGAATACTAGCAGGACAAAGCAGGAATTACCTTCGATTGAGGGTCACACGGATTCCTGGTTAGAGGGAAAGAAAGCTCATACCGAGAGACTTACTTTGCTGTTCCAAGGCGCTATACCATTCGGTAACACTGCCGAACCGCTACCAGAAGTGAAGGTCTCAGCATAGATTTTGTTTCAACATAGAATATTTCCCAGCCTAAATTCAATTAAATCTCATTTCCGGATATTGGTCACATACATTACAGTTTGCTCAGTTGAATCAACGTATCCGACTCCAGGGGTGAAATATCGGGCAATCTATTGATGGACGTCTAGATTTTCACCAAGTTTTGCAGACCTAGTTCATTCATTTTCTAATACTTCAGTTCAGTATCTATGAGCTTCTGTGGTCTAAACTATTATGACTACACGGATTTCCTCTATAAGGGGCCGTGGGTAGTACACCTGGACACATCATCCGCAGACTCGATGACGAGCTCTGTAGTGCGGGTGATAATTCTTGCCCTCAGGTAGTTCCCCGCACCCCAGGAGATAGCAGGCTCGGATTCAGTCCGTCGGTCGTCTTTCTCCATACTTGCAGAAATTGCGTAAATAAACGCTCCGGTAATTCGACTATCTCGATTTGAAACTATCCCTTCCCATGAAGTTGATTGTTAGACATCCGCAGATCCAGCATATCACCAATCCACTATGTTTCAACAATTTGCTCATAAAATCCTAGCATCACGCAATAGATTCCAAAGTCCTTGGCAGGTTGGAGCGTCGGCATCTGATCAAGCCCCAGATACTGCCATTCTTTGGAAGCTGTAGCCTACTCCACTCGGAGTGATGAAGCGCGAGGTTTCTGTTTACACCCTTATAAGAGGTTCCAAAGAATGTCAGGGTCTACTTGTAGCTTGATAATACTTCAACTCCTTTAGCTTCGATAAAATGACAGCCGCCTCTCAAGCAGACGAAGCTGTAGTTCCTCGCTCAGTACCCAAGGTTCAGGAGGTTCCAAAGCGCAAATGGACCAGTTATATCTGGGATACCTTTGATAAGTCGCCGGAGGAACGTCGGTTGCTTTTCAAATTAGATACTGCTATTCTGACCTTTGCGTCATTAGGTACGTCGTCCATTTCATTGAGACTACTGCTTTGGCCTGGAAATAGGGCCGACACTGACTGTATTAGGTTATTTCATCAAATACCTTGACCAAATTAATATCAATAATGCTTTCGTGTCTGGGATGTACGTTAACCCCCGCAGTTCTCTAGCACTGGACTTAGCTAACAGTATCTAACCTGTAGGAAGGAGGATTTGGGCCTGTACGGTAACCAACTGAATTATATGCAAGCATGCTGGACAGTTGGATACGTCATTGGCGAGATCCCAAGCAACATCTTGTTGACACGAGTAAGACCAAGATACTGGATACCGGCTGCAGAGGTAGGTTTTTTAAAAAGGTGACCCATCATGACCCTCGTGCTAAATCTTTCAGCTCCTATGGACAGTCCTTACGTTTTCGCTGTCCAGGTGCAATACTGCCACTCAATTCTATGTATTGAGGTTCTTTATTGGTAAGCACACATCTTCTTCCAAAGGCACCTTTACACACTAATATCGATTACTTCAAGGTCTGGCGGAAAGTACCTTCTATCCGGGAATGCAGTACATTATCGGTTCATGGTATCGACGGGATGAGCTCGCCAAAAGATCATGCATTTTCCATACCAGCAGTGGCATTGCTAGTATGTTCTCCGGTTATCTCATGGATGCTGTGTATCACCTTGGAGGCAAAGGGGGCTTCAAGGGGTGGCAATGGTAGGCAAACAAGGCCCTGTTTCCGCTCTGAAAATTTTTCTGACCATATTTGCCAGGCTTTTCGTGATCGACGGTGTCATCTCTCTTCCAGTCGCGATCAGCGGCTTTTTCGTGCTACCTGATGTTCCGGAGATTTCCAACCCGTGGTACCTTACCAAGGAGGTTCGTTTGTTCTGCTACATAATCTCACCAGTTATGGAATCATTTGACGCTTATCAAACTTTAGGAAGTTGCCTTATCACAAAAAAGGATGCAGCTTGAGGGTCGAAAGGATCGAGGCCCCTTCACGAAAGCAAAATTAAAGAAGATATTCTCTTCTTGGCACATTTATCTGTTGACGCTACTATATGTGTGCGTGCTATAATCCCGGTTCGTGCCAGCTTTGCTAAACCCAGTCTTAGGCTCTTTAACAATGGTGCTGTCGGTGGACAGCCTGTCTTCCAACAGTATGTCACATATGAAAGACCTAGATTCAACAACCTTTATCTGACTTATAGGTAGATTTCTTAAACACTCAACGAATCCGAAATACTCTGTGGGTCAGATCAACGCATACCCGACAACGACCAATGCAGTACAAGTCGTAACAACGCTTGCTTATGCTTGTAAGCGAAAATCGAATGGGCTGCCATAAACTAGTCAACGTATACTCATATATTGCAGGGTCTTCAGACACAATTTTGAATGGCCGTCGCTGGCCCCCGATCATATTTGGCGCTGTGAGTCCCTCAGTGTTGCCTTTTTCAGCAGGATCCGCCTATATTGACAGCTTCTTCTTAGGTGGTGAACATTATAAGCTATGTCTCACTAGCTGTATGGAACATTCCAATCGGATGGAAATGGACTTGCTACATCATCTCTGGGGCAGGATTCGGTCTCAGCGGGCTATGCATGGCGTAAGTCATCTCTTGTTATAGTGAACCAAACTGCCCGGTCTAACAACCAATTACAGTTGGGCCCACGAGATATGCTCTGAGGATAATGAGGAGCGAGCGCTTGTAATAGGCAGTATGAACGAGATGGCATATGTCTTCCAAGCATGGCTCCCACTCATTGTGTGGCAACAAGTCGATGCACCAGAATACCAGAAGGGATTTATTACAGTGTCTTGTATATCCTTTGCTTTGATCATCACGACATTTGTTATCCGAAATCTCGATCACAAGGAGGGAAGGCAACGGAGGTACGTGACTGCAATCAGAGCGGGTTTGACTTATTTTCTTGTGACCTCACTCAGGTTCTAACGACTCTCTTTAGGGATTGGAGCAGCCAGGAACAAGAAGCAGAAGATATTTCTTCTGACTCCATTTCCGTGACTCCCGTAGACACTAATCAGCCTCTGAAGCTCTGAATTGCGTGATATTTGGAACGTTCATCGAGCGAATTTCCTTTGACCCCTCCCTGGTCGAGTGCCACAATTCGTGAACGGTTTCAATGGACAAGGTACAACAGCCGGGAGAAGTAAGTTCTTCTAAGTTCATCCGCCTCATGTGAGGGTCACACGTCCTGTCCAGTCTATTTCAAGCGGTAGCAGCAGCCAAAAGCAGTGGTCTCAGAACCAATATCCTTATGTATAAGAATCTAGGAGCATCTAGCAAGTTTGTTTTCAAGAGAAGGAGGGCTAAAGCGGTAGTACCTGCAATGAAACACACAGCCCTGCCAATCGTATGACTTTTCCAAATAATATTGGTCAATCTATCAATTAATTTGTCACTGAGATCGTCCCCATTGAATGATACCCAATTCATCAAGCTCTCGAGGGCCCAGGTGAGGTCTTGTAAACTCGGGCTCGAACAAGTCGCGTGCTTCTCCCATGCCGTATTGAGGTTTGTTTGAATCCCGTTCATGCGCTGGATTCTCCCCTGACTCGTACAGAAATCTATCCACCTCGTGTTCTAGCCATAACCCCCTCCCAATGATCCGCTCGTAGCCTTGCATAATAATCCTAACCCTTGGTCTGTGGGTATCGTTTGACCACGGCAGTTCTGCCCGAATGGCCTCCAGGAGATCGCTCCAACGACCTCCGTCACGGCTCATGTCGAGAAAACCAAGCTCAACAGACTGCAGTGTTTTTGGCAGGAGTTTTAGTAAACCCAAAAGGTCAGTTTGTGAGACATCAAAACGAAAAAGGCCAAAGTGACGAAGTGTTGGCCAATCTTCGACTGGGAAGACACTTGTCAACGGAATTGGCGGGCCCCTAGGGCCAGGATCGAGTGTGGTCGAAAAGCTGACATGTTGTAAGTCTCTCGCTTTACTGAGAGCACGACGAAGATTTCCACTGCTTTCTCTAGCCCAGAGATATGTTCCAGTTCCTCCAACATAAAGTGGGAGGTCCAGGTGACTGAATTTAGGGCGCTTCAATATCGTCATAAAATGATCGTACTCCTCACACGGTTGTTCTAGCATCATGAAATTAATAGCAGTTATGAGCGACATAGCGTCAAAGCTAAGCTCCGAGACATTGTGATTGGAGTGAGCCAAGATGCGGAGCACGATTCGAGTTCCATGCCATTGTTCTTTATACTCCTCTGGTGCCTCTGACCAGGGGAGGGGATACTGGGCAACTTCCCATAAGCCCACCGTAGGCCATCCTCGCGGAATCGGGTAATTGAACCCATAAGGCAGTGATCTGATTGTAGGGGTTCCATACAACGGAGAGAAAAGCCACCCATGTGCTGCGGGCGTAACGACGACTCTTCTCAAGGCTGAAAATCGGTCAATACCGTAGACAAAAGCCTTCTCGTCGCTCCGTGAGACCAAAACTTCGTTCTGCTGCCGCAATAACTTCTGATAGTACTTCAAGCTTTCCTCTGGAGGCATCTGTGCATCGACTTGTTTCTGTCGTGCGACATGATAAGGATGGTCCCGATCCCAGGACTTCCGATGTGCGATGAATTGGATGTTGTCCTCGCATTCTCTGAGAAACCAGGATGGGGGATGATTTTCAGGGTCAATCTCAGGCGATCTGGGTGTCAGTGTTTGAATTCCATCATCTATCATCGCATACCATTCATCCTCTGAAAGAGGGGGAGCTGCAATGAAGCGCGCGTCGTCCCAGATTATTTCTGTAACTTGATGTCGAAATTTGGGATGGTCTGCCACTGCGCGAAACACCTCAATGTCCAGGGGGTTGGCAGAGACGAATACCCGTGAGAGGCATAACGGTATGATATCCCGGAACACTTTGCATGTCAGTCGCAGAGACTTGCGATCGCGATTGGTCAGGGAGGACAGAATCATTGACAGAATCTCGAGGGGTACGCCAACAACCCAGGGCACGTTGCCGCGCGCTGGGGACCCAGCTCCTGACGCCTGTGGCACCTGAGATGCCATGAGATGATTGCGAGTATTTCGAGTGGGATGCTATCGAAAGGTCATGAATGGCGCGTTGTTGCAGGCGATGGGTTTGAAAAGTACGAGCCCCACCGTGCTCGAGGAATACGAGAAGCCCAATCGAACGAAGCAAGCGGGCCCGGCAATCTTAAGGATTTACCTGACCGCAAGATTAGAACTTGGTCGTCGCCAGACATCTCTAGTAGAATCCTAGTTTTGAAAACTTTGGCTTTCTGGACTTGACAGAATATTTTACTCTCTATTTAAAGACATTAAAGTTATTTGGAGTCAAGTGAGCGGCATCAAATAGATACATAAATCAATCGCGCTGCAAAGACGATATATCTGAGATATAAAGTAAGGGCAAAAAATGGGGGCTCAACCGCAAAGGAGTTACTATATTTCATGAAACAGACATACAACAAGTTACCATATCTGCAGGCGGTTCTAAATGAGACCTTTCGTCTATACCCTACCACCATCGCAGTACTCCCAAAGACACTAGACTGTGTAAGTATTCGTCACGGCTGTAAGTCATTTATTTCATTATCACAGAGATGATAAGTTCAATTGACCGATTGCTGGACAAACGTTGCGACATAAAATTTGACAATTCATCACGATCCACGAACATTCGAATACCCAGATAGCTTTGCTCCAGAGCGTTGGTTATGCGTCAACCACCATAAGTTAAAGGAGGCTTTGACTCCGTTTTCCATTAGCCCACAAAGGTGAGTGAATTGGGTCTAAGTATGTGAAATGTGCACCAAGACATTGTTCTTGTTCAATTACTAATGATCTGCCAGTCTTGCTGAAATGGAACTCCGATTGCTTGTTGCATCTTTTTTTCTTCGATTCAAGCCCTCTATTGATGAATCCATAAATGAATTGGACATGTTCATGTACGATACTTTCAAAATATCTCCGGTGGGAAGAAACTTTTGATATTGATGAAGCCGAGAAATTAGGCCAGTTCTAGTGAGCTACACGTATAGTTTGGTCGCTAGTATGGATTACTTGGTGGTTTTGCCATTTTTTCTGCACCAGTGTATTCATTCCTGCGGTGCTTTTAAGAGCATGGAAGCGTTGGTAGGTCTTATCTCTTCATTTTTCGAGCTCCCTATCTACCACTCTTCGAACAAGAAAGGGCGCGGGGACAGGTGATACCACAGCATCAGCAGTGGACGTCTCACGAAATAGATTGCTGCCAATAATAAGAACGAAATGTGATGCTCATAAAAGATAATCTGGATTTAATCTCCACCACGCTCTTAGCGCGTCTGTGATATCTTCCCCTTTTCCCAATTGAGTGTCCAGTTACATCCGCGCGATCAGGGATTCGATGCTTACGGAGTAATCCGGAAATAGGAGACGAAAGCTCGGTCCGTGGCTTTCGTCCTGCGTCACGGACCCATTAAATGACCGTTGATCGTCGGGCTCACTCTCGGCTGTCGATCAAGAGGTCTGAGAATCAGCGAAGGTACACACAGAAAGTTGTTCGCTTCTATAGATTGCTTTCGAGCATTGACCTCGGAGGGAGAAGTCAGAGCGTGCGGGGGAAAGTAGAAATCGAGCCCACGCAGAAGTTTGACTCTCGATCTTTGCCTAGCCGAAAAGCGCGCTAAGGCACGAAATACTGTTGCCGAAATAGGTAAAAGTAAAATGGCCAGCATTTTCTTCCGATACACGACTGCACAAATGCGGTGCAGGGATGCTTCTCGTATCAATTAGCAGCACTACGTTTTCCGTACTTTGTAGCAAGCTAAGCTTGCTGGGGGAGGGAGCTTGGGGCAGGCGCTTTGTCCGGGATAACGTCCGGAGAACGAGCAAAAAGGGGCCCGACCAATTACAAGACCACGGGCTTTGGCTTTGAAATTGCATTTCCGTCAGCGTCGATCATCGGCCGGTCTGCTTCGAAGATCCATCGCCCCATCCTTAGCGTGTGATTCGGCTTTGTGGAGTGGAGCGCGGCAAGGGTCGAGACTTGGTCAGGCCCCTGGTGAATTTCCGTGAGACTGAGGTGCTGCTTGGTGGATTTTCTACGGAGGACAAGGAGAAGAGAAGACTCGATATCAGAATGATCTCAGATCCAGAAATAGGTTGCAGTTTTCTTTCATCACGAAGCGTATTCACACACTCGTGGCCGTTGTATATCTCGATACAATAGTTCTGGTTCAGGGGGACAGGGGTCTCACCAACTCACAAGTGGTTTGCGTGCCCTCGAGGGCCCTCCGAGACACGTTGAAAATCCATTCGGGGTCCCCGCTTGCTCTCGCGTGGAATATGGGAAGTGGAGGTCCAGTGGAAATGAGTCGTAAGCTAAGAAGTGAATAAGTTAGTAGCAAGGTGCAAACTGCAACGAGGAGGACCCGCTCCGTGCGCTTTACCGCGCGCGTATCCAAGCCCACCTGCACGAAATCACGCCAAAAGTAGTGGGATGCAATGCGACCAACAAAATTGACATTCGAGGGGTTTATAAATTCAACTAGACCAGGCAAATCATGGATGCAAATTGACAAACAAGGATAGATCTACATAAGGGGCAACAATTCTTCCTCCTTTGCATCGGGGTGCAACAAGACAATGTAAATGCAAGAATCTGCAAAAAAAAGACAAATCCGACCATTCTAACGCCAAAAAATCGGGCATAACCCGAATGCGATGCCTGATGCCATGACCTTCAAATACACAATCCCGTGGGCTGCTAGATTGTGCACCGAAAGAAAAATCGGACGCATTGTGTTCTCCTTTGGACGACTTTATCTAGCAGCCCTATAGTCTCTTGAGAACGTACACCGCGCCCCGGCCTCAGCTAGATCACTGATAGCTGGTGCACTAGTTCTGCAGTCTAGCAGAACTAACAGAATAGTACTCGGGATCTTGAGACAAACGACGAAGGGGGGGAGGGCGTCCTCTCATTCTCTGGCCGCTCCTCACATTCTGCAAAATGTCTAGTACGAGAGATGTCTGTCAGTATATGCTATAAGAAAGAACACAACTTCTTTGAGGTATCACTGACTTAGCCATATTTTCCCACCGAGTGTAACGACGATTGCACCATTTGCAGGCGTGCTTCCGAATCCCACGGTGAACCTAACAGAAATTGATCAGCTCGAGGTTTGTCAACACATTCTAAATCCAACACTCACGGTATCGATATGTCTCCGAAGATCTGCGTTCCTTCCAAACGACTTGCTACATTCATCACAAGGTATCGCTCGATGGAAAGTGGGGTCATGCTTCTTCTGGTGTGCGACGCAATTCGAGCGCCTGGTAAAGTAGAAGCCGCACACCGGGCATTTGCAGCCCTTCTCTGCGGATGGTTTCCTGCCTCGCTTGGTCGTTTTGGATGCAGCGTTGGCTGTATTGTCATTCGAGGATACACCTTGAGGGAAAGGAATAGCTGGCATGGCACTGGTGTGGTGGGCTCTGGTGGGCCTACTTGGGTTGCTCTGGCTCGCAGGTGGGATTGGTGGATGGAGCGCTATAGACTGTGCTGAAGCCTGTGGATGAAAAGAAGTATTTGCCTCCGGGTAGATTCCATGATTCCACTGACTTTCTATTGTCCGATCTGCTGCGGTAGGTATAGATTGTAGCGGCGACGGGGGTGCTGAAAGTGGCGTATTCGGCCAGATCCCCGGCATGCCATTCATTTGTCTCGGAAACATGCCATGGCCGGCATCAACCTCCATTACAGGCTCATAGCCGTGGGCCAGGCTCACAGGCTGAGTATCGTAAAAACCGAGCGAGGATTGCGAAGGATCCGGAATGCCATTGTAGATCTCGAAGCACGACCTGCCACAAAAGTCGTCGGCGTCTAAAGGCAGAATGTAGAAATTCTCGGTCGATGTGAGGTTATTTGGTGTGGCAGAATTTGCAGAGAAAGGTAATTGACTGGAGTAACCCGTCATAGGATCATAGGAATCTTCAAGCCCAGAGATACCAAGCCCAACCGTCGCCGGGAATCCCCGCCCCTGGGATGATGTTGCTGATACCGGCGACGCATAGGCAGCTTCTGGCATGAAAGACGCCATAGATGATGGCCGACGAGATGTTCGGTCCATAGTGTCTTGCTGCTGACAGGACCAATACAGGCAGCTAGAGCAATAGCATGTGCAAAAAGGGCCAAAGATGACAACCTCCGAAAAGTTCAAAGCCAACCAGACCGAGTCTTTAATCCTGAAGGATCAAAAAAGATGGCAGAAGCGCCAAGTATAAATAAGGAGTTGTAAATCAACAGCTATCGCTGTTGGTGATGAGTAGCTGCATACATGAAAGGTGGCTGAGGGGTGAAGAACGAGCACAGTGTCATTTGGAGACAAAAGTCGGTGCCGCATCGAGACCGTAGGCGTGAAGAAACCGATTGATTTGACTCCTTCACCAGACAAGGCAGATTTTGGAATGGAAAAAGACTGGGGGAGGGGATAAGTAACCTACAAAGGAGGTGGAAACCTCGAGTGGGGGGTTGTGGAAGGCTAACGGTTTGGGGCTGTCCGAAAGCCAGATCGAAGGTCTGCCCCAGTCCGCATAGACCAGGCTCCATTGCCCCAGATGCCTAGCGCTAAGATCATAATGACCACGTAGTTTCCACTTTATTAGCCTCAAAAATACATAATATAATATGTCATTGGTAGTTATCGTTCGTTTCTAGGCCAGTCTTAGCCCTTTCTACAGAGTCCTCTCTTCTGGCTGCCGAGCAGCACAACGTCGAGACAACAGGGGGCGCTACAACGGATACTCCCGTAAATTGGAAGGCAAAATAGTGGAAACGGATAGTCAGAAGACTCCTTCAGTCACTTGCAGAAGACTCGAAGGTAGACATTGCACGCGGGTTGATGCCTATACAACGGCGGCTGTGGCCCGCAATCTTCGGAAAAGGCTAACCATTCATTTAGTCACCGCTGGAATGGTTGGTCCAACAGCTTGGGCTACCATGCAGGTGAACTGGCCAAACAGGAAAGGAGTCAGAACCCGAGATTTTGGCTCCTGGTTTGAGAAGGTGCATGGGTGTCTCACCATGTGTGACAGTGATTGCTCGCCTCTAGTATACTCAGCCGCGTCTCTTTCCAAGGGGTGTAGTTGAGAGAAATCGCAGTCCGAAAATGAAATGTATTATGTGCATGTTTGAGTCATCATATCTTCAAGCAAAATTGATCTAAAGCCCATCATCGTGACCGCCGGTGCTACATACTCGAGAATCCAAGCCACCTAATTTGTACATATTATGTTGTATTCACACAGTTGGTACCTGGAATTTTCCAGCCAAGCCACACAGGTTGTTAGTATCCTCTGTAGGATTGAGTCTATGTAACATGTGCTCATAGGCAAAGGCAACGCTTTCTCTGATTCTCAAAAGTGCCTCGCGGACAGCCCTCAGCAGTTATCGAGACAAAATGAAACACCAAGATGGAAAAGAGAAGAAATCGCCTTGCAAATAAGAGATGGCCCCATCCCATCGCCCCATCACGGGTTTGGTCTGTCATCTATGGGGGTTTATCCTGGGGACCTCGAATAAATGCAAAGCGTAAGAGTGGCTGCCCGCTAACCCACACTTGCCCCCAACTAACGAACGAGGGCTAATCTGGTCCATGCAGGGGGCAGTGCGTGGAGTTAAGAGCTTCGAGCTAAGGGCTGGCGGCCCCCAACTCTTAGAGTAACGAACCTCTTTCCCCTATTTCTTCTCGCTTGCAACTTGAAGAATAATCAGCAGCAAAAGTACCATTGAAGTCGTTCAGCCCCGTTTCTGCGTGGAAAGTCCAGTCGTTACGCGCTCCACCTGCTCTCGAAGTTGATCCACAGCGCTCAGGATCTCCGCAAGCTGTGTCTTTTCGGCCCGCGCCAGACTTGGTTCGCGCGAATCATGCAGGTCAATGCTGATTCGTCGGTGCTTAGGGTCCGTTCGACGGGTTTCAGTGATAGAGGAGTGAAGTGGATCCTGACATCTCGCGACACTCGGTTCGCCACCTAAAGTACCATGAGGTCGTGCCGTGGAGAGTGGGGGGAGGCGGGTAGTCGGTCGATGGAGATGTCGTCGGCTGGACTCATATGCCCAAATCATCATGACAAAAGGCAAGTGGGTTGCCCGAAGTAGCATAATGCGTACTCGACGAACAACTCCCGCCGATAGGAACAATCGCATGGGGCGGATGCAGAGGAGGGGAATAAGATTCTGTTGAGTGTGTAAGCTTGTAAAACATTCTAGAATATAGACAGAATGTCCGTTCCGTGAGTCCCTTGACACTGTTGCCAAGGAAGTTTGGGCGCTAACTGACCAGGGGCGGCATGAAATACGTCAGACGCCGGGAATTACTGCTCTCCAAGACATAGATGGACAACCTAGAAGAATTCGCCGTTAGTGGGGGATCTTTGCGGGTTTTTTTCATAGAGCTGGTCCTCATGCTCTTAAAAGGAAGTATACTAACTGGAACAGGTATTCCTCACGGGCGTGCCGCATCACCTAAAAGAATTGGCCCCAAGGATCAGTAAACAATCCAACATTGGACGAACCAACAAGCGGAAACATACGCCTTCTAGACTCATGCTCATCAAACTAATCAGTGACGAGAGCAGCAAGATGTTGGTCATAGCGACGAAAATCATCCTGTAACCCTTCTGGTTAGCATACTTCTTGAGGCGAGGCGGACGCCGATCACTGTAGGAGAGCGTGGAAATAACTGTGGGGCTGTAGTCGCAGGCAGACGCCGTTACAGAAGCCCTCGCATTAAAAATAGAGAAAGAAAAAAACGATAAGAGGAGGAATCAGCTAATGCAGGTCGGCGTCACTTAGCGCGAGGCGAAACGTGATCGATCGTGCATGCGGGATTCTTCCTCTTGTTGTCCTGGGCGCAGGCTAATCATCCACGAACTTACATCAAGCCATAGCCGAAGATCGGGGAGATCTAAACCACATTAGCGCGTCAGTCAAGTAAACGCGACAGCCAACCATTTTGGCAATCCTCCGGGATGCCAACTGTAGCGCTGTACAACCGCCGCTTCTGCATGCCACTTACATCCGATGCGCTATCCTATTATCCAATCAATTCAGCCACCGTAGGTCACCACAAAAGCCAACACACCAAGATAGGAGGGAAACCCACCAAACCGAGAGAGCCCGATCTGCCTCACATGGTTAGCTTAAGACTCATTCATCATCAGAACCTGATAGTCACCGCCATACCCGAAGAACACCTTGACAAGCATCCACGACATTTGCTTGAGGGACAAGCGGTCACGGGCCAGCATAGTGAACGTGGTGAGGAACCCTGCAGGGATCCACCCGAATGTCAGAACTGTGCTTCATCTTGAGTGGGGCTGTGCATCTCAGCCACCCCCCAATCCTTACCAATATACAAGACTATCACGACTGGCAAGAATCGAAAGAATGCTTTTGTCTGAGGTTGTCGCAAATAAAAGTAGAAGAATCAGCCTTGTGGACCTTTGGCCCTCGAGTAGTTTTTTGGAACTGAGATCCTTACCATCTCTTTCAGCACCGGTATCTGGTCGCACCATTATAAATTAATTTTGGTGCAAGGCAACTTTCCCAGTGGAGCACAACTTACCAGACTGCCAAAGTATGAGTTCAAGCTCACGAGTGAGCAGATCCTGCAGATACCCGCCTTTCGTCAGAAATGGGGCTTCCCTTGCGTGTACCACCTGGGGGCGTAGATCATATTACCTTGGCACTAGGAACAACGCCTCCAGGGAGAGAATATCAAATGAAAGGTCGAGAATGTATTCATCAGCCCTGGCTAATCCGATGGCCCCTGTAAGATCTTCCGTCAGCTCCCAAATTCTTCACAGCCGGGAGATTCACAACTTCCCCAAGGCGGAATTGGGAACAAGAAAATGGGATCTGGAACTTACTGGTGATGATGAAAGCGAATCCGACGCCAATAATTCCGAGATTCCACAGGCTCCAGAAATCCGCCTGATAGAATAACATCCCAGCATCGATGAGCCCGCTCAATTCATCATAAGCAAAGGCCACGATCCAAACATCCATGAAGATCTCAAAGAACCCAAGACCATTCGGTTTGCGCTCGACGAGTACTGAATAGTACAGCAGCAAGAATGAGATGAAGAAGCCTGCTTCAAACATCTTCCGGTAGACTGGAACTCGTAGCCGCGAATAGGGATCTGCTGTTCTGAGCAGCAAAGGTAAGTATTAGCACCATCAACTAAATTCACCCTGACTCGATGCCTGACTCACTTCCTGTTGAATATTTGCGGCTTCTTGATTGAGTGTACCGTGAGAGAATCCCAGAACACGATTTCGCCATTCCAAATGTCGTTGACCACGCGTTGAACAACCCGCTGGCTCAGGAACCTCTTCGCACCTGCAACAGCTGCAACTTCCAACGCATTTAGTCCGAAGAATCTCGAGTATCTTGAGAAATTGCAATCATCCAGGTATTCAGTCTGAGTACCCAGATAAGCCCGACGATTCTGGTTCTCGGGGCCTTGTTTGCCCAGCTCTGATTGGCGACCAGGTGTGGAAGCACCTGATAGTAGAGGAGTGGACTCTGTCGCGCCCCTAGTAAGACGGGAGGTTCCCGTTTCCACTTCAATGAGATTTGTTGACCTGCGTCTGGGGCTTGGAAGCTCTTCCAGGAGGAATTCGATCGTTTCTCGCTGGTTCAGGTGACAAAGAAACTGCCAGGCGACGAACTCGCATGCTGCCCCTCGGCTCTCGTTCAGTCCCCAGTCGTCTTCAGCTACGTTGGAAAACTCCCATTTCAGTATCCTGTGGTGAGACTGTTCAGCATTGGAATCATAGGTTCTGGAATAGACCATCCTTACATCAAGGCAACAATGATGAAGGGGTTATGACTGTCCTGTGCCAGAGCATGGACCAATTGTCTGAGACGATGACCTCGAGCTCCGTATCTCATTTGCTCAAACGAATAGGCCATCTCGCCAACAGCCATGCTAATGAAACTGAAGCGGTGTTAGTTAATGAACATGGACAAATAAATGTTTACTTACTGGGATAACTTAGGAATCACATCGAACAGTGATTCCTCGGTCTCTATGACGGGAATATCGAAAGAAGTGTCTAAATCGAGGTCCGATGCCACATCGGATGTGGAGGTATCATGGCGTCGACCACTCATTGCAGCCGTAGTAGCGTTAACCATGACAAATCAATGCTTGGAAATCGTTAGAGATCAATAGGCAAGCAAATCTCAACGTCGTGAAAGTCTAGGCTTCTTCAAAAGCGAGTTGGTGGCTCACTTGGCAGGACAGCCTATCTCTTGGCGATCAGCAGCTGCCGGAGTACGCAATGTACGTACTGTTGTTCAAGTGCTGCGGGATCGAGATGGAGAGTTAACGCAGCTGAGAGAACATGATCAAAAGTAGTGCCTCTTTTTGAATAAGAACACAGATGGCCCCATCCGAGTTCTCTCCTTTTTTTTCAAATTTTTGTGTCTCAATCAATTTTGTGGAAGAAAAGTAGCTCTCCCCCTGTCGCAAACAAGTCCAGCGCATAGTGTGGACACCTCCTCACCGCCTTTCCGCGCTATCACGTGGAGACGCGTCAAGTGACCTCACTGTCCGGGCTTATCAACTTGTTAATCAACTTGTCACACCTCGGCGCATCAACATCTCCATCGGCGAAGCTGGGAGATGAGGCCCAAGCGACATCATGGGCCAAGGCTACTCCCTCACAACCCTGTCGGCGGGGTCGGCAGGGATCGACGTACCGGAGCTTTCGGATCTGGTATATGAGAAGTCGATGGGTGGGGGCAGGTTCATGAAGAGTATCCGTGCTAGGCAGCAAAATGGTCTAGTTTTCGTCAAGGTCATCATGAAGCCTTATCCAACGATGCAACTGGAACCGTATGTCAAAGCAATAATGAGTCAGTTTCTTCCGATCTTTCAATGTCTCCAGGCAAAGCTAATATGCCAATGTAGGGGAACGGACCCTCTTATCTGATGTACCAAACGCATTGAGCTATGAGAGGATCCTTGAAACAAGTACCAGCGGATACCTGGTCCGTCAGTACGTTCATAGCTCTCTTTACGATCGAATGAGGTATGTTCACCGACACAAAAACCCTGTGGTTCATCCAATTCTCTGACAACTACGCAGTACTCGCCCCTTTCTAGAGGATATTGAGAAGAAATGGATCGCATTCCAGCTCCTTTGCGCTCTGCGAGATTCTCACTCCTTGGATGTCTTCCACGGTGACATCAAGACAGAAAATGTTCTGGTAACATCGTGGAACTGGCTCTACCTATCTGATTACTCTTCCTCATTCAAACCGACATTCCTCCCAGAGGATAACCCTGCAGACTTTTCGTTCTACTTTGATATCTCCGGGCGGAGAACGTGCTACCTCGCCCCGGAGCGATTTCTAGTGGCCGGTGAGGAACCGGGCAGCCGTCATGTCAATTGGGCAATGGACATCTTCAGCGCGGGCTGCGTGATCGCAGAACTTTTCCTGGAGTCTCCGATCTTTACCCTCAGTCAAATGTACAAGTATCGGAAAGGCGAATATAGCCCAGAGCACAGCCAGCTGGTGAAGATTGAAGATCCTGAAATTCGGGAGCTAATCCTTCACATGATTCAGCTGGAGCCAGAGTCTCGTTACTCTGCTGAGGAATACCTCAATTTCTGGAAGAACAAGGCCTTTCCGGAGTATTTCTACAGCTTCCTTCACCAGTACATGTCTCTCATGACCGATCCATCTTCTGGGAGAACCAAGGTCGATGCGGAATCAAATAATCGAGGGGAAACGGATGATCGCATTGAAAGAGTCTGCTTGGACTTTGACAAGATATCCTACTTTCTTGGGATTCCACCTCGAGCTTCGGCAAGCGGTCCATCTGGCACGGATGCAGCTTCCCGTCTCACGGGCAACACCCTCCCGGTGAAACTCGATTTACCCGATGGTGATGGCGACGGAACCCAAACAATAACAACGTCTCCTCGGTTGCAGTCAGATGAAGGTGTTTTGATCTTCTTGAGTCTGGTCGTTTCCAATCTCCGGACAACATCCAAGGCCTCGGCTCGTATCAAAGCCTGCGATATCCTCCTTGCCTTTGCGGAGAGACTCTCGGATGAGGCAAAGCTCGACCGAGTTCTTCCTTACATCATGATTCTCCTAGCAGACCGTACCGATACTGTCAAGGTTGCGGCAATTCGCACACTGACTCAATTACTGGAGATGGTCAATGTAGTTTCTCCGGTAAACGCCTATTTGTTCCCAGAATACATTTTCCCCCGGCTGCAGCCATTCATCATATCCTCCAAGAGCAATCCAAGCCCCATTGTTCGGGCTGCGTATGCCTCCTGTATTGCGTCACTAGCGCAGTCCTCTTTGAGGTTCCTGGACATGATTCAAGCGTTGCGGTCGGATACTCGCTTGACTTCGCTGATACCCGTTGGCTTCGAGCCGCGATGGACGGAGGACGCAACTTATCACAATCTCTACGATGTGGCTCGAATTGACCTTCTAGAATACTTTGAGGTGCATACCAAGGCGCTTTTGACAGATACAGATGCATCCGTTCGCCGTGCCTTTTTGGGATCTGTTTCCAGTCTATGCGTGTTCTTCGGGAATTTCAAGGCCAACGAGGTTATTCTGAGTCACTTGAACACTTATCTGAATGATCGAGATTGGATCTTGAAGTGCGCTTTCTTTGAGGCCGTGGTTGGTGTTGCCGCATATGTTGGAAGTACCAGCCTAGAGCAGTATATCCTTCCTCTCATGATTCAATCTATGACGGAACCCGAAGAATTCGTCGTGGAAAAGGTGATTCGCTCTCTTGCGGCCATGGCTGATCTCGGACTGTTCCAGCGATCAACAACCTGGGACCTTCTTCATATAACCATTGGGTTCCTGGTTCATCCAAACATTTGGATCCGTGAGGCGGCAGTAAATCTTGTGGTCAAGTCGACCAAGTTCTTGTCGGTCGCGGATATTTATTCTATCCTCACTCCTCTCATTCGGCCATTCCTCAAGGTCAAAATTGTGGGCTTCTCTGAGGCAGAGCTTCTTGACGCTCTAAAACGACCCATGGCACGGAATATCTATGAAATGGTCTTCCTCTGGGCTTCTAAAACGGACAAGGGTATATTCTGGAAATCCGCGAGTCGAGATGCGTTCAGTCTCTCGGAACCTGGCAGTCAGGGCTCTCATCTAGGTCGAAGTGTCGGTTTGTCTATGAGCTCGCAGTCCAAGAATGAGGAAGATGAGCAATGGCTCTCAAGGTTGCGAAATCTTGGGATGACGCCAGAAGATGAGTTCAAGATTCTGGCGCTCAGGGACTACATATGCAGAGTCTCACTTCGACAATCAAGAGACGTTGACACGGAGACCACGTTGCCTCTAGGTGAAATCATCAGTCTCTCGCAGCAAGGCGTCACGCCTCAGACTGTCTTCTTCGACAAGAATCTGAATGAGAAGTCACGTAATACGTCTCTAGAAAGGAACTCTAGTCGCACCCGCACTCTTGATGACCAGAGACCGCGAACTATTGCAGACGCGCTACTTGATGCCTCTACCACAATTGAACGATCACCATCTACTCATCGCAAACATATTCGCACTCGAAGCCAGCTCCATAAAGGAATTGAAGTACCACAGCCGCGAAACATTACAGTTGAATCATCCTCGTCTTCCCCTGCAGCATCATCTCCTGCTGCAGCTCCTGGGTCGCGGCCAATGTCGCCACCCGGCTCGGATATCGAGCGGCAGTTCATTCCTCCGGATCGCAGACTAAGTACCGGTCAAGAGAGCTCATCAACAACCCCTACTAATGCCGACACCTTATCGTTGAGAGGCCTACCGGTGCAGCGCAAGTCTAGTGCCATTAATTTGCTGAATCGTAATGAGACTGCAAAGGCATATGCAGAAACCAGCACGAGCTCTGCAAATGCATTCGGGAAAGTAGATGCCCCAGTTCAGAGAGGCGGAACCCCCCAGCCCTCTGCTCTCTCCCATGCATACGACCGTAAGCCAACCCAGGCCGTTGCGGCATCACGACGATATCGTGCCAATCATTCCTACACTGGTGACGATCCGGTGGTGCTGCGACTGTTGGACAACGTTTTTGCGGAGAACTATCCTACAGACTTGTTTGACTTGGGACCTTACGTCAAAGAACTCGATTCTCGACAGCCGATTCCCAAATCTAATGCCCAGAATATCCACAAACTTTGGAAGCCCGAGGGCAATCTGGTCGCTACTTTCGGCGAACACAGTGGGCCCATCAACCGCATTGCCGTGCCCCCAGATCATTCATTCTTTGTGACTGCCTCTGATGACAGTACAGTCAAGATCTGGGACACTATCCGGCTGGAACGAAATTTGACCCCTCGATCCCGTCAAACTCATCGCCATTCAGCAGGTGCGCGTGTCAAGTCGCTGACTTTTGTTGAGAATACGTACACATTCGTCAGCGGTGCTACTGATGGTAGCATCCACGCTGTCAGAATTGACTATCAAAAGGTCAACGAAACTGCTCGGTATGGCAAGCTTCAACTTGTCCGTGAGTATCAGCTACCTGTCGCCGAAAATGGGTTACAAGAGTATGCGGTTTGGATGGAGCATTTCAGAGACGAAGGCCAGTCGACGCTTCTGGTCGCCACGAATACATCCCGCATTCTGGCATTGGATATGAAGACCATGCTGCCAATTTTCACCCTGGAAAATCCCGTCCATCATGGAACTCCGACCACTTTTTGCTGCGACCGGCGCCATACTTGGCTTCTCGTCGGGACCACTCATGGAGTTCTCGATTTGTGGGACTTGCGGTTCCGTGTACGACTGAAAGCTTGGGGTCTACCAGGTTGGGGCTATATCCACCGAGTTCAGTTACATCCCATCAAGTCACGCGGTCGCTGGGTTTGTGTGTCTAGCAGTGGAAGTCACGGAAATGAAATCACCGTGTGGGATATTGAAAAGTTCCGCTGTCGCGAAGTCTACCAAGCGGCACCACTGAATTCCAGCGATAGTGCTACTGCCAACGGCGGGGCCACCACTAGTCATCACCGGAGCTCCCGGGCTGCCGCTACTGGCCGGGCACACCGTCCTAACATAAGAGATTTCGAGGCTTGGCCCGTCGACGAGGACCGACCGGAGGGCATGCTTAGCCGTTTTGCTACAACCAGCCCCGCGGCAGCTGGTTTAGATGCCGGGTCTGGCAATAACGGCTCAGCGGCATCACCCACGAACCTCGCCGGGGACAGAATGGGCACGTTGGCATTCATAGGAGGTCTGAATACTCCTGATGATGACAAGGCTGCCAGCAGCAACAGCAAACTCGGGTTCATTGTCTCGGCTGGAAGCGACCGACGAATACGGTTCTGGGATCTTGCTAATCCGGCGGGTTCTATGATTGTCAGTGGGTTAGATGCCGTTTCAAACGGCAATGCCGCGAGCAAGCCACAGTACGAGAGCTCTCAACCTGGACCCAACCTCTCCATGGTCACGGAACATATGCCCCGCTCTTCAACCCATGATGGCACCGCCGCGGCTGGCTCAAAGAAGGGAGCTAGCCCGCGACCACCCCGCAGCACCGTGATTAGTCTCCAGCAGCAGATGCTTCTCAAGAGTCATCTAGATATCATTCAGGATGTCGCGGTGCTGCGTCAGCCGTACGGGATGATCGTTAGTGTTGACCGGGCGGGCATGGTGTACGTCTTTAAGTAGGCGAGCCTTTTTCTAAAGGCGTTTTGTTTTCCATCAGTAGCAAATAGATACCCAAAATCAGATTCAATTTCAATCTATCAACAGTTTCTCTGTTCAAGTAGTGGATTGTATTGCGGAGTTCGATCCAAGCATCCATCTATATATCCCGGGAAATGCCATTCCTCAGCAACCGACCCCGCCCTGACCTCGCCGACTTCCATCCATACCCAATCGACGTACCTAAATTGCTTGAGCCGCGACAGATACCGATTCAATTTCTGCCGATTTAAATCCTCATCAATCTGTGTTTCAGACACTATCCACATGCCGTCCTCATCAAGAGAAAACAAAGACGATAGGCCCCTTCAGCCGCCACCTCCCCCACCTCCCCCGCCAGAGGACCTTCGCTCAAAAATGTCCCCCTTGGTTCAGAGATTAAAAGTCGCTCCTCCCAGCGATTTCTTTTACTCGCCAACTACTCCTTCGACAGATGGACTAACTCCGATTCCCACGGGCCCATATTTCTTCTATGGAACTTTATCGGACCCGTCTCTGCTTTCCGAGATTTTGGATCTGAGCAAAAACCCCGAACTCAAGCCTGCGTATCTTGTCGGATATAGATGTATGATGTGGGGTCAATATCCAGCGTTGATGGACGCTCCGGGTATGATTGTTAAAGGTGTTGTCTATCATGTCTGTACACAGGAAGATGGGGAGAAGCTTGCTACGTATGAGACGAATAGTTATCGGGTTGAGGCATGTCGCATTAGATACTTTGATGATAAAGAACCATCTGATAATCTCGGGTATACGTTCAAGTTTGCTGGTAATGTTAATGATTTGGAGGAGGGTGATTTCGACTTGACGGCCTGGCTGAGCAGAATTGGGAGGGAAACTGCAGTGGACGGGCCTATGGTTGCTAAGAAGGAGAGTGCATCATGCAGAGAGCAGACTTGATCCCTTTCTTCCTCTTTGAGATGCATAGAAGTTTTGCCGTGGGCTGCATGTATATATTTGACGGAGAATTGGTCACTGGCACTTCGTGTAGTAATTGACGTAAAATGTGAATGATAAGACTGTTGAAGGACGTCCAGATAGTGCTACGAAGTAGATGAACCTAATTGATTCCCACATCGGTACCAGACTGTGTAATTCCATTATTCGTGCCCGGTGGTTGGATGATGCTAAGAAAGGCTCCAGCTTCGGCACTTCGAGGGTGGCAATCGTGGGGCCTTGCAGACTCGAGAAAGCGCAAAGATATCTCGGATATACCTACTAAGATGCGCAGGTAGTATTCAAGTCCGATAATTTCTGTTCTCTGTAGAAAAGAAATCTCGGATTTACGGAGTCTATGTCGAGCCCGTGGTGGCTAACCGAGTCATCCGTCGGTGTTTAGGCTACCCACTCATCAATATGGACGGAGTAGACGAGTGCGAGTCAAATCCTAAGCGAGTATGGATATGGATTCCCCGCATCCCTCAGTCCTTAGCTTTGCTCTAGAAGCCTCGTGGGATCTTTCTTTAGATTAAACCCCGAAGGCGACCGTTCTGGTATTTGAAGGTGTAGAGAAAGCCGGATGGAGCTAATTATCTGATTGGAATTGGTCATCTAGAATTAAATGGAAGGTCATATTGTGACTATCAGAAAAACTACTCGAGACGATTATCCGACAATTTGATTGATCCTGGCCTGCCTACGATGGGTTTCTTAAGAGATAATCGGTGACTTAGATAGCTTCGTATTGTGATCGAGATATAGAGCTTTGATCAAGTTTGCAGAGACTAGGTATCGTACCATGGAAAAGATGAATTGCGCCGCGCTTCCAGTCCTAATCCATACATTATCTGCATGTACATACTGTAGACCTGCATCACAGATTATGGGTTAGAGCGACTGCCGGGACTCGGAAGCAGCTGAGTGGGTGGGTCGCCCTCCACCGATGCGAAACAGTGGTTTCTAGCTGGGGTGGATGGATCGAGTGAGTGATCGGCAGATATCCCACGGCCCTAAAGTTCAAACCGGGATTACCTCCACCCAAACCAGGGAAAATATTGTAAGCGGGTTGCGATTTCTACCACGGAGTAATGTTTGACGGCATTGTTAGCGCGTCTTTTGTCCGGTTGGACGCATGGATAGCCGGTTCTGCCGGTGGCCATGCATCTCATATTTTACTTTTGGACTTGCCCTTGCATGTTAGTGCGTGCTAAGACGCGCGGGTGCGTTACGAAGTACCGATGTGGTTGGTCCTTGCGAAGGGACCTCCTGCGGGTTCGAGAACGAGGGGATCCTGGTTGGACGGGGATTGTGAGGAGTTCTTGCTATGACTGTAGACGGTCGCGAACTACTGATCCCTGGTTGACCTCGTCCAGAATTCTTCTGATCTAGATCTGGTAGATGATGGTTATGCATTTTTACTATTATCCCGAACTCTAATCATACTGGGGAAGAGAATAGGACGGGTTACCGAGACTCCTTCTGTATGTCGTACGTCCTCTACCTCGGAGTCATCTTTTTCCGCACGGTCATAAACGACACACGAATGACAGGTTCCATTTCAGAGACAAGGTTGCCCACCAGCCCAGATCCAGGAGATTGGCCCGACGGAAGGAAGTGGGATCTCCATTCCAAATTTCCAGAGTTGGGTTCGGTACTGTAGGATTTGACAGTGACGGGCAGTGGAGTCAGGACGAGTGGATGACGAGGGATAAAAAAAGGAAACAATGGATGATAACCGGATGGGAGAAAAAAAGCACTATGCTCGAGCATGGACAATGTCTCTCATATAGATGAAGGAAGAATGGAGACAAAGCAATCATTTATACTCTGGATAGATTATGGCGTACTCCGCAGGGTAGCGCGGAAAAGGCCGAATTGCACAAAAGCAAATTCAATTCAGGGGTCAACCAACGAAAAACGCCGCAAGGGAAACGGCACACGGACCACTGCCAACCAGAAAAAAAGCTGCACGAGTGCGATCGAAGCCGCTCGAAGCCTCGAACACGAATCTCGGCCGTGGGGGGCCCGGCGAAGGATGATGGAGTCTAGTCCTCGTTTTTCTCCTCGAGCCTGAGAGCCTGCTTGCCCTGCTCGGTTCTGCCGAGTCTGCTTTAGTCCCGTTGGGGTGTTAGCTTCAGGCCCGCCAGGAGGTTGCACCACTCACACGGCAGTAACTTGATGCAGGCACGGCAGAGAGCTTGGAGAACTGCGTAGGGGACTGGCCATGGTTCTGGGACGCTTCGGCCCCCAGGCACGTCAGGAACCATGGGCCGTGACTGGGGGCCCGCGATCGTGATCCATGACAAGTTGGTGGTTTCATTCGATCTCTGCAGGTTGAGCACTTCAACACGAGCAGGGGAATCTTTGATCGGCAGGTCCTGGGGCATGATTCAAGGCCATCGGAAAGTGCGGTCTTTGTATTGTACTGAATAATCCCGTATTCACTGAAAATTGAGCTTCCAGTACAAAGTACCACCGGATCCCGAAGACCTCCAGTCGGGATTTGTCATTCCTCCTGATAAGAATGCATATTGTGAGGCTTTTCTGGTTATTGTCTGTGAGATTGTGTCTGCGCAATGGCTCCAGAGGAGTCTGCGGTCTCCTCGCTGCTCGCAGGCGAGACACGAATGTGTTCGACTTTGTAATGGAGCTCAATCAGAGCCTGCAGCTTGCTTTTTGTTTTTTTCTTTGCCCGGTCGCACGGCCAATGCGCTGATAATTGAAAGGATCGAAGTCTCGATTCGGAGACTGACAGACTGACAGACTGACAGCCAGGTGGTACGCATAGACTTTGGCCCCCTATGACGGTCGCATCGGGCGTGGAGCAGATCGGTGGCGAGGATGGGGGGTCTTATGAATCAATTTGTTCCCGTTGATCTATCAAGGGAATTGGACGAGTCCAGAGTCCGGGGAAGACCGAAACGATCTGAGCCTGAGACAGCCGCAGAAGAGACGAACCGGCGGTCAACCGTTGGGGACGATGAAACGGTGTACTGCGTGCAGGCCTGTAGGGCCTGCATGAATTTGGATGTATCGACTCTGAGGAGAAGAGGAGTCCAAAGTACGGAGTATGTATGGAGGAGTAGACTAACAACTGTCTACCATTGTTCTGGTAGAGGATGCAAAGAATCATACATACTACATAACAATAACAACAAAGACAGTAATAAATATCTCATAGTATCTACGGAGGACTCTGCTATCGAGTATAATATCTGTCTTTTCAATCTTCAAACAAAAGGAATATCACATTCGTACTCTTCGCATCTAATATCATGGACTGAACCCCTTCGACCATGCTCAATGGCCATAATTCAGGATCCATGATTACTGTAATAAATGCCTACAATACTAAAATACCAAAATCCTAAAAAAATTATTTCCGTTCGAGCAGCTCCTGACTTTTAATTAACAGACCGGGGCCCAAGTGGAGATGCCAGGAACAGGGCCATTTCTCACTGGCTTAACTCCGTTCGTTTTCCCACTTTATCCACTCAACGAACCCCCTTTAAGCCTTAGCTTTCCGTCCAGCTCTTCTCCTATTCTTCCTTAGACCTACACCTTTCGGACTAGTCCCGTTTTTGCATAGTGAACGAATAACTTTCTGAGTTTCTTAGTCTCGCCGAGCCCGCTCCTCCTCATCTCCCCCCTAATCCCCCCCCCCCGTGGTCCATAGTCCATTCCCTACTTCCCTTCTCTTCTCCTTCAACCATCCTGCTTGGCTTAGGTTCTCGATAGTCGAGTATCCGCGAAACGAGCGTGGTCGCCCTTTTCCACGTCTTTGTTCTGCCGGTATACTCGTTCGCTACTCCTATTGATGGCCTGCATTGCCCTCCACCGACTTTGAGTCCAAATTCGAGTCTCAACCGGCGTCACTCTCTCTCCCGTCGGCCTATTGTTCACGCCAATTCCTCGTCCTTCTCTTGATCTGGCCCGACCCTTTGTCTCGCAACCAACTTGATACTCTAGCAGTATCAGACGAGTCCTCTACAGTCCGTTGTGAGGTCCGTATCATTCAACGTCACCACTACCGCCATTACCACACCGGGTATCATTTATAGATCTAGATCTCCCAGTCTATATCACCACAACCACCACATACCGTCACAATGGGCCCTTCTTTGAGAGACCACGGCTCCTTCGTCCGGCCTTCCACTCGCGATCGCCCGACGACTCGCGGTGAGGGGGAAAATTCGCTGGTCGTCCCCAGCCGCACGTCGTCGCTGCACTCGCGCATCACCCAACCCATTCCTTCTACTCTCAACATCAAGCCCGCTCAGCGGACTCCCAAAACTCTCACTCATGCATACATGGTCTGCGGTGTCGGCCGTGAGCCCTCACAATGGGTCAAGGCACCCACTCCTGAACAGGGCAAGATTGGCCACATGAAGGGTGCCGTTGGCCAATTCTGGCTTCCCGAGATCCTGGGTAGCAGCCCTCGATTGGAGCAGGATAACGAGATTGCACGAGCTCTGCACTCGGCTATGAGGGTAAGCTATTGATTCTTTGCATCTACGCATATCTCCATATAGAAAAGAATGGCCGGTATGGGATTGCATGATATGCTCTCCTAAAACGCCAAAGGATATTCAATGGAAGACTTGAGATCAACTAACATTCTCTCCATTAGGCCTGCTTCCCCCACGATGTCGAGATTTGCACTGGCAAGAGCCAGCCTCACTGCGCCCACCACGCCTTCGTTCTCCAGCAAGATTCTTCTCACACCCTGTACGGTATCGCGCTGCGCGTTTGGTCCCGTGCCGACGAGAAGCGTGCCGAAACCATCCGCGAACTGCGCAAGAAGACCGAGCCCGACTTTTATGATAACCCTGACGAGACCTACTGGATCCCATACTGCCTGAGCTTCCTCTCCCGCTACCCTCTGTACGACCTGCTGGGTGATTACCTCCGTGGAATGTGGATTCACTGGAACAAGGCCACGAACCTGTTCCACGCCGAGGAGGTTTCTCGCATTCTGAGCTTCCCTGCTCCTCGCCTCAATGATCTCGTCCGTATCGACATGAAGGACTACGCCCTCTGCTATCAGTTCCCCTCCTCCCCGACTGGCTTCCAGAACTTCTCCATGTGGCCCCTGTTCAACTGTCTGTCGATTCCCAACATTGTCGGAGTCATTGAAGCCGCGGTCTCCCCCACTCGCCGAATCATCTTCGTCTCTCACTACCCGGCCATGCTGACCGTGGCTGCCGAGACTGTCCGCTACTGCGTTCGTGTTTACGAGTGGAGCGGTCTGTATGTGCCGGTCGTGCACGCTCGCCACGTCAAGGAGCTCGTCCAGGAGCCTGGCCCGTACATACTGGGTATCACTGCTGAGTGCCGCACTCTCTTCAACGCTCCCTCCGATGCCCTCGTGGTGGATCTGGACCGCAACTTCGTTCTCACCTCCAGCCCGCCCAATGTTCTGAACCAGGGCCAGCGCACCAAGTTCATCAACCGCCTGACCCAGGCTCTGAACGGTGATGTCTCACCCTCTGGTGTCCCCACTCACCTCCGCTCTGCCTACGCTGGTGGCAAGCTTATCCCCGCTGGTCAGATCATTGTCATGCGTGGTGAGGTCGAGAGCGTTCAGGACCCCAACTGGTGGAACCAGGACGCCGTCATGGGCGTCATGGACCACGTCTGCGAGAAGCTCGGCCGCAACACTGGTATGAAGGCCATCTTCGGCGGTTCCGTCAAGAAGCCCCTCATGACCAAGGTGTCGATGCGTCACCTCAACGAGATCGTTCGCGAGCGCAACCAGTACTCGCGCGATGCCATGGAGGCCTGGCAGGACTTCATCAACCTCAAGGGCCGTATGGACACCGAGCTCAGCAAGGTTACCAAGCGCAACAACTTCCTTGTCGAGGAGCTCGAGACCTGGAAGCAGCAGTTCCTCAAGTTCCAGGCATTTGCTGAGCAGCTTACCAAGGAGACTTCCGAGCTCAAGGTCAAGATTGAGAACCACAAGCGTGAGAACCGTCGCCTCACTGGTCTCATTGACCAGCAGAAGGATGATGTGGCTCGTCTCACTCTTCGTCTGTCTGGCACTGAGAAGCAGCGTGACGATGCTCTCGAGGCTCTGGTTCTCCAGCAAGAGATTGCCGAGGAGCTCGAGCGTGAGCGCAAGCGTAACCAGAAGGAGATCTCCGCTCTCACTCACACTAACTCCACCCTGTCCCGTCAACGTGACGATGCTCAGCGCGTGGTTCTGCACCTTCGCAGTCTGATCAATGGCCAGAGCCACCACATGGAACACATTGTTCGCTCCATTGGCAGCAGCTCCGAGATTACTGAGATGGTCGAGCAGGGTTACGAAGATGCCCCCGAAGAGGCTACCGACCGCGAAGAGCGCATGGAGACGGTGAAGGAATCAAGTGGCAAGGAGAGCAACGCTCAAAAGGCAACTTCGGTAAATGATATGAGACCCGAGCTTGAGCAGCACCTGCTGAACCTCGGCAAGGACCACAAGACCCTTGCCCGTCTGAGCATTACCGATGTCGCGGACCGTTACCTCCGCGACAAGACGGATGCTATTGCGGACATTATTCGTAGCATCAGTGACCAGTGCGCCGCCGCCGTCGAGGGACTTCACCTCGCCCAGGACGCCGAGGAGGATGAGGAGATTGATTCCAACTCCAAGTCCTCCGTTCACCAGAACGGTGGTGACCGTCTCGGCTCCGAGTATGACGAGGGTCGCACGACCCGCGCCACCAGCGAAGTGAGCGACATGGACAACAACTCGCTGCACCCCGACAACCGTCACTCCAGCATCCCTCCCACTCCCGACTTGGTCCACAACCGGTCCAGCACTTCCATGTCCATGGTTAGCAGCTCGACTTTCCCGGAGCGGTCAAGCCAGCAGTACGGTCCCGGTGATATCCCGACCCGTATCGTGGAGGATGACGATGAGCACGCCCACGAGACGGAGAACATGGATGACCAGGCCACCGAGACTGGCACCTTGTCCAAGCAGGCCAGTGAGGATCTCATGCGTCCTCAGACCGCACGAGTGATCTCTTAGTTTTGCCCTCCCTTCCACTAGCCCTGCCTGAGGACGATGTGCAACGCTTGAACCCCCGAGACGACCTTGATTTTTTTTTCATCTTCTCTTCTGACACATTCTTGCTTATATTGGCGTGGTGTTTCCTTTCTCTCTCCCTTTCTTTTACTTTTCTCTTCTCTCTGACTGGTGCCGTGAATCTGAACACGTACACCAATGCTCTGGTTGTCCGGCGTAGTCTTCGTCTGCTTTTCTTCGCTTCGTGGTGTCACTTCCGATACTCCTATATCCATCCTCCGTTGTTCACCCATTATTCCTTGTCTATCCATATTTACCTTACACATTTTGGTCCTGTGGAGGGGGTTCTTTCCCCCTGAGCCTGCTTTTTTTCTCCCCCTCCCAGGAAAGTCTATTGTCTTGTGTCTTTGGTGGCCGTGCCTTCTGAGTTGGACCGGCTTGTTGACTTGTTTTTCGCTGCTTACCGCTCCTTATCTTGTGCCTGAGGCCTTGACTGCTGTTGCGTTGATAGATCTCAGCGCGAGAGAGCGCTCCACTCTGCACCCTCCTTCTGCAAACCTTTTCTCAAATTGCAGATACATTTCCTTGTTGTCTACAGTGTGTGCCATGCACCTTTTTTTTCCTTGTCTCTTTTTTTGTGAAGTCGTCGGCCTGGACTCGTCGATTGTATATGGGACGATCCATCCCACCTGTTGTATTTAAAATGGATTCTGTTAATTGTTCTACTTTGTGTGAATCGTAGATTTGATAATGTTTTCTGGAACTGGCTTGCCTTTCCAGTCGAGGCAGTTGTATGTGGTAAGAAACATGCCAATTGAAACTATTTACAAAGCTATGCAACAAATGATAAGATTATGCAAGCTTTCCAGGGACAACGGGGTGTCCAGCACTCAAACCACCGCAAACAGCCCACGCCTGGCCATTAACATAGCTGCTCTCATCACTTCCCAAAAACAATGCCACACGGGCGACCTCGTCTGCAACAGCACCACGCTGCAACGGGTTCAACTGGCCAATCTTGCGCTCGGTGCCACGCTTCCGGGCATGGTCAAAGACCGCCTGCGTCATGCCAGTCTCGATGAGACCGGGGCAGATGGCGTTGATACGGATACCCGAGCCGGCCAGCTGGTAAGAGACCGTTTGGGCAATAGAGACGACTGCTGCCTTGGAGGCAGAGTAGTCGGTTGAGCCAGCGTTGGAGCGGAGACCTGCAACCGAGGCAGTGCAGATGATGGAACCGCTAGGATATGGCTTGGCCTCGGAGGTTACTTTCATAGCTGGGGCAGCGTGCTTTGCAGCTAGGAAGACACTGTATTTCACAAAGATTTAGCACGAGCCCACCCCTGAACATACTGAGTGAAAGAAACTTACCCGAGAGCATTCGTCCGCATCGTGTTCATAAAGCCATCGCCATCAATCTCAGTAAAGATCTTGGGTTGACCTACGATTCCAGCATTGGCAAAGAAAATATCTAGACGGCCATACTTGGCAATCGCATCGTCGATGACCGCTACAACGGCCTTTTCCTCGCCGGCGTCGAATTGCCGCACGTGGACATCTACGCCCGGGTAGAGAGATTCCATCTCCCGCTTATGCGTGGCGAGATGAGAGTCATTATAATCGCAGATGTAGACGGCTTTGGCGCCGTTGTTTGCGAATTGGTGGGCACTTGCGCGGCCAATACCGTTAGGTGAGTTTGCTCCTAGGTATTGTTAGTACGATGAATCGGAGATTTGGCCGAGGGAGCTTACCGGTCACAATTACAACCTTGTCCTTTGTCCGACTGTAAATGTTTTAGCTTCTGATGTGCTATTCGTTTGCTTCAATTGAAGCATTTCTTTTGTTAAAAGCAGCAGATGAAGGACTTGACTTACGGTCCAGCAGAGTCTGAAGCAACATGGCGAATCTTGGGGATTCCCTCAAAGCTGCCCTCGTCGGGAATACCCTCGACCAACTGCTTACTGAGGGCCTGAAGACGTTGCCGAGCTGCTGCAGAGGACATGATGGTCGTAGAAAATTGATATAAGAAAAGAAGGGTTTAATTCTAGTCCCGCCTGATTGGGACTGAAGTAAGCTTAGATAGGTAACGTGTAGAACAAGCCGGGGAAGGTGCAAATAAATAGGAAGGAGCTGTACCGACTCTACCGAGCTGCACCGCATCGCCTTCTTTCCCCACTCGGTTATGCGGAGAGCCGAGGCCCAGGTCACGTGGATTCTTTTCTTTCCCTGGAGAACTCAGTATCTCACGTGACTTCATATATCTATCTCACGTGATGCCACATCACGTCATGTGCCAGTGCTTGTTTTGGGCAGAAGAGCCTCGCTTCTGGCCGCCAGGGTCTATATAGAGGACCACTTTGCGAGCGTCGTATTTATTTCCTGCCCTTATGCCTTCCGGGTCGATTCCCCTGCCGTCCTTACATTGACACTGTGGTTGATCTCCCTTCATTCCACAGATCCACCCTGGATCGCCTAGGATCGCCAAGGGCGCGCGCAACACGACCAAAAAAGAGGCTCGGAAAAGCAAAGTGAGAAAACAGCCGGTCCTGAGAAGGAACTGTTTCTTTACCCTTTGCTTCAAGCCTCCCCCATTTCTGTCCGATGAAACTCAGAAAGCATTCATGAAGTCCGCAATTACTCGTTTCGACGTCTATGCCATCCACCTGTCGTTGAGTCATGGCGGAGCCCGATATTCACCCCCAACGGCGGTCCTCCTCTCAAGCTTCATCTGCATCGGGCAGGAGCCAGAAGGCTAGAACACTTCGACACAAGACACAGAAGCGCCACTCGGCTTCTTCAAATGCGACTACCGATCTCACATCGTTTCCTTCGCTTTCACCGCCGGATCGCTCTCCCACTTTGACCCGAGGGTTGACGCATACAATGATGGCGGGCAATGAGGGCGGAGATAGCGCAAGTGAGACTGGACGCGGGCGCAAGGCTACTCTTGCAAGTTTGACGACTGGACTGTCACATACATCAGGAAGGGGTGCCCTTTTCGCCGATTCGGTCCCTCCACGCGATATTCCCGGAGCGCTGCACTTGGCGGATGATGGACATATCGAGCGGTTAATCGCTACTACGGGAGCCGTCAAGATTGTACGACAATTTGCGCGGGATCTGGCTCAGCGGGATGCAGAGATTTCGTCCCTGAGGCAGCGCGCTGATGCTAGGGAGCGGGAATTGAAGAGGATGTTGCGTGAAGTGTCAGTGTCGAATCAGGATATTGAACGCCGCCTCTACCAGCTCGAAAACCCTACGGATGATCGCAACTCTGATGGAGAGAGTAGCACCAGTGGTGAAAATAGTGGTCTGAATGGTCTCATGTCTCAGGCCATGACGGACACTGTGGGATCCCAAAATGATGCGGATCAGGATGTCTCGTCCGATCTACATGCCACCATCCGGGCCGCTCAGAGGTCCGAGAATGAGAATCGGAGTGGCAGCGCACCGAGTACTGAGTCTAGCAACAACCGGAGACGACAAGGCTCGCTTCGTGGCTGGCAGGAATACTTCTTTGGTTCGACCAATGCCAGTCGGAAGACCAGTCGGGCTAGCAGTATCATGAGCGATATGCATGAGGTTGAAGAAGAAGACTCTGCCGAGCGTGTTCGAGTACCCAGCAACCCCTCAGTGCGGCGAAAAGCCCTTGACGACCAGCTTTTCCAGCCCCCTGGTGCTGCGGCAAGCGAGATTCTGAATAGAAGAATTGCTAGTGGTTCCACTACCGGTGACGATGCAAGCATTCACTCGCGCAAATCTTCACGCTCACTCGGTTCATGGACGGTCAAGTTGTTCGCTGGCAATGTGCAAGCAAAAGACGCCAGTGATTCTGAGACCAGCCGCAACAGAGCGGCATCAGACAACCAAGACAAAGACAGGTCAGCCGGGTCTACTCTCTCCGGAGCGGCCGTTTCCAAGAGTGGATTGTCTGCGGTTGCTGCGCTAAAGAGAATCAATAGCAATTCCAACGTTGCTACCTCCGGTGCACGCACGGCTAGTGGTAGTGGCACGGTCAAGATAACTCCACAGAGAAGGAATCCTGCTGGTATCGTTCCACAAGGTGCAACAGTTGAAAGTACCAACCGAAGCTCAACCAACCTTGGACCCGTTGAAATGGATGCTATTTTACCACTGGAGTCTCGCCCTCCAACTCTTACTCCCATTTACAATAACTCCCAGCCAGGTGAATTCCTGACCGATCGGTTTGGCTTCATCTATGATCAGCGACGAAAGAAGCGTCAGAGAGAGGCCAATGCAGGCAAGGGTCACAAATCAAGATTAAGCATCGCCGAGACTCTTGGTAATCACCGCGCAGATTCTGATGTTGAGGATGACGCTCAAACAAGTCCTACTCCTCAGCAAAGCGTTGATACCCCTAGCTCTGCTCCAGGCTCCCCTGATGACGATCCTGAAAATGGAGCTGTTGGAATGCGTCGCTGGCAGGATTACCTAAGAAAGCCATCTCGCCCGACAGAGCTTCTGTCTCATACGCCCTCTGCTGGTCCCATCGTTTCCTTGATGACCGCGGGAGAGAACCGTCCTCACAGCTCGTCGGTTTCTGTGGACAAGGGTGGCGCTGTATCGGTTGGGACAAGTGCACAACCCTCTGCATCCACTTCGGCTATCACGGCGGATCGTCCTGAATTTGCTGGAACCACGTCGGAGGAGTCAGCCATTGCAGCGTCCGCCGGGGTTAGCACTGCTGAAAATGAGCCGGTGAAGCTACTCCTAGAGCAACTCACCGATCTCCACGATTCATTGCAGCGTGACCGGACGGTGAGATGGAACGAGTTCCTCCGCAAGGTTCGTGCCGAACGCAGAAAGGAAGGCGAGGCTGCGGCTGCCGCGGCCGCCGACCGGTCTGTGACTGCTGTGGACACTCCGGAAGCATCTCTCGCAGACGGCGAGGTCATTGGTATCGCTGGACTTGGCAACAAAGGCAAGGTTGGTCGTGCCAAATGGCGAGAGTTCCGCCTGTTAGTTCTCGGTGGTATTCCCGTTGCCCTGCGTGCCAAGGTTTGGTCCGAGTGTAGCGGTGCGTCCGCCATGCGGATTCCTGGTTACTATGAAGATCTTGTGCGAGGAATTGGTGGCACCGAGCCAGACTCATCGGTCATCGCCCAGATCGACATGGACATCCGGCGCACCCTCACTGATAATGTCTTCTTCCGTAAGGGCCCTGGTGTGGGTAAGCTGAAGGAAGTTCTCCTAGCATATTCACGCCGCAACCCCGAGGTTGGATACTGCCAGGGCATGAATCTTATCGCAGCTTCGCTACTGCTTATCGTGCCTACAGCCGAAGATGCATTCTGGATTTTGACCTCAATGATCGAGATCATCTTGCCCCATCATTACTATGACCATGGTCTGCTTGCGTCCCGCGCGGATCAGGTTGTCCTACGACAGTACATTTCGGAACTTCTGCCCAAGTTGTCAGCGCATCTTGAAGACTTGGGCATTGAGCTGGAAGCCCTCACCTTCCAGTGGTTCCTTTCTGTCTTCACTGACTGCCTTTCTGCAGAAGCATTGTATCGTGTATGGGACGTGGTCTTGTGTCTCAACGTTACCAGTGCAAGCACGGTCTCTGCAGGCCCTGCACCAGCCACCAATTCATCTGCCTCGAGTGTCAAAGACGGCACGGATAAGGCCACTCTTCCCACTGAAGAGCTTGCTTCTGGCAGCGGGGGAGGAAGTACTTTCCTCTTCCAGGTGGCTTTGGCACTCCTCAAACTCAACGAGCCGCAGTTGCTCACCACGTGTACCACACCGGCCGCGTTGTACACATACATCAACCATCAAATGACCAACCACGCTATCAGCATCGACGGCTTGATCCAAGCCAGCGAGGCACTTCGTAACATGGTTCGTCGCGAAGACGTCGTCGCGCGCCGAGCTATCGCTTTGCAGGAGATGCGTGAGTATAGCGGTGTCCGGTCCTAGGTCCCGATCCTTTGTTTTATTCAATCGTTTTCTTTTGTGGGAGTACCAGCGCAATCACCTGCCTCGTTCCCTGTTTCCTTTCTTTCTCTGTTCCCATCTAGAGCCTGTGAGATTATGCCGATACGATTCCGAGCATTGGATAAGGAGTTTGGCTATTCTTTTTCTTCCAATGATATCCCACTATTTCCCATTCCTTGGCGCTGCTCCTGGCTATCTTTGCGGATTTTCCTTTCATCTGGCCCTCTTCAATGGGTGCGCTCGTTCTCTTTCTATAAACCTCTGCATCCAAGATACCCCCGACTACTTCTCCATGGGTTCGATTTGTTTGATTGTCATTAGAGTTTCGTTGAAAATTGGAGAAGTCATAAAATGATATTTTAGTATTCGTTCCATCTATCCGATTAATGCTTTTAACTCTATTCTTCCACTTGTCTAGTCTACTCGCTAATTTTGATTACCACCCACGGAAAATCGACTCCAACTTCGAATCTGAGATCCATATATCATAAACACGATCGGCGAAACCATAATCACTGCTGATAAAACCGCAAGCAACGTAGCCGACCAATTAATATGCAACTTCTCATACATCGGTCCTTCGACGATGGGAAACACGGCAGAAACCAACGAACGAACCATGACGTGAATCGATATAGCCGAGACGGTATTCATCAGATAAGTATCGACAATGTAAACAATGCCACTGATGAAAATCACTTGTAATGCCATCCCGATGAAGAAACATGCGATGAGCTGCGATGCCCAATGGACGTCTCCTGACCAGCCGAACCAGAGGAGTGCCGGTGGGAGGATCACTGCACCCAGGATCATGGGGGGTAATCGATGTTCTGGGGTGATTTTGATCTGGGAAGAAGACGATTTCCCTTCTTCATCCGTCTTGACCTTCTGTGAAGCTAGCCATCGTGACTTGTACCAAGTCATTGTAAATAAAGAGAAAATTCCAAGTGCAGACAACACGCCCAACCCAACAGAAATAAACGGTAGAGTTGCCGTGGGTTTACTCCAGCCTCGATTCTGGAATGCCTTCGGGAATAACTGGTATGATAGGTAGAGCGTGCCGTAGACGAGAGTCAGGTATATCGTCATGACTATCAGGATGGGTTCTTGGATGAACATCCGCACCGGTTTGGTACAGTACTTTCGTAGCAGGACCTGCGGATCTAGAGATGCCATCTCAGCACGAGCACGGAGGTTGACATTCCCCGTTTCACGACGGAGCCTAGCGGCGCGTTTCATGAGGATGCGATTATGAGAGGACTCGCGCAGTAACACCGCAGCGTGGATACCCACGACACCACATATAATCAGCGTCACCCACGCAGTCCACCTCCACCCATACCGCTCAACGATATAAGCACCCGCAATAGGCGCAATGATAGATCCCAAATTCATAATCGACGCAGACATACCCACCGCAACACCACGGGTAATCGGTCCATAGATATCAGCCAGAATCCCCGATCCCACCGCAAGACCGCCACTACCCAACATGCCCGCTAGAAACCGACAAACCAGGATCGTGACGACGCCCTGCGCTAGGGCTAGAGGGATTTGAAAGATGGCACAGCCTGCTAGTGCAACGGCGAGCACGGGCGCGTTGCCGACTACTTCGGCCATTGGGGCGAAGATTAGCGGGCCCGTTGCGAACCCGGCGATGAACAGGGCTACTCCTAGGGACATTACTTCTTGGGAGACGCCGTATTCGGCTGCTGTAACGTCTGCTGCAGCACCGAAGACGCTGGATGCGAATGCGATGGCGAAGATTACGGTTAACGCTGCTGAGGAGCGGAGTAGTTTTGTTCGTAGAGGCCAGTTTTGTGGGTTTTCAGGGTCTTTGGGGCCGCTCCAGGTGACTATTTCGAAACATGATTCCGGTTCGTTTTGTGGTGTGTTTGTTCCACTGGGTGTGTCTATACCGTTTGGCGTTGTAATGGGGTTGATGATGCCTCTCTCGGTCTGTTTGACTCTGATCGAGTCATCTGGTATAGACTGTGTCATGGCAGGTGTGAGGATGAGATATTTTGATTCTGAGAAGAACCCTGGTCTGTGTAAAGAGTTTTTTCGGTCTCTAGCAGCTTGACGATCGGCAATTGATGCAGGTTGGGTCCACTGTTCTAGATGCGCGGATGATCTCCGAGATTGTGGCAGGCGATGTCATTGGCGTGTGCGTGTATGTCTGGAAGAAGGCTGTATAGTTCGGATTATCGAAGAGATTGTATAAAGACCTAGAGCGTATCTCCTATGAGACAGTAAAATAGGTCAGCGTATACTATATAACGGTTGATCGCATTCTCGGCAAGTTCATAGTTCGCGGGAGGCCCCGAACCGCGAACGGTCAGGGCTCGGCGAGATGGCCGAGAGTGGAGCATTGCCTTATCACTTTCCTCGAGTCGAGGCCCTTGGTTTATGATTTGTGCATTTGACTGGTCAAAGAAGGAGAAATCATGTATTCCTTCGGACAATTCTGACAGCGGCACGTATAGCCGGGCATACTGCAGAAGCAAAAGCCCGAATCTACAATAGTGACCCAAATAGTGGCCTAGCCAGATATGCTTCCATTCTGTCTTTCTAATGTCCTTCCATTGTGTCCTCGCTGGCTTGGAAATCCTCTCAGGGTCTGCTATGCAACGTGACTGATCTGATGTGAAGTTTTGACCAGATTTGAACACATAGAACCTACATGGATGAAGTATGTACGCATGTCAGTAGAGACACGAAGGAGTTCATCCTGCTTGTCTTCTGCAAGGCAAAGCCATTGAAACAATGCAGCTGATGCAAGCAAAATAAAAGATTAGAAATAGGCTATGCGCCGATTAGATAGTAGAGTGGCTCTTGGAAAAGTGGGTATTATTCCTCGCACGTCCACCTGCTACAGGCCATGATCTAGGACTATGGGCAAACAAGTTCTACCATCAATGGCTTCCGGGCTTCACCCGTAGCACGAGAATAACAGTAGAGTGACCGCTTATCTTCCGTCACCAATGGCGGAAGTGCATTGGCTGTGCCAAGATGCATTTCAAAACGTCTACATGGTCGGAATCATCTCCGACGGGGTGGTGGTGCCAAGGCAGCAGACTACTGTTGTCAGAGCAGTAAGTCGCTTGGTCCCTCTGGAAGTGACCAGCCACGGCAACTAGTCCTGGTAGGGTGTCCAAGCTGGAAAGTATCCACACTAGCTACAGCGTAGGGTGGTTCCGACCCATGATCGCCCGATCAGCGTTCATGCTAACCGTGGTGGAACATTTACGGAGGAGAGAGCCTCAGAGTAATCCGAGGTGATATCGTGCTGCGGCCATGTCAAATTCAGCTAGGACCATCCTGGATCCAGAACCGATCGTTGACATCCAAAATCGAGGTAAGATCAAGCGATTCAATGCTAGGGCGCACGCCCATGTCCAGTACGTCACGGGCTACGGCCTTGATCTGACGCATGATCGATTGAGAAATGGCCCAGGTACGAGCCAGCGTCTTGAACACGCCGATGGTGAGACCGATACGATCGCGACTGGGATCAGGCATCTGGCCTGCCTTGACGGAGCAGGCTGCCAATTGGACCATGGAGCTCAGTGTGAGAGCGCAGATGAAGAATGGGGTGTGTCGCTCCACGGGCAGACGGATAGCCGCCAAAGAGGATAACTCGCTAGCTGCCTTGACTGCCTTCATGGCATGGGCATGATGGGAGAAGGCAGGGACGCTGATCGGGCCGTGGTGACCACAAATCACCTCTGACGCGACCGCGGGGGAGGACAGGAGATCCGATCGAGGGAAGTTCAGATAAATGGAAGCACCATTGACAATCATGGTCGCCTGGAACATGATCTCATCCACCGATCCATCCGGCCGCATCAGCTCTGACTTGGACTCTGGCAAGTGAAGGAACCAGCTCGCGATGCGCGCATCAATAGCTTCCACATGATCTTGCTGGCCTTCCACCATCTCCTGGGTCGCCACCACACGTCCGAGAATTCGCACGGCTTCGATTCGGTAGCAGTAGGATGAGAAATCACGCTCATCATCGGCAAATACACGTTCATCAAACTGTGCGATGGTCGGTGAGGGTGGCGGGGTCAGGCCATCCTGGTAGATACGCTCCTCGCACGGGAGGGGCACCTCGGGTGGCACCAAGTTCGTACGATACACCTGCTGCACGCCAAGGGCAGTCAATAGGCCCTCGACAACGAACAGCTCCCACCAGGTGCGCCGCAAGCACTCTGCCCGGGTTGGATCCCCATTGCTTGCAATCTCGGCAAAAGTAGCTTGATTCAGACCAAGCTCGAATGCCAGATCAACCGCGGCATCTAAACATTCCTTGGCCTCTCCACGCTCATTGCGCGAGTGGAGCACAATCGCCAATAGAAGCCATGCTTGCACCTTTTCCACGGAGGGCAGCTGGTCCCGTACACCTGTAACAACGGTCGGGCGGTATGTTTCTGGCAAAGCGGCGGGGGTGAAGTGGGCGGCGATGAATTTCATCACCTGTTCCAAGTAGACGGGGCACTGGGCGCCACGATACAGTAGGCGCAGCGGTGGGAGAACGGGGTGGGCCGAGTGGAAATAGGTGTAATAGATATCGAGAAGGTACCCGTCGCCGCCGACCGAGGAAGAAGATTCCGGGGTCATCGGGCCTGTTATCGGGCGAGCGGGTGGTGTCGTGGTGGCTGCAGTTGTGGTCGTTGTCATGGTCGACGCCGGGATATTCGGGATGCCATTGAATGACGGACTAGCCGATCCAGAGGAGGGTAATGGCACGGTGTGAGGCGCATAATTGAAGCTCCCTTGGAGAGACCAGTCGAGGGGGACTTCAACCATGCTGGGTGCAGGATCCGTGACAAGTTGGTCGGGAGAGTATGGTTCGGCACGACGCTTCTTAGAGGGGCCCTTGTATCCCCGGCGCGATTTGGTATATTGACATTCGGAGCCGGTCAGCAGGCAGCGGCCACAGACGGGGGTCTTGCCATCGCATTTGAGATGTTTGTGGCGACACAAAAGACAGGCAAGTAGCGAAGGACCGGCGGGCTTCGCGGACCCGGGAACAATAATCGGGGCCTGCGGGTCGTTCATGATGAAGAGAGGCGCATGGGGAGAGGGATGGAATAGGAGGGAACAGTAGTAGAATGGAGAAAGAGCCGGGAATTATAAAAGTGAGAGGTTCAAGAAAAGGTCGCGAAAATAAAACTGGGGAAGGAAAAGATGAAGGAGGGGAGAGAACGAAGAGAGCAGTCCAGAAGTCCAGAAGAAGCGAGGGGGGCAACTGGCAACTGGCCAGTCCAGCAGGGATCTTCCCCGTTGCCAACGCTAAAACCGATGACACGTCCTCTTCTCACTCCACTCCTTCCATCATACTGAACTGCTGTTGTTCTCATTCTCTGGTCCAGCCTTTCCAATCCTTCAAGGCCACTTGCTTCTCCAATTCTCACCTCCAGTCGCCCCTCGCGCTCTTTCCGACCAGCTCAACCTAATCGCCAAACGCGATTGAACGTTCCTCGGCTCCGACTACTACTACTCTCTACACTCATCTCGTGATCCCCTTGCTCCACCTCCACAATGATCTCCGACGGCGACCTCTACCGCTTGGCCATCTTCCTGGGCTCATGCGCCATGATGATGATCGTTCTATACCACTTCCTCGATGTCAATGCCCGCGACGATAAGGAGCCCGCCGAGAGCAACTCCGTGAAGCCCGCCCGCGCCGCAGCCAAGGCCACGTCGACCCCAGCTTCAGAGAGTACACCTACTACCTCGCCACCCACGGGGAATGCGCTATAATTCGACGACGATGGGATGGACAGGGATCCAGATCTCCTAGGTGATTGGGGGAAATACGGATTACAAATGCAGGATTGCTGTACACCTTCTTGAGTTCGATCCATGCATGTATAATACCAGCAGCGCAAGTGCCGGTTGATGATTTTCTGGCAAAATACCAATTGGCTTTTCTCTTCTTTTTCTACGATCTTCTAGGTATTGCGAAAACTTCAAATGTTTGATCTCATTAATATGTTTGATTCGTTGGTTCATGCATTGTCCAGCAGAGTAATCAAGGCTGCTGCATTGTAAGAAGAGTCCGCTAGACATTTCCGGAACGCCACTTCTGCGGGAAACAAGTTTCACTGCTTTACGGCAGCAGATATCGTCAATCCATTCAATTCCCTCAGGACGGCTCAAATCACCACTTGTACGTTGGACATGGTGTATGCCGTCTCAGTGTGGCTGCTGGCCAGCAATCGGGGTGGCGTAGAAAGGGCTCGATCGCTAACATCCGTATCCGGACCAGCACCTTCCTTCCACTGACGTCCACCGTCTTCCATCAGCTGGGCCTTTTGCTTGCCCGTCTGCGTGCCGTGGATGCGACTGAAGATCTTGACCGAGTCGCGGTCTGCCGGGAGAGTCATCGTATCGTTTCGATCTTGGCTAGACATCTCCGGTGATTCATAGCCACCTGCCGCTATAAATCCAGTACCATCAGATATGTGTCACATTTCACAAGTAGCAATCTCAAGTAACAGAAGCAGATGCAAGCAGGTCGATATCCTCACCAGGTATTGAGACCGAAGGGCCATCTCCGAGTTGCCAGGCTAGGGGGTTAATATGATTCGCTTGGACGTGCTCCCACATTTCTGAAGCAGGACGAAGCTTCTCATCACCACAATCAGCCCAGCCGCAGACGAGGTGGTGAGGGATATGAACCCCCACTACGTGTGACTGCATTGCTTGTAGGTTGTGAAGCTCTGCCTTGCACCCAGTCCACTTGCATTGGAATACTTGATATTCCGGGGCTGGCCGATTATCAATGGCCACCTCAACTTGGACATCTCTCTGAGGTGGCCGGGTGGGCTTCTTCTTGGGGGGCGCCATTACTCCTGGTGAAATTGGAATGACGACTTGAGGTTCGGGGAGACCTTTTGGCAGGGGTGACTGCCGGGGAACCTTGCTGCGAGGAGATTGGGGGGGGAGCCTTGGGTGTTTGTAGCACAGGGCGAGGAGTGGCAGGTTTTGACGATGATGATGATGGGACAGTCACTGACTCCACTGATCTTTGGGGTGAAGACTGAGGTAGTGGAGCTGGCACTGAAGACGAGACTGAAGGTGGAGATACAACCGAAACAGAAGAATGCACCTTCTGGGGTGACGAGGAGGGTGGAAGAGATGGAAGAGAGTAAGGTAGTGGTTGAGCAGTGGGACGAAGAGGGGAATAATGGGAAGGAGCTTTGAAAGGTAAAGCTCCAAACGCGTTCAAGTTCACTGCAGAAGGTGGTGTAGGAATTGCCTTCTGAGTAGACTTGGGCGTAGAAACAGGTGAAGCTGTGGATGTGAGCGTAGAGGGATGCGCCTGGTAGCTGGGGGTGACGTTGGTGTTTGTTGCGCCCGTAGTGGTCACATCCGGACCAAACTTGCCAGAATTGATCACACCAGAATTGAGGAGGGCTGGAACAGTTGGACCTAAACTGACGAGACTTGAACTAGGTATCTGGGATGAGCTAGTTGCGACTGCACTGATGTTGGACCTGTAATCAAAGCGACTTTCCACGGGACGCGGCAGCGGGGCGGTGGGGACATCACGTGCAGCCACGTGGGGCAGGCCTGGAGAATGCAAGGGAAGGTTTGGAGCCTTCGAAGGAAGGTTTAGCGCGCGAGCATTTGGCTCCAGCCCTGGAACAGAAGTTGTCGATATCTGTTGAGCCCTGGCCATTGCCTCTTCCAATCCTGGCGGGTATTGCACCCAAGGATCTACTAGATCCCACCGAAAAGTGGCCAGATCTGACGAGTATTCGACAGCCTGGAAATTTTGTCGAATCGTGTTTAGATGGTGATTCAGGCCCTTCTCAGCCGGGTGCTTATCCGCAACGATCAAGATATCCCGTGCAATAGTGGCAGGATCATACGCCGCTTTGACCATAATGTCCGAGATTTTCACCGGTTCGACAATGTCGGACCGGTAAGTGATGTGTTTGCGGCTCGGAGATTGTCGGGCGTACCGAGCCACATCATCCAAGGTCTTCGATGGTGGTGTCACGGCGTGTCGAGAGCTATCATCGAGCTTCCGCATCTTAGCAGCGGGTGGCTGCGTTGAAGCAGGACGGGCCTGGAGAGAACCAGGAGTATTCTGGCCTGCGGGTCTTGCCACGGTCCGGGCCAAGTTTGGAGGAGTGTTCATCTTGCCAGGTCTGTATACCCCCGTAGGTTCTCGGGTTTGTGAGGATGGTGCTCGGGGGCCCACGGCGAATTGACCTGGAGCAGGATTAGATCTGTTTACCGGGCGGGGCACAGAACCAGATGCCGGATAGGCAGTATTCGAAGGAGGCCTCCAGGCTGGCGGGGGAGCAGGAGCAAGACCAGGGGCAGTGGTAGGGGCAATATTCTGAAGAGTTGGGAGGCCAGAAGGTGCTGGCTGATACTGACCGGGCCTCCCATTCGAAGGAGGGCCTGGATGCGAGTGCATCGTCCGTCTGTCAACCAATTGTCCAGTCCCGGCTAATCTAGCTTGGGGAGGCAATGGTGAATTCCTCCCATTTCCAGATGTGGAAGGTGCAGCAATTGGTCTGGTGGTGACCGGCGCGGAGGATGTGGACGTAGTTGGAGCAGTAGATGCTGGCGTAAAGGGTGTAAAATTATCTGGCGGGGCCGAAGTAGCAGGGGCACTGCGAGCCATCTGGGCGGTTGCTTGAGTAGGTACAGAAGCCTTGGGTGGCGGCGGAACTGCTGGAGCAGTGGACTTCGAGGGAACTGGCGGTACCGAAGGAGCAGAGGTACTACGAGCTATCTGAGCAGAAGGTTGAGGAGCAGAATCATTAACTGGCTGCGGTGGCGTGTAGGCTCTGTGCATCTGTGGGGTTGCATAAACCCTGAGCGCCGGCGGTATCGCATAGTTCACGGGAGGCCCAGGTGGACTTCTAGCGCTCACGGATGATGTCGAAGTTCCCGTGGACGACCGATCAGTAGCTGCTGCTGCAGGAGTGGAGTTCCTCACTGGAGGCGAGCCTGAGGTGCGAGGTTGTGCGGGTGCAGACATAGGCGCAGATGTAGATGAAGATGATGAAGCTGGACCAGTGGTGCTGGTTACCTGTTTAGGCGAAGGGTGTGAATGTGAGACCGACGGCCGCTTTGTTGGCTTATCTGGAGCTGGAGCAGTAGCTACAGCTGTGGAGGTCTTTGATGTGGTGGCTCGCGGCCCTAGAGTACTGCGAGAAGACGACGTGTAAGGATCCTTCTGGGGTGACGTCGTACTAAAAATTGCTGTATCTTCGAGGAATGATCCTCGTCGTGGGCCTTCCAGTTGCTTCGATGATGTCTGAGACTGGCCAGGTGCTAAAGGGGGTGTGTTAGGCCGTGTCTCAGGCACATTTTGTTGCGTATTCATGGGCGTACTGTTCCTCTGCGCACTCGGAGCAGGTGTAGGGATTTTCGTAGGTGGCGGTACTAATGAAGGACCCTGTTGGCCGGAAGGATGACTCTTTGGCGAGGTAGGAGTTCTCTGCAGAAATTCCCCGGTACGCAGTCCTGAGTGGGTCTCGACTGGGCTCTGCGATGCTGTACGGGGGGACTGAACAGGCGTTGGTCCCGACGCCGATTTTTGCACATGCACCGGGTCGCGCACAGGGGCTAGAGAAGTGTAAGACCGACTGGAGTTAGGCTGATAATATGACGCAGACGGGCTAATATCAGACGATCGCACGTATTGCTGTTGATGCGGGGCGTCTCGATATTGATATTGCTGCGGTGGAGGTTGCGTAGGATTCTGCTGAGGACGAGAACCAGGCTGAGCCTGCGTTTGACGTTGATGCTGGGCCTCGCGATAGTATTGTTGTAGCTGGTCCCGGTGATCCTGGGACGGCGGGCGCAGAGGCTGGTGTTGCGTCCCGTATGGTTCATATGTTTGGGATTGCTGTCGAACTTGCTGCTCTGCGTTTTGACGAGCCTCGTTCTTTCGCCTCTGTTGTTCAGCCTGATAACGAGCTCGTTGCTCTGCCTGTTGACGAGCATGTTGCTCTGCTTCTTGACGAGCCTGTTCAACCTTTTGACGGGCCTCTTCCTCTCGTCTCTGCTGCTCTGCCTGCTGACGAGCCTTTTGTTCCGCCTGTTGACGGTCCTCGTGCTCTCGTCTCTGTTCCTGTTGACGGGCTTGGTGCTCCGCTCGATGCTGCGCTTGATTATAAGGCTGTGGCTGAGGCAGTCGCAGAGTTTGTTGCTGGGTTTGTTGCTGAGGCTGTTGCGGCTGCCGCTGCGGCTGCCGCTGCTCGTACTGGGAGTGTCGGTGTAATTGAGACCGGAATAACGTCTGATCCATCCCCTGAGAGTATTGGGCCGGGGGTTGCCCTGGTTGACTCATCTGAGCAGTGCGCACTTGAGGTGATTGGGAATGATGGTATCGAACATAGGCTGCGTGGGCAGCCTGGGCCACGTGCGCCGCATCAGCGAATGCGGGATGCGGGTTTAGCTGGTGATTCTGGTGGTTCTGGTCAGGGCCGCCATTGTTGCGGTTTCCTTGAGCCTGGTCCTCTTCTTTCCAGCCTGGGAAGAAGCTCTGCAGCCAATCGAAATCGTTTTCCCCATCGGGCATGTCAAAATCGTGGTGTGTCGCTAAAATGTCATAGCTGGCAGCCGGTTGTAGGTCAGCGACACTAGAAACAAAGAGGGAAATCGACGATGATCGTGGAAATGAGTCGCGGTGCTTGCCGAGGTCGAGTCGATCGAGGGAATTGTATGCGACGGTTGCAGCGTGTTTTCAAACAACCGATGCAAGACAGCACCCGAGAGGTTCGCGTTGCGACACAGCAGAGAGCAATCGGCCAAAACCCGCGTTCCCGCGTCCAAGAACAGTGGGGCATCTGAAGTAACCAATCAAGTCTTTTACGTCACGCGACCTTAAGCTCTAGCGGGTCATGTGATGTCCAATTCATCTGTAATTTTCTGCCACTCCAAACATTCCAAAGTCTCTCTCCTTCCTTCCACCCCATCTTCCTCTTACCCGAGGTCAGATCATGATATGATGTTGTCATGACAAACCTCAATGTTAATCATTTCCGATCGTATGAGAGGACCTTCCTTCTTTTCTCAGAACTAACCTGCTTAGTACCTCTCGAAGATTGTCAACTCTCATCGTTGCATCAACCCTACTTTGCTCGACACAAATCACTTACGCCGACAAACACTATGCGATACGGAGTAAATTGATTCTCTTTTATTTCCCTTCATGTTTCCCCTCTGCTTCGAAGCAATTGCAGCTTTGGGGCATCCTGAAACTCATTATCATCAAGCATTCTTTCTGTCGTGTCGGTGGTCATTGTTCCCATGTACCCTGGCAGTACATTCGCCTAATTATCTCCTCGTCAATCCCGTTTCGACGGACCTAAATGGTTGGAGAGGTAAACGAGTGGCGTATAAAAGACACAGATCAGGTAAACTGGTCAACGATCAGCTGGTTCTGTCTCGCTTGCAGACTCACTCGGAATGCCTTCGGGTTTGAAGATGTGAGTTTGATAGTGAGGTACATCTATTTCCTTCTATAGAAACAATATTATCTTGATTAAACTTTACTTTGTCCTTGAGTAATACAGTCGCGTGTCAACGGGCATTGGGATGCCCACCTATAGTAGATTGATTACTTTGTGTCCTCCCCGTGAATATATATCCCAACCTTGCTGATCAGCCAGTCCCGCCCTACTTCCAGGTCTTTTCTTCTAGTTTCGTTAGTCGTGTATTCTTTGGGACTTCGAAATGGATTGTTTAAGAACCGTCAGTGTTAGTTATGAGATCTATCCCCTCGTGCAAGTATATATATCCGAGAAGCTGCCCTTGACTAACACACACAACTACCATCTGCACGACACTATTCATCCTTTAGCAAATGACGGATTCGGCTCCCGATCGTTGACCCTCATGTTGCCGATCTTTTGCGCGGCAGTTAACACAGATAATTCCACTGTGTTAATCAATATCAGCGGTATCAACAGATAGAAAGTCTGCTATATCGCCAGGTAATTCCTTTAGAATTCACTTATTCAAATTTTGAGCGTCACGATTCCTAGGAGTAAGGATAGCCCTGCCAGAAAAGAAAGACCGAGGATGCCCTTTCCTCATCTCCATTGAAGGAAAGATTTGGTTGACGAATAAGGTTATTCCATGAAAGTTAGTTCTATTCTAGGTAGGTCACTCTACCTAATGTTTTTCCTCTGCCATGTAGGACTTCCCTTTCTGAGATGCCGCCGCTTTTACGATGGCGCTCAGAGCCAGACTCACCGAGTAAATGAACCTCAGACCGGATTCAGACTCAGGGACCTCATCGGAGTACGTCTCTACTCAGAGGGCGCTCAGTGAGTGTGATCGGTCAGCTCATTGATTACCCACTTAAGGACCCCTCAGAGGCACATATTAACCACTCAGTCCGCGCTTAAGTCCAACGCCGAAGCACGGCGCCCCATAATATTGTTTATTTTGTGAATCACTTTTAGGTAGCCCTCCTTTTCTGTTATGACTATGTTTCTCGTGTCGTTACATCCTTTCAAGGAATGGAATGGTTAGACATCATGCCGCAAAAATGGAAGGACGGGGGGAACACTGTTCTCTGGTCTCTGTCCTAAAGTTACACGATGTCGTGTTTAGTACGCTATCCCTCTTTCCTTTTTTAGAGGAAAGACTGTATAAATTTGGCAATGTACCGCAGTTTTCGAAGATGCTTAAGAAACAGTATTTAACCTCCTGGCATACTTAACTCTATACCTTTCTCCTGCCTGATTGATAGGCTTCTAACCTGACTCGTAGATTATCTGTCTATATCTCGTCTCTGTTTGGGACATGATATCCAAACAACCATTTTGATGGAGGTGGATGGTGATGGGCAGGAGGTAGGGACGACCAGCACAAATACATACATACATAGAGGGGTTCTAGTTAGGACTAGTGGTTACCGTGTTATCACCAGAGGTCTTTAACAGGCACACTTTCATTAGGCACACTAAATTTGGAAGCACGGAAGGGTGCGCCAAAAATGGAAGTTTACTGTGGTACTTTGCACTTCACAGTTCACCTTTACAAGACAACTCAACCTACGACTAGGGAAGCTCACTTCGTGGCAACATTTTATAACTTACCTAGCGCGCACTTCTAGCAGATCCTGTACGACACTCAATAGGACCCGACTCCGTTAGCATAGCAACGGTACAGTTGCGAGATACTCTTAGGCTTCGCAGTAGAACTAGTCAAGCGTAACCATAGGCAGTTCTACTCACAGTGACTCGTCGGCACTACTTAGCACGGTATGTAGACTTATATTAATCCCGTATGTTATTGGTAATAATGTTAAATCTCCTATACTAAACTTTATTTCTACCCTTAGGCCTATCCCTGTTTTCAAAAGTGTCTCCCCCCGAGAGCATAGTGACTAAAGCACTGCATAAAAGGGTAGCAAGAGCGGTAAGTATTTTGTACAGGCGTTTGTCGATAAATAGTCTGGCGGTAAGGAACACCAGGTTCAACCCCGAGCTAGTCGTAGTAATGAAAATCAAACCGCCCTACCCTCTCAGCGAGGGGGACCGAGGGGGACCATACAGGATGCTCACGGCCGTTATTTAACTGCCTGAGCTCTGTATTAATATAAAGAAAAACTTGCACGTATTCTGAAGAATGTAAATAATTTTAGCCTTTGGAAGGTTAGGGGTTAAAGGTATGCACATAACATTCCAGCAAAATGTTACCGCAAACCTAACTTATAACTCGCTAAGTTAGTTGTACGATCTGATTAGTCACCAGTGCGTGCTAGTTAACTACTTACCGAGCAGGCAGCCGTGTCCCGCTACCTATTAATGTTGAGACTGTGTGTTATTGTCTCGTGAAGACTAAATTGGGCTCTAAGGACGGGCGTAGGAGAAGTCGGTGAGATATACTATACTGGTTGTTTATTATTGTGACCCTTCGATTGCCAGGCCGCTTCCTTCGCATGTCGGAGGACAACTTCATTGCTAACCATTCCTTGATGAACACGGTATTTATGTGCATACCACAAACCTTTCGACTTCTAAAGAACTTGGAATGATTCGCGTTCAAAGAGACATGTCCAAACATTCCATTTATGGTATAGATAGTTAAAGAATGGCTGTGATCACACTCTATATAATCCTCGACACTGAGAGGGTTAGAGGAACTGTTTTTGATTCCTATCTACCATTATCTCGTTTCTGCGAGCGGGTTTGCAACAATGCGCTTTGATCTTCTTACGCTTTCGTTCTGTGCTTTTGTCTCTGCACTCCCCGGAGAAGATACACTCAAAAAGTGGAGTGGGTCGAGGGGCGGTGATAAGATTTCCCACGGGGGTAATAATATTGGCAATGGCAATGGTGGTGGGGTTAATATTGATACTGGAGGTGGGGACATTGGGAAAATTGGGGTTGGGGTTGGAGATGGTGCGGGTGCTTGCGACCTGGCCGCTTGTGACGCCCAGGTAAGATTCGTGGATATCCAAAGAGGGAGCCAATACTTATAAATTGATTTATTGAAGTGTCGGGGAATAGGTAAACAATCTGGGTACTGCGATAACGGGAGTGAGATTCCTAGTTTACTTGGACTTGTCCTTGGACAAACCACGTCGTCAGTCTCTTCCCCCATAATATTAGGATTTCGGAGCTATTTGAAAGCTGATATGAGATAGAAGCTGCGTTTGTGTCCCAAACCCGCAAACTTGTGATCCTCCTTCTTCTACGTGCAACGGAGAATGTGTAAGACGCCCGCAGGCTACATTTGGTGATGACGACTAAGTAGTTCTCGATAGTGCGCGTCCGGCCTAACCTGTTGTGATGGAGCCTGCGTCGACCTTGACACCGATGCGAGCAACTGTGGAAGTTGTGGGAACAAGGTGAGTTTACCACTAACCTCCTTGGCTCTGTCTTGGTTCTTTTTTGCTAATCTGATACGTTATCGCTTTTCGACAGTGCCCTGCTGGATCTACGTCCACTTGCTCATCAGGCACCCTTACTTGTCAGACTGATTGTGGCCTTTCTTCTTGCAACGGGCAATGTGTAAGATGGCTAAGACCTTCTTTTTATAAAAGCGACTAAGTAGTTCTCGATAGTGCGCGTCCGGCCTGACCTGTTGTGACGGAGCCTGCGTCGACCTTGACACCGATGCGAGCAACTGTGGAAGTTGTGGGAACAAGGTGAGTTTACCACTAACCTCCTTGGCTCTGTCTTGGTTCTTTTTGCTAATCTGATACGTTATCGCTTTTCGACAGTGCCCTGCTGGATCTACTTCCGCTTGCTTATCAGGCTCACTTACGTGTACGGCAGCTTGTGATCCTGCTTCTTTTTGCAACGGAGAATGTGTAAGAATGCCGCCGACACTATTTGATGATAATAACAAGGACTAATTAATGTTTGATAGTGTCCATTCGGCCTTACCTGTTGCGCTGATGGCTGCGTCGACCTTAACAATAATCCTAGTAATTGTGGTATTTGTGGGAACACTGTGAGTTTTATCTAATCCTCACACTTCTAGAATGTCTGCTTTCTGTCACTGTTCTCAATGCTAACATGATTGATTCTCACGCTTCGATAGTGCCCCGATGGGTCATCATCAGTTTGCCAAGCCGGAAGCCTTACCTGCATAGAAACCTGATTTCATAGAAGAGGCCCCAGAACTATAGGTCCTGAGAGGGATCAGAGATGCCGAAGTTCGGGTTGGTAGAATCAGCAACCTGCCCCTTGGACGTTTCGAGGTTCTATGGAGGCAGGTTGGCTGCTCCGAGTCTCTACCCAGAGACGATGGAAGGCTCGAATCCTGAGTTTACAAGAGTCTTACTCTCCAAGTCTCGATCAAATTTTCCTTTCGCCTTTTCGACAGACGAGGGTCAGCGACGAAGTTGTCCAAGCCTCGCTTATAAGGAAGGCAGTTTTGAGATTGTTTAGGTGGTCAAAACTGCTCGCCTATGTAGCCTTTAGTACTTGAATCGAGGGGCTGTTTCTTCATTGATTCTGTCATTATAAGACAAAGAATTAGAATAAAATTTAGCATAGATCTCTAAAGAAGAATAACTAAGGGTAGCCTCATCACAGTACGCAGTAGTAGTTTATCTCCCGACAAAGATATTGTTAACCCGAGAGTAAAGAAGGCGATTCCTTCTTAGGGGACTACTAAACCTAGGGAGATAGGGCTTTGTTAAGATCGTGGGGATCTGGGAGTAAGTCTTTTGAGCCAACCGGTCAACGGTTGTTTGTGCTTTCATGGGAGTTTCGGGGAGGCAGTCTACAAAGGGCAATTTCTTGTGGGAGATAGAACTTCTTCTCTTTTCCTTCTCTAGATTTAGTTGCTTCGTTGAATGCACCGATTTGGATTCCCATCCTTCGCCTGGCTGTAACAGGTTTGGTCAAGCCTGCGTTCCGGTATGTGTGCTCCATATAGAGAGAAGTTGCCCTTCGCCAGTATATTCAGAACTGTAACGGGCCAGAGCCCGTTAGTAAACCATATGCCATGGCCTTGGGCTTTTTGGCAGACGGAAAGGTTATCGCCCTTGGCAGAAAAGGGAACATTTCTGTTTTCCTGAAAAAAAAGCAGCGAGTTCCCTTCTCTCATCGAGATTGTTGCAAAACGCATGACGGCCTAGTGCAGTTGAATCAATTCTGCTTCAGCCCTTCACAAATACTTAATCAACCTATTCATTAAATTGTTTGCCCTGGGAAGCCTTGTTACTGATTTCTACGGTGTTCTAGAAAAGCATAGGGCTAGCTTAGTACCTTTTATTAAGGTGCCTTGCCCTTTAGGTTATGCTCAGTGAGTAGTTAACTAACTCACTGATCAGATCAAGGCGCTCAAATGCGTGCTCAGATCTACTCAGTGAGCAAAAGCGGCGAGGGTCTGAGCAATAGAAAGGAAAGGGAAAGTCAAGAGGTGGCATAGGAGATCCGGTCGGTAGGGACTTTCGCGTTACACAAAAATCACGAAAGAGCCACAAGGTCTTAGATAATAGACCTGAATACCTACTGGCGTTGGACCTGTCGGAAAATCGGACAGCCTCACAAGACGACCATCTAATCTAACCTAATCTGATGATAGTACTGGAAAGGAATCTCTGAAAACGAAGAAAACCGCACATATATATTGAAAGGAATGGATGCAGAATGAACTTAATGTACACATAAAATCATGCTTCACAATGCAGAACCCTCAAAGAAAGCGAGCGCGCGGCATCAACCGTGTATCGTAACTCATCAGAGCTAAAGAGCTAAGGAATCAATGGAGAAACGGTAGAGACAAGAATGGAAAAGAAGACGACGAAGGGACAAAGAAGGAACCCATGTTAGCTCGCTAAATCAAACTCGAACCACCAACGTTTTCACTGGGAATGACCAACGCACTTCCCCCACGCCGGAAGCCCACAACCCATACCGACGAAAAGGTAAAGCAGGAAAACAATCACGAAACCCAGCAAAACCATCAACTTAACATTCTTCCACCACATCCGCCGCCGCAAGCCACGGCTGCGAATACGGAAATCATGCGCGCTCCCACCAAGTCGATCCGTCTTATCAACCAACAAATCAATCCGCTCTCCGCGCTCGAGCACCCGCTCAATATTCTCGGTCATAATGTCGCGGACGCTGTCGATCTCACGACGCGCCGAGGCGAGTGAGTCTGCTGGCGGGGAGGTATTGTATGTATGCAGCAGGGAGCGGAGCTCGGTGTTGAATGCTGCGCAGCCGTAGGCTGGGAGGGAGGAGTAATCCGTGCTCGAGGGTGGGTAGGTGGTCAGGAACTTGCGCTTCATTTCTAGGAGGTAGGCGAAGGGGATACGGCGGCCTTGTTCGGCGGATGCTACGACGATGAAGCTTAGGGGTGCGTATGAGGTGGGCTCTGTGCGGCCGTTTTGGTCGTCGACTGCGCCACCGGAGGGCGAGTCGGCGATGTAATGCACGAAGAGCCGTTCATGGGTATAGGTTAACTTCTGGGACTTGTCGTGGGAGATCTTTGGGAGGATGATGGAGGCGAGGGAGGATGCGGCGGTAGAGGAGGTTCCTGGGGAAGAGTGCTCGGCTAGGATAGTGGTTCGGTGGGCGATGCACGAGCTGGTGCCGGGTGAAGTATAGTTAGATTGCTTGTTTGAGGGATGATCTCATTTCGCGGGAGGTGTACTCACTAGAGCAAGAAGCTCGGGGACTTCGAGGAGGAGGCCATGATGGCTTCTTTGTGTAGTCACGGCAGTGAAGAAGTGTTGAGCTCGAGAGATTTTGTTCTAGAATCACCGTTGCGTCGAGATGATGGAGGCGTCAAGCAGTTGCGTAGCTTGGTCCGGGGAACTGGATCGCGGCGTGAAGCTGCTTAGTCATGGTATCAGGTGCGCCTTGCCTGATTGAGAAGTATACAACGGAGCACACACCCAGAGACAGCAGGCATCCTCGTCATAGAACTACCACACCTTGGAGATGCCTGAAATTTGTCCTGAAAAATACTCATCGTATTTTCCTTCTCGTATTACTTAAAATTCCTTAGCTTCTACACATTTCAATTGCTAGTCCTTATTTACCAAAGCAGCTTGAAATGATCCTATTGGGAGCTATCCCGAAGAAGGTGAAGATCTCTCTGATAAGAATACTTCTGGTATTGGCGCGGAGCGCAAAGAAAGCAGACACAAACTAACTCCTCAAAAACAATGCATCGAGGTCAAAGACAGAGCGACCTAAACACATCCTGCAGCTCGTTTTCGTTGATCTCTAGCTAGTCATATCTCATTAAGCATGAAAGACAGAAACAAAGAGCCAGAGAGGGAAGCTTCAGGCAATTGCCAGACTAAAATCAGGGTGAATCAACCAGCTCAAAGCTATCATCATGACTCTCATGCAAATCATCATCGTGGTCATCATTGTCATCATTGTCGATATCGGAATGCTCCATATCAATATCGAATTCTTCGTTATCATCAATGTCGGAGAGACGACCCGACCCCATGACTACGGTGCTGCCACCGTCACTCAGAACATCAAATTCGTACTCATCATCAAAAAGAATCGTGGATGCGGGCGCAGAACTGGCAGGACTCTGTGTCTGAACCGGCCCATCGTGGTGTTCCCGAGATACCTCTTCGAAGGAGTCCACGGATAAGAGATCAGATATATGGGAGTAGGTGGCATGGTGCGATGCACCTTGGACAGTGGACAGGGAATCATCCGGATCGATTTCACTAAGCGAATTGTCCGTGCAGGTTGAAGCCACGCTACCTGTGTGCACAGCAGGACCCGGTGCAGAGAAGCCCCCAGTTTCCATTACTGGGATGTTCTGGTCGATGAAGACACCTCCAGATCCGTCGTCATTGCCACCTGCCCACAGAGGCAGGAATCGGAATTGGTTGTTTGTTAACGAGAAAAGAGTTTCGGTGGCTTCAAGTGCCGCGGTGGCTTCGCCGTGAGGGTAGAGCAAAGTTCTCGAGATCTCAACTATCAGGGCGCGGGCACTAGAAAGGAAAAGGTCTAGGTCGAAGGACCTCTCTTCGGCGTTGACTTTAGTACTGGTGGTTCCCGGGACAGAACCTTGTAACGCGGAGGTCAACTCTTCCGAGGTGCGCTCTGGGATATGATTCTCATCGGAGGAAGGTTGAAGAAGAGGTCGGTAGGGCAGATATAGCTGTCGCTCCGTTTGGGTTGAATTTACAGCTGGCTGAGATCGTTGTGGATATCGTAAATTAATAGTAAAGCTCTTGTTGTGTCCGTCGTCAGTCGACACAGCAGGCTCAGTACCCTGGAATGGGCGACTCGTATTGAATGAGGGGTTTGACAAGTGACTTCTGTTCGCACCCAGCGCGCTGCGTCTGCTAGGGTGGAAAAGGATCTGAGATAATTGACGTCTGACCTGCATGTTGAATTCCCGAACCTTCTGCTCGACGGAATATCTGGGAACAGAACGGATGCTAGCAAGTTCGTGACCTGCAAAAGCAGTTATCCCGTTGCCAATATCAGCAATCGACTGATGGTATGGTTCAAATGGGCCAAGGATGCTCGACTCAATATCCACAGATAAGAGATCACACCAGAAATGTCTGCCGATGATGCGAATGACCGATGGTCGGTTAAGCTGGCTCATGTGACTGTCATGGTCCGATGGTGCGGGTACATTGCATGATCGACGAGGGTCTCTGGCGTGGCATAAAACGCGATAGATCCTTTCGCGGATGTAGTCTTTGAGCAACCCCTCCAACTCAAGTACTAGGCCTTTATCCTCCGGAAAGTCTTCCATATGCTGGGTTAGTCTTCCGTATTCGACAATCTGTGCTAACCACGGCATGTCGAACCCAGTCAAAAACAAGAAGTCGCCGATAATTGTTCCAGCAAAACTCTTACTGGCGTATTCGATGCGCTGCACATCGGTGTCATCTAAGAAGTCGGCAATGCGGCTGTGGTCAAGAATAGGTGCCCATGATCTGGGCGGCGTGAGACGTGCCTCTCGCATAATGTAGAGAAGTGCCTCATCTCCGACCAGTCCAACAAACGAGTCCGCGCAGAGAGCGCTCACTTTGATACCACAGGACACGCGATATGATATCTCGGGGTGAATCTCAATGAATCGGATATTGGTGGAGTGATAGAACCAAGACATGATATACCCCTTCACGGCAGGGACCTTTGCAACATCCAAAAGTTTGGCGACGGCAAAAAAGGTCCACATCTTGCACGGAGTATCCAGTGTTGCATTCAAGCCTTCCAGGACATGCAGAATGTGTTCGATACCCTCCCGATGGCGCTTTGCCGAGTACTCAATGGGCAGAGCAGTCCGAGCTGGTCGCCGAAGCTGAGACCGTCGCTGGGGGTCCGCTCCTAAAGCCAGGAACACGCCTTCGTCTTCCGCCTCCAAAGTGCTCGAATCGGCTGTGCTGTCTTCATCGGCGGCCAACGTAGTGTTGCGATTGCCCGTTGGGCTCTCCGGAATATCGGGCAACACTTCTAGTTCATCCTCGCCTCCGACACAAGAGGGTGGTAGATCCCACTCTCCTTGGCGAAAAGCCCAGGTTCGAATTGCCATCGGGCAGGACACCTCGGTCAAAAAGATGATGGCATCCTCATCCACAGTGGGAGGGGTCAAATCGATCACATAATTGATGCCCGAAGGAAGGCCGTTGGTATAGCCTCGGCGCTTTCGCACTTGACTCTGGCATCGGGGGCTGAAGAGCCGCAGGAGGTATGATGATCCTGTGGCTAAGAGTTTCTCGCTGTGAACCCGATGGGGAACGGTCGGGGTCAAGAGGTTGTTCTTGGAGCGGTCTTGGGGAGCGGGATCGATGAAAACAAGAGTATCCCCATCGGTCAGCAACAGCAGTGGTAGCATTGTTTTCATAGGTGTACCAAGCCTCTGAAAAGTGTAAGTGGATCGGGCTTGGTCATAGTCGGTCCCTGTAGAAGTACTTAGGGTGCGGGTATAAGGGGCTCCAAGCCAAGGTGAGGTAGGATATGGTGGAGAGGGAGAGGGACTTGAACTGTCATTTGAAGCCATGGCTGGATAGAGACACGGGAGGTTGGGAATCGTCTCAATTCGCCTAGGTCTCAAGAGAGATCTCTAGAGAGGGGGACTCTGTAGACAGTGAAGAGCTGAAGATAAAATGAACCATGCAGATAACAGTTGATGAGCAATGCCTAAGAAGGTGATCACCATTAAAGAGATGGAAGTTGATGGAGACACAAAAGTCGAGGGAGGGAGGAGGGAAAAGGCAAAGGGAAGGAAAGAGAGGGGTGAGGCTGAGTGGCTTGAGGCTCAATCACTTCTCTTCCTGCACAGTCGCTGCCTACGGGCACTAGCCACGCTACGGGTAACTAGAATTAATTATGAATTGTATATACTTACTTAGGGCAGGTTAGAGGCTTCGAGGGTAAGCCGTCGCTTTGATCAGATGTTAAAGTAAGGATTATTTAGTAGGGATGGTTTGTGGGCAGGCTGGATGTTCTATCGGAAAGGCGCACACCGTCAAACAGTCAAAGCCAGGGATACTTTTGAAATTAAAACGAGAGCCAAAGTACCAGAAACTGAAATGACGAGGGAAGCGGCTGTGCACTCCAGCTCTCTGCAAGTACCCGAGCGGGACTCTCTATACTTCAACTCTTGGGACAGTCGCCCCACTCTGGCGTTGACAGTGGGGCATCATTTTGAAGGGTGAATCCTATCCTCGTTGATCAAAATGGCTAGTTACATTATGTTGGTTGGCACTGGAATAATTCAAGATAAACTGGTAAAATTGGTCAATGCAGTGGTATCGTGTACATAAACATGTCCGAAATCTCGATGGTATCTGGAGAAGAAAAACAAAACGATGCAAACCGCCATACATAAACCAGGAAAATCCCTCAAAAAGCCACCCCATTTTCAAGTGTACAATGGGTAATGCAAGTACAGAAGCAGAAATATCGATGTTGAGTCATTGGTGACTCAGATTACTCAGTATTGTCTGGCTGGTGGGACTCGTTGGCCGGCTGTCCGTCACGCTCGTCGGGTCCCGCCTGGTTTTCTTCAGAAGAGTTAGGTCTTCGCTTTTTGGAATCCTTCTTCTCCGCAACTTTCTTCTTATCCCGAGTGAGGGGTCGAATCTCCTTGGGCCGACTACGGCTGTGGCTACGACTGCGGCTGGACCCGGCGAGACGGAGATCTTTGACTTCTTTGATCACCTCCCGGAAACCCTCTTCGATATTATTCATGCGAGCGAGAACGAGCTTGCTCAGCATATCTTGGGTTTGGGCCTGACTAGGCCCGTCACGACGGAGACCTCCTGTGGCAAATGCCAGCTGGGTATTGAAGCTGGAGGGGACAGCACCGCCAAAGGCACCCGCGACGGCCTTGTTGTCGCCCAGGTCGGATCCAAGGTCGAACAGCAGCGACCGTTGGCGGCGCTTTGAGATAGGTCGATCTGACAGGTAAAGCCCGTCAGTCTCTGGGACTGACATTCGGTTCAAGCTCAGATTGCGGGCAAGGGCTGCCCGATTGATCGTGCCCTGGTCCACGGATGTAGATATGAACGGCAGACGATCCTCGTCTTCTGAAGAGTTATTATCATCTCTTGGAGGCGTGGTCTGTCCCTCGGTCCCCAGGTTTGGCGACCCGATGGGATTGTAAAGCATGGTGGCTCCCGACACGGTTCGACTGTGTTTTGGGCGGCGTGTGGGACTGGCACGACGGGATATGATTCGTGCCGTTGATGGCCGAGAGCTGTAGAATTTCGGGGTGGTTTTCTCACTGCTGACAACTCGTTTTCTTTCATCGTCACTACCAGAGCCCTTATCGGAATGCTTGTCTTGGGACTCGTGATCGTCATCGCTGGTAAGCTCATCATCACCTTCCATATCAGTGTGATGAGAGAGCTGTCGCGTGCGACTGGGCGAGATTGATTCTCGAGTGTGGCGGTTGAAAACAGGGCTGGCCATACGGCTGGTCCGATCTTCAGGGTTGGATGCTACTGAGCGAGTGGTCTCTGTGAAGTTACGTCCATGAACTGCCAAGGACTTCCGGAATGGGAACCGCAAGCGCCGGACTGGCATTTCTAGAAGATCACCTGCAGCCGAATCCTGCTCATCTGGGGTATGAGCAGGGCCGGAGCCGATCTCCTGCATCCAATCTTTGATGACGGTGCTTTTCTGGCGATCGCGGATGCTGCTTGGGTGCTCGCGTAACCGTTTGTCTCCGAACGGTCGTCGGAACACCTCCTCGAGCACCTGATCTTTCTGATATGTTGCAACGGAGGGTTCTCGCACGAGACGGCCCCGATTGCTAAAGGCGCGGAACCGAGTTGGTCGCCATGGCTCGGCTTGCCTAGAGAGCTCCGTAAGGGAGGTCGGCTCAACAAGGTCCGTCGGCTCGACTACCCGGGAGCTCAAGATCATCTTTTCGTAGAAGCAGATTGTGAATAGAATCGGGAGGTGAGTGATCTTAATGATCGTCCGATTCAATCGAATAAACTGGCGGAATGGCATGAGATACCTAAACGGCGTGACTAGCCAGGCGATGATGTTGGTCGGGGCCACGTAAGAGAAGAGAGCATCTGATTTGACCATCGAGATTGTGTTGACAGCAAATAGGAATTGGTGCTCTTGATTGGCATTCTGAACGATTCTCATGAAGGAATTTGTGAGGACGGTGATAAGAATAGTGACGACCACGAAGTGACAGATGAAGAGGAAGACTGTCAGAATGCTCTTGCCGAGCACATTGTATTCATCCCACATTGCCCACGCGGTTGGGGTAAAGCCCATAAGCATCTGGAACAAGCCGAAGGCCACGGTGTTTGGTGAGTTGTCTGACCCAAAGGACAGGAAGGCGACGAAGAAACCACTACAGGCGATGACAATTAAAACGAAGACCGCAATTAGGTCGGATGCCATGATACGGAACGCAATCAGCAGTTGCGAGAAGTAGCGGTAGTGATCAAGGATCGAAAAGAGGCGAGGGAACAGGAGCACCGCATTGGCAGCCAGAACGTCGTATGCCTGATTGGCGACTTGGCGATTTCTCGGGTAGGTCAAAAAGGTTCCGTAGATCCGCAGGCAATAGTAGCAGACCAGAAGTAGCAAGATACCCAAATCGAATAAATTCCAGAAGCTCATCAGATACAGACTGAAGCCCTGCTCGTTGAATCCAACAATCTCATCGAGCATGAAGCCCGCACTCCAGAACCAGAAGACGACTTCGAGAGATGTAATCTGTCGACTGCGTTGTTCAAGAACTGCCAGAAAGAGGCCTAGCAGTACCGCAAATGAAAGCGTGGACAGGAATTGGCGATAGCGCGGTACTCGTAATCGGGAGAGTTTGAACAGTGAAGCATCTCGCGGGTTGTAGAGGGTCACTGATCGACGGAACGTCGGGCTTCCTGACGAAGGTCGCTGGTCGCCCTGGTCATCCGTCGATGTTCCATAGCCTATTCCACCACGCACGGCAGTTTGATGAGCCCGTCGGTGCAGATGATCGGCTGCGGAATGAAAGACAATTGTTCCAGCCCAGATCGCCTCTAGTTGCTGCACTACCACTGGATGGGCCAGGAACCGCTTCGCCTGGGCTCGAATGGCCACCTCGAGGCAGGAGACACGGCCCGTGCCCGCCAGTCTCTTCCCTTGGAGACCCGACGCCCATACCGTAGTGGGATCTTGACCTTGGAGGGGGTAGAACTCGTACGACAGAGCATCGATCAAGTCTCTGGTTGTGTATTCCCTCAGCAGCTTAATCGCAAGCAGTTCGCTGACCATAGCTCGAGTCTGACTAGCACCGCTGTTTCCAAGGTTGAGATGTATCTCCTTTTCGAATTGCAAGCAGTTGGCCATCAGGGCATAGAGGGTGGCTCGTGAGAAGTGCGCGGACATGAGCTTCTGTTGAATGGGCTTGACCAGGAATTGGGACACCTGCGGGGAACGCAGCTGGTCCCAGGTCAACGTGGTTTCACATCGGGAGGCGATTAATGGTCGGATAGCATGTGTGATATTGTACACGGGGAGGGCATCTAAGAGATGAGAAAGTTTAATCCTCGTTAGACTTGGGGTTCCCCAAATGGCTCGACTCGACACGACGGGGGGTGAAGACCTACCGAGATGCGACGCAGAGAATATGGGGAGAAGCGGAGTAGATTCGAGAGGACCATCTTCCTCATGATCCTCTTCATCCTCGTCTCCAATCCAATCTTGGTCCATGTTCTCGTCAATCTCTTCAAGCTCCGGTGCGCGTTCATCCTCGCTATCTCTGTCCCGTCGCACGCGTCGCGCGCCCCGACGGCCGGCCGCTCGAAACCATGGAGAGCTGTCGCTGGGCGCCAAAGGAGACGAGTAGGAAAAGGGAGTCTGTTCAATCTGCTGGCGCCGTACTTTTGGACGCAGCAGAGAAGCTAGCATGGTTGTTGACCGATAGGTTCGGGTATCGGCATGACCTCGGTATGGAGAGTCCTTTGGTGGTAGGTGCTCTTAGCGCATGGCGGCAGTTGAGATTAGCGTTTATTGAAGTGGGGGTACAGAGGCGAAAGGCTAGCCAAGATTCAAAAAAAAAAAGAAAAGAGTGCAAGACAAATTAAAAACCGGACAGTCTGGGGAAGGCCAAGTATGAAATATGAGCGACGACCGAAGATAGCGCGATTAATCACACGCCCACGGCCACACGGGCAGTGGTCGAGCTTCACGCCGATCGACGAGAGCAATCGGGCTTCTCGCCAGTCTTACTCGGTCTGGTTAGTCTACTTAGTCTCATACAGTATTGTAGTCGCACTAAGCGCAACTACCGTCGCGCGAGGGTCACCAGAAGGCTGGCCCTGTCGTCATTGTACGTCTCAGCTGACCACACATTCCTCCCATTTCTGGATTGTGGCTATCGAGCTCGCTGGTTATCACTGGTGAGGAGCGCACAGACGGGGGAGATTGGCTTTTGTATAGAGTTTGTTGATACGGCTGGTATGATGGTATGGCTGTTTATTTCTGTAGGTAATTAAAGTATCTGTGTGACTGAGCGATTTAAATACTTCGATACTCCCATAGTAGCCTACAGTATATATGCAGTGCAAATCCTGGAACCAAACTCTGCACCGATCTGCCTTATCGGTCCTCACCGCCTGCACTCTGCAGGGCGATAAATTAGGCGGTTTGATCGGAAGAAAAAAAAGAGAGAGCTATGAGGGGTAGACAAGAGTCCAGTAGTTAGTCTATATTCTCAGCTATTAGAGCATCCAATGACCAGAATCACCCAATTTTTAGCTAACGCGATGAGTCAATGCTTCTCTGGTCCCCAACCCCTCGCCAAATCGGTTCGTTCGCCCACACGATCTTCGTCATAATGGAAAATTCTGAGGCGGTGAAGAGCGCCTCCAACCACCGAAAGCGGTCCACGGTGGGCCCTCCGCTTCGGCCACGAAAATTTTATTCTGCCAGCCGACTCATTCTTCTTCTTCCTTCTTCATTCCCCAGCTCTTGCAGCTGCTATCTTCTCTATACCCCCCTCCCCTCCTCTCATACCTCCTAAAAATTCACAATTCTGAAACAACTTCCCCCAGAAAAGAAGAATTGTCGAAAAAAAGTCTTTCTGGTGGATGCTGTGATTGAGTGACCTGCACTCGCTCAGATTCGTCCCCGAGAGGACTTGTCCCCTCATTTTTTTTCTCCTCGCCAATTGCGATGTCCCAGCCTGCTTCCATCGAGGAACCAGTCTTGCCTACCAGCCCAACCTCTGGCGGTGCAGTGGCCTACACAAACAAGAAGGACCTGCCCACAATGGATGCTACTAGTGGCGCCGTGATTACCCCCGCCTCCATCCCCGTCCGGGGTGGCACTGACCGGCTCGTCGCCCTCGAGCTCGAGGATGGCACCGTCTACCAGGGTTACAACTTTGGTGCGGAGAAGAGTGTGGCCGGTGAATTGGTCTTCCAGACGGGTATGGTTGGATACCCCGAGTCCATCACCGACCCCTCATACCGCGGCCAGATCTTGGTCATCACTTTCCCGCTCGTGGGTAACTACGGTGTGCCCTCGCGGGAGCAGATTGACGATCTACTCAAGCTCCCCACATACTTTGAGTCGAACCAGATCCACGTCGCTGCGTTGGTGGTGGCAACCTACGCCGGCGAGGACTTCTCCCACTTCCTGGCCAAGTCCTCCCTGGGTGACTGGCTCAAGGAGCAGGGTGTCCCTGCCATGCACGGCGTTGACACCCGTGCGCTGACCAAGCGTATTCGTCAGAAGGGTAGCATGCTTGGTCGCATGCTGCTCCAGAAGGCCGGCGAGGCTAATGGCATCGCTGACGGTGTCCTCGGCGAGGACTGGAAGTCGCACTTTGAGCAGACTGAGTGGGTGGATCCTAACAAGAAGAACCTCGTTGCTGAGGGTGAGTGAACCATCCGAATTTAGACCCTTTGAAAGAAAAGGGACATATGATGAAACGGAATCGAGGATTCTAACAGTAGATCTTTCACAGTCTCCATCCGTGAGCCCAAGCTCTACACTCCCCCCGCCGATGTTGCCCTCAAACACCCTTCGGGCCGCCCCGTTCGGGTTCTGTGCTTGGACGTTGGTATGAAATATAACCAGCTCCGCTGCCTCCTCACCCGTGGCGTCGAGGTCATGGTCGTCCCCTGGGACTACGACTTCCCCACCCTGGCCGGCAAGGACTACGACGGTCTGTTCGTCTCCAACGGTCCTGGTGACCCCGCGACCCTAACCACCACCATCAACAACTTGACCAAGACTCTCAAGGATGCCCGGACACCAGTCTTTGGTATCTGTCTCGGTCACCAGCTGATTGCTCGCTCCGTCGGCGCTACCACCTCCAAGATGCTGTTCGGTAACCGTGGCCACAACATTCCTTGCACTAGCATGCTCTCTGGCAAGTGTCACATCACCTCCCAGAACCACGGTTTCGCTGTGGATGCTTCCAGCCTTCAGGACGGCTGGGAGGAGCTCTTCGTCAACGCCAACGATGGCAGCAACGAGGGTATCCGCCACACCACCCGCCCCTTCTTCAGTGTTCAGTTCCACCCCGAGAGCACCCCGGGTCCTCGTGATACCGAGTATCTGTTCGATGTCTTCATCAAGACCATCATGAACACTCTCGCCTCCCCCGAGGCTCTGACCAAGCCCGTCGAATTCCCCGGCGGTGTCAAGGCCGAGAACATCAAGGCCGCCCCTCGGGTGCACGTCAAGAAGGTTCTCGTCCTCGGCAGTGGTGGTCTGAGCATTGGCCAGGCTGGTGAGTTCGATTACTCTGGTAGTCAGGCCATCAAGGCGCTCAAGGAGGAAGGTATCTACACCATCCTGATCAACCCCAACATTGCCACCATCCAGACCTCCAAGGGTCTGGCTGACAAGGTCTACTTCCTTCCTGTGAACGCCGACTTTGTTCGCAAGGTCATCAAGCACGAGCGTCCCGATGCCATTTACGTCACCTTCGGTGGCCAGACCGCCCTTCAGGTCGGTATTCAGCTCAAGGACGAGTTCGAGGCCCTCGGTGTCAAGGTCCTGGGTACCCCCATTGATACCATCATCACCACCGAGGACCGTGAGCTCTTCGCTCGCAGCATGGACTCGATCAACGAGAAGTGTGCCAAGTCTGCCTCTGCTTCCACTCTCGAGGAGTCCTTGCGTGTCGTTCAGGACATTGGCTTCCCCGTCATTGTTCGTGCTGCCTATGCTCTGGGTGGTCTTGGCAGTGGTTTCGCCAACAACATGGATGAGCTCAAGGAGCTCTGCACCAAGGCTCTGGCCGTCAGCCCTCAGGTCCTGATTGAGCGCAGTATGAAGGGCTGGAAGGAGATCGAGTACGAGGTTGTCCGTGATGCTCAGGATAACTGTATCACTGTATGCAACATGGAGAACTTCGATCCCCTCGGTATCCACACCGGTGACTCTATTGTCGTTGCTCCTTCCCAGACCCTCTCTGACGAGGACTACAACATGCTCCGGACGACCGCCGTTAATGTCATTCGTCACCTTGGTGTTGTCGGTGAGTGTAACATCCAGTACGCTTTGAACCCCTTCTCCAAGGAGTACTGCATTATCGAGGTCAACGCCCGTCTGTCCCGTTCTTCGGCCCTGGCCTCCAAGGCTACCGGTTACCCTCTCGCTTTCATTGCTGCCAAGTTGGGTCTGGGTATCCCCCTGAACGAGATCAAGAACTCCGTCACCAAGTCCACTTGCGCCTGCTTCGAGCCCTCGCTTGATTACTGCGTGGTCAAGATTCCTCGCTGGGATCTGAAGAAGTTCACTCGTGTCTCCACTCAGCTCGGCTCCTCCATGAAGTCTGTTGGTGAGGTCATGAGTATCGGTCGTACCTTTGAGGAGGCTATTCAAAAGGCCATCCGGTCCGTTGACTTCCACAACCTGGGCTTCAACGAGACCAACGCCCTTATGTCCATCGAGGCCGAGCTTCAGACTCCTTCCGATCAGCGTCTGTTCGCTATCGCCAACGCCATGGCTGCCGGCTATAGCGTTGACGATATCTGGAAGCTGACCAGCATTGACAAGTGGTTCCTGAGCCGTCTGAAGGGCCTGAGCGACTTCGGCAAGTCCATGTCCACCTTCAACGCCACCACTGTGCCCATCAACATGATCCGCCAGGCTAAGCAGCTCGGTTTCTCCGACCGACAGCTCGCTAAGTTCCTGAGCTCCAACGAGCTTGCTGTGCGCCGCATGCGTGTTGAGGCCGGCATCACCCCCATCGTCAAGCAGATCGATACCGTTGCCGCCGAGTTCCCGGCCGTGACCAACTATCTGTACCTCACTTACAATGCCTCCGAGCACGATCTCAAGTTCGACGACCATGGTATCATGGTTCTGGGCTCTGGTGTCTACCGTATCGGTTCTTCTGTAGAGTTCGATTGGTGTTCTGTGCGCACCATCCGTACTCTCCGCGAGCAGGGCCACAAGACCATCATGGTTAACTATAACCCTGAGACCGTCAGTACCGATTACGACGAGGCTGATCGCCTGTACTTCGAGAACATCAACCTCGAGACCGTCCTGGATATCTACCAGCTCGAGACCTCGAGCGGTGTGGTCATCTCCATGGGTGGTCAGACCCCCAACAACATCGCTCTGCCCTTGCACCGCCTCAACGTCAACATCCTTGGTACCTCCCCCGAGATGATTGACAGCGCTGAGAACCGTTACAAGTTCTCTCGCATGCTTGACCGCATCGGTGTTGATCAGCCCGCTTGGAAGGAGCTGACCAGCATTGAGGAGGCCCGCTCGTTCTGTGACAAGGTCGGCTACCCTGTGTTGGTCCGTCCCTCTTACGTGCTCTCTGGCGCTGCCATGAACACTGTCTACTCCGAGCACGACCTGGCCAACTACCTGAACCAGGCCGCTGACGTCTCCCGTGAGCACCCCGTTGTCATCACCAAGTACATTGAGAACGCCAAGGAGATTGAGATGGATGCCGTCGCCCGCAACGGTGTTATGGTCGGCCACTTCATCTCCGAGCACGTTGAGAACGCCGGTGTTCACTCTGGTGACGCCACCCTCATCCTGCCTCCCCAGGATCTGAGCGCTGAGACTGTCCGTCGCATTGAGGAGGCGACCCGCAAGATCGGTAATGCTCTGAACGTCACTGGTCCTTACAACATCCAGTTCATTGCCAAGGACAACGACATCAAGGTCATTGAGTGCAACGTTCGTGCTTCTCGCTCGTTCCCCTTCGTCTCCAAGGTCATGGGTGTCGACCTGATCGAGATGGCCACCAAGGCGATGATCAACATTCCCTTCCAGGAGTACCCTCCCATCACCGTCCCCAAGGACTACGTCGGTGTCAAGGTCCCTCAGTTCTCCTTCTCCCGTCTGTCCGGTGCTGATCCCGTCCTCGGTGTCGAGATGGCCTCCACTGGTGAGGTTGCTTCTTTCGGTCGCGACAAGTACGAGGCCTACCTGAAGGCTCTGCTCTCCACTGGCTTCCGTCTGCCCAAGCGCAACATCCTGTTCTCCATTGGTTCCTACAAGGAGAAGATGGAGATGCTGCCTTCTATTCAGAAGCTGCACCAGCTCGACTACAACCTGTTCGCCACTGCTGGTACTGCCGACTTCTTGAAGGAGAACGGTGTTCCCGTCAAGTACCTCGAGCTCCTGGCCGGCGAGGAGGACGACATCAAGTCTGAGTACTCTCTGACCCAGCACTTGTCCAACAACCTGATCGACCTGTACATCAACTTGCCGTCCAGCAACCGCTTCCGCCGCCCGGCCAACTACATGTCCAAGGGTTACCGCACTCGTCGTATGGCTGTGGACTACCAGACTCCTCTGGTCACCAACGTCAAGAACGCCAAGATCCTGATTGAGGCCATCGCTCGTCACTACCCTCTGAACATCCAGACCTCGGACTTCCAGACCAGCCACCGTACTGTTGTCCTCCCCGGCCTGATCAACATTGCTGCCTTTGTTCCCGGCCTTGCCACTCTTGGCTCCAAGGACTTCGAGACTGCCACCAAGGCCTCGATCGCCGCTGGTTTCAGCATGGTCCGCGTCATGCCCGTCGGTGTCGAGGGCTCCATCACCGAGGCCAGCGACCTGAAGATCGTCCAGCAGAACGCCCAGGACCAGTCGTACTGTGACTTCAACCTGTCCGTTGCTGCCACTGCCGACAACTCTGACCAGATCGGTCAGGTCACTGGTGAGGTTGGTTCCCTGTTCATCCCCTTCAACCACCTGTCTGGCAACATCAACAAGGTGGCTACCGTGACCAACCACTTCGGAGTCTGGCCCTCCAGCAAGCCTCTGATCACCGATGCCAAGGGCACTGATCTGGCCTCGATCCTTCTCCTGGCCAGCCTCCACAGCCGCAACATCCACGTCATGAGCGTGACCTCCAAGGAGGACATCAACCTCATTGCTCTGAGCAAGGAAAAGGGCTTGAAGGTGACCTGCGATGTCTCCATCTTCTCCCTGTTCCTGTCCCAGGATGACTTCCCTGCCTGCAACTCCCTGCCCACCGCCGAGGACCAGAAGGCTCTGTGGGAGCACCTGAGCACCATTGATGTCTTCTCCATTGGCAGCATCCCCTACCAGCTTGCTGGCAAGGAGGCCTCTCCCGAGGTCGGCATCGCTGAGTCTCTTCCCCTGCTCTTCACCGCTGTCGCCGACGGTCGTCTGACTGTTGAGGACATCACTGCTCGTCTCCACGACAACCCCAAGAAGATCTTCGAGCTGCACGACCAGGCCGACTCCTCGCTTGAGATCGAGATTGACCGTCCTTACCTGTTCCAGAGCCCCAACGGCACCTGGTCTCCCTTCAACGGCAAGATGATGCGTGGCTCCGTCCAGCGCGTTGTCTTCCAGGGTAAGACTTCTTGCCTCGATGGTGCGCTCTCCAAGGATGCTGTCAAGGGTATCGACATGTCCTCTCACCGGATCATCCCTTCCTCTCCTGTGCACAAGCCCACCACTCCCATGGTCCGCCCTGAGAGTGCTTTGGACCGCCAGACCACCCCCAGCCGCCACGCTCGCGCTCGTGCTCTGGATGCTGCTGTCCCCGCTGTTGGAGAGCTTGGACCTCCTCTGTACCCCCAGTCCTCGCAGGTTTCCTCCCCTCTGTATGAGATGCTCTCGCGCTCTACCTTCCGCGGCAAGCACGTTCTGTCCGTGAACCAGTTCACTCGCTCGGACCTGCACCTGCTCTTCACTGTGGCTCAGGAGATGCGCCTGGGTGTTCAGCGCCACGGTGTCCTTGACATCCTCAAGGGCCGTGTCCTGGCTACCCTCTTCTACGAGCCCTCTACTCGCACCTCGGCCTCTTTCGATGCCGCTATGCAGCGTCTGGGTGGTCGCACCATTCCCATTGCGACCGAGCACTCTTCCACCCAGAAGGGCGAGACTCTCCAGGACACCCTCCGTACTCTCGGCTGCTACGCTGATGCCGTGGTCCTCCGCCACCCCGAGCCCAGCAGCACTGAGGTCGCTGCCAAGTTCTCCCAGGTGCCCATCATCAACGGTGGCAACGGCTCCCTCGAGCACCCCACCCAGGCCTTCCTGGACCTGTTCACCATCCGTGAGGAGCTGGGCACTGTCACTGGCTTGACCATCACCTTCACTGGTGACCTCAAGTACGGCCGCCCCGTTCACTCCCTGATCAAGCTGCTCCAGTTCTACGACGTCCGTGTGCAGCTTGTCTGCCCCAAGGAGCTGGCTCTGCCCGAGGAGGTCCGGCAGCAGCTTGTGGCCTCTGGCCAGCTGGTCTGCGAGTCCGAGGAGCTGACCCCCGAGATTGTTGCTCGCTCCGACATTCTGTACTCCACCCGTGTGCAGAAGGAGCGCTTCACCGACCTCGCCCAGTACGAGCGTCTGAAGAACAGCTTCATCATCGACAACGCTCTCCTCAAGCACGCTAAGAGCCACATGGTTGTCCTGCACCCTCTGCCTCGCAACGCTGAGATCGCCGAGGAGGTCGATTTCGATCAGCGGGCTGCTTACTTCCGCCAGGTACGATACGATCCCCTCCCTTCTATTGCCGAAGACACGCTGACAGTTGGATTGCAGATGAGATATGGCTTGTACTGCCGCATGGCGCTGCTGGCCCTGGTCTTGGCTCCCTAAATCTTTTCGCATACGCCTTTATATTATATTCCCCTCTGAGACCGGGAAAACCAAAAAAGCGCGCCATTCGATTTTCTATCACGCAAGACATGTCTTCCATTGTTTCCTGTTCTGCTTTCAAAAGTTTCTGCGCGTTCTGTCTGGATATCTTCGTAGGTGCAGCTGCCTCGATAGAACGTTGAGTTGTATAGATTAGACAATCTCCGTTTCATGAATTCGATGATGACCCCGTGCTGTGTATGTCTGTATATTAGGTGGTTTATCAGTGATTTACGTTATGTGTGACGTGTTATGTGTTATGTGTTATGTCTATGTTTTGTGTCATTTGTGTGGCGTGTGTGTTGTGTGTGTTTTTTGGGTGGTTTTCTTGGCGTTCTTTTTGGGTTTTTTGGGTTTGGGTCATTCTTTGGGTCACTGGGGTTCATCATCGGAGCATCTTTTCTATACCACTTTCTCCCTTTTCTCTTTGCATTGGCATTGATTTTGAAATGACAATTTCTTCTATTACTTTTTCTTCTCTGATTTTGAAAAATTTTATTTGAACTTGTAGTTGAGGATGTTTGCGTCGGTCGCAATACGAAGGTCAATGCCAGCCAACCACCTTTAGGTCTATATGAGTCTACCTGACACTGCTTAGAATGACAGTTTATCTGAAGTCACAGTTTGATAGATAGATCCAAGTCAATAAATCTCACGTTATTATCTACGAGTATGGGGTACAGACCACCTCTATTTCCTGTGGACCCACCAAGACCCACTAGAAAAGTCCCTGACAATAAAGGCAGTTATCATCCTTCCTCACTGGAGGACCCGTTGATGGTGTCATCACGGCGCTTCGTTGCTCATCAACTTTGCACTTTCATGAGCCAATGATAATTCTACTAGAGGCCTCTACACATTTTTATTTGCCCCGTTTCCCGCGTGTATTTCTCGGCCGGGTGTTAAGTGTCTTAGCATGATGTAACTCGACATCCCTTTGCCAGAGCTGTCTTGGTGGTGATCAAGGACTCTTCGTATGAATTCTCGCGTGGCATATCGCGCGAAGCACGCGGCGAATGATGTGCTTCGTAAAAACTAATCTACAGTATTGTCCTTGCACATTTATATCTTACAAGAATGCTGCAGTTCCCCTTCAGCTCCATTTGTGGATACTACATTCTTATCCCCAGGTTTCACGTTTTTTCGACATCGCCATGTCTATTGCCGAAAAGAAGGAAACCAGCACTGATGTGACGCCTGGGGATGGTGGGGCGTCGCCTTCCTCTAGTAGTATCGCTGAATTTGCGGGTATCAATGAGAAATCGCTGCTTCGAAAGCTGGATTTTCGTTTGCTTCCGCCCTTGACGCTTCTTTATCTATTGTCCTTTTTGGATCGTAGCAATGGTTTGTTTGATCCTTATGAAAAATACAGAATAGACCGACACTGACCAGCTGCTTAGTTGGCAATGCCCGGTTGGAAGGAATGACGGACGATATCAAAATGAGTATGCAGCAACCTAGCGCGATTATATCATATCTACAGCTAACCAGGCCTGATGTAACACAGCCGGTGATCAATACTTGACCGGTCTTACCCTATACTTTATCGGATACGTCTTATTTGAAGTGCCAGCAAATACGGTCTTAAAGTTGAGTAGACCGAGCATCTGGCTACCGACTCTCACGCTGGTATGGGGTGTCGTCGCAACCCTCTTAGGAGTGGTTCAGAACTACCCCGGCTTTCTAGCCTCTCGGTTCTTCCTTGGTGTTGCCGAAAGCGGTCTTTTCCCTGGCGTGGTGTTTTATCTTTCCATGTGGTATAAGCGCAATGAGCAGCATTATCGGGTTGCTCTGTTTTTCTCGGCAGCCTCGTTGGCTGGTGCCTTTGGCGGTATACTTGCATGGGGTATCGCGCACATGAAAGGTGTCGGTGGATACAATGGATGGCGATGGATCTTTATCTTGGTAAGTGTTATCACTGGGTAGCAATTTTCTGGATAATTGATCATTGACTGACGTATGCTTCTATTTAGGAAGGACTTTTGACCATCGTTGTGTCTGTTATTGCATACTTCTGGGTCCACAATTATCCTGCGACAGCCAAGTTCCTGACCAAGGAAGAGCGAGAATACATACAATTCCGTCTGAAGAACGACAATGACTCGACTCGTGATGAGACCTTTTCGTGGTCAGCAGTCCTCGATGCGTTCAAAGACCCAAAGGTGTGGCTATATGGCCTCGGTTTCCACTCGTTGAGCCTGCCACTATACACCCTTTCTCTGTTCCTGGTATGTTCCCGCCTGATCATTAATATCTGCCACCAGGAAATTGACCCCGATGCAGCCAACAATCATCAAAGAACTTGGTTACAGTGCGGCGGAAGCTCAGCTGCTGACTGTACCGCCTTACGCTATCGCAACTATGATGACCGTCGGCGTCGCCATTCTCTCTGAGAAAACACAACGACGAGCCCCCTTCATCATGGGTTCATCTACTCTAGCCAGTATTGGTTACATTATCCTGCTCTCGTCACACCGAGCAGGAGTAAGCTATGTGGGAACAATCTTCGCCGCCGCCGGAATCTATCCTGCCGTTGCTATCGTGCTATCATGGCCAGCAAATAATGTCTCGGGACAGACTAAGCGGTGCATTGCCAATGCCCTTCAAATCTCCATTGGCAATCTCGGCGCAGTACTTGGGACCCAGCTGTATCGGACTGAGACGAGCCCCAGATTCTTCTTGGGACATGGTTTTGCTCTTGGGTACTTGGTGGCTAATATTATCATCGTTGCGGTGACCTGGTGGGTTCTTAGACGGGCGAATGCTAAAAAGGCAGTGGAAAGAGAGCAGAAGGGACTTCGCCCCTTGATGGGTGATGTTGGAGATGCGGAAGGAGAGTTCCTTGGTGACCGTGACCCTCGCTGGGTATTCCAGACCTGAATAGAGGTATGACAACGAGCGGCCTGGTCATATACTTGAAGTTGTGTAATGAAAGACTCTAGTATACGCTTGAATCCATGCTATGGTGTCAACTACCTCTTGACTAGAAACCTTCAAGTGTGAATGTAAGGAAGTCTTATTGTGTCTATTATGACAATGTTGTTCAATTCTATTTCGTTTATCTGTCTATACATTGGGAAAGTAGCCTCTTCATCATACCATACAAGGATCAAGCTTTGTCCGGCCAGTACTTTTGAACCAGAACCTTTTTGTTTACCTTCCCCATAGCATTACGCTCTATATTATCCACGGGTTTCAGAACAGAAGGCACTTTGTAAGCCGCCAACTCCTTCTTAAGCTCAGCACGAAGAGCCGGTAACTCTATTTCGGCGCCCTATAGCATGTATATTAGCATGGGCATCCTGTGGTCAAGAAAGGATTGGAACTCACCTCGCGGAATTTCACCACTGCGGCCACTCGTTCTCCCCATTCAATGTCTTTCAACCCAACAACAGCTACTTCTTGAATCTGGTTCAAGGCCAGCATGACTCGCTCAACCTGCAAGGCAGAAATTTTGTAACCTCCAGATTTGATAATATCCACGCTGGCGCGGCCTTGAATAAAGTATGCCCCGGTTGAATCACGGATGGCGCAATCACCAGTCTTGAACCATCCATCTGCTGTGAACTCCGAGGCGGTGGCTTCAGGTCTCCTCCAATATTCATGGAAGACGTTCTTCCCCTTGATCTCAATCATTCCATCCTCGTCGACCGCATCGATGATTCGACCAGTCTCCTTTTCTGTGAGACGGACTTCCACACCGGGCAAAGGCCAGCCAACACTGCCATCGATGCGTTTCTCCACTTCCAGTCCACAGCTTATACCCATGCCAATCTCCGTCATTCCGTAGCGCTCTAGCAAGACTTGGCCTGTGATTTCGGCGAATTTGGCTTTGATCGGGGTTGGAAGTGCAGCTGATCCACTGACAACTAGGCGCAAGGCTTTGGCACCGGCTCGGGCGGAGCTCTCGCTCTCGGTTCCGCGAATGTGGGAGTCAAAGTAATCGTTCAAGCGTGAGTATATGGTTGGCACTGCCATGAACATGGTTGAAGAGCCGCAGTCCTGCCAGCGTTCCCAAATGACTTTCGGGTCAAACTTGGGGTGCATTTCGACTGTAACACCACTCAAAAGACTGGCCGTGAGTCCGTTGATGATACCGTGAACGTGGTGAAGAGGAAGGACGTGGATTAAGTGGTCGGAGGGTCTATATTCCCATGCCTTGACGAGACAGCTAGCTTGGAATGTAATATTCTCGTGTGTCGTCACGCAGCCCTTGGGGTTTGAAGTGGTGCCACTTGTGTAGATCATCAAGGCTCTCCTGTCGAGTGGGAATGACGGAGAGAAAGAAGGGAGGGAGGGGTTTTCATTGCGCGTGAAGGGGTCGAGGCCGATGAATGGGATTTCGGTGGGCACTGCTTCACGAAGAGCTGGTGCAACTTTCTCGAAAGCGGGATGTATGATAATTAGAGAGGGATCGGAGTCTCCAATGGTGTAGAGTAGCTCCTTGACGGGGTGGGATGTGCCTATTTAGTTGTCATTAGTATTTGATGAGCTTCTCCGGTTGGTGTATTCTGTCTCTCTTACATAGTGGTACACACACTCCCCCTGCAGCCCAGATAGCCCAGCTTGTGACAACGTAGTCATATCCAGCAGGACACAGATATGCCACTCGCTGCTCATTGAGATCCCCCGATGACGTCGATCCTAGGGTTTCAATGATATGCTTCCTCAGGGCAGCCGCATCTTCAAGGAGTTGTGTGAAAGTGAACGACTCCTTCTTTGTCACATCAATTACTGCAATCTTCTTTGGGTCCTCTTTGGCACTCTGTTGCGCCGCCACGAAGAGTGGCAGTGAAGGGATAGGCATTGCGGGGCGAAGTATTCGGGCGCGGAAAGAGGGTATGATAAGGAAGACGAGATCGATATGGCCAATTGAGCGCGAACTAACCCGAAATCAACGCGACAGCATGTGATTTTTTCAAGAAGAACTATTCAGACCCGAGATTTGGTCTTGGAAAGAAAATCGCCAGGGGGGTTAGGCGATCGGAATCCGATGAATTTAGCCGGTCTAATGCGGCGAGGGGCCGAGGTGGAGTCTATCGGCGTGCAGTTGTAGACTCCGATCGGCCACGAGTAGCACCGATGAGACTGGGTTGGAAAGTGTTGGGTTTGAAGAGATTTGGTTGAATTATCATAATCGCATTACTTATTGCAGTTTCAATTCGGTTTTAATTGGAATTTCTATCCCTCAGAGAAGTATCTATTCTGCTTAGTTTGAACTGGATATACTAGGTTCAGGACTTAAAGCGTGTCTGTCAATGGATTGGACCTGAGATTTGACTTTCCAGCTCTATGTCAAGCAAAGATACCTTCTTCTGGTATGATGCTTCTCTTTTGCATTTATAATATTAGTAAAATTCATTTCATTAGTGCTAACGACTGATCCTTTTCATACAAGAAAATGGCACTGTGAGACGGCACGTGACCACTCTTAACCCCGGATCTCCGATGACGGAAGGCTTTTGAAGCTTCGAAGCTCGTTGACTCAAAGTTGGGACATTTTCCCATCTGCGACCATGCTGCTTCGAACAAGCCTGAGGGCTCGCCTACTACGGCCTGCTGGCTTTCGCGTTGTGCGCTTCAAGTCTTCAGCACCGCTTATTCGTATCGACAATGGTACCTTCTACAAGCAATACCCGACCGAAGACAATGCCGCGACCAACCTCCCTCTGTACCCGAACCTGAACTTCACTCTGCCCTCCGACGTGGTAACCTCTCCGCAGAATGAAACCTCCCTGCAGCATTGGGCCGTCATTGGACCTTCCGGGCGAACGGATCTACTCGACATTTTCCGTGGCCAGCACATCTCAATTCCTCCCACCGCCCGATCATATCCCTACCTCCTCTCCGATGAAATTGCTGCGAAGGACCCCAAGCTGCGCATTATTGGGAATGCGATTCAATACATTGGGTTCAGCGGTGAAGGCTCCGGTGCCATTGGAGGCACTCGCGGCGCATATCTGAGTGCGCGCTATGAGAGTCTTCGCGAGGAGACCGATTGGACGGTGGAGCAGTTCCTACGGGGACAGACATCGTTGAATCCCCCAGAGGGAGAAGAAAATGGCACCTTGAAGGATGAGCAGTTGCTGCAGGAAGTCGTCACTGATCTGCACCTCGAATCGCTGCTTAACATGCCAGTCGCAAATCTGAGTAACGGACAAACGAGACGGGCACGTATTGCCAAGGCCCTGCTGGAGAAGCCGGAACTGTTGCTCCTAGATGAGCCATTCAGTAAGCTGCCACGCAGTTTCACATGGTGACTTTGTATTAATACTAATCTTTTTATTTTAGTGGGATTGGACCCGGCCACTGCCCGAAGTATCTCAAACCTGCTTCACCGACTGGCAGAGAAACAATCACCCCGGCTGGTGCTAGCACTTCGCCCTCAGGATCGCGTGCCAGACTGGATTTCCCATATAATCATGGTGGGCAATAATCACCAGGTCCTTCAACAAGGGACAAAGTCGGACATTCATGCGACTCTTGAAGCTTGGCAGACGATGCCCGTAAAAGGATACAGAATTCCCAAGGACACTGAAAAAAGAGACAAATTACTTGAATTCCGCGCCCACATGGAATCTGGGAATCTCGACGAGCAATTACTCCAGGACTTTGCGTTGAACCAGACCAAAAAGTCTTCCAAACAAGGCGCAACATTTTTGGGCGGAGAGGCTCTCATTGAATTGGATGGGGTTCGTGTCCAGTACGGCGACAAGGTCGTGCTGGGTGACTGGAAACAGAAAGTGGACGACGAGATCAAGGATGGCCTTCACTGGCGGGTGCGCCGAGGGCAACGTTGGGCAATTCTTGGTGCCAACGGTTCCGGGAAGACGACGCTGCTGTCCTTGATCACGTCGGACCATCCACAAGCATACTCACAGCCTATTAAAATGTTCGGTCGCTCTCGTCTTCCCGAGGCGGGCAAGCCCGGAATCTCCATTTTTGAACTTCAGTCTCGCATGGGTCATTCATCACCTGAGATTCATGCCTTCTTCCCGCGCCAGTTGACAATCCGCCAGGCTCTGGAGTCGGCCTTTGCGGAGACTTTCCTGTCAAAGCCCAATTTGGATCACGAGAAAGATCTCGATGTGAGCGCTGCCCTTCGTGCGTTTAAGGCTGAGCTTGACCCCAACGCATCCCATGAAGAAGCACCGCTGGTTTCTCTAGATAAGATGTTCCCAAGACTCGAACCGGAAGGAACAAAGCCAAAGAAGAAGCCTGCCACGAGTTTCTATATGCCCTTGGAATACCAGGTTGACTACGCCGACAACGTCAAGTTTGGTGAGCTGAGCACGGCACAGCAACGAATCGTGTTGTTCTTGCGTGCGATGATCCACAAACCGGACATTGTCATCCTTGACGAACCCTTCTCGGGCTTGACAGCCTCACAGCGCGATAAGTGCTTACAGTTTATCGACAAGGGAGAGGCCCTTCCCGGCTCGGCTCTTCCCCGTGGCATCCAATTACGACACCGCGGTCTATCGGAGGACCAGGCCTTGGTTTTGATCAGCCACGTGAAGGAGGAAATCCCCGACAGTGTGCGATATTATATGCGCCTACCGTCGGAACTAGGCGAAGGCGCTGAACCTGTCGATTTCCGTGCCGGCATGCTCAAGAGTTCCAGTGTTTTGAGTGACCCCAAAGTTTGGGATTTGGTGTGGTCCCCAGCTGAACGATTCTCAGAAAAGAGCCAGAAGACTACCATGAATCGAAAGCCGGAGAATATCGCCAACGACGATTACGAGAGGTTTGGATATTACACGATATAGAGCATTTCTGATGTATAGCTACTTTAAGGTTGGGCTCTAGATTTATATGATAGAATCTCAATGTAACATAGTGGAATCCCCATATCACCTTTTCGAAAAGTCTAGCTAGATACGCTTTAACTACCGCTCTTTTGAAATCTAGTTAAATTACAGGGAGTAAAGCAGGAGCTGTTTATACGCCCAAGGCCCAGTCTCTCCTGCAAGCTGACTTTTTTGGCGTGCCACTTATAAGATCCTCTCTTCATATTGGGCCTCCATGAATGACTTCCAAGCAATTACCCAAACACCAATGCCCTGACCTCGATGCTTTCCCGCGGTTTCGCGTCGGCAGGGGTATTAGGATCAATGAATGCCGTATGTGCCGCACGCTTGGCCACTCCATCCTGGCTATCAAAACATTTGAGAAGAATCCTCTCGGTATCATCCACACCAGCGCAATATTTCCACTCTGTCTTGGAGTTGTATTTGACGCCCATAATTTCCCCATTGAAGGTTGGATACCGGTGTTGAATGGTAACAAATTCTTCGTCCTCGGTCGAGGTTGCAGAGGCAAATGCCAAGGGCGAAGATTCAACTACCCCGTTAATAGGTCGCCAGACATTGATGATACGATAGCGTTCACTCAGATACTTCTGCGCTAACTCCGGATCCGATACATGCTTTCGTACTCGCGATTGAGCAGACCATTCAGTTTGGTCTGCGTGGACCTGATTAACTGGTTGACGCGGGGCGTTGGGGTTCGCGCGACGTATAGTATGATCGAAAAAGATGATAGTGTGAGCACCGGGAACGGATTCAAGTAGCAGTCGCTCCACCTCGGGGTAGTAAATCTCCCGAATGGCTTCGTCGGAATTAAAGGTCTCGTATGTGGCTGAAGATGTGATGTTCTTCAAGACTTGAAATGCGTCTTGGTCGAGGGTGAAGTGATCTTCGTTTCCTCGGATGTCGTTGATGGGAACTGTGCGAACGTCGCTGGAATAATTGCGCCATGGTTCTCCAGCTGGCGGTTCCTCGACGTAGTTGTATGGAGATGTGCCATCCTGGGGTGCCTGGTAGAAGACCAGTTCTGCTTGGATGGCGGGATTTGCCATCGTATGTAGCCCTGATTTCTGGGGGTTAAGAGGTAGATGTTCGGATGAAGACGAAATTATATGGGAGCATAGCACTATGTGCCTTGACAAGCGCTATTTATTATTCGTATTCTTCGCTGACATTTTATGACCCGCAGCCTCCGAGTCTAGAGTATTCGAAGAATGACGGTTTCTTTCCGCTCGGGATTTGAAATCACACAATCAGGACGCATTCGGCATTTGCTTGTATAGTGGGAGACCAAATTCACAGTATATGTAAATACCAGAGCAAAGATATAGCTTAGGTCTTCTTCAGTCATGATATCTGAAATATTTTTCTACTCGTGATCCTCGATAACTTAGGCATTATACTAGGTTGATCCCTCAAAGCATGGCCAATAAGACGAGGATTTTGGCAGAAATTCGCCTTATACCCAAGAATTAGTTGATAAATCACATTAATCCCGTAGATTAAGAACTCCAGTTCCACTTCTCTTGACAAGCACACCGTGCAAGTACGGGAACGTCGAAAACGAGGCAGCCATCTCAAGATTGTTCTCGGCCCAGCCTCCATCCTCCTCCGCAGCCTTCACCAGAATCTGGGCTGTATCCTGATTCAATCGACAATCACCAATGAAAAATGCCCAGCCACAGACCATATATACTTGCTGGAAGACTCGGGCCAAAATGCTTCCTTTAGGCTTTGTCCACGGATTTGCCACATGTTCGCAAATCAGCATGCGACCACCTGGACGAAGAAGCTTATAGAGCTCAGATGCCGCAGTTTCAGGATCCGAAATGCTGCATAGAGCCCGAACACAGATGATAGTGTCAAAAAGAGAATCGCCTTCTTCCCAGGAAGTAATAAATCCACCACGAAGAAGTTCTTTGACTATTTGGTCGGTACTTGCGCCTGCAGCCAGGATTTGATACTTATCGTGCAGATTCTGGTCATTGGCTTGTGATTGAAGCTTCTGGTGGAGATCGATGCATGGTTCAGCGCCGTATATCTTTGTTATTTGGGGACCTTTTAGAGATGACATCTGCGAGCCGCTTCCGGGTCCTACCTCCAAGACGACCCCCGTTGCCTGGGAGAGGATTGGGGGAATCAGTCCGGCTGAGAGAGATGGAGGTGTGCCAGGTGGCTTGGGAGCTGGAATGGCGGATTAGACATGAAATGAGAGGCTGGTTGCGTGGAAAATGCAGGCATACCTGAAAATTCAAGCCAAAGGGAGGAGAATGCCGTTCCACGGATCTTCTGCCATTGGCTAGCGGACAAGGGAATATCTCCCTTCGCTATAGTTGTGAAGACAGTTTTCACATAATCTGGTTTCGAGTCAGTCGTTGGAATTAAAATGGTCGCATTTCTCGAGCAAGGGATAGGCAACATACGATATATCGCTGACTTTAGCATCAAGGTGGGCTCAAAAAGAGACCAGGCCCATTGCGAGGTTAGAGAACTCATGATTGCAATCTCAGAGGTTGCAGAGAAAGTCAAGTTGATTGAAGTGTGAAATTCCGCCGAGAACCAGTCATGATCTTGCCGAAAAGCGGGGACTTTGTCTTCTGTTCGGATCAAAGGCCGATTCGGCGATTGCTCTATCAGGGCGTGGATTATAATCTGCCGTTCCAGTACAGCATTATCCTCTTTAGTTTACTTTCAGGAACCCTAATTGTGAGCAAGATTTTAGCAAACAAGACCAAGCAAAGCTCCAAGAGTGACATCAAAAGCCGAGACATATCTTGAAGGTGTAGGTGTTTGGCCAATGAGAGGCCGTGTGGCGCCACTCGGCCTTTGAATTGATAGGTGATAGATAATATGATGGTTCGAAATCCAGCCAGTCATTTGTCGTAACTATAAAAGAGAGCCTTACTGTCATCAAGCCCAGTGAATTGGTAAACATCCATCTCATTGTTGACTTCCGAGAATGTCCTTCGGCAACGTTTTTAAAAGGACCCTCCCATGGGTACAATCACCACTCATCGCCAACGCCCCCATGAGCGGCGCTGCACTCAGCGAGCTTGCCATTGCCGTTAGTCGTGCCGGAGGACTAGGCCAAATCGGCTTCCTGGATGATATGCACCAGCTATCAAACGAGCTACAAATGGCGCGTGACAAACTACAAGATCTCATAGCGACCCTTCCCGATCCGCAGGTTTTACCCATCGGAGTTGGCGTGATAGTCTTCGGGTCCCCGATGGAAGCATGGATGAGGCTTTTCAAAACGCACAAACCGGCTGTGGTCTGGCTTTCGTTCGCTGGGGCAAATGATATTCGACAGTGGACTGAAGCAATTCGTCAGGCATCGCCAAAATCGCAGGTGTGGGTTCAATTGGGTAGCGTGCAAGCAGCTTTGGAAATCGTACAAGCATGTCATCCGGATGCATTGGTTCTACAAGGCAGTGATGCTGGTGGTCACGGCCACCAGGACGGTGCTAGTATCGTGAGCCTCATACCTGAGGTCACGGATACGCTCCTTCATCATGGGAACGGCGATATTCCCTTGATCGCGGCCGGCGGAATCGTTGATGGCCGAGGTACTGCTGCAGCACTAGCTCTCGGCGCATCGGGGGTCGTGATGGGAACGAGATTCCTATCAGCACCAGAAACACGTATTCCGCAAATATATCGTGATGCAATCTTTAAGGCTTCTGACGGTGGACAAGCGACGGCACGATCACGGGTATTTGACGAAATTTGGGGGCCCAATTTCTGGCCAGCTACTTATGACGGACGGTGTCTCCGGAATAGGGTGTATGATCAGTATGCATCGGGTATGGATATCAAAAAGATTCGAAGTTGGCTGGCCTCGGAAATGAATGGGTCGGGCTCTGAGTCCCTGGATGTTCACGATATGGGTAGTTTATGGGCCGGGACAGGTGTTGGGATGGTGAATTCGATGCAAAGGGCGGGTGATATCGTTCAGACAGTACGAGATGTTGCCTTGAAAAGAATTGGATCCCTCGCTCGAGAGGAGTGAACCAGTAACATAGTAAATAATTAGCTGTACGATGCAGCAATCATCACGGCCTGGTTTATCGCCGTTTATGTGGCTCTTTTTGTCTGAATTTCAACCCACAAGCCCTGAATCAAAACCGAAGAATCTCCATTCAAGGAACTCAAAGAGGGCGGAGATAATGATCAGCTCTTAGCGGTTCCGATTCTAGCGAACGGAGAAAAGGTCATATTATATATGCTTCCACTTTATCTCTTTTGAATCGTCTTTTCAGACAACTTTAGAATGAGTTTGCGGATGATCTTGTAGAGCATGTTTGTCATAGTTATTTTGAAGTGTTGTCAAGCTAGGTTGGGCGGGAACTATAAGACAGCCTGAATGGAGCGCTGGATTAACTATCATTCATTATACCAGCTCTGTTTATACTTTTGAACAGTATCTGCGCTCTCATAATTTATTGCATCGCATCCTTGGAGACTATTCACTCGTTCCCCAGAGGGAACTAGTCCAACCCGATCTGGGACCGCCGCAAAAAAGGTCAATACCCAAAACAGAATCGGACAAGTATCCAGTATAGTCGGTTATGTTAAATGTCCCATGGGTGAAGACCACCAAGCTAGAATAGTCGTCTTAATTGATACTAGTTCCTAAGTCCCTATTTCCTACAATTCCTTCCTTCCTCTCCTCGCACTTTTGACTTCTCTACCACCACCACCACCACCTAATAACCTTCACGATGAAATATCTAAGTGCTCGTCTTAAACGCTACCTCAAGCGGCCTCACAAAATAAACAAGGAGATTAACCTTTGTTCTGAGGTCTTCCCTACCAACAAGCTCCCCGGGCTCCCCCCAGAGCTGTTCTTGTCAATATCCGATTTTCTTTCGGTCGTTGACCTGATTTGTTTGTCACTTTGCAATCGTCGACTTCGGGAGCTATCATTACGACAAATCAGCCGGCAGTCTCCTCTCACAGAACAGGAGAAGCTTTCGGTCTTGAATCGATTGGAACGAGGTTCTCCAGAATACTTTGCTTGCGATAGATGCAACGTTCTCCATCAACTACCGTGTGTGGATAAGTGGTCGAATATCAAACGCCGCTGGGAAATATCTCGACAGAAAAGGGCCGCCGCGAGAAGCGCCAGACCAGTTTATAAGCCACCTTCATTGCCCAATATCCCTTACGTTGACTATGATGCTGGCTACCGACAGTTGCTTTGGTACCAACAATATATATTTTGAGTTATTCTCTGTATGTTCTGGTATTTTCTATCGTGTTAAATTATATCAAGGACCTGACGACACAATATGAAGCTATTCTCCACTGCCCCTCAGGTATAACATCGTGTTTCCTTTGCCTTTTGATGACAATGTGTATATTGAAAAGCTAAAGCTCTTGAAATGGCCGCCCTTTCTTTTTGAGTGGAAGCAATTGTTGACACAACGCCAGCAAGACAGAGCCCATGAGGCTAACAGCCTTTTGCCCCGGATAATAGCAGGTCCAATCCGTGGTGGCCGAAGACAGCCACTTCAAAACAGCGAGGTAGGAAGATGCAGCAATTGGATCTTCGGTTTCGATGACACTCTGGTAAATTATCTGAGCTGGTGCGAAGGTATACAAGCCGAGGTATCTACAGAAAGATACCGATAAGACAGTGATGGTGAGTTTAGATGATGGTAATGGACTCTGCAGCTCCAGGAATTCACGTACCTCGATGCCCAAGCACGAGGTCCTCGGCCCTCCACAATGGCCTCTCTGACTAGTTCGCAGTATGCAAGCGCTGTTTCCCGAGACACCTGGGACAGTGCCCTGTGGCGTTTCTCTTGTTGCCGTATCTCCAAGTGCATGACAATAATATATCCATAGAATAAGAGATCCGCGAAGATCCATCGGCATGCTTCTGTGCGAGCTTTCTGGAAATGCGCCTTCTGCAAGAGGGTGTATCAGAAAGGATACTCATAATTCAATTTTAGGCAATATTACGCACAACATCCCAGCTGTTGAGAATTCCTATTATCTCCATCTGAGCCGTTTCGAGCAAGTCGTCTGAGTGACTCAGTGCGTCAGATGGCGAAGGTGTCTGTGTACTCCAGATTCGCAATGCAGCGAATATTATCCGCATTGATACGACAAAGTATAGCTGTTTCATTTCCGTGTTGGGAATATTGAAGGTATCACATGATAGAGTCGGAAAATCAACTTTTGGCCGGGAAATGGACATGACTGAAGACCTGTCAAGCATTAGCCGAAAGCAGCAGTCTCTCTGAATCAATTCCCAGAAGACGTATCTCTTCTCTTCGGCATTCTGCTCAATACTATGAGACTCTCGCGAGAAAGGGGTTTTGTCTGCATCGATATCCAAATATCCGAGTGCGCTTGCCAATTGACAGCATTTATTAAAATAGAACCAGGAGGCCTTTGTGTCCATAAAAATGATCATAATATCGGACTTTGAGCAACAGCCAATGAATCAGCCCTTGTAATAAAGACTTGATCACAGTGAGGAAATTCTGAAGAGGACGAACGAGGGGATAATTACCAACAGTAGACAGGCAAAAATGTCAAGCGAGGTGGCAGGAATATTTTGCTTCCAATATCTGGTGAGCACGCATAATTTTTGATAAATCGGTTCGGCGAATTGGCCAGCTAGGTGCAAATCGGAGTCTATACTGGAGCCGTAGAAAAGCGCACAATAGTAGGCGATAAGGAGCGTTCTTGAGAACTGGAGGTGAGGGCTTCCTATATTATCAGTCATGTAGTATAGAAGACTCCTCTCCACTTTTGTTGCATGTAAGAGAACATCGAACTCGCTAAAGAAGTCTAATTTGTCTAGTCAATATAAAAGTTTTATCGGATTATCTCAGTTTTCCGAACCTTTCATCCATTTCCTTTGAATAGCTGGGGAGGGCATGGCAAGGTTGGGGAAATCGACAGAGTCTTGATTTGGAGATTGCGAAAAGGTTTGAGTAGCCTCGGTGACCTTTTGGTCAATGCTATCCAGCATGCCACATAAGTCATGTTCCTGTGCTTCATCTACACAAGAGTCCTCGAGGCTACGAATGAAATTGTGTGAAATGAGTTTGAGATCTCTCACGCGTGAGAATATATAGCTTCTGGCGGATGGGCTAGCAGTGCCGGTGAGAAGAGGTGTGTGAACAGACGAATGAGTCACGTTAGATGGAGTGGATTCGTAGTTGCTCGACGGGCTTTCGATGAACGTTGAAGGATCTTGCTCAAGCGCGTTTATTACTGGGTCACGAACTGGAGATGGTGGCGCAGCTTCTCGTTGATACGGCGGAGTTCCGTTGTCGTGCGACAACCTTCTTCGATTAATGTACTGCCTAATTTTAATAAGACAAATGATCGCTCGGGAATTAAAAGAAGAATCTCACTTCGACTTTCTCGGCCTTTGTTTTCGAGAATCATATTGGCAGCGGAACTTGCGGGACAAGCACGGAGTACATGCTGGCTCAACCCGATCACAGCGGACTTTCCGTTGGCGACAGGAACGGCACTAAAAGAATGAGTAAGAAATTGGATTACTGTGCAGAAAGAAGTTGTATGATTAACACTAATTTCATTGACGCCCATCTTTTGTGTTTGCTTGATGAGCCAGAATTCGCCAGATAAGTCGGAAAGTAAACCCCGAAATGTGCGGGGTTGGTGATCTTAAATACGCTAATGCAGTCGGCTCGGTCTTACCGATGTCAAACCAAGCTGGAAATCTGGTTATAATTTATCCATGATGTATTGTACATCGACAGACTGAAAGCTACGTAGTAGTACAGTATGAATTCACACTTCGATCCTCGGGAGACTGAGGGAAGCTCCCCCCACACCACCAATGCGTATTCTATGCTCGCTCTTCTCCTTCTTTGAAGCGATCCATGGATTCTCCTCGGTACCGGGATGGACGATGAAGATGGGAAAGTCACTAGATTGTATCTGTAGCTGCAGCCGATGTCCCCTTTGCACACGATATGCGTTATCGTCAAGTAGTAGAAGTACCTCGGGCCCCATCCTTTTATCGATCACTGCCCGACCGAACGAAATCGGATGGGTCGTTCCGTCGGGATAAACGTCCTGTAGCTTCGCAAATAGGTGCGTAGAGGGCCCCAAGAAGTCAAGATCCAGCTGAAGCGTTGGCTGTCCGCAAAAATCAAAATTCTCCGCGAAAGGCTCCGTGCGGAAGGTCAGGACATCGTCACGGTTGGCCATTTCTCGTTCATCCGGATATGCTGCAAGCAGATACCAGAGGGCCTCAACATCGAAGGATGTCGGCACCGGGCTGTTTGGGTCGTGCACCCAGGATAACGTCGTTGCAAGGTTGGTTATTTCCTCATTCATCAACATTTGGTAGCCTATATCACTCTTTGTGGACGAGAGAGTAAACTTCACCGGATGACATGGAGGCGGATACTCGGTCGAGCTCTGCCATCCGACATGACCTAGATGCCAGCGAGCCCTCACTCGGGGCACTTGAGGCCTGATCTCGTTGACAAACTCATCAAAGAAATCTGCCACCTCGCCACATTCGTCCGAAATTCTCCTTTCTCTTGCGTCCTCATTCATGTATGCGATCTTACTCGAATCACCCACATTTTCGAGCAAAAACGCTGCATGGTCGGCAGAGTTTGCTCGTAGGTAATGGAGATTGCGGTTCGCCAAGCTCCTGAAATGTCTCCAATCCCGCATCCCCGCTGGAGCTAGGCCAGGGTCATACCAGTTTTGCCAGTGCAGGATCGGTATATTAGTCGTATGATATGGATGGCGGTCGCCGTAAGGGTTGAACCAGCCCTGATGATAGATTCTCTCACCTAGCATCTTAGTGGCAGAGATGTTTTTTCCAAGTACATCGCCAGCTTTTCCAACGACATTCTGGGCAGTATCAGCCGCCCAGTCGATTGCGGCAAGGTAACCGTTGTTATTCGTCCAGATTTGGAGAAGATCGTTGACAGACGACAGAGACGGGACATCCTGCTGCCACCTAGATGCAACGTGCCTTGCTCCCATATCGACGGATGTCGCTTGGGGAACAGCGGCTTTGATGGCCGGATGACCACTAGCTACTGCAGCCCAAGCCGTGAAGCCATAGTATGACACACCTGTAACTCCAACGCGACCGTTCGACCACGGTTGTTGCGTGATCCACTCGACAGTATCGTACGCGTCGTTAACATCATAAGTGTAGGGTAGCGTCTCCCCGGTGGAACGATGTTTGCCGCGTACATCTTGGCTGATGAATGCATAACCGCGACTCATATAGTATTTTGCTTCGTGCTTGAGGGATGTATAGTCGCTAGACTTGTCATATGGTGTTCGAACAAAGATGGCTGATAGCTTCGGGCCATCTAAATTGGGAGGCAGGTAAACGTCTGTAGCCAGTGTCACACCGTCTCGGGTTGGTATGTGGAACTCTTTAGCCAGAGGAGAACTATCCTCTGCTGTCAAGACTTGGATGATTTTGATAGCCATGGTGCCAGGGTGACGACTGCTCTTTGTTGTCTGAAACTCAGTAATTATGACAAAGAGGACCCCAATTTATGTTTCTTTTCCTTGGGTCTCTGCTTTGATATCCGTCGGTGGATATTCATGCATTCAATGCCCTTCCGGCTGTTCTGGTATTTGAGCTATACGAGCCATTTGATGGTGATTAATCAATTATCCGTAGCAGCGGAGTTACCGAGGTCATCTCGACTTCTCGGACTGTCCGATAACAGGGCGCCGTTTGATTACAGAGTCTCTGTTTCACAATTAAGATAAATACTACTTGTCTACTTTGATGCCGGGGCTTCACCACACAGGCTCATGCAACAAGCTGCAGTGAACACAATGAAGGATCACAGTAAGGGCATGACCTAGCCCTTCCCGGGAATATCACTAACACGGAAGTTAGAATATATGTTATCTAGACTTATCACGGCGGACCCCGGTCTTCCGCGGCCGTATACCAGAGAACCATACTGGTTGCGAATTCCCCACACCCTTGGAGAACACCAATCCCCCACCTTGGCCCCGGACACTGATGTTGTCGTGATTGGCTCTGGTATCACAGGCGCAAGTGTCGCGCATAATCTACTTGAAGGCGACGACACTATCCGCGTGACTGTACTGGAAGCGCGCTCGCTTTGTTCGGGTGCCAGTGGCCGAAATGGCGGACATATGGTGGCGTATGGGGGCACAGACTATGATCTTTTGAAGACGAAATTGGGAGTGGAGGAAGCCCTTCAAGTCATTGATTTCACGTTCCACACTCTTGATGACCTCGTGACACTGATCCGTCAACATGGCTGGGAGGAAGACAGCAAGTATCGAGGTGTGACCCGTATCCGGACTTTCGGAGATGTGGAGACTTTGGAAGCTGCCCGGAGAAGTATTGCGGAGTTTGTCGCTCAGCGGCCGGATATGCAGGGGTTTTACAAATTCATTGACCCGGAAGAGGCCCGAAAGGTATATTCTCTCCCCATTTGAACAACTCAGCGGGCAGCTCATCAGGACAATTAGGATCACGGGCTGCATGGTGTCACAGGCGCTCTTCTTTTCTCGGCTCATGCTTTGTGGCCGTACAAGCTTGTGGGCAAGGTGTTTGAACGACTCGTCAAGGAATATCAGTCAAGATTTCAATTGGAAACAAACACTCCGGCTTTGTCTTTGCAGTATGAAAAGAAATGCTGCTGCACAGAGCCTTGTTACACTATAAACACACCACGAGGCGCTATCCGAGCAACCCATGTTGTCTACGCCACGAATGGTTATACGGGTCATCTTCTTCCTGAGCTCCGGGGTCCGTTATACGCCCATCAAGGCTCTATGACGGTCCAAAACTTCGGACCGGAAGTTCCTAATAATGGCGGGCAGTATACTTGGAGCCATCATCATCAGCCCCGCCACAATCCTGCAACCACGACCACGACATTCGGGACATACTATCTCCAGCAAAATGCCGAATCGGGGTACTTTTTCTTCGGAGGGGAGCGGACAACAGCAGAGCAGAGCCTCAGCACCGATGATACACTCCCTACACCGGGGACTACGCAGCATCTAGAATTAAAACTCGCGTCATTATTAGGAAAGCAGCCCAAGTCAGCTCAATTGATCAGTGAATGGAGCGGCGTGATGGGCTACACAGCGGACAAACTCCCGCTTGTGGGCCCGGTCCCTGAGGAAGTGAGTCACAGAAGCGGAAAAGGAGAATGGATAGCAGCCGGGTTCAATGGCATGGGAATGTGTTATGCCTGGCGCTCCGGAAAAGCAGTGTCGAAGACAATCTTAGGCGAAAAGATGAGCGATTGGATTCCCAAGGCATTCATGTTATTGGCTGAGCGGCTTAATCGGAACCTTCTCACGGAAGCCAGCGTGGAGGAGTTGATGAGATACTTTCCACCGGCATCCTCGAAAAGAAATCAGACGGCACTTCTTTAGCCGCTAGCCAATGTTCTAAAGTGACTTTTGAATCTGTTCATCGCGAGTTGCGTATTTACGTAATCTTAAACCAAATGAACAACTTCACAACATGTAGCAAATGCGGTTTCTAGGCCCCTGATTATTAGTAATGAGAGGTTGCCTTCACTTGATACTCCTGGGTAAGAACCTTCTTAGTGGAAGACGAAGTATACAGTAGTAATTGAGAGCGAGATTACAGTACAGTGGAACCGCAAAAGTTTCCGACCACCCCCTTCACCACCTGACATACACCGCATTTGCTGGAAATTGTGACCCATGATAAATACAAATCAAAAACGTAGAATTTATGGGTTTACATTCAAATCCTCCCAGTTATAACGTATAATTGGAGATCAGCCATTGTTTCGATTAAAATTTGGGAATACTGGTGGAGATCCGGAAATGTTTATTGCAGGCAGAACATTATGTAAGCAGGGGGTGTTCGAAAGCTTTTGGGTGGTGTTCTGGGATTTACCGCTTGCTTATGATGTACGTTAGTCTTCATTTTTCATTTCATGATGAAAGTACAAAAAAGTACGGAACCCAGTACATACAGGAAGCCCGATTTCGTAAGCGGATCTTGCGGAGCGAGGAAATTAACTATGGCGCTCGGTATGTCCACTGCACTTTCGGACTATCCGAACACTGTTAGTGTTGCTATGAGCCGAATTGCCGCGTCTTGCGTTCTTTTAGTCTTAACCTTGGCGGCTGAGGCTGTAAGCTTTGGCTTATTAACTCGAGCTCTGGCTATACAGGAGACTCCCAAGCCATAGGCGAACCCTCAAGGGAAAGATTCGTTGATCATGGACACACAGGGTATGCTATACTCTTGTGACCCTTAATTCAAGCACAACAAACTGACTGTGCGCCCGAGGTTAGAATCGCGGCTCAAAATGCTCCTGGAAGCCGATCCAGGCCTTCCCAAAACCAATGCAACAGAGTCATATTGGCTTCATATCAAACATCACCTAGCATCTGTCCAGACAGATGTCCTGCCAGAAATGACTGACATCGCTGTGATTGGCTCCGGAATAACTGGAACAAGCGTGACAAAGTCCCTGCTCCAGAGCACTATCAACTCCTCGGAAAGGATTACCGTTTTTGAAGCGCGAACACTATGCTCCGGCGCGACTGGCCGGAATGGCGGGAACCTATTAACCTATGGTGGTCTCGGCTACGAGGAGATCAAGTCTGTGCATGGCAGAGACGTGGCCCTGAAATTAATTGACTTCACTTTTGGCACCATAAAGGCGACGAAGAAGGCTGTGGAGGAGTATGCGGCTGAAGAATCACAATTGCGTGCTGTGACACGGATTCACACGTTTAGGGACCAGGGCTTATTTGAGGCTGCACAGCGAAGTGTGTCCGAGTTCCAGAAAGATAAGCCGGAGTATATGGGGACTTACACGGTTATATCAGGGCAAGAGGCATTGAAGGTGTGTATCCATATCTATTATCAGTATTCGACCGCTAACCAGAACAGGACTATGATATTCACGGCGTGGTCGGAGCTATTCTATATTCAGGGTACTCTCTTTGGCCGTACAGATTCATCGCATGTGTCTGGGAAGCCCTCCTGAAAGAGTATTCACCTAGATTGACAGTTGAAACACATACGCCTGTTTTAGAGATCACACACGATCCTAGCTTCTCAGCATCTCACCCATATACTCTCCATACCCCCCGTGGTAAAGTGCAAGCGTCAAAAATCATCCACTGTACAAATGGCTACTCCAGTCACCTCCTCCCGCCACTTCGGGGCCTTGTTTTTCCATATCTTGAAACCATGACCGTCCAAGATCTCCACGTAGCTCGTCGCGAGCTCTGCTGCTGGGCAACCATCCAAGCCCCCACGCAGGATTCTCAATCAGGAGCCAAAACATCACAACTCTGCTATCTGCAGCAAAATCTCGAGTCCGGATATTACTTTTTTGGCGGGAGTTATATGACCGCAGCGGAAACCCTTACCTCAAACGACGCCATCAATAACTCGCGATCAACTGCTTACCTCCAAGAACAATTGCATGAGTTTCTTGGCGTAAAGCCGGGAACCGGAGATTTGGTGAGTGAGTGGACAGGTGTGCAGGGGATGACGTCGGATCATATGCCTCTTGTTGGAAAACTCCCACGCAAGTTAACCAGCCGGAACGGAGATGGAGAATGGATAGCAGCTGGGTACAACGGCGGAGGCATGTGTATGTGTTGGCGCGTGGGTGAGGCGGTGGCGATGATGGTCAATGGCAACGATCCGCCACAGTGGCTTCCTGAGCCTTTCCTGATCTCCCAACAGAGGCTAGAAAATGCGCTGAAAGTGGAGAACTCTCTTCTCGTTGCGAGCCGTCTTCTCCCTGAGCAGGTTGATAGTGAAGAATGATTTATCTCGTATATGCTGGGTAATCTGCCGTTCCGAGCTTTTACTTTCTGGATTCGCTGCGACCAAGCGAAGTGCCACTACGCAAGCACTATATTTCGTCCTGTCAAATCCGTCCTTGTTTTTGCATTGATCACTTTCATTTGAACTCCCCTGCATAATATCCGCGGGAAGAATAGACCACTAAGCTCGTAGATATTGTTATCGAAGCACTTTTTAGTTATTTATATATGAACGTACAACTAGATCACAGCTAAACCTTTCTGGCATGCGAATGCCATGCCGCATTTGCTCCTTATCTCTTTGCCTGACATTGCGTCTATCATAGCGTTTCCTGCCATATAATGGACTAGAGATGGATTTCATCACTTAGATGAGATAGGCGGACTCAATTGTTCAGAAATAACGAGGCGACAACATATGTTCAAGCAGATCGATTTCAAAATAGCTGCGTGTTACTCTAAATGACTAATTAGAACAGTGGAACCAAACGAAATCACTAGAGAAACTTTAAGATGAGTAATGCTGTCAGGCAAGATAGAAACAACCTGTGACTATGGAAAATGTGAAGCCCAGCAATACCCGTAATGTTCAAGCGGTAGTATATAACACGCGACAAGGGAAACAGACTAATTAATGCTGCCCTGGCCTCCATTCACCACAGCAAATTGGGAGTTCAAGCCATTGGTCACCAAATGAAATACCTACACCAATGGATTACGTCCAGATCAATACATCCGCGCCAATCATCGTCAATCAAACCTATCTAGCAGTATTCTCGCCAGCGCCCCTCTCCTGCAATGGAATTCCTGCAAACTTCCTTCCATAAGTCAAATAAAGCACAATCGAGATGAGTAAAACTCCTAGTGTCACGACCCAATTATAGTTGAAAGTCGTAGCCGCGTCCCAAGCCTTATAAAGGGGAAAGGACTCCATAATCATAAAATAAATCTGTGACAAGAACGCAAATCCATGGATCGGTTTGCTCCATCTTCCACAATTCCATGGGCCTGGAATCCATCGGTCGCCAGCAAACAGACGCAGGCCGACAGGGACAGCCGAGTTTAAAAGTCCGCACAGGACTGCGAGGGAGTAGATGATTTGTTTTGCAGACTCCGATAAGGAGAGGAGAAGTAGAAGAGCTGTGCCGGTAGATAGCGCACAGACGGCATTCAAAGGAAGATTGAGGCGCTTGTTTATATGGGTGAGATAGGATGCAAACGGGAGACCGCCATCACGGGCGAAGGCGGCAATCTGAGTGGCATAGGTAAGGAGCATGCCACTGCCGCCAAAGGTGCTGAACGGAGCAATGAATAAAAGGAATGCAGAGGCCTTTTGTCGGCCCCAGTGGTTTAGAAGGACGGTGTAGAAGTAGTAGCCCCTGTATCAGCGCCGTAAGTAATATGTTCGTCCTGTCTCTGATTTTCTCTAGAAGTTGGCTAGAGAGGGATATCATAGAACTCACGAAGGGTCTGCAGCGAGGGTATCCATGTCTGGGATGCAAAATGCAGTGATTACCGTCACAAAAAGGCCCATCATACAAGTGGACAAATAAGATGTTATCATAGCCTTCGGGGCACTGATCCGAGAATTATGTGTCTCCTCAGCAACATAGGCTGGAGCCATCCAGATAGAATTCACCCAGGCAGCACAAAACCATGTAAATGTTACAGCGACCCCAGTATCCCAGTCGGTATAGTTTTGATAACTCCCAAACACTGTCTTAGCCGAAGGAAAAGGCTGCCCCTGGACAGCATGTGTAACGGGCAGGGCGATGAGATAGATGATTGTATATAATAGCATGACCGCGGCTGAGGCTTATGAATTAGTGCCAGTTAAATATGATACTTGGATTATCGGCCATCGCATACCTGTAAAAATATAGGCTATGCTGATGCTCTCGAGACGCAGTGCCATAGTCAGAGCCCAGGACACGACCACGGCTAGAGCCATTGCCATGATTATCGGATTACTAGCTGACCAATCAGGCTTTGCAATCATTATGGACTGCGCAAGACCAGCAGCAACAGCGTATGAAAAGCTGGCGATCCCAGTGAGCAGTCCAAACATGGTGACCCAGCCCGAGATAAACCCGACACAGCGCGACCACGCAGGTGGTGCCAGGGCTGCAGCCCACCAGTAGTAAGCTCCGTTAACCGGCATTGATGAGCATAACTCTGACACCGCCAGCACTTGTGGAAGTAGTATCACACTAGGGATAAACCATCCCCTGGCTGGATGTTAGTATGTAGCCTGTATTACATGAATGCAGAACGTACCATGTCAAACCGAAATATCCTCCGTAAGAGATAAGATAAAATGCAGAAACAGATATGGCGGACATGGGACTGATGAGCAGTAAGTACAGTTATAATTCAAACAAGGTGCGGGCTCAGCACGTTGTTAAGGCAATAACCAAGCAGACATTGGCGATTGTTTTCAATACTCGCCGATATGACTGCCGGTACCCGAGGGCTTCAATAGTCCCATCGTCAATTTGATCTTTAGTCTGAGTCTGGAAGAGAGTTTTGTCGGACTCTAACGCAGTCTTAATTTTATCGAGATCGTCCGTCTTGGAATTCATGGTGATGCAATTGAGATGGAAAGAACATGAACACATATAGGCCTTAAGAGGGATGTTCTTTGAAGGGCTATATTCCAGAAGCTGTTTCGCATTATCCAAGTTATATATATAATAGTCTGCGTCTTTGAAGCTCATTGAAATTTCCGGAAGCGCGAAGGAATGCGGGGTAAGGCGTAGTGCCTGGTTCTAGGCCGTGATAAACCCAGCCAGAGTCAACCAGCCCAATAGAATATCGGAGGTTAAAACTTAAATTCATTTTACAGCGATAAGTGTTCTCAATTTTCCTTCGTCATACGAATAGTGTATCGTAAATTAGTGGAACGGAGACTTGGGCGGACTTGAAAAATAAGGGAGGACCTGGTTGGCAATTCGGTTCCAGTGTGTTGATCCATCAATACGGAATGTCCGAATGTCCGAATGTCCGCCAGTCTAAACGGCGGGATGTCCGCATGGCCGAATGTCCAAGAATTCGCGTCCAGTTTTCGACTCGACCTTCCTAAATGAGCCTACCAAGATAGTGGGTTTCAAAGTATCCCATTGCCCGTCAGCTGTGCATGAGATACGGAGAATGACAATTATCGTCGTCTTTCTCATTGATCAACGGCTATAAGTGCGAGTCTGACAACATCAATACACAAGTATGACCTCTCTATCGAAAATGCCCGGCATGTCAGCTCAGCCAAATTGGACCACTGCTCTCGCAGCCCATCACTTTTCGCTGGTCCAAGAATTCATAAGGTCTAACCCTCAATCTCAAGAAGCCTTTCAACAAGCCCAGCTCATTCTTCCTGGGGGCAACACACGCTCAGTCCTGAACGCCACTCCTTTCCCACTTAGCATCGAGTCTGCCCAGGATGCGTTCGTCACGTCTGTCGACGGCAAGAGGTATCTGGACTTTGTGTCCGACTTTTCGGCCGGTCTCTTTGGCCATTCTCACCCGGAAATTTCCCACGCAGTCGAAACCGCGGTTAATTATGGGTTTAGTTTGGGAGCAGTTACAAGGAAAGAAGCGAAACTGGCATCTACGATACAGGAAAGGTTTGTAAGCATTGAGCAAATACGGTTTTGTAACTCTGGGACGGAGGCGAATATATACGCGATTGCCACATCAATGGCGTTCACGAAGCGTTCAAAGGTATAACTACTGCGCAAGAACATCCCTTGTGTATATAATACTTGGCCTCACACTAAGTGTCATCGTCCAGATCCTTGTGTTTTCTCATGGCTATCACGGCGGCGTTCTCAGCTTCGGCGCCGGGAATCAAGCATTGAATATCCCCCACGATTTTGCTATCGGCGTGTTCGACAACATTGAGAAGACTCGCTCTCTAATCAGCAGAGACCTCGCCGCCATTCTTGTGGAGCCAATGCAGTCCGCTGGTGGGATGCGCGTAGCCTCCAGGGAATTTCTCTCCTTCCTCAGAACCGCTGCAGATGAGACCGGTGCGATTCTCATTTTTGACGAGGTGGTTACATCCCGACTTCACTACAACGGTCTACAGGGGTATCATGGTATCAAGCCAGATATGACGACGCTCGGAAAGTACCTTGGAGGTGGGTTGCCTTTCGGTGCGTTTGGAGGTCGCGAAGATATCATGAGTCAATTCAACCCGACGAGCTCAATCTCCTCTGAGAGTAAATTGCTACAGCACTCTGGGACATTCAACAACAACGTCTTCACTATGAGTGCCGCCCTCGCAGCCTCGAAAATTGTGACTCCTGAAGAAATCCAGCGGATCAACAACTTAGGCGATCGACTACGTGAGAGAGGAAATCAGATCAGCCATGAAGCTGGGTTTGGGAGTGAGCTCATGATAATCGGATTTGGAAGCTGTGTTGGGCTGTATTTTGCTAATGATCCAGATGGGATCCTGCGTGACTGCTTCTACTTCTCACTTCTACGGGCGGGAATCATGATTGGTCGAAGGGGATTCCTGATGCTCAATTTCGCGCATACGGATGTTTTGATCGAGCGGACTTTGGTTGCGCTCCAGGACTGTATTGGAGTCATTCAAGGGTTGTGAATAGCTGAAATACTCCATTACCATTATCACAAGACGTGATTGTTGTTTAAGATTGTCCATTAGCCTCCACCTCAATGTAAGAACATGAAATATCTGCTTGTTAGCCCATGGTTATCCTACGGACGAGCAAATTCTTTGTCCCGAATATTGCCGTGGCACTGGACTTCCAGTGTAAAATTTCATTCCATGCTGCGCCAATTTACCCTATTTAACAACCATTAAAATGGCCGATTCGTACACCGATGATGAGCCTCGCATAAAAGACGCCCTAGAAGTCCATAATAACGGTGAAAATCAAAATTTGAAGCTCTCTAGGAAGAACAAAAACCTAGCTAGATGCAGGAGCCCCGCCGTAATAGTGATATCGCGTGTATTTAACCCTTTCATGAAGTGTAAATAGTAAATGAGGCGACGCGATAATCCCGTGTCAACGCTAAAGTTTTTGACTAATACTATCATTACAGGCTTATAGGGCGTTTGCAATTTCATCGGCGTACGAATTAGCTATTTTGTTAGTTGATAGATGGCATCATTTGGTGGGAGATGTGATAGAATTTTGCATTGGAAGTTGGATAGCCTAACTGAGGAGGGTTTCGGTGATCAGGGCTGTGAATAGTCGAATAAAGTCAGAACGCGAGGGTGAGTGCATCGGAATTCGTCGTTCGCGCTAGGCCACATGAAGAAGGTCATACCGTTCCGAAATCAGTTTCATGTGGCGATTCGGGAGATGACAATCTATAAATACAGCCTTGATCAACGTGCATTTCAGAACTAAAACTATTCTTCATACTTGAATGGGGCGAGCTTCTGAGCCATAAAGGCCCTCATTACCACGCATTCCAGCTATGTTTGAAGTTCTAGAGGTCCCACCAGGTATGAATTTGCCTTTTGATCAAGGCTCGGTTGCTTTATCAAGTTCCACTCTAAGTCTCGTTGAGCCGCCAGATTCAGTCCAAATATCGGCCGCAGCTCGAACAATTTGTCTATCTTTCGCCGATGACCCTCTCATTGCATGGCTCCGTCCAGATGCATCGAAAACGTGGGGTGCACAGGAACTGCAAGTACTGAAGCTTCAAGAACGTCGAGTCCAGCTCTGTCGATTACAGAGGATCATACTTCAGTCACCGTCTGTGGATGAAATTAAAAAGACCAGCCACCCTAGCCAAAAAGCCCAGGAGCCGTGCCAATATCCCACATCGGGCTCTGATACCGGAGCAATTGCGATCCTCCACCCGCCGAAAGGACGGACTCCACTTACGTTGTCCAAAGTCTGGGGTCTAATAAAGTTAGGGCTGGTTCAATTGTTTGATGAGGCTAAAGATGTTGCTTTAGATGACAGGGTATGTGCCGAAAATGCCCTCGGTTCTGCGTTTATTTAACAAATCCTCTTTAGCGAATGAAAATCTTCTATAAGGCCCATGACCAGTGCTTGAGCAAACTCCGTCGCCAGCTCAACGGCAAACTGTGGTATCTGGAGATTATTGGTGTACATCCAAGCATGCAGGGCAAAGGTGTTGGTAGGGCTGTCATGGAGACTGTCCTTACATATGCGAATGGACAGCCGATAGTGCTGGAATGCACTCAGGAGGCGAACGTACAATTTTACCGTCGTTTTGGATTTGAGGTCTATGAAGAGACCGAGCTAGTTGACCTTTCACTGACAGCGGCCACTGCAGCAGGAGGCAGGGTAAAGCTCTGGGTGATGATATGTAATCAGGGGAGGGATGAAAGCAGCAGATTGGATCTTTGATTTTGAACGTAGAATGCCAGGAAAGATCATAGCAATCCAAGCTCGAGACCGCGCTCAGCAGCCATTTCGAATGGATCGGATATTTGTCCTGCATCCCAGCTCTCCCAAGCATCCTGAAGCAGATCGAATATCTTCTCGGTCTGCCAATATCTGTCTGACTGAATCAAATCCTGAAATTTTGACCTGATCGTTTCCTTCCATGCAACATGCTGAACTATGACGCGAGACTGTGACCCAGCAACAAATAAGGGATATGCTATATTATGAGGAATCGCTTCGTCACTGGCAACTCCACATGCCTTAGCCCCATAGACCGCGTCAATGCTAGAAAGAATACGATTCACCGCAATCGCATCCGCATGGCTTGAAACATCTTCATCATTGGAGGCGATCAGTGTCTGCGAATCAACCCGGCTATAGCTCCTCATGACAAGGATCCCTGAGTAACGATAGGCTTCCCAAGTATGTGACTGCACAAATGTGCCTACTTCACCCGGCCATCGCCAGAAGTCTTCCTCCGTTGCACCGAGGCCAATACAGGAAAACAAATCCAAGAGACTGCGAGGAATTCCAGTGATAGGTTCCACCGCTCCAACCATTTTTGCGATCGAACCCGCCTCTGAGGAACGACAATCTCGATACCATATATTCAGAAGCGGTGACTGGCGCCCTAGAACGAAAGCAGGCATCTCCAGGACACCCATTCCTTCTAAAATAGTATGAGACAAACGCCCTGAAATACATAACTCACATGATCGGGCAGTCGTTCTTTCCATTAGACTAAGTAGGGCTTGCACGTGTACGGTCCATGGCGTACCGTTCAATAACTATGTGAAGTCCTGTCAGTAAGAATTAGATATTCCTAGTTTTAAGCTTACATTAATGTTACACAGAAAAAGTCCTGCCATCAAAGTCCCGCAGGACAAACTGAGCTCGCTACTAGCGATTTCGAACCGGTACTGCTTCAATGCTGTATCAAAGTGCTCTAAGAAACGAGCACCACCCTCCGGTACCAGGCAAGCCTGTAGAGCCACGCAAATACTGTAGCAAGCGGGGGAGCTTTCACAGTGTTGAACTATACGCTCAGCAAGAAGGCTCCCGGGGAAGTGGATTGAGTAGATACATCGATACCCTGATGTGATAACTTTACATATTTCCGGTTTATGAACAAAACTTCACTTGTCAACGAAGAAGGGGATCGATTGAAGAGCTTACATTGTTGAAATATCTTCTGAGCTTCATCACTTCTTGTCTTCTCTGGCGGCTTGCAGTTTGTTTTGCCACGTCCTACCAGCCAGGACGTTTCCCCATCTTGAGATGCTGCAAGCATAGAACCGGGGAGGGAGCTTTGCTCGTATGAGAGTGGCAAGCAGCGGATCAAGTCTTCTGTCTGTGGTGACTGCGACTGGTGCTGCAAGGCCTGTGTTGATCTTCCTGTGGGCTTGGTTGCGCCGGTAAACCGACCACGAGATGCAATTCCGGTTCCCCAACGGAGGCGTATCTCATACCCCTCACAGGTACGACGTTGATCCTTGCAATTCTGGCAAATTGGACGTTCGCCAGTGCATTTCTTATGCCTCTTTTTGCAGGTCCAACAGCCTGTATAGGATCTAGTGCGCACGTTCGACATAGCTCTTTTCGATGTTGGTATGTCCAGCATGTGTGTGGTCTCCAGATCAGCGTGTGCTTGCTGCCAGGTCGCGCAGGAGTACTGGCTCTAGTCCCATTCAGATTGCACAGTCAGCGGCGTGACCTGCCAATTAAGGTTAGTCACTACGGCCAGAAGGAGGCAAGTCTAACCGACAAAATCAAGACCGATTTCTCACCAGACATCACCCCGACGGACTGCTTGCAGAAGCACTCCGCCAGTTGTACGGCTCTCCTTTTTCAGATTGTCCGTACTTGCCATCTACCGGTTCCTCGCAGATGATCTCAATTTGTGTACATCATTAGCATGCTTTCAATATTACTACTGTACTAAAGATCAAAACTCTTTATCGCAGCCCCTTCAAACTCCCGGTCACAGGGTTCCAAATCCCAAGTCAAACCCCTTTTTCAACGAGGCGATCAAGTTTCCTACTACTGCCATATTCCAAATCAGATTCCCCCGCGTCCGCTCAGAAAGTAATTCTCCAACCCTATCGTAAAATGCGCTACTTTCTATCCAGGTTAGCTGCTCATCGTGGCTTGTAAATAATACGGTTACAGTTCGTAATTGTTTGGAGCGTGTACCTGAATCTATGCCCGTCGACTGAAGTACCGTGTACCAAACACTAATAACCGGTGACAAAATCTGTGGACAAGCCACGACCAGCAGCTAAACTACAGTTAACCTAAATACAAACTAGCCTATTTCACGAAGGGTTGGAGGATTATTTTCTGGTGGACGAAAGGGAATCTGATTTCGAATATGGCAGTACTGTAATTGCGTGGCCTGTGGCATTCTTCAACACAAAGCCCTACATACGTCCTTGTTCTGACGCTATGGCCAGTAACGACCTAGGCTCCATGGTTAGCAGCGAAACCATTAGAAGTACTGTCAATGATGAAACTGATCCAGCATTTTTACCCTTCGTGCACATTGGAAACGGGCTTGATTGATTCCTAGACACGGTTCATGGCGTTGTGCTTGCCTTCTTCATAGATGAGAGCCATAGAATTTGTATTGACAGGGATGAATTATCGAAGAATAGGGCCATCACTGTACAGAGCATGTTTGAATATATCCTACCATGCACTGATTCCGTCACTAGGTGTTATATATTTATGTCAGAACATGATTTCGCCGAAAGGATGATCGAAAGTGGCTTCTTGACACGGAGCTGTTGACTGACGATGGACAGATTTGTGTAGCTGAGAGATCACAGTGGATCAGTCAGAAAGTATGCGCAGAGCTATAACGCTAGAATACAATTGCAGGTGTAGGAAATTATAGAAAATGAGGTCGGTTGAAAAAGAGGGTAATGTAAAGCATGGGCAAGGAGAGCTGTAGGGATAGTAAGGTGCCGACGGTGGATTCATAGAAAACTTGCGCTATTCCGCTTCTAATCTAGTAGGCAGCCAAGATCGGAACGTCAGCTTCTGCCTTAGGCCACGTTTGGCCCTTGGAATCGGACTTGCCAGCAAAGTGTGGGATGACAAGGGAATGAGAAACTCCGCAAAGATGCGCCTTTCAACTTCTCTTCCACGTTCCTGCCTCGCTATCTTCCTGTGAACTGTGGCATAATATCCACGTCAAAGGCTCAGTGGTTGATGCCCATCTCAAAACGCCATATTCAAGGTGTCCAAAGGCCCTGATTTGCGCGGTTCACTTGAACTCGCTCTAGCCGGATCGGTCGAAATTGCTCTATCCATGGCATCAGGCGCATCATCTCAGTGCATAGCGCTCCAGCGTGCTTGGGATCGATGTTTCATTCTCATTGTAAATATTGACCCCTTGCTTATCACATTGAGAGCTGTGTAGCCCGTCTCAGCGCTCCGCTTGAACCTCCCTTTTGTGAAATGACTAATTAAGAAAGGAATGATTACCATTTAGAAGACCCAATGTGACTTTGCCGAGGTTTGCGCCAGTGTCAGCGTCTGGGATTGAAATGCACTACACAGAGACCCATCCGGCCTCGAGGTCGCCCCCCAGGCCGGACTGGGAAATCGGGCCCTATGCAGCCTCGGAGGAGTCAGAGACTAGCCCGGAATGTCGTAGTGTTAGCTTCAGCTTCCCAAGCCCAGCTGCCGACGTGGGCAGTGTTCAGGCTCTGTTTACCTATCTGCCAGGTACTAGCCTCGATCCTTCATTGGCCACTCTGTTGCTTCATGGTATGCTATCAGTCGGCGAGGATCTGGGCTGTTACGGCATTTGTGGCAGCCTACCAAGACCAATTTCGTCTCGCCCCCTCGCCAATAACCATTCTAACAACTATCAACCACTTTCAGAACTGGAAGCTATTGTGGCCTCGGTAGCCGAATTGCTGTCTCCAGCCCTGCTATGTTGCATTCTTTCCGTTGCTCTTGAGCTGAGACCTCACGTTCTCCCCGTATCACACCAACAGAAGGCTGCATTTGACAAGGAATATCTGCGAGAAAGCACCCTGGCCCGGATTTCAACGCTTTCCTGTCACTATGAACCGAATCTCCCCGACGCATTCTCACTGCTCTTATTTAGCACTACGTGGTGCTTCACACCGCCCCTTATCAAGGCTTCGGCACGCTGGAACCACCTTGCAAGTAAAATTGTTGTGGATGCGATGAATTACCGCGTTTCGTCTCCGTATAGCCTCGACAGGCACCGAGAGCGCATGTAAGTTTTCTTCAGACCTGATTCCGCGAAGGCATCTTGCTTTTCTCCTATATTCATACGCTACCCGTGGACAAGAACTGCTGCTAATTCTCACCGGGCTAGTGTTCTCCTAGGCATAGACGTGCAGCAAAGGTACTTTCAACGTGCTGTTCGACACGACGGTGGGTTATCCATGTCGTCGGGTTCTGTTCTGACGGCGGTGTTCATTTCAGGGTCCTCGCCATTCTACTAAATCACTGTACGCCCATTCCATATCTCTCCGGATCCATCGAGACCGTTTGTCGTATCCATAAAACGGCTGATAGTATAGATCCTGAATCTTATATAGGGATCTTTAGTCCCCTAATCAGGTATCCACGCATGCGTTTTGAAACGTATCCAGCCCTACGAAGCTAATGGCGTAAATCAAGAGCAATAGACAAAGACCTCCAAGAGCCGAGTACAGATAGCCGAGAGTGGAAAGATGCCTATAACACGCTCGAAAATTTCTACGCAATGTTCCCTTCAACTTTATTGAGATTAGTGATCCTTCAGCTTCTGTACCACGCTGAATCCATGATATGGATGCATGGTCTGTTAATGGTCCTCTGTACGACCAGAACCGCTGACCTGGGTGGGTCTTTGCTTTTGCTGACCCAGAGGCAGACGCAAAGCGCGATTTGCTTAATATTATCCTAGGCTCTGAAATCCTCAACGACAAGGTCCTTCCACACGTTCTGGGGCATTCATTGTTACTCGGAGAGGTAAATGAGAACTCTGTTTCCAGACAGTGGTCTTTGGAGCAAGAGTATTAGCTAACTCAAATATCCAGGTACTGACTTCACTCAAGCGTGTGGATACTTATCTCGAGGCCCTCTCACCCGGAACTGTCTTTTTTCTCCTACTATCTTGTGCTGTAAATGTTTCAATCCTCGCAAGATACATGCCACAGCTAGAGAATGACCGCGGGACAGATTTTGAAGTCCACAGGTCTTTAGTGCCAGAATCACTGGATACTTCAAGCTGGGTGCATCTCCAGGTCCTCTCCGCCGGGCGAGGGAGATGCACAAGATATAAAACGCCGCTATTTTGTGAGATGGAGAAGCTACTCGCATCTTGTTACAACCACGTTGTCCTTGGATAAAATTATACCGAAACGATATTTTCCGCAAAAATACTCATGCTATATCGATGGAAAGGACTGGGCACTGGTATTGTGGCAATGGATTTGACAACAGCGCTAGCTGAGTGGGAATTCACACAACCATCAGACGCCGAAATTTGGAGCTGTCTTACTCCCCATAGCGTGTCTTCAAGGTCGCTTCTTGACGAGGTGTGCTCGCCCGCCAGTAGAATATGTGAGAAAGGATATTTCGACTTGAGTATATTAATAAGGGACTCATAAATATACATTTTTAGCGTATTTCGCTGGTGAAGAGACCGTCACCCTATCACATTCCAAGCCTTAGGCTTGAGTTTTGGTACAAATATGATGCGAATTAATCATGTAAACTACTGATCATGAAAGTGATGAAACTGATCTGCGTGCAGAAGGCAGTCCCCAGTACAGGATATCAGGCTTTTCCAGCAAAGCATCGCTCTGGACAGATGCCGGACAATGTTTCTTTTACATTGAGCCAATACGGCATCAAACAATGGAGCAGGTCGTGTAACCCCGCTGCCGCACGTACAATTTTGATCTGATGTTTATCTACTCCTGGTAAAATATATAGCCGGGTCACCTCACGTACATCTTAGATCTCCGACGATTAGTTCAATCACAATACAGTACATTCGTTCCTTGCGCATAATTGCCCCTTGCGTTATCCTTTACTTATAGCAAGACCATGGTGGAAAGAACACCGTAACTATTAAGCCTTCAGCATGCAGGCATCTATAACAATTACTTCACTGCAGGAGAAAGGCGATAGACCCATCACGAAGATATCGTTAATGTCAATAATTATCGATGTTAGATTACACTCCAATCTCATAGCTTTGTAACCTTCTTCTCGCTGATCCATAATGATTTTGCAGACACACACATCTGTTCATCTTTATTCAACAGCTCTGCATCAAGAAACCATTTTCGTCCCTCCCTTCGTCGAAGCCATGTTCGAATGTAAACAACACCTGGAGACTGAACTGGTACGTGGTAGGATATATTCAGGTTTCCTGTAAAGAGAGCATGCCGTTCTTTCGATAGAATAGCCCTGTACTTTTCAACGCAGATACTGAGGCTCTCGTCAATCAAAGAGGCAAGGACACCCCCATGAACCATGCCCGAAAACCCATTGAGGCCGCTTCCAACATGGACAAAGAGTAGAAATGCTGGATCATCTCTGTTGATACTGGTTCCAATGATCCGGTCACTGGCCACAGTGTCCGGGTGAGTAGTATGAACGTCCTGGTGGAACAATGCCACCGCATGTGCAATGGTACTGGGAGATTTGATGGTCTCATTGAAGAAAGAGTTTGATGTCGCGCGCAGATCTTTGCACTGGGACATAAAATGAGCCGCATGGTAGAGGTTGGACCTCTGGTAGTATCTTTGAAAGCATGGTAGTGATCCAAAGTAATCTAGATTGGCCGCAAGGACTGATTCGTTGGGTTGCAAGGACATATTGTAAAGAGAAGCCATGTAGCCGTCGGAATATTTTCGCCAGGCTGCCGGACAGATGATGTTCAGCGAGAAATTGTTCAAAGTAATTCGCTATTGGCATGAGTTTGTGAGGTGCATTTTATACTGTGGCTGAAAAGCATCAGTTTTCTGAATTTAGATGTTTCGGAATGTTCACGGGAAAATTGGACCTTAGTTTTGTTAGTCCGGCTGGTCGTGTAACTGCCGGGAGGCGCAGGAAATTGGCTGACTAGCTATGAATGGCAGGTGATGCCGCCGACACAGGACCGCGAGCCAAAACAAGATTAGCGCCAAATACACATTAGCTCGTTTTGGATTTCGGAAGAACCTGTGCCCCAAGTAAGATTCCATACAACTGGAGACAACGATATTAACGCCCCCCACCAGATCTTACACGAGCCTTGGTTAGCAACTTGATAGAACGGGTCGATGTAAACTGAGACTAGCTGCGGTACGGAGTGTCCGGTTCGCGGAGAGCACAGGAAGGTTGTTAAACGGACCAGGAGGGTCAATACCCGTCAGGTGGAAAGATGTATGCAATTGGTAGCTTATCTTCGGTTAATACTTGTCAGTGGCTATATACGGCCTTCAGTCACGAAAAGCCCGAGGAAAATAAAGTCAATCAAATCAACGGGTACTGTACCAGCTAAGAGCCCACGGTAGGCTTCCCGTGGGTGCCATCAGCGTTGCAATGAGTGGTCACCGCGGAAATATCGTGATCGAGGTTTTGCGACCGAGATGCTCTCCGCTAAGCCGCCGAAGCAGGTCACGCTGTTGAACTGACATGTATCAGACGGTGCCAAATCTTTCTCTCAAGGTTACCTGCAGCTCCTGGCTTGTACACTGCGGGGGATGGTCCCTGGAATGGGTTCCAGTGGAGATTACTCCGCATTTGCGGGGAGCAGAAGCCTCCGTCGGAGGGTTTGGTTAATCAACCAATTAAAGGAGCCCCGAGAGCCCAATGCGGAGAGGCCAATAAACTATATGTCGTCAAAGGGTAACAGCTCCAGATACTCCTGTATTCGGCACCAGCTGCAACAGCAAATGGAGGTAACCATATATGAAGGTCACCGGAACATCTGCCTCCACGAGACTTTTGTGGTGTGGCTCAGTTGACATACTGCTCTAAAGCGCTAACAGTTTCCATCCAAAAAAATCCAGAGTCCCCGAGGAGAGTACACAAACATGAACGATTGCCAGAAGCAGATTGAAGAAGAGACACATGGGAAAATGCTCAATGACGAGAGTGAAAATGGCACGGTTGAGGCCTTGGGTTACGAGGTTTCGTATCGTCGTGTACTCAAGACCATTGCCAATGTCTGCTGGGTCTCAAAGAGGGGACATGCAATTATGTCTTAGTCAGTAAGATGCGTACGACAAGGCATGGTTAAAAGGTACCCAGTGTCTATGAACACTAATATCCTTGTCCCCAAAAACTCAGAAAAAAGTGTATTAGGTGTTTCTTGTCTCACTTGCGCCGCTAGCTCTGATGATACTATAGCAACCCAACTTGACACGTAGCACAAGCTAGGCCATTTTGCTAGATGTATTTTTTGTCCCCAGTATCAGACATGATTTGCGATATCTTAATGTATATTATCATATATTCACAGAGGAGTTCGAACATATTTCGCGCAGACACGTTTTCCTCATAACCAACTACAAGACGAATAGTCCAGATTGCTGGAATTCCTTGATTTCATTGTAGAAACCATTTCAAGGACGGACTGGCTTGTGGCCACTGACTAAATTCCACACAGGATCATGCTCTTCCCAGAGGGCATCTTTCCAAATCTCGACTTCCCCCGTGCTAGTGAGTTTTCGGATAGTTCTGCAGTCAGAAGTTCCCCAGTCGACATGCTTACCAGCGACAAAATCGTGGAGCGGACCAACAAGCGCTCGCTTTATTACTAGCTTTTCTTCTTCGGGAATCGCCCGCCCGCCACCCCAAAACCAAATAGCCTGATCTGTACCATGAGTCACACCTAGCTCCGCGGGCAGAAAGGAGTCCACGCATTTCATCCGATACTCAATCCGATACCGGTATAGGAGCTCTTCACCCCCATGGTGGGCTACCGTCTTCACTAGACCTCTTCCAAGCCTGTGTACCTGCATATCGGCATAAAGAAACCCAAAAGCATGCTTCCAATCTTCAAATTTGGACGGAAGCTCCCTATTTGGAAAGTAAATTTCCATGAGGCCATTGGCAATGTGCTCGGGGTATTCTGCTATTAGACGGTCACGCAGTCCTTCCCAAGTATTCTTAGCTGGAGGCCTCCACATTTCGTACAACACGTGCTCGTCTCTACATTCTCCAATCATCAAAGGGATTTTCCGTTCGACGAGAGTTTGTGCGAGGGTTCCAAGATTGGTAATAACATTTGGAGTGATAAATGCGCCGTCGGTTGTAGGCCGGAATTGATGGGCGGGAATCGAGAGTGCTCTTTGAAGAATTTCCTTCGAGGACAAACTCCTCAATTTGGCAAGAGTTTCAGTGGACGAAAAGGTATTTGGAATATTCAGCGCCGTAACTAATTGATCAAATTGCACTTGCGCCTCGCTGGGTGACTTGGGTTGGACTCCAGGCCCATTAGACCACATGCAGAGACGCTTAATGATGCATCTAGTGGGAGTATTGAGTTCATATGCAAGTTGATGGAAAGCGGAGTAAGCCCCTTCGAATGGGAAAAAAGCGATAGTCAGCTTCAAGATATACTGTGACATACAATAAGATGCTAGGGAGGGTTATTATTTACCGGCTGAGTAACCTGCGAGGGTGATATTGTTCGCGTCACCACCGAAGAGGGAAATATTTTCAGAAACCCACTCCAGGGCTAAGCGCTGGTCCCAAAACCCAAGGTTTCCCGTAGAATTTAAGTTGGCGTTGGCTTCCTCTTCAAGTTGCGCGCAATATAGAAATCCAAATACGCCAAGTCGGTAAGCAGGCAGGACAATCACTGCCTTAAGGCCTCCTTCTCCAATCAAAGACGCTGGCTTAAATTCGTTTGGCGTACCTGACTGAAGCCATCCTCCGTCTTGAAAGGTGCAACAAGCTGCCTATTAGCCGTGGTGAATTCTTTTCAAATTTTGATCTTATTGTTTCACTACTCACGGAGAAAAACCATAACTGGCCACCCCTCTTCCGGAGGATCTTCGTTGGGCATCCAGATGTTGGTTTGGAAGCAGTCTTCACTCCATGAAGCTTCATTAAAGGTTCCGTCCCATTCCATTTGGGGACACACCGCCGATACGGAAGCACATTGACCTGGATTTTCTCTAGTGCCGTAAGTGAAGGACGATGAGAGAGGCTTGGCTCTTGTCCATCGCTTTGATGGCAAAGCATATCGAACACCTGTAAATGAAAGACACGTGGGAATGCCATTGATGGAGTACTTGGTTCCCTGAACAAAGCCGCGCTGGCGGAGAGGCTTCAAGATCGCTTCTGTAGTGAATTCCATTTCAGGAGGCGATGAAGTGTTGAGTACTTCAAATGGCGAGTGGTTCTGCAAACGGTGCTTCTAGATGTTGACTGAGTATTTGCTTCTAACGTTCGATTAACTTCGATATGTGAGGTATAATTTATAGCATTTCACTGATCTAATGTAGGAAAACATAATTAGATAATATTCAAGGCGAAGTACAATTGGGCCTTTGTTTCCTCGGGTCAACTTGCATCCTTCTGGTGATTGGCGACACCTGCCAGAAGTGGTAGGTCGTGCCGCGAATATTTTTATTGGGTGTTCACGCACTAACTTTCGGTAGTGTAAAAACCTTTAAATAAACGTCCGACGGACATTAAGTTAGCTTGTTCAATTTCCCCGGTCCTCGGTAAATAGCAAACTTCCTCACATAGTCAATCACCGAAGGCCACTCGGCAGAAATGAAACATTTTTGTGTTCCAATATGTCCAGGCTACCTCTACCAAAATTACGGAATATTCTCTAGGAGGCACCCCTCATGATATGGATCATGACCGGCCCCGTTCACCGTCAGGTAGATAGGCCTGAAAGCAAAGATTATTAAGGACCTATAGCCTCGATTTTATTCTACGTTCTTGTGGTCATCGGGGATGCCATGCCTGAAACCCTGCCGCAGGCGCCCAATCAGCTATTGCAAGAAACATTGCTGTTCCAAGCCTACTTGTTCCAGACCTTAATGTACGTGAAAGATCTGACGTACCTTCCGCTCAAGAATGTAATTTTTCTCGTCCTCTGATGCTTATTGAAGAACGACCAGTTATTTAACCTTTATAGGATAAAAACTCTTTGTTCTCGCTGTGATACACTGATGGGGTCCGACGACACAATTGATCTATGATCAGTCTTGCGTAGAATGCTTAGTGTCTGCTTCCATCTACCAATTATATCATCTGTTGAATCTTACCTATTTCAGTTACCTAAATTCAGATATTATGCCCTTTCTTGCAGCTTTACTAGCACCAGTTCCAATGGCAGCTGATTATAACAGCCACGCTATCATACGTCATGAAACTACTCCATCTCAATTGATCAAAAGTATCCTGGTGAGAATTTCCGACAACTGATATCTGATAGATTGTTTTAAATATGGGATTCTTTCATTCCCCTGCTCTAGAGGTGAGGGCGATTTGAGCCACTTTCTCTATATCCACAAATCTATTGTAGAAGGAAAGACTTTCCGGATTCAACAAAGTGCCCGAGGGCTTGACCCTTTTTCCAGGCACGACCTGCTTGATAGGGAGCTCTACTTTTTTCAAGTTCACCGTCACCTGTGGGTGGTATGAAGTCAGGTAAGGCCTCAAGGGGTGGGACGGACGACCATACCGGTATGGCGGGAGTCTCAAAGATGTACTTAGGAACATGACGAGCACTGAGTGCCTTGCGAATAGCCTCTTTGATATGGTCGGCTAATTCGACACTAAATTGGAATCCCGGTCGCATTAAAATAAGAAGAATAACGGACTTATCGGTATCGATCGGACGACGCTGCCCTACACAAATCGAGTCGGCCACCTTCTCAGTGAACTGTGTGTCGATCACATTGTATATCTCTGCTGATCCAAAACGTACGCCGGACGGGTTTAAGACTCCGTCTGACCGGCCGAAGAAGGTGACTTGGCCTGTTTTTGGATTCATCGTAATAAAATCCCCCTGGGTCCAAACGTCTGTTTAATATCAGCCATCCGATCATTTCAAAAATACATTGGGAGAGAAAGCAGGGAAAGGGAATCATCATACTGTCATATCTTGCGAAATAAGCATTAAAGTACTTTTTGCCGCCTTTATCCCCCTAGAACTAAGCTAGCATGTTTAGGAATGGCCTTATTATAACCAATTCGCCTAGTTCTCTAGCGGCTATCTCAACTCCCTTAGCTATATAGGAATCTTCGTCTACCTGTTCAAAGGCAGCAATCGAGATACCTAGGCTAGGGCCCTGGAATCCGCCCGTGTAGAGGGGGGAGATAGGATTCTTAAGCGCAAAACAACCTGCGATATCTGTTCCCCCAGAGATATTTACTAGTAGTGTGTGGGACGGGAACCCCTTATCGTAGAACCATTCAAAGAGCGACTCGGACAGGACCATTCCGGTGCTAGTTACCGAAACAAGATTCTCCAGATTTACAGGTTTGCGAGGGGAGATCTTTTGTTTTCGTATTTCCTACATCTACCGGGCCTAATGCCAAAGTGAGTCACTCTAAATATATCAACAGTAAGCTATTCTGGTATTTTGAGGTTAATTCAGCCCGTACAGGAACGAATATTAAGCTTACCTATATTTTCCCAGGAGATTCACAAGAAAACAAGTATCCGGCATAAAATGGCTTCCGTCGTAAAGAATTACTCTGACACCATAGTACAAGCAAGACAAAACAGTTCAACGGAGGCTCTTGATTGAGCTAGTAAATCATAGACCACGTGGCATAGGCAAGATCGCTGCGACGCTGTCTCTTTTGATGTTGAATGAAGGGCACATGACGTCGGGTGTGCTTTGTTTGCATAAACTCGTCCGTGCAGTATTCTATCGTATTCCAAAATGAGGGCAGGGAATCCTAGGCTGACTTAATGGCCACCAGTCAATAGGCGCTCGAAAAATTGATTCCATACCCAACTTCATGCGGTCAAGGGCCGACGCCGGTGGCATAGCAGAAAAACGCGCTGCACGAATATCATCATATTATTGTTCTTCATTGATACATCGAAGTTGGGAGTGGGCGATGAAGAATGTTAGACATGATGGATATTCCACATCCTCAGGTTTCCATGTGAGAATGAACGTTCTGGTATCTATTTGCAGCATTGAGCTTCTCTCTGTGAGAAAGATCTTTGGCTATGCTTGTCTCGGAAATGAATACTTGCACTGTGATTGAAAAGTCTTTCCAAAGCGTCCGGTGAACCAGCCAGTGCGGCAAGGCGAAGAGCTGCCCTGCCATTCATGCCTTGACGATTAAAGACAGCACCACGCTCGAGAAGTCTCGAAGTCTCCGATTGCAGCTCAATCTAACTCAATCTTATAGAACAGGAGAGAGTTAAACTAGCTCATCATATCAACCGGAAGAATTCTTGGGCTTCCGGCGCTTATCGCGTACGTAAATTCCTTTTGGTTTCGGATGACATCAAATTGTGGCAAGGCAGAGACTAGATCGCTACTTTTGGAATACCTATAGGTACGAGAGTCGAAGTCAGGGTATTTTTTTGTTAGCAAATTGCCGATATTGGAGAGCTCTGCCCATCCATCATCATCTGAGACGGTCTCTATCGTCGTATGTAGCATATTTAAGAAGTCGACGTCTCCTTCGGCGCGTCGCACTAGAATATGATTTTTTAGCATCATAATATAAATCTGTTAAGCACCAAAGGTCTTCTGATGGTGACCAAACCCTGCTGAAGGACCCCTCTCATATGTCGCGTTTACGTATCCCATATCAAATCTGTGGCCACGGTAGAGGAGGTTAATAAATACATGCTACTAATAGGTTTCTTAAACTTCAAATCAACTCGCAGTTGCAATAGCATGGTTGACTCGGTTATTCCTCTCCTTGACATTTGACAGGAAGATATTCCTGAAGGAACTGCCGATAGTCATGCATAGCCTGTTCAAACGCTTGGCCATGATAAATTTCAAAATGGCCAACATCTGCATACCACTTGATCACTCCATTGGGTGCGGCTTTGGCATATGCCAACGTTGTGCTCGCAGGTGCTACTGAGTCTCGGCCGCATATACCAAAAAGGGTCGGGCATTCAACATCAGATGCATAGCAACCTGGTCTAAGGAAAGGAAGCTTTAGAACAAGACGAGCAGGAACTCTTTGTTGAAATGAATGGCCTTCAGGGATAAGAGGTGGAAATGTTCTTAGAACGTCGGGTGCATTCATCAGAGCCGCTATGTGAGAAGTTAGCTTTCCTGTTATTAGTCGTCTGAGAGTCAATGGGCGTTACTTACTCTCGCCTGGCTTCCCTGTCAGCGATACAGTAATTGGCTTTTTGTCCGAGCCAAAGAGAACGTCGAGTAAACCAAGCGCTGCAAGCCTCGGTGCGACTGTAACCCCGGTACAAAGACTACTCCTCCAGCCAGAAGTAAAGGGGCATTGAGAGATTGCTGCTTTCAGTTTCTTATCCAATGCGGCCAGCTGAATGACATGTCCACCACTGAAGGACGTTCCGAAAAGACCGACTTGGTCTGGATCAACGTTCTCCAGCTGACGGGTATATTCGATGACAGCTTTCCAGTCCTCTTGTTGCATATGCCAATCAATCAATCCTCGTGGCAGGCCCTCAGATCCACCACTACAGCGGTAGTCGAAGACAACGCATGTATATCCCATCTGATTGAAACAGTCGGCATATACATCAAGCTTCAATTCTTTCGTTCCACCGAGGCCGTGGGCTAAGACGATGGCTGGCCCGCGACTCGACGAAGTAAACTTCTGCGACGAGTAGAGCCATCCACATATGATTTCTTTTGACGATGAAGCGATTTTGACGTCCACGCGACGTTCAATTCCTGCGACGGCCATCTTTGGTGTTAGAATACCTTCGGTTGTCCCTCTGAAGTCGTAGAAGTATGGGCGGCTTGTATCTTATCTTAATTCTATTTACTGGCACATGTATCCTAAGATGTCGGTCCCTCGGCTACTCCAAGTTGCGCCTCGTAATCACTGAAAAATACATCGGAACTTTAGAACCCTGCCCGCGCCTTCTGTTGTAGGTACGATGAAAGGATGGCGAGGAAGTAAGACCAGGGGTGGGGACCTCGCAAGTAGTACCCACCTTGATCGGATCTGCGGCGTAATGTACGCCCGACTCCCAAAATTTGGTCTGAGGGAATTCTACACTGGCTAGGAAGGATGGTGTATAGTACAGCAAAAGTTCATGCGCGTTTCAAAATAGAGAAACGTTGTTGATATGGAAAATACGTTTAAAGTCCTTGCTTGATCTTTCCAGTAGAGGTTTCGCGGTGCAATACTTGCAGTTAATCAACTGCCTCGACTCCTACATCCACATGAACAATATAATGTTACGCTTTTACGAGTCTACAAGTAGAGCGCTATTTGGGAGCATCTGTGATAAAAAATGGATTAGGGTTTGGATGTCTGGTGAACTACATAAATCAGATCTACGGCCCAATCGAAATATCTCGCAAGTGGGTCGAGCAAATTACCTCAAACAGGAAGTACCGAGGTCCAATCTAGGCATATAATTTTCCCGAAAGCCTAACACTACAGAAGATGTTGACGTACAGCGTATAATAAGGAATTACAGCGAATTTGAAAGCGCTATCGTCGCCGACGACTTATCAGATGGAGGTGCTTTCTGGTTTGACTTGGATCCGTTGCCCCAGATGTGCGGAAGATCATCGCCGATGACGGTAGGATTGGCCAGTTCCTAACGTGCTGTATATGGTACTACGGCACGAATGAATCGCCCGCTTATTGACTTAATCTAACATCCGTACCATAGCTAATACGAATAGCGGCTGATATAGTCTCGCGTTTATGTATCTGGTTAGTCTTAGATGCGCCCAAGGCAGATTCAATACCCCAGAGCATTTCAAGACTATCAAAGTACAGACTATCTCAACTAGATCTCGCAATCTAGCTAATTACATATATGGACGCGAAACAATTCATGACCCTGCCTACTGTACTAGCTTCCAACAGGTTTTTGTTACTCATCTCTATATCTTCGTGGTGGACAGAATGATCTCAAGTTACTTTCCGTATGCTCTGGTATTTTCAGTCCTTGCTTGAAGTATAGAAAGTCAGCTGAAAGTGGTTTCAAATATGATCATTCTTGAATACTCGTTCCTACCGTATTAAGTGTCACTGTCCGTGACTCTCATCAAACTGGGAAGGAGCACCCCCCAACTCCCAACTCTCACTTTCACCTCATCTCTTACTTATTCTCTTCTCCTCTCAAGAACACAAAAACCAATCAGCGAGACAAGACCACCTTTTCTTGTTTTCTTCTTTTTTTAACAAAAAAAAAAAACAACAACACCCTCGCCACAATGGCAAACCGTCGTGCCCCCTCTCTCGTCTTCTCGCCCTCCTCCTTTTCCTCTTCCTTTCGGTAAGTGAGATGAACCAGTCCGAACACATATGTACGCGGTGTCGACATCAAACCGGAAGCCTACCTGGACACCCATGATTTCACCTCACACGGGTTGCGTTGTCGACTGCCCGAGTCCATCAACATCCACATCGTCGCGGAGGAGATCTCGATGGGCTCCCGAGAGCTTGTCTCTGAACACCAGCTTCCTCGAGAATGCACTGAGCACGCTCTCGTCCTCTCGCTCTTCGGATGCCACAGCGATGAGATGAGATGCATCTTTTGTTTCAAGAGCTCTCCGGCATGTGTCATCTGCTCGGCAATCAGCAGAGCCTCTACAACGCCTCAACAACGACGCTCCCTCGAGCATCCCTGGTTCATCCTTCGCCTGTCCTTTGCATCTGTTCAGGTTGAAGGTGTCCTTGCGCAAGTGGCACGATTGGCTCCGCAACAACCTGCTACACAGCGTACATGTGTAGATCCAAGTGGCATTGGGGGCTACAGGACTGTAGAAGTCGAAACACAGATCACTGACAACTGGATTTACAGACTCTCATCAATGGGTCCGCCGCGGCTCCCCTCCCTTCTCCGTCGCTTGACTGCTGCTGCGACGTCGTCCTGGAGAAGATTGCTAAACTCTTAGCACAAGCGGAAGAGACTTGTATGTAGTAGTATACTCTCCGTGGCTGCTTGCTGTAGACAACAAACACTAACTGCACGTAAACAGCCCCCTCCGATGTTCGAGTTTGCGCCTGTGTCCGGACCATTTTCTGGTCTGTCGCGCTCGTGGCGGCTGCCTTGCAGATTTTCGGTCTCTACGTGTGGTGGACTGAGCAGGATGAGGAAGATCGACATGTTCATGAGGAGTAGGAGTAGTGTGTTGGAGTAGGGTCTCTTCCTGTATCTTTAGATGTTCGAGACCATGGAGTGATACACGATAGCAGTTGCATGTCACCATTCATACATTCTTTCTATTCATCTTTCCATTCGTCTTTCTACTTGTCTTTCCAGTCATGTTGAAACTCCTCAGAGTAAATTCGTAATGTTATTATTCAGATAAATCTGCCGCAGTAATATCACCAAGTCGCTATATCACAGGAGGCTGAGCTGCAGCCAATTGACCAGGCTGGACAGTCCGCAATCCATCATCGCTTTGATCCTCCAACCCCCGAGCCACGAGGTCCGTGAAATCAACACCGACCTCCGTCAACAAGGCAGCATGTTCATGAACAATGTCAAGACATTTGTCCCAGACAGAAGTGCCGCGCTGCACGCTGCTGAGTTGGCGGCTGAGGAGGGCATTGAATCCGTCGAGGTGCGTCTTTGCCCATCGGATGCAGGAGCTGGTCATCACGCTTGGGAAGCATTGTTGGTAGATGCTGATCGTGTTTTTGATCAGGGAGAAGTAGACGAAGGAAATTTGGAAGATGTAGAGTGGGAGATCACCCTCGAAGACGCAGGCTCTATTCAGTCATGTTAGTATGGCAGGTTCCGATGAAGAATCAATTGGGGTGGTGGGGTCCAAGGTCATACCGGATACGTTTGGAGATCACATCAGTCCGTGCCTTCAGATAAGTCTCACGCGCTTGATCCTCGAAACCCAGGCGACTGAGCCAAGTGACGTTTGTCTTGGTCGCGCCCGGGAACGAGTGCGTATCCACCAGCGATCGCGAGAGCACACCGGCCAGTCGCGTCGCTCGTCCGTCAACCTTGACGTTGATCACTTCCTGAGCAATTGCATTCCCTTTAAGTCCCTTGGCAAGCTTCCGCAATCGCTCAATACTGGACACGGCAGCTTCAAAGTGTTGCAAGGCAATGTCAATATCAAGTTCGTCAACCTGTCCCTCCACCCAGCGGAGGTTCTGTTGTTTGCCATCGACATCGATGCGCAGATCGGACTTATCACGCGGACCGTCTGCAAGATCAAACGGCTCCGACTTTTGCGAGTACGACAGGTGCCGCCCAGCGAGGTATCCATATGCCTCCAAGGGCTTGCTCGCTGCCTCGGTTTCAGTTCTCAAGTTTCGTCGTAGATCCTCCACGGTTTTGCGGAACGTGGCAAGCAGTTCATTCTTCGTCGACGTGTCGCGTTTGTCTTGTCGGTAAGTAAATGGTTTGGATCCCACTCGGATACTGATCGCATTGGCGATACCACGGTCCAATGCTTCTTCTCGAGCGGCACCCGTTCCCAGATTCGCAGCCAGGTCAATCATGTCAATGTCCTGAAGTGGCCAGCACTCTTCCGCGACAAGCTTGGTGGGAACCGGGCCGCGTTGGTTGGGCTGGTTCTGATCGACACGTTTGCGCTTCTTGGCGGCCACCAGCAGGTGGTCATTCAACAGCACGATGTGCACCGGCCTCTTGGGCTTCCAGGTGGCCGAGTCCAGCTCAGCCCAGTTGCCCGTTTCCAGCACAATATGCCGTCCGGGGACCGCCGGCAAGAACTTTTGGGACCCTTCCACCGTCTTCCACAACGTTTGCAATTGAACACTCCACATGCTTTCCAGGTTGGCCACGGAGCTGCGGTTCGCATTGCGTTTGGGGAACTGATCATCCGTGGGGGACATGGGGTTGGGCGTGTTGCCCACCGTGGTCTGTCCGAGGGCAGTGGTGAGCTCCGACATGAGGGTGCGCAATGTGCGCATTTCGTCCTTGAGCTTCTCCGCCTCTTTACTGATCTTGATGAACTGGGTACGATTCTGGTAGACATTCTGTTGAAGATCGGTCGAGGTTCGGTTTTTGACTTTTCGTAGGCTTTCCTGGTATTTCTGGATCTCTTCCTCGGATGCATTGGCGAGCAAGTTGGCGACGTCTGTGAGAGTGGAGGGGGCCACCTGTCAGCTTGGGGTCTAGGTATAGGCCGGTTGATAGTTGTACAGCTGGCGCAGGATACTTACATCGTTCCACGGGTAGACTGGGATCTCGCAATGCATTCAAATCCACCTTGGGTGAGGTCGATGCGCCATCCGCTGGCGATGGTTGCCTTGGAACTGCCGATGGAGCTCCCAGCCCTCCGTATCCACCAGGTGCTTGTGTCGGCAGTGCTGGCACCGGGGGCGCACTCGCATCAAAGTCCGGAGCTGCATTGAATCGAGTCGAGTATCGACGCTTCACGAGATCGGAGGTGGCCTCGCTCTGGGCAGCTCGCTCGCGACCAGCGGGGACGGAGCCCTGAGGAGCATCGGGGGCTCGGGTATTGGGGGGAAGGGGCCCAGAGATGGGTTTCGGAGCACTGATCTGAGGCCGTTGGCGACGAGATTTGCTCCGAAGGGTCAAGCCTCGGCCTTCCATGATGTACGGGCAATTGGCGGGGAGGACAGATGACTGGAGGAGGGGAGGATCGTCGAAAGGGAGGAAACGTCAAGTCAACACGGTCGGGCTGGGGGAGTCCCGAAAGGGGGATAGCGCACGATGACGAAGTATACTCTGGTCAGTATACCTGGAATGGTTATTGGGGAGTACTATGAGTTAATTGAAGATAATGAACATTGTTCAAAATAATCTAATTGATTGTATCAATACATATGAGCAAACTCAAGTCCCTAATAGTCTATGCTTGACTATAGTATGGTGTATCTAGTAGTTCAAGGTATCTCCGAGTAAGATCAGCCAGCCTGTATATGTCCATCTCCTCCATTACTGTGGTATTTGTAATACTTTTGACCCTATAATCTATTAAATTGATAAATCAGTATTCTATCTACTTCCATATCTACTTTTCTATCCCCATTATCGACTCTTGTATCTCAATATTCTCCTTAACCAATAGTCAAGGCCAGCCGGGAGAGAAAGCCCGACGGAAGAACGTAAATCCTCCCTCAAATTTATCGTCCCCAAACACTCCCGAAACAGCTCCCGTCGGCTTCTTTTCACGTCACTGCCTTGTTATTTTCATCGCTCTTCCAGGTTGTGAAGTCTGTCGCTTTCCATTTCTTCCTTATCACATATCCTTCCAACTCCATCATGCGCACATCCGTTCTGGTTGCCGCCTCGGCCGGCACGATCATCACCGGCCTGCTCGGTAAGAACCCATCATCATCATCATCATCATCATCATCATCATCAACCTCGCAACGATTGTCGGAACCATCAATCTGGCTTCCTTTCATTCTTGCCTAATCTCTCTATGCATCTTCATGACTAATCTGTTTTCCTTGGAATAGCCTACGCCGTGTACTTTGATCACAAGCGACAGACCGACCCCGAGTTCCGCAAGTCCTTGAAGCGCAACAACCGCAAGCTCGCCAAGGCTGTCCAGGAAGAGCAGGCGGCCCACGGGGCTGCCCAGCGTGATGCGATCAAGCAGGCTGTGCAGAGTGCCAAGGAGGAGGGCTTCCCTGTCGACCTGGAGGAGAAGGAGTCCTACTTCATGAACCAGGTTGCCAAGGGCGAGGGCCTGTGTGCCGAGGGTATGTAGTGGACAGTTGTGAAATGAGTGATTACCTGGTACAATGGATTGCTAACTCTCAATTCTTCTCTTTGCGACAGGCTCTAACAATGTCGAGGCTGCTCTTGCCTTCTACAAGGCCCTCAAGGTCTACCCTCAGCCCAAGGACCTGATCTCCATCTACGACAAGACCGTTCCCAAGGAGTGTCTCGAGATCCTCGCTGAGATGGTCGCTATGGACACTACCCTCAACCTAGATGGTACCTTCACCGGTGAAGGTCCCGCTGCCAACGCCGACAACCACGGTGTCGAGTAAATGCACCATCCGAGTATGGTGAATTTATTGGTCGTCTAGATACGCCCTGATCTTAGTGATCTGGGGATATCTAGATACCTCAACCCCGACGGGCTCTTGGATATATGTTCTTGGCCCGTCCTGCCTGTAATATCTCCTTGTCCTCTTTTGTCTCCTCCTCTTTTCCGACCAGTCTCTCCGGCTTTCTTCTCGATGAGTTCCTCGACACTGCCCCCCTCTCCACTTTCCCTTTCCCCCTTTCCTCTTTTTCTTTTGGTCTCCTGTATTGTGTATATCTATTGGGTCTTGGCCGGAAGCGGCGTGGCATCAGCGGCCTTGGTATTTCTGGGCGCCATGACTTTTCCACGCAACACGGGGTCCTTTGTCGGTTGTCTTTTTGTTGTTTCTGCATGGGTTCCTCTTCCCCCTCCGGGCATGAGGGGGAGGAGGCGAAGAGGGAAATGGATATACGGCCTGTATTATTTTAGAGCGAATGAAAAAGGCGAATTTTGACATCTATGACCAAGGTGTGGATCAACCTAATAGTTTAAGATCTGATAAGGGAGTGTTATATCACCAGCAGTATCATTTGTACTGGATATTATTATGCTATCAGAATATTCTGGTTATTACTACCTACTGTACTCCGTGCAGTACTAACGACTGGTGTAAGCTACATGAGATCATTGTTCCTTGGACCACTACTGGGCATGATTCAAACCCCAAGCCACTAAACTATTCCAGTCGAGGAAAATGGAGCTGAGCCACCATTTGAAACCCCTCGAATCTCAGGGTTTATTGGTCGTTGGATTTTGTCCCTGAGGCCCTGACTGGACCCTCAGGGTCAATTAGACTCCACTCCGTCTCACCATTGGTTCCATCGTCTCTGGTGGGCGCCAATTCCCCCGCTGATCCTTGGCCTCTTTCGTTTCATTTTAAACCCGCCTCCTTTTCCCTGTGTCTTTTCTCTAGTCTTCATCCTTTGTCGGAGCCTATACTCTTCTTCTTCGTTTGTCGTCGCGGTCTTTTTTTTGGTCGATTTCGCATCGCCTGCCACTCGTTCTTCCCCCGCGCACTGCACCGTCGCTCTTTCAGCTCTCGACTTTCTACTTTCAACTTTCGATTTCCATCTCGTTATCCTCCAATTATTCCGTCTTACATAGAATCGCTTCAAGATGGTTTCCGTACGGAATTCCCAGTCCAGCGCGATGCGCAAACCCAGAATATATTCACACAAAGTACTGACACCTCTACATAGTCCTACACTCGTCTCCTCACGGCCATCTGCGCCCTCGCTGGCTCCGCCGCTGCAGTGACTCCCCTCAAGGTCCAGGGCAAGGACTTTGTCAACACAAAGACCGGTGACCGGTTCCAGATTCTCGGTGTTGAGTGAGACATTTCCCTCTCCCCACATTCCGGTGGCGGCCATGCGCGAACCTGTCGCGCATCGTCGTATATACACACCAGGATTGGAAACTAATGTTTGCGACAGCTACCAGCCCGGTGGTTCTTCTGGTTTCACCAAGGACAGCGATCCTCTGAGCGACGGTGATGTCTGTCTCCGTGACGCCGCTCTGATGCAGCGCCTGGGTGTAAGATCTTGATCATTATCAAACCGCATAAGTATGGACTGACCAACTGATACTGTTACTAGATCAACACTATCCGTGTCTATAACCTTGAGCCCACCCTCGACCACAACAAGTGCGCCTCCATCTTCAATGCCGCCGGTATCTACATGATCCTCGATGTCAACTCCCCCTCACCAATGGCTATCTGGACCGCACCGCTCCCTGGACCACCTACACCAACGCCTACTACCAGCAGGTCTTCGGTGTAATCGAGGCCTTCAAGTCCTTCGACAACGTCCTCGGCTTCTTCGCCGGAAACGAAGTCATCAACGAGGATGCCACTCGCCTGGCTCCTGCTTATGTTCGTGCCGTTGTCCGTGATATGAAGGATTATATCGCCAAGCAGTCCGACCGCGCCATCCCCGTTGGCTACTCGGCTGCCGATGTCCGTGACATCCTGATGGACACTCTTAACTACTTCGAGTGCGACCTGAAGAACTCTACCAGCTCGCGCGCTGACTTCTTCGGTCTCAACTCCTACTCCTGGTGCGGTGATGCTTCCTACAAGTCCAGCGGCTACGACGTCCTGACCGAGGACTTCTCCAACGCCACTCTGCCCGTCTTCTTCTCCGAGTACGGCTGCAACGAGGTCAAGCCCCGTATCTTCACCGAAGTGCAGGCCCTCTACGGCGAAGAGATGACCCAGGCTTTCTCAGGTGGACTCGTTTATGAGTGGACTCAGGAAGATAATGAATACGGACTCGTCCAGGTCAATGACAATGGTACCATCACCACTCTGATCGACTATGACAACCTGCAGAAGCAGTTCAACAAGCTCGACATGAGCCGGATCTCCGCCAGCAACAGCTCCCAGACCAGCGTCACCCCGGCGACCTGCAGCGCTGACCTGATCACGAACTCCACCTTCTACAACGCCTGGAACTTGCCCGATGCGCCCTCCAAGGTCTCGGACTACATCAAGAACGGTCTGCCCAACAAGCCCTCCGGCTCTCTGGTCTCGGTGACTGCCACCACTCTCTCCGAGAAGGTCTACGACTACACTGGTGCCGAGATCACCGATGTCAAGTTCAAGGTTCTGGCCAACGACGAGTCTAACACTCCCTCCAACTCGTCTACCGGCTCTTCCACCTCCTCATCTTCCTCGGGTACCTCCACCCACTCCAATGCCGCTTCTTCTCTGAACGGTGCCCCCTCCATTGCCCTGGGTGGTCTGAGCGGTGTTTTTATGCTGCTTGCTTCTCTCCTGTAAATGATGTTTTTTTATTCTGTTGTTCTTCTCCGTACCGTTGAATTCAATTATGAGAAGCAATAGAGTCGGGTCACGTGACCAATCCTCGACTTGTACAAATTATCAATTCTGACTCTTGGCTGTCTTGTGATTCTTTTTGGTTCTGTTGTACATGCTTCGTTGGAGTCAATGATGTCGTGTTCTTCTTGACAGTTGACTCTGACTAGTCAATGTTATTTATTTTCCTAATGACCATGATCTATATTTCTTAATCAGCGTCGCGTAGCGGCTTAATCTTATTCATTAAACGACCCCCCCCCCCCCCACCTAAAACCCCCCAGATCACGCTGGTCGCTTTGCTTTCGCTTAGTAGTAGAAGTATTTAAAGTAGAAGGGGTAGTAGTAGTAGGTAACTAATCTACCAACTAGTTTAGCCGGTATCTTTATGCTTCTTGCTTCTGTTGTTTAAATAATATTTTCTGATCGAGAGAGATCTCGAGTCTTCGAGAGCTTTATCTTAGTTTTACTTCCTTGCGCTAGTAGTTTCTACTGCCATCATTGTTTCATTTTAAAAAATTAGTTATTAGAGTCGGGATATTTCGTTTCTTTAAAATCAAACTTTCTATATGAGCAGTAAAAATTAAACCAAAGAAGTACCGCTCAACCACGTTATCATCGATAAAACCCTTTCTACTTTCTGCCGGTTGGCCACTCCGCGTCGCCTTCCGACTCTCCGCTTTTCTCCTGCAGCGCGCCGTCATCCTTCTTTTCCCTCCTCAACGCTTCGCTTTCGTACCCTTTTTATCCGCTTCTATTCGTCTTCCTGTCCTCGACTGACCCAGGTCTATTGCTGGCTCAGTCGCTCTCGCTTCCCATCCATCCTTTCAAACCTTTTTATGCAATCAGAGCCTACTGCCGTATCTCAACATACACCCTCCGTTGACTCATCCCAATCTAGCCCCCACCCCATCCAACATGGAAATGACTTCGATGCTGCTCCAGTCTCTGGCCTCCTTCATCCAGAGGAGACTGGAGACTGTTCAGCACGGGCATCTCTCACACCGGGAACCAGCGATGCGCTCCTGAGCGATCTGAGCGATATAGACTCTGCCCCGCCCTCCTCAACTGCCCAGCGAGTCAGCGAGTATGAGAATGCCGGAACTCCAAGCAAGAAGCGAAGTGACCCGGAATTTCAAGTCTCACCATCCATGGGCCCCTCAAATCTGCCTCTAGAGACGCTTCCAAATGGTATGCTCGAGTCGAGGACCCCTCACCTAAACGGGACGCTAGACTAACTCCAATTCCTCTCCACACAGAGGTTCTTACCCATATTCTGTCGCATCTGCCGCCCCAGTCTCTCTCGGCTATCACGCTGGTATCTCGCCGATTCCATGCGCTGGTCACGACTCCTCATGCCTGGAGAATCGCATTCTCTCGGTTCTTCCCGGGTCCCCAAGCTTTAGAGCATGGGCGACGGACTCCGACCGACCCCGAGGACTTGATGTCTGACCGACGGTTCTTTGCCAGACTCACTGCGCTGGCATCGTGGCGCAGCGAGTACATTCTTCGTACTCGTTTGATGCGGTCGTTATCTCGAGGCAAACCAGCTCAATTTCAACCTAGCAAAAGACAGGGTGCTGTACGCTCGGCAACCTCTCGCAATGGCAGTGCCGTAGCAACATACACCTCGCAACTCTTGTTCCCAGTGAGCCATATTCATGGATCATTCAACAACGCGGAGAAAGAACCCACTTTTATTCATGGCGCCTCGGAACAGGGAGTTGCCTCCGCTAGTGACCCGTCGGCTGTCAAGGTGACCACCTGGGGTATTTCAGACCACCAGATGTTCCGGCACTTTGCGGACAGTTTCCCTGGTGATGCACCATATGGCCTCGGGGCTGGTGATATGGTTGGTGTTCCCAACTCTATGGATGTAAGCCAGCCGTACGGTATGATCTATGGCGAGGGATGCCCACAGGGCCGCAGCTACTTCATTTCAACCTCGGAGCAGCGTGGCCGCTTCCTGGGTCAATCGGAGCTAGGGTCTCACCCCAAGTTGGGAATCCCCGCTGTGAACATGATTACCCACGCTGTTTGTTCAGTTTGGATTGCCAAGTCACCTTCTATTCTCAAGGCGACAGGTGGTCTCATTGCCATGATGACTGGTTCGTCCTCGGGTATCCTTTCTGCATATGCCATGGGCCCACACCCTACATATGAGAAGCGGTATGAGCGTGGCCAGGTGACTGCCAAGTGGGTTCTCAGCCCCGGTGTGCCTATCATTGGTATCGCTGTGGACGATGGGTATTCAACCAAACGTCATGGTCAGCGACGAATCTGGGCGGTTGCTCTCAATGCTCTTGGCGAAATATTTTATCTGACGGATCTGCCCAAACAGCCAGAGGTTCCATCCACAGCTAAGCTGAACGCGGAGCAATTCGATGAACTCGCGTGGAAGACTGGCAGAACCGTTCGCTGGGAGCTCGTTGAAATGAGCCGGCGTACTGCACGCCCGGACCCTTTCAATCGAGATCCAGTTGATGGCAGCTATAGCCCGCGCTCTTCGTCGGATTCGATGCTCCTAGAAGAGAGCCAAATTGCTGCGGAGACTAAAGAAATCGAGAAGTTCCTCTCCTTTAAACCGAAGCATTTCCGCAAGGTCTGCGAGGGGTGGAACATGCGCTGCGATCTTCAGGTCGACTTTGCTGGGGATGATGGAAGTGGCTACGGTGAATCGGTTGTAGTAATTGCCCGTGGCGAAGCTGAGATCGAGAAGGCTTCCGTTCGGCGATTTGTTCGCGTTGCATCGAAGACCGATGTCAAATCGTCGCCATCAACACCCGGTGGTTCTGCTCGCGTCCGGGACCAAGTCCCTACGTCCCTCTTTGGCGGCCCTGTGACTTCCTCAAGTTCGACACCTACGCAAAGCTTCCCGCCATCTCGAGCCTCGAGCCGGTTTAGCGAATCACTGCGTGCAGTGAGCACTGAATGGCGCATCTCGGATTTCACATTCGGCGACCGAAAGTTGGTGGAAGTCACGACCACTGCGATTGATAATTCAATGTTTGCGACTGTCACTGCGCAGGAGGATCCGCTGCTGTCAATGTCCGGAAGCTCTTTCTCCTCCGCCACGTCCTCGCCAATGCTACCGCATATGGAACAACCGCACTCGACTCTCGAGGTTCCCGGTCAACGTGCACGTTATCTGGCAGTGGGAACCTCTACGGGTGGAGTCTTTGTCTGGGACATTCGTGCTTCCCCAGCACAGAATTCGGATGTCATCAACTCGATCTCCCCGCTACGTTTCATTCAAACAGAGTCCCCACAAGTTTCATGCGTGGCACTGACATCGTTGTACCTCGTTCATGGCGGTAACGATGGTCTGGTGCAAGCTTGGGATCCCCTAGCTTCATCAACACGGCCGATCCGTACAATCAACTCGCGCTTCTCTTCTCGTGCGCGACGTCGATTGGTACAGGCAGAAGCTTCCATGCTTGGGGTTGGAAGTAATTACTTTGCGACTGGAGCCATTTGTCTGGATCCGGATCCGACGGTTCTCCGGGGAATGGTCTCGCTGGGTACCCATCTCCGCTATTGGTCGTACAGTTCCTCGGCTGCAGATCAATACAAGTGTAGCAAACGCCGCCTTCGCCGTTCTCTGCGGGGCAGTAACGGTGCTGCCGAGGGCCAACGCTTCACCACCAGCGGACGTGGCGCTATTCGTGACTTTATCGAGGATGAGCGCATCGAGCTAAAGCGACAAGAGGTTGAAAACGCAAAGGAAAGGGCGCATCTGAGTGCTCGGTTCGGTGTCGACCTTCTCGGTCCCGATATCGACGAAGAGCAGCTTTTGCTATACGCACAGCTCCTGAGCGAAGAAGCCTATACTGCGGGTGTGGACGCAGCCAAGCGCGACGGAGCTGATCAGACAGCCATCGCCAGCTCTGCCACCAGCACCTCCGTGAGCGATGCCATCGGGCCAAGTTCCTTCGGTCTAGCCGAAGTGTCGTCATCATCTTCCCCTTACCAAGATCCGGTAGAGGAGAGCATCGATGATGACCTCGCCGAAGCAATTCGCCTAAGCCTGCTTGATGAGAAGACATCAATCCCACCAGAGGATCTGACACCGTCCATTCCCATCAAGTATGCAAAGGGAGTGCGTCGACCTCGACAGTCATCACCTGGCCACAACTCAGGTCCTGAGCGTAGTCAGCAACGGGAAATGGATGACCTGGAATTCGCCATCCAGCTCAGTCTGGCGGAGGACAAGAGTCGTGGCGATGTGACTGTCGAGGAATGGGAGGAATTCCCGGCTCTGGCATCAGCACCACTCTCGTCTTCCCAGTCCTCTGGCAAGGGGAAGGGAAAGGCGCGGGCTTGGTAGATGACCGTAGGATATGGGTTTGAATTGGATTTTGATTTACATATATCTTTATTGCATGTTTTGATACCATACATCTCGATCTCTCCTCTACATTAACGATGCCTTTACGGGGTCAACATGGGGCAAGACTCGCGTGGTTACCATTGCATTAATTTTCTGTCATTCCAGTTAGTTATTGATTATCTTGAAATTTACATTTGAATTTTCGATTGTTTTGTTTGATCTGATCTGCTCCAAGCATATACCATGGTAAATAATTGCGGAGCGAAGCGGAGCAATATATTGTCAAACTTGGTGCTTGATTCGCTATGATTGGTCGGTTCCCTTTTAACATCATGTGACCTCACGTGATCCATGTGGTATCTTTTAGAACCTCGGAATTCAAGCATCCACATACTACTATAGGTCACGTGATCGATATACTATATGAAAATCTTAGATTTTAGGTATTATTAAGATATCCCTACTACCCCTACTGGCTCTATTGGCCCTACTAGCTCTATAGTGAGTATATTAGTGAGTAGATTGATTATTAGATTAGTTGGCACATTAGTTAGCACATTAGTTAGCCCATCAGTTGGCACATCAGTTGGCACATCAGTTGGCACATCAGTTGGCACATCAGTTGGCACATCAGTTGGCACATCAGTTGGCACATCAGTTGACGCATCAGTTGGCACATCAGTTGGCACATCAGTTGGCACATCAGTTGGCACATTACCTAGAGTAACAGAGCTGCTCAGAGAAGAAGTGGCGTTATGGGTAGAGGTAGAAGTACCAGACGAGTTAACGTAATTCCCGGTTAACCTGCGCACCCTAAGTACACAGTAAATGCGATAGATTTATAGATTCATATCTCAACAACCATGTTTTATATTTACTTAAATATTAGGAAGCATGATTTTCTAAGCTTGTGAAATAATATATTTTGGTCCTAGGTGTGAGGGGCTGAAGTAAGACTTAATTCAATCTAACTAGGCCAACATGCTGTTTACAAAAAGCTTAGGGAAGAAAGGTTCGTCCCGCGTGTTCTCCATGTCAACATGCCAAGGTTCCGTGATACACGTGACCAATATCGGGCAACAGCCCGTGACAATACCCCCTCCTAGCCTTAACTTCGTTAGGGGTACGACGACATGGGTTCCGGTGTCGATTTGTTGGCGAATCACATCCGAAACGGGGCCGTATTGCTCCTCAAAGGCATCCAACGCGCTGCAGTTTTGGACCGAGTCTAGTCTTTCCCACGTCTGTTCCGCCCATCCTCTCCATTTCACTAGCGCTTCGTCACGATATCCTCGCCCAATCTTCCTCCGTCGTATAGCTAGGATTCGCTCAACGTCGTATTCCTCCTCCCCGTCGACTAGCAGCGGTGGTGGCTGCGAATCGTCCACTACTTGGGATGGGAACGGGTCCGTTGCCGCTGGGCGGACTAACTCGATGTGGAACACTGGGTGTATACCAGTAGGCACATCGAGTCGGACTGTAAACGGTGACGGAACGTCTACTACTCGGTATCGAGCATGTAGCCAATCTAACTTCTTTGACGGTCGCTGCGTGCGTACATTCCGAAGGTTTAGCCAAACCCAGTCATCCTTCTTATAGATAGGCGCAGCCTGTCGACGTCGGTTCGTTTGCTCTTCTTGAAGGGCCTGTGCAGAAGCAATAGCGGCCTGGGCCCAATCGGTGGCTTCTCGTAGGCGATTCACGAAGGTTTCGCCTGTCTTTCGTGGTTGGGTCAGGGCGTCCTGTAGCTGCCCTGCTTCGTCGATACCAATCGGGTCAATGTGGTAGCCGTGGGTGAAGAAGAATGGCGAGATTCCTGTTGAAGCGGCATCACGATTATTAATTGCCACTGCGACTATTGGTAGTAGATCTTTCCAGTTATCCTGTGCGTACGTCGTGAACACACGTAGAATTCGTTCGATCTCCTGATTGGCACGTTCTGTTGCACCGTCGGTCTGGGGGTGGAAAGCAGTGGATAATCGGCGTTGAATCGATAGCCTTTCGCATACCCTTCCCCAGAAAGAACTCACGAATTGGGGGCCGCGGTCGCTCACAATCGCTAGTGGTACCCCATGATGCATATAGAAGTGTGTGAGGAACACCTCTGCTACATCCTCTGCTGTTGTATTCCTCATTCCGACTAGAATCACGCCCTTTGTCAACCGATCTGTTATCACCATACAGTTTGTTGCTCCCGTGGATCCTGAGGGTGGTAGCCCGGTAATGAAGTCCACTGATATTTCGGCCCAGATTCGCTGGGGAATTGGTAGTGGTTTTAATAACCCATGTCTTGTGTCTCGCCATACTGAGCTCCGTCCACAGATTGTACAGTTACGAAGGAAACGTCGTACGTCCTTCGCTGCCCCTGGCCAGAAAAACCGTCGAGATAGTATCGAATAGGTAGCGTCTCGTCCTGGGTGCGCTGTGACGTGTGAATCGTGGATCTTCTGTATAATTCCCGTGCGTAGGACTTCGTTATCAGGGATCCAGATCCGTTGTCTGAAATGGAGCAGTCCCCGATCGTCTAGATGGCACTCAGATAGGCTTGTTTTAATGTTCGTTTCGGCAGCAATTCGGCGCTCTCCCTTTAGCAAAGCGTAGGAGATTCGTTGGTAGATCGAGTCGGACGCCCTTGCTCTTTTCCATTCCGTCTGTAGTTCTGGTTCTTCAAAGAGAGGGATATCTCTTTCAAAGTCAATCCCCTCACTAGGTTGGTCGTCGGCTGGTTGAGGGTCTAGCCGTCCTGTTTTGATCTTGACCCTTTTGAGTAGGATTCGGAAGCGATTCGATAGCCTTTCGTCAGTGATACTCTTAGGCATATCCTGGCTCCGTCGTGATAATGCGTCCGGCCTTACTGCAAGCTTGCCAGGGCGATAACGAAGGTCGAAATCGAACTCTGTTAGGAGATCTGCCCAACGCATTTGCCGTTCGTTCAGGTGTTGTGCTTTGCCGAAGTATCGAAGGTTCTTATGGTCTGTTACGATGGTGAATCTAGGCACCATTTTCAGCTCAGGTCTCCATTCGCGCAAGGCGCGTATAATCGCTAGAAGCTCCTTATCATGAATCTCGTAGTTTGACTCTGCTGGAGATAGCTTCTGGGATAGGTAGGCGCATGGCCGTAGTTGTCCGTCGGGGCCACGTTGCGATAGAACCGCCCCAGTTGCCCATCCAGAAGCGTCGGTTTCCACGACTGTTTGGCGATCCTCTTCGAAGTGTGCTAAGATTGGTGCGTTTATAAAGAGCTCTTTCAGTTCCGTGAAGGCCTGCTGGCAGTCATCGTCCCATTTGAAAATAGCGTCTTTCTTCATTAGCCGTGTTAACGGTGCCGAAAGGTCGGCGAATCGTGGTATAAACGGTCGGTAGAAGTTCGCAAATCCAATGAAGCTTCGCACGTCTCGTATAGACTTCGGCCTCTCCCATGCTCTGATAGCCTCTACCTTCTTTGGGTCAACGCGGATCCCCTTTCCAGCTTCGACGATAAAGCCAAGATACTTCACTGAGCCCTGCTCGAACTCCGATTTCGCAATATCGCATTGTAGACCCGCGTCCATTAGTTTCTGTAGCACATCGCCAACCTTTCGGCGGTGATCCGCTAGCGTTCCGTTGGTGTAGATGATTATATCGTCAACGTATGCCGACACGAAATCATCTAAGTACTCTCGCAGAGTCTGGTTAATGTACCTCTGGAACGTCGCCGGCGCGCCTGTTAATCCGAACGGGGTAACGTTCCACTCGTAGAGCCCATATCGCGTCCGGAATGCTGTCTTCCATTCTTCTCCGGGGTGAATGCGGATCTTATGGAAAGCTGCGATGATATCGAGTTTCGTGAACCAGCGGGCGTGCCCCATATTCCGCAGCGTCTCGCGAATCAACGGTAGAGGGTAGCGATCCTTCACCGTTTGTTCGTTTAACCCTCGGTAGTCAACGCAAAATCGTACGCCACCACCTGGCTTTCTAACTAACAAGATTGGTGCTGCTGCAGGTGATTGGCTCACCCGTATAAAGTTCTTCCCGAGTAGGTCTGTCAACGTTTTCCGTAGGTAAAGAAGTTCCTCTTTGTTCATGCCGTAGAGAGGACCATATGGTGGTGGCTCTTCGAAACCGTTTCGGTCGCGTTTCAGAGGGATCTTATGATCGATTCCTGGCCGGTGCGGAGGTAGCTGGTCGGCTAACTGTTGGCTGAAGGCGGCTAGCCATCGCCAGTAGTGTTTCGGTAGCTTATCCTTTGGGTCGATGTGCTTCTTGGGTCGTAATGCTCTCTCAATATCGTCTAGCGAAACCCTGCCGATTCGCAAACGATCCGCATCCGGTACGCTACGTACGAGTTGCTGTATAGATGATGCCTTAACCTGCACGACGCGTAGTCTCTTTACTCCATCAGGCCCGATAGTGCGATCCGCGCGGTTCCAACATCTTGTCCGCTCCCCAGACCTTGTGAAGATGTCTAGGTATCCTTTCCTTGCCGAATATCGTCCGTTCACGTCGTGTAGCCATGGGTCCCCAAGTATCATACTATCGCTTTGTGGTCCGATAATATAGGCAAATACGCGGCCTTGTTGCTGGCCGTGGACATCGAGGTCGAAATGGGTAATGTGGGTGATTCGGCACTGGTTCGGTACCACTCCGTCAAGGACTCGTGGCTGTATCTTAATGCGCGGAAGGTCGAGCGACTGGACTAAAGACTCGTTTACCGTTGCATAGCAGCGGCAGCCGCTATCGACGAGAGCTTGTGTAAATTGGATTCCATTCACTCTAGCATCGACTATAAACGGTAATGTCTCACGTTTAAGTAGCTTCTCGACCCCCTTCCGCTCCTGCTCGCGGCTTAGAACAGGAGCTATTCTTTTCCCGAATCGTCCTCAGTAGTCACATCTTCGTTGTCGGAAGCCGTCGTGACTGACTCGCTATCACTTGTAGGCCTTGCCTTCTTCACATTGACCGTACGCTCACGTCTTTTCTTGCTCGAACTGGTAGCGGTACGTGTACTATTCGGCGGT